AAATTAACTGTAGGTCATTACTTGGTACTAGCACTTGCACTTTCTCGTATGTAGGATCCCGCCGGCAAGGCTGGTGGGCCTGTATGTATGTGGGCTGTATGTGGGCTGTCTGCCAACTGCCAACTGCCGTAAGCTCGGATTAGGGTGCACTTCGCTACGGTACATATCATATCTACATACACTTATCATTCCCGCCCGTGCCCATAGGGACTGCCGCGGTACACACGAGGTACCAGGCAGCATGTCCTCCACAGCCTAACTGCCACTCTCTGGAACCATTGTGACTTCATAAAATGCACTGGTATCTATTATGATATCGGGCCCGCCAGGCTACCACGGTCCTCAACTTATATCTATCTGGAGAGGATGTAAATCCGAGGCACAAGATGGACGGTTTAGAATCGTACGGCATTAACAAGGTGCAACAGCGCACTCAGCCTCAGCAGCGCCATTTTATTCGAGCGGTGAAGTGACGGCAACAGGTACCAAGCGTGACGACCATTCCAAATTCCAACACCCACGAATGAGTGAGTGAAAGCAAGCACCGAGTGATATTCTGTGACACCGCACCACACGACATCAACCCGCCACATCTTCAACTAACACAACTCCCAGACGGTCCCCTAAGCCCGTTCCATTACTCAGGAGCAAACCCAAACCCTCCCTATTTCCGCGATTAGTTACCAATCAACCAGCGCCCACCATCCCCGCACCCAGGTTCTTTACCCGGTCGCTCGGTAGGTAGGTCGGTAGGCTCCCGCCCACAATCCCAGATTGCGACGCTCCACCGGTAGTTGCCTAAATAGAGTAGAGTATATAGAGTAAGTTACCGCCCTACATAGAGTACGTTGCGAGCGAAAGGAGATAAGAGTTCCTGCCCCCCACCCTTTTACCTTGTTGTTGCTTGTTGCCGTTGGAGCAAAGGGGGGTGGAGGAGATGGGGGGGGGTGGGTGGGGGGTGGGTGGGGGGATGGATATGCATTGATTGATTGGACGCAGTGCTGACAAGCATATGACAATACGATGGCCCCATTCGGAAGGACCGGTCGGATGTGGTGGGGGGATACCAAATAATCCCGACTTCTCCGCGGGCCCGCCCGCCTCCGTCGTGGTTGGGCGGGCAGCTGTCACTGCGGAGGTTGCTTCGCAGGCTGATAACAGAAGACTACAGGTCCCAGGGCTCTCCAGTTCTTGGTCCCAAGCTCCTCAAAACTCGCTCCTCAATCCTTGAATCATGGTATTAGTCTTGGTCTTCACTGCTAACGAGTCACAACTTCAACCTTAACCTCTATCCCGATTCCCGGGCTCTCGGATAGGGTACACGACAAAAGAGGGACTGCTGGTAGCCTTCCGCTCACGGTTCACCACGCAGCTGCAATCCCGCGGCCTGCCCACCGGTATAAGGTTTTCTGAAACTCAAGAAGGGCAGGTCGCTCCGAAGGCCGAAGGAAACCAGGAGAATGCGCGGAACCAGCCGTGACCTGTCACCTTACTGCATACCTACTTCAATTTTTAGGTAGAGAATATGCAGCTGCTGGTGTTGCGTTGTTTTTTCTCGCGAGGTTTCAGGTTTCAGGTTTATCGAGGTAGGTACATATGCACCGTGAACGCGCGCACGGTCCTGCAACGCAGCAGTGGCACATTCTTACAAGTCACGGCGGGAAACAAACAATTCACACACCCCGAGAGGGGTGGAGTATGGATAGGTACCTCCGCATGTACACGCCATCTTTGTCGGAACCTGTAGGATAGGCTATCATTTCACTTGTTTGTCTATCATGATTGATCTGTCTATATCCCATCGGGTTCACACCACGGAATGTCAAGTTCGAAATCTGAATACTCGATATCCAATAAATGTAGAAGTGTGGGTAGAAAGAATATAGACATAACCCCACCCCCACCCCCACCCCCACCCGCGAACGGTACATACAAAGAACGAAAGTCCGGGATATGTGCCCACCCAGATTAGAGCCACGGACCCAGTGGCAGAAGTGGGCCGACACTGCACAAACATTGTCTGAGTATGTACCTACTATAAAGTCTCAGTGCGTGAGACGTCAAATCTAAGTGGCTGCTAGTTAAGTTCTAACTACGGTGATGGAGTTCGCATACATTAGGTACGTATATGTAGAGTACAGTGTACACTGCGTCGATGGCTGTGCTATGTAGTGTGCACTGCGGCACTGCCGTTTATATGATATGCTAATGCAAGGCCGTTTGGCAGTGGCTGGCAACTTCTATTTTTGGACGCCTGGTCAGTAGTCACTAGAGATTCGAGAAGCCCTAACCCTTCCCGCCCCGAGGGCCAACCTCGGTCGATATTGCCCATGGTGGTGGTGGTGGTTGTGGTATGATCGATACCCGGCCCACACGGGGGCTCCGAGGCGAGGTACTGAGGCACTGAGGCTGTATTTGCTGGTAATAGATCTCTTCTCTTCGGTTTGTTGTCGACGGTCATTGCACTGGATTGTGAATTGAGTGAGTTGAGTTAAGATCTTCGTCAGACTGGCGTAATCCAGGTACCGAACGAACTATCTGACTGTGCCTATGTGCATTGTTAGTATTTTGCAGTTCGTGGCGGTGCACGGACCACAGCAAGGAGGTGAGCTCGAGTTAGCTACAGCCTATGTACACTGTGGATTCAATTTAGTCTGTTGCATGATGCATCATTGGCAGAGGGGGATTCCTGGCTGGAATAAAATAGAAGCTCGCATGGCAAGCCGCAGGGGGAAATTCCGGGATATAATAGAATCTCACCGGACCCATCGAGGTAGGTACCAGGTACCAACTTCATGGGTCCATGGGACAGTAGTACCGGTATGTGGGGTGCTAAGCTTTATAGGTATATCTATATCTGGCCGGAATTTTTGATGCGGCCGTAGGGCCTGACATATATCTTGAGACAATTCAAGACTCAATTCGATCCGAATAGTGCTTGGTAGTGCTTGGGTGAGCGAGTGCTGTCCCTGGCAGGTCCGAAAGTATCAACTAGGACACTCGACCTGGTTCGGGAAACAATTGTGGTACCGGGGGTCCTCACACGTCAGATGATGGTCAAAAGTCCAGACTCGGACTATGACCGGTGGTGCATCGATGATAGGACGTCAGGGGCTTGGTGTGCACTGTGTAGGAGAAGCTCAGTACTCGTTGGTCGGTGGGTGCCACAGCGTTCGGCCCACGGGATATATCGGGATTTGGGACCAAGTGAGCCTCTTCACACTCGGCATCTGGTTACTATGGAGTCTGGATGTTGCATCGGATGAACTGAGCCTGATAGATAACGGTTAGTCACTAGTTCTTGAAGAGAAATCCGCCGTCGGAGGCTGCAAGTTGTCTGCTTACCCGAGGAGTCGAGGACGGCCCATTTATCGAGGAAGAAGGTCCACTTTCCATTGTACTACCCATTTGTTTTTCCCCCTGTTTGCTACCCTTCGTGACGATCTAAAACATTAACATGTTGATTTTGGCAAGGAAAGCTAGGTACCTAAGGTATTCCGATTCCGAGTTGCTGGTTTTTGATGAGCCGATATAGTCGTTGGAAATCGAGGCTGGGGAGACATAATGAACGGTGTGCAGGATCTTTGACTGAGAACGCCACGATATATATCTTCAAGTTCCAGAATTGCTTTCCACTCTCTCCCGGAGCAAGACCGTGCTGACTCCTGAGAAGTGCATCAGCACTCGCCAACGACTAGTAGAACAAGTATAAGTGCATTACGGCAGGCCCTACTACCTCGATGAGGAATATCCCATAATGTCGATGACGGCGTATTTATTCTCATCAGCATTATCCACGCCGAACCGTGTGTGATAATTGACGAAGGACGGCTGAAACAAATCGACGTCTAGGACGGCCCTAGTTGAAGAATGAGCCTATATTATCGATGACGGGAGGTGTACTAGTGGAAATGATGTAGCTAGCATCATAGGAAGCGGCGGGAGAGCGGTGGACGAGCAGTGAGGGAGCGGTGGGGAAGCGAGCGGCTGTGAGAGCAGGCCTCAATGCCCCATCTCATGGAAGAGTAATCAGCAAGTCCATGCCGCGTCTCATCTCGCAGGCGGGCGTGGGCCCGTGTGGGGGTGAAACATTTGAGTTCAAAGCGGGGCTAGACTAAACATTCCCGATCTGAAGCCTGCCGCTTATCGCTACGCAGCGGGGCTAACTAGACTCACTAACTTAGAGTAGGTAGCATGGATTCGGCGCTCCAGAATCCAGTCCACGAGCCGAATACGGTACAGCCGGCAGTGCCTGGCCCACCCGGCAAAAATACCCCATCACCTCCAGACATACAGGAACGGAGAATGTCCTTTCCGAAATTCCGCTGCGGGCTCGATCATGATTGATCATTGCATGAGCCGGCAACAGTAGAGCCGGCAATAGCAACAGAAACTCCCTCCCTTCTTGAGCCTTCGCCATAGTCCATGTAGATAGGCTGCATGTGAAATAAACTGAAGATCTCTCTCTCTCTTTCCCTGCTCGGGCCGGCGGGATACATCATGCTAGTTAATATTGTGACTGGCTGACACTGGACAGGGCTGCATGGGGTCTTGAGATGGCGTGATTCGTATCGGACTGGCCGCTATGTACTCTACCTTGCATTGTAGTTAGGGCTGCTTCCGACAGCCTTGAGATGGTCGAGATGGTCGAGACGTCGGAGTTCGTATTCATCATCTCCTAGTAGTCGATGGGGCGGCCGTATGTACTATTACGACAACTCGGTACCGGAGCCCGGAGTCCGTAGTCGAGTATCTAGACTCGATCTTGATCTATGTAATGTGTTTGTTATTACACCCAAACGGTAAACCCCTCCTCATATGTACCTACTACCTGATCACTTACCCCCCCCCCCCCCCCCCCCCGCCGCCGCAGTTTCGTACCTCCTCCCGCTCCCCGCTCCCCGCCGGCTCCCCGCCAAACCCCCAACATCGATTGGGCCAGAACCACCATCCGTTTCGCCAGATAAACAAAACCAAATAAACCACGTAAACGAACCTTACCGCACCGAACCGCAACTGTCATACCCTACATCTCTTGTCCGCACTCCCCGCACTCCCACTCCCCGCACTCCCACTCCCACTGCCAATCCCACTTCCACTTCCACTCCCCGAATCCCCCCCATGTCCGCCCTCATTCTCACCCGCCACCTTCCGTTTCCCACTCCCACTCCTACCAGTGACAGCCCCCGCCCCTGCCCCCGCCCCCTCCGTCGACCCGGTGCTATTCTCGGGACTCGACGGCGGGGTCTCGCTCTCGCACGCATTAGCATCACTATCAGCCTCCTCATCCACATCCGAGAACACGCTGGGTTCGGGACTGTGGCTTGTATAGGCACAGGCACTGCTCTCCGGCATCGCCGTCGTCGGTGGTGTTGTGGGAGGCACTGTGGGAGGCGAAAAGTCCCACAGTACCACGGCGCGGTCTTTTGATACCGAGACGAAGAAGGTGGGGTCCATCTGCGAGAAGAAGGGGGGAAAAGGTGAGTGGGGGCGAAGGGGGAGGGGAGGGGAGGGGGGGGGAGGGGGGCGTACTGCTAGCCCCGTGATGCTCTCGCCGCTCAACAGGGTTTGTAGCCGCTGGCCTTCGTGCGTGAAGATTGAGATTTTCTATATTGTTGGTGGTGTTAGGGGCAGATTCCGAGTGAGGGGGGAGGGGGGGGCGGAGAACGCACTCCTTCCTGTTCGTACGAGCTCGTGACGAACACGCCGTCTCCGGCGGCCATGGAGCGCACGCCGCGCGGATGTGTCCGCTCCGCAAGAATGTGGCTCTTCGGCAGGGCGACGACACTCGCCTTGAACCCGGTGATGGAGTAGACGCTCGCATCGGGCCAGGCAACCAGGAGTTCGCCCGTGTCCCTGAACGGTGCGAGGATACACTTTCCCTCCTGGTTCTCGGCGCTCTCGGAAACGGTGTAGTTCTTGATGAACAGTTCGTTCTCAGAGTACTCCCACAGTTCCCGACGGTTGTCGGGGTCGACGGTCTTGGGGTAGATCTGGGAGACGCATTTAGAGGACGTGAAGAGGAAGGGCCGCGCGTAGTGGATGCTACGGTTTGGTAGGCCGAGGTGGTGGAAGATCGGCGTGTAGATCTGTAAGAGCACGGTGGACGGCGAGAGGACGCTGCGGAAGTCGATTTCGCCGTTCACGCAGGCGGTGATTACGGTGTGCCCCGACAGATGGATGCTACACACCTCGGAGGTTACGGGAAAGCTGGTGATGTACTCGAAGGTGCGGGTAGCGTGGTCGCGCTTCAGGATGTGGACGAGAGATTTCTGTGAGAAAGAAGACGGGACCGTTAGGCGTGTCCAGTGGAGGTGGGAGAGGAGGGAGTACAAACGCAATCCCCGATGACCAAATACTCTCCCTCGAGGGCCATGGTTGCGATCGCAGGCGGTACCGGACCACGCGCGGATCCGCGAACATGTTTCGTATCGACAGGCTTCCGAGTCCTCGTGCACCAGAACACCACTGCGCCACTTGCGTCACCCGTTATCACCAGATCCCACACCGGGTCGACCACCACGCTCAGCAGCCGGGCACCCTGCACGCCCTCGGCGTTGAGATTTATCTTCCTCGTGGGCACGCCACTCATCCACTGCTTCCGCAGGCGCAGATCGCGCAGCGCCAGATCCCGCAGTGTCTCGGAGCTCGAAAAGTACGACGACGCCGAGAGCCGGCGGTAGCGCTCGAGGAGCTCGGATCGGACCGAGGAGCCCGGCGACGACGACGAGGCTATGGGTGAGCGCCCGTGCGTCACTAGGCTGTATTTCCGAAGCAGGTACGGTGCGTACAGGTATTCGAGGTGGGCGAGTTTTCGCCAGGACCGGCAGACTGCCGAACAGGCCACTAGGTCTTCGAGGTCCACCGAGAGCAGAACCGATGTGGCGAGCTCCAGCGGGAGGGATGAGACGATGTCGAGTATTCCGGACGCTCCGACTACAGTTGCCATGGTGGTTGTCTTTGTATTGACAGTATGGGGGATGGTTATTGGTATTGGTATTGTTCTTCTCTGCGTTTATTGGTATTGTTTATTGTTCTCTTCTAGGTTGCACAGTGAAGTTTTAGTGAAGATGCCGAGAAGTACCGTAGAGCTGCAAGGCAAGACTGTTTCCAGATACGGAAAGGAAGCGGGAAGGGGTAGGGCTGAAGTCCCGTAGCAGTGACAGGTGGGGTGGTGGTGTGGGGATGACGGAAGGCAAGTAACCCTCCGCTCGGGGAAGGGGGTTTTCGAGGATGGAGGTGCGGGCAAGGCGTGTATAAATAAAAGCACGATATCATCCGTCGTTAACTCCGCACCCCTGTCGGTCTCTCTCCGAGCGGACAGTCACCGCCGACTCGCGGGCCAAAAGGGTTCATCGCCTTCTAGAAAGGCTGGCAATTGCAGAGCAGAGCAGTTTGTGCAGAATACCGTAGGGGTGTGGTGCGGTGCCTGCATGCAAGCACGAGGCGCTTCGGTTGAATCGGAGGTAGGGCGATATGTAGAAAGAGTTTATTTACTGCGCTCCATCCATCATGGAGGGGGGCGGGCAGGGACAGGGGTGGGGGACGGTCCGACACAGCACCAGGAAGGACGGACCATAACCACCAGGACTCACAAACACACTAAACCAAGCAAGTCCTCACCCACTCTTCCACTCTATATACCGACCTACGTATATCCTTGAGGGCTGTGCCCCCCCTCCCCCAGCAGAGCAGTCAAGGTACCCACTCTACATGCTCTCCGTATCTGCACACATTACCCCCCCTCCCAAACAACATACCCCCACCCCCCGCATCCCACCGCTTCCCCAGTCCCAGTCCGCATTCACTGCATACGATGCGATGTGTGCTGCCGCCAGCCGTACGTACTGACCTTCTCCACGAGGTGTTCCACGGGGTGTTCCACGGGGTGTTCCACGGGGTGGAGCCCTGGAGCAGGGAGTATCGATGGCCATGGACCATGGTTTCCGCTGTGGGTCTCCGGATCCACAGTGGTATGTATCCAACTGGTTACCTACCCCCTACCTACTACCGTATGTACCACATACTGCTATCTATGTATCAGAGCCGAGATCCGATCCTCGCGGAAAACCTGCTACATACAGCTGGTACAGGCCTTGCGAGTGTGTATGATATGCAGTGGGAACTATATTCGTTTTCCCCCCCACCCCGATCCGCCTCGTGGTTTTATGCCGGCGTGTGTCACCGTGTGTGGCCTCAAGTGCTTACTTACTCCCGTCAACTATAACTACCGCTGACCACCTATCGACCAGCCACTGCAGGAGATCGGGCCGGGTCCGGCGCAGTGTGGCTGAAGTTCACCACGCATTCTATAACACTACCGGTACCGTATGTACCGTATACCGCTGCGCCCCACCTGTCGCAGTGCTCCTTGCGAGCCAGAAGTGGTTCTGTTCCTGCTGCTGATGGGTGGCTGGATGGATGCATCTATGGAGTACATACTGTAGAGTGTTATTACTCTACTCTCACTGCATGGCATGGCTTGGGGCAGGGAATCGGTGTAAGTAGAGTAGTTACCGCCAGGCAGCAGCAATATACGAGGATCATTCATGGGTGGATCACGGCAGCAGGCATCCGAAGTGGGCGGTGCGCAGCAACCACGGTAGAGTACCAACCAAGGTCCAAGGTTGTGGCTTCGAACTACATACTTCCACTGCGTACCCTTCACCTTCACGAGAATCCCTCATGGGCGGCAGACAGACAGACATTCGAATTTCGGATCGATCAGGTTAAGCATAAACATGGTAAACCGCACACTCGGTCGGTCGGTCGGTCGGAACTCCGTAAATACCGCAGGTATCATGTAGGTATTATTAGTACATCTGAACCATGATACATACGCCAGGGCTGAGCGTGATATGTATGTAGCAGCGACGCGAAACCCCCCGGACTCCCGGAGGATGGCCGTGCGGTCTTTGAGTCTCGTAACTAGGGGCTGTGGGGAGGGGTCCCCGGCCCCAGGCGAGCGAGGTCTCGGACTCTCGGGTAGCCGTGGAATCTCGGAACCGGTCCTCCGTCGAGTCGTCGACCGTCGTGCGCGCTACGGTGTGCAATGCAATGGAGGTTGGCGCTTCTTAAAAGTTAAGCGCAGCCGGTGGTGGTCGCGGCTTTGCAATTACATCATACATGCTCGACTTCGGGATACGGACCACGGTAGCAAACTCCCGATCCGGGACGCAGAATGTAGAATGAAGAATGTCCACGGTAATAGGTAAGTCGAGGCCCCGGAGATACTCTATCTACTGGTAGGTAGAGTATTACTTGGGTATGTATCTTGCTTAACCAGTAGAGTAGGAATGACCACTGAGACTACTAGTTATAGGCCATGGGTAGAGTAGTGCATCACGATTGATGACTCGTCCAGGACCCGATATAGGTAGACGGTAACCACACGCCTCGATCCGCAATTCCCAACCAACGAATGAACGAGCACAGGAGCACCCCGTACACCTTGGCTCAGTCCAGTCCAGGGCAGTCTAGTCCAGTGTTTGACGAGATCTGGTCCAGTCCGGCCCTTTAGACGGCCTAGGTACTTAAAAGTAGTCCAGCCACTGCAGTCCATATATTCCGTGGATTCCGTGGATTCCGTGGACTACCTAGGTGCAGACTGCAGCCGACTGCAGCCTGCTGTATTCTGTCCTGCCCTCGATTTTCTTTGGACTACCTAGTCCGTCCGAACACCGGTCCTGGACGGACTGCCGAGATAGAGTTCTGTCCGGTCCAGTCTAGTCCAGTCCGGTCAGAGGCCCAGGACGGATGGACTGAACGGACGGACTGAACGGACGGACGGACTATGTAGAACACTCGTTACTGGTCTAGTCCTACTACGACTGGACGATGCACGATGCACATCGCACATCGTACTCCAAGGCTTCAAGGCTCCGGAGTCTGGAGTCTGGACACGGCGCATGACGTAGTATTTAATAGCTCTGACAGCACGGGCGAGGATGGGCGAGGACCGACGAGGACCGACGAGTACTGACGAGGACTGACAAGGACTGACGAGGACTGACTACTTACTATATATTGACTTGGTACATAGTTGGAGCATTAGAGGAAACCTATCAGCGGTATGTAGGTAGAATACTTAGATAGAATAGGTGGTTAGCATAAGTAGAATAGGTATCTACTAACTATTATACACAGTAGTTATCTGAGGGCACTTCACTCCCCTCCAGAGTCCATTCCATATATAGCCATCAGCTAGCTCTCAGCCCACTGTGCGCCGCGGAGATGTTTGACGTGACAACACGCATGCGGTGCGTATTCCGCCACTGTGGGTAGTGGGGGCGGCGAACCGCATTCTCGCGGGCTATTCTAGCGAGCTTGTCTCGTGTCACTCGGTTTCTCAGCTACTGGTGGGTACCTGGGTATTTAGTTGGCGGCGCTGAGTATGTACTTATGCAGATAGATATAGGGCACCTACTTCTTGCACAGATCGTCTGGGACTCTGGGCAGATAAGACCCGAGAGGGACGTGAACCATCCAGGTGAGACACCGCGCCTCCGCCAAGCTGTGCAGCCTGTACCCGTTCGATGCTCTTCAGAGTCTGCACGGTACGTGTACTCTACACGGAGAAGGAACGGCTGGAGCCAGGCAATCTCACACATGGTGCATACGGAATACAGGTGCTGTCTCGACATCTCCACCTGTCCGCCCGTCAGTCTTTGCCAGTATCTGGTAAGTACCCCACAGTTCTCCACTCCCCCCCTCCCCCTAAAAAGAGACATCCTATCCAACAGCCGAACGGCAGCCTTCCAAGCGCAGCCGGTCTGCTATTGACACCACTAACGCTGCGCTGCACGCCCTCTCGCTCGCTCGCGCACGCACTCCACATCCATCCACATCCATCCATCCATCCATCCATCCATCCATCCATCCATCCATCCATCCATCTGCACGCCAGGGCCGAATCCCACATCCGAAACTCATCACTTCTAGCATACCTGAGTAGGTCTGAGCGTATGTATCATCCACACCATCATCCACACCATCTTCTGCATCCCATTCAGCATCCCATTCCGCATCACCACTAGGTGTGTACCTATCTAGCCGACGGCCAAAATTTCTGCAGCCACTTCTCACGGAGGATCCCGCCAGAAACCCGACACATAGAGTACTCTGCATCCACGGCACGGAAAGAGTAACGCCCCATCAATTCATTATGTACTATACGTGGTATCACTCCCCTCCGCAGGTCTCCTAGTCAGCCCGCTGCTGTGTCGTCCTCCGCCGCCGCCGCCGCTGCCGTCGTGCTGCTGGTGGCGGCTGCAGCAGCAGGCTCGTTGGGATTATTGAGATGCCGCCAGTCCTCAATCTGTTTGTTGCATGCTCAGTACGTGACTCCCATGGACCTCCAGGACACAAGGGGTTCCAAAACGCACCTCCTCAATCGTATTCCTCAGGCGATCCCTAATACTCTCGACGGCATGCGACCCGAGGAGCAACCTTAGCGGGGGGTACTTGCAATGCCCGAGCTCCCATACCATTTTCGAGATTTTGACCGCGCTCGTGGGCTGTCTAAACCTGAGCCAGTCGACCATTCTAGTTGCGTGCTGTGCGGGCGAGGTGGTGGCACGGTACGCATCGGTCGGAGGCTTCATCAGGAAGTGTCCCCACATCGGCGACGGGCCGTTGATGTTCTCGTCTGGCTCGTCGCGTCGTGACGGGCCCGGCTCGACTAATGTCACCGTTATCCCGAAGGGGTCCAGCTCGTACATCAGGCTCTCCGTGAGCCCCTCGACCGCCCATTTGGTTGCGCAGTAGGCTGTGGGCGTTAGCTGTCACCCGCACAGGACTTGGCGAAGGGATGTCTACGTACGTCCGAGGCCGGGCACGGAGACCAGTCCGTGGAGCGAGCTGAAGACAATATACCTCCCGCCGCCGCGCTCGCGAAGGTAGGGGACGGTAGCCTGTACGATATTGACGAGGCCGGTGACGTTAGTTTCGAACTGGGCACGAATATCGTGTTCGTCCTGGTCCTCACAGGCGCCTATGATGCCGTAACCGGTGCAACTGCCCACCATCAGCCCCATCAGCCGTCCATCAGCCCCCTCCCATCCCGCTAACCAGAGAGAGAAGAAGCAGAGCGTGCGGACTTTACGATGATATCGATTTCCCCCCAGAACGCCCTAGCCTGCGCAAACGCCGTGTCGACCGACGAGCGCTCGCGCACATCGCACACGAGCCCCTGGCAGCGCTTGTGCCAGCCGTGCATGCTCGCCTCCTCGGCGGGGATGTTGCGGCCGACGGCGGAGACGCGGTCGCCGCGGGCGAGAGCGACCCGGCAGATGCTGCGGCCGAGGTGGCCCGTGGCCCCAAAGATCAGCCATACCTGCGAATTTGTGGGCCGACTGGGGGAGGGGGGCTCGCAGGAGGCGGGCAGTTGCGGGTTGGGTGGGAGAGGGGGCGGTGTGGTCGCCCGTTGCATGTTGGCTGGCTGGCGATGGGAATGTATCTATTGGGATGCCAATGGGCTTGGATTTTGTGGGGTAAGGCTACTAGCGGTAGTTGCCGGCGACCCTATGGGTGCTTAAGCGATTCACCGGATTGGCTGGGCAGGCAACGGATTTATGGTACACACATAGCGCCCAGACGGCCAAAGTAAAAATACAAAAACAACCTGCAAACTCCCCAGACCATTACCTAAAATGCAACTGATGTTCCACAGTACGAGTAGACTACATCTGCTCCATAAAGAACCACGGCACATTTTTTCCCATCGGCTCACCCGGCGTCTCCATAGGCACCGGCACGACGCCGTGGAACACCGAGAAAGCTGGCGTTCCCGACTCCGGCGTGACGCCCGACAGCGTTGGGCCCAAGTTCTTGGCCGAGACGGGAACGATAACACCGCATTCCCAGTTCTTGAGGTTGATCTTGGGAGCTTTCGTGGCTCTGTCCACCACCAGTTTTCCCCTGTCCGGAAGTCAGTAACAGAAGACGAAGGATGAAAACACTGGACGTACCAGGCGCTTTCACTCAGATTGGCAGAGCCCACATACGCCCACGCTGCCATTTTTCCATGTTTCGAGTTCAGTAGCTTCGACGGGCGAGCAAATAGCACCTACAACCGTCAGCCAAGCCACCTCCCGCAAATCACGCTGGTACCAACCTTATTATGCATCAATGTCCCCTTCCTAACGCTCTTGCAATCCATGAGTAGATTCTTTGGAAAGGTGGGTGCATTCCACCATTGCCTCTGGAAGCAGATGGTGCCGCCGTTATTAACGCCGCCCTCGCTCTCCTCGACGGTATTCTTTGAGGGGAAGAACACGCGGAACCGCTTCTGGATATTGTTCCAGTTCGTTTCCTCACTAAAACTGTCGTCATCATCGGTAGTTTCGTCTGCTTGTTCCGCTTCGGACTTCTTGCCAAAGAAGGAGGAGATGGCGCCTTTCTTTTGCGGAGCGGATTTGAGCGTCTTGTTGCGCCGTTGGAGCTCTTTGATACCAGTGTGGCCCTGCGCTGCGCGGTAGATGTTGGAGAGAAAATCTTCTTTTGCTGCGCCAAGTGACGAGGTCTAGATGATTCCATTCAGTTGGCACTCCCTCGAACTGCCAGGATATACATACCACGTAGTCGACCTCCAATCCCTCGCCCGAGTGATACCCCAGCGTCTTGACAGCCCTGCCCAGCCCACAATAGCCTGTTCTCTCCCAAAGATCACCACCATGACTTCCGCCGATGGAGTGGACAAACGCCATCGACGCGGTCTCCTTGAAGTCGTAGTAAAGCAAGGCGGTGAGGATATGCGAAGGGATTGTCTGAGCGGCGCAGAAATGCAACAGCTCATCCAGGAAGAATGTCTGCTCCGGCATTGGTTCCTCCAGCTTTGGCAGGTCGATCATGAACACCATCTAACCACCCGTCAGCAATGGTTTCCCACAATGAGTGGCCAGAGAACACAAACATTTTCCATGATCCCTTCACACCTCCCCCAATCATAATCTGTCAGATTGGCTGAGGGAACAACAACCCTTAACCACTCTCTCCCCAACTTGTCACGATGAAACAACAGCATAAGCTTGCTGTGCATACAGTTGACCTGGCCATCCATGAATGGAAACACTAGTTCGATCTGATCCATCTCTGCGAACAGGCGTTCCTTCATCTTGCGCTCCTCAGGACCTTTGGCTTGCATTACTAGTACCGTCTTGCAGACCGGGAGCTTACTCAGGATCCACTCAAAATCCCACTGGAACGCCGAGAGCAACGTAGTCTGTAGCGTGTCCACCTCAAGAACATCCTCAATCCTTACTTCGTCGGATTTTTGGGGCGAGAACTGTTTAAAAGTCTTTTTGACGACGCCGTGGGGGTACTTGAGCGGAGACTTGGCCAATGTTGGTGCTTTCGGAGCATCTTCCTTCTTGAGCTGGCGGGTTGAAGGGCTGACCTTCGCTGGCTCGGGCGTTGTCACCTTCGACGTTGAACTCGTAGCCCCAGACCCAGTCTTCCACGCCGGTCTCTCCATCCTCCCCACCGTCCACTCATTCCCGCCGACGCTTTTCGTCCCCCCGTAAAACGGGCCTGGCGCCACAGCCGCCTTCTTCCGTGCCAACCGCTCCGCCTCCATCTGCTTACGGTTCATCCCACGCAGGGTCCCCACATCCACGACAGACTTCTCCTTCCGTGGCGGTGTAGACGTCGCGAAAGTTGGTCGTAGTATTATATTGTCACTGTTATCCTCGCTATCCTCGATCTCCAGCATGGGTGTTTCCATATTCAGCGGGCGGATTGGCGACAGGAAAGTATCCGCCTTCTCCGCCTTCTCCGCCGCGCCGGTGTCCTGGCCGCGTGCTGTCCTCTCCGCCTCAATCTCCACACTCACACTCACACTCACATCAGCGAGCCCCCCCTTCTTCACCTTCACCTTCTTCACCTTCTCCTTCTCCATTATCACATCCCCGTCATCATCCACCTCGACAACCCGTTCCCGCTTTACCCCCCTCGTCCCGCCCCTCTCCCTCTCCCTCCCCCTCTCCCCCTCCCTCACGGGCGACTTAAGAACCAGCTCATCATCGCCATTATCCTCGCCGTCCGAAAGCAGATTAACGACCTCGGGGCCCAGTTTGCGACGAAGCTTTCGTTTTCTCGTGGGTGGCTGTGCCGTTACCGGTGCTGGTGCCGGTGCTAGTGCCGGAGGAGGAGGAGGAGGAAGTGGTGGTGGTGGTGGTGACGGGGAGCGGACGCGGACCAGGTCGCCGCCAAAATGTGCCGAAGAGTCAGAAGCGGTGTCGGAGCCCGTGTCGGATGCGGTGGACGGGTGGGTTTCGATTTCGGCTTCGCCGTCTGACGACGAGGAGAAGCTGCGGGGTTGGGGTGGTGACATGGTGTTTTTGTGTTGGAGGCTGAAGATTGGTGGGAGGTGCGGGGTGGGCAGTGGGGGGTGGGAATGGTGCGCGGACAGAAAGGAGGGTGTTGGTGGCAGAATGAAAGGTCAAAGGAAGACGCGTTTTGGGCTCTTTACGCGGTTGGTGGTTGCTGGTGCTGTGCAGGGAAGAGCGGATTAGACCCGCTAGGAGTCGCCACAACAAATACTCGTAAAATCAGTTTCGATGGCTTCGAGTCCACCAGAACTACGGTATTCTCGACAATTGTCGGGCTGTTGTGCTTGAGCTGACTGCAAGAAGAACCCAGCGTACGAATATATGGCACCGTTCAGTCCGGTAACTTTTCTTGGCCGTAAGATCCAGTCCGAAACAACAGACGGGCCGGACGATAGTATCATACAGAGGTGCGGCCCGTAAGAAAGATCACAGTCCACCGTATAGTACAGATCGAACGGATCGATCATGCCCAACCTCGTCTTTACACACAACCCACTTGAGCTCACAAGCGTCCCTACTGTACTTCCCTACTTATCCTACCCTCACGCACACACCATTACTGGTCAGAAGAATGAATCGGTACTCAAAAACTAGAAACAAAGATATATCAAATGTTTTACACAGAATTCCTCCTTAAGCCCCGCTCCCTCCATCCCCCTCCCCTTCTCCATTCGCCGTTTCCTCCCTAACAATTGTCTATGTAAAAAAAAACCGGAAAAAAGAAAAACAAGTTCATATCATGTTTCGTCCGTTTGCAAATCTATAATAGGACCACCACCGAGATATGGGCTTGAGATTTAGGCCTTGAAGCCGTCGCGCATGCTGGCGGAGCTGGCGCTCTGCGTGAGCGGGAGCGAGGTGGTCTTGACGGTCTGCTGCTTGACCTTGGCCATCGCGTAGACGATACCAGAGACGAAGCCCAATCCGATAGCCTGGATACGTTAGAGGAGGTAATATAAGCCGGCAAGACGGAAAGAGCTTACCGAGACGGAAGGAAGAGTGACGGGCGCGTCAAAGAATATCAATCCACTAAGGGCGATGGGCAGCTTGTTGAGCGCACCAACCATGGAGTAGGTAGTCGACGACGTGATACGGACACACCACGCAGAGGTGTAGGAGATGAACACCGAGGAAAGACCCGAGAAGAGGATGGCGATCATGAGGTTAGAGCGCAGCGCCGGGGGGAAGTTCCTGTCGATGTTGGCCTGCGACCAGTCCTCGAGGAAGAGCGAGCACAAGATGATAACCGGAATGGAGAGCAAGTTGTTGTAGAACATGGCTATGAAGAGTCAGCATCTGGGAATGGAGGACACGCGGTATGGGGAATGGCATACTGTCAAAGTCCTTGAAGCCGGTCAACTTGATCCTCTTGCGCATGCCCAAGACATAGGCGGCGGACGACAGGCAGTTGACCAACATCCAGATGTAACCGGCGTTGAGGGTGCTCAGAGCGGTGGCAGTCTCGGTGGAGCTGTGGCCGTAAGAGCTGACGGCAGCACTGACATCGGCCCAGGCAGCGATGATGGAAGACAAGACCATCAATCCGAAAGAGAAGAGGGTCATGCGCGACACCGAGCCGCCGAACCAGAGGACCTCACCGTAGGCGATGAGGATGATTGTCAAGTTCTTGAAGATGGTGTAGACGGGGACCGACAAGAACTGGATGGCCTTGGAGCCGGTGTAGATCATGGAAATCAGGAGCAGCGAGATGGGGAACCATTTGCGCGCCTCGTCCATCTTGAAATCCCGGTACGAGATCATTCCCATCGACTTTCCGGTCTGGATGGCGACAACACAGATGATGTTCTACGTACGATTAGCACGCGTTTTTTTCACCGGAGGTATACCGCGCCTCACCTGGATAGCCAACAACATGAAGTTCAGGTTGAAATCGATGCCGGACAAGACATATTTGTTCGTCAGGGTCATGAGAATACTGGCAACGCAGTAACTCATGATGGCCACGGAAGGCCCAGCCGGGGGTGACGGCGCCTGTGTTGTCGACCCTCGCACCGGAGAGTATGGTCGCTTGTCATCGCCGATTTCGACGCGGTAGTCCTCCTGTTTCTCCTTCTCGGCCATCTTGAGCGGTGATTTGTGGTGGGCGGTTGTGATTGGGATTAGATTGGGGTCAGCGTGAATTTAAGCAAGCAGGAAAGCTTGTCGTTGATGTGTGTGGAGAGATGGTGGTGGTGAGAAGAAGGTAAGGTTCGATGGGAAGGTTTGAATTTTGATTGTTGCGTAGACCAGTTAAGTGCTACAGGGTGTGGCGGTGATTCCGAGATGCGAGAATGAGCCCCAAAAACGAATGACAGAGCGCTGCTATCGAGATGCAGAACAAGGGAGGGTGATGGTACTGCGATGGGTGAGGAGGATTGGAAACTCGAAGATATAAAAAAGACGAGAGGTCGCTGAAGAGGTGGGAGGGCAGGAGGGTTGGCACTCGGTGTAGGGGGGGCGAGATAGATAGGAGACGGGAGATAAAAGGCAAAATACTATGTGCATGAGTAATCTTGGGTACGTCCAGCAACGGGAACAGACGTTACAACTGCAGTATCGGCATCCGAAAAAGATGGGGAAGACGACATCTTGATTGTGAGAGATAAAAAGGGGCTGAAATTGAATGTAGCAAATCAAGTGGATGGAAATATCTAGCAGCCTGCAGCAAATGAGGATGCGCATTCTCCATTCCCCTTCCTCTTCTTCTTGGTCTTCTTCTGGACATCTCGAGTTCGTCTCCCCAGAAGAACATAAATACACTACACACGCACCATCCCTAGCTTCAGTAAGCTGCATGAAGAAAATGAATTCGCCCACGAAAGCCGCAACAGCTCCTTGCTGCTGCCTCTCTTTCCGTTCTCTATGTATTCACGGCCGTAGACGTTAGCGTTGCCTGTCCACGGCTTGATGTTATTTCCAAGCGCGCGGAGTAAAGTGGAAGATGTGCGAGTACGTACGCTGATCAGCGTCGATTCATCATCACAGCTGTCCACCAGAACGGAAGCACGGGGCGGCCGGACTCTCAAGGGAAGCGGGCACGCCGCCGCGTACATAGCGCAGGACTCGCGGCAGGAGGCAGATCCGACCGAGAAGGGAAGAACACAAACAAGCATTTGCTACTTTCTCTCGGCAGGAGATGCCTGTTGCAAAATTTGAAACGCATGCAGGTGGAGGTTGCGAAACAAATCATCCGAAATGCGATAAATTAGGGGCGTGGCGGTACACCGAGCATCGCGCGGCTTGTGATGATGGCGGTGCAACCAAGATCGATGGGAAAGATTAGATTAGATACAGTCACATCTGCCCCACCATTACTCAATGCTTCCCCCACCAAAAACGCGAACTTCAGATTCTATCGGACACCAAAGTCGGAATGGACGGCGTCAAAACACCTTTTGTCGCTATCGGCGGCAATCGACACCCCTCGGCAGCCGATTGGTCGGCAAACGGAACTCTAGCTTTCGGTGGTGGAAGTTGTATTGCTCTGTGGAATCCTGACGTTGGTTGCTCCTCCTCCCCCGCCCTCGTCGCCAGCCACCTCTCTCTCTTTCTCACAGCTCAAAGTTAACGTGTAGGTGATGTAGGATCCATCGTTGTGTGGCATCTCCGCAACACTCAAGGGCCACACCGACAAGGTCAACGTCGTCCGTTTCCTCCCCGGTCGGACCGCCGATGACGAGATCATTCTTTCTGGATCCAACGACAAGACCGTGCGTGTCTGGCGTCGTTCGGGCACGCGCTTCACGCTGGTGTCTACCGTCGAGGGCGTTCATTCGGGCTCGATAAGCGATATTGCCACATGTGCGCAATATCCAACGGTGTTTGCGTCGGCTTCTGCGGATGGCACGGTTGCGGTCTTTTCGTTGGACATTTCATCTGACAAGACCGCGGTCAACCACGTCCAGTCGCTTCCTACAAAGCCCAAGTTTTATCCGTTGGCTATTGCGCTCGCCGGCCTCCCTACTTCGGACGGCGCTCTGATACTGGCCGTTGCCGGCTCGACGACTACCATCTCCGTTTATGTCTGTCCGTCTCTAGGTTCACAGTTTACGCACCAGGCCACTCTGTCCGGTCACGAAAACTGGGTTCGTGCTTTGAGCTTCACCCATGAAGATCCCGACTCGAAGGACTCAGATCTTATGCTCGCGTCCTCCTCTCAAGATAGGTACATCCGACTCTGGCGAATCCATCCCGGCGAGGAACTTCCCCCAGCTGTCGCCGACAGCGAGAGCAAGACCTATGGAATGAGCACTCGTCTCTCGAACAAGGCGCATATGCTGCGTGTGGATGCGTCGTTGGGAATCTGGTCCCTCACTTTCGAGGCGCTGCTTATGGGTCATGAAGACTGGGTGTACACCGCGGCCTGGAACCCCAATGCCAAATCGCGGCAGGACCTTCAACTGCTCTCTTGTTCCGCGGATAACTCGGTTTCCGTGTGGGCGCCCGAAGAGTCCTCTGGTATCTGGATACCCGTCCACCGTTTCGGTGAGATCTCGGACCTCAAGGGTGCCTCTACAGCCACAGGCTCGGCCGGTGGATTGTGGACTTGTCTTTGGAGCCCAGATGGAACAGCTGTTGCGGCGCTGACCAAGAACGGCTCCTGGAGGATCTGGCGATACGATGCTGCAGCTGACCGGTGGAACCCCGCGGTGGGTGTTTCAGGCCACACCAGGGCCGCAATGGCCATATCCTGGGCGCCGGATGGAAGCTACCTTTTCTCCACATCCCTCGACCAAACCACACGCCTATTCTCGCAGTGGACAGCGAATGGCACCAACAGCTGGCACGAGTTCTCGCGGCCGCAGATCCACGGCTACGACATCAACTGCATCACATCAGTAGGCTCCAACCGCTTCGTCTCCGGCGCCGAAGAAAAGCTTCTCCGCGTCTTCGACGAGCCGAAAGCCATCGCTAGCATCCTCGAAACGCACTGCGGCGTCGCCTCACCGCAGAACAAAGACCTCCTCCCGAATGCCGCCAGCCTCCCCGTACTCGGCCTCTCCAACAAGCCCATCGACGAGGCCACACCGGCACCCATGTACGATGGCCACGTCCCAGCGGAAGACCTCGAAGACGACGAACCCAAAGTCATCGAACACACTCTGCCCACCGACACTCCACCTCTCGAGAACGACCTCGCACGGCACACTCTCTGGCCTGAGGTAGAAAAACTCTACGGGCACGGCTACGAAATTTCCGCACTCGCGTCCACCCCGACATCCAGCCTCATCGCAACCGCATGCAAGGCGTCCACAGCGCAACACGCCGTGATACGTCTCTACGACGGCGCCAACAGCTGGCGCGAGGTGAAGCCGCCATTGGAATCCCACGCGCTGACAGTCACAAACATCTCCTTCTCCCCTTGCGGCTCGCAGATCCTCAGTGTTGGCCGCGACCGCGCCTGGAGCGTCTTCACCCGCAACCCAGACACGCAACAATGGGCGCTCACGGAGCGAAGGGACAAAGCACACACGCGCATCATCTACGACTGTGCCTGGCTGCCCGATGGCTCCGCGTTCATTACCGTTAGTAGAGACAAGTCCCTCAAGGTCTGGGCGCAGACGGATGGAAAGTGGGAGTGTAAGGCGACGTGTAAATTTCACCTTCCCATCACTGCCGTCGATGTGCTCCCCGAGGTTATGGGCCGTGAGTGTTGGACTGCAATCGGATTCGACGATGGCGCTATCACGGTGCTGGCCTTGAGAAAGGACGAGTGGCAGACTGTGGACTCGACGCATGCGCTTGATCCTGGGTATGTCTACTTTTGCCCCAGATGATAGAGATGGCGGGCAGCTGACGATGATGGTAGAACTACACCCGATAAGGCGATCACGAAGATTCAGTGGAGGCCGGGTGGAGAAGGAAGGGAGAGAGAGATGGCGGTTGCGAGTGAGGATGGCAGTGTTAGGGTGTATGGGTTTAGGTTGGAAGTCCCGACTTTGGACGTGATAGACCCTGCCACCAGCTCATGACTCGCCTGCCCCTCAATAAGTGAGTATATACCTACTTACATACTCAGTTAACTACCGGTACATGTACATATGCTATCTGATAAAAACAAGAGCTCAATATCAAAAACGGGGTTGAACACCGTTACGCCGCCTGATGCCATGATGAATGAAGAAAAGAACCATGCAATCCTCCTCCATCTAAACCTCAATATCATACTCCACCTTCGTCATGTCCGAGTAACTAGCCGCCTCACTCTTCACCCCCCCTCGCGGTCCTCGCTCCTCCAGATCCTCCTCCAACCACTTTAGTACCACTTGCAGCAGCGTCAACCCCGCTCTCTGCACTCCCATCGCCTTCGCCTCCTGCTCCATCACCCCCTCTGTCTCGCCATAATATTTAACCCTGCCACCTGTGACCCTCACCAGATGCGTTGCCCACTCCCCCGCCGTCTCGAGTATATGAGTGGCATAAACAACGGTGCACGCCCTCTCCTCGGTCTCCTGTTTCAAAAACCTTAGAAACCTATTCCTGGCTAGGACATCTAGATCGACGGTGACCTCATCGAGCAAGAGAATACTCCACGGGCGTAGTAGCCCCATAGCGAGCTGTACCCTGCGGCGCTCCCCGTCCGAGACGGCATGCATGCGCCAGTTAACGTCGATATCGAGGATGCGGACGAGCTGGTCGCGGCGCGCGGGGTAGAACGGGCCGCCGACGGAGGCCAAAAGCTCGTGCACGGGAATGTCGTTGCGGACAATCGGATTCAATACCCATTCCATCCCTAGGTACGTCACACCTTCCAGCCCGTGCAGGAACGGGTCCACTCCCCCGATCAGGATCGTTGACGTCGGCGCGAGTCGCTTGCCCGAGAGAAGGCGGAGAAGAGTTGTCTTGCCGGCTCCGTTGGCTACACGCTGTTGGCACTTGAGGTGAAGGAGGGGGGAGGGAAAAGGTACCTCCGATCAACAGTGTTCGTGACCCCGGAGGTAGGTCGAGGCTCACTTGGCTCAGCGCTTTGGATCCATCGGGGAAGTTGTAGTTCAGGCCCGAGACTTTGATTGATGGGGCTTCGGGGTTCATCGTCGCGGCGGTGGTATATAGGACGGCGGTGCGGTTGGTGTGGCAGTGTGGTAGTGCAGTAGGTGTGTACGGTGGTGGGGTGAGAGGGAGTATATAACAACTGCATACAAGGTGTATAAAACTGCCACTAACGAGTTACCAAGTCACGTGATAGGTCTTGTGCGAGACAAGTAGAGTAGAACTGGGTTATAGCGTCGATGTGTGGTACCGGTATATAATGTAGATCTTTCCGATCACCAACTTAATCCGCCGATTCAGCTACAACTTGGTGTGTTAAAGCCCTCGACGCCCGACCCGATGCGAACCGATGCCTTGGGATTAGAAAAATCCTGGAGGATGAAGTTAACTTATTTTCGGAGGAGTAGTGTGCACCCGGGCATCGTTCCAACTATTGATCTGGTATTTATTATTTTTACGAGTCGACCAGAGTAATGATCGCACTATGGAAGGTCTTCAGCCCTCATTCGGAGCTGCCACTAAAAGCCTATAGCTATTCTAAAATGCTGCATCCAGTCTGCAATTCTGAAGCCAAGTTGTGAGACTTGGAACATTGACACTGGTCTAGAGAAGGCCGTTGCGTTGTTGACGTACGGAGATTATGAATTATTTTGAATGAGTATTGGGAATCAATAGGTACTCAAGTCTCTGACTACAACTTTCCAGCACCTCTGCAGCTTCCTAGTAGTTCTCCAGTGCTCTTGATATTACAAGGTGCGAGTGGTACCACGTGAGAGAACCCCGTTGAAGTGCGCGAGTGCTATTGAGTGAAAAGGACTCGAAGGTGAATGAACAGCACCAAGAAGCTTAGAATCACGAAAGAGGAGCAATAGAAGAACGGATAGAGATGAAAACGTATCCGTAACCAGCGTCTACTGTAATTGATAATTACGGGTGTTCAGTTGGCGAAATCTTACGGACCGCTCGAGGGCAACATCGCCAGCAGGCGGTGCTCGTTCAAGGTGAGAATGAGATTCACCGGCCATTCACTCCGCGGGATGTGTCAGAACATGGCGAGGATCGAGTGACTGCGTTACTTCACTATGGCTCGGTAACGAATGCCATAGGTATCACAACACAACCAGCCAGTCACTATTACTTCGCTATTCCACGAGAACGCGGAGAACTCTAGTAAGGCTTGGAAGAAACAAGATAAGATGGTGTACAATAGTTGTCATGACCGAGACCGGCCCGAATATGATGATACATGACTCTAAAACCAACCAAATAAAGAACCCCCTCCGTTTCCCCCCTCCCTCCCCCACTCCTCGAAACAGCACGTCCAACCCCAGCAGCCAGCCACTCTAATCCCAGTTTCCAGCGGCACACACCTCGTCACTGATCTCGACATACATCTTCGCGATGCCCTCGTCCGTGCAGGTCTTAGGAACACACTCCGCCATAGAGGCCAGGAACCCCGGATCGCTGCAGATGCACACGGGGCCCTTCGAGATGTCACAGCCGGTCTCCTCGACCGCCGGGGCGAAGCACTTGAGCACGCTTGTGGCTCGTTAGTTGGCTGTAGCGAAGGGGGGAGGGGGATGGCTTACCAGGGGGGGATCTCGGGCGTGCCCGGGGGGAACAGCCCCGGGAGGTCGGGGGTCGCAGAGGCGGCGGCGGAGGTGGACACCGGGGTGGCGGCGCTGGATGATGCGTGTCCCTCGTGGGGAAGCGCCGTGACGGCGACGGCAGCGAAGAGCGCGGTGAGGATGGATGTGAAGAGCATTGTGAGTGAGTGAGTGAGTGAGTAATCGAGAAGGAGTGAGTGATTGTTGAGTGATTGAGCGAGAAGGAGTGAGAAGGAGTGAATGAGTGGCTTGAATGAAAAGTGAGAAAAATACAGAGGAGGGCGGTGTGTTTATACCTCCAAGCCTGTGGTGTACTCTCCGTCCGTTGTTTATCTGGCACTGGCCCTCGAGCCGCTAACTACTAGGTACGTCGTTTATCTGACATCGCCTCGGCTTCGGCCTCGGATTGTCGACACGTTTCGGCATGTCTCATTCGGCCCGGGCAGTGGTGGTGGGCGGGGGTCAGGAGAAAGCATCCGATACGCAATATGTACCGGGTAGAGTGGGTGATGTGATGGCCTCGGCCCTGTTTCCGCTATACACGGGATCCACGGTAGGGGCGTTGGAGATTGACGATGCCGGCACCGCTAAGGCCCATGCAGGTCACGGTATATCACCACGGAATTGCTTTCCTTGGAAGCTTTTGATTACGTGGAGATCCTCCGAGCGAGCGACAGTACACAATATCGCCAGCTCATATCGTACCGGATTAAGTGTCTCGCTAGTAATGAGTTTCATTTGATCGCCGGCAACGTCCACGTCCGCTGTGGAGATCCCCACGGTGCGATCGTCGGGAATTTGGTACCCGCGACAGTGAATTACCGGCCGCAAAGCAGCGCATAAAACCCGCCCCATTCCCCATCGTTTTCAATCTTCATCCAGCAACTCACATTCACTCTCACCTTCATTCACTCTCACCTTCACATTCACTCTCACCTTCACTTCTAAACAGCCTCTTTTCCAAGAACCACTAACCATCATCATGCTTCCCCAATTCATCATCGTTGCCCTCGCCGCCACCATGGCCGCTGCACAGACCTCTTCCGTCGGGGCTCCCGCCGGGGCTCCCTCTGGCATCCCTCAAATCCCGCAATGGTATGGACCACTCCTCCTGGTCCTCCTCGTCCTCCTCCTCGCCCTCACCCCTCTCCGATGAACCACTGACATTTCCCGCCACGCCACAGTCTGAAGGACTGCTTCCTCCCGGCTATCAAGGAGACCAACTGCACCATGGCCGAAGGCCCCAGCTGTCTGTGCAATGACGAAGTGTTCACTGCGTCGATGAAGGAGTGTGTGCCCACCAGCTGCAAGGTTAGATCTCCTCTCTTCACCTCTCTTCACCGCGGCGATTGTGAGTGCTGACTAGTGTTTGAAGGACTCGCCCGACGTCGTCAAGAAGGCTGAGGAAATGGCGATCAAGGGTTGTGCCAAGTTCACTACTGCCCCTTCTGTGGCCGCCAGGGCCGTTACGGAAACCGCTTCCGCCGGGACTCCTACCGGGGCTCCCTCCGGGGCTCCCTCCGGAGCTCCCTCCGGCATTCCTCATATCCCGCAATGGCATGGACCACTCCTCCTCCTCCCTTGCCAATAACCTACTAACACACCACGCCCGCCACAGCCTGAAGGACTGCTTCCTCCCGGCGATCAAGGAGACCAACTGCACCATGGCCGAAGGCCCCAGCTGTCTGTGCAATGACGAGGAGTTCAAGGCGGCGATGAAGGAGTGTGTGCCCACCAGCTGCAAGGTTAGATATCCTCTCCTCCCCTCTCCTTTCCTCACTGCGCTGATTGTGAGTGCTGACTGGCGGCGTTTAAAGGACGAGCCCGAGGTCGCCAAGACTGCGGAGGAAATGGCCATCAAGGGATGTGCCAAGTACACTGCTGTCCCTTCTGCGGACGCCAAGGCTTCTATGTGGTAAAGGGTGGTAGATTTAGAGGTGGAAAAAGCTAGAGGTGGAAAAAGCTACAGAGAGAAAGGATGGCTGCTGGTTGGTCATTCGCTGAGTTGATGGATTGGTAGATGGTGGATGGATCGGGATTCAAGATGTATTTGCTCTACATGTCAATCAAACCAATTTCCGAGCCGATTGCACTTTAAGAAATACCGTGAAAAAGCACTATCGCTCGAACATAGGTGGTGATAACCAGCGGAGGGGAAGGCGAGTCGAGTAGCCGATCTATGCCATTGCTATGCTCTCCGCTTGAGGTGCCGCCCGAAGTTGGCCGCCACCTAAGGTTCGCCGCCGTGCTCGTCGACACTCCGTCGCGGCCGTCGAGACTCGGTCTCGACAGTCCACCGCAAAACCTTCGTGCCGACGTCTCCGGGCGACTAAAGTTTGACACGTTCCCCCCCTCGCCGACCTCTCCCAAGGTCACCGCCAGATATACTTCAGTGGCAGTGGCGGCGTGGGAGAGTCGAGGCCGATGGATTGTGGATACGGAATTTTCATCGTTGGCCGGAAAGCTGCGCATAAAACCCACTCCGCTCCCCATCGTTTTCATTCTTCATCCAGCAACTCACATTCACATTCTCTCTCACCTTTACATTTACCTCCCAACAGCCTCTTTTCCAAGAACCACCAACCATCACCATGCTCCCCCAATTCATCATCGTCGCCCTCGCCGCCACCCTGACCACTGCGTACTTAGGGATGCATGGTCAACGTGAATCGATACAGAGAAGATTGGCATCGCCCCAGCACTCTACCATGGCCGCTGCTTCCTCCGGGATGTATGATAAAATTAAAGCGGTACATATAAAATTAGTATGGGCCCGGAACTCTGCTGCGGATGCTGCGCAACCCATTTTCACCAGGGCTTCCAACGAAATTTTCTTTGACTTGCCTCCTATGGTGCCATGGTACGTACCACTCCTCCCCTTCCTCCTCACCCCTCTCCGATGATCCCACTGACATTCAACGCCACGCTACAGCCTGATGCACTGCTTCGAATCGGAGCTAAGGGAGACCAACTGCGCCCTGACGGAAGGCTCCAACTGTGATCAGTGCAAGGGAGAGAAGTTCGCTGCGGCGATGAAGGAGTGTTTGCCCACCAGCTGCAAGGTTAACTCTCCCCCCTCTCCTATTTTCTCCTCCCCTCTCCTCTCCTCGCAGTGGCGATTGTGAGTGCTAACTATTGTTTGAAGTCCGCTCTCGACTTCTCCAAGGCCGACGTGGAAACGAAGATCAAGGTGTGTCCTATGGACGCGAATCTCCTTTCTGCGGCCTTCAAGGCTGCTGCGTAGTAGAGGGCGGTAGATTCAGGTGAACATAGCCAGGGAGGAAAGGTTGCTGCTGGTTAGTCACTCGCCGAGTTGATGAATAGTGGTAGTGGATAATTCAGGATTCGAGATTTATTTATTCTACGTGTCGATCGAACCGATTTCCGAGCTGATTGAGCCTGAAGACGTTATGTACCTATCATACCGTGAGAAAAAATATTATGGCTCGAACACAAGTGGAGATAGGTAAACAGCGGAGAGGAAGATCGCATGCAATGGCGACAAAAAGCGCCAAACCCCCCATGGCGAATGCAAGACAACACTTCTGGTCAGTCCTTGACACAAGGCGGAGTGCTTGGGGCATGTTTGGATACGCTCAGTTTTAGCGAAGACTATCAGTTTTTTCGAGAAACTGAGCAAACAAAACTGTAACCCTGTTTGGATGGCATAAAAATTGAGAAAAAAAAACTGGAGGTCAGTTTCTTCACCACCACTCAGTACCGCATCTTAACTTCAACCATGGACTCCCCTTTCCGACAAGCGTGGCTACAAATTACAATGTGTCTACTATTAAAGTTCTGTTGAAGCCTAACTGTTATTCAGACTTAACTATGGCTGAGTATAGTATACTGAGAACTGCCAAATACTCTATTCACCTCAAGGTTTTCCGGAAACTGAAACTAAACAGAAGGTATCCGGTGTCCCGGCAGGAACTGAATTTGGCTCTAAAACTGCAACTGAAAAGTGAGCGTATGCAAAGTTCTAAACGGTCCCTCAGTCACATCTCAGCCTTTGATATGGACCGACGGGCACAGTCACGGACCGCTTCATGCTTCCTACCTACTCTTGTTTGTCCATCAGGATGTGATCGCCAGAGCAATAACCGACGTTAATAATCCCCACAATAGTTGCCTTGCCATCCAGGACTTTACGGAAGGCCTACTGTGATCGTCAAAGCCAATCAGGTGTTGTGAAGTACATACCTTCAACGCCATTCTCGGAGAGCGTGAATGATGCATACACGCCGTGATTCAGACCCAATAAATTCGTTCCACTTCTCTACTCGAGTAGATGGCACTCCTCCACCGCAACCTGATGGTCCTCAGATTGACCAGGCTCCTCCATTCCTCGTCGCTTCATTCCAATTTCCAATTTCCAAGTTTCTCCAAACCCCCACCACCCACCGCACCGGGATTTTATTTTCCAGCAATGATATTCGGCAATCTCGATCAAACCGCAGATCTCCCCGTACTCTACTCAACCTTAAGACGAGCCGAGTGGCGAGTATCCAATCTACTATAATTGCTACGATCTCCGTCTCCGCCGACATGGTTCCCCATAGAACCCCGTAAACCGGGACGGACCCTAGCCGAGACATGAAGAAACACTCAACCCCGGTTCCGGGGATCGAGTAACTGTCGGGTTTGTGCACAGGGCGGGGATCGACTAACTATCGGCCTGTGCAGAGGGTGGCGGACATGAAACATGAAACGTGAAACGTCCCCGGGCCCCGGGCCCCTCGCCGACCTCGCCCGAGGTCACCGCTGGATACTCTAAACGTCAATGGCAGCGGCGGCGGCGGCGGCGGCGTGGGGCGAGTCTGAGAGTCCACGGCCAAGGCCGGTGAATTGTGGATACCTACCTACGGAATTTGAAGCGCTGGTCGGCCGGAAAGGAGGCTTTTGATTATGTGGGGATCCTCCAAGCGAACGAGCGAAAGTAGCGAAACAATATCGCCAGTGAGCGAGAGTACCGGATTAATTGTCTCGCTAGTAATGGGTTTCGTTTGATCGCCGGCGCCGGGAATGTTCATGGCCGCTGTGGAGATCCGAACGGCGAGATGGATGTGGATTTGGTACCGTCAGTGGCTCGAGAGTGAATCGGCGACTAGAGAGCAGCATATAACCTGCTCTGCTCCCCATCGTTTTCATTCTTCATCCAACAACTCACATTCACTCTCAGCTTCACATTCACATTCACTCTCAGCTTCACATTCACTCTCACTCTCACCTTCACATTCACTTCAATCACCTTCTTTTCTAAGAACCACCAACCGCCACCATGCTCCCCCAATTCATCATCGTCGCCCTTGCCGCCACCATGGCCGCTGCGCAAACCTCTTCCGCCGGGGCTCCCACCGGTGTTCCCTCCGGCATTCCTATGATCCCGCAATGGTACGGACCACTCCTCCCCTCCCTCTCCAATAACCCACTAACACCCCACGCCACACTACAGCCTGAAGGACTGCTTCCTCCCGGCCATCAAGGAGACGAACTGCACCATGGCCGAGGGCCCCGCCTGTCTATGCAATGACGAGGTGTTCACTGGGGCAATGAAGGAGTGTGTGCCCACCAGCTGCAAGGTACGCCCTTTCTTCCCTCCTCTCCTCCCCCTCCACTCCTCCCCTCATTGCAGCGACTAACAGGCGTCTAAAGGACTCCCCCGACGTCGTCAAGAAAACCGAAGAAATGGCGCTCAAGGGCTGCGCCAAGTTCACTTCTGCCCCTTCTGCAGTCCCTTCTGTAGTCGCCAGGGCTGCCTCCACCGAGGCTCCCGCTCCCACCGGGATTCCCACCGGGGCTCCCAGCGGTGCTCCCAGTGGTGCTCCCAGTGGTGCTCCGGGGGGCATGCCTCACATCCCGCAGTGGTACGCCCCACCCTCCCTCCAATGATGATGATGATGATGGTGATGATGATTGACTAACACGCCATAGCCTGAAAGATTGCTTCCTCCCTGCGATCAAGGAGACGAACTGCACCATGGCCGAGGGCCCCGCGTGTCTGTGCAATGACGATGAGTTCACCGCCGCGATGAAGGAGTGTGTGTCTACTAGTTGCAAGGTTGGTTCTTCCCTCTTCCCCTGGCAGTAGTGGTTGTGAGTGCTGACTGGCGTTTGAACTTAAAGGATGAGCCAGAGGTCGCTAAGACCGCCGAGGAAATGGCCATTAAGGGGTGTGCGAAGTTCACTGCTGTCCCGTCGGCGGGCGCGAAGGCTGCTTGGTAAATGGTGGTGGGTTGACAGAGGAACGGATCGGAGCGGACGGATCGGATTGTACGCAACGGACGGGGGGAATGGGGGGAGGTGAAGATGGCTGCTGGACGGTCACTGCTGATGGCGGTGGCGGGGCGGGAGGACGGGAGGACGGGGGTGGATGGGTTGGACGAGATCAGATGTATTTACTCTACATACACACATACACGCCAATCAAGAAGTGTTCAAGTCCATAATTGAGTCCGAGTCCTGGCTTCGTGTTATGTTCCAAGTCTCTTGGTCTGGCTGAATAGCCCCTGGGAGGACATACACACTCTATAGTTTTCCTCGGTCATTTTCGATCGCAATTTGAGAGTTTCGGATGAATGAGACTCGGAGCGCCCATCGAGAAAAAAAAAGGCTTGGGATATTCCCACCGTGTTTCAAATTCCGCGCTCCAAAGCTGTGCCATTGTGTGTTGTCACGATTCTATCGCCAAGAATGCATCTAGTGATGTCGAGTGATCACGATGACTTAATTGTTGGTATGTTTTTTTATTATTAGTATTGAATGGGGATTTGAGAGTCCTGTTCCAACACCTCCACGCTCTCCTTCCCCGTTGCTTCTTCTGTCTTGCTAGGCCCCTTCTCATCGACTTCCACAATCTCCTTCCCCATAACTTCTTCTGTCTTGCTCTCCTTCTCCTCGGCTTCCTTGCTCTCCTTCTCTTCAGCTTCCTTGATCTCCTTCTCCCTCTCTTCCGCTTCCTTAGCCTCCCTCCTCCTCCTCCTCAAAAACTCATCAACCTCCTTCTTCTTCTGCACGCTCGCGACCCTCTTCTTATGTTTCGAGCTCTTCATGTGCGTTTCCCACTCGGGCTCGTTAGTGCTGATGACGTTACAAATCTCGCACGTGCGCTGCATCCACAGATCTGGTCGCTGGGAGATATCAAAGTTCCTCTTGGGGGCCAGATTCTCTCTTGCCAGGGGCGAGAGGCTCAGTGGGTCTGGGAGTGGGTTATCGGCGAGGAAATCTGCACGCATTACATTAGTGCCGGTGCCATCCTCGGTGCGGGGAATGCTGGTGGACTCACCCCTCGTGATCCCGACGGCGGGCATAATCACGACCTCGCCGTACCTCTCGGCATCCGACGAGTCGAGGAGGAACATAACCCCCTTTCCGCCAGCCGCCTTGAGCGCATTGACAAACTTAATCCTGATCCATCTAACCTGCGAGCGCGCATACTGCCTGGTAGCAGTTTTCATCTCGTCTATCGCATTGGTGCGCGCCCTTTCCGCATCATCGTCGTCCTCCTGCTGCGGCGCCACGCCGCTCTCGCTCCCGCTTTTGCTCTTGCTCTGCCGCAGCTCCAGGTACGGCAGAAACTCTTTAAACCCAATGCTCTGCCAGATCCCCGTGTTGAGGTCGACGCTGCGCGACCCCCCGAGAGAGTCGTACTGCGCGCCCATCGCCTCGATCTCCGCCCACATCCCCGCGCGCAGCATGTTGTCCACCCGCCCGTCCAGCCGCGCCCGCAGCACGTCCGTCGACGCGTGCACCCAGAAGATCAGGTTGTTGTAGCCCGACGACCGGGCGGGCTCGGTGGAGGTGGAGGTGGAGGTGGGGTTTTTGCTGGCGCGCTGCGCGGCGTACACCGAGCTCGCGGTCGTGCGGCACCCGCTCGAGTAGTAGATCTCGAGTGATCGCCGGATCTTGCGCCGGTCGTTCGGGTGCCACCGCGAGGCCATCAGCGGGTCCACGGCGCGCAGGGCGGCGTAGAGTTCTGGCGTGGGCGCGTCACTGGTCCGCCCGCCCGTCAGCAACGCAGGATGGAGGAGCCATGGGAACCTACAGGATGGGAAACTTCTCCGCCAGCCCCTCCACCACATCGGGCAGCTGAAACTCATCGCCCTCTTTCCGTTCCTCGACATCATGCGGAAACAGCAGCGACTGGACGTAATAGTGTGATCCGCCGACGAGGATAGGGAGCCGGCCACGGGCGCGGATGTCGTCGATGATTTTTGCGGCTTCGCGCACGAACCTCCCGACCTGCCAGACTTCGCGCGTATCGAGGAAGCCCAGGAGGTAGTGCGGCACGCCCTTGCGCTCCGCGGAGGTGACCTTGTTGGTGATGATCGGTAGCCCCCGGTACAGCTGCATCGCGTCCGCGTTGATCACTTCGCCGTTGAGCGCGAGCGCGAGCTCGACGGCTAGCTGGTGGGGTGCTGTGAGCTGGGTGGGAGCCCGGAGAGGGGAGCGTGGGAGGTGCTACGTACCTGCGATTTACCGGTACCTGTCGCCCCGATTACGGAGATCAAGGGTGCGCGCGAGGGCATCGTGGCGGTGGCGGCGGTGGCGGCGACGGGGCGGGCGAAGAGGCGGCGCAGAAAGTTCATGTGCTACCTGAGAGACACGAAACATTTTTGGTGCAGGTGGGGGCGGGCCCTGGATGGTGGGGCACGGGTTGAGCCGCTGACGTGCCATTTCGGCACGTGAGGACCTGGGCCCTGGCCAGTGATTAGCCCACACTGGCTATCTAGGCCTTTTTTGGCTGCGGAAAAGGCAATTGACATCCGCCCACCAAAAAATCTTAACCTCAACCCTCCGTGGAGTAGTTCCAAGGGCCTGCGGCTTAGAAGCGCGCGTCTTGCGCTTACGACCAGACGCAGTGAATAGAAACACTGAGAGTACTAGTACTCTCATCAGGTCCATTCCAAGAACACAGAAGCCGTGCAAAGAACAGAATGGGAGAGACCAGGAGAACGGCAGAGTCAACCTGAGAATCAATGAGACTTGGTGACCGAGATTCTAAGCATATCTACACACGAATCCTCACGGATTGTTTGTTTAATCGCCGCCCACAAACAACCCTCCTTCAATCAACCACTAAAATCGACTTCCCACCGCTTGGCCCGTGTTGCGGCTGCAGCGCAGCATTACCGCCAATCAAGCCATGCTTTGCTATCCTTCCTCACTGGCATCATTATCATAGGCCGTCTGTTCCGAGTCCACGCGGTCCCCATGAAAAGCAAAACGGCTGCCGCAGTTTGCGATATCTTATTAGGTATTATATTGTTTTGAACCCGCAGTCCCAGGGCCAGTGGTCACAGTTATCAGCCACAGCTGGGGTTCCTACGGTATCGATAACTATCCCGACGGCGAATCTCCAAACGCGCAGGCTCGATAAGAGCTGTCCAATCCGCCCGCCTGCCGACGGCGTTGGGTGGGTGGGTGGGTGGCCGCAGCTAAGCACGACTTATGTAAGTAACCATCTCGCACCCCACTCCCATCTACAATACATAACAAATCATCGCCGTCGCCGAGCAGCCCCCAACTAGCGCGATCACCGATCACCAGTGATGATTCGGGAAGCACTCCCGTCCTCACCCGCAGAGCTCTTCGCCTTCTATTCCCAGCCCACACCCCATCTCGCACGCTACGCTGTCAATCGTCACCCACTCTCTGGCGATGAGCGACCGTGCGACCGTGCCCCCACCCGCATGTAACATGTAAGGCGATCATCGAGCCTGGCAAACGGACGGTCGGTCGGTCGATGTGCGCAGCTGGGTAGGTGGATAGGTGGGTATCGATATCTTGCAGTGCAGGGCAGGCCGAGGCCCTAGAGGCTGGCTGGCTAGAGCGCGGGTTCAAAAAAAGCACCGGATAAACCCTCCCCCTCCCCCCCCTTGAGCTCGCGGGGCGGGGCTGGGCGACCCCTCGATACTCTACATACTCTACATACCGTCTCCCACCTCCCCTCTTCCCCCTCATTCTTCTTCTCGGACGAGGCTGTCGGATGGGCTTCCCCATGTCCTTGTCCTGCTTCTTCCGTATGTATGTAAAATACGCAGTCACCACTGGATCGAGCACTCGCTCCCCACTCTGCCACTTTGGTCGGGGAAAAAAGCACATACACACGGCCAGCATCTCCATCGAGCAACGCAAACAGATTCCTACGCACGGCGTAATGGGTGGGTGGTGGGGGTGAGATGGGGCGGGGGGGACGTAACCGCCTCCGAGCCAACCACAGCGCGCACAGATTTTCTTTTCTGCTCAGCATGCTCTGCAGTAAAGCTGCGGGATAGAGTTTGGCGTTTGCGGGGTACATCTCTGTCGGTGGGTGGTGGTGCAAGACTCAAGTGAGCCGCGTCACTTCACAGGCTGGAGATTGAACGGAACTGCACTGGACACAACTGGACTGCCCATTGTAACTGGGGCTGATCGTCGCTGCAAGATCTCGTGCATGTGCAAAAGGAAAGATGACGCTATGTATCTATTGTGGTTCGAGAGAGAGATCCGCCAAGTTTTGTTCCGTTTCGTTTCGTTTGTCGCGGGGAGGGGAGGAGGGCGCGGGGCGGCGGCGAGAGGGCGAGAGGGCGAGAGGGCGAGAGTGGGAGTCGGGGGACCCCACCGGAACCCTAACCTCCCCGGGTGCAACCGGTGGGCACTGGGTGCGGGTAGAGTACTGGCTAGTGGAGTAAGGTGGCACAAGCTCCGCATCCCGCATTCCGAATCCCGCCTTGTCGCGTCGTCCCGTCTCCACTCACCACCACGGCCGTGCGACGCGACATCTCCACCACCACCGCAATCTCACGACGCGACGACCACGACGGCAGAACCCGCAGCCATGGCCTCTATCCCGCGCCCGCGCACGCCTATCGACGAGACGCTCTGGCGCGACAGCAGCTTCTGCCGGGTGCACGGGGTAACGCAGCACATGGGTATGCCCCTCCATCTTCGCCGTCCTCTTACGCTCCTAACACCGCACCTCTGTACACAGTGATGCACTACTTCTACCTCTCGCCCTTCTTCGACAACACCAGCAGCAACGGGCAGCTAACTATGCAGCTGACGCACAACCCAGCTGCAGCCGCCCGCATCAACTCACAGGCCGACTTCGACAAGGCGATGAAGAGCATGCGGGGCGTCGAGTACGTGATCGCGGCCGGCAACGAGGCCTCGGGCGTCTGGGTCATCCGCAAGCAGCTGAGGAAGGCGCCGAGAGAGGTCGTCCTCGCCGGTCAGAAACAGAAGGTGGAGGATGTTAGCATCCTCGCGGATTATTACATCGTCGGGGAAAATATTTATCAGGCACCGACTGTGGGCGCGGTGCTGGCGAATCGCATGGTATGTTGAGCTGCCCTACCCTGCCCTCCACCTCCCCCCTCCTCCGGATGCTGATGGGTGCTGATGCGGAATAGTTAACCATCACGAACGACCTACGCAACACTCTCAAGCTGGCGATGTCGTCGACATCACTCTCATCCACTCCGCCGCCGCCGCCGCTAGCCGCTACGGACCCGCCTCCATCCTCGCAGCAGCCCCCTCCGTCCTCACAGTCACAGGCGCGCTCCCAATCCGCCGCGCCCAGCACCTCCGCCACCACCACCACCACCACCAGCAGCACAAGCAGCAGCACAAGCACCCAGCGCGACGCAAAACTGCTCTACAACGCGCTCAGCCTATCAGTGCGGCACCACGGCGAGTTCATGGACGACCACGCGCCGCTGCTGGGGGATCCTGGGAGTTTGCTGCAGCCTGGTGCGGCGATTGGTGGTGGTGGCAGTGGCGGCGGCGGCGGTGGGGCTGGAGGAGCTGCTGCTTCAGCGGCAATAAAACGCGGCGGTACGCCTGTGCCCCCTGCGCCTGCGGCAAAGGGCGGGCTTCTTGGGCAGGTCAAGAAATGATGGCAGTGCAGTAACCTGCGGCCTACATAACCCTTCATTGTTTCTTGTTTTTTGTTTCTTTGCTTTGCTACGGAGTTAAGGGTTATTCTTGTTCTTGTTCTTGAATGCAGATCAAACGAACGCATCTCAAAACACTGAGGCGAACAGAGCATCCGGTGAATTGCAAGATATAAAAAACGTGCAACTATAGAGTATATTTACAGAAAAAAAGTCTGTGGTGTCACGATATGCGTGTTTGGGGGAGGAAAAAGAAAAGGAAAAGGAAAAGGAAAAGAAAAGGAAACAAGGGGAAAAAAGGACACAGAAGGCAAACCCTGCCCCAGTGAAATCAAAAGAACTCCGAAAGATAGAAAACCCAACAATAATGAACAAGGCAAGTCAAGTCGCAATGCAAAGAAAGGCTCTCCCCCCCACCACCGTTTTTTTGGAGCGTGACAACCATCCATGCATCTGCATCCATGCGTCCCATTACGAAATCAAGCCCCGAGCTGCTCCTTGGGTATAAACGTAAACGCCGTCCCGACCAGTGCCATGATGGAGCAACTGACGATAATGAACCAAGAAATGACGCGTTCCTTCGTGCCCACCTCGGCACCAAAAATCTTGAGGTAGAACATCAGCGGCATGATCACGCAGATGGCAAAGCAGAGCGTGGAGCCCATGAATGCCATGATCCTGTCGAACGAGGGGCAGATGATCGCGATGATGACGAAGGTGGCGTTGGTGAAAACCCGGACCCCGATGCGTACTAGCCCCCGAGAGAAGCTGGACATTCCTACGGCGCTCTCGGGGACGCCGATTGCGCGGATGTCGGCACCGAGGACAAAGTCGAGGGTTGTGATGATTGGGCGTGCACTAGGACGCAGTCAGTAACAGTAACACCAATCTCATTCCAAACGGGTTGACATACTTCAAGGGAGTCTTGGTCAACGGGATGATGGCGATGAAGACAACCATTGCTACTTTTGCCGCCTCAGGATATCCAGCCAGTTCCAGAATGTTTGCGGTGATTTCGTCCTTGACCCCGTCTCCAAACATCAAAATGCCGACCACCATCATGGACGCATCCAAAAGGTAGGTGAACCAGTAAGTGTAGTTCACGGCACGGTTGTACTTGTGCGGATGTCTGTGTCACTACATAAGTCTGGGTGTTCCAATAAAGCGCGGGGATGATGTGGACCAACCGCATGTCCTTGTAGATGTTGGGAAACACGCCGTGACCGCCCCATGGCGACATCAACAGCCCAAAACTCAACGGCAGCGTGAGCCAACTCTGTGGGAACAGGTACGTAGGCGCAGGATCCAACAAACTTCCGGGAAAGTCGGATTTGATCAGACCGTTGATGAGCACAATGAGAAAGATGCTGCACGTGCTCAGGATCCCGAGGATCGAGGTGAAGCTCAAAATCCTCAGTGGAAGGAAGCTCGACGGCGTGAGGGCGAATCCAGCGATGATCTTCCAACCCAAAACGCTAATCGAAGGGATCAAGCTGTGCAACGAGTCGGCGAAGAGCACCACCAGTGCCACGCATGCCGCCATCAATTCCATGGAGAACATAATGGAGACGATGACCCGCGCTTTTTGTCCGTATGCGATGTATGCGATGTCGGAGTACGACACGAGCGCTTTATTCGGCGCTCTTTCGAGACAACGTGCCAGGAGTTTTGCTGTATGGTTTGTGGCCATGGCGCTGAGCCCCAAGAAGAGCATGCCCACGATCCTGAATGGCAGAGGGAAAACGTCAGCGTCGGAAGAAAAGGAAAAAACGCCGATCGCAACCGGGAGGAGTGGTTTCTTTACCATCCACTGTACTTCAGTCCAAGCGGTAGACTCAGCAATCCGATTCCTATCAAGACATTGACGCTGTTGAATACCGTCTGCGGCAAAGTGCTCTGGCCCACTATCACCTGTTGCACGAGGCCCTCCTGCGTTTCGACGGTCTTGACCAACAAGGGTTCGCGTTCCTTATCCGCAACCTCCGGCGCAAGCATCGCCTGTTGCTGCTCCACGAAAAGATCCTCGGCATGTCTGATGACACTGCTTGGAAGACCTTCGGCGGGCATCGAAGCCCTCGGAAGCGACGAGAAGGATCCATATGTGCCGAACGACGTTAGGTTGGGATGCAGATGCGTGTATTCGGCCGGGACCTGATCGGTTTCGTCGTCCTCCACTGCCTCGTCGGCCCTGCTGGCGTTATCGTCTTCCTCTTCGTCGCCGCCGTGCGATGACACCGAGACGTAGGACTGGCGCGAAGGTGTAATCTCGATGTACCCAGCGGCACGAGTCCACGAGCGTGCGAACGCATCGATGCTGTTGACTCCCCCCACATGGCGCAGTTGATCGAGACCGAGGGAGAGGGAAGATCTATATCACGGGCAATTGTATTGCTTCGTCGTTAGTTAAACTGCAATCTCAAACTGTTACGTAAAAGTTTGACGTTCGAGGTACGTAATAGTCTCCCCCACTAGAGGCGGGATAGTTCCGAGCAGGTGCCAGGGAGGACTTACCGGCGTTGTCGAAGGCTGCCTGACGACGGGGAAGGGATGTTCATGCCAGGGCTTTTTGCAGACGGCGAGATGTTGTGCAGCGTGTGCAAGCTGCCGAAATAGCTTGAGCTGTCATCCCGAGCCTTTGGGGTTTTCGAACCCGCCGAGCTGGTATCGTCGTAGGACATCGGTTTTTTTTGTCTTTCGCGGAGGACTATCAGCTATTGCGTGATATGTCGTCTTCGAAGAGGGCTGGGCCTAGACGGTGACTGTCTGACGAATGGTGCTTCAGGGAGGGCTGTTGCTGGTTTATAGTACGGGCCGGTCAAACAAACGAAAGAATGACGGGGAAACGGAGGCAGAGGAGTCAAGCAGACATCGGAAATCCGGAAAGAGCAGGGGCCGTTGGGAGTATGTAGGGTAGGGAGGACGGGAGAGTGAGGGGGAAGCAGGAGAATAGGAGTGGGGCAAAGGAGGATGAGGCGGACGTAGTTGCGTGGAATATCGGAGATCGGAGGAGGAGGAGTTGGAGGACGAGAACCAGGACGAGAGTGAGGAGGAGGATGACGGGAGGGGCGGGCGGGCACGACGAGAAGAAGCAAGCTGTCTGGCTGCCTGGTTGCCTGCTTGTCTGGGCTGCGCTGAACGTCCAACTACCTAGCCCTCGACGGTCGACAGGGCCAGCAGGGGCGTGGATGGGGGTGGGGGGCGGGATGCCCGGCGGAGTGTTCGAGCGCGAGCTCAATTCTGACCGCCGTTGAAGCGGGCGAAATCAAACGAGGCTTCTGATTCGGAGGAGCTGCAGCCAGAATATCTCGAAAGGTAATACCGGCACGACTACTGGAGAACTGAGTTGAAGCATCAAGTCGCTGGCCGCGAGAGCACCTGTCAGTCAGATAAATGATAAATGGCGGAGGAGAGCCAAGGGGGGCGAATTTTTCCTGTTCTCCGGACGTCGAAAAGCCGTCGTACAATCTCGTTATACTACGGCATCATAATCGTCGTCGTCGCCTGTTTCTCACTCTCATTTCCCATGACATCAGCCGCGTCCATCGTTTAGGTACACGAATTGTCGCTTCGGCAGATAGTCGATTAACCCACCCCCCCTCCCTCTCCGAAACCCACTTCCACCCGATAACCACCACCAATCCTCCATTTTACCGGTATCAGATCAATCCTGAAGGAAAAAGGCTATGTACTCTAGGTACATGCCACCCACGCCCATCCCCTCAAGTGCCAAAAGCTGCAGACGATGCCCCCGAGATAGATAGAGCCCGTGGGTGTTCATGACAAACAGAAGGAATTCCATACGTCAACGGCTTGCTAACAGGAACCGTAGATACTTACGCCGTGTTCACATACCTACCCTACCTACCCGCCAGCTACGGACAGATTTCGTATATACCGTATCCTGCACTTGGTGCCCTGGAATCGACCTTGTGGCCCACCCCCCAAGGAAACCGAACCCATCAATCACGAGGCGTTTTCCCATCCGCATCGCATAGACCCGCATTGCAGCAGCAAGCTCTAGGGTATGCAGGTAAGGTATTGCCTGCAGGATCGATTTGCGCACCAGTTGTGCTTCCCAGTGTCCGACCGACCGTCTGCTTACTCGCGTTCAAAGCTGCCGGCTCGGTGCTGTGGCCCATCCCCCCCAATTGGATGTATGTACGTGAAACACCCGAAATCTCTTCACCGCCGTCCACCTGATGTGAAAATTTTAATTCTCCGTCTCTCTTTGTGTCTCCCTCCGGAAGTTCTCACTTTCGCGAGGAACGGGTGGCGGGTGAAGAATACTAGTACTGGTCAGCAAGGTGACGGTCGCGGCGGTTATCTGCGGTTGTGAAAATTCTCCCCGCATCCACCAACCGTTACGGTCGAACCCAACGAAGGAGGGAAAGCCGCAAAGAAGAAAAAAATCGATTGGCAGTCAGCGACTCGGTAGTTGACCCGAATCCAGAAAAGCGGGGAGCGCCACCGGAATTTTGCAGGGCGTGCTTGGAGCACTCTGCGCTGCTCTAGAGTTGATGTTCTCGCCTGGACTAGATCTAGAGTTCAACTCACCGAGAAGCCCCGACGTGAGGACGTTGGACGGCGATGGTAACGGGAGGCGAAAAGACACTTCGCGATATACCTACTCTACTCTGCTCATCCTCTTCCACTTCCAGATTGGATAGCCACCAGAGATGTCTCCCGAAGATTCCACCACAACCGCTGTTCTCGGGACGGTATGTCGGGAAGGCAAGCTGCAGCAGGCTGTGATGAAAACACCAAACACGAGTGAACAATCATGCTACATCACTCGCCAATATTTCCCCCAGCACCCGAGTCAAAATTGCTGACCATCCTCTGCATGTCTCCGCCACGTTGCACCTCCATCGGTGCGGGGTACTTCCTTATTACCGAGTCGGTACGGTATGGAGACGACACGGACCCGGAGTTGCTGCCATCATCCCCCATGTGCATGCATACCGGTATATACTCTACATGCCGCACCGCGCACAGGCCATACCTACATACGGTAGAGGAGAATAGTTTCCGGTAGGCAGAGGGTCTTCACTGCTTACTGCCGGAAAGTTTCAAAACTGCAGTTGAGAGGAGTGTCATAAACCAATCAGTTCCACCATGCGTCGCTGTCTGACGATGCTGCTCGCGTGCCCCAAAAAGAATTTTTGCAACGGAACGGATCTGGGAGCCGAAGATCTGCTGGCCATCGGTAGTACATACTCTAGTTAAAGGCCTACAGCGGGTTGCTTTTCATCTATGTATGTACCATTCTCTTGGCCATGGAACAACGTATGCAGCCAGAAGACACTTCGTGAACCCAACCCAGGCTTCAGGGAGTGCATCCCGCATCCGCTGCCCGTGGGCTGTGGGCTATGGCCCGTCGCCCGTCCGCAGTGCAGAATTTTAGATTCAGCCCGTAGCCCAAGACTTCTGCACGCACTTTAGTTTGGCCGCAGTGTCGCACAGCACGTGTAGAGTAGGTAGGGAACTCACAGACCCTGGTGTTCTTGGCTCGCCGGATGCACGGGAGGAATATCTACTGTGCATACTGTGCATACTGTGCATATCATATACTGGGTGCACAAAAGGCTGACGACATAAATTGCGGCGGGCGACGGATGGCCGGCCGCCGGCGGCTAGGTACTAGAAGCCGAGTGAACGGCCGTGACGCTGGGGAAAGCGTATGCCTACGGTAAACTGCGCCACGGCCCACTGGGCGTTTCTTGCCCGGTCGATGTGCTGGTGGATCACTAGCACTTGCTCGCTGCGAAGTCTTGGGATGGTTTCTAGCACCGGGAGAGTTAATCCAAGTAAGTACATATACCTATGATATATCCGCTCCACCAGAACTCAGGACGCAGCGCCCGTCGGCTGTCGACACTGGACTGGGACTCCTGCCGCGTGCACTGCATCCATTCCGACATTACATACGCAGAGAGTTTCTGGTGCGTACATAGTACATACTTTGGCTGCCAACACCTGCCGGAGTCTAGATACATTCAAGCCAGAATCGCAACTTCGCAACAGCCAGTTTACGGCTAACAGCGACTGGGACCGGCTGGAAGTTTATATGTAGTTCCTGGGCATCGCAAGGAGCAGTTTCTGGATTTGCTTGGACATATATACCAAAGACACCTTCGCTTTGGATATTGGGTCTATGTAGGTAGGTAGGTAGTCGGATTCTGACCAGCTCAATACATTGTACTTAAGTACTCTTCAATTGTGCGAATACCTACTACTCTGCGTAATCAGTCTTGTGTGCGAGTGCTGTGACATGATAATACGATCAATTGAGCCCGAATTTTTCTGTCATCAAATTGAATGCCACCGTTTCAGAGCATAGGAAGTTATACATGCATTGTATCCACTTGCTCCCGTCTCCTCCTGATTCCACTCGGTGCTTCCATCCAGCCAGCGGTGCCCGACCCATTGGAACGTCCTCGTCCCCTACCTATCACCACCAGCGGGACTATGGCATAGGCAATTGCAAAGGAGATAGTCCTCCATACCGGACAACTCGCTCTCCACTTCCACTTCCACTTCTTCCTCGCTCTTCTCCCTTTGGGCCGTCTTTCGCTGGTACATAGTTCCTCGACACGGCCGCCTTGCTGCCGGTGTCGAGCTGTCCATTGCGTCCTCCGTGGATAGTATGCGTGGTATGTACGCGTACACGCGTACACGCGGGCTTCGGCCTGGCACTCGCACTCGCACGTCTCGATCCACTCCCTCCAACCACCTTGAAACTCCTCCCCAGATTGCGCCTATTAGTCTATTATCTCGGAAAATCAGAAAGAAAAAAAAACAACGCGAGTAACAGGGAATACCAGAATGCTAATGGCCGTAAGTAATGAAAATAAGCTGTGGCCGCCCTTCCTCCAATCCAGACAAACAGAGTACACGAGCAGGAACAGGAACAGGAACAGGAACAGGAACAGAAACACGCAGCCCGAAATCGTGACCACTCGGAAAATCAAAAAGAAAACAAAAAAAAACCGCGAGCAACAGAGGATACCAGAATGACAATCGTTCTCAGTGGCGACATCAAGAGCCGTGACCGCCCTTCCTCCCATGCACACACAAAGTGCAGGAACGGAATAAAGCAGACAGCCTGAAATCAAACACACTGAACAGCCAGCCAGCCCAGCCGAGACACTCCACCGACCAAACATGTCGAGTGATCAAGAAAACAAACCAGAAGAAACACCACCCACCAGATTCCAACGTAAACAGCACTCGAAAAAAAGTAGAGATCGTCGTGGACGGATCTCACGTAGCATCTTGTCACTTGCCGTGGGATTTAAAGAGGCGGCAAAGATCTCCCCCAAGCCTTGAGAAACCGGTCACAGAACTCATTTCCGCAGAAATGGTGGACGTCGGAGTATTGGATGATGAGGCCCATTATGAGCTCTTGCGGGAGGTGAGATAGGTTCTGGATCTCTATCTGCCGACTGATTTTCACAACACATCACATAGTCAGCGCACGGTTATTCAAGCAAGCATGAAGTGGGAGAGGGGGTAGTCCGCGGAAACGTACCGAGCGCATCTTCCGAGAACCGGATTGGTTCTCGTGTGTCTAACGGCTCCACAATGTGGGCATCGCACAACCTGGTTGTTTGCCTCAAGGTCTTCGATTTCGACGACGGCGTGAAATTCAAAGGGTGGTGGAGTTCCGGGTTCGGACTCCGAAGCCAAATCCTCATCTGCGACGAGTGTATCAGTCAATGCTGGCAAAGATGGGATGGCCATGTCGAGCGCTTCGGGAGCGAGGTTACCTTGTACACCTTCTACTTCGTCCTCAGCCGTCTCGGCGGTCTCGGCGGGGACATTGTTCTCAGTCTCGTTGTCGTTGTCATGGGTGTCGTCGTCCTCGTCTGTGTCGTCGCCATCGTGATTAAAGCCGTTGGCGACAGCTTCGACATCAACCTCTTGACGGTTGATGTCCAGAGGCTGGAGCGCATTCGCGAGTCCCTCGAAGTCTAGCGAAGTAACTACCGACTCCTCCCTCGCGGGCCGCGGTCCTAGCATCGGGGGACCTGCCTGTCTATTGATCCTGTGCTCAACCTGTCCATTGGTCCTGTTCTCGACCTGCACATACCGGTTATTTAAATGCGGATGTGGCCAAGGGGAATGATACGTACTCTGACATTGCCGGCGACATTGAGGGGAACCTCCTGGGGGTCTTCCGTTTCCTGGTTCACATTTGTTTGTGTCAGGATGTTTGTATCAATCACCCGTAGAGCCATTTTTGTCAATTGATATAGGAGTGGATATTGTACGGGGCGAAGTTGGGTGTGATGTGCGATTGTGTGATTGACGGATGGTTGTGTAGTTGTGTGAAGGTGAAGATGTGCAGGTGAAGCCGAAGGCAGCGGAGAGGGACACTGTCCGTCACAGAAAATGATTCGTATGGACTTGGGGCAGTGTGCCCTACACCCTATCTCGGCTAAAATTCTCGCTGCCAAGCGTCACGTTAGCGCCAAATCCCACCTATATAACTCACCTCTCCCTCCGTCCTTTGAACAGTATGCGATTTTACTTCATAGTATGTTACCCCCTATCTTCACTACATTCTCGAATCTATCTAACATCATATTTCAGGGATCATTTCTATAGTAAATCGTCTCATCTGAACTCTTTACAAGAGCCACAGAATCTCCAACCTGGACGATGATTGATATCCTCGTTGCCCCAGAGTGAAGCCTGTTTTGCCGGTCCTTCGGTACGGGTGGGTGATGATCTCGACCCGAGTTTACGCATACCTATCGCAAGATGGGTGGGAACGAGGGTGGGCGACGATGGAAATCTGACAGGCTGCTTTTTTTTCATCTTCGTTAGGCTGCATGCGTGGCGAAGAGGAATGAAATCAGAGTCTTCGGGTCGTGATCCTCTGTCTTGAATCTCGCGTGAAAACTGCCGTGACTGATGTCACCGTGTAAAGTTTTTCTGTCTGAGCCAAAAAAAGCCTTTTTACCTATCTAGAGCCGGCATCACGTGTATCCACCACCCACCGTGCCTCCACCAATCGTCGCGCCCTCCCTCTGTGTTTCCTCTATCACTACTACCTGTATCCCGGAATTACATCCATCGCCGCGAAAGTACGGGCATGGAGGGCTGCATGATTGGATATCGAGATGTTTCCAGGGATCTGTGCGCGCGAGCGACGAAATGACAAGCAGTGGGGAGGCGCGGGAGGGTGTTTGCACCGGAGGAACCCAGGGGAAGAAGGAAGTAAGTTTCGGCCACTACAGGTCCAGTCAAGCTGCGAACGACGAGTGCGAGAAACAGTTTGTATTCATTCATATCCCGCGTTTTTCCCATCCACCGTTTATCCTCTGTCTAACAATTCCCAGATGACCAGCCAGCAGCCACCCTCCTCTCCCTCGCTATTTCGCCTCAAATGTTCCATCCCTTGTAAGAAGCCTTGGCTCCCGCAGAAGGGGTAGCAGTGAACTTGGCACATCCCTTCGCCGCCATTTCCTTCGCTTTCGCGACGACCTCGGGCTCGTCCTTCACACGCCAGTCAGCACTCACAATCGTCCGGTGAGGAGAGGATAGAGGAGGAGGGAAGAGTCAAGCTCACCTTGCAGCTGGTGGGCACACACTCGTGCAGCGAGGAAGTGAACGCCTCGTCCGTGCACAGACAGCCAGGGCCATCGGCCATCTTGCACGTGCTCGCCTTGATGGCGGGGAGGAAGCAGGAGATGAGGCTGGTTGGGTTAGCTATTTGGCTGCTGGATGGGACCCCTGGGGGCGAGGAACGTACCACTCGGGAACCTCAGGCATGCCGGCGGGAGGACCGGTGGGAGCAGTGGCAGAACCGCTGGGAGCAGCAGCAGACTCGGTGGGAGTAGCAGCCTGCGGGAGGGCAGTGGCAACGGCGGCCAGGGCAATGATGAGAAGCTGGGGAAGCATGTTGATGATTGTTGGTTCTTGAAGAAGAAGTTGAAGTTGGTACTTTGGAAGTGAGAGTGGAAGTGAGTGTGAAGTGAGTGTGAGTGAGTGTGTTGCGATGGTGGGATGAAGAATTAAGCTGATGAGTGGGAATCATGGCGGTATTTATGGCCGACTATGGCCATAGCTATGTCACAGCTATCATCATCGTGTTCATCACCTTCAATTCGCCCCAACTCCTCCGGCCGACCGGAAAGCATTTCTCCACCACGATTCCGCATATTAGATGAAACCAATCAATTCCGTACCCATCATCCATCGGACTCTCGGACTCGCTCCCCGCCGCCACTGACGTTTATCTGGCGGTGACCTCGGGCGAGGTCGGCGAGGAGAACGTTTCGAGTTTCATGTCCGCCGCCCTGTGTCCAAGCCGATAGCCGATCCCGGGAACTGGGGGTGAATGTTTCTACATGTCTCGGCTCGGGCCCGAGAACCGGGGTTGAGTATTTCTACATGTCTCGGCCCCGGCCCGGTTTGTGGATGGAACCATGTTGACGGAGACCGTAGCAATTACATAGATTGGCTACTCGCCTCGTCTTAACGTTAAGTACGGGGAATCCGCTGCTTATCGAGATTGCCGAATACCATTGCCGAAATCCCGCTGCAGTGGTGGTAGGGTTTTGGTAGAAACTTAGAACAAAGCTCCGAGGAATGGCCTCGCCTGGTCAATCTGTGGTAGTGCCCCTCCGTGACCATCGGCTTGCGGTGGGGGAGCACCATCTAAAAAAGTGGAACGAATGGATTGGGTCTGAATCACGGCGTGTATGCACCACTCACGCGCTCTCCGAGAATATTGATGAATGTGTGTACTTCACAACGCCCTGTACATGCATTTCGACGATCACAGTAGGTCCATGAAGTCCTAGATGGAAAGGCAACCATCGCGAGGATTGTTCACGTCAGTGATTGTCGTGGGGATCACATATTGATGGACAAACAAGAGTGCATGAAGCGGTTCGTGACTGGGCCCGTCTATCCATATAAAAGGCTCGGATGTGACTGAACCACTCTGTCCTATGTAAAAAAAACTGACCAGAAGTGTTGTCCTGCATGCTGCTATGGGGGATTTTGGTCCTTTTAGTCGCCATTGGATGCGATCTTCCTCCCCCCTTTTTATCTCCATTTGTGTTCGAGCGACAATGTTTTTCTCACGGGATGATACTTCTTAAAGTCCAATCGACTCGGAAATTGGTTTGATTGATATGTAGAGTAAATACACCTTGAATCCCGATCCATCCACCCCCACCATCCACCAACTCGGCGAGTGACTAACCAGCAGCCACCCCCCTCTCTCTCTCTTGCTATTTTCACCTCTAAATATTCCATCCCTCGTATACAGCCTTGGCGCCTGCAGAAGGGGTAGCAGTGAACTTGGCACATCCCTTGATCGCCATTTCCTCGGCCTTCTTGATGACGTCGGGCTCGTCCTTCACACGCCAGAAAGTCAGCACTCACAGTCGCCCGGTGAGGAGAGGGGAGAATAGAAGAGCCAAGATAACTAACCTTGCAGCTGGTGGACACACACTCCTTCAGCGAGGAAGTGAACGTCTCGTCCTTGCACAGACAGCCGGGGCCATCGGCCATCTTGCACGTGCTCGCCTTGATGGCGGGGAGGAAGCAGGGAATGAGGCTGGTTGGGTTAGCTATTTGGCTGCTGAATGGGAGGGAGTGAGGAACACACCACTCGGGAACCTCAGGTATGCCGGCGGGAGGACCGGTGGGAGCAGTAGCAGAACCGCTGGGAGCAACAGCAGATTCGGTGGGGGTAGCCGCCTGCGGGAGAGCAGTGGCAACGGCGGCCAGGGCGATGATGAGAAGCTGGGGAAGCATGTTGATAGCTGGTTCTTGAAGAAGAAGTTGAAGTTGGTAGTTCGGAAGTGAGAATGAAGGAGAGTAAAGTGAGAGTGAGTGAATGTGTTGCGATGGTGGAATGAAGAATTAAGCTGATGGGTAGGAATCATAGCGGTATATATACGCTCTGGATTAGTAGTCGAGACAGTCTATTGCCCCTTTTCTTCACCATGATGAATCGCAACATCGTCATTGCCCACCGTAAAACAATCAGCGTAGATCTCCAGGCTTCGGCTCGGCCATCTATCGCCCTCGGGCCGTAGCCAGTAGCTAGGACGTATCCCGGTTCACAGCTCGGCCCGTTTGGCACAGATTAGGTAGGTGAAACCAATCAATTTTCGGCTTTGGACGATGACCGCAGTGTTTCTGCAAAAACCCCGCAAGCACCGCTCTCCTGGGTATACATGGTCCCATATCCATGAGATTCCGGGAGTTAACTTATCCGTCAAACCAAGCTATGTTGATCACCGTGTGGGCGAATGATGAGAACTTTAATCCAAAACCCCCCACCACGGCCAGGGCTGACCGTAGTTTATATCTGACATCACCCCTGCCGCTCAGATCTCCGGTATTGCCTTGCGAAACACATGGTAGCCAATCCCGAGAAACCTTGTTTCAAGAGATAAATTCTCGGATCTACGCGAGCAGCCCCCACTCCCTGCGGATGACAGACTCATGGTTGGTAGCTCGGATATCCACTGATCGCTCATGTTGAAGTTTTGGTGGTTGAGATGCAGGATAATATTCAACTGAATAGATGTCTGAGATGGAGTCTAGCTATGCGGACAGGATCAGGCCCTTTTATACGTGCCAAAACAAAAGATCCTAATCGTGTAGAAACAAGAGAGCAAACAGTATGACTAGAAAATGAGATAATGAGCAAGTCACAAGTCGGCCAAGTAGGAAGAGCAAACATGTGACAAAGGAATGAAACAAATGAGTGATAACCATGAAGGATAGATGAAACAAACACATGACAATCCACAGACCATTCTCCGTTACTTTTAAGTTAGGCAGGTGTTCGCCATAGTCTAGACAGGCCAGATGTGAAATGAGTTGATTTTCTCTCTCCCCCGTTGGGGGTGTTTCCGTGCCGCTGGCACCAAAGACAATGGCACACATTGTAATTGGCGACTACAATACATAGAGCCCTGATCTTCAAAGTTCAAAGCTGGGAGCTGTGGACCTGTGGCGTAGTGAAACGATGCCCCGAGTTAGTCTGTAGTCCAGACGGTCAATTCGGTGTGGGGAAGCCTGCTCCATTCTTTTACTCCAAATTAAAAGAAGCATTCAACTGGTGTAGAGTACGGAATGGTGGCTCGAGTTAACACATATCACAGGTGGTTGGGATGTCCGACACGAGAAACAATGATTTTTCGGGTCAACAAAAGAATCCCACGGCGGGTTTTTTCCACTTCATTCCAATTCCTAACACAATCCGTCCACACCCCAAACAAAAACCAAGAGACCAACCAGCAGCCCTTGTAGCCCCCAAGCATCACCACCAGTTTAGAACCCGGCGGGCTTTCCGCCTCCATACTTCTCGCAACCCTTGGCCGACATCTCGGTGAATTTGGCGATAACTGTCTTATCCTCGCATCCACTGGTGACACAGCTCAGCATGCCACTAGTGAATTCCTCGTCCGCGCAGAGGCAAGTAGGTCCCTCTATTGTCTATTAGCGGCCACGTATGGGAAAGACTGAGGTACGTAGTGACTTACCTCCCATCTTGCACTCGGTCTTCTTAATGGCGGGAAGAAAGCAGTCAGAGAGGCTGGGATTGGTTAGTTGGGTACTTCTTGAAAGCTTGAGTGAGATGGAGGTATATACCACTGGGGGATCTCCGGCATGCCGGCCGGAGGACCAGTGGGGGCGGAACTGGCCTCGGGGCTGGGAACGGCGGTGGAGCTGGCCTGAGGGCTCGGAATGGCGGCGGCGACCGCAGCGAGAGTAGCAATGATGATCTGGAAGTAAAGCATGATGAAGTTGGTTGGTTGGTTCTTAAAAAAGAAGAAGTGAATGTATGATTGAAGTGAGTGAATGTGGATGTGTGAGTGAGTATGAGTGAGCTGTGTGATCTGGAAATTATAAGAGACAGGTACGAAGAGGCGGTATTTATGTGCGGCTTCTTTGGGCTGTTGTTTGGTCTCTTCTCACTTTGTTGCTTTCCACCTCCACACAATAGTAGGTACATAAGTGTCCCGATCATCGACATTGCTTCCAGGTCGAGAAGCGTTTCGCCACTGGACGCCGCGGCCACAGAGTACATAGTTGAAACCAATCAATTTGACCGCCAGCAACCGAACCGCCAGTTCAATCAACTTTGATAACAGAATCACCACCCGTCGCTACGCCGGAAGAAACTCACGGAATCTGGGGTGCAGCCGAATAAAGTTCGGTAATCTATTAGTCTTGATTAGATTCACCATGAAAACACCGAGGCAAGAAAAGCAAACCCAATATATTCGCTACCTCCCACTCGGCCCGAGCGATGGACTTGAGACAGGCCGAAACACCCGAGACCGGGAGTCCGTTCAGGCCGAACATACCGGACCATTCCCGTACACTCGCGTTCGGCCGACATCAGACAGACACTGATGGAATACTGTGAGTGTCTACCTGTATTGGGGATCAGTTACGGAACGGAAACGGAGGTGGGAGCTGAGCCAGTGGGTGAAATGATCCTTTAGCCTTGAGGTTAGTCGGTCCATTTGCTGGGTTGACATAACGATGCGAGTGGAGACGAGTGAACTGGTCATTCGATAGAACGAGAAGTATAGTGTACTCCAACTGATAGAGTAATGAGCCCCCGCCCGCCCGGATAAAACATATCGAAATAGCTTGTTCGACCTCGGGGTTAGGCTCGCAGGGTCGTGTGGTCGTGCCGAACGTAATCAACACCCCGAGCCGTCCCCTGAACTCTACAATAGGCCGATAGCGGATAAAAAAAGGTAGGATCTTGGCAGGCTTTTTGTGGTTAGTAGAGTATTGATGGTCACAATCAATATGTTTGCTCCTGGGGAATTATACTTGACACGCTACCCCACAGCCCGAACTCGGCCGTCAGATAAGCACGGATTGTGTCATAAATGGGGAGGATCCGCGGTCCATACGGAGTGAATTTTTCGTACGATGAGAGCCGAGCCGAGCCGATGCGTTCCAGAAGATTTTTATGTGTTGGATTGTTTCACCACTTTCCACGGACCATTGTAGTGGTTCTGTTATTGGTAGTCTTTCGAGCTGCCATGAGAAGGATATCGATGTGCATGAGGTTAGCGGAGAACATGGAGACACTGGCGGCATATCCCAACCCGCATACCGTAGATACTACCATGTCTCCCGTTGGAGATCTCCTTCGCCATCCAGCATCCCTCACGGTCATTCACTTTGACTTTTTCACTCGCTTCCAACCTCCCTTTGGCGGGCTTGTTTCGATGTTTATTGTGCGCGGTTTATGTCTTGATTGGTGGTGGGGGGTTCTATGTTCGCGTATGATGATACACCTTTGCCGGTCGAAGTCATCAGACGTGGTCCACCAACATAATGTAAGAATGATAGAGAACCCAAACATTCTTGGACCAGATCGAATGTTGTAGCCTGTGGAGGGCGGCCGGACAATACTAACGGTCGATAATGGCGAGACTAACAGGGTAAAATAATGGCTTCAATGCACCAGTCATCACATGATTCAGTAGTGTAGGGGTATCATGGGCGCTTGCCACTGGCAACATGCGCCCGACCCGGGTTCAAATCCCGGCTGAATCAATCATCATCTTTTATCTTTTGATACCAGCTTCATTCTTGTTGTGCTTTGTGGTGTCACTGTCGACCTACCCCCAAAAGCTTTTTATTGATGCGGAGAATCCATCTACCTAACTACAAAATTCACCAACTTTCCCCCCTTGCCGACTATCACCCTAACAACCTCCTTCCCACTCGCCCACTTCTCCCACTCCTTCTTGCCCTGCACCATCTCCCTCACCACATCTTCGTCCACCTTCCCCTCCACTTTCACTCTTATCCTAACCTTGCCATTAACTGCAACCGCAACATCCGTCACATCCTCCTCCTCAAAAACCCTCTCATCCACCTGCGGCCATGGCTGCTCCGAGACTCTAATCCCCTCTAACCTCGTTCCGCGATGCAACATTTCCCACGCCTCCTCCGCCACCGCAGGAGTGATTGGGCCGAGTAACCGCAGCATAATCTGAGTAGCGGCATACACCACAGCAGCAGAGCAGTTCTTGCTCTCCGCCTCAATGGTATTTTCCAGTTTCATTAGGTCGCTGATTGTCGTATTCATAGCGAGCGTATCCGAGAACGCCTCAGTCACGGAGTGGACGGCGTTGTTGAGAACCTTCCAGAGTTTCCGCTCTTGCGGGGTGGTGATTTCTGGTAGCTGTGTTGGCGTGGGGGCATCGACGAATGTACAGGTGTCTGCGCGCTTGAGCACGCGGAGGAGGAAACGCCGCACACCAATGATCTTGTCCTCGTCCCAGTTCAGTACGTCGGCGACGGGTGCTGCGAAGAGGACGTGTGCGCGGGTGGCGTCCGCGCCGTGCGTGGCGATGCATGTGAGCGGATCTACACCGTTGTATTTGCTCTTGCTCATTTTTTCGTAGCTTTTGTTCGGAGTTGCGCCTGTGGCGGTGATTTTCGGCTGGGAAGGGGTTTCATAGGTGAGTTCGTCGGGCTTGAGGAAGCGACCGGTGATGGGGTCAGTGTACGTGAGTCCGTGAACCATGCCTTGTGTTACCAGCTTCTTGAAAGGTTCCGCGGTTGTGTTGGATGGATTTGGCCAGAGGCCGGCGGGGCCAGCAAGGAACTTGGCGATGAAGCGAGAGTACAGGAGGTGGAGGATTGCGTGTTCCACACCGCCGACATATAGGTCTACGGGAAGCAGCTTGTCTGCCTTTTCTGCATCGAAGAGCTGGTTGGGGTTCTTCGGATCAATGTAGCGAGCCCAGTACCAGCTGCTGTCGATAAAAGTATCCATAGTGTCTGTATCCCGCTTTGCTGGCTCGCCACAGGATGGACAGGCTACGTTGACCCATTCCTCGGCTTTTGCGAGAGGAGAACCGCCACGGCCGCGGATGCTGATACCTTCGGGGAGGATGACCGGCAGATCTTTTTCCGGCACTGGAATAGTACCACAAGAAGAACAGTGGATAATGGGGATCGGCGTCCCCCAATACCGTTGGCGAGAAACAAGCCAATCCCTCAGACGCCATTGCGTAGTTTCCTCTGCCCACTCACTCCCCAGCTTCTCAAGGAACGCCTGGTGTGCTTCCGCCGAAGTGAGGCCTTTATACTCTCCACAGGTGAGCACACCACGGTCTGTAAAGATTTCATTGTCAGTTTCCTTCAATGACGAAGGCTTGACCACAGTTCTAATTTCCTCGCCCGGACAGTTCTCCCGCCAAAACGCGTGATCCCGTATGTCGTGCCCGGGAACTCCCATGACGGCACCTTCGCCGTACCCGTCCAGGACATAATCCGCCACAAATATAGGCAAGCGAGCACCTGGATCCAAGGGATTAGTAGCCATCACGCTGTCTAGACGGAAGCCTCGCTTCGACTTCACGTCCTCCTCGCTCCGTCTCGTCTTGGAATCGTCGATGAAACGCCTCAGATCCCCGTTCGTCTCAGCCAATCGACGCACGAGAGGATGCGACATCGACAGCGCCAGATACTGCACACCTAGCAATGTATCCAGTCTGGTGGTAAACACCTCCACCATGTCGCTCTCACTCCCAACGGGAAACCGTACCTTCGAGCCTACTGACTTCCCGATCCAATTCTTCTGCATAGTTCGCACCCTCTCCGGCCAGGTATCCTTCAGCGACTCCAGATCCTCCAACAGCTGCTCCTTGAACGCCGTAATCCGGAAGAACCACTGCTCCAGCTCCTTCTTCTCCACCAGCGCCCCAGAGCGCCAGGAGTGTCCCGAAGGCGACACTTGCTCGTTCGCAAGCACGGTCTCATCCACCGGATCCCAATTCACCGCCGAGCTCGCGCGGTACGCAAGGTTATGCTTTAGCAGGTGTAGAAACAGACGCTGAGTGTGCGCGTAATAATCTGGCGAGCAAGTCGTGACCTCCTGTAGCATTACCCCACCACTTCAGCATCCACCCCACCCCACCAGCACCAGCACCACACTCCCGGACGAATGGCATACACACCCTCTCCCAATCAAACGCCACGCCCATGTTCTCAAACTGCTCTTTCATCGCCTCGATATTCATCGCCGTCCAGTCCTTTGCGTCGACGCCGCGCTCGATAGCCGCGTTCTCCGCCGGCAGCCCGAACGCATCCCAACCCATCGGATGGATCACCTCGTACCCCTGCATTCGCCGGAACCGACTGAGCACGTCCGAGATCGTGTAGACCCGTAGGTGTCCCATGTGCAGACTCCCCGAGGGGTACGGGAACATCGAGAGGATGTAGAATTTCTCATCTTTCTTGTGCGCGGAGGTGCTGGGAGTCGTCGACCGAAGGTGCGAGCGCCATTTGCTGTCGATTTCGGAGAAGGCGGGGTATGTGGACGCGTGGCGGTGGTGGAAGAGCGGCGTCCGCGCGGGAGACGACAGGTGGATTGAACGGGGTGGAAGCAGACCGCGCCGGCCAATGCTTATGAATGATAGTCTCATAACGGCGGACGACAGAGATGAAACGTTTATGAGAGCCGCTGGTGTTTGAGGTTGCTGGTAACCCTAAACAACGAGCGAGAGATTATGAACATGCATCGTAGCGATGGAGGGGTAAGAGGTATGTGAATGCGAGATATAGACATTGGTATTGCTATATACAAAAAGTGAACCCGAGTATAGACGCCAAAATAAATTCATCACCATAGAATGCCGTGTGAATAAAGGAAAACCAAAACACCGCCCTACAATTACACCCATAACGCTCCAACAGGATAGAGAGTACAGCCTATCCTTCAACCGGCTGTCTCACCACATCGACAGCGTCCTCCTTCCTATCACCCAAAAACACGCTGAGCAAAAGATCAGCAGCCCGCCTCATCCTCTCCGCCACTATTATGACCTCACTGAACCCATCGTGCCGCAGCGCAAACACGGCAGCTTTGACAGTATGATGAAAAACACCTTTATACTCTTCTCTCTCAGCCTCCCACTTTCTCCACTGCTCCTTCTCTTCATCTAGAACAGCAACTTCCACTACTTCTTCCCCGGCGGGCATAATGGACTTGGCCCGTTGATCCTTGTCTTTCCGGTAGTCCTTCAACCCGCGCCGCCTCATTTCCTCCAACACGATCTTATTGAGTAGATCGCGGTTCTTGCTCTCAATTTCGGACCGCTCAACCGCATCCGGCTCTTTCTTGATCAGGTTCTTCTCGACCAATCGGGATGACGAGGAGCGTGGTCTCGGGACAAGAGCGGCGGGCTTGCGATCCGAAAGGTTAAACATGCTATTTGCGCGCTGGAACCCCTTCGGCTGCGCCTGAAATTCCCCCATACTGGCCAGCGACTTCCGCTTCTTGGTTACGAGGGGTCCCGTAAGGTCCGGCAACTCCTCCGTCGGCGATGGGAGACTCCCGGCATTATTATTTCTCCCTCCCAACGCGTTCCGCCCATCACCCATCACCCCATCATCGGACTTATGTCTCTTCACCTTCTTATCGACGACTCTGTCGAGCGCATCTGCACGCCGCTTCTTCGTCGAGCGCGAAATAAACGGATTGAGCACATCCTGCGGATTCGGCGCGATGTACCTTGCATCCTCCTGGTCCGGCTCAGCCTTCACCTGGATGTATGCGGCGAAGTTGTGGCGCGAGGATAGCGGGAGCGCATGTACCGAGACGATGGGGACCGGTGGGAGATCTGGCGAGGAGTGGGGTGGTGTTGTTGCAGAGTCCTCCGAGGGAGGGGTAGTATACGTCATCGCGCCGTAGATGAGGATTTCGGTAATCCCCCAGTCCCCAGGATTCACCTCGTCAAGGCTGTCGGTTGGGTTGGCGTGCACCTGCAGGAGAAGCGCGATGCGCGACTGCTCGGTGGTCTCCTCCTCCACATCTGCTCTGGGTAGCGCCGACAGGAATAGCTTCCGGAAGAAATCACATGTTGCTGGAGATGTGGTGGCTACTTGTAGCGATGGCCCGGCGGCAAGGAAGAGTGGGATACGTGACGGTGGGAGGTACGAGAGGAAGGAGAAGCTGCTGTTCGAGATGTGGTCCCGGAGGTGGTTCGTAACCCAGGTTGTGGGTGAAGGCGTATTTGGGTCTGTAGACAGGCAGAGGTCTGGAGTACATCAGCGGACGCTCCAGTTTATGAGCTCCATTCAGTATACTCTCAAGGGTGCGGGTCGCGCCGCCGACACAGGGAACATCTACAGATCCCTTCCAGATATCCATGACTTAGACGCGTGAGGTGCTATCGATGGGGAAATATCGAGAATAGTGACGGTATCATCGATCGTACAGGCGACACAGGTGAGTAGGCTCGCCGAGTGCTGTGGGTGGTCTTTGTATTGTGTTGAGGGCTATCGCGAGGGATGGTGCTAATTAACGCGAACATCTGCGCGTTGTGTATCCAAGTAAGCAGTCTACTTTATTGGTCTGTACACACTGGCACGTGCCTAATGCCAAGTTGAGACATCGAGTGATAACAGGTGCGGTGGAAGATTCCAATCCCGGTTCTGACCACAGTGATGTGGCCCCTCTGGAGCACCATACACTCTTCCAAGATCATGAGCAGGTCATTGCCTCCGGGACACTTTCAGCTTGTAGTCGACGTATCAAGAAGGCCTTGGCCGGGAAGCCTTAACCAGGAAATTGCGTATAACACATCACGGTACCCAGGTCCAACGATTACGATGCAGATAGCTTTGTTGCACAGATTCCACATACTCTGGAATATCTTATCAGTTCAGAGGGAAAGGTTTTGAATTTACGTGCCCTGCTACTGACACAAGAGCGGGCCGGGACCGAAACCGAAACCAGGTATTGTGCAGAGAACTTGAACTATGAAACTGAAAGTATAGATCATGAGTTATTTGTCTCCATAACTGTCCTGGTCATTGCCGTGGACCACAGTTGGTCGAACACAATTCATCAACCACGCGTCGTGCAGAAGGCCAGGTTTCCGAGCTCAGGAGAAACCTGGTAGATATGGTATTCTACCCTCTCTATGGTTCGTTCTCTAGGACCTAGCTAGGGAACGTGGAACCAGTGGAATGCTCAAGAGAGCCAGTGCTAAGGACGAAGCGCACCATAGGCTGGGAGACGAGTACCATACGATAAACTCCACGGCAGGCCACAATGGATGTTCACGAAATCGGGATCCCTTTTGTAGTAACATTCTTTGCTCCAAGAGAGGGCAAGCGGTCTCTATGTAGGATGCAGTGATCGTATTTCTTCTTCTTCGCTGTGTTCGGCGTCCGGCGTTTAGGCGGAGAAAGCATCAAGCACCGTTCTTTGGGAAATGAGTTGTTGATCCCGGTAAACAACGTGTCAGTGAAGCACCAAGCACCAAGCACGACATAATTTGGCACCCACCGATCCAGTTATCTCAGGCGACATCGAATCGAATTCGACAAACAGCAGGCGAAGTATGTGAAACAATCAGATTGTTTGGGGCTGCATGGTGGCAGATTGCTTACCGCCGCGGCCAGCTGCAGTATGATGGATGTTCCTGCTCAGGGCGTTCGATTCCCGTTATTTTTTGATCTTTTTGTGGGGAAACAAATGGCGGGAGGGACCGCTGGGTGCGAGACGCAAGGGCAAGGTCTCCAGGGAAGAGGGAAGAGGGAAGAGGGAGGGGAGAGACGCGGTTGTTTCGATCAACAAGATCATGGGTTCGGTAAAATAGGTTGTGTGCCTGGCAGAAATGTCAAATCTCAAGCTTATCGATAGGGGAGTTTCACGCTTCAAGTTGTCTGCTACTGCTGTATCGATTTCATTTCTGCTTCTTTCTCAAACATTTCTTTTTCTGTGAGTTGGGATGTTGATCATTTGGCGAGTGCATTTGTTTGGCTCGGTTCGTGGTATGTGGCGGCGACGGCGGTTGGGCATGGACGGAGGGCGAGCGAGTCCAGAAAAGGGGCAGAAGCGCGAACCTTTTCGAGAGGGGCAAAACGGACAGACAGAGAACGGACGATAGACAGACAGAAACTAGAGTTGGGACGAAGACATTCCTGTTCGCAACATTGCCATCAACATCATCATCATCATCCGCACGCACACGCTCCTTCTCGTTGCTGGGCATTCTTTCGACAAGTTGACTTGTCCCCTTGTCGCTGCGATCACCCGCCGTCGTATGTAACTGCCACACACACCACTCACTTTACCACTGCCTACCATCTCATCGCAACCAGGGCCCTCCGTACCGACCTCTACTCCCTCCTCCGCTACCCATCATCACCGATACCACACTCACCCACCCCCCGTCCTCCTCCGCCAACAACACCTCAGCGGCTACAATACCCCTTCGATCTCGACTCAGACCTTCTCTTTACAACAGCGAAAGCACTCTTCAAACTATCGCCGCTCGTTCAGCGCTTGCCACGACTCTACACATTCAACACCACCTACAGCTGCTGCTCGCTGGTCTGACGAAGCTCGCTTTCTACGCTTAGAGCCCCCGCGCCCCGCTATAACCACCCCCGAACTGCACCGCGCACACGGGATGCTCTCAACAGAGCCGCTGCCGCCGCTCAACGACTAACTCCCAGAACTATCTTCCCGCCTAACGGTCGCATCGCCTCTTATCCGCTCAACACCCCTTCACCCTCGACCCCCGAGTCTCCAGACTACCACAACCACCACAACCACCCCACGACATGTCCAGCGGTGGCCGTGAGATGAGCGGCAAAGGGTTCTTCTCACGGAGCAAACATAAAGTTGCCGGGTTGACCTCCTCCGGCTCTCGTCCCAGTGAATCCCATCAGTCGTCCAGCCTCGATATCGAAGCACAATCGACAAAGAGCTCGGCCAGGAGTGTGCGCTCTCAACATTCGATCTCCTCCAACAAGGACTACCGCGAGACAATATACGGAAATGAATTAGATCCGCTCAACAACACTGCTGGCGTGGTTACGTCGATACCGTATGACTCTGTGGTGCAGGACTTGAATCGAACTCCCATAACGGTGGACTTTCCTCGGCCCGTGTCACGCGGCGACGATGGAAGAGAGATAACACCGCATTCGATTGGTCGCATGGGAGATTTCCACCAGTACCCCAGTGTTGCCGGCCCGCCGCAGAACCACTACTCGCATCCGACCGGCCCCAGACCACCGCCTGGCTCGTCGGGTAGTCTGACAGCGGGAAATTCCTACTATGCACCATCCAGAGAATATGCTGGGTCTACCACGTCGTCGTCGTCGCCGAGGAATACGAATGGGGGCCAGGGCCAGATGTACTATCCTTCCAATTCGACTCAGAATTCCGATCCTCGGAACTCGGACCAGATGTCGATCTACTCGTCGTTGTCTTCTGCTACGCGCAATTCGATGCTCTCAGTTGCTCCTACCATGGCGGAGATGATGCAGTTCCCAGCTCACAGTGGGTCCATGACCGAGTTCCACATGGAAAGGCCGGAAGACGACTCCATCGTGGAGAAGATGTTTTATGAGCTTATGATCAAACGTGGATATATGAACTTACCGGACCCGGCGAAACGGGTGTTGATGGCTAAGCCAACATCTGGGAAATGGCTCATGATCTATCAAGACAAGCTCGGTGATTGGCAGACGGAGCAGAAGCGGAGGGCTGCGGCATCATCCAGTTCCGGGAAAGATCTGGACGAGGACTCGCCCCAGTGGTACGTCAAGAAGATCATGGAGGGTACCATCACAACGAAGCAGCTCGCCAGTTTAAGCGTCTCATTGCGCACACAACCGATTGGGTGAGTACTGGGTTAATTCGCCCGCTTGAGTGGTGTATAATGCTAACGTGTTGGGACAGATGGGTACGGGACTTTATTGAAGCGCAGGGTCAGATTGCCCTTACGACTGTACTGCGGAGCATCAACAACCATGGCGGAAGAAACAACACTGGATCCGATGCGATGCTTGACCGAGAGTACGATATCGTCAAATGTCTGAAAGCGCTCATGAACAACAAGTACGGTGCCGACGACGCTCTAGCACACCAGCACTGCATCAATGCGCTCGTTGCATCCCTCACATCTCCGCGTGTCAGCACCCGGAAGATGGTTAGTGAAGTCCTGACCTTCCTGTGCCATTGGGAGAGGCCTCACGGTCACTCCAGGGTGCTGCAAGCGATGGACCAGGTCAAGGGGCATCAGGGCGAGACCGGAAGATTTGATTCATGGTTACGCATCGTCGAGGTTACCATCGATGGCCGTGGAAAGCTCGGGAGTTTAGTGGGGGCCAGCGACGAGGCGCGATCGGGCGGTATTGGTTTCGAGAGCTTGCTCATGGAATACGCTCTTGCGACATTATTCTTGATAAACATCATCGCCTCCGGCTCGGACGACATACATGCTCGCATTTACGTCCGCACGCAGTTCAAGGGATGCGGTATTGGAAGGATCGCCACGAAGATGCAGGGCTTCAATTACGAGCTCATAGACAAACAGATCCAGAAATACGAGGAGGATGCGGCAGTGGACTATGATGAGCTCATGGAACGGGATGGCACTAGTATGGTCGATAGTATCGATAGCGAGCCCAAGGACCTCAATGACCCGGCTGCTCTCGTAGAGGCGATCATGCAGAAGATCCATGGTACCAATACGCAGGATTACTTCGTGTCTGCGCTGCAGCACCTGCTTCTGATGCGGGACAACAACACGGAAGACCGGTTAAGAATGTTTCAGCTCTCGGAGGCCATTCTTGGTTACGTAGCCATGGACCGCCGGTTTCCGGATATGGACCTGAAGGCCAGTCTGAATTTCTCGGTGCAGAGTCTAATGGACAAATTGAATACCGATGCCGAAGCTCGACACGCTCTCGAAGAGGCGAGTGAGAGCCGGCAGGTTGCCGAAAATGCCATTGCCGAACGGGATGCCATGCAGGCTCAGATTGACCTTGGTGCCGACGGTCTGGTTGCGAAGTTGAAGAAGCAACTGGAGGAACAAGCACAGGTTATTGATATCCAGCGACGTCAAAATGACATGTTGAAAGCCGAGCTAGAAGAAATCAAGGTCGCACATGCCACTCAGATGCAGAAGAGCGAACTAGAGACCCGAGAATTGTACCTTATGTTACGCGATGCTCAGGATGCCGCCGACGCCGTCATCGCGGAGAAGGCTAGACAGGGCCGGAAAGATGGGAAGATATTGCCTGACACCGACATCCAAATGCAGGGAATCCTTGACCGGCAGCGACTCATGGAAAAACTGGAAAGACAACTCGAGCGTAAGAAGACCGAGTTCAAATTGGAAGGTAAAGTATGGCAACATGTCGCACCTAGTGATAGGTTACGGGAACTGCGTGAAAGAATGGATGCCGTGCAACGCGAAGCCAAGCAGCTTGAACAGCAACATTACGAAGAATCTCAGCGAAATGCATCTGCCACATTTGGAAGTGTTTCGAGGAAGAGCCATGTTAATAGGAAGAGCCGTGATGCTGGCCGCCAGATTTCTCAACCATTGACCTATGCCGAACGCGAGAATGCCCGGTTGAGAGAGGCAAACATCCGCGAAGAATCTGGCGACGATACCGAACCGGAGTATATCCTTGAGCGACCACGGTTGATCCAGTACACCAAGCCGAGGATTAACAATGCTCAGGCCTCTGGTCTATTAGGCGAGCTCACGGAGAGGGTGAAGCGAGTCCAGGCATACAATAATGCTGAAGCTACGGACGACGAGGACGAGGACGAGGACGAGGATGACGACGAATCCAAGCTTAAGACCGAATCCACCTCAAGTGATGAGGGCGTGACGACAGGCCCGTCCCATGCAAGCATGGAGTCGGGTCCGAAGACTCCGATCGACGCGGAGGCACTTGGAGGAACACCTAAGGACTCAACCGGCACGGCAGCATCTGGTGTGGTAATGCCCGGATTCGCCAATGGCCCTCCACCCCCGCCTCCGCCGCCGCCTCCGCCTGGCGTTTTCATGCCAGGGTTTTCAGACAGTGTTCCGCCTGTGCCGCCGATGCCAGGATTTGGAGGTCCTCCCCCGCCTCCCCCGCCGCCAATGCCAGGGTTTTCGGGTGGTCCGCCCCCCCCGCCGCCGCCGATGCCAGGGTTTTCGGGTGGCCCGCCGCCGCCCCTGCCGCCACCAATGCCAGGATTTTCGGGCGCTCCTCCGCCTCCTCCGCCGCCAATGCCTGGGTTCGGTGGTCCACCACCGCCGCCGCCTCCTCCTATGGCTGGATTTGGAGGTGGTGCTCCCCCGCCTCCACCTCCACCAATGCCCGGATTCGGGGGCGCGGGTCCACCCCCGCCGCCGCCTCCTCCTCCAGGGGGCTTCCTATCCGGGAACGCTCCGCCGGCTCCGGGGCTTCCTGGGCGAATTTCGCCGTATCACGTACCCGGTGCGCCGCCGCCACCCGGTGGTGTGCATGGACTTTACACCGGTGTTCGACCGCGCAAGAAGCTTAAGCCGATGCATTGGGAGAAGTTGGATGGTGTCGAGTACACTCTCTGGGCAGCCCGTAGCAATAAGGAAGGTGTGTTCGAGGAACTGTCGAAGAAGGGTATTCTCGAAGAAATGGAGAGGATGTTCTTTTTCAAGGAGACGAGGATGCTCAAGAAAGCGAAAGCCGAAGGCGAGCAGAAGAAGGAGTTCCTGGACACCGGTATAGTCAAAGCGTTCCACATCTCCCTTGCGAAGTACTCGCAGATACCCGCCACGCAGGTTGTCACGAAGATTCTCAGCTGCGATAAGGACATGCTGGACAACTCCGCCATTATGGATTTCTTGCAACGCGATGAGTTATGCACAATCGGCGACAACCTCATGAAGAATTTTGCTCCCTACGCCGTTGACTGGACCGAGGCCGGAGCAGACGGCAAAAAGAGGGAAGCGGATCCGAACGAACTGAGGCGTGAAGACCTGATCTTCTTGGAGACGGCCTTCAATCTGCACCATTACTGGAAGGGGAGAGTTCGAGCTTTGGCTTTGACCCGAAGCTTGGACGCGGATTACGCCGATATCCAGGGCAAAATCCACCAGGTTGTACGGGTCTCGGATACGGTCCGAGCTTGTAAGGCGTTCCAGGATGTGCTTGAACTTATCTTGCAGATGGGTAATTACATGAACGATACCACCAAACAAGTTACCGGTTTCAAACTCGGCACGTTGAACCGTCTGGTCAACGTCAAGGACGACAAGAACCAACGGACGTTCATGGATTACGTCGAGATGACGGTTCGCAAGAAGTTCCCCGAGCTGGAGGGCTTCATCGAGGAGCTCCACGAGAGTACACAGCTCGAGAAAGGTATGGAGTCCCCTTCCCTTGTATGCTAACTGCCGTTGATGTTAACATGTTTCTGCAGCCGACGTCGATCACCTTGCCCAACAAGCGCAAAAGTTCATTGCCAATGTCCGAGTGGTTCAAACGTCCGTCGACTCCGGAAATCTTTCGGAGCCGAAGAAGTTCCACCCACAAGATCGCGTCTTGCAGGTTGTTCTTCCTGTTCTTCCAGAGGCAAGGAAGAAGGCAGAATACCTCAAGGACTACCTTGAGGCGATGAACAAGACATATGCCGATCTTTTGACATTCTACGGAGAAGATCCTAATGATGAGAACTCGCGCAAGAGATTCTTCAAGCTTATTAGTGACTTCGTCAAGAACTACAAGGTTTGAACCTCCCCCACATAAGGCATCGAATTGATCACTAACCCTTCCCGCAGTCGAGTCGTCAAAAGAACATGGAACTGGAGGACGAAGAGAAACGTCGAGAAAAGCGACAACAGATGGCGGCAAATACGCAAGCCAAACAAGCTGCGCGCGCCGACCCACTCGCGCCAGTCGTCACCCAAAGCACAGGCGCTATGGACGCACTGCTCGACAAGCTACGTGCCGCCGGGCCAAGCTCCCGCGAAAAGAGAGGCGCAAGGCGAAGAGCAAGGCTACGACAGAACGGTGCTATCCGAGCTGCGTCGATCACCAAGGAAGCGGATACGGGAGGTGAAAATAGCGGAAGTGAAGCAGGAGATGATCAGCAGGAGCGGCCATCGTCTTCATCGGCGGCGGCGGCTGCCGTATCCTCGGATGCGGAACAAGGACTGCTGAGTCCCGATATCACCGTTACTTCTGCCGACCAAGCCCCTGCTGAGGACAGTCTCTCGAAGCGGACGGAGGAGATGCTGATGCGTCTAAGGGGAGATGGCGGAGGCGAGGGTTCAGGAGGTGCGTTGGGCGCAGGCAGTATGCGGGACAAGAAGCGGAAAGAGCGTCGACGACGAAACGGTAGTAACGTTTCGATGTCATCTACGGGATCGGGTCCATCAGCCGTCTCGCTCCTCTCGAGTCCGCCGGTTCCACCACTCCCAACCGGTCTCCCGTCAAGTCCTGCGTCAGGTCTTGGGTTGACAGCGCCTGGTGGAGCACCCGATTCCGATGACCCAGTGGCGAGAGCTAAGAGTGCACTTCTGGCGATGCGGCGAGGGAGCGAAACTGGGAGTATCAACAGTACTACCAGTGATGTTACTACAACACAGGAGCCCGACCCAGCATCATCGAGTGCAGTAGTCGACGAGGACAGCGATCAAGGTGCTGCGACACCAAAAACGATCATCAGCCCGCCTAGTCCTGACCCGAGTAGTCAGCCATAGTTAGGTTACGTTAAAGTTGTGTTTGTTTAGGTGCTATTGCGATATCCTCTGTATTCCTTTTGACTTCTCTTCTGGGATTGGTTTTGGTTTTTTTTCGTTACATTGCTTCTACGGCTTCTGCTTTCCTTACATAATCCTCGAGCTGTCCTAAAAGGCTTTGGCTTGGGTGAACTGCACTTTGCACTTTCTGTCTTTCTTCTGTCACTTCTCTGGTGGGGTTATTACTCTTATCTATATCTTCTACTTCTTCTTCCTTTTCTTCTTCTTTTTCTTCTGCTTCTTTTCTGGCCGGCTTGAATACTCCTCCTTCGACTCCTCCGACTCCCTCCACTTTTGTGAATATTTTCTTTACTAGTACACGTCTACGATATGGTCCAGCCTGGAATCCTCGGTTGAACCTGGATTGTTGATGCGCTCTCTATAATTTTTTCTTCGCTCTCGGGTGTTCACTTTATTACTTCGGCTCTATATATGGTTGACTTCCTTACTCACAACACTGGCTTTTATTTTTTTCCTTTGTTTGGCTGGATGGATGGATGGCGGGGGGAAGGGGTGCGGATGGGATGGGTATTGGAAAGCGGGATGGGGAAGGGGAATAAGGGCCTACATACATGTATGTGCTCGGGTGTATTGTACTCTATACTGTATGTTGGTAATAGTTGTGTCTGGAGTCTAGATGATTTAGATGGAGATATCTCATGGAGATTGATGTTTTACATCCATCTTTACGCTCCATCCCTCCCCGTCCATGCAATCCCAGTTTCGATCCCTGCAATCCGGCAGTGGATCCCCACAAACGTGGGAGGCCCGTCTTCGCACTACGAACGAGGGGTGACCAACTACTGCACCCCGCAGTCCGTCACCCACGGAAGAGAGAGAGAGAGAGAGCATGGACGACACCGACCCGCCACCCCCCAAGCCCAAGAGCTACCTCCTAACCAGCGCGCTCACGCCGCTCGGGCACGCGCTCTCGCTCAGCCTGCTGGACCTCGGCGCCTCCCTCGCCGCCTGCTGCACGCGCACAGAGCTCAGCTCCCCGCTCCTAACCACACTACGCGCACACATGCACAGCGGTACACTGATCATCCTCGAGCTGGACCCACTCTCCGCGTCCATCTGCCAGTCGGCGCTCGCCACGGCCGTGGCCGCGTTCGGCCGCATCGATGCCGTCGTCCACACTGGTGTGCCGACGTTTGTCGGCGCCCTCGAGGAAATGGCCCCCGGTGATATCACCCGCCAATTCGAGGCGGGGTACTTCGGCCGCGTTAATGTCGTCAAGGCTGCCCTGTCCGTCATGCGGAAGCAGCGCGGCGGGCATATTGTGGTTGTTACTGGGCTCACTGGCGCGATGGGAACGCCAGGACTGAGTCTTAGGTCGGCGGCGGATCATGGCATCGAGGGGTTGTGTGATGCTCTGGCGTTCGAGGTCGCGCCGTTCGGGATTAGGGTTAGCATTGTGCAGCCCGGCATCGAGACGGCGGTCTGGGGCGCCGGCGAGGTGGTGGTTGTCAAGGAGAAGGAGGAGTATAGGGACCTCCCCGGGGGGGAGGCGGCGCGGCGGGTGCGGGGACTTGCGGAGCGGGTGGACAAGATGGGCGGGATGGCGGAGGTAGATGGGCTGGCGGATACGGTCAGGATCGTGGTGGAGATTGTGGGGAGCGAGAATCCGCCCGGCAGGGTCACCGTGGGCGAGGAGCAGGTCGAGATTGTCAAGGAAAGACTAAAGACCCTGAGTGAAGAGCTCGAGGAGTATTTGGAGGCGAGCTTGGGCGCGGATATTACGGCGCCGCCGGGGCAGGGCGGCACCGGGGGCAGGTCCCGGCCCGTCGCGGGAGAGATCGGGGATGAGTGAGTATGTAGATACCAATGTAACTTCATGATGATTAGGAGCAACGAGCAACGAGCAAAGCAGCGCATGCAGCGCATGCAGAACAGACATACACTTCGCTATTGCATTCACAAGCGCAAGTAAACGTCCTACCGTGACCATCCCTCCCCACCAGCTACGCATACGCCACCCCCGCCGCGACCACCAGCTCCAAGTTTGTAGCGCCCTCAAACATCGCCAAATCCCCAACCTGGGTCCTAAGCAGTCTCTTGACCGTTTCCTGCAGGAGCTCGTACCCCATTCCGGCCATCTCGGTGGCGCACTCGATCGCCTCGCTGATACTGATGGTCGGGACGACCCTGGCCGCCTCGTCCCTGCTCAAACAACCCTCGCTATCTAGCTCCAGCAGCGTGGCGTATTTGTTCCCCCGCGCAAAGATCTCAAGGAATATCAGGTCGTCCGTCTTCACGTATCCTGGGAAGTGCCGCGACCGCCGCAGGAACAGGTACAGATCGTGCACGGGTCGGCTGTACCATTGCGGGCTGAGGCGCGTGCCAAAGAAGTGGAAAGCCTGGATCGTGGTGGGGTTAGTGGGGGCGGGGGAAAGGGGATGGGATGGATTATGGGAAACGGGAAAGAGCTTACGACGAGGATTATCTCCCGCGCTTTGCGGAGGTTGTAGGAGCTGGGGGTCTCAGCTTGGTTCATGGTGGTGCTGGAGGTGGTGGTGGCGGTGGTGGCAGTGGTGGTGGTGGTTGCTGCAAATGTGTGCGAGTGTTTGTGCAATTAAGAAGGGTTGATGGGAACTGAGGTGCAGTATGCGATGAGTGACCTGTAGAGCAGCAGCGGTGGGCGAGGAAACCAGCGGGTCTTCTCAACGGACGTTACCTGTCTGCAGTCATCCACAGATCATCACTCGAAACCTTCCCCCCTCCCCCACCCCATCCCCCCAACGTTAGTTGAATCCATAGTCTTCAGTATCAATCGAACCAAACTATATCATTCTCGTCTACCCCACGGCCTGGATGGTGCTTGACCTGTAATGATCAAACTTGAAACAACCGCTTTTTTCGCCGCTCACGGGAATCGACATGACCTTAGCAGGGCTAACTGCACCCATCAGTCCTAGCGACTGTATTCGCTAAATGAAGAACCGGCCGACACTGCAGTTACCAGTGGTCCAGTGTTGATCCACAGCAGTCGCGGCTTCGCTATGCTCATACACCGTACACCCCGCATTGCGCCCATTGCTATACACATCATATCACTCGGGAATTCATTTCCCATCTTATTGAAATAGGTATGCGATGGAGAATGGTATGAGATTCATTTCCTTGGTGTGCTCATTTCCTCGGTGCGCTCATACATTGCTGGGACAGGCCACGGCGGGGGCAGGGAAAGCCACATCGGGCCACTCGATGAAAGTCGGGTCGGACAGTGGCGAGGAAACGGAGTGTGTACATATATTGCCATGATCTACTTAGGTCGCAAGCAATCACTGATTAAACAAAAAATAAAATAAAATATGATGTACTGTATGAGATGTATTGAATGCCGATTAAGTGAAAGAAGAATATTTATTTCTTCTGTATGCATACAAAATGAGAGCTTCTGTAAACACCAAGATACATACGCTCGTCTGTCGGAAATGGACAAGCAAACACGTGACAAAAACCACGTGATAAACGTCAGCTATGGGTCGTTGTAGAGTAAATGGCACTGCACAGACCGCTGTAATACCAACAACACGGCCCATCCCGCTCGACTCTCTGCCCTGGAGCCTGGCGCGAGTGACGACATGTGTTTACGCAATTGGATTACTGAGGTTAGTTAGTGGAATTTCTTTGTTAAATGCATTATTGTAGATATCTCTACTCTACTGGCCATGACCTTAGGGCTTCATGCTGTATGGATTATCAATCAATCAATCAAGCAATTGGATTCCACGTTCTGCCTACTTGGTAATCGTTCTAGCAACTCAACTACTGCCATCCCCGGTAGATACTAGTTAGTAGAGACAGGACGTCAATGCCAGTCACTATTGCCAGCCACGAAGTCGGTGACAGCGGGGTGGAAACGGACACATATACCAGTACCTGCCATGATCCAGGTACGATACTAAGGTCGAATGCAATGATGATGAGTAAACAAAAAAACATCAATGCCAGCCGATAGTTACTAGTAACTAGAGTACATACGTGCAACCGGCGTTGCCGGGACCTGGGACCTGACTAGGACACTGGATAGCGCATGCGCGAGTGCTCTATGTACCTACGTGTATTTATCACTGTATCGCGGCAGTAAAATCACGCATTCAGGCCGCGACGATGCTATGTACTACTCTATGTATCTAGGTATGACCCACCGGTCGTTAGGAGTACGGTTGAGTCATGCCTACAGGTAGCTAGTTACCAGGTATGTACCTACATACCATACCTGCCTACATACATGCAGGGCCCGTTATCCGCGAGCTACATATACCGGTACACATCCTACGGCTATGGAGGGGCTATTTACTACCTACTAGTAGTTGGACACCTTGACTCGTCCTCGTATCGGTACTAAATAGTAGGTTAGCTATGCAGGCAACAGAGCAACTACACACATAAACGCGCAATGCCTGTCCTCGACAAGGGACCGAATCGTCTACCTGGCCTACATACCTATGTACAAACCTATCCGAAGTGGAGGCTTCATAATCGCCCCGTAATTAACTACCTACGTAGGACAGCCCACATCCCACATCCCACATCCCACATCCCACTTCCTAGTTACCCTAACGCACCTTATGGGCGGATCCCGGGATCCCTACATCTTCTAACTAACTTCCTACCAATCAATGATCCCGGGGGGTTGGGAGTGGGGGCCATGACGCGTGAGACGGCACACCGGTGAGCAAGCGAGTGACGTCTCGTGTCCGCACATCCCGGCGTAGTGTTGGCAGTCGGTGCTATTCGGGTCCGGCCGACAGGCGTAGGGAGTATATAGGAGGTATATAAGCCGGCTGCCCTGAGGAGGGCCGAGGGTGGGGGTATAAGGACGATGACGAAGTTTACTGTACCGCTCATTGGGGTTGCTGTGTTGACGGCGGGTGTGGGGATGTATTTGGGAGTGGGAGGGAAGAATGATGCTGTGGGTTACCGATCAATCGGTGGAAATGGCGATGGGGGATGAGTGATGCTAATGGGCGGAACGGAGTGTAGTGTGCGATCCTTTCGAAAGCCTTCCCGGACGATACCGCGATGCCGGGGACAACGGCATACGCAGAGGCCAATGGCTTCCACTGTCCGTACTCTCCATCTCTCGCTCCCTCCGTTCCCCGGGGAGATGGAGGGCCCAACTGCAGTGACTGATATTCGGTGGTGTAGCAAACAACACGGAAGCGCACCCTTACTGCATCTTCACGCCGCGCGACACGCCGGCGGTAGCCTTCGGCGTGCGGACTATGGTGTCCACGTCGACGGAGTTTGCGATCCGCAGCGGCGGCCACAGCATGAACCACGGGTTCGCGTCGACGTCCTCGGGCGTTCTCATTTCGCTCGGCGCAATAAAGACGATCGACATCGATGTCGCCGGGGGGACCGCGGTCCTCGGCGCGGGAAACACCTGGGGAGAGGCGTACGCCAAGCTCGCTACCAGCAACGTGACGGTGGCAGGGGGCCGCGCTAATACCGTCGGCGTGGGCGGACTGAGTCTCGGCGGAGGGCTGTCCTTCCACCTCTACGAGCACGGCTTCGGCGCCGACAACATCGTCTCCTACGAAGTCGTCACGGCGGCGGGGAAGATAATCACCGTCAATGCCGAGTCCTATGCGGACATGTTCCTTGCCCTGAAGGGCAGTGGCGCGCCGTTCGCGCTCGTCACGAATTTCACGTACCGGCTCTTCCCCGCCACGCCCATCTGGGGCGGGACGATCTTCAGCGGCTCCGGCACCATCCCCGCGCTGTCGAAGGGAGTGGCCGAGTTTATGGCTACGGGCATCGAGGACGTGAAGACGCATCTGATCGCTGGCATAGCGATGCAGCTCGTTGACGCTGGCGACGGGAACATGGTGGTGGGGAAGTTCTGTCTCGGGATCTACTACTACCGCGATGCGATCGCCGGACCCCCGGAGGCGTTCCGCGAGATGATCGCGGCGCAGAAGAAGGAGGAGATCTTCAATACCATTGCTTCGCCGAGGGATGTGGCCGGGTTGACCACGGAGATGGTGCCGCCTACCGTCACGAGGCAGATGCAGGTTCCGTGGATGATGATCAATCCGACCGAGGAGGTGTTGAAGCGGCAGGTGGAGATCGTCGAGGAGGTGTACACGGAAGCGGTGAAGACCATCCCGGGCTTCGCTGCATCGCTGAATTTCATTCCCGTGGGAGAGCAGGGGAGGTGGGACAATGTCCTGGGATTGAAGAAGGGTGTCAAGTATCTCCAAGTGCACAACTTCATCGGCTGGCCTAATGAGAAGGACGATGGCGCAGTGCGGGAGGTCGCCAGGCAGATTGCCAGACGTAGTACGGAGTATCTCAAGGAGGTTGGGCATTTTGATAAGTTTATGTGAGTCTCCCTCCTTCCCGACAAACTGGTGGTGGTGGTGGTGGTGGTGCTGATGACGATAGTTACATGAACTACGCATGGGACGAGATGGACCCGATCGCGACGTACGGAGAGGAGAACATTGAAAAGATCCGAAAGGTGCAGGAGAAATACGATCCCGACGGCGTATGGACGAAGCTCGTCAAGGGCGGGTTCAAGGTTCCGCCACGGACTGGTGCCGTATAGAGTAGTTGCAGAGACGAGGAGCATGTGGATTATATAGAGTACTGTATCTGTAATGTGGACAGAATATATAGAGCACCTATATAAGATGTAATTGAAGTAAGGTGTATCCATACGTTTCGAATTCCATATGTAGTGTACAATACGCACGTGAAGTGCAGCCACCCGATACCGGTACTGGCCGAGTCGCACATGCCCATTGCCGGTGCCCATGCAGCCCTACGAAAAGTGACGACACGGCAGGCATCCGTATGTACTGACTACGTAACTACGTCAACCGAGTGTGATTGGCCAGCGGCCGCTCTCCCAGGCTGGGGAGAGGGAGCTCATCATGGTATCGTCACACTCACGTATGACGTGAGGATCTTCACGATGGGCGTATATATAATCAGCACACGGCCGAACCACATCAATCACTCACACTCAATCCAACAATAACAACAATATCACCACCCACATAACCATACAACGCAAAAACAACAAAATGTCCGACATCTTCCACAAGAACGACTCAAAGATCAAGCCCAAGACGCGGGGCGAGGCCGGCTTCGAATTCGGCACCTCGGAGACTCTGCAGTCGCAGGACCTCACCGACGGCTTCTACGAGATTCCGGCGACCCTCGAGCCTCGCGGCAGTGCTGCTAAGGTTCGCCCCTTCTCTCCCCCACTTTCCTCCCCACCCTATATATGTATACTGACACCACCGGCAATTTTTTTAAAAGGCAATGCGTGACCACCACGGCGGCCACAACCCGGCGAAGGCGTTCACGTCCGAAGGCGCTGTGGGGAAAGAGTTCAAATGTGAGGAACCCCTTCCTGCCCCCAGTGCCCGCCCCGTCCCCGACCCCCGCCGCACCGACACGCCCGTTCCGGGGGAGAAGCTGGGGTTGCTGATGTGATTTTTATTTCCTTGGGTGATTTAGCGGAGGGGAGCATTGGATCTACGGTGCAGAGTGCGGGTCAGGGCGGCGTGCTGGACAAGAACGGGCCTGTCGGGAAGCAGTTCACTAGTGAGGGGAAGATTGGCGGCGCGGTTGATAAGATGCTCGGGGAGAAGAAGTAGTTGCGAGGGCTGGGGATATGGGTATGTAGCAGCCACGTGGGGAAGGGGAGGGGGGATGGTGTAATGAACGTTTTTAGGTTTTTTTTGTGGTTGCTTTGCTTGCAGTTGCAATTGCACTTGTTCGTCAGAACTGCAGTCTTCGTGCCAATGCTGTGTAAAACGTATAACTACCAATCGCCGCAGCCTCACTCGCCGCAGCCCCCTTGCCGTACCCAACGCCGCCCACGAATCTACGATATCTGCCACAGCCCTATGACCGCGCCAGCAATCCCCAATCTTCGCTATCTGTCCGTCCGTCCGTTTTGCACTACCACTAAGCCTACTAATAAAACAGTGCCGAGAGGTTGGTAATAACCTCTCGCTTGCGTGCGTGAAAGCCTACAGGGGAAGGAACGTTAAGCAAACTAACCCTACAGGTGCGAGAAAAAGGCAAAAAACCAGGCTCGCGTGGCGCTAAATTTCGTGGCTTTATGACGTCCCATTATATGCCCAGCCCACGCGCATTACATACTCTACATACATCATCTTCATCATACCGGCTCGTGTTGTAAATGGGTTCGATTAAATTAATAGTGGTGGGGGTATAACGAGTCCGTCCGTCCCGTTGGAGGGCTGAGCCATAGGGTGCAGCTAATAAGGGAAGGGGCGGGAACGGGAACGGAGGTGATTCCGTCAATCCATCCATCCATATTCCCACGTGAGTGAAAATAAGGGCTTGCGGTTGAGCAACTTATTACCACAAAACCAAAGGAGCGAAATTATTAGCTAGAACAAAAGACGAAAGAAAGAAGAAAAAACCCAAATACCAAACAAACATTATGCATCCATTTCGATATTTCCCAAATGAGTGACGGGAAACAAGAACGAAATAATCCCAACTCCCGAAGTTTCCCAATTAACCGTCCAAAAAAAGACCGACCACACACACGCGCGTGAAAAATGCTGCTGAATTTCCAAAAAATGCAAGAAAAAAAATTAATATTGAGATTACCCCCATTCTATGATTACAGTACGAACCAGAACTTAGTTGAGCACGACGGGCACGGCGGTACGCCTGGCCCTTTTATTTCGGCGCGTGGAGGTCGTTCTCCGGGCGGACGTGGAGGTCGTTCTACGAGTGGACGTGGTGGAAGTCGTCCTACGAGTGGACGTGGTGGAAGTCGTCCTACGAGTGGAAGTGGTGGAAGTCGTTCTCCGCGTTGTGGACGTGGTGGTGGGTCGGGCGGTAGTGGTGGGCCGAGTTGAAGTGGTCGCTCTCGTCGTAGAGGTCGATCGAGTAGTGGTGGTCGGCCTGGTTGTGGAGGTGGATCTCGTTGTGGTCCTCGTGATCGGCCCAGCTGTAATCAAACCGGACCTCCTGGTAGACGTTGTGCTGGTGCGAGTGGTGGTCGGTGTAGTAGTAGGGGTGCGAGTGGCGGTCGGTGTAGTAACGGTGGGTGTGGTGGTCGGTGTGGTGGTCGGCGTGGTTGTCGGTGTGGTTGTCGGCGTGGTGGTCGGTGTGGTGCTGGTCGTCTCCGTCGTCGTAGTCGAGCTGGATGTACTGGAACTGGTCGACGATGTGGTGGACGTCGAAGAGCTGTCATCACCCTCAATGCGGGTAAGATGGTATTGGAACAACGCTTGATCGACATCGTCCGAACTGGCGTAGGCATCGAGGGACGAGAAGAAAGGCAGAGTCTCGGTGCGGATCGTCTGGAGGTCTGTTCCGGTGTAGGGCTCCGCTCGCCATCTTTCTTCCATCGGATCGATGAAGCGCGTGGTCTCCGGGTAGCCAAAGTCCTTGAGCGCAGTAACGTTGAAGGCACCCATCATGTCGTGGTCCTCGTGCACCAGGTTGTGGCAGTGAAACATGTAAACACCGTCCCAAGGCGCGTACCTAGCCAGGACCCTGACCTTCTCGTTGGTTCCCAAGAGAACGACGTCTTTAAGACCGGCTGCTTCGTAAGGCATGACCTGGCCCCTTCCTCCCGTCCGCGAGAGAACTTGGAAATCGACGAGATGGATATGGACGGGATGACTCCAGCCACCGCTGCTGTTCTCGAGCTCCCAGACCTCAACACTTCCACGCGGAGGCCTCGCCAGAATACGGTTCTCGACGTTCGCGAAACCAACACCGTTGATCTGCCACACACCATTGTGCCTCTCGAACTTGAAGCTGCGGTCGACTCCGGATCTTGCCGGGGGCATGTTGAGGTTGATCAGGGAGCTCGGCGCACCTCCATTGTTGGAATTATCTGTCACGGTATTGCCAACCACGAACTGCATCACTCTGTCGGTCCCCGCGTAATCCTCGTCCTTCATGACATCGCGAGAATTCCTCATGGTGATTCTCTTTCCCCGGTACGCGGCGAAGTCCACAATGATCTCCCATCGCTCGGCCATGGAGAGGTACAGGTCATCGGTAACGACCGGACGTGCCATATAACCGGCATCCGAAGCGACGACGGTGAACGGAATGCGGGAAGTCGTGCCAGCTTCGACGAGAGACAGACGGAAAGCACGACTGATGGAAGCATCAAGGAGTCGGAAACGGTACTTGCGAGGTTCGACGTTCAGGAACGGCCATGGTTGTCCGTTCTGTAAATTCTCATGTCAGCAAAACGTGCGCTTTAGGAACTATGTGGGATAGGGGCTGTCTCTGCAAACAAGGAGGTACTCACGACGTGGATAACATCACCCCACAGACTATCAGTCTCGCCTACAGGTGAGAACAGGGTACCATCGGCCCTGTACTGTTTCGACAGAAGCATGAGAGGAATGTCATAATCTCCCTGGGGAAGAGCCAGCTGCGCTTCCTGCTCGGGGTCGTAGACAATGTAGAAGCCAGCCTGTCCGTAATACGCGTTGACAGCAGTGAGGTGCATTGCGTGGTCGTGATACCACATGGTCCTTGCGTCCTGCTTGTTCGGCCAATAGTAGTCCTGGGGAAAAGATGTCAATATACCATGCCAACATACGGAACATCTACAAGTAAACCAACCTTGTACTGCCCAGGGGCGATCGTGTCTTCCGCCCACCCATCGAAAGGGGCACGGGAAAAAGAACCGTGAAGATGTATGGCCGAATTTCTGTTATATTCGTTGACGAAGCGCACCAAGGCTGCCAGTCCATCAGCATCGATGGACACGAGTCACAAAAGCGAAAGTGGAAACTCACACTCGCGCCCACGTGGTATCATGAACGTAGGACCTGGACTGATTCCATCATAGCCGACCTCTATGGCCGGCTGAAGGTCTGGATATGCCTGATGCTCAAAGGATCGGATGCGAATCTCGTAGAAATCAATCGGAATTCCGGTCGTCTCGTTGATATACGTTCTGCAGAGATAACCGAGTTAATATCGCTAGATATATCTATGGAGCTCATCTTTTTTTTGCATGCATGCGGAGCAGTGCAGGGACGAGTAGTATCATGCGGAGATCATGGGCTGAACACGAGACGGGAGCCAATTGCATTGACAAATGTGAAGGGAGAAGATGAAGGAGTAGAACTTACGCCTGTGGAACGGCTATAGGGGGTATAGGCAGTGGAAATTCAAAGAAATTATTGTACTACGAAGCATATTGTCAGTCATGTAAACCCAAAGATGAGGCAACCTGGGAAAACATACCACCGGAGATTCCCAATCATCGTCACCGGCAATAATGGCTCTAGGAGCCAACGCGAGCAACAGGCTCGCAACCACTCCAGGACTGAACTTCATGGTGAGGTAGGCGTGATGTTAGGTATCTCAGCCCGATGAGGTTGTCGTGAAGCAATGAATGAATGTTCTGTCCGGAACACAATAATGACAGTGTGTAGTGGTGGCCGTGGGGGGGGGGGGGGGGGGGGGGGCTGGAGGGGGTGAGCTGTGAGGAGCTAGAAGTTCTCCCAAGGCCTTTATATCAATACCTGCAAGTGGCCATGCCTGTGCGCCTCGAAGATTGTGCAAAAAGGAACTAAAGGGGAAGTGCAAAGCCCCACAAGATCACAAAGCGCCATAACCATCTGCGAGAGCTGCATTGATACAGCCAAGCGCGACTAGAGCAGGCAGTCCTCTGTTGGCTAAGAGAATACGAGGAGTGATGGGGAGAGACTGGCGGTGACCCCCCACCCGCCGCTCGAAGTGACCGTAGGAAGAGTATTCTTGTCCGCCGTGCGAGACTGCGGCCCGTGACACTTTAGAACACTCTGGATCCCAGGGGGAATACTCCAGGGAGCCCGGCTGTGGGTATCAATGCTGGCAATTGTTTGGCCGCTTCCCTGCGAGACCTTCGCGACCGTGGCGACAACGCGAGTGGCCTGCTGGCTGGCCGGCCTGCATATCCATTCTGCCCTCCGTGAGTCCGTTCCCCTGCTAGGAACACCAACGGTGAACCGATCAAGCGCCACATATCGTACCGACCTCGATGCTGAATCGTGGCCAACCGGCGTTCATCTCGGTAACCGGACTTCCACCCGCCGGAAATTCTCATTCCCATCCTAGGCACAGTGGCCGTGATGGACGGTTCACAACCCTTTGGATGCGCTCGTTCTGTCGATGATGTCTCTCGTCCAGGTACGGGGCTTCAGGTATTGGCCAGCAAACGCGAGGCCGTCCCGCCCAAGCCCAACAAGGCAACGAAGGCGTAGAGCTGCTTTTGGGCTAGGACACAACCATTTGTGACAATATTGGCGCGGATGCATTGATGGAATCGGCCTCCCCTCCGCGACCTCTGTTGTGCGTCGGGCAAGATCGTATCAGCTAATCACACCCAAGTTGGAACGAAACAATTTGACTTCTCTGACGAAACGAAGATCACGGCCGGTGAGATGGTTGACAACAGTGTGTTTACTCACCTAAGTACTAGGCAGTTATAGTTATCGCACGTGTCGTTCAATTATACCGTAGTTACAGGTAACAGGGCTCACCCAGCTACCGGTACCGGTACGGTGTGTAGATCAATTCTAGTACAAATCCTCTCGGCCCGCGAGATCACCGCGCTCGCTAGCAGATTGAGAGAAGCTTGTTTGGATGCTGCCCCACAAAGTCCGGCGGCGAAGATCCTTCTCTTTTCTCGGGCTGAAGTCCGAAACTCTTCGTGTTTCCACGCGCATCACCATCATCACCAATGTCCTCGATGTTGTTCTCCCCTATTTTTTTTACCCTTTCCTTTTTTTACCCTTTTCTTTCCTTTTCCAAAGGGAGACGGGCAAAGTTCGCGAGTGTCCTGGATGGCACCTGCCCCTTGCATGCGTGCAGGGGAAAAGTGTAGGGAAAAACGAGAGACAACCTCGTCGCGGCTCGGCCAATGGGGCACCCGCACCAGACCCGAATAAGGTGTAAGTAGACAGTAGGACTCGGGTAACCCACCAATAATCTGCGCTATCAATAGTTGACGACTTCAAAAGTTCAGCTGAGGCGTGAAGGCTGCTAACCTCTGTGAGCACTCGCGTCGCGTGCATTCCGACGGCCAGGGGGGGGGGAAACGGACGCTTTGCTCGGGGTGGATGGGGTGGGCAATGCGCACTGGGCGTATGGAGAGGCCTGGTTGTGGACTTCTCGCCGGCCAATCCTGGTCTTAGATCGCCGGCTGTATCTTGCGATATCTATAGTTCATGGCATGGAGGCTAGGTAGGTAGGTAGACCGTATGTAGGAGTCTGGAGGTAGGTGTCAGTCATGACTAGCCGTGACCCGGTGTTGTGGATCGGCGTGGAGGAATCGCCAGGCCCTGGAAAGTGGAGGAGATACCGCCGGTGTGTCCGGCTCTAATTCTGGCGACATGCGAGGTGGAGATAGCAGCTGGGCATGGCGGCGGTGGGAATAAGGAAGATTGTAATATGACAGTCTGTAATAACAGAAGGCGCTGTGCTCCGTGGACGCCAAGGCATCAAGTCTGCCTCCAACGTTTGTGTACTCGTGTACTCTACACAAGGGTCGGTGGAATTTAGGTTGATGATTCACATAGCATGGAACCTTATGTATAAGGTTAACTATGGCCGGTAAGGGTAGGAAGGTGGGTATGCGTGTTCGTATGGAATAGAGAGTGCTGTTACCTAAACCGTCCGCTTCTCACCAAAAGTGGATCCCGCCGCCTTGCTGCACAGTCATAATTGGAATTGCGAGGACCGAAAACAACCGTCGAGATCCCAAACGCGGATCCTGGGATCCACAAGGCCTTTCGCTTGCGAGTCTCGATTAACACTCTTTGTCGCTCGGAATGTACTAGGTACAAAGTAGTAACATAGGTAACTAAGACCATCCCTACGAACCGGACCGTGAAGCTGCCCCATGCTCAAGCTGCCCCATGCTCAAGCCGAACCGTCGCCACATCGCGCGCAGTGCGAAGTGCTTGTGTACAATTCCCAGAGACAGACTTCCGGACCGTGTCAACGGCGACCCACAGCCCAGTGTCCCACTAGACATCTTGCACTTGTTAGGTATCACGTATAACAGCTGTATGTACCGGAAGACTTCGGATGTCAGGCTGGAATAAATACTCCAACAGCCATTCCCGCATATACAGCTTGCAGCACTGCGTACGGACTGTACCGTACGGGTCATCGATCACATTGCAAGACACGATGAGCGCCACAAACGAAGCTGATATCCGAAAATGTAGCCAAGATAATCCCGCTTCACTCGCGAATGGTTTATTGTGCACTCGCCGTGAAGTATATTCAACGTGAATAGCCCTGCGCACACACTGTGTAGAAGTTTGCCTCAAACCAACTAAAGACAGTACTAGCGAACGCAGGAAGCCGATGGACCGATGCTGCAGAGTAAAATCGCCAAGAACTAGTAGTTGGCAATCTGGGCTTCCTCGAGCTCGGCTTCGCCGTGAATTCGCTGCTTTGCCTTGTCCAGCTTAACGTTCATTGCTGCCTGGTGGAAGCGAGTGAGTTGTCAGTAAACACCCACTTCACGGACGATAGCTGGTGCCAGAAGGCAAGAGGATATTCAGCGACCGTAGTGTTGCCACTGCAATTGTACAAATAGGAGGTGCTTCCAATTTTGATGTTCGAGTCGTGATCGGCCAAGACACCGTTTGCCACCCATCACCTGCCGACTGGGCACACACCATCCGGTTTGAGTGAATTCTAGATTTATATACCAGTCGCCTCCATTGTTCTTCCGGGTCTTCTCTCGCTGCGGGGCGGTGACGAACAAAAGCGACAGGTGGAACCGAGTGTCCACCCTAAGAATTTCCCTCTGGCTTCCTGCTAGGAGAGTAGGTAGAATCTTGTGAGCTCTCCTGGCTTATGGCCGTCCGCTGAAGCCAGAAAAAACTCAAGGTGACACTCGTAAAATTCCACGAGCACTATCCATAGATGGATCGAGCCATGCACTATGATCCAGTATATATTAGCACCCCTTGGCATAACCGACCCACTGGCAAACGGGGATTCGCAGAAGGGATACGACATCGATCCTGTGATAGTACCCCGTGTTCTGAAGCCAACATCAGACGAGATCTAGACCCGTTTTCTCTCGACCAGCCAGTCAAAGACACAATCAACTGCAGCACGCCGTCGACGCCGTCGACGTGGTCGTCGTTGTCGAGAACCGCTACTTCCAAGCGTGATCTTCGTGTACTATATTAGGGGTGCACTTGTTTATGCAACACATCCATCTGATCCGCCTTATCAGCTTCGCTCGTCCAAGGCCTTGGGGGCATGACTTACCTATTTATCCACCGTGGATCTCAACTAAACATTCTATGCTCGGTCTTGCAGGAAGCTAGACCCCGCTCTTTCTCGCGAGCGATCCATGGGCTCGGGACCAATTCTTTTGCAGCGCCGAGCCTCGTATTCCAAAAGCCTGAAGACCCATGTTTCTCTCGGCGTTCGTGGTAGTGCGTAGAGTACTCCTGTTGACGACCATTAATGATTCCGAATCAACGCGGTTTTGCAGCCCAAAACATACGTACACGGTACACTCTCCTTCGTCTTTCGACGGCAAACACTCGATGTTCAACCCTCTTCCCCATGTCCGTGGATCGATCCTCGACCATTGTTGTCACTGCCCTTGTTGTCGTCTAGATGTGGTGGCCATTGCCGTGGGGCCAGTTCGGCGGTGGTGACAAGGAAGGATGGACCTAGAGTCGTATGGAGAAATTCGAGTGCTCGAGCTGAGCTCCACTCCCCTGTCCCCCCACGTCCCCACGCCCCCCCGCGTCCCCGCATCCCCCACGAGCTCGGCCTCCGACGACACTCTCGCACGAACCTTTCAGCCCGTCATGCCGGAATTCGGGTATTGATATCGAGCAAATACCTCTGTGAACGCTTCGGCCAATCTCAAAATATGGACCGAATTGCTTGCATAGATCCCTAATGCACGCCCATGTTTGTCTCGCTTCCCTGCACCAACCACAGTCGCATGATTCCATTCGTTGGACGAGGGAGGGGAGGGGATAGGTAGCTGTCTTACAGCCGCACATCGAGATCGAATCAGACAGATTACCGCCCATTCTCGCATGCAGAAATGTCCTCCGCGCCGCCACAGCACCACCATCATCCCCCACTTCACCAAGCCAGATAGTTACCCACCACACATAAAAAAAAAAAAAAAGCCCGCACAACCCGTCCGTCCGTCCGTCCCTCCCCGCCGCCGCCGCCACCGCCGCCCGTCCAACCGTCATGCCAGCATCACTGCCCACGCTCCCCACGGAGCTACTCTACAAGATCGGCGGCTTCATCGCCTCCTCCCCCGCGACGCTGCGCGCACTGACCCTCACCAGCCGACGTTTCCACATCGTGTACACGCGCGCGCTGTACGCACTCGCGCCTCTGCACCGGTTCTCCCACGACTCCTCGACGGTGCTGCACTGGGCGATCCAGCACAACCGCGCACGCGTGTTCACGCTTCTGCTGCCGCTGTGCCACAGCACCGTCAACCGCATCCGACAGACGCCGCTGCACGTGGCGCTGAAGCACGTGCACCCCGAGTTCACGGCCGCGCTGCTGGCGCTCCCGGCGATAAACGTTAACGCCGCCGACTCCCTCGGGTCTACGCCGCTGCATGTCGCTGTCGCTGCGGGCGATGTCGATGCAGTAGCACGGCTGTTCGCCGCTGGCGCGGATATAATGCGCGCTGATAATGCGGAGCGCACGGTGCTGCACACCTTGGCGTATCCGCCGACCCCGCCGTCGAATGCGCTGGTGCGCCTGCTGCTAAAGAACGGCGCGGAGGTCAGGGTCGTCGATAAGTTTGGGAAGACGGCGCTGCATTGGGCGTGTGGGAATGGGCATGAGGAGATGGTGCGGCTGCTGCTGGAGGCGGAGGCCGGCGGCCAGAAGCTCGTTAATCACTGCGATGGGAGGGATAGGACCCCGCTGTGGTTGGCTGCCGAGAGGGGCTATGATAGGATCGTGGAGAAGTTGCTCAAGGCGGGGGCTCATCTCTACGGAGAGTGTCCGCTGCTCATCGCGGCGGGGATGGGAAGGGTGCAGGTGGTTAAGCTTTTGGTGGGAGAATTTGGGGTTCTGCCTGGGGCTATGGAGAGAGCTACCGAAAACGGGTTTTGGGAGGTGAGGCAAGTGCTTCTGCAGTATGGTACGAGGGTACCGGGAAATTCGGGCATGGGCTATTGGGGATGGCATCACGATTCTATGATGAAGAGCGGGCTGGGGAGTGTCTGCGGAGACAAGAGGAAAGGGGAGGTCGAGGGCCAACAGGCTGTCAGATGCAGCAGGCGGCGACTGGAGCAGCCCATCACCGAGTGGCCCGAATGGCCCGAGTGGCCGGCGATGGAATGAGTAAGGGTTGGTTTATTGGGCAGTAGTTTGTCCGTTCGATGTGTGTTCTAACTGCTAGGTGGATTCCATTATTGTTTTTCCTTTGAGCGAACATTTAGAATTGAGCGCGGAGTAATGGTGTGTTTTTCTTCTGCAGTTGATGTCCGTCTTTGGGGCTTTTTGGGGGTATATCGGATCTAGGCGCACACGAGTACAATGAATTGACCTAGGAATTCTTCACGATCACTATGAGTGGTTTCTTCCATTCGTAACATAAGCATTATCCAGTCACACACGACATGCCCTATCATACCGGTAGTAGGTTCTAGACATCTACCGTTTCAGGCTGAATCCACGGAACGGGCGGAAAAACATATCTCCACATAGTTAACTACGAGGGGTGATCCACTCTACAGTTGCCGTGATGCCGTCGCCGGAGGTATCACCCCGCATTCTGCAGAGTCCGGGGTATATTGTACCGATTTCCACGCCGACATCCGGGATCCCGATGGAACCTTAAAACCTGCCCGCCCGCTCCTTCCTCTCGCCCTCTTCTGTCCACTCTGCTCTCGTCTTTCATCATCGATTGCGCAGACATGGTGACAATAACTTCCCACATCTCGCGGGATGTGCGCTTTCCCGTACGCTTCCCCCCCGTCCCACCCCTCCTCCCCCCGCAATGCTGACTTCCGTACTTAGACCTCACTCGACAAAACCGGCTCAGACGCCATGAACGACGCGGGCGACTACTCCTCCGCGTACTGCATCCTGCGGACGTCGGACGCAGCGCTCTCAGGGCACGGGATGACGTTTACTATCGGACGGGGCAACGACATCGTGTGCTCGGCGATCGACGCGCTCGCCGTGCGGATCCACGGGCGCACTTTGGAGTCGCTCGTGGCCGATATGGGCGCCACGTGGCGCTGGCTCGTGGCCGACTCCCAGCTGCGCTGGATCGGCCCGGAAAAGGGCGTTATCCACCTGGCCCTCGGTGCCGTCGTTAATGCACTTTGGGACCTGTGGGCGAAGAGTGAAGGAAAGCCGGTGTGGAGGCTCGTTGCGGATTTTACGCCGGAGGAGCTCGTGAGGTGTATCGACTTTAGGTATATCACTGATGCGATCACGCCCGAGGAGGCGGTCAAGATGCTGCAGGACATGCTGCCCGGGAAGGAGGAGAGGGTTAAGGAGGCGGAGAGGAATGAGGCTGTGCCCGCGTATACCACTTCTGCTGGTGAGTTTTTTGCCCCGCTCCCTCCCGATGATACATTAAGCTGACGAACCTAGGATGGCTCGGCTACGGCGAAGAGAAGATGCAGCGGCTTTTAGAGGAGACGCTCGCGGAGGGGTACACACACTTCAAACTGAAAGTCGGGGGGTCCGTGACCGAAGACCGGAAGCGGCTCACGATTGCGCGGCGCGTGCTCGGCTACGACAAAGGCAACGTTCTGATGGTGGACGCGAACCAGGTGTGGTCCGTGCCGGAGGCGATCGAGTACATGCAGCAGCTGGCGGAGTTCAAGCCGTGGTTCATCGAGGAGCCGACGTCGCCCGACGACATCCTCGGACACAAGGCCGTGCGCGACGCTCTGCGCCCCCTCGGCATCGGAGTCGCTACCGGTGAAATGTGCCAGAACCGTGTCATGTTCAAGCAGATGCTCATGGCCGGCGCGATCGACGTCTGCCAGATCGATGCGTGTCGCCTCGGCGGCGTGAACGAGGTGCTCGCGGTGCTGCTCATGGCGAAGAAGTTCGGCGTGCCAATTGTTCCCCACTCCGGCGGCGTGGGACTCCCGGAATACACCCAGCACCTGAGCACGATCGACTACGTCGTCGTCACGGGAAAGAAGAGCATCCTGGAGTTTGTCGACCACCTGCACGAGCACTTTGTGAATCCCGCGGTGATCAAGGACGGGTACTACACTACGCCCACCCAGCCTGGGTACAGCGTCGAGATGAAGGAGGAGAGCCATAGCGAGTTTGGATACCCCGAGGGAAAGTTCTGGAAGAGTGAGCAGGCTAGACCGATTCTGGAGCATCTGAAGAGGTGATGGGATGTGGGAATGGGTCGGGTTACATAGAATAGCCGAAATGCATGCATGTCGCGGAAAATATAATCCGAGACCGAGTGAGACCGTTGTTCAGATGATCCGAGACCGAGTGAGACCGCTGTTCAGATAATCCGGGTGCCCGATGAGAGCCCATCCTGCTTTGGATAGTTACCGCTAGGTGTCACTCGTGTGTAGTCCCATCCCATCCAACTAGGAGCTATTTCCCGTCCCACCGAAACGGCGTCTAGAACAGCTACAACTATGGCTTGTACTAGAATTATACCTCGCTGTATAGTGGCTCTCGGAGTCTTTTACCCACCCTCCCGACTGTGGTTTGTGAAGAAAGTTACGTCGTCACAGCCTGGCGAACCCAAAGGCCAGGACACGTAATGTGGGAAAAGTGAAATAGGACACGCAATGACCATTCGCAATGGTCATTCGCAATGGTACGCGCAATGGTTATGCGCAACGAAGGAAGGGAAAAACTCGGGATTTTGGGAGGACAGGTGTTGTCCAGTATAGTACTGCTTTTCTTGTTTTATGGTCGTATATAAACTGTCTATTTTGTCCACTCTTTTGTTTCTCAATCAAGTACTCAGTCAATTCAATCTCTTGTTTCCTTCTCTCTCTCGCCCCAAATCCCATCCGTACGATCATACTTCCGCACCGCCCATCGACAGTTTGAAGTTTCCGAAGTAGAACGGGTGGTTGGTTACGTAGCAGCGCGGAGCTACAAATCAACAGGCGTGAGCGAAAGTTAGCGAAGCCTTGGAGTGTCTTTGACTCTGTGGCGGTGGGTGTGGCTGAAACGCGCAGGAAACCGCGCAACGGCGGGTGCTGCCTGTGTGCCTAGAGATCTAGGAGATGATGCCGCGGTTATTGATGACCTACTTCACGTAGAAACGGGTGTCGTGGATCGCAATTATATAGCGGACGGGCACGAGGCCATACTGTACATGGAATATCACTCGTATCGAGGAATCCTCGGCAGGTGTTGGAGGTCGGAGTCCTCTCAAATCCAAACCAGTCGTGTTTCCTTCGAGCGTGACTGGACTGTAGTTTAGCAGCCTTATTCTAATGATTGCTATAGTCCATTCGTCCAGACTGCAGACTATTGGTGCCCACATGCAGCTATACACAGCACAGCACAGTGAAGAGCCGAGTCTGGGATGAATTTGCAAAGACCGCACGGGTGGTTCCGTCTTCAAACTGACGGGAACTGTGGAAATTACCCATTTGGCGGGCGTCGTGGTCGGTAGAAAAATACAAAGACTTAGCCCTACAGCTTACTCTGCTGGATTTCCCGAGCCCCAGTCCATTCCAGGCTCCGAAATTGTGGTCGGATGGAACCGGGCTGGTGACGCCGTCCAGCCTGAGGCTGGAGAACGAACTCTACTGCCCTCCCTCTCTAAGCATTTCTACGAGTGATAACACATGCGCTCCGAATGACCTGCATTCCCTCATATCGCAAGAACGATGCTCAGTATATTGCCTCCACACCTCCCCCATTCCTCCTATGGTATCCCTTCACCCATCACCACCCAGCTTAATACCTCCCCACCATCCCAACCAACACGCCCACGCCCGCCTCAACGCCATCCACAACCTTCACGCTTTTCCCCACCTCCTTGGCGGCCTGTTCCACCACCTCCCTCAGTCCCACCATACCCGCACACCCCAAACAAACCACCTCAGCCCCCTGCGCCCCCTCCTTCCCCTCCTCCCCCTCTCCCACAAGCTTCCTCGTCGCCTCCCCCATCCTCGCTTCGAGCTCCTCCCTGCCAACTCTATGCAACTGATCCGCGTCTAGCCCAGTACTAGTAACACCCGCGAACCTTCCCTTACCCCCCAACAACTCCTCAACCGCAGTCGCCAGCAAGCTCTCCCACGCCGCGCCCGTCGTGACAATGCCGAACTTCCCGCCCGCCGCTCCCGACGCCCCCAGCAGCGCAAGGGAGAAGTACACGCTCGCCTCGAGAATGCCTATTACCGGTGCAGCGGTGCGCGCGCGCAGCTGCGGGACGAGGGGGTGGGCGGAGTAGCATGCGATTAGGACTGCATCGTGGGAGGCGAGGAGTGGGAGGAGTAGCGGGAGGCAGGCGGTCGCGGAGGCTGTGGAGTCGGCCTCGTTGTTGATCGACGGAGGGGAACTGGGGGGGCCGGTGAAGTACGTTGCCCTGAAACTGGGTGGGAGGAGGGGGGTGATGATCGGGACTAAAGCGGTCGTCATCGCCGTCGTGGAGTTGGGGTTGATGATTAGGAGGGACCGTGGGATGGCGGTGGAGGGGGTGGAGGGGGTGGGGTGGAGGGCTGTCATGGTTGTTGAAGTGTTGCGGTCGTGCTGCGGTTGAGAATGATGGGTTGAGGATGGTGGGTGGTGGATTGAGTTGGTGGATTAGTTGCGTTGCGGTGGTTGTGGTTGAAGGGCGGAGATGGAGGGGTGGTGGGGGAGTGATGGAATGACGTCGGTGGCTGCAGGGCTGAACAAGGGTTCGGGAATCGGGACCCTCTGACCCACCGCAACGTGAGAGGTACCTACTAGTAGTCTACTCTATCATCCGAAGTCATTCCCGATTACTACGACACATCGTGCATACTCCGAAAGAAACCCTTGCTAGATGAAGCCTTACGATTCCACCTCCTCACGAGAGCCACTCAAATTTCCCTTAGGTGAAGAAGAGTGGGTTTTGGTCACATGAAGGCGGTCCCTAGCCACGGTCCGGATCCGATGCTACACTGCACTACGGCACCAGCCATCCCACGGAACATACCGCCCGCCCCGATCCGGTCCACCCCGGACCGAAGCGTGGCGGGTGGTGGCGCCACAGCTGCAGGCAGCGAACAGGACCAGACCGGACCGGTTCCACCCGTTCTCGGGAGTGTCACTTGCTCTCACTCGGCATATATTCACTATACACAGCTATACACAGCTAGCTGGAGGAAATCACTCCACACGTAACTGCCACCATCATCTGGTAATGTCGAATGCAATGATGATACAAATCAAAAAAAAATCAAGAAAAAAAATCACTCCACTGACTGCCCTACGTATGTGTCGAACCTCCTTCGGGGTTTTATATACTGGCTGTTCCCCCTCCAGGCCAGATACTTAGATGGTCCATAAAATGAAAAGCACCAGCGAGCGGGCAACGGCAAAGGCAAAGGAAACGGCGCAGCAAGATCCAGTGCAGTCGCAGATGGCTATCAGCGATTTCAATCAATCAATCTATCGATCTAGCCTAGCAACAATCACCACCGACACCGAGATGAGACAGGACGAAGCCAGCAGCAGCCAATTCGGAAACCCAACAATCGGAACAACCCAGGGAGACCGGAAGTAACCGATTGAACAAAGAGGCGCGCAGACAACCAGGTCGAGTGAGGTGGGGTAGCGGTGGTGGTGGTGAGGACCGTCCAGTGGAAGTGTCGAGATTTCCGCTTCCACGCGGCGAATGCATGTGCTGGGAGCCTGAGACCTCGCAACGAGCAGAGGAAAATAAGGCGGAATACAACGAAAACCCCAAGATGTCGCTCCGGATGATGCGAGAGAAAAAGCAGAAGTCGTGGCATAAAGACAAGACAGCAGCCGCGCGCTCACCAACAAATAGGCGTCAACATCCTAGGACTGTGACAGATGGAGGATAAGATGAGAACAACCGGAACCGATAAGAACCTCCCATTCGTGGTTCCCTGCCCCGGTTCCAAGAAATTATGCTGAGTAGGCCACTATGTCTAAACCGGCCGTGTGTGTGCGAATGGGACCTTGCAGCAACAATCGCCGCCGCATGCGAAATCCGAGAACCCGAAAGAAAAAACAAATCATCAAAATAAAATCAATTGGAAAAACTGAAACCCGAAACTTAGAACCCAGAACCGAGAACCCAGAAAACCGAAACCAGAACGAGTCGAAACGCCAACGGCAAATCAGGTATAATCCTACAAAATCCTCCGCGGATCCAACTGTCTGATATCCGCGCTCTTCGCCTTACCGTCGAAGATCATCTCGGATAGCAGTAGCCCGGTGGCCGGAGCGTTATTGATGCCCCAACAGCTATGACCGGACGCCATATACAATCCATCGACTCCCGTCTCCCCTATCAACGGCCCGCCGGAGCCTCCAATGTTCAGGACCGGCAGGTAGCAGGCCTGCTTCCGCGTCACTCTTCCCAGTCGGATGTGGTCGCTGATCGACGACACCTGAGCGATGAGGTCGTCACACCGCGATTCATCTACCTCGACGTCCGCCGTGGTTTCCGGTACCTCGACCTCCATGTCTCCCTCTCCGCACACGTATATTTCGTTGTTGGGACGGGCATATATTTCGGGCGAAACCGGTCCACGGTATCCAACCTCGGTGGGAGAAGGTATCGATATTTCCGTGAAGAGCGCATAGCCGCTGACTGGACCCGCGGGTGTGATGGTCACGCTATGGGCGCGCAGTCCGGTGATGGGGGCTGCAGGAAACAGCCGCGCCGTCCAGGGTCCGGCAGCGAGGACTACGTGCGATGCCGGCACCGTTACCGACCTCGAAGTCTCCTTGTCGGTGTACGTGACGGATTCGGCCTTCCTCCGGCTTCGCGACGACGACGTTGACGACGACAGCGACGACGTGGAGGGTGATTTGTTCCCACTGCGGTCGATGGCCGGCGGAGGCGTTGATGCCGGCGACGAGACGTCGGCGTAGTTGATTTTTGTGACGGATCCGATGACCAGCTCTGCCCCGCTCGCCTTGGCCAGGTCCATCAGCGACATAGTGAAATAGTATGGATGCACCTGTGCCGTCTCTCTGCTTCCGCCCATCTCTTCGTACCCCTGCACCAGTTCCGGCAGGATCCAATCCAGATCTTTCGGCAATCCGGTACCCGACCAAGCTTTCCCGCCCTTCCTGGTCTCTCCCGCCCGCTTTCCCAACGAGAAGCCAGGAGCGGCACCGAGACCTTCCAACTCGCTGCGTTTGCGTCCGTGCGCCTCCAGATTTCCGCACGACACCCGGCGGTATCCCCACCTATCCTCACCTCCATGTTCCAACGCGAGGTCCTGGTGCAGCCGGAAGCTCAATGGTACGATGTTGCTCGGATAAGCCCATACCGCCAGCAGCCCACCCGCCTTCCCCGAAGCTCCTCCGGCAACTCGAGTGGCTTCGACGACGACGATCCGATGCTTTTTTGGGTCGTAGGAAGGGTGTCGGGTGAGGTAGTATGCTGTAGCACAGCCGATGATTCCACCGCCTGATCGCGTGCACACCCGTCAGCGAACACGTATAGTTGGCAACAATCAAGGGGGTGTGTTGTGGGTCAAAGTGTTCGCGGCAGAGAGATGCTTGGCTTCGGGAGAGGCCATCCATACGCACCAATTATGACGATGTCCTTCCGTTCGTCACTGCCGCCCATGGTCATACTGGCAGCTTGGGTGTGGTGGTGGGGGGATCTCAATGTGTCGGGGATATACACTTTGAAGCCGAGAGCAGGAGATTTCCCGCTTCAATTCCGGAGGAAGTGGGATGGATGGATGTACCGAACGACACACACGCGGAAGAGAGGAGCGATCCTAGAGGATGGGTGCTTCACGGATAACGGAGGAGTCGGAGGAGAATGCAGAAGAATAAGAGGAAGAGGACGGCTGCAAGAACCCAAGACTCCAATAATAGGACGAGAAATGAGAGGACACCGAAGACGACGACGACAACGAAGAAGAAGAAAAGAAAAAGAAAAGCAGCTGGAAATTTAAGGTGGGCGGGAATGAGCTACAGTGGCAGGAAAGTCCGGGGATGGCTCAGGACCAATTTGAGTATGTACTGTACCCAGCTACGGCGACAGCAGCAGCGACAGCAGCAGAAGCGGAAGCAGCAATGAGCAGCGAGCTAATTTGGATGTGGCGGCACTCAGTTTCCACGGGATTTTTTTGAGGGCGCCGGGGAAGGGCGGAATAGAGCAGTAGTGGGGTGGTGTTTGGGTCGGTGTTTGGGAGGGTTTGCTAATGGTGTGTGTGCCAAGGGACGAGCGATCGCAGTCGACAGGGCGGAATCGAAATGGAAATGCAAAAAGCGCCTCCTGGATGCGAGTGGATACGGGAGGATGTGGCAAGAGGAGTGCTGGTTGGAGAGTGGATGTGAATTGTGGAGGTGGAGGTGGAAGTGGAAGTGAAAATGGAGGTGGAGGTGGAAGTAGTGGAGGTGGAGGTGGAAGTAGTGGAGGTGGAGGTGGTGGTGGAGTGGAGGTGGAGGCGGAGGCGGAAGTGGTGCTACGATTTTTGGCTGATTATTATTGACGGCGGGATAGGGATGAAAGAACGACCGGGGCTAGCGGGACGGACAGGCCAGGCAAGCAGACAAGCAGCAGGCGAGAAGGCAAGCAGGCGGCGGGTTAGTTATGGGCTGGCCAGTTGGGTGGTGGTGGATTTCTGGGCCAGTGCGACCCCAACCCAGAACTCGGGTGAACCGATTATCTTATACGAGCGAGCGAGGGAACGCGGACGGATCTGCCACAGAGGCCGAAGCGGGTGAAGGACGAACGGACTGTCCGCTAAAACGAATCGCAAATCCCTGCCCGGGCTGCCGCCAAAACAACATTTATTGTCGGTGCAAGGGAAGTGACACAAACGCGAGCATCTGGCAGATAGAGTACATCAAGTAGCTGAGGACCTGGGCACTCCAGACTCGAGAGTACGGTATGTAGGTGAGGAAGTACTTGGTTGCTGTACTCCGGGGGTGGCCGGTCGTTCGACTCGCGGCTCTGGGCGATGGGGGAGTTACCGGGTCAGTGGTCCTGGCTTGACAGCTTCGGCGTGGACGGCCAGATGAGGCGGGGCAAGGCGGGGCGGGGTGAAGCGGCGGTTTCAGCGAGTAAGTCTGGCTGACTGACTGGCTGGTGTCTGTGGGGCGGGGAGGCGCGGGGGCGGAATGGCAGGTGTCACTGCGATAGGCTGGCGACGATATATCTCCAGGCCGGCACTGACGATCACCGACGGAGCTGGGACGATTGTGGCGCAATTCGACAGGGCGAGATGGGTTTCTCGGAAACGACGACGGACAGCGATGACGACGAGACGGCCGCCTTAACCTTGAATCGGGGGGTGATCCGTTCCGAATTGATTGATATCAGCTCTGCTTGCTGTAAGCTTTTTTCTTTGTGAGACGGTTTCGGGCCTTCTGACACGTGAACTTGGCCACACACACGCACTGTCTCTCTTTCACATATCCACACATCACACACAACACACACGCCGAGTGCGTGTACAGCACACTACGTCAATCGAAGCCCGCCTGCCCGCCTCACTCATCGACACGACACGGCAAGCTAAACATGACGAATACCATTGTCGGCGATCACCGACAACGAGAAGAAGAAGCTAGCAAACAAGCATCGGCGGACTGGGACGCAAGCTCGGCGCCGACAGCGGAGTCGAATGCTCGATGTATACCTGCAAGTAGAGTCGAGCATCTACTCCAATCTAGCACTTCAATCTACTCCGACAATCCACCTAGAGTACCTACCGAGCAGTCACGGTACCTGCCCCGACGTTGATCACTCGATCGGAGCAAAGTCCGAGCGAATAGCCATCGCCGCGGCTGTCGGAAGCAGCAACAGTGTGGATCGGCGCCGACTACTGCTCCTTCGGAATTCCGCGAGTGAGGCTCACTCCCGAGACAGACAGAGCTCGGGCGCTGTCCTGGGCCCCTGGCGTTGCGTTTAGCCAAGCCCCTCCCCTCCCCTCCCCCCCCACACCCGACACCAAAGTTCAAACGGCGGCGGCGGCGACTCGAACAAGAAAGGAAGGACCCTGGATATATGCCCGACTAATGCATAGCAACCGTCCATACATACGGTAGCATAGGTACTCCGTGTCTACCGTACCGTATCTCGCAATTTATAGCGCGCGCTGCCCTCGATCACGAAGAATGCCATGCTGACGTTCGTTCCTGCGGAGATCGATTGTCACTCAGTCAGCCGACCGACCGGCAACCCCGGCGAATAGGTAATATTCGTTGCCCGCGTCGATCATTCGGCCTGACTACCCTCGACGTTAGTACCGTACTCTACGCCTGTCATCACAGGAATCCCATCTAGAGTATCTACCGAACAGAAGGGAAAAAAAGAAGAAGGAAAAAAAAAGTGCAGCAGGTTCAGCAGGCGCAGTTATCTATAAATGTCCCTTGGCGGCATTTATTCTCGCGGGGGATCTCGTCTTTTCGTTTCGTTTCGTTTCCCATCTCACCGCATCACCGGGTGTCGGGGGTCTACATACATTTTAAGTACCTACCTATCCACCACCAAAGAGAAAAAACGTATGGATCGATGGGATCGATAGATGGCTGGCTGGATGGCTGGATGTACGGATGGATGGCCAGTTTCTTTACCTCTGTTCTCCGGAGTCTGGATGCGTTGCGTGCCTGACCTACTCTACTCTACTTTACCTGCCTGCCTACTCACCCTGCCCTGCCTGCCCTGCCCTGCCCGGCTGGCACCCCCTGCGATGTGGCGTGATTCTTCTTCTACCGGCGCCTGTCAGTTTCGGATTGTGGGAAGTGGTCTGATCTTTTTTTATTTTTATTTTTTTTTGCTTGCCGTCGTCAACAGTCGACAGTCGACACCTGAGCAATGGGCAATGGGCAATGGGCATCGAACCGAATTCCTAGTGGATGGTGCACTCGATGGATGGAGCCTGGAGGGGAGGGGAGGGGTTTTTTCGGAGCGTTTTTTTTTTACATACGGGGTTTTTTTTTACCCGTGCCACGGTGGTGGTTTGCTATGCTATGCTATGTACTAGTAAGCTAAGTGATTCGATTCGACTGGAGAAGGATGGGGAAGGGGAGAAGGAAGGGGCAGGGCGAGGGGGAGGGCGAGGGGTATCCGCTGCTGCTGCTGCTCGACCTGCCCCGCGGGTGCATTTGAAGATGCGGTGGTTTTTGATGCTGACCCTTTCCCCCAGGGGAGTGTACAATCCGCCGTGGATTTGATACGGTAGGTCGGCTCCCCTCTATTGACACATCCGTCTGCCACGGAATGGGGAGGGATTGCGGCTGTAGGTATTCGTGCTGATGATGCGTTTATCGGAACACTCTACTCACAGCATTGCATCGCAATCGATAGGCTTTTCAGCCGTACATATGTAACTATGATACTACCTACATGCCGTACGGTATTGCACGAGGCAGTCGGTCTGGATGTATGTAGGTGGAAAACGTGGGCCTGGTATCTGGTCTCCGGTGTCTGGCCGGCGACCATCCATCCATCCAGATATATTTCCCCTCTAACCTCCTCCTCTTCCTCCTCCGATGTCCGTCTGTCTGTCTGTTTGTTGATCGTTACCTATCTTTCCATCCATCCATCTAATTGCCCACGGATATCCCACGGGTATCCCATCTCGGTCCAGTCCAACCTTTTACACACACTCTCTCCGATTCGTCACATCACATCACATTACAGCACCAGAAAGGGGTCTGTTGGGCTGAGAGAAGGCATGAAGGAAGGGAAAAAAACAAAACAAAGGGCCACATCCCTCGTATCGTGTCGTATCCAGCGGAGATGTACATACTATGGACTGGTATATAGACCTGCTGGAATATAGACTGGAATATACAGTAGCTTCTAGAGTATTCTTAACGTACCTACCAACTCTCCTGTGTACTCTACCACATGGGCGGGGGCCCGCCCCCACATTGTAGTTACATATACCTGGTGCAGACTCCAAAGTTCTGTGTTGGCAGCCTTAGACAAATACCGTAGATCCCAGCTCTTTCAAGTTTCCCGAAAGCTGGAGCTGGAGTTGGAGCTGAACGTTAGAGACTGATATGGACTAACTACAGTTGAGCCCCGAGCCCCGAGCCCCGAGCCCTACCGTACTGCAGTCTGTAGTGACCAGTGACCACTGACCAGTAACCAGCCAGCGGGGTGCCGCCGTGCCGTTGTGCCGGATCTTCCATTCCCTTCCTTCATGCCTTCCTACATGCGGCCCAGTCTCCGGGTTCATGTACAGCCCAAGCCCGGGTTCAGGTGAGAGTGAGAGTGAGATGTAGGTACGCAGAGCAGCTAGCCGTAGGCATGGGTTGTAGTGGGTAGAGGTTGATGTGGTAGAGGTTTGGATCTGTCCAGTGCCGGGGAAGCAAAGCCTGCCTGGGAGTTGGGACTACCGTCCGGGATCGGGTTGTTTACGTATCAGTCCGGTGATCTTGGGTCTCGGGTGTTGCGGGTGATGCGGGGCGCTCGTGAATGGTCAAAACTTAAGACGCTGTTAGCTATAGGCCTGCGCTGGTATAGGTGGTATAGGTAGTAGTAATGGTAGGTGATATTCGTGCTCGTCAGTCGGCAATCTGATGCCGTTGCAGTTACCTTTACTATCCTGCAAAATCCGGGTCGATACTGTAGGTATCGGCACACGGCACACCGCCGAGGCCGAGGCCGAAGCGGACGAAGCGGACCAGTCACCACATTATTCATAGGAATGTACGAAATACCGGTATGTACGAAATATGTACGAAATGCCGATAGGTATAGGCTAGATATGGGCTATGGGCTATAAAAGCTAGAGTCTGAAGGGCAGTACAGGCACCACAGAGATGACGGGACGAGACTGGGACGGGACGGGGATGGGGACTCGGGGAGCGTACCTACCGTCTGTTGGTTGGCATCCATTCAAGAACGAACGAAACGAACCGTGCTAAGCGTCATATAAGATATATCACATGAGTACCTACGGTACGGTATATGAGCACTGGGCCGAGACTCCACATGGAGAGACGGGAGAGACGGGAGAGACGAAAAGGCACGGGTTCGCCCCCTAACGGGGGATGAAGGATGTGGGATGGAGGAAAGGTGTCTTCCCGACCCGGTCGCTGAGAATACCGGCCCAAGTTGTGCTACCATTGTTTAGCCACACCCATCACTCCCATCACTCCCATCACTCGCACCCAGGCGGCTGCATGTAATATTTCGCCCTACCTACTACTTTACACACTCCACGCCTACCTGGGTAGGTGATCGTTTTTTTCTTCTTTCCCCCCGCAGTGTGACTGTGTGAGTCGTCCATTCGGGCCGCCTGTCTTTCAGTTCCAGTTTCAGTTTTGTGTTTGCTGGTTCTGGTTCATAACAACTCATACCTAATGGATATTGGACAAACGGGGAGCTTGGAGGGCATTACGAAATGGCAAAACTTGATTTTCGGCCGTTCCGCGGCTGGCTTACTGGCGTCATATTCATTCATCTATCCAGCCATCCAGTGGACTTGACGATGGACTGGGTTGGACGATGGACTGGACTGATGGACTGGACTTGACGATGGACTGGGCTCGACGATGGACTGGACTTGACGATGACTGGACTGGACTTGGTGATAGATAGACCGGACGATAGATAGGCACCCCCTTCACCTTCCGTCACCTTCGTCTACGAACCTGCAGACCTGCGGTAAGGCTGAGTTGATACAGTATTCACATGTCAAAACCTCAAAACCTCAAAACCTCCACACCGCAGCAGTAGTGGTGGGGTTATACATCTGCACCATCTATCTGCCGCAGAACCCGCAGGATCTACACACCATACAGATGACAGATGTTTATAAGGACATATAACGGACGGCATGGGCTCATCCTTCCATGCATCCATCCATCCGTCTATGGACTGCACGATAGAATGGAAGACAGACCGCATGATAAGCACCTCCGTCCCCTTTCGTCTTCGAACCTGCGAACCTGCAGACCTGCGGTAAGGTTGAGTTGATACAATATTCACATGTCAAAACCTCCACACTGCAGCACTGCAGCAGTAGTGGGTATAAATCTGCACCATCCATCTGCACTATCTGCCGCAGCACCCGCAGGATCTACAGATGTAAGGACATGTCACGAACGGCGTGGGCTCATACTTCCTAGATCTGATCCCACCCGTTAGCTTGCACACATAGTACCCTCCAGACCGCCTACCATCCTGGGACGCACATCGGCAATCCCAATATTCAAATCCTTCTTTTCAGGCTACCTCTCATGCAATATGAGGAGAGATGTCAGGACCAAACTCTCCTCATGCACCCACCGCGCGGTCAGCTCCTTCCCCATCCCCATCTCATGCCAAACCAGATACGGTACATCGTTCACGAACTTTCCACTCGAACCTGCATAATCTCATTGATAACTCTATGACAACTCCATGACAGCTCCTTCCTTTGGCCCACCCCATCCCAGCCAGCCAGTCACAGTCTTTACTCCATTCAGGGGGGCATTTTCGTCCCATAGCATCCATGCAGATCGCCCGTTGGCCCGTGGCCCGTGGGCCGCAGCCCTGGGGTGAAACACGGTGAACCACGGTCCAGGACTCCACGGACCACCGCCTCGTGTCGTGGGCCGGCATGACGTGATGCCGCGCCATGTTACAGCACCCCGCAGAACCTCGCCCCGTATATCCGCCCTTCCTCTTTCCTCCTGCCCTTCCCATATACCTTTTCCCGCACCCCGAGTTCGGTGCAAATCTACCTACTCACCTCTCCATATCCGTATCCGAGATTTCGAGGTATGCACTCTACACCTCACCTCGCCGGGTCCCCGAGTCCCCGTCCTGCCTGCCTGCGCCGTCCACTTGCGCCACGTACTTGCACTTACGTCCTCGTTGGACGTCTCTCCACCCAAGCCCAGCCCAGCCCAGCCCAGCCCAGCCCAGCCCAGCCCAGCCCAGCCCTCGCCAGCCCACCCGCTCGTTCCCGGACTGGGACGACCGAGACGGTATATAGGTAGATCTCTTCTTTTCCAGGTTTCGTCCTCGGTTGTCTGCCCATCCGGCGGTGTGAGCGAGACGTGATGGCGCCGGCGTGTAGGTGATGAACGAACGATGCCGTGCGGTGCGTGTGGTGCAATCGTACCATATGTACCATATGATACATCACACCACCGCAGACCACCACCACTCCATCCTTTCCATTCCATAGTACCACAGGTCCATAAATACGGATACAGTCCTCCTCCACCGGGCCGGCATAAGCTCATCGTACCCCGTACCATATCCTCGTACTGCCCCCCGCCCTCCCCGACATGGTAGGTGCATACCAGAAGTCATGCGACATCACACCACCGTGAGCGCACACACCTTCACACCTCATCATTCCACTGTGGGTGCACATGATATCACTCGTGTCACGTTACATTTCGCATCACTTCCACCTACGTACAGTGGGTATCCCTCCCTACCGGTGTGTATACTAGCATTACTATGGTCTAATCCGCATCGCACAAATCAACGAATTAAGAATCAATGAAGAAAGAAAAAAGAAAAAAGAAAAAAGTCTATTCCCCCCGCTCTCCCGCTCTCCCGCTCTCCTCCGCGGTGTACCGATATGTATAGTAGCAAAACCAAAGCAAGAGAATTCGAAAGCAAACTCCGAAAAGATGAGGCCTAATCCAATCCGATCCGATCTAATCCAAAACATGCATTTGACTCCGTGACACCTCATTGCAGAGCGCTACTTGTACACTGGTCTAAGAGTCTAAGACTTATACGCCGGCGGCGGCGGCGGCGGATTCTGTATTTCCGCCACCTTGGCCATGACCTTGGGGAAGTACTCTTGCACGAAGGATTCGCTGTCGTACACGTTAGGCCATGTGTGTGTGTGGGAGTGAAAGGAAGAAAGAAAGAAAGGACTTACCAGTAAAACGAATGATTGCTCCCGTGCTCAGACACCAGATTGTGCGCGAGTTCGTGACATATCGTGACCCACCAGTACGTGAACGCGTCTGCGGACCAGCGCTTCTCGGGCACCTGTTGGGCATGCAGCTGGAGGAAGAAGCTGACGTTGCAGAAGATGGAGCCCTGCATGTTGAAGGCGATGGTACTGCCCGTGGGATCGTAGAAGATGTGCAGGACCGAAGGGTTCATGGAGAAGACATCTGCATTGCTGCGGAGAAGTAGCGAAAACACGTTGATTGCGGCCGCATTGGTGCTGAGGAACGTGCGGCGCTGGGCTTGGTCTAGAGATTTGTGCACGTAGACACGCATTCCCGTGGGCGTTTGGATGGCGTATTCGATGTCTTGGCCTGGATTGCTATCGCAGAACGTGCCAACTTCTTTGACGTCGAACGTTTTGGGGGGAGCGAAGAGGGACTGCGAGGCGTGGTCCCGGCCGGATTGGATGGCTTGTTGCAGGTTGGCGGCAAGGCGGTGATGCTCCGTCGCCTTGTGTTGCTGGTTAACGACCCGCGTTTCTCGCTCCTTGCTAGGCTCGGAAGACTGGATCTGTGGTTGCTGCTGTTGCTGTTGCTCCTGCAAGAGTTTCGAGAACCTATTCATGTTCCTAGAAAAGAAGCTACCAGCTTCACCGGCGGGTTTCTGCGTGAAGGGGTGAGGTGGTGAATCATCTTGGAAGCCGCCAGGCATGAGCGCTCTATCCTTAACCGAAATCTGCTGCTGTTGTTGCTGCATCGAGAGACTCTTCTGTTCTTCCTGGAAACGTCTTTCCTGTTCCTCGAGGCCCTTGCGCTGAGCTTCCACTTGTTTTAATCGCGCCTGCTCCATCAATTGTGCTTCGGCCTGTTTCTTCGCCAGGATTCGTCCAACATTATAGCCGCGACGTTTGAGCGTCATCAAGTCTACACCAAAAGTAAGCATACGAGTCAACACATTGGCGCACTTAGAAACGTGTCTTACCATTGCTAAGCAAGCTCTCAAACAGTAACGCGCTATGAGGCTTCGGCTTCTGCAGAATCAACCGCACCAATGCAAGGGCAATATCATAATACTCCATTTTTTGCGTGACAAACAGGGTATGCGACTTTCCAACCGATTTGTCGGGGGTATTGACCACGGCAGCAGTTCGATTCACGTCACGGGACGTTTTAGGTCCTTCTTTGTGTCGGAATGTCATCTTGTACCTGATAAATTCTACCCCTTGGATGATCAAGTTGTTTTCTAGCCATCCAGCATCGCGCGATACGCCCTCGTTATTGCTATGCATGAAGAGACGTGCTCGTTCCATGACTAACTGCTGAAGATCGTTGATCTTCTTGGTCTGTGGCAGATTATTGCCTAGCACGACCCGCTTGTCGATGTTGGAAGAAAGAGTGGTTGATCCCAGTGCCTGCTTGCTGTAAGAGACTCGATTATGCAATTGAAGATATTCCTGGATCAACTTACCGTGTAGAATTTCTCGAGTGTGTCTTCCTCCGGAGCAACACACACTTCCGTCTTGAAAAGATGATAATTGGAGATATCATCGATGAGGTAGATATCCTCAGCCCTGAGAAGCACGAACTCTCGCATGCCCTCCTCCTCCTCATCCGCAGGCTGAGCAGATACCTTCTCTCCGTTCAACGAGATCGATCTGTACGCAGCCAGACAAGGACTGGCTTTCAACGCTCTGACGAGTTCCTTGTCCTTCTTGAGAATCGACCAGTCGTATGCAATGGTCGTGAGCATACTGAGATATCTGGTCTCGCTGCGGAAGACCTTGTAGAGGCGGTCGGGTTCCATCGCCAGACGATACGCAACTTCTACAGTCGTTGGTTCGGGCTTACTACCGCACTTCATCAAGAAAGCGTTTGCGGCGGTTCCGAAGTCGACAAAGTCGAATATGTCGCCGTATTTCTTCGAGGAATCTCCGCCGATGTAACAGATCCGAGGAGGAATATGTCTGAATCCGGTTTCCCCCTTTACCGGGACGATGGAAGAACTTCCAAGCTCAGTTGAAAGACTAACAGTGAGCTCCATCATCCGGTTTGCGAAATAGCTAAACTTCTCCTTTGCATCCTTCGGCCCGACGGGAGGGTGTCTCTTCAGGCGTGCCGAACACTCCTTGATATCAGGATCCTTTCTAACTCCGAACTTGGATGCGTGCTGCTGCAAGTCGCTCCGAAGGACATTGTAGCCCATAATCCCGCACTCGGAATTTGCATAGCATTCTGTCGGCCTGACCAGCTTCTCGCTATCATTCTGCAACGGCAGGAACGAAACAGGAGTGATGGAAATATAATTGGTATTGTAGTCGTTGTCATGGAAATAGTCAGTGAAATACCGCATTGCCTTTTCCCGAAGCTTCTTATCCGCACTCGCCGCCAGCCTGATGATGGTTTCCTCCGCAGGATATTTCCTCAAACCAAGTTTAAGTAGGAAAGCCGCCTCCTTGCTTCCGTTTCTCCATTCGCCGGGCCACTGGAGCACGGGAAGACCCAGTTCTCGCATCTTTGCCTGAGGCTCGTAGAGTTCTGAAACCTTGTACATCTTGGTCGAATCGGCAGGCTCCGCTTTGCACATTTCCATGTTGCAAAGTTTCCGAATATCCTCTTGAGGGATGTCTTCCGCAACGCTGGTAAGGTATCTGACAAGATCGACATGGCTCCATTTCTCGCCTTTGGCCGCAGTGCCTCCGCCCATCAACCGTTCGAAAACGAGCTTCAGCTCCACAGTTTTCCTCAATCCCAGAGCCGCCAAGAACTTTTCCTTGACGTTGCGAACTTCGTGGATAATGGGCAAATCCGCAAAAAGCTTGACAGTCGGGAAGTAAGCTTCTCTAGGCATTTTCATGCCCTGCCTTGTCGGAATACATGTCTTGTCCTTGAGGGCCTCAACCATTTGGGCTTTTTCGCTGACTGACAACTTGTCCCAGTTCTTGGAAACGATCCCGAGAACTGTATTAGCGAAAGCAGGAGAAAGCTCAAGGTTCTGTTCAACCGGCAGAGTAGAGGCCTGGCCTGCGACGTAGTACACCCAGTCAACAACTGGCAACTCCCTCCAGGTCAACCTCTCGAGTTCGGGAACCAAAAGTCTCTTAGTGAGAGCGAATGGCAGACAATGCGGCGGTAAAGGAACGTCAGGTGGAAGCTTGTTAGCGTTCACGTAGTACTTGACGTCGCCAAGCGAAACTGGCAGGCCGTTTTCCACCACTTCCCCTTTCTCATTCGTAAACGGCACCATAGCTATTGCTCCACTCAACAGCATCGAAGCTTGAAGATCATCCTTCTTACCAGTCTCAAGTTGGTGCGAGAGCCACTTCAAGAAGGCATGGGACTGCTCACTACCCAGCGGCTTTTCGGCCAGCGAGTTCTGGATATCATGGAAAGTGATTTCGGTGATGTAGCCGCCGCGTTCCAGCGTGTGTACAAACTCCGGCGCACCTTTCACAATCTTTGCCGGGAGGAAAGCCAGTCCTTCCAAGAAAGTAACTTCGTTGGCGAGGCGAACCTTACTACTAGGTAGCACTCCTCTTGTCGAAAGAAGCTCGATACTTGAGAGCGAACAGTTCCAGAACCCCTCCCTGATGTAGTCCCCGACATGGACAGACGGTGTGGAATCCTTAAACGTGAACTGTTGCAGGATATGAATGGCCTGGTCGTACATCTGCACCAAGTCCGCTGCTTTCAAACCGTCCGCACGCTTCCGCAGCATGTCCATTTCATCCCAGTAGAGGATGCGCGCCAAAATTCCAGCGGCCCGAAGCATCTCCGCATTCCAGGCCTTGATTATCTTGGCGTTGAGATCAATGTTCTCCCGCTCCACCGTGGGGATCACCGAGTGCGCCGCGATGTGAGCATTGATACCAGTGGTCTGATGCGTCGGAAAGCCGATGAATATCCTGCCGCTCTTGGTTGGTATTACTCCCGCAAAGATCTCGGAATCGCTCTGCGACGCATCCTGCTCATCCTTGGACATCGTGAGACACGATATTGTCGTTTTCTTCGGTGGCGGCTTTTTGGTGGCTCGTTCCAGCTCCTGCGCAAACTTCTTACCCACCTTAGGGAGAACGGTGGCTGTAGCTATTCGCAGGAATATGGAAACCGAGGTGTATTCTGCAAGGTTGGACATGTTGACGTGGCCATTCGCTGCCGGAGTCTCGGACCGACCAAACAAGAGCATCCGCGCAAACCCGGTTACAGTGACCTCCGCTGGTTTCTCGGGCTTGTAGTAGGTGACATTCATGTATTTGGCATCAATCTGCACGTTCGAGGTCTTTACACCCTCGATCTTCATGATCGTCTCCTTCGTAATTGTGTTGATAGTCTTCGGTATTGTCAGGATTGCAGGCGGTAGGACCTTCTTGTTCAACACGAGCATCTGGATATCGTTGATGTAGAGAGATATCTTCGCAAGGTTGACGAAGGTCAGAGAGGTGGAAAAAAATTGACAGAGCGTTCTGAGCTCTGGAAGTTCTCCAGGTTCTCGGTAGTCGAGGTAGAATGTCGTGAACCGGTCCACCTTGTCCATTGTGGCTCTCCGGGTGAATAGAGAGTTGCCTTTCCAATAGAACGCCATGGTTTGGTTTCCCGAAGAGACGAAGGGATCATCGGTATCTGCAAAGACACTGTAGAACCCGACACCGAACGCCCCGATCTATATTCACCCATGGAATTAGCAAGGCCTTGCGCATTCGGTGGATTCATCCTTCCACTCACCTTCTCCTCATCCGGGTTTCCCTCCGCAATCCTCTTGAGCCTCTGCCAGTCCTCCTCCCTGAATGCGTCACCATCATTCTTGACCACCAACCTCTTGACCTTTCCCTTCACCGTGCGCAGGAGGTCGTCGCCCGCCTCACCGCTGTGATCCTCAACATCGGTCGTATATCGCACCTCCACCGAAGTCGCGCCCGCATCCGCCGCGTTCTGTATCAGTTCTCGTAGGGTCGTGTTTTCGCTGGAGTATCGTGCGAGAACTTTGTCGATCAACGCGCGGGTGTTGACAGTGACAGCTTCCTCTTCTTGCGTTGAGCCCAGCGTCCGCGCGCGAAGCTCCTGGTAGTTTGCCATTATCGCCGGTGAAGCGCCAGAGGGAATGAGTGGTGAGAAGCGTAAAGATGAATGTGTGTTGGTCCTGAGGAGAGCTTTGAATGGTGACCTTCTATCTAACTGTTGGGCTGAGGGGCGAACGAAGGTGCCAGAAGAAGGTGGTGGCAAGGATAAGCTCCGATCACGTGGGATAGTTACCAGCAGCCTAGACTCGTAGAGTAGTTTGCACTAACCATGAGTTAGAATCGGTCATCCTGATGATCTACAGGTACCACAAGCATCATCCCGGGACTAGGTCCCGATTCCACCGTTCTCCGGGTCAAAGTATGTACATCCATACAATCCAGAAACTCTCAGACCACCCAAAACAGTACACACAATAAATAGATGCAGCGGAAAGAAGCATGTGGAGTTAAGCGCAAAGAATAGTTACAGTCACCGAAAGAAAAAGCAGAACGCAAAACACTAAAGCTGGTAGAACTATGTGGAGAAACGACACGATAACACCCCATTCACCGTCCGAACCCACAAGAACCCCACTTCCAATTGTTTTTTAATCAACAAAACTTTTTCCATGGCGCTGCAACGCGAACCAATAAGGTTCAATCTGTAACGAGAGGGGTTAGCAACACCTCGGGAGATCAAAGGGTAAAAACTGTACACCCTACGTTTCGCTAGAGAGCCATCTTCTTCAATGTGCCTGCGCGGGCAGTGAACTCCCCTCTTGCATCCGTCGATATCCAAATAGTACTGGCAGATCTTGATGGGCTTTCCCGCTTCGTCCTCGCGCTTCTCACGAGCTTCACGGGCGATCTGATCATAGCTCTTCTTGAGCTCCTTCTCTGGGATCCAATGACCCTTGGAGACATCCGGTTTCTTGGATCCTGGCGCCTCGTGAGAGAAGCGGCAATTCTCTCCATACTTGCAGCGGTTGTTCTTGGCGAAGAAGCGGCACAACTTTTTCTTCGGGAAAACATTGTCCTCTTCTTCGCTGGGGGAGATCTTTTCGAGGGACGTAACGTAGATCTTGGGCTTATCGTAGCCCATGCCAATGCGGTAATCCACGGTACAGCTTCCATCCTCGGCGCGCATCCAGTCGGGGATCTGGAGGAGTCCCATCCTCTCCATCCAGATAGGCACGTCGTAGGTTTGTCCGGGAAGATCGTCCCAGCCGCAGTTGTCGTCCATGCGGAGCTCGAGATCAAGGAAGTTCGGGACACGAGGCATTATGAGTTATGGCGGTTAGTCGTTATTTAGTTGCGGAATGGTGGGTTCGTAGGTAATAGAGTGAGCTGCGTCGTCGCGGCGTTGATTGTCATTCGTAGCTATGATCGATAGTAAAGTGAGCTGTGTCGTCGCGGCGTAGGTTTATCGTAGCTATGGTCGGTAGTGGGGTGAGCTGCGTTGTCGCGGCGTAGCTGGTTTTACGTAGCTACGGTCGGGTGTGGTTGTGGAAACAGTGTGCAACACTGTGGTGGGGCGGGTCGAAGCTCGTTTGTTGTTCCACGTGAAAGTCGGCGCTACTTACCCTGTATGCACGTCATGCAAGATGTCAAGGCGCTGAGTGAGCATGAATGGGCACTACCCTAAATCATGTTTTCGAAGCCCAATTCAACTAAATCCATATACCGGTATCAGGAACGAAATCAGAAGGATCCTTCATCTTGGAAAAAAAAGGCTGTGGTAGAAAGGACAGATTTATATTATTGAATCTAAACTGTGATTTAATAACGCTTCTAACTTACGCTTCTTCCCCAAAGGAGATTCTACACTCGATGATGCCGTAGTAACTCATAAGAGGTAATGTCTCAGGTCTGATTTTAAGGCTTGGCCCACATAAACAGGACGTGGGAAAACAAAAGTATTGGGTGTTTTCCGGAACACAATCTGTAGTTATTCCCGATGCGGGATGTCAATTGCCGGATAACGCAATAAAATATTACCTATTATGTGAGTTATTGCGATAGGCGCTGAAGCAGAGGCGGATTGGCGTCACCGGTGAGCACTGGAGAGAGGAGACCTTGTTGGACATGTGTTATGGAGGTAGGACCGAATGCAGACCCGATGCGGTCGTTGAACGTTGAATTTCTGTTCTTCCTGTCGTTGGTTGGTCCTCATACATCATCGACCGAGACCTCTGGTTCAATTGATCATGTTTTGTTTCTCGCCCGTTTTTGGATCTCTCAACACCTACTTGACGAGCCATGTGGTAAATGAGCAGCAATGATTTACGTGTCCGGACGTCCTCTTACTGTCGAGAGTGCTCATGTACGGCGCCGTTGGGTTGTATGGATGAAGTTGTTGAAACTAGGAGAAGAACTTAACTTGAATGATACGAGAAAGACGAGAAAGAAGACTGCTTATAAAAGGAAACGAGCTCGTGTACACAACGAGATGCAGCCTCAGACAGAGAATGCGACGATAGCTGGACTCGGGCTGGGGGCCTAAAGAGGCTTGTTCTGATGGGAAGCCAGGGACAATGAAGAAGCCACGAAGGCCATGAAGGCTGTATGCGACGATGCAAAAGGACAGAGAAAAGTGCCAGTGACACCGGAATAGGCAACAAGACGCAAAATATCCACAGAAGTCTCCAGTTCTGCACGAATCATGTGTAGATATTAATGGCATGTTTCTGCAGCTGGTAGATAGTATCGGTCGCATGCCATACATTTTTTATCCGCAGCTTTCTCCACCCCGGAGGGTATACCTACACGGCCGAATGGACGGCTTTGCGTGTGGGAGACCGTATTTGAGATCTGGTGTGAGCTCGAATAGGTAGTAACGAGCACTGGACGTCACGGTCTACTCATTCGCCGTAAGCTGAATAAGAGCTGCTGGGCGGAATGATGGTGGCGAAGCTGAGTTAGTGCCCCGGAACCAGTCTAGTATAAGTGGCGGTGATGTTTCTGTGGCTTGCACCTGTGGCTTAGGTTGAGGTATTGCTGTCCTCATCCCCATCGCGTAAGGTCAACTTCACCAACCCAACCTACTCTACGGTAATCCGACCCAATCACCGCCCGGGAAGAAGACATCCAGATTTCAAGAGCCAGCTTCGCTTCTCCTTCCTCGAAAAACCCTAGAATTTTGGAAGCGAATACATTCCAAAGTACACACTGACATACTCATTCAATATTTTCACGACATCCGGCTGCTCGAGAATGACCGTTTAACTTTCTCGGGAATCTGCGCACCCATCCCCCGGCAAAGCTCAAGATCTCAGCTTCCGCAACTCTGTCCTCTGCGCCCTCATACATAACCTCTCGTTAACTCGGCCAACGAAAGAACGGCGCATCCACCTACACGCATAACTAAATTGCCATGTCCGACGACGGCTCCGCCCAACAGGATCAACTCACACTACCACCACCACCAGAACCGCGGCCAGCGCCTCTCTCCCGGGCCGAGTCTGGCGCGCCCACCGCTTGTCACGTCGAAGACGTCACCCAGCCTTGTACGAATCCGCATTGCGGCGTCCATACATCTACCAACACTCCCGCGGTCTCCCGGGCAGTCTCGCATGTCAATCTGACAGCCTTGGCCGAGCAGCCATACAACAGCTACGGCCACGGTGACGGCGGGAGTACCGGCGGTGTGCCTGATGCCGGTCAGTTGCATGGTTCCTCGCCCCAATGCGCTGTGCCCTTCCTTTCACCACTCTTTCTCGAATAAAGCTTCCAGTGGGTCGTGTAGCTGACCAATCGCGTTGTGAGTTGCACAGAGTCTGAACTGCATCCGCAAATCGCAGCAGAGCAGGTTCTGCAGGAGGGTGTTCTGCGAGAGAACACACCGCCTGTAGTGACTGTTGCACCACCACCACAGGAAGATCACATACAAGAGCCGCCATCACCGTTGACATCGCCACCGCCGACTACAGACCAGGTTGAGACCGCCCCCGCAGCAATCACAGCTCTTGCACAACAGGATAGTTTGTCTGACGAACGCCCACCGCAGATTACACCTGGCACTACGCCATCACCGCCACCGGAAGAACAACAGCCGGAGCAAGAGAAGGAGGAAGCAACTCTCAACTGGAACTTTGATGACCCCGAGTCACTACAAGAGCACGTTTCCGGAGGCCCTGATCCCTTCGCACAGTTGCACAAGCAGGCGCCTGATCGATCGGCTTCGTTTCCATCCGTGCCCACGCCTGCGAATGCGGAACCGGACGAAGAGAGTTTGATGGCGATGATGGCTTCGGAAGTCGCAACGGAAACCAGAGGGCTATTTGATTCACCGGCAGTCGAGCAAGATGGTTTCTTCGGCACGGAGGCTGTTGCAGATGATGGGGACGACTTTTTTGCTAAGGTCGATCAACAGGATACATCCCTGACGCTGCCAATGGGGACTAGTAATATGGATGCTTTCGGACTTCAGAGACAGGATACTACGCAACAACGGTACGAAGAGGGTCTACCACTGGTCCAGGACGCGGAGTTGATTGTCGACTCAAAGAAGGAGATAGATTTCTTTGGATCAGAGCCAGATTCTCCTTCATGCGAAGATACGATTTTTGCTGGCATAGATCAGGTTGCAACGGAGCCTATATTTGGAGGAGGACTCCAGCGGAAGAGTACCGAACAGTTTATGGCTGGACAGCCCTATCACTTTGGTGGGGATGAAGCCGCAGGCATGTCTACCGGTGTAAGCCAGCCGCTTCCAGGAGTTGCGGAAGAGGAGGTTACAGTGGTGGAAGAGCAAGCGATGGCACCAGTAGAAGCACGGACAGTGGTGGCGGAAGAGCAGGCCGCAACGCTTGTGGCAGAAGAGCAGGTGGTAGCTCTGGAGGAGCATGCTGCGGTTACGGAAGAGCAGCAGCAGATAGTAGGGCAACAAATTTCGCCTGGGGCTCTCTTCACACAACCTACACAAGCGGATGGAGACGACTTTTTCAGTCAGCTGGGTCAGGATCAGGAGCCAGCAGAGTCGCATACCGAGGAACCACCGAAGGACGAAGTTGCCGCAAAATGGCAAGCTGCTTTAGCCGATGACGAATTTTTGGATGATGAGGACGAAGGATTTTTGCCAAGTGACGACGAAGAGGTTCTGCCAAACGATCAGCCTATGGTTTCACCACAGTCTCCAGTAGGTCAGGCACCGACAGCGGCTCGATATATGCCTGTCCCCCAACAACAGCCGCCACCGCAATGGCCTGGCCAGCAACCTGTATCGAATTCATACACCCCCCAACCCAATGCCTATTTAGCTGGTACGGCGCCGACCCTTCGTCACACTCAGTCAGCTTATTTTGCACCGCCGGCATCCACGCCATACGGGGCAGTCCGTTTTCAAGCACAACCGGAAATCAAACCGCAGAGCTTCGTGAACAAAAACGAAGGTTATCAGTCACCTTACGACTTGCCGATGGACATTGCACCTACGCTGAAACGCAAGCAAAGCAATCTCACCCACGTGCATAATGCTATGGGACTGGCCGGTCCGCCCGTGAGGAGCAGCAGTGTTGGAGCTATGTTACAGTCTCCCGTATCTGGTTCTGCGCCTCCTTTAGGTCATTCCATACCAAAGATTGTGGCCCCGCAAAAGCAACAGTTTTTCGAAGAACTGCCCATGGCGCCACCGAAGGCAAGGGCTGCTAGTGCACAGGGCCGACATGCACCGAACATTGGCGGGCCTCATGTTGCACCTCCGCCTATGGTGAGAGCTGGTAGTTACAATCCCCAACAACCCCCAGTAACCGGGCCGTACAACCCCCCTCAACAGATACCATTCCCACGAGGCCCTCAGCATAGTCCTCAAACGTCGTTGCAGCCAAGCCAATATGCGCCAGCACCTCCTCATATTCCTAGACAGACCTCTACGGGAGGAACTGCGTACGCACCCCCGCCAGCACCCGCCGCCACAACGAATCGGTATTCACCAGCTGTCCCGCAGGGACAGGTCTATGCGCCTCCTTCTCTAAGCCCTGCGCTGTCTATGATGCCTGGCGGTGGATACACCCCTACTCATGCGCCGGCAAATGCGCCTAGTGGCGAATATACTCCCGCTCCTACCGCAAACCCACCCTATCCCGTAGCTCAGGCGCAACCGATGGCACCTCCGGTAGGAGCAAGCAAATATGCACCCCGGTCATCAGGCCCTCCCCAGCCTACTCGCTCCGCGTATGCGTCGCCACCCGTTGCACACCCGCAAGGCAGTTACACACCGTCGTCGGTGTCGCAACCAATTTCACCACCGCCAGTGCCGACTAGCGTTAAACACTCTCCCGAGGCCCAACCACGCCGGCCTACGGCTGAGCATCATGCCTTGCACTCATCCAGACCGGGAACAGCAACTGGATCGCCGCCCCTAATGGAAACTCCAAAGGAGGAAGAGGAGGACAGTATTATCCAAGGGACATCCAACGTTCCAATGCATCCTGTACAGAATCGGTTCGCCCCGCCTCCACCGCGAAGCACGTCAACACCGCCACCGAGGGGTGTTGTATCGCCTCCGATGAGTGTTGTGTCGCCTCCAATGAGTGCAGCGCATAAACAATTCTCACCGCAGAAACACTCCCGGCCTGCGTCACCCGAAAGCTTTCAACCGCCTCCGAGAGCGCAGACCAGCTCGCCCGGACTCCACTATGGCCGGCCGAGGGTTGCACAGAAAGCAAGAGATCCATACGAACGGCCTTCTTCTGCGCTCGCACATTCTATGGTCCCTGAAGATTACGCGTCCCAAGGTAACCAATCGAAGCAACAGCCGTTCTACCCCCGAAAGGAGTCGATGCAGGTTAATTTTATTCCTCCAAATGACTACACCGCCGAGGATCCCTTGAGCAGGTGGCAGGGTGCGCCCGTGTTCACTTGGGGTCTGGGAGGAACTGTGACTACAATGTTTCCTATCCGGACGACTCGCTTTGCCAGTGGGTTGCACAGTGCTGCAATTAAGTGCTCTCCCGGCGCGGTCAACGTTCGGCTACTTAAGGATTTGATCTCTCTCCCGGAGACTATTGACAGCTTCCCTGGACCAGTATGGACCGGTACTAAGTCCATGAACAAGGCGAAGAAAAAGGAGGTGATCACATACATGGATTCTAGAATCGAGGGGTTTGAGAGGACTCAGATGGATATCTATGACCCCACGGAGAGGCGAGCAGCGGATGAGAAATGCATGTTGTGGAAGATTGTGCGGATCATGATTGAGCATGATGGCCACATCGAGGGGACTCCCGAGATAGACGCAGCAGTGCGCGGCGTTCTTACCCCCGATATAGCCCAGTCGATCGAGGGTGGAGAAAACATTGGCTTCGTACCAATGACCGGAATCCCGACGATGCGCCCCGCGAACGCGGAAACCGTTGACCCTGAAGCGCTGAAGGAATTCCGGAAGAAGCTGCTTACCGGTGACCGCGAAGGCGCAGTGTGGTTTGCAGCTGATAAGAGACTCTGGGCCCATGCCCTCCTGATATCGGGCACCGTCGGGAAGGATCTATGGAAGCGTGTTGTTGAAGAATTCGTCAAGAATGAGGTCAAAACACTAGGCGAAGGATCCGAGACACTGGCAGTCCTGTATGCGACGCTTGCTGGAAACTGGGAGGAGAGCGTTAATGAGCTTGTTCCTTTGAGTGCACGGTCCGGAGTGCCTATGCTTTCTAGCTCCCACGAACAGGAGCAGAGTCTTGAGGATAGGCTTGAAAAGTGGAAGGAGTCATTGGCTCTCATTCTCAGCAACCGGAGCCCTGGCGATCAAGCGAGTATTTTGGCGCTTGGACGGCTGCTGGCTAGTTACAATTGGACCGCGGCTGCTCATATCTGGTAGGTCCACTTCAAATATTGAGTTGGAATCACTGTTGATGGATGCCTAGCTTTATTTTTGCCCGCCAATCTCCGCTTGGTGGCGGGGGTGCTCTGTTTGGCGGTCCTGACGATCCGACGACCGATTTCTGCTTGCTTGGTGCCAACCATCGATCAAAGGCGGAACTGGGAAGAGATCTTGATACGATTCTTCTCAGCGAGATATACGAGCTTGCCGTTTCTCTCACGCCTCATGCGAGCACTGCCACACCGATATATCCGCATCTACAGTCGTGGAAGATCCACCACGCAATCATCCTTGCGGAAAATGGCAACAAGAGAGCAGCGGAGAAGTACTGTGACTCTGTTGCTGCCGCAGTCAAAGCGTGGAACAAGCCTAGCCCATACTTCAACCAGTCCTTTGGCCATGTCCTCGAAGACTTTACGAAGAGGTTGCAGGAGGCTCCCAGGGACGGCTTGTCAACCGCTAATGGCACCGGCTGGATCCCCAAGCTCACTTCGGATGCTGTGTCGTCTTCCATGTGGGGCGCATTTAACAAGTTCGTCTCTGGCAACGATGAGGCGGCAGGGGTTGCGAGCGGTCTGCAGACGGAGGCTGAGGGGCCTTTCGGCAAGATTACACCCAGTGTTAGCAGGGAGCAGTCTAGTGTCGATCTTTACGGAATGTATGGCGGCGGTGCTCCTACAGCAATGTACGCGCCTCCTGTACAGGGAAACAACTCCCCAACAACAACCAGGACGAACACAGCTGCAAGCAGATACGCACCATCCACTGCAACCGCTCGGAGCTCGATGGAGGGCGCCCGGCCAAACTCCTATGAACCGCCGGCTGTCCGTCGTACAAGCTCGGAGAGCTACCGTGCGCCAGCCATGAACGGCAACCCCTATGAGCCCAATTCGAACCCATACGAGCCACAGGCACCCCAGTATGGCAACCCGTATGAGCCGACAACGCCATACGGGTCAGTCCCGAATGCGTATAACCCCCGGGCTTCCCTCGAAGCGACACCGGAGGTGCCGGAGAAGTCGGATACTCCTGTTCAGAACACGGGATACGCACCGTATTCGCCCCCGGCTCAAGACAGTGGATATCAACCTTCTGGCAACTCCGGTGGCTACGAACCTCCCGCAAACTCTGGTGGTTATGAGCCTCCCGCCTCCGGTGGAGGCTACGCACCCCCGAGCAATGACTACACCCCTTACCAACCCGAGCCAGACTCTGATGGCGAAAAGGCGGATCAGGCACATGATGGGGGTAAGAAGCAGAAGAAGAAGGGTATGATGGACGATGACGATGATGACGAGCTCTTGCAGCGTGCAGAGGCTGTCAGGAAAGCGGCTGAGAAAGAGAAAAAGAAGGAGGCTGAGGAAGACAAGAAAGGTACGATTCCTCTCCATTTCATCTGAACATCACTGACGCTTACAGCAGGAGACGATCTGAATGGCGGCAAAAAAGGTTGGTTTGGCGGTTGGTTTGGCCGCAAGGATCCCAACGAACAGTCTGGTCCCATCAAGGCCAAACTGGGCGAGGAGAATGCCTTCGTGTATGACGCCGAGCTCAAGCGCTGGGTCAACAAGAAGGCTGGAGCAGCCGCGCCAGAGGCAGCCAAAGCGACACCTCCTCCACGAAGACCTACACCAGCTACTGCTGCAACTTCCACCGGAGCCCCTACCCCACCACCGTCCGCATCCAAGCCTCCTACTCCAACCTCCAATCAGCCACCACCACCAGGCCCGCCCGCGAGTGCGCCACCTCCATCCTCCGGCGGCCTGGCACCACCTATGGGCCTGCCTAGAGGTCTAACTCCCAGCCCAGCGCCCAGCCTTGACAGGCCCCCGATCAGTCGACCCTCCACCTCTGGGGGAGACATGATGGACGAGCTACTTGGCCCGCCGACGGCTCGTCGCGGAACTCCTAGTGGTGGCAGGAAGGGTCGGAAGGGTGCCAATCGGTACGTTGAGGTTATTCCGGGGCAGCAGTAGTAGTAGTTGGTGCTTCTTGGGACGGGTGTGGCCGCTTCGCTTGTAAAATTATTATTTTTTCCTTACGTTTTTCCTTTTTCTTTTCCTTGTGTTTTTTTTTATTGATGATGTTTACGCTGGATGATGGATGAGAGAATGTAATTATTGGGTGGGTGGGTGGGTGTGGGCTCTGGGATGGCTAGATGCACGTTGTTACGTGCGATGCGAGTTATGCAAATTATGCAATATGGATTGGATCTTCCAATGTTTATGTGACGGCCCCTGGACCAGGAGGCTGTCTTTCACCAAGTGCCTATTGGATGCGTGCTGCGTACACTGCCAGCCTCTGGGCATGTCGGAAACTTGGTGTAGGAGGGTGGTAAATCCACTCCCTCATCAGTCATCAAGCCCCATTTCTAAACTTAGAAGTATGAGGTATGCATAGGAAATTTTGGAGTAGGTGGAGATTCAATGGGTTATTGTCACTCCGAGAGTGAAACCAAGGCAAAGCACTAGTCAAAAGACGAGTGATTGAGCCCCGGTGGCAGCATATATCCCGGTACTCTATGGGACTCGGTTGTAGCTATTCATCAGACTGAAGGAGCCCAAAGAACTGTGCGAATGGGCTTTGCTTTTGAAAAGAAAGCGTCGTCGCTGGCGTTCTGTTTCTGAGAGAGAGGGAACATCAACTTGCTGTCACTTACGGCCTTGTCTACATAGACTATGGCGACCACATCGCACAAACCCATCCTTTCCTGCCAGCTCCTATTTTTGCGGAAACTGTAGATCGCTTCCCCAGTCCGCTACCGAGTACAACCCGGTGATCGCGTAACAGCGCCAAGACCTCCTTGCATCCGCATGTGCAGCGAGTGAGCTTCGCAACTTCTGCAACGTCACCTCGGTCACAACGGCCAACACCACCACTACTACCACTACGACTTCACAACAATATCCACGATCACTCGTCACATCATGGTGTCCCAACTCGCCAACTTCGTATTTGTGAGAACAGACCACCTCCGCCGCTGCGCGCCCTCCTCCTCCTCCTCCTCCTGCTGACAAACGAATCAGACTCTCGTCCTGACGATCCTAGCGTCCACGACACTGGTGCTGACCTACCGTCTCTGGGTGCGGCCCGTGCTCGTGCGCCACAACATCTTCCCGCTGCAACACCTGCCCAGTGCCATCTCGCAGCATCTGTCGAACCGTCGACGGAGGGGGCATGTTAGACTGCCGAGCGACGACTTTGACGAGGATCCGAGGGAGTGGAGCGATAGTGCGCGCTTGGGCAGGGATTTAGAGGAGGGATTCGGGGTTTATCGCGATGATGACGGCGAGCATGCGGAGGAGCTGGCGGTAGCGCGAGTGCGAGGCGCGGAGACTACGGCGGTGGTGGTGGTGGAGCAGCCGAAAGCCGAGGCGAGGGAGGAGACGCTGCTGGTGTAGGGCGTTGTGTGTTGCGGTTTGGGTACAAAACGGCTCGGCCTCGGTACTTTGGCTTTTGCGTATAGATATGATTTACTGTCGTCGCTGCGGATTGCGAGGGAATGATCAATGAACGGATTTCTAGCACTCTTCAATTGCGCAACTCTCGTTCACGCATCACGTGGGGGGGTTCGGCCCCTCCGCGATCCACTCACCGCCCTCGCGCCATGCCACCACTGTCCTCCCCCTCCCAGCGAAGTCTTTCCATATCGCGCTCCCCTCCCATCCCATCTCCTCCCAGATAGCCCTCACCCTCTCAGCCTGAGACCAGCCGCCAACCTCTGCCACAACCGCGCGGGCACCCAAATTCCACGCGATTTCCCCGATCCGGGGATAAAACACATCACCGTGATCAGCGGCCTCCAGGGCAACTCTTGGCTCCCAATTTCTCACGCTCCTTGCCGTCTCACGTGCATACCCGTCAGCCGAGATATACGGCGGATTAGACACAACCACATCGACGTTGGTATACTCGGGCACCATTTCGTCGAAGCACGCATGGATGGAATACAGCAACTCGTCCTCGTCCTGTGCTAAGACATCTCCCTCCATGAACTTCACCTGCGACGCCGGCCGTATGACGTCGGCATTGTGCTGCAGATTCTCCATCGACAATCGCAGTGCATGGTGCGAGAAGTCCACGCCGACTACTGACACGTCCGTTTCCGCCGCGAGGAGAAGCGAGATACATCCACTGCCTGTGCACAGATCCACCACCTTCGAGCCGCGTGGTAATAGCCCGGCAAGGTGAGACGCGGACTCTTCGGTCTCGGCCCGCGGGATGAGGACCCCGCGCCGACACAGCATCGAAGTAGGCCCGAACGGCTGGTCGCCGAGAATGTATTGTAGTGGCTCGGCGAGTATGGAGCGCCGGTAGACGTAGCTGCGGAGTGTGGCCGCTGCGCTGTCCGTCGCAGTTGCGGTCGTCGCGGCGTGCGCCCTGAGCCAGCGCAGCTCGGTGGTGGCACTATCGAGTGTTCTCGTTACGCGCAGGAGGGATGCGAGGAGCGGGTCTATGCGGCGGGCACGGATGAGGAGATGGGGAGATAGGCGCGGCATTGTGGCGGGGGCTCGGGCGGGAGCTCGGGTCACGTAGGAGTGATGGAGGGGGGAGCCGGTCTAGATATGCTATGGGCGCGGAGGAGGAGGGCGCGGCATCGTGGTGGGGCTCTAGGGCCGGCCGCATGCTTTTGTGTGTGGGACCGAGGATCAGAAATGACCAGGATTTGCCAGCACGCTAACTATAGCCCTCAGGAACTCAATTTGCACCTCACCTCGTACCAAGCAACCAGACAGCAGCATGTTTGACGAACCAGAAACGAAGCGGATCCGCCGCGCCGATCTCGATGATTCCGACACTGAGGTGAATCCTCCTACCGTCCCAACCGAGGCCCTCTATCTAGATCTCGAATACATCACTTCCACATCACACAAAGAAGCTGTAGCGACAGAAAGTGTCGACGAGGATCTCGAACTCGACTTCTCCCTCTTCTCCGGCGCTGCTCCCCAGCGGTTGAAACTACGCTCGCCCACCCCTCCACCCGCCGAGGAAGACGTCTGGGATGCCGTTGCACACAGTCGGAAGCGGCCACTGGGCCACTGGCTCATCACCCCATCTGAGCTCGAAGAGCGCCGAAAGAAGGTCGCGATGAGTGTCGTTTCCGGCATCGATATCCTCAAAGACGCGAAGAAGCAGTGGCCTGCGAAGGCGGTGAAGGTTGAATGGAAAGTCACACATATATCTACCGCCGACGTACCAGAGACCGAGATGAAAGAGGGAAGACGGAAGAGGCCAGGGAAGAAGAAGAGGATTAAGACTAGGATCGCGAAAAAGGCGGAATTGGAGAAGGAGGAGCGGAGGAGGAAGAGTCAGGCAGATCGGAACAAGTTCGTGGGGATGACACCGGAGGAAAGAGCGAAAGCGGAGGACGAGGAGAGGATCAGGAAGAACCGAGAAAAAGCGTTGAAGAGGAGGGCTAGAGAGAAGGCGAAGAAGGCGGCAGCAGCGGCAACGACAGCGGCGGGCTGAGGGCAAAGCTGCGCTAATGTAGAGATAAGGTGTGGTGTAGCCAAGGAATTACATCTGGTTTTCTTGGCCGGGAATTGCGCGAGACTTAGGACTGCGAGCTTCCCCGAAGAATACCGGACAATGTCCTCACGAGGCCCTAAGCCGAGGCGACTGTCCACATAATCTCACTCGGCCCGCGCACGGGCCACTCGCTTAGCTTCTATTCCCTCCCGCCGGGTAAACTCTGATGCAGCATGGCCCTTGCTTTCGCGTGAGTGGCAGCAACCTGAACCTTGACCTTGAGCGGGAGAGAGCTCTAGCACTGTACAAAGAATCGGACGAACAAACGACCTCGCGACCACTCCACCAATCCATCCTCCCATCCATCGAAAACCGGCTTTGTTTCTTCGTCGCGGTTTTGCTTCACCGTTTCATGTGCCCTTCAAATTTGATACCTTTCGTCTGAATTAACCACGGTGTAGCTTTCCACTACATCTCCCCTAATTGAACCTCCATTTCCTCACAGCACGGACTACTGTTGCCAGTTATGACTCTCGACTCGCTATCTTTCACTGCACCAGCTAGACTGCGAGCATTATTATGTCCCCTCGGCCGGATACGACGCTCGCGATTTTCGTCGTTCGCTGGCCGCTTGCAGGCATCCAATGTCGTGCGACTGGGGGATATCACTCCCGACACGCAGCCCAACCGGAGTATGTCACCCGCCGGCACGATTTCCGACTTCCGCCAGAAGTGACTACCCGCTGACGTTGCTACCCGGGTGTGTCTGCAGCTATGTTCAATCCCCAAGGCTTTCCCGACGGCCAGATAGTGTGGGACCTGACCACCTCGGTTGACCGCGAGCACAACTACCTCGAGGTGTTTGAGCAGTACCGGCGGACGTTCGTGGTGATTGGGGTTGCGGACTACGAAGAGGGGTGTGATCCGGAGGTGCTGTCGGCGCAGCTAGAGGATATGAAGTCGCTCGTGAGCACACCCCCGTGCGTTGGCTTACTGGCTGTCCCGTGTGATGTGAACTTAACCCGCCGAACGGAGTAGTATCCTGATTCCTTGTACCATGTTTGCCTGATATTCGATGCGCCCCCAGAGGCGACCGAGCACGAGAAACTGAAGCCGGCTGGCCATCCACGTTTCTTTACTGTTCCTACAAAGCGAGAGTCCAAGGTTTCATCGATGCGGACGTTGATGTGCGATATTACCGCGCCGGTTCTGTCGGAGATGTGCGGCGTCGCAAGGTCGCTACAAGCACAGCCGAGCCTTGATTCGCCGCTAGTCGAAAAACCAAGCAACGGAGAAAACGGAGGCCGCCGGAACAGTGTGCCCAGCGGCGGGACACTAGCGCCTATTCCTGGGGATTTGGCTGCAAACAAGCGGAAGACGATGACTGGTTTTGGTGGCGGCGGTGGTAGCCAGAGCGAGAGATCACGGAGCAAGGGCAAAGGCCGTGTTCAGATCGCGGTGGCGCAACTATACCTAATCGCAGGGCGAGTTCCAGATGCCATGAAAGAGTGAGTCGTCATCGCCGAAACCCTGGATATCCTTCGTTAATAAGGAGGGTGTAAACAGGTTTCTCGATGGTGCCGATGTTTGTAGAGGGAGCAGCGACCACCTATGGCATGCTAAGGCCCTGGAAGGGATTGGCATCTGCCTGGTTGTTCTTGCGTATCTTGGTGTTACATTTCAGGTCGCTTCAGCCCACTACAGCTTGATATGGAGCGAATGTTTATTTTCTTTTAGATTCCCGCAATTCCATTCCCTTCAATCGATGGCAGCAAATCAAAGACGTCGACACCATCCAACAAACCATCCACGCCGGTCCCACAATCGACAGGTGACTCCCCATCGGCACACCAAGTGCTGGATCTCCTCCCTGAGCTGCATAAGAGCATCATCAAATTATACCAACGAGCTGCAAACTTCCCTGGAGAATCGATACCCAACATATCCTTCTGCGAGACGATCCTCCGACACGCGAAAGCGCTCACATCACAGTACGTTGCAAATGGAGTGGCCAAAGACGCCATCGCTCACATTGTGTCGAGCAAACCGATATCACATAAAGGTTCCAAGAAGAATATTCCCTCCCGTGTTGAAATCTCGGAAGTTACGATGCAGGCGTATCCACAGCCAGTGGAAATTATGACGGTGCTGGAGGCGACAAAGGTGTTGAGTGGCATCGCGAGCATCCATGGAGCCATAGGGATGAAGCGACGAAAGGCGTTTGTCACGAGGGAACTGCTTAAGATCCTGATTCCCGGATTGATACAAGCCCGAGTTGTTGGTGCTGCCGAGATGGGTATTCATCCCGCAGCCGGATTAAGCGCCCTGAGTGGTGGAAGCGGTTCACCCTTGGACCTTGGGGAAGGTGATGTAGAGAGCGGAATTATGGAAATGCTCGAAGAGCTCTGTCGGGCGTACGGATGTCTTGCTGGCCTGGGCGACGAGAAGAAGGTGAAAGAGGAGGAACAGCAGCGGGCCGTTTCCACTGGTGTCTTGATGCCACAAACGTCAGTCTGGACCAAGGCAGTAATCGCGGAGCAAGAAATCCGAACATTTGGTTGGCCTGCGCTCAAGATCCAAGTATTAAGGAATTGCACCGCTCTCTGCGAGGCATTGCCAGATTTCCAGGGGGTCTTGAACTTTACGACACTACTACTGAAGACGGCTGATATGGAACTTACGAAAGAGGATCAGGTCAGACTTTCAACTACCGTGGTGAGGACAGTGGGGGCGGCTCGCAAGTTGGGAATACCAAGCGTCGAAGCGGACTATTGGGACCAGTTTCTGTTGCGGGATATCGAACTGGTTGAGAACCCCACTTGGAGACCACCGATACCGCGGAGTAAGACCGAACTGGTGGATCCCGAGTCTCTACTTTCGCCAACGACAATAGATGATAAAACGCCCTTCTTGTACAATCCTTTCAAAATTTCGGAAAGCTCGACAACAGAGCAGATACTGGTAAAGGGCGAGCCGGCAGAGATGAGAGTAACATTGCAGAACCCTTTCGAGTTTGAGGTGGAAGTTGAATGGGTCAAACTCGATACTTCCGGTGTGGAGCTATCGGCGCAACCAGTTAGTGTGGTCATCGCGCCGTTCAGGACCTACCAGGTGTCGGTGTTTGCGACACCCAATGACACCGGAGAGGTGAAGATACTGGGATGCACGATAAAGGTTTATGGATGCAGGGAGCGATTCTTTCCTATTCTCACCGGAGGTCTCGATTCCCGCGAACGCGACATCAAGACCAAAAGATTCGGGCTCAAGGCGGCGGAACCTAAGGTGGAGCGTCCACTCTCAACCATTTCTGCTTCAGGACGCGGATCGTTACGTCCTCCACCGGTTCTGCACCCGATTCCAAAGTCGCTGCAGCTTACTGTGGTCGATTCGCAGCCGCTACTGGTGGTCCGGAATACCAGCTTGAGCCAGAGCGCACTTATGGTGCTCGAGGGCGAGCGAAGGATCTTCCAAATTACTCTCAGGAATCTGAGTAACGTCAACGTGGATCACTTGTACTTTGATTTTACCGACTCGACCACGGCGCGCATCCGGCAGGCGCTCGCCGAGAAGACGAATTCACCCGCTGAGACGTACGAGCTTGAATTAATGCTCAAGAAGAAGCGTGCGTTTGTTTGGCACCGCCAGAACCGTGCGATTGCTGCCTCGGAAAACACCAGCGGCGAGAAGAAGATCAGACCGCAGATCTCGACCCGAGACTTGACCAAGAAGAAGGTCTACATTCCCGCTGCCGGTGATGCCACCTTTGAGATCGAAGTCCTGGGCAAGCCCGGACTCACATACGGTACTATCATGGCCGACTACTCGCATCTCGGGATCCCACCGACCGAGCTCGGGAACCGCTATTTCACACGCCAGGTGGTGTACCCAGTAACGGTCACAGTCAACGCCTCAATCGAACTTGCACGTGTCGACTTTATCCCGTTCTCAACGGACTTCTCGATCGAGCCCGACAGCGCCACCTTCGGACCGTTCACGCAACTGTTTTCCCGAGCTTCCACCACTGCCCAGCCTGGAGAGTACTGTCTGATGCTGCTGGACCTCCGCAACGCTTGGCCGCAGCCATTGAAACTCAAGCTGGTTCTCAAAGACTCTGTAGATTCGGACGAGGAGCCATTCGTGGCCGAGGACGTGCTGCAAGCCGGCCACACATCACGACTCATTCTCCCGGTGAAACGCATCTTCCTCCCGCGGCCTTACGCCCCGATCCCCAGCATATCCGCCACGCAGCGCCAGTTCGTTGTCTCGACCACGCGCATCAGCATAGAACAAGAGCGCCAAGGCCGCGAAGCCTTTTGGTACCGCGAGGAGCTGCTGAAGCGTCTCACCGGCACCTGGGAAGAAGTCGGGACGCCGCGGCGCGGGGACGTCGAACTCCGCGGAATCCGCCTGTCGCCACGAATGGTCGAGACGGTGCGCGTCGAGGAGATCGGCGTGGCCATCACCGTCGAGGGCGACGAGAAGACGGTCAACCGCATCTCGCCCGCCCGCTCCGTCGTCGTGACGGACGCATTCCTCACGCTCGCCACGACCGTTACAAACCGCACCAACCGCCCCGTCAGGCTGATCCTCCGTCTGCTCCCTGGCCTCCGGAATATTCCCGCGCCCCAGAGCTTCGATCTCGGCAGACGCATGGCTATAAACGGGCTGCTCCAGCACGCCCTCCCTGTCCTCGCCCCCGGCGAGAGCAGTGTCGTCCGCACAGGGTTTACGGTCCTTGCGAAGGGGGAGTATGAGATTTCCGCTAGCGTCGAGGATGTGCTCGGCCTGGGTGGGAAGGTCGTGGCGCCGGATGCTGGCGTCGTCGAGGGACTAGATAAGGAGGGGAGACCGTTAGATGTACTTGCCGATGCGGTGGGGGGTGCCGGAAGAAGGTGTTGGGTTTGTAGAGAGGTTTGCGGGATCGTTGCGAGGGATGTGCTGTAGATGTGATGGTGTGGTGGTTAGAGTGTAGATGTGCTGGTGGTGGTGGTGTAGATGTGATGGTGACGGTGGTGCTGGTGGTTAGAGTGTACATAGTTATGGCCATAAAAGAGAGTGGAGATGGGATGAGAAGGACTGGCGAGGATGCCGGAATAATTTCCAATGCGAAATGACAGACTGACGTATTGACTCTTTGATTCCATGATCTCTTAAACTCCACTGCACCAGATCTAATCACTCGCTATAATACAACCACAGGACCAAAGCAAGCCCCCCCTCCCCCCACTACACCACAAGCCCCATCGCACCCACCGCATCCCTAAACGAAACATCAAACAACGCCCCGCCAACACACCCTTCCACTACCGCCCGCTCCCCCCCACAAAAATCAAAGAAAAAAAATCATATCTTCCTCCAAACCTCGCGATACTTCCCCCACTCCCTAAACCCCAGTTTCGTGTAGGTATCTATATCGTCGGCCCAGTCGATGAAGCAGCCGCGCAGCCCCCGCTGCTTCAGCTCCAGTATTGCCGCCACTATCAGGCCTTTGCGGACGCCTAGGCCGCGGTATTCGGCTATTTGCTTTTGCGTTAGCGGCTAGGGAAAAAAAGGAGGGGTGGGGGGAAAGATGGGGGAAATGGGGGAAAAGGGGGGGGGGGGACGAACGTTTCACGCCGACGAACCCGAGCCCACCGATCCGCTCGCCAATGACCTTCGGCCACGGAATGTCCCTCGAGATCTGATTATTGCCCACGGGTGAGAAGATGAGTACCGCGCCGAGGATCTCTCCCTCCCCTTCCTCTTGTCCCTCCCCCGTGCCCTCCCCCCCTTGCCCCGCCCCACCGTCGCCCCCCTCCCCCGCGCCCAAACCCCCCCTCTTCCCCGGTGCAAACGCGACAATAGCGTCGGCAATATCCTCGGTCTCCTTTAGGGCATGAAACTTCTCTACCCAGCCGGGATACGCTCCAAAGTATTGTTCCTCAAACCTCAACAACCTCTCAAACATATTCCCGGGGGTGCAGTTATCAATGACGACGCCCATATCCGCCAGCTCGGCCGAGAGGTTGTCGCGCACGACGAACTCCGTGATCGGCATGAACAGGTCGTACACGAAGTGTGAGTCGCTCAGCTTCCACCCCCGGTGCGCGAACCAGCGGGTGTCGTCGTCTGGAAGGGACACGGGGAGCCCCGGGAATAGGCGCGGGAAGATGCTGCCCAGCTGCATGGACGTTATTCCTGGCGTCGAGCGAAGGTGCCGGACGGCTACGTCGTGGAGGCTGAGCCCGATTCCTAGATCGCTAGGGGGGGTGTTAGATGCGGTTTCTTCTGAGCGGCGTCACCGCCGAGTAAAAGCCACCATAGGGAAGTGTAGAAAAAAAATCAAGATTGGGCAGATTAAACGGAAAAGCAGAAAAGAAAAAAAACCGCGAACCGATGCGTAGGCCTGACGAGCAGCAGCGCCAGGCTCCCAATCACTTTATTATTCCCTAACATGATAAAGTACGTGGCGCACAATCCCAACAACTCCAGCGATGTCGTGTGGCGCACTACAAAATGCTTCGAGTATCCGGGCCGATCGAGTAGCGCACTCAGCGTACCCGCGTCGAGCGGCCACTTGCGTCCCAAACAATCTTGCCAGAGATCCGCTGATGCATACAGGTCCCTTCGCTTCTCCCAGACCTCCACGAACCATTGCCTGAATGAAAACACACCGTCTTAGCATGCATCTCTCGATAATATAGAAAAGATTGAAATGAAATGAAAGAAAAAAAGTCGAAAAAAAAGTTTCACAGCAGATGAACGTGCCGTTGTTGCCGGAGCGCCGGCGCGCCTGGAACCTGGACCGGGAGCACCCCCGCTGCGTGTCGTTCGCCGAATATCACCGCCGCTGCCGTTTCGAGAGCTGTTGATGAGTACTCGTAGGTGCATATGTACGTCCCGTCTGTTTTCCGCCGCAGTCAGCAAGCCGATCCAGAATCCTGCGGTGTTGAGAAGGGAATACAGACACTTCCGATCATCCAGCAAGTCGTACGGGTCGCACGCCGCGAGATTGATCATGGGCTTGCTGTAGCAGAGCCTGTGGACCGCACTCGCGGTTTGCACCTGGGATTTCGAATTCGGCCTCGTCGCGTTCGCCGTGACAAAGATGATAGCCGCACACCGCTTGATCAACGAGACGTGCGTCTGAGTGATTCCGTGAGCCGTGTATGGCGCGTGTATTATCCGAGGGTGCCGCTGCGCAAGTGCTCTTCCGAAGCACTCGAACGGATCGATGGTCGGCTCTCCCGCCACACGTTGGTGTAGCGGTCTCACGACCGGGGTCAGGAGGAGTACTTCGTCCGAGGGAGTGATCTTGGATGAGAGAGGGATCAGAGTGCGCTCGTCCCTGACCACCGTGATGGAGTTCTCATACGCTTTCCGCGCTATCGACTGGTGCAGCTGCATCAGGGTTTGCAGTCGCTGGGGGTCCGGAGCCGCCAGCGCCGTCCGCCAGCTGAAGTAGTGATCCTTGAGCCGCAGAACCAACGACGACGCTCGGTATATCACCTCCCTGTCCATGTACCTCCGCTGCAGGGCATCGTATATCGCCTGCAGGCCCTGTACCTGCACGGACTGGTTGTGGTAGATCAGGATCAAATCGCACCCCGCGTTGATGGCCGTTACCACCGCTTCGCCGATGTGCTGCGGATCTTTGCCGAAGAGCGGCATGTCCGTTACATCGCACACGGTGACACCGTCGTACCCAATCTGCCGTCGCAACACTTCCCCGATGATGTGCTTGGCCCTCGACGCATCGCCGCCTTCGCTGTCGTCCGGACTGCTTCCCGGCCATATGGACGAACTCAGCATGACACTATCCAATCCGGCCGCAACAGCCCTTCGGAACGGAACCATCTCGGTCGCTTCGATGTCTTCGCTGGATTTTGCGCGGAAAACTGAATCGCGCCGGCCGTCCCTCGTACATGCGATTCCGGGAAAGTGTTTAGCGCAGTGACCCACTCCGCCTGCCCTGAGGCCCTCGGCGAAGGCGACACCGAAGCGGCCAACCGTCTGCGGATCGTCGCCAAAGGCCCTGACGCCGACCGTCGTGTTGCCCTGCTCGCTAATCACATCCAGCACGGGCGCAAAGTTCCAATTTATTCCTACGGCGGCGAGCTCGGTGGCCGTGGCTTTGGCGACGTCGAAGGCCTGGTTGGGTGACCTCGTTGCGCCCAAGGCCATTGGCCCCGGGAAGTGGGTTGCTCGGATGCCGTCACCTAGCCGACTAATCTGTGCTACGTTACAAATCCGCCCGGGTCTCGGTTGTACAAAACACACGCACACACGCACACACACACACAAAAAAAAATCATCATCAGCTGGACGTGACCACGTACCATGCCGTTCTCCTGTTCAATGCCAATCATGAGCGGGTATGTAAAACCAGCCGCCTGCGCAATCTTCTGCAATTCCTGTGTGAGGGTCGCAACCTGAACACTATCTGGCGACACATCAGCATGGGGGGGTTGTGTTGTGTTGTGTGGTGCGCGAAGCTAGGACATGGTGCGACCCGGGCGCGTACCTCGGATGTTCCTTGCCGTCAAAAGAATGTTCCCGACATAGTACTTTTCTATCATCGTCTGAATGTCCGGAGTGACGGCCAATCCGTCGAATACCACCATGATCATCTGGCCGATGCATCTGTAGGGGCGAATGGCGCCATTAAATTCGGAAGCTGGGCGCAGGCCGGAGGTGGTGGGGGAGAGATGTGACAACGTACCTTAGGATCTCCTCGTCGAACGAGTCGTCCGACATGTGTTGCTGCTGCTGCTGCTGCTGGTGGTGCTGTTGCTGCTGCGGCGAGGGGCCCGAGAACCCGTACTCGCTATTGCTGCTGCTGCCGCTGATGATGACCTATTCCCGCTCCCGCCTCCCGTCAGCCTCTCTCGTTTCGCAGCGACGCAGCGTGGTCGCACGAGATGCCAAACCAACATTCGAGATCCTCCCTCCCCCGGCGGCGACGGCGGCGGTGGGCTGCGCACTTGCACCGTCCTGCGTTGACGCTGGCGCGGTCGGTTCGGCGTTCATGCTATGCAAGCGGCTGAAATCCAGGATCTCCCTCTCCTCCTCCTCCACCTTCTCGTCGGTTTCGCTTCTCCCGGCAACTCCAATTCCCCGGCGGCCGGAGGAGGTTGCGACGCGACGACGATGACGACGACGGGGATGTCGAGAGATCCAGAATCCCCCGTGGGAGAGTCGGCGGCCGGAAGGTCCGATTCGGAGGGGCTATCTGGTAGCTATAGGTGAGTCGGTAGCTTTGCCGACGAGCGCAGTACCGATCCGCCAAGTCGAGGTAGGGACGACGGCCGGTTCGAAGGGAGTCTTTTTTGTTGTTGGTTCCTTCCGCGGGGCCGACGTTCGATGGGGCGGCAAAGGCGTTGCTGCTGTGAGATGACGACGACGATGACGGTGGACGGCGGATGGCGACAAGGCGGGATGAGCTACTACTAGGAGTGGGATTCGCGGGATGGCACCTCTTTCGACTCGGCGACAACAACAACAACGTTCTCTGGACCGGAAAGACGAATGGCTCGGGTGAGGGGGGTAGTAAAGTCGGAGAGGGGAGAAGGAGAGGAGGAAAGAACAAAATAGGAACTGGGAGAAGGGGGTATCTCGGGAGGGACAAGGGGAGAGAGTACAATAAAAATAACACAAACGACCGCGCAAGGCGACGTGTATGGGGTTTTGGATGGGGATGGTGGTTGCTACATTTGTGGGGGGGGGGGGGGGGGGGGGGGCAGGCAAGACAGCCCAGCCCAAACCTGTGAAACCGGAAGCTCGACCTAACTGGCGGCGGCACTTGTTGCTCTAGAGCACTTTCCATGTACCAATCGATACAATCCGGCCGACCTGGCGCACATACATGGCTTATACATGGCTCATACATGGCTCTGGTATGGAGAAATTATTGTATGTAGGTAGCTCCAGTGCTCCACCGGTCTTCCATCCATCCATCCATCCACTCATCCACTCATCCATCCACCCATCCGCCCATCCAGGCCGTCCATTATTCCAGCCAGTCAGCCAGCCGGCCCGCCATACAGACAGACAGACAGACAAATGGACAGTTTGTCTCGACTCCCACCAGCTCCGGATGTTTCCACGAGACCAACGTGTAATATGTATAGCACTGTAGTACGTACCACAGGTCCCACAAGCGGGATGGGGCTCCGCCGTTGCGCTGATGTTGGCGCTTCAGGCCCGGCTGCCCTGCCCTGCCTGCCTGCCAGCCCGTCCAGCCGGCCCTGCTTTGTAAGTGATGTACTAGTTCGTACGCAGCTGTCACGGGCAAGTGCCGCATGTCCTCTATGGAGCAGGAGACGAGGCGAGTGGGGGGTTGGTTGGTGTAATCCATCAACCAGCTGGTTCAGCAACCCGACATCCTCACATCCTCACTTTCTCACTGGAGCATCAGCAACGAGCAGCGCCAAGCAAGTGTTTTGCCTTTTCTGCAGCGTGTGTGGTTCCACGGCCTGCTGCTGCTGCACGTTCTGTGCGACTTGGCCAACGCCCGCTAACGAACTACAAGTACAGCGCTAGGCCGCGTCAGGCATCTCAATGTCGCCGGTGCGGAAACGGAGCTAGCGGGACTACTCTGGTTGCGTGTGCGCGCTGTCGCACAAGCCTAACTGTGAGTAACGGATCACTGCCCGATGGAGCACGACGGAGACCGACGGAGCACCACAACACACAACACAGCCCGTGATATCGAGAAGCTGAGAGTTGAACGCCAAGAGGGCGCGAAACAAATCGAAACAAATCAGAAATCAAAAGAATCCAAACGTCGAGTGATTCCAAGAAGGGCTGTGAAACGGATCACCGTTGATTGAGCTGGCGGTGTGTGTTCATGGGGAGTACGAGTGGAGTGGAGTCGAGCCGTGGAGTCGAGTGGGTGCCTACCGCATGAATGTAGCACTGTGCAGCGGTGTTGTTGTGCAGCAGCATTGGCGCAACCAAGGCAAAGCAGTCGCACGGCACTGCCTGCTCGATGAGGCTGCAAAGGAACAGCGACATCTCGCTGAACGGATGGATGGATGAATCGAGTAGTTAAAGCACGACTGCATACGTACGTGCTCCGGCCGCGGTAGAGTGGAGTAGAGTATGTACCGTATACCGGTAGTACCTATACGGTATCATACCCAATGCCCTCTCTCTCTCCCTGTCCGGTATGTACCGTAGATACATGGAATAGCTACTCCCCGACTCCCTGATTCCCCAATGGGGGAGTGCTCATGAAGGCGAGAACCGTACTGTCGGAATTCAGACACAGTCATACCTATCGTCCATAGGGGCAAGGGCGACAAGTAATACTGGTAGTGGTTAGTTACATCGTATTCCCCAGCGCCGCATGTAACTATGTCACAGTGTTACTCCGCTTTTTCGTGATACCTGAGTGAGGCGCCTGGGGAATGCGGAGTCGTCGTCGTCCTCGTCTTGTGTGCGCCATAGATATTCGCCAGCGCACCGCAGTACGGGCAAGCATCCATCGCCTGTATGTAAGCAAGATGTAGCCACCAATCGCGCTGTACGACCGCCTTGTCGTCCCTTCCTCCCTGCTTGTGTTCGGTACAAGGTACCATAGTACAGTACTCAACGGTACAAGGGCGCCGACAAAGGCACTTGAGCTGCATTGGAGAAGCTGATCCTCTCTTCATCCTTAGGAATCCTCAGGAATCCTGAACAAATAAAAACAGAGAATAAATAGATTCACTCTGAGAGCTCAATCGTTTCCGTGCGTGTGCGACCAAGTGTTGGCTCTGCAGCAGCACGAGCAAGAGCTACATACAGCAGCAGGGCCCGGCCATCGGTTTCGGGCTGGCCAGTGGCCAATGGTGAGTGGTCGGTGGTCAGTCTAGAGAAACCGAATGCGCTTCATATAGAGTGAGTGATTGATTGAAAAAAACAAAAAAAAGGCATGGGAACACACGTACTCACTTACCTCTCCACTATATACTCCACACTCCACACTCTACACTCTACACCAACTCTCCGTTTGATGCGGCATCCCGAAGGCCGAAGAAGCTGTCTGCGTGGTGATCCCATGACGGCGAGGACATGAACGGGACTGGTAAAAGGAATATGGAGACGAATCGTCTCTGATGCTGTGGTTCTGTTGCATCGGCATTGACCATTGTTGCGGCTGGGGGCTGAGGATAGGTAAGTTGTCGGTGATGGTGGTAGGACTGAAGTCATTGGGAGATGGGGGAGGTGGAGGTGGAGGTGGAGGTGGAGGTGGAGGTGGTGGTGGTGGTGGTGGTGGTGGTGGTGGTAGTGGTGGTGGTGGTGGTGGTGGTGGTGGTGGTGGTGGTTCATGCTTGTGTGACCATGGTTTCATAGTGCACTCCAGAGTACTCTGTGCACTCCAGAGTACTCTATGCACATCGCGGGAATGTCACGTCGCGTCAACCCAACCCAACCTTGAGCAGCGCCGCAATCCGAGCCCCTCCCCACACGCAGACCACCACCACCCCGCCGCAACCAACTAAACCGAACCATCCATCGCGGAGTGTCGCTCGCTCTCCACTGTGCCGTACCACCAGATTCCTTCAATGCCTTCAGAGTCTGCTTCGAAAGGTGCGCCAGTAGAGAGAGTGTCGGGGAGTGAGTGAGCAGGCGATCGCTGACCACGAGTATACTAGACGCTATAGAAGCTCCCGAGTACGATGAAGACGTCCTAGCGCTCGCGGACCGAATCCGACGGGGTAACTATACCTCTGCCTCCCCGTCATACGCATAGCTTACCCTCGGGGCTTTCGCAGCTGCCGGCGACCGCAAATCCGTTTCGAAGGAAGACCTCGGCGCCGCCATCTCCGGCCTCGGCCAGTATGCGACAATCCGCGGGCTCACGCCGGAGGTCCTAGAGCTCCTTGTCGATACCCTCACGAAGAGCCCGTGCCATCTGGATCAGGCCACCGCCGGGCAGGTCATCAGGCTGCTGGTGCCGCGCAGGAAGGTGGCGGATGAGATTGTCCTCCTCGTCGTGGGATGTCTCGGGTCTGGCCCGAGTAAGCCACAGCTCTTGCTTCAGGTAGGTAGCATATCCACACGCTGTCTAAACTCCTAGATCTGCGGTTGCTGATTGCACGTAGGCGGCGCTTCTACGCTGGCTGTTGATGGTGTACGATGTCTTGGAGGACTACACTGTCCTCTCGCAGTTGTACGGAATCATGTTCAATCTGCTAGATATGATGACTCTAAGGCATGTGCCAGCTTCCTGCAGCATCGACATCGGCCGAGCGGTGTGGGACTTCACTGACACATGCGTCCAGACCGTCCATCTGTCATCTTCTCTCTCTCGTCACACGACGAAAGCATATCAAGCCGTTCAGAATTCAGGCCTTGTGAGTTTTTTCTTCTTGAAACACGATTCGTGCGACTTGCCCGACTCACACAGTGGTAGGCTGGAGCTCAAGCGCGATGTCGGGAATGAACAGCCCCTCAATGCACTTCTCCAGGTGTACAAAAACTACTATCCCGATATCATCGTCGGCGATGCCGGGCCGTTCAAGGCTGGATTGTTCTCGGTAAGGGGGGGAGGGGGGTCATTGTCCGTCGGTATTTGTCACATGGGACTGATTTCTATCGCTATAGCACCCGAATCCGGAATGGATGCAGACCGTGCTCACCATCCAAGAAGTAAATGCCGCGAGCGAAATGGGCCGTCGGGGGAAGACAACGTTCGCTGTAGTCAGACATGCCAACGGCCAGGCGTCGAAACGGCGCAAGACCGATCGTGCCGTGATACCAGAAGTCCATACATTCCAAGCAATCGAGGTACGCTCTATGGATTTCTGCACCCCTCGCTGCCGGACTGACTAATTTTTTGATAGTCATCCATCACGCTGGAGGAGGTGCGAAACGCCGACGACTTTGTGCGGAAGCTCGATAAACTGGAGCTGCCGAACCAGTTGGCCGCTGTTCTCGATGATACCCTCTTGCAGAATCTCCTCGCACTGAGACCATCGCGTAAGGAGATTCCCGGACAGTTTCCCAAGGCGGCAAGCTTCTAATTGGGGAGGGGGGACATAACAGCAACGTCCGATCATCGTATTAATAGCTGGTTGACCGCTGCTCTTGAAGACGACCTCCAGCTCTCCAAATCACCGACACCCGGAGCATCGGCAAGAACGGGCGCGCTGCTATCGGGGATCGTTAAATACACACATTCTACAAGGGTATGCCCTGAGACCAAAAAAACCCAAAATTTATCTCAATCCCCTACTTCGGACTGACGGAGCGATTTCAGAAACTGCTACCATCAGTTGAGCTATATCTCCGAAAATACCTATCTCAGTGGGACGGCAAGTCCCACGTCAAGACGGTATTGGAACTAGCGTCATTCCTTCCCCTTCGGGAATTCGAAGGTCTGCGAACTCGTCATCATGCGTATGGGGGGGCCAACCGGCTAATTCCCTTGCCTTGCAGCTCTGGATACGAATTTCCTGAAGCCCATCGAAAAGGTGCTGAGATCCGGCGGAAAGGAGGCGGCTGCGAGTTTGCTGGGATTCCATACCGCCCTCTTGCGGAATTGGGCGATTGCCTATAGCGGACGGTCTCCGGAGAAGGAGAACCTGGATGTCGAGGCTCGCTGCCTCCAACGGTTTGTGAAACATGTCGGCAATCTCTGTCTCCACCTATTTCAGGTACGCAACGTAACGGCAAACCCTTAAACGCACACCCAACACAGCTGTTAATACAGGCCCTGCAGGAGTCGAGTAACACGGCGGCCGTCGCGAATGCTACGCTTTCGTTCTACGAATGCGTCTCGGCGCTGCCGTGGGAGAATAGTCTGTTCCGCATCGTCATACCGCCGGACGCGGTGGTGTACTACTACCTGTTTGTCGGTGATGTGGTGATGTTTTCCCGACTGTGCTCGATTCTCGTCCGGTCAGTATCACCCATGCTAGTAGCAGCTAGACGACCGTGAAGCTCACGTCGTTTTCCTAGATACAAGAACGCGCTCGAACCCGCAATGCGGACGGCACACGATCAAGCGGCTGTAGCCCACTTCAATGGCTTCATCATGGATATCTGCAATTGCATATGGCGCAACCGTGCGTTCGCCGGGGCCAACGACAGAGACAACCGGTCTGCTCTTGCGTGCACAATCCCGGAGTACGATCCCCCATTCGCCCACCAAGAACCAGCACGAATTAACTGATATCTCGTAGAAACGTGATAGAAGTCCTTCGAACAGCGAGCACCGAACGCGGAATCGAACTCAAGAACATGTTTTCCTTCTCATACTCGCCGTTCCTGGCCCGCTTCTCGGCAGAGTACTTCCACACCCTCGAGAAGGCGGCCGGCGCGCCGGTCAAGCACCAAGGCCCCGTCACCTTCAAGTCGCTACAACAGCTGGAACTCGTATGCTCCCCGACCCCGATCCCCGACCCTCCTGTACTAGTATCTCCGCTAACCACCGATCGTACACACAGAACGGCGGAATGAAACTCGTCTACGCAGAGTACCGCAACAAGGTGCTGAACCACCTCAAGTATAAGGGCTTCGTCGGAATCTCGGACTTTATGTACGCTACCATGATGAGTCTGAGGCAGCCGGGTGCGGCGAATGCGCCCGCTGCGCCGGTGGCGGCGGCGGCGAGGAGGAGGAAGGCTGCGTGAAGAAATTGTGAATGGAAGGTGGAGAGGTGGTGGTGGTAGTGGTGGTGGCAGAATGTGAATTCCTAGCTCATGGTAGTTACAGATGTCGGTGATGTGATGTGACGTGACTTGCCGTGCACAACCAAGTTTCCGTTCTTTCGAGGCCATGGGCTTTGGGAATTGGGCATTAGGCGTTGAGACTCGAGAGCACAACTACCGCCATGTACGGCAGCTACCTAGCACATTTCCCCTATGTACATAAAGTGCAGCAAGGCATGACACGACATCCCATAGCCCAGGAGTCGGACTCCAGGAGTTACACCGAATTCCGAGGCACATACTAGCAGTGCTCTGCCTGTGTAACAACCAGAACCCTGCCAGCTAATAGCCACTAGTACATAGTCCCACTAGCACCAATGTCGGACCCGACCTCAAGCTCGACGCGCCGCAAAAAGGGGAACACCGGGAACACCTCACCAGTCACCACGAACTTTTCCACGCCACCACTCAGTCAGGTTTTTCTTCCACCACCACGACCAATACCAGCACGAACTCAACTTCTGCGACATCACGCCCAAGATCAAGATCAAGATGCCCTTACCATTGAAACCCGCCTCCCCCACGACCGCCAGCGCGCCCAGCACCCTCACGACCACCCCCATGACCAGCAGCACCAAGCCCACGACCAGCAGCAACACCAAGCCCCCGCGCCCGCGCCCGATAACCACGCAAACCACCTCTCCCTACTCAAGCACAAACCCGCTCATCCGGTTCCTGCAGCTGAAGCGGTACCAGTACGAGGTGACGTTCAGTCTGTACATGCTCACGCCGCTGGAGAAGATCATATTTAGTACTCCCCCCCGTTCCCATTCCCCAGAGATAGAGAGGAGGGAGAGGGAGGGAGATAGAGGGGGTGCTGATACGTGGGGTGTGGCAATAGATACGTTCGTCTTCATCGCGCTGTCGCTGCTGATTATTGCCATGAGCTTTTATCTGCCGCATCATATCGCCATTGTGGCTAGTAGGGCGTGGTGGTACTATGCTGGTGATGAGGGGCGGGCGGCGGGTGGGGTGGTGGGTGCGGCGGGAAGCGTCGTGGCCGGGCTGGCGGAGTCGGTTAAGGGCGAGCTCTGAGCATGGGATCGCGGCGGATGGCGGAGGGCTGTGGATGAAGGTGGAGGGATGGTCAGTAGCGTTAACGAGCGTAGAAGGGATACGGTGTTTTTTGCTTTTGCGTTTACGTTTGCGATGCGTTTGCGTTTGCGATGCATGTTTGCTCCCCCCGTGTTGTGGGGAATACCTTCGTTATGTACCTTCATACCCGGGAATGGTAATGTCAACTGTTGTTATTAAGTTTCTCCGGTCGATGGTCGGTCGGCCGGCGGTGAGGAAGGGAGTGGGGCGAAGCGGGAGTGGGCGGGAGTGGGCGGCGGGAGTGGGCGGGAGCTGAGCTGAGCTGTAGGGAAACGCGATATAACGTGAGCAACGGGAAGGTCCGTGAGATGTAGATGTCTGTCAATGATATGTAGAGAAGAATGTACCGGTACATACATGACCGGTACCAAGCTGTTCAAGCTGCCATTGACGATTTCCCTTCCCGAATCCCTTTGCGAAACGGGAAAAACGGAAGTTACCATCTCGCATGCGCAAACCAAACCAATAAACTATGTACCTACCATCACGCTGGACGCATCGTTCATACACATACTTTACGGATTATCATTCAAGGCTCGAGGCTGGAGTTTGAATCGTTCAGCCGTTGAGAAAACACGGCAATTGCGTAGGTAGCCCAACAATGGTGATCGTGCGAGTAGACAGCCACAGGAGCCAATTGCAACTACAGTCGACCGATCGGGCAGCAGCAGTATCACGGATGGAGCAATTGTGCAATGGATGGGGGATGCAAATGTAGGTAGCCAGCAGCACAGATATCTCATGTCTTATTGTACATACGACCCAGACTTCTCATTGCCCTACGCACTACCGTAACGTTTGGCGGCGGTCTCCCAGTTGATGACATCCCAGACGGCGCCAAAGTACTCGGCCTTGCGGTTCTCGTACTGGAGGTAGTACGCGTGCTCCCACGCATCGATACCAACGATCGGCTTGTATTTTCCGACGACGGGGTCCTGGTTCTGTGTGCGCACCATCGCATCAGCACCATCCCATCCCATCATCACCCTCGGACCAGGTAGGACCAGGGGTTACAAACCGGCAGCGAGATGATCTGGAGCTTGCTAGTCTCAGTGTCCTTGACGAGCCACGTCCAGCCGCTACCCTGGATGCCAGCGAGGTAGGCATTGAACGTCTTGCGGAAGTTGTCGAAGTTCCCCCAGTTCTCGTTGATAGCCGCAGCGAGCTCGCCAGTCGGCGGGGCGCCTCCGCCGTTCTTCTTCGGCGCGAGGTTCTCCCAAAAGAGAGTGTGGTTGATGTGACCTCTTTCGCGGAGTCAGCGACGGTACATACATAACTGATTCAAGGCGAGGCTTGGAAGAAAAGAGAGGCAAATCTCCTACCCTCCGTGGAACTTCAGCAGCGCCTGCAGGTTGATCTGCGCCTGCACGTTGTTGTCCTTCGCGGCAACGGCGTACTTCTCCTCCGCCTCGTTGAGCATGTTGACATAGGTCTGGTGGTGCTTGGTGTGGTGTAGCTACATAGTTACATTCCAACCTCCATCAGTACCGTACCGTACCGTAACCACTCCCGCAAATCGAAACCAAAGACCGACGAACGAACCTCCATGATCTTGCCCGAGATGGACGGCTCCAGCTCGGCGTAGTCGTACTGCAGGTCAGGAAGCGTGTGCTTCTGGCGCACGGCGGCGTTGCTAACGCCGCGGGCAGAGACAGCCCGGATGGTTGGGCGAACGATGCGGGAGGAGAGGGACATGATGGACGGTCGGTGGCGGTGAAGTAAATGTTTGGAGATGATGGTTGTGAGGGCGGTCGACGTCATTTACATTTTTGTACACCCTTCTAAATATGCCCCGCTTAGTAAATGTACGCTGCTTTTGTCAAGGGTTCCTCCGCTCCGATGGCGGCGGCAACTCGGTTACTGAGACTTTGCGCTGAGCTCTGGAGCTAAGTTAGGCAGTTGCGCTTGGCGAAGATGATTGCTCACCAGCCACATTCAGTTTGCTTTAACTACACATACACATACGAACTTGAAGGATATTTGACCCTCAGCACTTTTCGTTTCCAACTCCGGCCTATTTTTCCGTGGAGGGGAAAATAATATTACCAGGTTCCTCACAATCCAGAGAACCACCTAATGATTCCCTTTTTCGGAGGTTTCTAGGCTTTTAGTTAGCATGTGAGTACCTAACGTAAGCATCGCGATCCTCCAGCGGGGTAGCCCATGATGTTTCAGGCTTCCAAGTTCCGGCTGCTAGGACCCTAATTATACATATACCTACCACGGATACCCTCAGCGCACAGTGCACCGACACCGAATCCACAAAAATCGACAGACTGAGGTATGTAACCACGTCAACGGCGCCGGCCGGCCGGCCTGACAGTCGGACTCATCCGTTCCCAGTACGACACACACCGCCGACCCATTCACACTCGAGAGTCCACCGCACCAGCTACATACCAGATGCCAGCCGCACCGTTGCGCATTGCGCACGTCTCACCGATCCGCGGAAGGCTCGCCGGCTAGTAGGTAGTGTCATGTGCGAATTATCCATCCCTGGTGTATGTAGACTATGTGCGAGTACATACGAGCGGCTGAATGCTGACGGCGGCGGGGGTCGGATGCTGCGCATTTTTAGCGGGCGGGCTCGGCTAGGCATGGAGGGAGGAGAACGTGCGCAGATTATCATAGCTAGCCAGCCATCCAGACAGACAGCAGACAGGCAGGCATGCTGGCAACGTGAAGGGGGACGGACTGAATGTGTTACGCATGCGATGTCACTCGGACAGGTGTCACTCTCCGTCACTCTTGAGTTATCACGGACTCTCACAAACAGACAGTCATGTTGCAGACAGGCCACCGGTCATCCAAGGGCCACCTGCAAGTCTTGCCGTGGAAAGGAGATGTAGAAACAGACGTGACATAAACGTTCTAGCCCAGACTGCAGATCACTCGGTGTATAAATGGGCTGGATCAGCCAACTGGCCGGACTGTTGGTAAACAATATTGGGTGACCGGGCTAGCCCACTCACAAACATATTTCATCTGGGCCGGACCACTGCCCGCAATTTTTCGGTGACCGGACTGGCCTACTTGGAAGCATCATTAACCTGGGCCGGACCACTGCCCAAGAATCTCGGTGACCGGGCTGGCCCAGTACTCAAGCCGCCGGGAAAGTGAACTGGCCGTGCGGAAAAATATCCACTCAACATTACGCCCTTGATTCAAAATAAAAATATGTACCCATACCAAGCATCAACGTCCTCCCTCAACCTTAGCCCCGCCTTCCCCTTTTCCCCAGAACTCGTCTTGAGTCTGCACCATCATCCAGCACAACTGCGGGTGGAACCGACAGTTGAAACACCCTCTTTCGAAACTGCTGGGCCAGTGGTGTCATTGACTCCTCCGGGCCTTCAGCACTAGATACTGGCTCAGGTTCTTCCCCATCTCCGCCGTCATTCTCTCCACTTGAACTACACTCTTGATCAGGCATTTCGTCATTCTCTCCATCTGAACTACACTCTTCATCGGGTATATCACCAAGCGTAGCCATAGAGTACTCTGATAGGCGTGGAAGAGCCTTGTCATCATCCCACCGTGTGTTCCGACCAAAGAAAACCTCATATGGCTTCCGCATCCGCAGACTGGTATGGCCTTGACAGTTAATCGCCAACGCGATACGCGGTAAAGCCGAAGCCCACCTCCTCGAATCCAATCCTTCTCTTTCCATATCGCTTTGCCAGCACCGCACGTGGTACTGCATCGTCCCGTTGGCTTGCCCGATAAGGCCCTGAGTTCGTGGTGTTTGGGATCTTCCGCTGACGATGAGAATGTCGAAGGATTTTAGTAGTTCAATTAAGTAGCCTTTGAGCTCGTGGCTATTGTCACACTGCACATCTTCGGGATGTCCAAACATACCAATCCATTGGGCCATGCAACCTGCAACATCTCTTGGCGCCTTGCTCTTCAGTGGATACAGTGAGGTAAACTTCGAGAAGTGGTCCTCAATGTAAAGTACCCACCAGTACAGCCTGTCAGGCTCATGCCGGAAATCGACCAGATCGATCTGAACACGCTCAAGAGGACGGTTGACGATACTAATTGGTTCGGTCTGAATACGCTCTAGAGGACGGTTGACGACACTAGTTGGTTCGACCTGAATACGCTCAAGAGGGCGGCTGACGATACCAATTGGTTCGGTATGAATACGCTCGAGAGGAGGGTTGAAGACAACTGGTTCGAGGGGTGTATGGGATCGGTTTTGACGTTTCAGAACACATGTTTGGCATCTCTTCAGCAGCCAATCCACCTCTTTCTTCCGAATTCCATGATATCTATCGGTTACAGCCGAAGCCACCTTGTTGACGCCCGCATGTCCAAGTTCAAGGTGAACCTCTCGAATCCGGTCAAAAATCTCCGAGTCGCAAATCACCCTGCGGTTAGCCCGTCCCTGGTCGCGTTTGGCGGTCGCAGTTCGATACAACTTGCCGTCGTCGTCGTGGATGCGATAGTGCAGCACTGCCTCATATTTATGATTCCACCGTCTCTGCTGATCGGGACCCGGCTCTGGTTTCAGGTCGGGGTTCCTAATCCAGTGGCAATATTCCGTGCGCTTCTCCTCGGTGAACCGTGACTTGATGGCAGTTAGAAACCACTAATGCCTGTCCGAAGTGACTCTAGTTTGAAACTCACCTTGGCCTTGTTTTGATTCATCCATATTCGGAACTCCTGGAAAGCTTCTGCCAAAAACGGAGCGTATGGATCGGACTGGATGGCGGTGGACATGGTGGTGAGGAAGACAGTAAGTTCGTTGATGATGGAAATCTGGACGTGTAGGGAAAACTGAGATTTTTCAACCTTAGCGATAATTAGCCGAAATCCCAAAAATCCCGAATAGGGGCATTTAATCCTATTGCGGAAAAGTAATAGGCCAGCCCACCCGTAGATCTATGAAGGGGCTCACTCAACGGTAGAAAATCTGTGTCTGGGACTGGGCCAGTTTGGTCGACCATGACATTCTGCCAACAGTCCGGACAGTAACCGGATCCAGCCCATTCATAGATTCTTTTTGTTTAATCATCATTGCATCCAACCTTAGTAATCATGGAAGGTTACATATCCGTTTTTACCCGGCTGTCACCGACCGCTGGCCGCGAGCTCGATATATGGTGCCGGACGCTTTAACGGGCAAGCGAGGGATAAAAAATGTCCTTCAGCGCCGAACCGTAGAATGGTAGAGTAGTATGTGTAGAACGGTTCTACGGTTTCAAAATTAAATTGGTGGAGAGGAGTAGGACTTGAAAAGTCGGGTATTTTGTATGAGGGGGGTATGCGTGGTGTACACACTGGCGTACCTCTACCTGCCGTCTGCCGCTGTGCACGACTCTTGCCTTATTCGTGATTCGTCATCCTGCTCCAAAGCTGTAACTCCCGAGTGATACACCATGCCGCAACCTGCGCCGACGGTATTAACACGGTCATTCGGCAGGCCAGATCATTCTTGGGGACGGGGTCAGCCTGGGAATAAGTCCCGGGATGTGTTGAGCGAAACGCATCCGCCGTCCACACCGGGAGTCTTGGAACTTAAAGACTCTAGAATTCTCTTAGATAACGCAGTCTTCCCTATCCCCACAAACATCCAATCGATATTCCTGGCTGATGCCCCGTCAAGAACGAGGAGATCCGACAAGTACACATCATATCCATAGGAACTTGGAAGCACGTGGCTTCCAAGTTCCACAAAAGGTGAGCAGCTTATGTGAAGTCCTTCTAGTGATTGAAGGTGGTGGGGAAGTAGAAAAAGTGATACCTACCACACACCCCCCGCGATGTCACATCTCTGGACCTCCCATGTAGAGAAGGAGATTACAGCAATGTGGCCGAATTTCCGAATAAAAGCACCTCTGAAGACGTCTCACTGCGTGAAGAAAACCCGGGTTGCATGCTCTGTAAAATATATTCTCGTTGTTTTATGTAGGATCAACCCATCTATTCTTCTACTCCTCTTACCGCTCCCGAGGTCGGCAGCCAAAAATGCTATATACACTACAGTCTACAGCTCGTCTTTGAACACTTGCTCGGTGTCCGGTTCGGAAACGAGGTCCACAAGCACCTCCTTAACCACCTCTGCCACTTTCTCCACCACAGTCTCCACCTTCTCCTCTGCAGCCTCGACCACAGGCTTGGCCTCCTCAACAACCTTTTCCGCCACCGGAACAGACACAGACACAGTCTCCGGCATGCTCATCATGTTGACGACAAGACTAGTCCAGCCCAAGAAGTGCGCCGTCCTCTGTCCCTTACCAGTGATCGAGTCATATTGCTCCCAAGCGTACCCTGTCTCTTTCCAGTTCTTGTAGACATTTTCCACGACCGCCTTCCTCAGCTTCTCGTAGAGCCGTGCAGCCGCTTTTTGATGCGGTCCGGCTTGGGATCCGAGGTCCTACTTTCTGTTAGTGTGGAGGGATGGAGCAGGGAGGGGATACGTACGGCAAGTCTTTGCACAGCGAGGAAATTGATATTGACCCAGACGGGACCCTTCCAGTAGTTCTCTCCTGTGCCGAACATGGGATCCTTCTTACTGAGAGATCGGAGTCCGTAGTCCGACCATAGCTCCTCGGGATCCTCCATGAGCGCCAGGACCTTACCCAGGTTATCCGAGTCCTTATCCACGAGGCCAAGGAGCACGGGGAAGAGGCTGACGTAGCCCTTGTGGCACACGTGTACGCTCTCCTCGTAGTCGTCGATAGTGGCATCGCAGTACGCCTGCTCCTTCTCGCTCCAGTGCAGATCGTCCAAGTTCCGGATGACTGCGATCTCAGCTTTCTCGAAGATGGCGGCGTCCTCGGTTTCGCCGATGGTGACGGCAATGCGCTTGATGCACCGCGACATCATGCCGACCCAGGAAAGGAGGTCAACGTGGAGCTCGCCGGTGTGTGGCGGATTGGGACGGGGATAATCGTCAAGGCCGGACGTAAGACAGTGCTCGGTGTCGCGGCCACGCCAGCGGTAAGCCTCCTTCGACGAGAATGCTTCGCGGTCAAAAGCGCGGATCTCACCGGCCTGGGTGGTGCGGAACCAGTTATAGTGGCTGCGGAGCTGGGGGTAGATCTCACGGAGGTACTGGAGGGCTGCTTCGCGATGCTCGAGGTGGGCGTTTGGCAGGTCTTCCGAAGAGATACCGACGGCTCCTGGTGCGGCACCACCGGCAGCTTGAACCTTCTCGAAAGTGTCGATGAACTTGGTGAGAATGAAGAAGAGCGTGGGAGGGTTTGCATAGTGTGGGTACTGCGTCTGGAACTTTTCCGGTACCTTGCTGCGCGCTTCATCGCCCAGAATCTGCTCCCGGCCAATCCATCCATCCTCGTCGACGAGTGCGAACCAGCTTTTGACGATGGAGAGGGTCAGATCCATATCCCACTCGGAAATGGGCAGCAGATGGAATCCTTCGTCCCAATAAAAGCCCCGGGGAAAGAAGGGGCGAGAGGGGATGCTGGTGAACAGCTCCGTTGGTCCTTCCTCTTTCACTACACCAGGTTTCTCTCGTGCAGCCTTCGCTTCCTCCCAGAACCCCTCGTCTTCCTCAAGGTACTCATCAGCATAACTACGGTCAACCATAGAGGTACCGTGGAAGTATCCGATGCCACCAAGAAGGTTGGAGAAGATATTCTCTGCAAATTCTGAGTACTTTGCGGAGTCGAAGGGCGCCTGTCGCTTGAAGACTTTGCCGAACCGTTCACGGAAGGTCTCATGATTCTCCTCAATCTTCTTGGTCAAGATTTCGGCCGTCATCGGCTCGGGTGTGAAAGCTGACGAGTACAGTACATCGAACTCGAACGAGCCTTCAAAGACCTTCTGGATCATGTGCACATTTCCGGGCTCGAAATTTTGCTTGATCACGAACGTCTGCCATGGAGGTGGGTGTGCCTCAGTGCCGTATTTAGCCTGCAGCTCCGAGAAATTTTTCTGCAGGTTGGCGAATAGAGCCTCTGGAGTCCTATCAGTGACGGTCCTTTCTGCACCAGAATTTCAGACACGCAATACCTTTGACCTTCCATGCGAGATTCGGCAGAAGTTGCATAGAGGCATACATGGTTCTCGAGAGAGGCCGCTCAGCCCAAGCCTTAGCATTGCCCATCACTGGAGCTTGGTTGGTCTGAGGTCCTCTGGTAACCTCAAGTTTGAAGTCTCCCAGCACCGGAAGGCTACCTGCCAGCACTACAGTACCTGTAAGTCCTTTCATATCCGGTTCATTTGCAAGCTCGATGCTCCCCTTCGTGCCTTCGTTGGCAACGTAGAACATGACAGTCGTTTTGGTATCCTTCTTAGCTGAGGCCATGGAAACATATGATTTAGCGTCGTCGTTTCGTCCAGGGCCGAGGATAAGCAGTGGAGGAAGTGTTACCATCGTCCCTAAGGGTTCCTTTGATCCTGACACCCCAATTGCCGCCTATTCTCCGCGAATAAGTCTCCTATAGTTTATCCCATACAAGCCAGGAGCCATTCTCACCATGTTCTCCACCCTCAACCTTGACAAACTCGGTAGAGAGATCAATTGTGTTCACTGTATCGTGCATCACCTGCTTTCCACCGGTACGGACATCATACTCCTCCCACCCGTAGCCCGCCATATTATCACCCTGCTCACATTGGTGCCGCAGAGCTACGATGTCATCATCAGCCCCCACTCAGCACACTCCCGCTGGCTTCCCATTCGCGCATCACCACTCACTGTTCTGGAACGTCGTGTAGTCGTTGACACCGGACCACATCAATCCGCTAATAAAGCTGTCCGGCAGTCTGGGCTTGACGCCGAAGTATAGGTTGGGCCGGTATGGACCCCATAATAAGCTCTGGTTCGAAGCATGGGAGATTTCGCTTAGAAGGGTCGAGTCCGAATCCGATGAGGCCGAAGCGACGGTGATGAGAATCGCAAATATGCTTGTGATGGAGCGTAGGATTGGAGATTTGGTGGGGGCCACCATGATGCGTGAGTGTTCCGACAATCGTGGAGTCGACAATCGTGGAGTTGGCGTGTTGCAGGTTTCGGTTGCAAGCTGTTGTTTGGAGCTTGCTACAGATTTCCCGTTGTTACCACAGTGGCTTTAGCTCTCGAGAGCCTTCTTGGGTTCAGGGGTCTTACGCCATTGGGACCGGTCGCTTGGCAGCCTTGCGACCAAGAGAGCCTCACCTTAACTTCACAGACGCCAACGCGACAACCTACTACCAACCACAGAAGAAACACGCGAACTCCATCTATCTTCTTCACCCCCCAACACCCAAAGATACACACACCGCAAGTCCTCACCACTGCGCCCACGGCATAAGCGCAACCATGTCTGTCAGTCACCCCCGCTATCCTGCTCCTCTCGTCAGGGAACTGAATGAAATTGACGCAATACAGGCTCCATTAAATCCTCGTCCGATGCTCCAGTCCCTGTTCGTCCCGTTCCCCTCCGCCGTCCTTCCCCCGCGCCGGCGCAATTCACTTCGCTGCGAAGCTTCCGGCGAGGAAACGGCTCCCCGCTGCGCCCTGTACTGACGGGCCGCGAACAGAATCGACAAGCCAATCCTCGTCCGCCTAAAGTGGGGACAGACCGAGTACCGCGGAACCCTCGTCAGCGTGGACAGCTACATGAACCTGCAGCTATCCAGCACCGAGGAGTACATGGACGGCAAGAGCACCGGTCACTTGGGACAGGTGTTGATTCGGTCAGTGCCTTCCCACGCTCTCTCCCAGCTGATACTGATGGTGTAAAAGGTGTAATAACGTCCTTTGGATCTCGGCCGCACCGAAGGAGGATGTTAAGATGGAGGATTAAGCGGAAGGAGGAAAGTGAAGGGCTGCGTATAAAATTACATACAATTGCGCGCAATGATCTGTTTGTCTGTGCTTTATACTTCTGGATTGTCATGTTCTGTCGCATCGCCGGGGTTCGCAGCAAAGACTGTATTGGCTGCTAGATTGCATTGTTAAAAGCTGCTGTGCTTGTGTGCCCGCTGTGGCTGAGGTGAATTACTGTGCCACAACCAGACGCCACACAAGAGTAAGTAGATCATAGTATATCCCTGCTCAAATGCACTGCATCCAAGCTTGCATCATCACTTCACGTTTCCCCCAACCTGTCTTTCACCGCGAAATCCGTCCACACCACAACACAATGAACCACGACCGCGACCGCGATTCCCGCCACTCGGGTCCTCGCGACCGAGACTCCCGTCAACACAATCCTCGCCGCGATCGCGACTACAACAACCGCGACCGCGATCCCCGAGACCACAGAGACAACCGCGACAGAGGTGACAGAAACGATAGAAGCGACAGAACCGACAGAGGCGAGAGAAACGACAGAGGCGATAGAAGCGACCGAGGCGACCGAGGCGACAGAGGCAGACCCACCGACCACTCCAACCGCCGCGAAAAACCCAAAGCCCTGAGCCGCAGCCGGAGTCCGGATGCGCGCAACGGCAACGGCAACGGCAATCGCGACTACCGCAACCGCGACCGCGGGCCTTATCCCACGCGTGGGCGCGGCAGCGGTCGCGGAGGCAGACGAGGTGGGACTCGCTCACCTCCACCCCGGAAGGAGAAGGAGAAAGAAAAGGAGAAGGAAAAAGAAAAGACGCCACCACCTCCTGCGGCAGTAATGGACGTAGACGCGGACCCAGATGATGAGGAGGCACAAATGGCGGCGATGATGGGGTTCAAGGGGTTTGGGACTACGAAGCAGAAGAAGGTCCAGGGGAATAATGTGGGCGCTATTGCGAAAAACAAGACCGCTGAGTATAGACAGTACATGTACGCCCCCCCCCCCTGGATGGAGAGTGGCAGCAGTGGGTAGGTGCTAACGGAAGGGTCCTCAACAGGAATCGCCCTGGTGGGTTTAATAGAGCGCTATCACCGTCGTGATGGAATACGGGCGATGTCTTGGCATACTTTTACAAAGGCGTTTGCATGGCGGAATTTGTCTGGTTTCCACTGTTCATTTTCCCTGTAGAGATGAGCTGGGGTGATAGAGGAGTTCCTTTGAAACAAAGGCATAACGAGCCATTCGCTGTGCTCCTTTTGCTTCCGGGATGTGCCCAGAATATATGTGATGCGGTGACGGCATTTTGCATCATGTCCGCTCGGAGGAAGCACCTGTGGCCGAACAAAGAATCGCCGTTCCCTCTCTCTTGCACGGTGAACAAAGAGATTCTTCCTACCAAAATACCCACACCACCCCATCTGCGTTACCACCTCATCCCATTTTCCCGTCCCATCCATCTCACCACCATGTGCGCCGCAAACTGCACCAATGGCTCTCGCTACTCCAACGAGGACCACGAGGACGACGAGCAAGTGGTCGACATATGGGACACTGCAAGCCTCAACACCACCTTTACCTCTACCTCAAACTCCATCTCCCATCACAATACCACAGCCACACCCCAGGAGAATTCCACATCGATACCAAGCTTCACAGCCACCCTCGCAGACACCCTCAAGCCCATATACACCTCATACCTCCAGGAGCCAGGGCGCGCAAAGCTCGCACTGGTGGAATGCGTCCTCTCCACCGAACCCTTAGCCCTGGGGTTCTTAGAAACCTGCAAACTCGTCTCGGAGCACGATTGTGCCAGTGCCGAGAGACCAATAGTCCATCCCCCTCACCCTTCTGGTCCTTTCCCAGCTAATGAATAAGATCCACCTCATAACGTTTCTCTTGACCACGCACACTGCCATGTCCCGCAGCAGCAGCAGCAGCAGCAGAAACGACAGCAACGACAGCACCCCCGCGGTCCTGCAGATGCTCGTCCGCTCACCAAAAGATACCGAAAAACTCCCGCTATCACCGGACGAGAAGCAGAGCTATTCCGATGCGCTCCGCCTCGCCGCCCGCGCGCTGCTCGATCACCGCCGCGCACAATTCCTTGCCGCACTGTTCATCGTCCCCTCCATCTGTGCCGGAAGTCTCGAGTGGTTCCTGGGTACCTTCCCGAAGCTTGATAAGGAGCTGAAAGAGGGGTTGGCTAGGCTGGAGACGAGGATTAGTGGTATGGTGGAGACGTGCCGGAGCGCTGTGGAGAGAATGAGGGGAGTGGAGCGCGAGTTATGCGTGCTCTCTGGGGCGGTGGAGGGGGTAAAGACCGCTGGGGATTGGGTCGAGGTGAAGATTCGGGATTTGGAGAGAGGGAGGGATTTGCTTAGGGGAGAGGTGGTGGGAGCGTGCAGGGTGGCCAGGTACCTGATTATGACGCACGGGATAGTGTTCAATAGAGAGGATGAAGAGGTAATCGTGGTGACGGGAACGAGTCCGAAACGGGAGGCGGAGGAGGAGGCGGGATTGGAGATGGGCGCTGCTGGGCCGCCGGAAAAGAAGAGGACGGTCGAGGTGGGGAAGGTTGTTAGTGCGCCGGCAAGGGAGGACAGGGCGGCTCCACCACCACCACCGCCTGGGAGAGGATTCTATAAGGGGAGGAATTTTGATCCCTATCATAGATCGCGGGGAAGGGGATATCGCGGTGGTGGTGGAGGTTATTGGGGACAGTCACCATACAGAGGCCGTGGAGGAAGACCAGGGGAGGGACATTATTATTAAATTGCGGTCCGCAGATGGGCGTCTGAATTTGATGTTTATCTATGGTGGTATTTAACGCCTACTATAATACATACACAGTTATGTGTGTCTACTGTTTCTTAGCCTCGAGATGCTTCTCCAACTGTCTCCAACTTCTCCATCTCCTTCGTTTCCTCGAATCTCCTTCCTGGGCCCGATTTCCCTTCTCTATCTCGTCTCAGACTGCGCTCCGTCTAAGACTGCGCTCCTCCGATAGGCTTGTATTCTTTTCCAATACCTTGGGCGGCGCCTTCATATCCTTCTTCGCCTTGTCTGCTTCCACTGCCACTTCCGTCGCTGCCTTGAGCATAGCTAGCCTCTCCTGCTTTTCCTCCTCCCTGACATAGTCGAACCCGGACATCCCACGGTACATGAGGGCGACTTCATCCTTAGCGCCACTCTGTACCACATTCTTCGGATAATCATCCTGATGCTGCAAGGCGACCTCGACTATGCCCGGCATCTCCCACATCCAATCGGAGGCCTTGACCGCCTTGGCATTAATCGTCAACCTTTCCCTCTTTGGCCCGATAATGTCCGACTCCATGACCAGCTTCTCATCATCTATGATGAAATCCACCTTGTTGCCATTACTATCCCTTATGAGCCTCCTAATCTTCGGTTCCTCATCCGGCCACTCCAGCTGGGTCTTACTCCCCTTCCTGAAGTACTTCGTCCCTCCCTCGGGCAACTTGGGACCCAGGTGGGCATCCACGGGGATCTCGAGGCCGAGCTTCTTCCTTGAGTCGATATACCGCTGCCACTCATCCTTCAGCAGCTCGACCTTCTCCTTCTGCGCGTCGAGCTTGCGGTACTTGCGGGCGCTCTTCTTCATGGAGCTGGCGCGCTTGGCACTCTCGATCTGCCACTTCTTCGACACGCGCGACTCGTCGCCCATCAGCGCGTGCTCCACCTTCTCCGCCAGCAGCTGCCGCGCTATCTTCCGGTTCTGTGAGCGAGACCGCGTCTCCTGCGACTTTACGACAATACCGGTAGGCTTGTGGATCAGTTGCACCGCCGAGGAGGTCTTGTTGATTTTTTGCCCGCCGGGGCCGCTGGAGAGAGACAGATGTGTAAGCGAGAGCCCGCGTGTATGTGGCGGGCGTGTGTGGGTAAGTAGTTACCTGCCCTTCAGGAACACCTCGGTGAAGTCTGCTTCGTCGAGTATCATCCGCGGGGGTAGTCGCGGCCCGCCGGCGAAGCTGGCGGCCGACAGTGTGAATGCGCGCACGGCGGGCGGCAGGAGGAAGCGGAGGCGAGGGAGGGCCAGCATTGTAATGATCGCGGCGGGGTGGAGGTTGTGGATGTGGCGTACTCTGTGTATCTACCTACTCTGTGTACTGTAGATACGGTAGTGGGGGTGAAGGTTTAGCCGTGCAGTAGAATTTGAGCTGACAGGGAAGGGCTAGTTAGCGCCGGAATTGGGGATTTCTCCGCGTGCGCATCTAGAGCACATCTCGGCCCTGCACCTGAACCTGCGCGTGCACATGAAGGATCCCGGATCACGGCTTTCGGGCAGTGCTGACATTTATACATAACGGCCATGGTTTCACAGCAATGGCTGCCTGGGCACATGGAGCCCCACCTGCCCCTACTTTACAACTACTGGGCCATCGTAGCAAATCACGTAGCGGAAGTCACTTCAGTCCAAACACGAGGAGGCGGAAATATTCACAGTAGATAGCAAAAGCGGTAAAATATCAAGGTAAAAATGATCCCTCCCAGGTATATTCCTCAATCTGGAGCCCCCGATTCACTGCAATTTCTGTAGCAAATCCCCTCCTCCAGAATCCACACACTGCTCCAGCCCAGTCAGCGACAAACATGTCAAAGCAGAGCACAGACTCACATCAAAACGCCCACTTATATTTCCCCTTTGGGTTGAACTCGACGGCGGCCCAAATATCGACACAGTCGTCTTCTCCGGCCTGCCACTTATGGAAGGGGTAGTCCACGGTGCCGTTTCCGCGCAGGATTGGCTTTCCGTACGAATCTCTGCGCCAGACACCGCCGTGCTCGGCGAGCGGCGGCAATACCAGCTTGTCGAACGCCTCGGGCCCGAGTTTTGGGAGTTCGTCTGCAGGCGTGTCCTCGTACTCCGTCTTGAGACGCCACATGCCGCCGGTGCCGGTGCCGGCTGAGAGCCCGATGTGGATTTCGGCGAAGGAGGCGTCCGTGTGGTTGTGCACGCCGCAGTTGACGTTGTTGCCTGGCTGCTGTTAGTACATAGGCCTGCGGTAGGAGTAGGTGGGGCATTTAGTTACCGGCTGTCCAGAATTGCAGATGCGCCAGGAATGTTTGATCGTGGAACCGGAATGTGAATCCAGTCATGTTGTGGAAGTTAATGTCTGGAAACCCGGCTCCCCACCAGCATTTGTCTACCTTCTTGAAATGGAGCGGAGGGACCGGAAGTCCTCGCGTCGGCTTGAAGGTGACCTTCACGGGTACATCCTCTGCCGTAGGCCATTTCCCAGGCGTCGACGATGAGTCGCACTTCAGAGGACTGAACAACAGGAGAACGGAGCCTATATCGTCCAGAGTTCGTAATTCGTCGTTGTCCATCACGACGGATTGCTCGGTGAAGGGTGGAACATCCATTGCACGGCGTTCTTTTTCTCCGTCCATCACAGCTCCAAACAGGACTTTGTAGCCGATGCCCGGCAAGCCTGCGAATGTTGTCTTTGGCGGGAGGACGACGACGGATAGAGCATAGTTTGCGACCTCGATCAGGTCCAGGGAGCAGGTTTGTGGTGCTGTGTCGGGGTTGGGTAGGTACACCAAACCCTCGTCGTCCCAGAGTGTGGGAACGACGGAGGCATCGTGTGCAATATGGGCATTAGCGAAGTCGTTGTAGTACACACTCACAGTTGGATTTTCCTCCTCGTAATAGTTCGGCACACGATATTTGATGCCCACGAAGTCGAGCAAGCCTCTACCACCGAAGTTACTGTAGACGAATGGGTTAGAATCCAGATAAGCGGTATACATTGGTATGGTGGAGCTTGTTACATACCCGATAGCAATGCGGGCGGTGGATTCTTCGGCAACCTTGTACTTGGCGAACAAGCCCTTGTCGAGATCAATCGCTTTGTAGTAGAAGACTCCCTATATAAATAATTATTAGCATGTTTTCCTAGTTGTAGACTGCTCAGTACATACCTTATTCGGCGAGGGCCCAGATGTTTTGTCCGGAGTACCGAACATCGCCACAAGGAACTCGTCATCCCCATCACCTACATACACGATATCAGTAAATTGCAGTGAATATTATCGTCCCGTGTACTACGTACCGTCGAAGTCGCCCGTAACGACGTAGTGTCCAGGGCCTATGGGATTGTCAGCAAGTTTCAACTCATACTAAAGCTATAACCGTCGTACCCTCTCCATGCTTCTGGAGTTGAGCCGGCGATCCGAACACGTCTAAAACGTGTCTTGTCCATCCTTTTGTTCCATCCATAGTAGGATTTGCCTTGGTATATACACAGACCATGTTTCCATGGAAAGGATCGATGGACGCGACGTACGCGAATGGATCATCGCCAACCCTTCCCACATCGACACAACCACTGCCCCAGTAGTCCGGTGGATCAAGGTTGCTTGCGGACTGTCCCTCCGCCTTAGGCTCGCCTTCGGTGATGTGCTCAATGTTCCATTTTTGGTCCGCGTAATAGAGCCAGTTCAAACCTTCCCTCGAAGCGATCACGAGGGAATCGAGGCCGTTGAGCCCATGGAATCTCACTCGATGTTAGTAATTTCCACTACGGAGGAGAAGGTCCAGTACTTTTTCTGAGCCGCATCGTGAATCACGGTGAAGCTACTGTCATCGACGATCTTGCGAGGCCACTCCAATCTACTCCAGTGTTAAATGATACGGAGGAGCTGATGGAAAGGGAATATTTACGCTTCCAGCACTTTCTCGGGAGCCTGAAACAAGATCACCGGAATCGCGGAAGTCTGCCAGAACGAGTCAGAGATTCTCTAGAGACAAATTCATGGCAACAATCTTACCAAGTCTTGCGGGCCATGGACAACTTCACGTAAGTGGGCGAATGTCAGCACTGCGGGACAACACTGTCAAAACTAGAGTCTTACCGGACATAGCCATCACTTCTAGGAACGACCTGCAGGGAATTGGTATGTCAGATATTCCACTGTCCCTTGTATAAAATTATTAAAGCGTGAGAAACTTACTTTTGTGTGAAATACCCAGCCTTCAGTCGATGCATAGCCGGCCACCTTCCGACATATCGTTGCTCCCAAACACCACCGCCTAGCTTGTCTCTTCCAGGATTCCTCAGCCAGCTTATGTGACCGCCGTCTACCAAGCACCGTAGCATGTGAGGACCATAATCATGACAGATGAGCAGGTCCGTGAAACCGTCTTGGTCGACGTCTGCTGCCACCACTGCTACAGGCGATTCGAACTCCGCGATCGTGTACTTCGTCCAAGCTACGATACATTCGTAAGTTTTCCATGGCTCCAATATGATATGACGTTTAAGCGGTATATGAGAACATACGTTTATCGAGAAAAACTCCCTCTTTCTGTTCCATGATTGGATTTTCAAGGAACTCGATCTTGCTAGTCTTTGCGATGCCATCTCCGAGACCGTAACTGAACACCAATAGTTAGCCACGCCGGAAACGACACAAGACCACTGGGGGGACCCACGCAATGATGCCTGGGACTTTGTCTGCTTTGTGGAGGTAGAATGTTTCTACCCAATAGCCGTCCGTCCTTTTCTCCTCAATGATCGAGGAGCGGAAAGACGGTGTGATGGGTGTTATTCCGGAAGACATGATGATTGCTGGCCGTGGGATTTACGTGATTGGGAGGAGCTTTCCCTTTATCCCGTTGGTTAGGATGTCCACGCCGGTGTATCCCACGACTGCCCTCATTGAGGCTGCAGTATACTGTGAAACCCCCGAAGAGCATGACAAGCTGTTTGGTGGGGGTATAGCCGCGTGTCGTGGTAACCACACAAGCAGGCTTGATCCGGCCGGTTTGCAGATCGGCTGAGTTGCAGATTCGCAAAAGAAACTGTCGACGGCCAATAGTAATCGTTTGGGCATCAACGGAGCTCAGTTCTTCCGGCTGAATTGAGACACAGTGATCGTCATCCTACCAGCCCACTGACATTTGATCGTAGGAGCAGTTTTCACAGTTTCCCCACAAAGACGCACAGCGTAAGGACGTTTTGTTTTTCCGCCAGTGGACGGCCCAGATAGGTCATGATGGTGACAGATGCAGCGAAGTTGCAACGATAAGATTCGAGCTGAAAGATTGACCGAGTTGCATCAAGGTTGGGGGTGTGACTACCCTCTTCAATCTTTGATTCCTTGATCTTTGATCTTTGATCTCTGATATTCTGAAACTGACTGCATTCATGATCTTGTGCCGTCCGGCATCCGAGTGTCCGGAGAATCGATTCGAGCTGAAAGATTGACCAAGTTGCATCAAGTTTGGAGGTGTGACTACCCTCTTCAACCTTTGATTCCTTGATATTTGATCTCTGATCTCTGATATTCTGAAACTGACTGCATTCATGATCTTGTGCCGTCCGGCATTCAAGTGTCCGGAGGATCGATTCGATTCGAACTTTAGAAGCACAAAATCTGGCTCTGGCGACTTATGTACCTCTCATCGTTTCCAGTTCTCCCTCCAAGCACCGGCATTAGTGTCCAGTCTTCCAGGCACGGGCATTACGCGGCCCAGCTAGACGGCAAGCCCGCCATCTCACCCGCGGCCATGACGGTGCATATCGAAGCGGCTGGAGAACCTGCAAGCTCACGGCGGCCAACAAATAGCGATTAGTAACTGCTATCAGCACAGCTGCATGACACTCATCTGGCCTGGCCCATGCAGTCGGCGGTCGAGAGCAGCAGACGGCCGGGCCGCTGTCCCCGTTCATGGCTTTTGGTTCTCGGCCCAACAAGAGACCCCCGCAACGTGGTCAGCTTTGGAAAAGCTGGCAATTCGCGTAAGCTTGCTTGATTGAAACGATGCAATCCGAAGCCGCATCCGAAGTCGGCACACGAAACCGTCACATTGTGCACGGGTTCTGGCGTTGCAGGAACGGGGAAACGGACACGAAAACGGTAAAGCTCCCACTCAAAGAGGGTCATTGCGGTGAACCAACGTCTCCTGCAGATTCTAGATCGGCCGCCGCTATATCACAACGGGGGGGTTGGAGCCAGACAGCATACGAACATCAAGCTGTGCTGGGCTGGGCTGCAAAGTTCCTGTGCCAGGCAGGAGCTCGAGCCCGGCAATTCGCCCATACGTCTTTGTGAATTTTATCGAGACATCACAATCAGATGGTTGACCGGGAGTTCCCCAGAGTGCAACGCGGGGAGTCTGCGTGATCCGTCCGGCGGGGTTCGATTGACCACGGATGAGCAAAATACCATCAACCCCGCTCTGCATGGAGTACCGGTAGATGCCGAAGCACAAGCGCAGACTAGTTACCAGCAGAATGCATAGTACTAGAATGGCGTGGGTTGCACCAACCGATTGCGATTCTCCACCCGACTAGTTTGCGTCGCCGAGATGTGTGCATGTTGGGTATGGACGTCCAAGAAGCTGCAGACTCGGGTATCGGTCCGATTTCAGGCCGGGAAGTCGCACACTCACTGCAATGAATCAGCGCCGGGGATCTGCATTCCATTGCATTGCAGTTTCAGCTGGATTTGACCTCAAAGTCGCAGTTGTTTGGTGAGAAGCTCGATCGCGCCGATAGCATCGCATGTAGAGTACTGATGCACCTTTCGTCGGCCCGGCACCTGGTGCGTTGGTGACTTGTCAGACTGTTTTTTGGTCTATCTAGGTGGTTAATAATCATCTAATCGCATACGACCCGTCCAAGTAGTTAGATCATGGCAATACTGGACACCTACCCCCGGTTCCCGTCCACTATCCAATCACGATTCATCAGTCTACGGGCGGCCCTATTGTGCCTCCCCTGCCCTCCGCCGGCGCCGGCGCCTTTCCCACTGCCTGTCGGACACGTGGATGGTCCGTGCGCCGAGCCCGCAAGATACGCACGAGTGATGAGCCGCGTGTCGTGCGTCGTCGCCCGTCCCGTGCGGCCGGCATATCGTCTCGTGTTGCTTCCACCCAACACCACCGATGGAGGAGCATCTGAGGCATCTCAGTGAGCCAGATTCAATCGTAAGTGTCCGAAATCTCCTCCAATGGCTTCGTTTTCACCCGAACGTGCCGTCAGCGTGTGTTGAGTATTGATACTTCAAAACCTCTAGTGAACTGGTCCGCATGTGTAGAGGGATGTAAACTCAATGCCAATGGCGCTGCAAAAACCTGAAATGCTTCAAGGTGTGTGCGTTAGAGTTCCAAGCTAGCGATCCCAGCTGCATGAATGGTTGTACGCATCTAGGGCTGAGCAACCCCGCACATTGTTCCACTCACATTCTTCTACTCACATTCTTCTACTCACATTCTTCTACTCGTATACCTCCTCGTGTACTCATTCACTCCCTCAACAACTGAAACAACTGAAACAACCACTTCTGCCTGCTGATTGGTGCGCGCAAAATAAATTTAAGTGTTGCATTGGGAATATTCACCATCCGATGAAAGCTCCCACTCTCAGCGATTCTCCAGCTTGGGCGGGCTGCACCTCGTCATGAAATTCCCTTAGTGGATTGAGGAGCTCCTGCGGAGGAAGATGAGGACAACGTGTCGTGTGCCGCCAATTGGAACTCTTGAGGATCCAGGTACATGGCCTTCAGCGGCCTACGTAAATAAGTAGTGCTATCCCCCTCCCCCGGTGCGTTGACCCCACTGTCCTCTCCTTCTTCGCCGAGTTCATTCAACACAATGAATGACCCCAACCAGGACAACTACACCTTCACTCCGGCGGAGACGTTCTTTGACGCCTATGCCGTGAAATCGTTCAATACCCCGACTTCCATCACGTACAGAGTGGAAGACAACGATCCCAAACAGCCCAGCATCAAGACTGGAGCTATCTTCAGGTTCAATGACGACAAGCTGCTCCTAGTGCAGTTTATACGGCCCAAGGTCTGGAAGATCCGTTTCAGTCCACTTATAAAGACTCCAGCCGAATACAACGACTACAATTCGTAGGTAGCCGATTATTTTCACTTTTTTTGCTTTTCTTCATGTTTCTCCGTAGCTGACAACATCCAAGTCGTACCATCGTCCGAGATACCGTCACAGAGCTGCGTGACTGTCTTGACAAGTTCGAGGACATTTTCTGGGACACCTCCGTCAAGCCCTCTGACGATGGCAAGTACTTTTGCCTGGAGTCTATGGTGTATCAGAGCGCCGCCGATCGGAAAGCCAAAAAGGACGGCAAGTGGGAGGTCCGCCTCTTTGTCCAGAAGGCTCCCTTCCGTATCATCGCAGTCCGTGCCGTTCCGCCGCACCTTGACCCGGATGACGCTGTTCCCGCCCTCAACGCCAGTGAGGCGATCAAAGTCAACCTTGACACCCAATGCATCATCTGGAAGACGGCGCCGAATGGACTCTCTTGGGTCCAGAAGGGCGAAACTACAAACGCGATCCTCTCCGTGTGCAAACCCGGCGCTGCCCGCTATATCGGATTTGGCGAGCAGGGTGGAATGTCTCTGTTCAAGTACAGCACGTACATGAACTACTTTGGTAAGTATTGGAGGTCATCCGCCTACCTATTACACGCCCACACGCCTCCAAAAATGCATTGCTAAACCATAGTACTAGACTACGACAACATGATGTACAGTGGTGTCTACGGAAAAGGAGCCGGGGACAGCAGGGAACCGCTCTACCACTCGGAGCCTTTCTGGATCGAGGTCGATACCCACCAGAACTTGGGCTCTAAGGTGGCCACCTTCGTCGACAACTATTCCCAGATCAGCATCGACTTCGGGAAGCGCAACAACGGCGAAATTCGCGTGGGTACGAAGTACGGCAGTTTACAGTACTTCGTGATGGCCGGCAATGACATCCCCGATATCATAAACCTCTACACCTCAATCATCGGTCGTAACAGACTGAAGCCTAGATACGTCCTAGGGCACCATCAAGGATGTAAGTACTATAACCAATCCATCACTCCCACAGACTACCAAGACGATGTGGCTTGCTGACACTGAGTCGGAAACCATCTACTAGGTTATGGCTATGATACTCAGAAAAAGGTAGTCGGTATAGTGGATCAGTATCGCGCCCGCAAGATTCCTCTCGACGGAATGCATATCGACGTCGACTTGCAGGACCGATATCGTACATTCACGATAAACACAGCTCCGGACAAGTTTCCTGACCCGAAAGCGATGTTTCGGGATCTGCGCAATATGGGCGTCAAAGCTTGCACGAATATCACTCCTGTCATCAACTGCACTGGCGATGGCTACAAGACCCTTTCCGAAGGGGTGAAGAACAAGTAAGAATCCCACCCCCCAAAACTCTACAATGAGATGTCTGACATTGCTTAGGTATTTCATTATGGACAAGCGCTACACCGCCGATGGCATAGGGAAAAACAGCTGGGATGCAAAGTACATGTACTATGATGGCGGCAGGCGCGAGATGATCACTGATATTCAGAGCGCCCAAAAAAGGATGCCCGGTTATACTCCCGAGTAGTGAGTCCCTCAAAATCTTTGCCACCGAGTGCCAATTACTAATAACTAGAAGTGACTTCAGCAAGGCATACAACTCGGAGAAGGAGTTCATTGGCGGTGTCTCTTACGGTCAAGACTTGGGAACAGTTCGTAACCTGCTCCAGCAATGCACCCAGGGAGGGACTTTTTTAACGATCTGACTTTAATCCTAGCCTGGCTTCTATCCCGATCTCAACCGAGAAGTTGTACGGAAATGGTGGGGAGAGCAATACCGATATCTCATAGAACAAGGACTTGAGTTTATCTGGCAGGACATGACGAGCCCTTGCCTTGCTAAGGAATACGGCGACATGAAAGGGTATGAACATATTCCCCTAGTCCATTCACTGAGCATCCACATTTGACAGTCTCCAGACTTCCTTTCCGGCTGATGGTCAGCACCGACGTTTACCCTAGCCAAGACGGCAAATACCCTCCCTATAAGGCAGCCATCGAAATGTGGTCACTCTTCAGCTACAACCTTCACAAGGCTACATACAAGGGTCTGAACGACATGGACCTTCGCAAAGGCAAAAGAAACTTCATCATTGGGCGTGGAAGTTTCGCCGGCATGCACAGATATGCTGGTCTATGGACCGGCGATAACGCTTCCACTTGGAACTTCCTGCGGATCTCGGTTGCGCAGATTCTCGCATCCGGTTTGTCTGGAGGCGTCATCACAGGCGCTGATGTGGGCGGTTTCATGCCGTTGAACAAAGATCAGTGGGCCGACCCGGAGCTGGTGATCCGTTGGTACTGTGCTTACTCCATGCTTCCATGGTTCCGGTGAGTCCATCACTCAGCCCAACCATCCATCGGGGAAAGACACTGACAGGCCTACAGAAACCACTACCACGGCAAACCAGGCATGAAGTTCTTCCAGGTAAACCAATTTTTTGTGCGTTTTTCCTGTGGGTTGCCAGCTAAATTCCTTAGGAACCCTACGTTTACACGGACCATTTCTGGAACCCACAATGGCATGATATACTCAAGAAAGACGAGAGGATGTACCTTTCGGTAGAGCCTGTGTGCAAATACTTTGTAGAGCTTCGATACACCCTCTTGCAGCTCCTCTACGACGCCATGTTCGAGAACCAGATCACTGGAATGCCCATTGCCAGAGCCTTGGTAAGCTATACCCCATTCGACTGCAATCGGAGTCACATCTGACCGCGATGAAGATCTTGACCGACGTCTACGATGACAGTCTGTACAAAGACGCCTCGAACTACCTTTACCGCGAATACATGGTCCGCAACGACCTGCTAGTCTGCCCGAGGCTGTACCCGGAGAAGCTCAAGGTAGGGGAAAATGAGACGAAGCAGAAGCACCAGCTGTACTTACCCCAGCCCGACAACTGGTTCGTGTTCAACTTGCGTCCCGACCACATCGAGGATCCGAATGGAGACGGTCTCAAGATTAGCCGGAGGAAGGGGCTGAGCGCAAAGCTCCAGGGTGGAACCTTCATGGAGTGGGATGACGAGATCAGACTTGGCGATAACGAGCACATCCCATACGTGATGCCGATGTTTATCAGGGAAGGTGGGTACCCGCAATCATCAACGCAATATCTTCAGGTAATAACTCACCGGGAAACATTCAGGTGCAATCATTCCGCAGATTGAGCTCCGACAGTGGATTCCCGACTTGGAGAACCGCAAAGCGAACCCCATCACCCTGCACGTGTATCCAGGCAAGAACAGCGTAAGCCAACCAGAAATCCATCGCATTACTCGATGTGCTCTTTCGCTGACAGCCCGCTCTCGCAGGACTACCACATGTACCTGGACGATGGAATCAGCCGTGCCAGCGCTCCGGCCGGACTGCCGCAGTACTCAGCCAACCCCGTGCCTATGCACCCCGAGCTGGGAGTGATTCCGAAGGACGATTTCGCCATCGACGAGGATGAAGAGGCCAAGAGCGAATACCGCGAGGTGATCATCGCCCAGGCAAGTTCCCTCCCCTCATGCCATCCTTCCCTACCACTAACACCGAAAAGAGAACCGCTGGCGCCACTCGCACCGTCACCATTCGCACCGCCTGGGACAATTACAATCTCGACTTACTCAAGCGCGATATTGGCCAGCAGTACACCGTCATTATCTGGCACGAGGTCGACGTCGACACGACGAAGTGCGTCACTACCACCGATGGCGCTACTGGCTCCACCGTGTCCAACGACACCTCCATCAGGGCTACGTTTATCGATGTTCCCATTGACGCCGATGACAAGAAGAAGGGTATCACTATTACTTGCAAGTACAATTAGTGGACTGATTGCGGGGGTACCACGAGTCGATAACGATTGCGTAACGGTCTTTTTGGTCTTTTTGGTCTCTTTGTTTGTTTTGGGGGGGTTTTCTTCGGTATCTTTACTTGAACGGGTTTTATCTGGGATAGGTAGTCCGTTTTTCGATCCATAATTGCGAGAATGATCCACTTTTTTTTCTTGTTGTCTACGATGGTCCACATTAAGTGCTTCGCCCAATCGTCCGACCCATTATCCCACACCCAACACCAAACACTCTCGCCCACGGACCCACTGCAGCATGGCAGCCACCAAAACAGAATCTGCAGCTGTGACTGTGGCACAGCAATTTCTGACTGTTCAAGACTTCAAAAGGCAGATCTTCCGATAGGCTGTGGAAGAAGGGTTCAAAACCCCCTATCAGAAGTCGAATAGGTACATAAGTCAGATCAATGTCGTGATTTGTACCGAGAAGGCAACGCATGCAGCTTCAAAGTGTGGCGGGCACACTGGAAGCCAACTATTGAGAGTGTGGAGGCTGCGTAACCATTGTCACTCCCAATGGTTAGCGATGCAAAACGATAGCATGAGTAAGCGCAACGAGTGACATCTGTGACCAAGCCCAACACCTCAGCCGAAATTACAGAGTGACCCGATATGACTCACCCGATTCATCGCCGGTCTTAGCAAAAAGTTACCCAACCCGGTTCCCGTCTGCTCGCCCAACCCAACCCAACCAACTCCACGCCAGTAAAATAGACAGCCCCACGCGGGGGTCGAACCCGCAGCCTTCAGATTAAGAGTCTGACGCTCTACCGATTGAGCTAGCGAGGCTGTGTTGAAACAATTCCGCTATTAGCGCTCTTTATATGGTTTTTGTTTCATGTGATTGTGCCATTGACTGGTATAGGTGAAGCCACCGTGCTACAGTCTACCGGTGAGGGAGTCTATGAAACCAGACGGATCAGTAGCGAGGTCCACTAGTTTTAGTCCGGCCCTAGAGGTTAGTGGAATCGCTTCGCCTCCATCTGGCTATGTACTGGAGTTGCCTCGTTAAATCTGCTCTTCTTATTCCGAAGAATCGGAAGACAATCATACGCCCCGGATGAGGGATGTGTAGGTACGGTATCCGTTGGTCGTGGGCGTGTGGATTTACCCTCGATCGTCGGACGTCATTTCGACCATTTGGCACGGCCGAGAAAACCGCAATAGCCACCAACTGGCTACACTTGCTGCACAACTCGTGACAAGTAATGTGCTTCGCTGTCGCCGGGAATTTTTGGGGCGGAATATCACTCGGAGTAATCAATGTCCTGTTTCGACTGAATCACATTCTACATTTGCTCGTACCCATTGAGGGCCTCTCAGTACCTACATAATGCAACTATACAAGCCCGCGCTCCCTTCACATCAAGTCGACAGCGTCGCCATTTTCGCCAAAATATCCTTAACGATCCTCGACCCGCCTTCCGAGCTCCCCGTAACATAAGCCAGCGCCTTCGCCGCCGCACACTTGGCTCTGACCTTTATCTCCTCGAGCAACGGTCTCACCGTGGCAGCGAGATTCCTAACCGCGCCCGCCAGCGCCTCCAAATACCCACGCAGCGTCTGAACCAGCGCCGTAACAGCCTTCAACATTCCATGCCGCAATCGCGCCATCAACAGACGGAAAGCGTCGGGGGCGCTGTTCTGCGTGCCCATCGATATGCGTATAAAGTCGTCGATCAGCTCTGTGAACTGCTCTTTGACCTCGGCCGCTTCTTTTATGATCGCTAGCTCGTAATCCTCTACGCTCCCCAGGGACGCCGTGGTAGAGCCTAGCTTGTCGGAGCATCGGTCGAAAAGTGTGCATATCGTCTTGATGACCGCCATGTACTGCCGTTGCAGCCGGGTGCACGGCTCGTCGATGCTGTAGGTACTGGTGCCGGATTCGAAATCGCCTTTCTTGGAGAGATCAGTGGCGGAAAAGTGACAATGTGTGGATGCGGACAGGTGTTGTGTACATAGGTACATACCTCCGAGCTGGGCTGGAAATCGGGGATGGATTCAACGGCAGCTACAGGTCGCCTCATGACCTTGACACCACCATCATCTTCAGCTGTCAATCGCCTAAGCCCGAGGAAGTGATCCGAACTTACGAGCCACAGTACGGAGAGCAGATATATACGGTATTGTGTAGAGCTTTCTGGCGTCGACGAGGTTACGAGACAGCTGGGTGTAGTTAATGGCGAGAAAGGCCCCGCAGGCCGCAGCCGTCTTAAATAATCCCTTCTACACCACCACCGGGGTCTTCGCCGTTCGCAGAGCTGCGCCCATGGGTGGTAGGCGCCCTCAGCAGCTCCGACTCATAGCCCCCGCAATCCTACATTTAGGCTGCCGAAAGCGAGGGTGAAACCTGGGGCATGCCGCCCTCTCCTAGCCCGTTTGTGGCTGCCCGGTCGACGGGCATGATGTTGGGTCGAGGCCGCAACATCCATTGGTGGACCGAAAAGCAGGCGGTACGAATCAAAACACGGACTGCGGACCTGCGGTGATCGGCCACTGGCCAGCGCACATTCCAGAGTATTGTACTACAACCATGGGGAGCGATACCTATCGACGTCAAGACGCAGCATGCAGGGAGTGTCCAGGGCCTAGGGTTTAGGGTGTGTGCAATCACCATTCCACCACCTATTGGCCGCTAAATTCCATATGGTCGTAGATATACATTTCCAAGCAAGTCACCCATCATGGGACATCTCCTCTCTCCGTCACTCCTAAGTCGAACATCAGCATTCCAAATTCGCAATGAGTATTCTACAAATTTACTCTACTCTACTCTACATTTCCAGATCCACTCAAAGAAAACAGAATATTCCATGTATCATACATGAAACACCACTCGGCTTCTCCTTCTACCTAGTTTGGCAATCTGCCCTCAATCCCCAGCGCTCTAAAAACCGTATGAATGTATTCCTGGTCGATCTCGACGCCATTTACAAACCCGGGGAACAGGCTGCCCATATTCTTGACTTCAAAGACGGGCTCTTTCACCACCGCCGCCGCTTTCCCTCCATTTACCGCTCCATACTGAGAAGAACAACATCAGTCAGTCTTCCAAGCTTGATCTCGATGGATTAGTAGGGACGGGCGTTACCGTATCTTTCCACAACCCCAAAAGCTTCACTGTTTCCCCGTTCTTCTCGGAAACCTCCAGCCTTCTTACCCACTCCTGTGGCGTAGCTTTGGTAACCTGACCACGCCAGAACTCCATGGCGCGCAGCACTGTGCTCCACGGCAACGGCCTATTATTGAGCACATGCCAGAACCTCTTCTCCTCGTAGACTCCCTGGCGAAGCGCGATTCTCACGACCGCATCGGCGGCAATATCAATTGGCAGCCACTGCACCTGCTCCCTCAACTCCGGCAGGCAGTGGACGAGATCGAGTGTTTTCAGCAGCAGCGGCCATCCCTCCTCCGGGTTCCACACGCCGGCTTGGGTATCGCCCGAGAGCTGGCCGAGCCGGACCACCTCGCCGCCGCCACGGCTGACGAGCCCCTCCGCAACCCACTTCGAGCGGCTGTAGCCGAGCGGCGAGGCGTGCGAGGGATCGTAGGAGGGCTCTTCGCGGATTGGGGCGGGAGCCCGGATTACGGATGCGGTGGACGAGCAGAATACCATGCGCTTCTTGGTGCCGCCGGTATTTGCTAGCTGCAGGAGGTTCTTTGTGCCTGCGAGCGCGGAGTCGAAGGAGGGGAGAGGCGCGAGGAAGTTGACGGGCCAGGCGGCGTGGATGATTACCGTTACCTCAGAGGCTAGCTCGGTGTAAACGTCCTCTTGTAGACCGAGCATAGGCTCTGAGAGGATGGCGTTGCTGACACGGACGTCGGTGTCGCGGGACCAGGCAATGGGGATCTTACGCTGGTAGAGGCTGGCAAAGAGTCGGTCTTTGGCCACCGTCGAGGAGGAGGCGCGGCACAAACAGATTATCTTGGGAATCTGGAGTTGAACGAGGACATGCAGTATGTGAGCACCAAGGGCTCCCGTAGCACCTGTCAGGAGCTATTGATTATCAGAATAAGGCCTGCGCTTAGATGTGCGAAAAACTTACCACAACCGGTGGCTTGGGTTCCGCAGCGAATTTATTCAGCATCTCTTGCATGACATGTAGCTCATGCTTCTTTTCCATATCGACTTCTGCGGCGGTAGATATAAAGTAAACGAGACTGCAATGAGTTAGCACCAACCAAATCAGACACACGGAGAATATCAAACCCCTTGATTGTACGCTGTTCAAAGACCACATTTGTAGGGAGCGGCTTTTTAAGTTTATTCATGAGCAATCTTCGAATTCTGGTGGCCATTATAGAGTCCACTCCACTCATAAAGAAGTCCTCATCGTTCCCAAGTTTTCTGCCCACAACTGCCTCTACAACCTGCGCCACGACCCATTCCAGCTCACCTACATCCAACTTTGTGGGATTTTGATTAGTATCGCCAACATCAACGCCAACATCACCGCCCTCGTACCGCTTCCTCGCATCCTCGATCTCCTTCCGGAAGACCTCCTCCGCCTGATTCCTCAGCGCAAGGCCTTTGCTACTCCTCGGCCACTCCCTGCCATATTCGATGTCGACCACCAACTCCGGCGGAATGCGAGCATACGCCGGCACCATCGAGTTGATTCCTTCTAGGCTATGCATCAAGCTGTTCACATCGACATGTGGGCGGGCGGGAAAGATTAAGACACCTGGCGACTCCTTGTTTTGACCGAAGACTATTGCCTCCTCGACGATATCGAGTCGCCGAAGGCCGTCTTCGATCTGCGTGGGATCGAACTTTTTGCCGTTCAGCAGGACGAGCGTCGAGTCGCTGCGTGTAAGGTACTTATATAACCGGGGGATGGTGCGATGGGGGCGGAAAAGATCCGAGGTCGCGAATGAACCGTCGGGACGATTTGTTTTTGCCTGGGAAACGAGTGAGATAGGTACAGAGGCCAAGGGCGCGGTGTTGAGGCGAACGAACCATATGTGGCCAGCCAGGTTTCACGACGAGCTCTCGAGCACCATCCTCCCGTAGCTCAAATACGAGATTCTTCGAATCGGCGGATACTCTCAAATATTCCCATTCTTTGTCGTTTTCGAAATCGCGGTAGGAGCTCATCAAGACTGACAATTTCAGCCCCCATAATCGACAGCAACGCGTAACAGGGCTGGCATACATACATCCGCATTCGGTGCTACCGAACCTGCTGACAAGATTCACACCGTTCTCAACTAGTGCATCTCCAACATGATCCGGGAGCTGTGCACCACCGTATCCAACCATATCCATCTCCTGCAACGCGGCCAAGCATGCTGGATCTTCCAGACACATTTTCTGAATGTATGGCACGGCAGTAAAGAGATTAACAGGAGATTCAGGAAGCCGCAAATCGGCCGTGTCGATTGCACGGAGAATATTCCCACTAGTGATGGGGACCGTGGGAGGAAACAGCCATATCATGGAAGAAGACATCATCGACCGCATCATGTCCGCCACGCCGGCATGATACAACGGTGTCATTGTCAGCATCGAGATAGCTGTTCGCGGAGGGAGGCAGGGCAGATGGACTGTTGCAGTGGCATGTTTCTGTGGGATTGGAGAGGGCAGTCCGGTTGTTCCGGAAGTGTGATGAATATATGCCACGGTCGATGAATCGACGAATGATGGGGTGGGCCACCAGTCATGTGAGAAGTGGGCATCTTCGTTTTCGTATGCGGGAAGGGCACTGTATTTGCACCACGGGGCCGCGGAGAATGCGAGCTCGGCCAGGGGGGGAGAGTGTAGAAGGAGTTTTGAGGAAGTGCTTTTGACCAGGTGCTGGATTGCCCGGGCGTCACATTGGGGGCTTTGCATTGTCAGCGCCAGTAGACGGACTCATACGAAGGTATGAACTCACGCTATCAGTAAAACCGTGTATCCCATCCTGATCAGCCCAAAGAAGCACATGAGCATATCCCATGAGCTCTCCGACAGGATCGCAACCGTGGGACCATCATTTGAGCCAGGAATCTTCTTTGCCGGCGGCAATAGGGCAGAGAGCCGGTGAGCCGCGGCGGTTGTGCTTTTCAAAAGTTGCGAATACGCTACGGTATATCCGCATCAGCAACTGCTTCCACATATGCTTGGGATCCAAGGAGACCGACTGTAAACTATGCTTCCCCATCTCCCGTCGTCTTCGCTCCCGCCTTGGGGTGGGATCGCCATCCCTACGGCCACTGCATCAGGAGTATCTCTAGCTCGGCGAATGAGGAGTTCGTTGATAGTAGTGATACCATGAGGAGTGCGAGCATTGATACGCTGGGCATCCCCGAGAGTAGCAACGAAAAAGTGCGGGATCTGAGACTGCATCCTTGATTGAAGATAGAATCAAAGACAGACATCCTGTTCATCTCGATATTATAAACTGAAAGCTTGCAGTACTTCACTGTGAGATTTGAGCAACTTCCGTAAAGTTTTCTTCTGGGGGAAGAGAAGCCTATGAAAGCGAATACATAAGGTTTCCTAAAGATTAGGGTAGAAAATCTCCAATCTTGTGATTCGGCAACAAGAGAAGGACGCTATCTTCAGGGTTACGGATACCCAGCGTATGCCGATCGAGTGCTGTATCCTGTATATGTGCGGCCGGATAGACATATCAGCAAGTCCCCACCCCAACCTCGTCCGCCGATCCGATTGGAATCGGATACAAAGAAAAATAACCTAGAATGGGCCGATCACCTTTCTTTTGGCTTATGGCTACATCCCCCATAAGACCCTCGATGCCCAACGCCCCACTGTTTGTCCTCTCCTAAAGCCTCAGTACCAGTATCAAATGGCCGCCCCAGAGCAGCGTTTGACGCTCCAGTCGACCGTCGAGATTCCCCACTCCAGGGGGACAATCCTACGACCACGTATTGGATTCGGGGTGTACCAATCTCCCCCGGACATCTGCAAAAAATCGTGCTTAGAGGCACTACGCTGCGGATATCGCGCCATCGACACAGCGCAGTTCTATGAGAACGAAAAAGAAGTCGGAGAAGCCGTGCGCGAGTCGGGCATTCTTCGGAGCGAGGTGTTCATCACGACAAAGCTGCTGCTGCCGGAAGGAAGTGTGGAGAAGACACTCGAGAGATGTTGGCGAAGCGTTCGCGAGATCGGTCTGGGATATGTCGATCTCTTCTTGATACATACTCCCAGCAGTGGACCCGAGGGACGTCGGGAGATGTGGCTGGCCCTGGAGAATCTGCTCGAAGAGGGTGGCACGAGGGCTATCGGCGTGAGCAATTAGTGTGTAACCATTTGCTGAGCGTCCAACTCGTTGCTGATGGTGCATTGCAGCGGGGTCAAACACCTCGAGGAGATGAAGAGTTATGCGACATTCCCGCCTGTTGCGAATCAAATCGAGGTGAGCACTCTCCTGTTCAAGAGAGATCAGCAGGATAACCAAAGGTTGTATCCCAGTGCCACGTTCTGTGCCAACAGCGGCCGATTGTGGAGTACTGCCGGAAGAATGCGATCCAGGTGGAAGCATACTGTCCTCTGGTCCGCGGCACTCTCATGAAGAACCCCACCATCCTCGGCATCGCCGCCCGGCACTCAACGGCTACTCCGAGCCAGATACTCATTCGCTGGTGTCTGCAACACGGGTTCATCCCTTTGCCGAAGAGCGACAATCCTCAACGCATCCGAGAGAATGCGGGGGCGTATTCCTTCGAGCTCGATGCGTCAGACATGAAGTTGCTGGATTCGATGGACTTGGGAGTCGACGGTGCTCTCGTGCCCCAAAACACCGACTGTCCATAGCAGCGGAGCTGGGAGAACGTTTGCAATGGAGGCAGGTCTTGTGTCATTTTGTTTTGCATGGCTCGCGGAGGGATGAATCGATCGCAAATGCGGGAATAGCGTTTCATAGAATTTGGCAGCAATAAAAGCGCCGTTTGGCCCATGAAAACCAAGGCAGCGGGTGACAGTGCGCCTGCATGCTTCCCGTCGCCACTTCGCAGCCCTGCCGTGTTGATGGACGATCGACGTAGGATATCTTCGCTGTTCGCACTCAGTGCCTTGCCGTGCCGCTGTGGCGGGCATACTTGGTAACTAGTAGAGTACTCCGTGTCGAGACTCGATTGAAGTATCTGCCATGCTCTATTAAGGTCAGATTCAATGATGATTAAACAAACCAAAACCCGTGTCGATTGGCATAGGCTAGACTTGAATGGGGCATTGACACGCAACTATCCCACACATACATCACTCATCGTAGAGGCCTATTCAGACTCTCGACTCTTGGTCTCTTACACGCACCGAGACTCTGCCCAGCGTAGGCTGTGCCCCCACACTTCTAAGTTTCATGCCGCTCCATCTTCACCGCTGCCAGCCGATGCTTCAGGCAGAGCTTGAGCACAGAACCCGCCTGCCACCGTTGTCTTTCCATAAGTATCCTGGCCAGCAGCGTTACCAACTTCTTGACGGCTACCACTCGACACCTCTGCCTGGTGCTCCTGTTCTGTCCCACCCGCTTCTTATTTTTCCGAATCATACGCTTCCAACCACAGTGGAGTGTTGCTCTACTACTATAGCACCATAACACCATAGCATCCGGCTCCCGGCTCCTCTCGGTATCGGACCTCTTGAAAGATTGGGAGCCTCGTTGGAGTCGTTTCACGTATCCTACGCGGAAACAAAGCTCTGCAGTCGAAAATGCGAACCACCACCAAGTTCAGGCTGTTGCTCAGCATCTATTTGATGGAAACCCTGATCACCATGCAGTACAGGTGGGTTCTGGAGGGAATGACTACGTTCGAACGGGTCGCCGCCTCAATCCTAGGAAGTTATTCTACTTTATTTACTGACTCGATGTGTCCCAACTGGAAGCACTATCATTACAGCCGCGAACGAGTAGGTTTTGCTTAATATCCCACCCCAAACGACTTCGCGGCTTGCTCCCGAATCCCCACTGCAAAAAAAACGCTAACTTACCCGGTTGAAGCCTTGTGGGAGGCAGAGCCCCGATGGGCCTGGTGCTCTTCGCTTACAGCGTTCCATCGATTCTCACACGGGTTATAGTTCCTCTCTCGAGTTTTCGAGATTTCGATAATATTCGGTTCATCTCCCGTCTTATAGGTCGAGACCCCTCCGACTTCGCGTCTCGAGAATTTTCGGCCACCATATCGCTGTCGAGGGAGGTAAACTACCCGTTGCGGCTCCTCGTATGCGCGGTTTCCTCGTTCCTTGGGTTACAGTTGCTATCAATATTCTCGAATATCCCCACCAGGGTTCTTGGCATTATGTTGGCAGCCTTGAGTTCGAATCTTGGTGACATGTGGGTTACGCCCACCCCTTCGCTCCCCACTCCAGGCGGGTAGGGAGAGATAACGCGGACTCAGGTCATTCCAGATGCTCTGTGCTCGATATCCGAAGGCGTCCAAGTGGGCTTTCTTCGGCTATACCACTGGGAGTGGCACCGCAGCGGTAATCGGCGCATCTTATTATACGTTCGTGACTTCATGGATGCAATGGAACTATGGTTGGGCACTGTCGATTGTTGGTGTTGCACCCGTCCTCGGTGGGCTGTGTTATGCGTTTATTCTTCCGGATCCGGAGGACGACGTGATGCTTCCGAACATCAAGGATCAGGAGAAGGAGGGGATTGTCCAGTTGCCATGGAAAGACAAACTTAGGATCATCAGGCCGATGTTTGTTCCGTACATGCTTCCTCTCGCCACGATATTCTTCCTGGAGCATTGCACTACCCAGGTTCGTTTCAATTTGTCTGTGCTGACGGCTCCGAGCTTGGACTGACCTGAAAGGGCATATTTCCAACCTTACTCTACTACCTTCCGCTCGACCTCCATTCGTTTCGTTTTGCCAAATTCTTCAACCGAATCTTCACCGAGAGTCGGGAATTCTATCCCTTCTATGTTTGTCCCTCCCTCTTGCAAAGTCTATCTCTTCCTGACCCTCTCCACTCCAGTTGACAGTAAACCAAGCTGCCAACCTCATCGGCCGCTGCTCCATCATATTTTCCCCCCTGCCAGGCGGAAAGACCCGCTCCACGGCATGCTATTGGACTCTAACAGTCGTTGAAGGCCTCGTCCTGGCCATCCAGGGCGCCAACAGCGTCTCCATGACCTCATCCCTAACCACCACCCTCTACGGCCCTGCCGGCGTCCTCCTCCTCACTTTCCTCGGCGGTGCTTCCGCTGGTATAGTCTTTTGCAACACCTACTGGAAAGTAATGAAACTCCCCCTTCCACCCGCAGTGTACAAAGCACTTGACGCTGCACGGGTTCGGGCGGGGGTGGCAGTGACGCAAGGGGAAGAGGGGATTAGACTCCTAGATGACATTGCCCCAACACTGCGGGAGAGGAGTGCTACTGAGGACATGGCGCTCCGTGAGTTTTTGCTGAGTGCGGTGGCGCCGCCAGACGTGGCTTCTGTGACGATAGCGAGCTTGGTTGGGATGGGACTGCAGAGGGGACTGTGTGCTTGGCAGGTAATGAATGGGAGGGAGCTTTGTCTCAGGCCCGTGTCCGGGGAGTAGCCGCTTGTATTGTATTGAACCGTGCTGAACGGTGCTTGCATATATTTTGATACAATGGATTTCTGTTACCTTTATTGTCTGTGGCACTTTTTCCATCCTCTTGACTACATCCGCGTGATGTATCCACTAAAAGCTCACTCATTGACCAGTGACCGTTCTCTTTGGCTAGAAAAACTACAATCTAAAAGGTGAGTTCTGTGTCCCAATATCAAAATATCCAACCTCATAATCCTGAGCAAAGATACTGATCTATGTAGAGCACCAAATTCCTTCAATTCTGTAAACCCGTTTTTTCTAGATTTGTGGAGCACAGTAGAGCACAGTAAATACAAGCAGCAAGCAAACCAGTCTACGAACAAATACCCTCATGTTTCATTCACGCCACCAACTAAAGCTCGGCCTTTTTGCACCTCGAAATCTCCAGGGCATCCTAATTATTTCTCATCAGCACCACTTTCCTTGCCGTCGAGGTAGAATATGGGGGGTTTCATACCCTAACAGCCTGCGGCTCCCAGCTCTCGATCCACTGATTCTCATAGACCAGCCCGGGGTCACCCCTCTCGGACCCAGTCTTCCCCTCCGCCAGCAGCATCTTGTCCTTGGCGCTGAGGTTGACATACTCATGGTACGGCGGGTTTCCGGGCTTGACCATGTTGTCCGCCGCCAGCACCGTGCCCTCGTGGATCAGCCCGAGCGACTCGCACAGCTTCAGATCCGGCGTGTACAAGGGCTTCAGGTGGTCCAGAAACATAAAGTCGATGCCCGCGCCGAGCGCGCCCTCCGCGTGCAGACGCACCAGCGACGTCGTCGACGGGCCGATCACGACCTATCCCATCCCCCCATGCGTCAGCCGGGCTCGTGGGGTGGGCGCAGCTGGGGGTAAACCTTGACGACATTCGCCAACCCAGCCAGCCCAATCAAGGCCATGATGACAGCGGCAAACGTGGGGTTATACTCGAGGCAGTAGTACTTCGCACCCTCTCCGGCAGCTTTCTTGACGGCATCGCCAAACAGGATCGCCGAGTACCCGACGTACCCGCCGAGCTCGACACAGACCCGCGGCGCCACCTCGGCGATCAGCGACGTGACGTGCGAGCCCTTCAGCTCGCCGACGTTCATCAGGTACGTCTTTGTCGCGAACTGGTCGATCTCTTGCAGGATGCTCGTGGGGTTGCCACGGAGCGCGTCGAGCCGTGCCGGTGGCAGGCTGAATATGTGGTTGAGCAGTTGTAGCTCGCGGCCGTCGTTGAACTATGCGGGTTGTTAGTGGGGGGAACGGGGATTGATGGACGAGGGGACGGTACGTAGACGTCGCCTTGATGGCCGTAGCGGTGCGCGGAGGTGAAGCCTGATCCGACCATTTTGCTGTGCACTGCTGGTGGTGATACTTTGTGTCTATGGCTGTTGGAATACGTGGAAGCGGTAGTTGATGTTACTGTTACTGTTGCAGCCGCGAGATCAAAAGATCAAAAGCGAGAGCGAGAATGGAGTGTATGTAGTGGTGGTGCGACTCTTCTGCTCCAGAACACGGATCCGAAGACGGACACAGAACAGAAGGCTATCGTAACCCCTCCCTTCCCTTCTATGATATCACGTTCTACTTGGAAGATTTTCCTTGGTCAGCGGAAAGCTTGGCTGGGCCTTGCCTTCAATGGGGGTGGGTTAATTGTACGCATGTGTCTCCTTCCGTGTAGTTTATCATCAATCTGAGGGGCTAAACGGGTGCTTGCACGAACAAGATCGCCATATAGGTCCTTCAATTCCACTCGGCCTCTTTGTTGGTTTATGGTTCGGGGAGGAAATTTACCGCGATCGAGACTCCCCCTCCCCCGAAATACTACTGCACTTCCGCGACGAGGGTATATCTCTCGGCGGACTGCAGCGTCGAGTTCGAGGTGCAATTGCCCGACCATTTCGTGCTACAGCTAGCTAGCAAGCCAAGCTCATTCACTTACGATCGATTGCCTGATTTCTGGGTTAACTGGATCTCGCCATTCTACGCTGGATGAAGTTTAAACCACGACATCCTTCCTTTCTGGTGATGGCCACATGATGCTTCCAGAGAAGAAGACTACGAGGCCATAAACCGCCTCATCTACTACCGGTAGTAGTAGCCAACCAGCGCGTGTATGTCTATTGTAGGTATTCGGGAGCGTGTGCATAGAATATCAATGTATCCAGCCGACAAACTCAGTGCATACGAGCAAGTAGGGCACAACCTAGAGTAGGGCACCAATATCTCCGAGTTCTAGGAGGTGACGCACTCTTCAAAATTCAAAATCCGCAGGAATCGAGGATAACTACCTAGCTCTACTCTAAATATAGCTGCCGAGCACATCCCCCTGCAAGTCTTCCCGCCGCTCGGATCGTGGCCGGATCTCGATAAACCTACGCTGCTAGCTCGCTCGCCAATCTGGTTACAAATACCATTGGGCCATATGTATGGGTACTTTCAGGGTCCCGACTCCCCCACAGATGGCTGCTGTAGCAGGCATGTTCGGCCTTCTGAGACAGATGCGACGGTACAAGAGAACGTGCTCTCGTTTCCTCTATACAATTCTCCACCTCCACCCCTCCTTGTCGATGGGTGGTTGTGGTTCGTGCTTGTCCCGAAGCATAAACCACACGAGATCACTCGAACCCAAATGGAGCTGCTACCCACGGGTACGGGCTTCATGCTCGCGTCCCCCGAGCCCGCTTACTTGCGCTTGGAGGATTTCTATCCATTGTCAGATCTGGGCTGACAGCCGGAGGAACCGACGCACTTTAGATATAGTCTTTCCGTCCGGAGAGATGAAACGTGCACATGCGCCAACCATCCCAGCCCAGTGAGTCCCACTCCAACAGAGTGGAGAGCATTTCTCGTTCGACATCCGGGTCTGACCAAACAACCTAGGTAGAATCATCCGACGTTGCTTACATCTAGAGATCCGACGGAATATATAGTGAGCCTTCCATCGCTACTACTGCTGCTCTTCACTGTTGTTCAACCACTTTCCGACACTAGGCTCTCGATCTGCTCATCCAGCTTCAGAGTTCCCCTTACAGTCTTCCTTCTCTCTCCCGTTTCCCAGCACCTAGTGTTTTTCCCCTCGTTTCCCATCTTCTCCTCCATAGCCCCTCCTCGTTTTCCCCTAGTTGTGCAGAGCATTTCGAAGCAATGTCCGACCTCAAGGCTACCGTCGCCGAGACTCCCACTGGCTTCCAGGTCGATGGTGTCGAGCGTATCTCCTACGGCTTCATGTTCCTTGATGGAGTCTTCGACCTTAAGAATTCTCAGCTGGCTGATATGTATAAGAAGTGGGGGCGCTGCCTGGCCATCGCCGACACCAACGTGTATGCCCTATACGGCGAGCAGATGCATGCGTACTTCGAGCACTACGGCATCAAACTCCAGATCCACCGCACCAGGATCGGCGAAGAATCCAAGACGATGGAGACTTTGCTCGCCATCTGCGAGACCATGACTGAATTCGGAATCATCCGCACCGAGCCGGTTCTCGTGGTCGGCGGTGGGCTCATCACTGACGTCGCCGGGTATGTCATGACACTGTACACAATAATCGTTCAGGATGTATGTTGCTAACGTTGGGTTGTAGGTTTGCGTGTGCTACTTACCGTCGCAGCACTAACTACATCCGCATTCCCACGACCGTCATCGGCCTCATTGACGCTTCGGTCTCCATCAAGGTTGCCGTCAACCAGGGCAAGCACAAGAACCGTCTTGGTGCCTACCACGCTCCCATGTATACCTTCTTAGACTTCACATTCCTGCGTACCCTTCCCGAAGCTCAGGTCCGCAATGGCTTCGCCGAGCTCATCAAGATTTCCACCTGTGCCGACCTCCAAACGTTCGATTTGCTCGACAAGTATTGCGAGCAGCTCATCTCGATGAAGTTCGGCCGCGCCGACGGCAGTTCCCCGGAACTCAAGGCCGCTGCTGACGAGATCAACCGTCGCGGCATCCACGTCATGCTCAAACTCGAGGTCCCCAATCTCCACGAGCTTGCCCTCGACCGTGTCATCGCGTACGGCCACACCTGGTCGCCAACCCTCGAGCTGGCGCCCAAGACCCCCCTCCGCCACGGCCACGCCATTTCGGTCGACATGGCATACTCGGCGACGCTCGCCCTCTCCAAAGGAATCATCGACGCAGATGCCCACCGCCGCATCCTCAACCTCTTCTCGCGGGCAGGATTAACGATGAACCACCCCCTGTTCGACGAGGCCTTAATCGCCAAGGGCACCAACGCGATCCTGAAGACTCGGGACGGTCTTCTCCGCGCCGCCATCCCAAGCCCCATCGGCAAGTGCGTGTTCCTGAACGACTGCACGGCCAACGACATGAACAAGGCTCTGCACATGCACCGGGAGTTCTGCAAGAAGTACCCGCGCGAGGGTGCCGGCGTCGACGCATACGTCGATTCGAGCGACACCGGCGTCTTCATGGAGTCCGAAGAGAAGGATGCCATTCACGGACGTAACGTCGGTGGGTTCAACGCTGATGTCGCGATGGCGGCGTTGAACAACGAGATCCAGAGGGAGATCAAATAGGTTGTTTCGTGCGAGTGATGTACGATATGAATCATTTTCTGCGGCAGAGAGGGGATTGAAAAGCCTTTCTATGTTGTTGTTTTTTCTCGTTGATTTTGTGTGGGGTTGGCTTACTTGTTGATCGGATACAAACGGTATCATGTACTGCCTGGGAGAAAGTTGGGTCGTTTTGTTTGTGACGCCGGGAATGAGAATGCTTGCTTACGTGACGCTTCGTGATACCTCGTGATCTTGGCCCGATTACTTCATGATCCCAAACTCGGTTTTCTTTTCTCACATAACCGTGCCTATGGTTGTTTCGTACTCATCTAGAAGGGCTAGACGGAGAGCAATAGGGAGCTCAAGTCGAGCTCACGGCCAGTGGTTGGAGACGGCGGGTTGGAACCGGAAATGTACATAACTCAGCCATGATCTATCTACTAAGGTCCAATTCTATGATAATCGAAACAAAAAAAGTACCCATCCGGAAAATCTTGAATTTTGACAAGGCGACACTCGGAGCCGGATTCGAGACGACCTGATTGTCCTTCTCGAGTTATGATCTAGGTACTCGCTCCTTCTGCGACGGATTCCTACGAGAGAGCACCATGACCCGACGTGATAATTGATGAACAAAACGCTGGTCACCAGTTCTCCGGAATCATGTACTACTTGAATGTAGGTTACTTGAACTACAAATCCTCATGCTCCTTCTACCGAAGCTTCCCAAGTCACCGTGATACAATATTTCTGCATTCACCCCACAACTTCGGCATTCGAGCCATGAACCCACCTGCGCATCTTCCCACATGCTAGTACATTCCCATACACCATATGTCCCTCCGGCACCCTGCATAATCATACAATTGCAGCTGGAGTTACCCAGAATACGAAAAACAACTGCAGATGCTCCCTGTCTGATCATCGGAGAAAATCGTCGGATGGATATGCCCTGATATCGATCGAAGTTGTGGAGCTTGATAAGGTACATACAGATTGGGTTTTCTAAACTATCGAATGGGTACATGTGAACCACTCCCGGATATCACGTCGGGTGTAACGACGATCCGCGTGCATTTTAGAATGTTTGCTCCAAGTGCAGAATGTCATTGCGTCATAGACTTGTTGAAATACGGCGTTTACTCCTTTGCCCATCGCCCTCTCAGGACCTAGACATTGACTTCACTCCGCAACGACGACGACGACCAAACGACCGAACGACCGATCCAAGCAATGCCAGAACCTGTATCCTTCAGAGAACACGTCTTCAAGAATGTCTCCCTGGTCCTCCTCAGCCTAATATTCCTCCCGTTGGACACGCTCGTCGTCGCCGGATGCCTGCTATGGCAGATAATCCAGGGTCTCCGGCGTGCCCCCACCATCCGCAGCACCGCCAGACCGCAGCGGACGGTTATGGTTACGGCAGTGGCGATGGGGAAGGGCCTCGCACTTGCTCGAGCATTCCACCAGGCCGGCCACCGCGTGATCGGTGTTGATTTCGATACTGCACATTACGCCCATTCGCCCGTTCCCAGCTCGGGACGGTTCTCGCAGTCGTTAGACAAATACTTCACCGTCACCACGCCGCACGACCGGGCGTCGCGAGCGAAGTACTCGGAGGAGATGGTCAGGCTCGTCAAATCCCAAGGCGTGGACCTTTGGCTTCCTGTGAGCGGTGTTGCGTCGACTATCGAAGATGCGCTGCTTAAGGCCGTGATCGAGAAGGAGACCAACTGCAAAGTCTTCCAGCCGGATCCAAAGACGTGTGAAATCCTGCACGACAAGTACCGCTTCATACAGAGTGTCCAGGATGCCGGACTGACCACGCCAGTCACGGTGCTCGTCGAGTCCCAAGATGAGGTGTTCGGTGTCCTCCTCGACCACCCGGACCTCACTTTCATCGTCAAATGCGTCGAGCTCGACGACGTTTCCCGCGCCGACATGACGAAGCTCCCGCAGCCTACGCCGCTGGAGACAGAGAAGTTCGTGCACAGTCTCGACATATCCCCCCAGAAGCGTTGGGTCGTCCAGCAATTCGTCCGCGGCAAGGAATTCTGCACACATGCCGTCGTCGTCCGCGGCAAGGTGAAGGCATTCGTCGCCTGTCCCAGCAGTGAGATGTTGATGCACTACTCGGCGCTGTCTGTCTCCTCGCCTTTGTCCCGCGCGATGCTCGCTTTCACTCGACGCCTCGCAAGGACCCTCGAGGGCGGTAACATCACCGGTCAACTCTCATTCGACTTCCTTGTGGACGCCAGAAACGCCCACGGGAAGGCAGCGCAGGATATCGAGCTCTTCCCGATCGAGTGCAACCCGCGAACGCACACAGCGGTAATCCTCCTCGCCACCAAGCCGAAACACCTGGCGGCCACATACCTAACCCTCCTGGATGAGCCCGGCCTGCCCACCAGCAAGACCAACGGCCGTCTCAACGGACAACTCCCGGAGGATGACACCGACATCTCGACGGTGATGCAGCCGGACACCAACGCCGATGGCTGTCCTGCCTCCTCGAAAACGCACTTCTATTGGCTCGGCCACGACCTGATCACGGGCTTCTTCCTTCCGATCCTGAGTCTGCTCGCGGCCAGATCTGGCCCCGTGGACGTCGCCAAAACTATCTTTTGGTTCGCGGTGAGGGCGCTGGCGTGGAACGACGCTACGTTCCGTATCGATGATCCGTGTCCGTGGTGGTGGCTGTATCATGTCTACTATCCGTGGATGTTTGTGACTAGTCTCGCGACGGGCAAGAGGTGGAGCAGGGTCAATACTAGCACTACGAGGGTTTTTGAGAGTTATTAGGTCGACGGCGGGCGGATGTGCTTTGGCGGGGACGTGAGGAGTGGGGGGTGGGCGATGGGCGATTGGCGGTGTTGCGCTTTTGTGCTTTGCTTTGCTTTGCTTTGCTTTGCTTTGCTTTGATGGAAGGATGGAAGGCACTTGTGCTCTATAATACCTGCTTCTGACTTTGATATTTACGTGCAATGATACGGAAATTACAATCGCATCCAACCTACCTACCCAGTTGCCAGTTGGCATTCCCGTACCGTTCAGCTATGTTTCCATGAGAGGTTGGACGTCGCCAGCTTGGATCTGCCCTCAACGTCCTTGAGAGATATTCAATAGAAGCCCAGCTCCAGATGTATGGCCCATTCCTCTGGCTATTCAGCCCGCCGTATGGCGGACTTCAGGAGTCAGTGGATGCTCCCGTTGAAAATATGAGTATGATATCATTCAGTTGCTTGATTCATCCGCAAAACACAGCGGATGACCAGCTAGACATACCTACCAGACAGAAGCAGAAGCAGGTATGAGAATCAACAGGATTCTCGAGGCGCACTCGAGGCGCACTCGAGACGTGCAAATAGGTATTACCAATATGAAAAATGTGCAAAATCTTGGACGAGTGACGACGGTGGCTTTTCAACGAGAACGAGAATCGCAACATGCTCCGGACTCTAGAGCCGTTTATCGAATCATAGACTATGATGCGGAAGTTCTCTAAACGGAGCGCTAAACCTTCGCGTGAGCCTTGAGGCGCTATGAGCTCTAGGCGATTAGATAGTAGATGGTTATCGTGTTTTCTTTCCAAGAATATTCGGTTTTCCAAGGCGGGGAAGTAGACAGCGCAGGTACCTATCGAGGATCAATAAGCCCTTACGCAGGTCACTTGGATACAACTGGCGGTTTATGTATGTGGGGATACATTCCCCATTTGCGATCACTCATAATCACAACATTAAGTAGAGTAAATTCAACCTTTTTTTATTGATTGCATGCGACCCGTCTAGATCATGGCAAAATCGGGGTCCTCAAGCATCAAATGGAATGGTTTGCGAGTTTCCAAATGATGAGTAAACTCAAGCTCGGCTTATTGGCGTCATCTTAGCGGCATTCGAGCGACCCCATGCACTGCATCACAAACCCTAACCGCAATCGCGTCTCCCAGAACTCGATGCTCGCAATGGACGCAGCATCCACTCCTTCCCACGCATCGCCACCGCACCAACCACGGCCACGCAAACACGATGGAAGACAGCGCGTACCTTCAATCGACGCAGTACCGGCACTTCACGTTCACGCCTGCGGTGCTCTCCCAGATCCGCTCGTCGACCAACACCGTCGCGACGCAGCGGCTACACGACTCGATTCAGTCCGCGGTGCAAGCGGGCGACCTGACGCCGCCGTCGGATGGCAGCTCGTCCGCCACCTCCAACACCTCGAGCACCGCCGCCCTCACCGCCCGCGAAGAGCTGAAACTCGTCTCCTACTACCTCACCACCTGCGTCCAGTTGTGCGACCACTTCCGCACTGGCTCAGCAGTGAAGGCTACCTGCGTGGCCTACCTCCAGCGCATATACCTGCGCATCTCGCCGCTGCAGATCCACCCCAAGACGCTGCTGCTGCCCATCCTCTTCCTCGCGTACAAAGCCGAGCAGGGGATCCAGAGCACGTCGTGGTTCATCCGCACGGCCGAAGCCGTCGGCCTCAGCATCACCAAGGAAGAGCTGCTGCAGCCCGAAATCGACATCGCCATGAACCTCCGCTGGTCCTTCCAAGTGCTGCACCCCTTCCGCTCCGTCGAGGGTCTCAAAGCGGAGCTCCTATCGATCGCTTCGGGACTATACCGCTCCCCCGCCGCCACCGGCGGGCCAGAGGGCCCACCCCTCCAAAAAAGCTTCGAGAAGATAGGCGGCACCCGCGAGCGGTCCGAGCGGGCATGCGCGCGGGCACGCTCCCTGCTCACCGGCACCGCGCTGCTGACGGACGTGTACTTCCTATACCCGCCGCCGCAGATAGCGCTGGCAGCGGTGTGGGCGCACGACGCGGAGCTGGTCGAGTTCTTCCTGCGCGTGAAGTTTGGCAGCGACGCGGTGCGGCCAAAGCTGCTGAAGGTGATCAGGGAGTGCGCGGAGTGCCATCTCATGGCCACGAAGGATAGTCCAGCAACTTATCCGGGTCTGCTGTTGCGTCTGCCGCAGAATGGCGTGCCGCTCAGCCCGGCGGAGATTTCCCCGGACCTTAAGAAGGAGGTTGGTTTACACACACACACCCCCCACCCCCCGCCGCTGGCTGCGCTAACCTAACACTCCCCAGACGATCGGTATCGACAAGAAGCTGTTCCTGCTCAAGAAACCGCTCAATGCGGCGAAGGGCAAGCACGCGGCGACGCGGGACGCGGCGGACGAGGAGCGCCGCGCGAAAAAGCAAAAGACCCAGCAGGAAATCAGGGATAGGGATGATGTGTTTGGCGGGGCTAAGATTAAGCGGAAATAGACGTGGATGTGGTTGTGCATGGTTTCTTTAATGGTTGCGCTTTGCTCTTGGGATTCGTATTATAGCTAGGGAGGGGGATGGCGTTTGGGATTATGGATAAGTGAATGGAAGTGTAAGATGTAGGAGCGGAGAGGACATCAATTTATTGCATGGCGAATCAATCCAACTACCGTATCCTGTCCTGCCCGCCCTGCCCGTCCTGCAGAGGGAAGGTCGGGGTGATGACCCCGCTGCCATACGGTACGGTTGGCTACGGTGCCACTGCCTACCAAAAGCAAGAGAAGAGGAATATAAAGAACTACCGGCGCCCATCTCCACCCACACAGTCCACACACAATACTCCGCCAGACATGCCTATTCAGCCCGCGAAGCTTCCCTCTGTCTTTAGTTATGTATCCCAGTACTGCATCCAAGCATTGTTCACCGGCAAACATGTCCGCCGTGCCCCACCTCCGCTCCCGCAGGCCGCCAGTCTCCCTCCAAGTTCCCGATGCTTGCCCACGGTATTTTGTCAGCTCTGCACCAGCCACACTCTCCGGACTCCGAGGACTCCGAGGACTCCGAGAGGTGTTGATGAGTCTGCTCGGCGCGGTTGCACCACCACTCACCCGCCGCCTTCCACTTGCTTAGACTCAATCTTCAGGATCTTCTTCAGATCACACGGGGCCTCGATTGCGTAGCTACCTTTGTCCTTGGCGGAGCTTACACGTCAATGGCGGCTTGGACATGCGTGGAAAGCAATATAAAAGGGGTGCAATGAGGAAAAATGCGAGTGATGACCTGTGCTTGAATATTTTGCGCTGGACGGATTACCCACATATTTCCTAAGTACTGCTGCAAGCATGGATTCAGCCCGCTCAGCCATTGGAATAAGAGTAGAGCACAGCCGGGCGAGTGATGCAGTGGCCATACCGTCGCGGACGTCCCATTCAGTCTCAGCCAGAAACAGCGGCCCGGCGGGCAATCGTCTTCAACCCCGCCCACTCGCTCGCTCGAACGAACTAAAATTGGCACGATTGACTTCCTATGCACTGGTAACCCCAACGATCCCCGCAACCGCCCGTAGCAAGTCGGCAACCAACTCGGCGGCTTGGAGCAGCTCCGACAATTGGACAGCTGCACCAGCGAGCGTGCTGTTGCCGTCCCGTCCAGTCCCGTCCAGTCCCAGCCAGCCAGCCAGCCAGCCAGCCAGCCATCCACCACCCTTCACACATGGTCGATAACCACTCCGCTCCCCGTTCCGTTCCCGTGCACCTAATCCCATCCCCTCTCCCTTCAGCCCACGAAACCTCAATCTCACCTCCACCTCCCCACCCCTTCACACCCATCCAAGCCTCCAAAACTCGGAACCAAAACAAAACCCGAAACCAACCCCAAGCCCTTGGGCCAAACCCCCAAAAGACAAAAGAAGTAATGATGTCCGCAGGATTCGAACCTGCGCGGATTGCTCCACTAGCACCTGAAGCTAGCGCCTTAGACCACTCGGCCAGAACACCTTCTGTACACTGCTGCGACCATATGCACCTATCACCGCGCAATCTGAGACCGAGATGTCTGTTATATCGAGTATCGTCCGCCCGTCCGCCCGGCCGCCTGTGCATCACCGATTCACCGCCATCACGAACCTACCCACATCGCCCGCCCGCTCGCAGCCTGCATCGCCATGATAAGATAAGACAAACGTCGAGTCGAGTGCACGACACTCACTCACTCACTCACTCACTCACTCACTCACTCACTCACTCACTCGCAAAAACGTTTCGATGATTCGTAGGTAGACCTTTTCCATTCCATTCCATCCCCCTTCCATTCCCCTTCCCGCACCCATCCCATCCCATCCCATCTCATCCCATCCCATCCCACCCTTCCCAACCCCACGAAATACAGCATACAAAGGAGAAGATCTCGCACGAGAGAGAGAGAGAGTTCAAAAACGAAGCATCCACGGCTTCAAGTTCAAGTTCAAGCAAAAACCGCAAAAAAAGAAAAATCCAAAGAACCCCCTAGGAGCCATCCCAATAGAATAAGGTAGAGTAAAGTAAGGTAAAGTAAAGTGTAGAAGGTATAGGTAGAGTAGGTAGTAAAAAAATCAACAGCAAAAAATACGGGGGGAAAAAAGGAAAAATCGCAAAAGAATGAGGAAGAAGCCCGCAAAAAAAAAAAAAAAAAAAAGCAGAAACCGAAAAAAAAAAGTACCGGGCCCAAGACCGCACCACAGTTCCTTCCTTCCAGATCAAAACCAGACCAGATCAGATCAATAATGTCCCCACGGAATGACTCGCAAGTGATTCCGTCTCACATAGGTATCCACGTGTAAAGACACGCGAACCTCGCCGCCGCCGCCACCACCACCGCACTCCCTATCCCCCAGGGTATATGGTACCTGCCTTGGCTTTTTTTTGAACTCCTGCACCCCCCTTATCCACAGCCCATCGGAAAATACAACCAACACGGAACACCTTCCAAGGTAAACCTTTGCTCCCCCGAACATAATACGGAAATAAGGACGAGCAGTACAAATTGAAAGAAAGAAACAAAGAGAGAGAAAACCGAGGAAAAAAACCCCCCCAGCCCCCCAAAGCCCCCAAGAATTAGAATAAGGACACCATCGAAACACGATTCTAGTCGAGCAGCTTGTTTTCGTTTCAAGAATGAAACAGCTCCCAGGCGCGGGCGCACAGGGACAAGAACTCTTCCTTCTTTTGCCTTTTTGTCTCTGGGCTATCCCGGGACCCAGGTAGGAAATGCTGCTCCTCGTCGCGGTCGCGCTCGTACTCGGCCCTGTTTCTTCTCCTACCCGCGGACGCAGGGGGCCGGTAGTCCCCGTTGAGATGCGGCTTGGAGGGTGTCGTATGCTGTTGAGCGCCAGCCTGTGGTGGGCTCGGAGGCGTGGGCGGTTGGTGCCCGCCGTAGTGGACGATCCGTGGGAGCAGATCCTCGCGGCCGCCAGACATCATCTGCAGGGCCTCTTCCGCGGACCTGTGTTCGCGAGGCCGCGGGAAGGTCATCGTGTTGGGTGATGGTTGGGATGGTCGGAGCGACGGGAAGTATTGTCGACCCGACTGAGGGGGATCCGCTGCTAATCTCGAAGAACGCGCACCGCTGTCCAGACGCTCGGAAGCAAACACATCCGCTATCGGCGGTAATCGGTTGACGTGGTGCGGGTTGTGGGCCGTGTGCTGTGGTGGGGGGTGGTAGATGGTGTTATGATGGCGACCGGTAAACGATTGATTGAGAGGTGCTGACTGCACGACGCGCTCGTTCGCGAAGGCTCTATGCGACGGGGGCACAATCGTCAGACTGTTTGGTGGTCGTCGCTTCGACGATCCGCGGGCCGACTGGGGATGCTCGTCCCTATCCTTTCCTGCTCTTTCGCCCCCACTTCCTCCTCCACTTCCACTTCCTCCTCCGGGTTTTACGTGTCGCTGCAAACGAGCCTCGATTATGCTCCGCTGTTGATCTCGAACCGAGATACTGCGCTGCAACTGCTCACGCATCGTTGGGTCCTGGGTCGCGAATCCCGGAGAGAGACAGGCCATGCCAACGTCGCGCATCGTCGACAGACTTCCTCCGGCAGTGTGCGGAACGGCAGGACTGGTGTCTCCGGTGTCCTTGCTCAGGTGTAGCTTCGGTGGCCGATGTCGCGACGGAGGCTCGGGGGATGTGGGCTCCTTCTTGACGATGATCTTGGGTAGCTCCTTGCGCTTGCTACTGCATCGATCGTGAGCAGCTGATAAGAAGAAGAAGGGAGGATACAACGCAGAGGGGAGTGGGAAAGAAGTGAGAATGACGGGATTCCACGTACGGACTGCTTTCCACTGGAGTGTCTAGTGTGATGGGTGTCGAGGCGCCGCCAGTCGCGAGAGAAGTGTTCAAGGTCGGTCTCATCCTCTTTGACGGCGGTGTTCCGGAGACTCGTGATTTCGCTGGAGACAGCCTCTCGGTCTCTACGACCTGAAGCGGAGCGGTTGCGGTCTCTGTAGCCATTGCCGTCCGATGGGAGTAACAAGGTTCGAGGGTTCGGGTTCGGGGTTCGGCTACGTTAGTCTACTAGGCGACGAGGTGGTATAGCAGTAGCAGCAGCAGCAGCAGCAGCAGCAGCAGCAGCAGCAGCAGCAGCAGTAATATGTATGAGGAGGACGAGGAATCGATCAGCGTCGCGGTGTCGACGGGATATTGCTTGCTGCGATGTTGAGATGTTTCCCTTCCGCTGGGGGGTGTGGTTATTTTGACTTGTCGGGAGCGAATGCGCGGATAAAAGAGCGAGGTGAAGGGCTCGGCAAGAAAGGGGAAAGATCAAGAAGAAACCCTGAGGGTGAGGGAGTGCGACTGGCGGTGCTGCGAAGAAATGAGTGGACTGCAGAAACGCAATTGCAAGGGCGTGAAACAATAGGCTGACGGGAAGCCGGGGCGTGTAGCAGCGACAGTAGCAGCGACAGTAGCAGCAGCGACAGTAGCAGCAGCGACAGTAGCAGCAGCGACAGTAATGTAGGTACTCGACCTAAGGTGAGAGTACGACTACTCGGAGAAGGAGGCGAGGAGAGCGAGAGTAAGAGAAGAGGAAGAGAAAGAGAGAGAAAAGAGGAACGAGAGGAGGAGGAGGGGTACTTGAGAGGGAGCAGGACGCAGGTAAGCAAGTGTAAGCGGACACAGGGTATCGGAAGGAGAAGAAGGGGAGAAGAACAATAAGGGGATGCAGGCGATTGGGGTTGTGTGGCTGTGGAGGGTAGGCGGGGAGGGGGAGGAGGAGGAGGATGGATGGACACAATGACGAGACCGCAAACGATACAAGACGATACGGTGGCCGCCGCGGATAGTGAATGAGGAAGGGGAGGATGTTTTGGCTTTGTGGGGGCTGAGATGGGTGGAGGGTATAGGATTGTTTTCCGGGGGGGGGGGGGGGGGGGGGGGGGGGGGGTGACGGATGATCGACAAGGAGATGGTGGATGGAGAGCAACAGGTACAACGGTACATACCTCTTTAGCGTTCTATGGCAAACGAGACGATTGCGATCACGATAGTTGATGTGGGGGGGGGAGATGGAATGAGAGGAGGAAGGGGAGGAGCAGGAAGAGGAGGAACAAGAGCTCGGGGGGTATTGCTGGATGGATGGGTTGGAGGAGGACAGGTTGGAGGGGGAGGGGACGGGATATTGTAATTGATCTCCCCGACACGAAGACGAATGGTTACTTGGTGTCCATCTAATGGCGCAGGTTTGATATTGCAAGTGATGGTGATGAATGCAGCTGTGCAAAGTCCAGAAGTGCAAATGCAATGCAGCGAGCAAGGTGAGGTGAACGATGGCGCAGTCTGCCACTCTACTCTGGGGAGACTCAGGACTCTAGACTCATACGCAGACTCTAGACTCATACGCAGACTCTAGACTCCAAACAACAACAACCGCTGCTGCTGCTTTTCCTCACTCTCGGTCTCGTTGCTCAATCAGAACGCACTTGCTTGCTTGCTTGCGCGCGTAGTTCCGCTGAGTAAGTACTTGGTTGAGCACTCTAGGGACTTGGGTACCTACGGTGGAGTGCTCTGGCGGATGCGAACGGAGTGTTTTTTTGTTTCTGTACCAGCAACGGCGGCAGGCAGGCACATTCACTTTCACGGCGGCGATTGGAGTGCATGTAGAGTACCTGGACTATCCAGAGTACATGGGACTATCTAGACTCTATGTAGAGCACTCGCGAGTCGCCCACATGGAAGGCACAGCCAACCCACGCCATCGGCGGCGGCAAAGTCGAGAAGCAGGCGGCGGGCAGGCAGGCAGGAAGGTCATCGGCCCCTCCCCCTCCCTCTCTCTCCTTCCCCTTCCTCCACCGTCCTCGCGTGGTGGCCGTCGCCATCGCCGCCACATCCCACCAGCTCGGCTGTAACGGACGAGAACAAGAAAACAACAACGGAAACACACCCCTTCCTCCGCGCTCTCTCCGGAAAGAGGCAAAGAAAGAGCCCCCAAGACTTCCCCGAAGCAGCCATCACTCTTCTCACTCTCACTCGCGCTCTCATTCTCGCTTCCCACCATTCTCCTCCGGCTCCGACTCCGACTGCTTCTCCTACTGCTTCTCCCTCCATCTACTCCTCCTCTTCGTCTCCGTCTCCATCTGCGTCTGAGAAGCTGTATGTAGGTCCTACCTACTAGTCCCTAGCTGCTACTCTAGTTACTGCGGTACTCTACCCCCAACTCCTGCTGCCTCAGAATTAGCGCTCGATCGGTTTCATGATGCCAGTCCACCAGCGAGCAGCCCACCCCCCTACCCTAGAGCACCCCCCCCTAGAGCACCCCCTGAAACTCACCACTGCACCATCCACCCTCCACCCCACGCCACCACCACCACCACCACCACCGGTCCCTCCACCCCCACCGCGCAGAATGGCCTGGTTTCACATGGCAAAGTCCGGCGTCTATGAAACGCGAAAGTCGGGAAGAAAGAGAAGAGAGGAAAGAGAAAAGAGGGCTAGTGCATCACGCGTGGAGTAGAGTATGCGGTGATGCGTTTGATCATGACCCAGCGAGCGAGCGGCCGGGAGAGGAAGGATCATGATCGTGGATATGCTGCACAGTCGCATCGCAGTGGCATCTCCGTCTCCGTCTCCGTACCGTCTCGAAGGCGGGCGGGCGGGAGAACCGGATGTGGGGACGGGGATGGGATGTGTGGGATGTGGGGACGGGAATGTGATCTGTGGAATGTGGGGACGGGGGGCATTTCGTGTATTTCGTGTCTGCACCGTCACACCGTGAACTGGGTTTCTGCCTCGAATAAGCTTGAGGAGGCTGCAACTGCAACTGCAACTGCGCCGAGTCGAGTCGGGAGCTTCTGTGTATGTGCATACATAGGATACATACACGCCTGCTTCCTGAGTTCAGCGAGCGCTTAATGTTCTGTTTCTATGTACTGGTACTACGACTACCGGTGGACAGTGAAGTGCATATCCAATGGAGTCTGGAGTCGCAGCTGTCCGAATGCTACTCGATCCTGACGCTGCACACACATGCAGAGTAGATACATGTAGCCTTGCGACTCGAAAGGTGTCACGTGCCATAGATGGGGTGGAGGGGGGATGGTGAGTATGCCGATATTCCAAGCTTTGAGGAGCTCAGAGCAAAGAGCTGCAGGCCCGTTTGGGTAGAGTGCATGGGCCGAGTAAGGCCCGATTAAGGGCTGGATACGGGGCTTTATTCTGCAGTCGTCGACCGCAAGGGAACGTTTGTTTCCCATTGCACTTGTACAATGATTATAAGGTAGGTGTATTATCCCGAGTGACGGCACTGGAGTCGAGGAGAGTCGGGTAGACGTGAGTGGACGTGCTCCTCATCGCACGAGAATCGCCGCCCCGATCGATCGCCGCCTCGACCGCTACGGCGCCGGGACGGCCTCGACGCTCGTGCAAACGGGGGGTTGTAACTTGTCGCTACAGTAGCTACGTGCAGTAGAAGTTTCACCGCCGCGAACTCGCACCGTCGTATCATATCCACCTCATACCTACCTCATACCTACCTCATACCTACGTCCTACACACAGTCAGAGCAGATACCGTACCGAACACGTTTAACGACCAGGTGCCGCCGCCAGTTCGAAGTGAAGTTTGACCCGTGCAGCGTTGTGCAGTGCGCAATGTTTTGCGTCGTTGGTGGAGCTCTACTAGTACACAGTATGTAGATGGTATGTTCTGTCGTGGTTGTGCACAGTCATCCACCCACACTGCACTACAAGTCTGCACCCGTACCGCGGCATCCCTACCGTACCTACCCAACAAGGCGCTTCCATGATTCCACAGCGCTTCCGCTGCACTCCGCCCCCCCTCCCTCACTCCCTCCCGCCCGCTCCGGGACCCCGAGCGCTTCGAACTGGCACTGTCACTGTCACCGCCCGGCGCCCGGGTTTTGAAGGGCTATGTAACTACCTACTGTATGTATTGTACATGCACGACAAGCTGCTATGTAGATACTATGGTACCTACTTGGTTCAATTGGTCTTCACCACGGAAGCTGGACAACCAGTTATCTAGGTACTCTGCACATAAGACGACCGACCGACCTATGTACCAACCGACCGCCCGATCAACCGACCGGCCGACCATGGCCGGGCGGGGGCGGGGGCGGAGGCGGTGCGGGGGGACGGCAATATGCAATCGCCGGCGAGGAGGAGAAACATCATCACCCGTGCCGCCCGTGCCGGCCGGCACGTTGCGTTGCGTTGCGCGTCCCTCGACTTCGATCGTCGACTTCGAACGATCCTCGTCACCGCTCGCACGAGCGCGCGAGAGGAGCTAGATATGTATGCTAGAATTCGGTACCGGGAGAGCTAGGTACTTACCCAAAACTAGTGAACTTGGAAGTTGGGAGTTGGGAGCTTGGGACAAGGGGGGATATCAGGCAGTAATATAGGCACTCCTCATAGGCACTCTACATCCTCAAGTACCTGTGTAGGTATGCTGCACTACTAGTACCAGTACATACACAGCTGAGACCTCCATGTGAGTACATATACAACGGGCGGACGGGAATATGATATATCTAGACAGCCGCCGGCGCCGCTGCCGAGTTGAGTCGAGGAGATTTGCCGGTATACCGGCGGAGAGGGTTGGAGTCTGGACTCTGGACATCATTCCACATTTGCGCACTCTACTCTGTGGCATGCTACTAGTCTATACGGTATGTCTCGCCTTTCGTGCGTACTGTATAGTGAAGGGGAGGGTAAAAAAATACGCTTTGTGGCCGTACCGATACGGAAAAAAGCGTATCGTTACGTATTTTGACCGTATCGATACGCTTTTTTTCCGTATCGGTACGGCCACAAAGCGTATTTTTTACCCTCCCCTTCACTATACAGTAGGTGTCGCCTTGCCATGTACGAGAGCACCTACGGGCCAAGTAATGGCGAGTGAGCGTGTTCGGATGATCCGGTTAGTTGATTCATCTCGAAGGAAGGAAGGAAGGCTGGTGGCTCAAACGACATACCCACTTGGTTTGAGCCTTCAGCCTTCACTTGTATCGACGGGAAATTTAAATATCCAAATGGAAAAACAAATACCGGTAAAAGAGCAAAACGGATGAAATCTCAGAAATCACCAATTGCACTTTAACTGGTTCATCAGGAATTCAGGGGGTGGGGTAGGGAGGCGAAGGGCACGGAGGCGGGGATCCGTAATTTGTAGATTGTACAATCAACGGCCACCCAGCATCTGATCCAACCACTCGTCTCCGGTCTCCACCTCATCAGCCGGCGGCGCCACAGCAGGCCGTATCTCCCGTGACCACGCGGCCGCCGCCTGCTTATCGTCGTCCTCCTTCCCCCTCCCCGCCAATTTTGGATCCAGTTCCAGACCTCCCAGGAACGCATCCAGATCGTCACCGTCGTCGTCGCCGTCGCCGCCGCCCGTATCGTCCGCCGCCATTCTCGGCGCCCTCTTCTTCGCCTTACTCTTACTACTCTCGAACCTCGCCCGGAACGCATCGGCATTATTCCTCTTCGCGATCTTTTCCGTGACGTCGACGAAGTCCTTCCTGTCCACCTTGACGATATTCCCCTTCATCGGCAGCGCACTGATCAGCGGCTGTTTCGTGCTCGCCGGAGTCCAGCTCTCCCGCAGAAACGCCGCGTCAACCGCCCCGCTGCGTATCTTCTCCTCCTGCGCATCCACCCACTGCCCGCCCTTCTTCGCCAGCGTGAGCGCAACGTAGTCCTCGTGCACCTCCTCCTCCTCCTCTCCATCCTCCTCCCCCTCCCCCCCCGCTCGTGCATGTGCGCCGCTCGGGTCTGTAGATGAAACGTGTTAGCGAAACCCCCCACCCCTCCTCCCACCCTCCTCCCCCGACCCCAGTATCGTATCGTGTAGATGGTGACAGAGCCCAAAACCAAAACCAAAACCAAAACTTAAACTCACCGAGCAGATTGTCCCCGGCTGCAGCAGCCTTCTCGTACCGCCAGGAATTACTGGCCAGCTTCCGCCGACTAAACTGGCCCTTGTGCGCGTTTTCCTCGCCGTCCTCGCCATTCTCCTCCTCCCCGTCCTCACCGTCCTCCGAGCCCGAGCTCTCAGTCTCCTCTTCTTCTTCATCTTCTTCTTCATCTTTTTTGGCCCCGGCCGGCGTCACAACCCCACCCGCAGCCTTACCGCGCCTGCATCTGCCTCCGACTTTGCCATCCTTAGCATCCTTAGCAGCGGCGGCGGTGACAGCAGCGGCCGGATCCTCTTTTCCCTTCGCCTTGAGCTTGCGCACGCGGTCGCGGTTTTGTTTACGGTCCCACTCTATATAGCGTAGGGCATCAGAACTGCCTTATTCCTCGGGAGTGGGGAGGGGAGGTGTTACTGTTGTTGTGGAGTACCATTGTGCAGATGAGGTGGTGGTTGTGGTAGGTAGGTTCGCGTGGTGGGTTGGGGATTGAGGGAGGGGAAGGTGCTGAGTGAGTGAGTGAGTGAGTGATAGCGGAACGGAATGCAAGAGCTCTGGATGGCGTGGGGGATGTTACGGGTTTAACTAGCCTTGGCGCGTGGTACGAGTGCTACTCTACGCGACTATGTTACTGGTGACGTGTGCATGCTCTGTGATCACTCGGACACCTCTGCTCTGCGGAGTGTCAAAAATATAGGGACATAAACTGCAGCATCATAAAACGAGTGGTAGCGGAATCTTTATGGCCGGGGCGGACGGAAAAGCAAGACAGATGTGTACATATCCCATGGTCTAGAAAGGTCGAAAGCGATTGATGATGGAAGAAAAAGGACATCATACAACAGCAGATCTAAGGCTACGTGGTGTTTAGAAGAATGAAAGGAGGAGAAAACTAGCTGTAGCCTAACTTCTAGAGATCCTCTTCTTTCTCTTGGCCGGAGGCATGACTTCTTCTTCTTCTTCTTCTTCTTCCTCGGTATTGGCCTTCTTCCTCTTTGCTGGGATCTTGGGCTTTACCTCTACCTCCACAGTAAACTGTCTTCTTTTTGCAGAAGTCTTCGACTTCTCCTCTTCCTTTTTCCTGGTGGCACTCCCACCTCCTTTGACCGGAGTCTTTGCCTCTTCCTGTTCCTCTGTCTTGGCCTTCTTCCTTCGTGATGGGGTCGTCGGCTTGTCATCTTCCTTTTCCTCTTCCCCCACAGTACTCTGCCTTTTCTTTGCCGGAGTTTTCGGCGTCTCCTCCGTTTTCTCAGCTGCGCTCCTCCTTCTCTTCGTGGAACTCTTCGGTGTTTCCTGCTCCTCTGTTTTGGCCTTCCTTTTTGATGGGGTCGTCGGCTTGTCATCTTCCTTTTCCTCTTTCTCTGCAGAACTCTGCTTTTTCTTTGTAGACGATTTTGGTTTCTCCTCCGTTTTCTCAGCTGTGCTCTTCCTTCTCTTCGTGGAAGACTTCGGTGTTTTCTGCTCCTCTTCTTCATCTCCGGTCTTTTTCCTCTTCTTCGACGAAGCGGTAGGTCCTGTGTCTTCCTTGTCTGGCTCAATAATATTGGCTTTCTTTCCTCCCTTTGACGGTGTCTTCTGCTTTGGTGTCTTGGTCGGGGTCTTGTCCTCATCTCCTTCCTCCTCAGCGGTAGCCTTCTCCTCTTTTGAATTCTTCTTCTTCTTCTTCCCATCCTCCGTCTCAATCTCGAGCTTCTCGGTCTCTGACATCGTTGACTCTCGTCTCTTATTCTTATTCTTCTTCTTCTTCTCATCCTCCTCATCCTCCTCATCCTGCTCGTCCTCCTCATCCTCCTCGTCCTCCTCGTCCTCCTCATCACCCTCATGCACCTCATCGCGATCTATCATAGGCGTATCGGTAAGGACAATATCCCACGTCCTCTTCGTGCCATTGTTCCCATCATCATCGTCATATTCGATGACATAGATGTACTTGATGACATTATCATCCAGCACAGAACCCAGGTCTCTCGGGTGCATGCGCATGTACGCCGAGGTGATCAGATTATACTTCAGCGGGCTGTGCAGGAAGTAGTTGTTAACATTCTTTCTCAGGACACCCAGGAGTTTGTAGAATTTCTAGCAGATGTTAATATCTATAGGCAGAGGAGGAGAAGGAGGAAGGGTCTGAGATACATAACATACATTTGGCGTGTTGATCGATCTCGGATTAAGAGGCCGCACCCTCCGCGGGGTGAAGCGGAACATCTCGCTATACTTGATTTGGGAGGACGCTTCGGTGAGGACGATGAGCTCGCCTTCTACGCGGACCCCCCGGGAGGGCGGGTCCGGTGGGATTTCCTTCAGGATATCTTCTTCCTTTGCCGTCATGGGCGAATCGGTGAGGACGATATCATAAGCCTTCTTGGTACCGCCGTTGCCGTCATCGTCGTCATACTCAATGACATAGATGTACCTGACGATGTCATCCAACAGCACGGTCTTCAGATCCTTCGGGTGCAGCCGCATGAAAGCCGAGCTGATGATGTTGTATTTCAACGGCGCGCGCAGGTGGAATTGCTTTACGTCTTTCTTGGTGAGGCCGATTGTGGCGTAGAATGCCTAGCGGGTGTTAGCGGCCCATGGACAACGGCTACGGGGATGTAAACCTTGGGCTTGCGGATGGATCTCAGAGTAACATGTCGCGAATACAGCGGGGTGAAACGGAAGCTGTTGTGATACTTCGCTTTGCAGGTCGCTGCTGTGAGGGTGATAAGCTCGCCTTCTTTGCGCGCCCAGCGGGAGGGCGGTTTGGGCGGTATTTTCTCCCGCTTCGTTTTCTTTGGGGTTTTCGCTGGCTCCTCTTTCGTTGGTGTGTTCGTCGGCTTCGGTTTCTTCGCCATTTCTTCTTTGATCGGATCGGTTTCGTAGGCGTTGGTCGTGTTGCGTGGGTTCTTGGGGATCGACGGTGGAGATAACGAATGACTGACAGCTTTTATTGTGAATGAGATGGAACCCTGGACATGTTCATGTTGTTTACTCTAATTGCGTAGATGGGTGGATGGTCCGCTTTGTTTAGACCAGTGGAAGGATATGGCATGTTTGTGACACCGAGTCCGAGTCCGAGTGTACGACTGGACCGGCAAGCAATGCAACGTACTTCTCGTGAAGCAGTAAATGATAAGTGGAGTAGTCGCGGGGCCAACTCTCTGACCACCTTCAGCCCTGCCGTGTTCTAATGCGAGCGCATGATCCTATCTATCGAAGAGCTACCATTTCACTATAGTAAGGCATGACCGACGTCAAACTCACGCCAATCCCATAGCCTTCCTGACGAGGACCATCGTCTTCTCCGCGCTCTCTCTCGCCTTAGCCGCACCCTTCTCTGCGATCTTATCAAGATACCCGTCGCCCTCCTTCATGATCCTTTCATACTCCTCTCTGACGGGCTTCAATCCCTCAGAAATACACTCTGCAACCCGCATCTTGAGCTCCTTCTTCTCTAGATTTTCCCACTCCTGTGCGATAGCGCCGAAATCGTCTCTCCGCTGCATGTGCGCATATATCTCGATCAGATTCGACACGCCCGGTCGATTTTTAGGATCGTAACTGACTCCCAGCTCGGAATCCGTCATCGACTTCTTCAGCTTCTCCCAGATCGTGTCGGGACCATCGGTCAAGAGGATCCGGGACAACGGCTGTGGATCGGATTTGGACATTTTCTGGAGTGGGTCACGGAGTGACATTACTCTTCGCGCCGGTGCTGTGCGTTCAATGTCAGCAGCCAGCTATCGGATGAGTGGGTAGGTGCGTGTTACAGAGGATTGTTTTAGGAAGCGGGAATACTTCGCCGTACGAGCTGTGGAATGTTCCGACGATTTCACGGGTGAACTCGAGGTGCTGCACCTGATCTTCTCCCACGGGCACATCTGTAGCCCTACTTCCATCAGCCGTACCCTTCCCCTCCCCTCCAACTTCATAGGAAACAAACCTGTGCACCAAAATATCCGCCGCCTGCAAAACTGGATACGAAAACAGCCCCAACTTCAGTTTCGCCGTGGACTTTCCCTCAAACGCATTCACATCCTCCTTGACGCCCAATTTACTCTGTCGCGACACTCAGCGCCGCCTCTCGCCGTTTCGTCGTGGTACATACCTTCCACTGAGTCATCCGACTGAGGTAACCCGTACTCGCGCCGCAGCTGAGGATCCACATGAGCTCAGCATGGTGCGGGACCCTGCTCTGCTCGAACAGCGTGCAGCGCTCCGGGTCGATACCGACGGCGAGGATAGTCGCGAGCGTCTCTCTCCTCGCCTTCCGCAGGGTTTCGGCGGCCTGCGGCTGCGTGATCGCGTGCAAGTCGACAATGCTGAAGATCAGCTGCGTGTCCGCCGACGCTGAGGCCTGGATGTCCGCCCATGTGCGCAGCGCTCCGAGGTAGTTGCCGAGGTGCGGGACGCCAGTCGGTTGGATGCCCGAGAAGACGACGCGTGGGGCAGCGACGGAGGTGCCGGTGGAGGTCCCGGCGGTGGTGGAGAGCGCCCGCCGGAGGTGCCGGGTGATGTGCGACATTGGTGGGGTGATGGTTGGTGATCGTGCGTACGTGCGCCGAGAACCTGCATGAGCAGCGCTTGGTACATGGTCTGTGCGTCCCGAGACATCCCTCCTTGGCGATGATCATTCGTGGGGCCAATCATGTCAGATCACTGTGCCGACCATCGGTTCGTGAACACATGAGGAAGCATCAATTCGTCGTTAATCACATGCAATTGATGATTGAAAAAGAAATAGAAGAAAAACATCAACTCGCTAAGTCGCCGTAGTGTACCGGTGGTTAGGCCGAATGCGAGTATGTATGATCAAACGAACCAACAGAAACCAATTTGTCATCTGATAGGCTACATGCGATCAACGAAGAAACAACCCAAAAAAACAACTCTTTAGACTTCATCTCTACAGCCTACAGAAGGTATTCTAACTAAATCGACCAAGAAAATCCCAAAGTGTGGCTCGAACTATCCAACGCCAGAAAACAGCAACAAAAAGCAACCAGAAAAAGCTATGTATTTACATGTCTTGATATGTAAACAGCTGTGTGTGGAGCACATTCATAGCCCTGATTGCGTCGTCCTCATTGATCACGCAGCTAATGTTGATTTCACTCGCTCCTGTTGTTATTGTGCATCAGTGTATCGCTTCTACAAGAATCGCTGCATGAAGGGGGATGCGCACCTTGGGATATCATCTCGATGTTGACGTTGGCCTTTGCCAGAGTGGTGAACATGCGGCCCGCAATACCAATCATGTGCTTCATCTGCTTGCCGACCAAACTCAGAATGGTCAAGTTCCGGATGACATCGACGGAGCCATGGCGCTTCAACTCTTCGAGCGCCTGCTTCAACGCATGGTCCTTGACCTCGGACTGCAGCGCCATCGACACGTGCACCTCGGACGTAGAGATGAGATCCACACAGAGCTGGTGCTGATCCAGGATCTGGAAGATGCCCGCCAGGAATCCGTGGCTGAGACTCTTGCGGTTTGAGTGGACGTTCAGCACGACAATGTTGCTCTTCGTCGTGACGGCGGTGGGCCGCAAGTGGCGCGGCTGCAGCAGCGCGTCGTGCGAGCGGTTCCGGAAGTGGCGCGGGATCTCGCTCGGTGTGTCTTCACCCTTGCGTGCGAGCGTGTCGGGAAAGATCATGGTGCCCTCCCCGCTGGGGTTCTCGACGTTCTTGATCCGGATTGGGATCCGCGCGCGGATCACCTGCTCCATGGTGAACGGATGGATCACCTCGGAGCCGTAGTAGGTGAGCTCGGCCGCCTCCTCGGGGGTGATGATCGAAATCAGGCGGGCCGTGACGACTTTCCGGGGGTCGGCGGTGAAGATGCCGTCGACTTCCTTCCACACCTGGAGCTCGTGTGCGTCTAGGCCGACGGCGAGAAGCGCCGCGCAGAGATCGGTGTAGCCCCTCCCAACGGATGTCAACAAGCTTCCCGGCACCACGCCAAAGTATCCAGTGACAACCGGTAGCTTGTCTCCACACTGCTCTATCCTCTCCGCCAGGTTCTTCGACAGCGCATCGTAGAAGTCCTGATTCAACCCTCCCTTCGAGTTGTACGTAGTATCAACGACGTTTCCGAGGTCGACATACTCGGCATCGATACCCTATTCGCATATCCAACATCAGCACTCATCCGCCACCTCCCGACAGCATAACATACCCGATCCTTCAATAACGCCGCCATAAACATACAACTGAGCTTCTCTCCAGTCCCGATGATCGCATCCTTGGTCTTTGGGGAGATCTCGTCGATGATCTGCGCCGCACCGAGGAAGCTGGCAAGATGTGCGCACTCCTCCTCGATCTCCACCTGAAGGGATTGCAGCACCTCCGGATCGCTGATCACCTCCTTCGATGCGCGGATGTGGTCTTCCCGGATCGCGTCCACGATCCCAACGTATAACCGCGAGGACGGCTTCAGCGCCTCTTCCGCTGCGAGGATCAAGCTACCACCACCACCATCAGCCCATCAGCCCCACACGACGGGGGGAACTCCGGGAGACGAACCGGTTCGTTGTGCCCTCCGCTTTGGTATCGGTGCTCCGGGCGGAACATACAATGGCGATCTTGTTGTCCTTCATGGAGGGTCTACACACACGCATCAGCTATACAAAGCCCCACCAGCATTGTCCCCACCACCCCCACCCCCACTACCAGCACCACCACCAGCACCACCACAAATCTCAATCCATACCACATACCCAACGATATTCTCCGCAATCTGCGCCGGGAACTTTCCCACGCTGGTCCCGCCAAACTTCTGGATAACCCAGCCTCCAGCGGCGGAGTTCTTTCTTCGCTCTTGGATGGTGGTGGCGGCCATGTTGTTCGCGCGGCGGAATCGTTTGCAGGGAGGAGGGATGGCGGCGGCGGAGGAGGCGGGGGTTGGAGATGGACGTGGATGGTGGGGCGCGGTTTTTGTTCCGTTCATATCTATCAGTTTCGCCAAGGACTCTAACTACCTACTTTCTAGCTTCTCGCTTGCGGATGGGAGGAAGTCATGGTCCGTGGAGAATCGGCGAGCGTTTTATACTAGTAAGCTCATCTTCCTGATCCCATATGTAATCCATTGTGGTGGGCATCTATGTAGGCTCTGTATGTAGGAGATATGCTCGAAGACCTTTCCGTGGCGCTCCGAACGGCGAAGACGCAATTTCATGTGACTTCGCGCACTTGCACTTTGCACTTTGCACTTGGACTTCTCCCTGAGCCAAACGGATTGCATTGCGAGAGAGAGAGAAAGGAAAAAAAAGCAAGGCAAAGCGAGCATCTGCACTGCGCTGCACTGCAGCCTGGGCTGGATCCTATGTGCTCTCGTCAGCTTGCTCGCCTGTGCTGCGGGCACGCGATTTCTCGTGATCGGGATAGAGTACCCAGCAGTATAGCACATGCTGTCCGGATAATCCTGTGTACCAGGTAGGAGGTATGTACGCACAAAACGGCGCAACAAGCAAGCAGGCAAGCAAGCTTGTTTCATGCGTACAGAAACGGTGGAATAAGCAAGCAAGCAAGCGGTTTCCATACACACCGTTATCTACAGTATCCTCCCGGTTGCTGCAACTTATAGCTATTTTTCACCGGGAGGGCATGCTATTGTGTTTGTGTATTCATACCATGGAGGGGGAGGGGGGAATCATGGCCAGCTGTGCCTTCCCCTCTCCTCCTCTGGCACAATCTCTCCCTCACTCTCGGGCTTCCCCCCCCCCCTCCCCAAGACTTTATCAAACAATCCCACTTCAGCCCGAGTGATTAGCTGTATGTAGGCTTTACCATAGAGTAGGTAGTAGTGACACTTCTTTTCCACGCCCCCGTCCGAATCGCCGAATCGCCGGATTCACTATCGACATCCTCGAATCCAGCTTTCATGTCGATGTTCTGACAGCCAAGGTCCTTGTGGTCGGTTCAAGGTTCTAGTATTCCCATTCTATTTCAGGGAAATCAATACCTAATGGTCCCACCGGTCCTAATAGCGCCCGCCAGTCCCGACGGTACCCGCAAATCCCAATGGTGCCCGCCAGTCTTAAAGGTGCCCACCAGTCCTAAAGGTGCCCGCCAGTCCTAAAGGTGCCCGCCAGTCCTAAAGGTGCCCGCCAGTCCTAAAGGTGCCCGCCAGTCCTAAAGGTGCCCGCCAGTCCTAAAGGTGCCCGCCAGTCCTAATGGTGCCCGCCAGTCCTAATGGTGCGCGGACGGTAACTATGGTGTCTGCCAGTCCTAACGGTGCCGTCCAGTATGTATGGTCCGATCCGTCCTCCACCTCCTCCACCGACACACAACCAGTCCGTCCAATCCGTCCAGTCCCTCCAGGACAGAAGCTAAATGGCCGCGAGACTATGTATTAGCTATTTGTAGAGGAGTGAAGTGGTAGACTGAAGTAGTAGAGGGTTTTATTGGCGGACTGGGCCTGGTTGCGATCATAGTGGTGGGTGATGTCATTGCCGGTATGGAAGGTGGCCGGTGGATCATACAATATGATGCTGCCCCGAATATGTCCGTGGTACATAAGAGGCCAAGAGAGAATATCGATTTGTTGTCACACTCAGTGGGATAGGCAGTAATTACACCGCCGTTTCGTTTCAATTCACAGCCATAATCCACCAAGCACTTGGGCATCTTCAACGAGCTATTGACCCTAGAAAAGATAGGTACCTTAGGAAAGAAATGAACAATCTAAAGCGTTAAGCGCAGCAAAACAACAGAGTAGGTACCTAGAAAAACAATAACTCCGCCCCACGAATGAAAACATTGATCTGATCCAGATCAAGCGCTCAAAACACAAAGCAAAACACACTACCGACTCAAACATCAATCCCTATAATGAAAAAAAACGAGCAAGTTTTCTGCCATTTAAAAAACAATAGTATTAGGTGATCTGAAGGACCCCCCCGCCCCCTCCCCCCGGAGACTCCTGGTAAGGGTTCTTCCCTCACTCACCCCGTCGACGACGCTCGTACGCAGCCCCCCCATCCGCCCTCCACCCACGTTTCCAACCAGCGTCCTACCGCCGGTAAAGATTATGGGTGGAGAGCTCGCGGTCACGGCTCTGGCTTCTGTGGGGATGAGGGTGGGGGTGGGGGCCGCCTCCACCGCCTCCTCCGCCATATCCGCGCTCCATCCTCTCCCCGCGTTCCGGAAGCCCGCGATCACGCCAATCGGCCCTGTCCCCCCTGTCCCTGTCTCCCCGGTCTCTATCTCCCCTATCCCTGTCGCGGCTCGCTCCCCGCTCCCTCTCCCAGCCACGACCACCACCACCGCCCCTCCGGTCATCATCCGCTCCGTAAGAAGGGATGTAAGTGTCCCGGTCAGGGCCTCCGCCACCTCCTCCACCGCCACGATTGCGTCCTCGACGATCGCGATCTCTGTCCGGTGCTCCAGTCAAAGAGCGTGGAGGTGGGGGTGGTAGTGGCAAGCCCGCATCTCGGTGCGGTAGACTGGCCTCGCGAGGGTGGGGGTGGTCAGGTGGGTTGGCTGTCTTTGCCCACGGGGGTCTATGGTCTGTGCCGTTTCCTCGATCGCGATGGATGGGAGGCATGCGACTGCTATCGTGAGGAGGCAATCCGCGGTCGTCGCGTGGAGGCAATCTGTCGTGAGGGGGTCGTCCATGTGGTGGTGGAGGTAGTCGGCTCGCACCGCTTCCGTTGCCCCAGTCATTTGGCCTCCTGCTACCTCCGCCACCAGTCCCGCCACTGCTCCATGGCCCAACCTCTCCAGCTCTGCCTGCCCACTCGGGTCCACCGTTTTGACCAACGCCGACACTACCGCCAGCTGGTGCAGGGGGCGGGCCTCTGTTCCGATTCTTCTTGCCGTCCAATTCGTGACTGTCGTTGAACTTCGGCACTTCTCCAGGCTTGAGGGGCTGAGGATCTACCCTAAAGTACTCGTGCTTCAGGGCGTCAATCGCATTGATTCGCTTGGCCGGGTCCAATTTCAGTAGTTCCGACAATAGAGCGACACCGGAGCTTCCCATTCTGCTGTGCTGTCCTTCGAGGGTCCGCTGGTAGGTGACATGCTTGATCATCTCGAATCCTGGTAACCGTTCGGCGCCGGGCATGGATCTCGCAGTAGGCGGACCACAGAGACTAAAGATTTTGTGCATCTGGTCCATGTCGCTGTTTCCCTGAAGAATCGGCTTCCTCTTGTACATTTCGGCAAAGACGCATCTATGATGTCAATTAGCGGGAGAAGAACACGCGTACCCAGCGAAACATACCCGACACCCCAGAGATCAATGGCAGACGTATATCGCTTCTCTCCCAATAAAAGCTCCGGTGGCCTGTACCAACGAGTGACAACGCAGTTGGTGTAATCGCGCTGAGCCTGTCCACCTCCCCCACCCGCAACAGGCACTGCTTCGTCGAATATCCGGGCAAGTCCAAAATCAGCGATACGAAGAACTCCACGGTTATCGATCAGAAGATTCGCGGCTACGCATATTAGACTGGGCAAACCCAAACGAGGGCATTGTTCGGTGTAGCTCACCCTTCATGTCTCGGTGCAAAATGTGACTATCGTGAAGATACTTTGTACCATCGAGTAGCTGAAGTAAGTAGCACTTAATCAAGCCGTCGCTAAACACGACATCTTTGTTCTCCAACAACCCCGCCAGATCATGTTCCATGTACGGAGTGATCATGTACATGGTACCTCTAGGTGAAACCGTCCGTTCTTCTGTTTGTAGTGGGTGCAGTCAGCAACCATATTATGTTTTCACGCAAACCACCAAACATGAAAAGCACCCAGAAAAGCGACGACAGCACGTACTCTTCCGCTCGACCGCCATCTCAATGAGGCGAATGATATTCCGATGTTCCAACATCTTCAAGATCTTGATTTCCCGGAGTGCCGTAATCGGAAACTAAATCACCCACACGCACGGCGATCAGCCCGCCAATTCCATTCCGCCACGGATGCCCGAATTGAACCGGATCGGATATGCCTTACCCCCTCGTCCTTCGAGTTATGCATCAGGATCTTCTTCAATGCCACGAGCTTTCCGTTCTGTCTGTGTCGCGCCTTGTGGACCTCGCTGCGACCCGTAACCCACGTATTAGCGAGTGAACCCGTTTCCTTTCGCGAACCCACACACAAACACGCAAACGCAAACTCAAAACGCAGTGCCACGTACCCAAACGTTCCCTCGCCGAGCTTGCCGAGCATCTCGTACGCCTTGATCGTCTCGCATCCCCTGAACCGCGGACGGCCCGACGGATCGATCGTGAGTGGTTTCTTGCGTGGCGGCTCCGCGCTCGCCGAGGGCGGCGTCGGAGACTCCCGCTTCATCGTCATGGTTGGTAGCTTAGTTGCAGCTCTCGCGAAAAGATGTGTGATCGTGTCGTGTCGTAGAAGCAAGTGTGTTGTAGCGAAAAAGCGGTGCTGTCGGTTGCTGTTACTGTAGCTGTGGTTGTTTGCAGCAGTAGAGGTGGTGGTGGTGGGGTTGTGGTGTAGTGTGGTGTGGTGTTGGAGAGGTGGAGACGCGGAGGGTCGATCGGGGTAGTTGCTCTAAGTAGAGGAGATGAGACCGCACGCAGTGTTATGTGTGTGTCGATTAACTATTGAGAGAGAAGCTCAACTATGCTACAATAAGCCGAGCCAAGCCGCCAAGAGCCTCGCCACACCTACCTGCCACAACGCAGTCGCCACACATTGAGCTTCGATCGTACGTAGAAATGGTAATTTATATTGCCATTGACACATCATGATTGCATTCATCCTCATATCCGTCTACATGCAATATCGGATCAAAAACGGCAATAAACGGAAAAATAGAACCACAAGCAGCGAAACACATGCTCTCGGAAAACCCCAGGAAGAAAGTACCAAAAGGTACATAGTGCAGAGTAACTCAAGCTATTGCTTGCCTTATTACAGGAAAGGACCGAACAGACCGAAACGGAAGCAGAACAGGCAGCAAAAGTCATTCATTATACTCGACAGATCGTGTTCTCATCACTTCCCCTTCTACTACTCCAGGCAATACAGCACAAACATACTTGCAACCACCTATTTCCGTGCGTGGCCAGAATGTTTCGGACGGTGGTGGTGGCCGCAGGAGAGAGCGATAGAAAGAGATGGCTTCCAAAAAGAAAAAGAAAAAGCGCGAAGAAGCAGAAGCAGAAGTAGAAGATGTGCAATTACATGATGATGCACGATTTACCACCAGTAGGCTGCGCCGGATTCTGTGCCTTTTCCACCTCAGCAATCATGAGCTCGAACGCCTTGACGACGTTCTCGTTGTGCCTCGCCGACGCCTCGGTCCAGGAACAGTTCCATTCCGTCATCAGCGCCTTTCCCTCGTCCGTCGAGACCTGCCGTTGGATGTGCAGATCAGATTTGTTGCCGACTACTACGATTGGGACCCAATCCGCGCCCTGTCGTACAGTCAGCAAAGGCGGACGGAGGGAGAGAGGAAGGGAGTGAGAGTAGGAGCTGCTCCGTGCATACCAGATGATTCAGAACTTTGTCTCTGATGATCTTGACCATCTCAAAGGACTGCTTGGACGTGACCGAGTACACGAGCATGTAACCATGAATACCGATCGAGTGTCTCGAGTTCAGAATGCTGTACTCATCCTGTTCGTTTTGTTCCGTCCATGTAAGCGGGCGGGCAGGCGGGGTAGGGGCAGGGCAGGGCAGAGCAGGGCAGAGCAGGGCAGAGCAGGGCAGAGCAGGGCAGAGCAGGGCAGAGCAGGGCAGAGCAGGGCAGAGCAGGGCAGAGCAGGGCAGAGCACGGCAGAGCAGGGCAGGACTGGGTATGGCGGGCCGTAGAGTAGCAGAAGTAAGAGTGGCGCCACATACCTGTCCGGCAGTATCTATGATCTCGGTCGCGTACTCCTGTCCCTTGTACTTGATGGTCCTCGAGAAGGTGTTTTCGATTGTGGGATAGTAGGATTCGACGAAGTGGTTCTCGACGAACTGGACCGTGAGCGACGATTTGCCTGTGGAGGACGTTGTCAGCTCAGCTCAGCTTCAGCTCCGCGACGGGGAGCGGAGAGGGGAGAGGAAGCGCACCGACAGCCCTGCTGCCTACAATTGCGATCTTGCGCTGCTTTGGATGTGTGGCCGGCATTGGATGTAGCAAGCGAGTTCAGAGGAATGTGTAGGGCGTAGGGTGGTTTGAGTATGGAGTTGTGTTGTTCGTGCGAAGGCAAGTGGGTTTGTTTGGAGGCGGCAGAGGGAGTGGGTTGGTAGGTCGACGTAGTGGATAAGTTGAGCGAGCGAGCAAGCGACACAAGCAAGATGTGAGTTCACAAGGCAGTTCAGTTCGGCGCAATGCGGCCTTGGCCCACCTAGAGTAACTCTAGTGGCGACTGACTGGTTGAACCACAACTTCGGGTTCGGGATCTCTCGCCGTCGCCCTCTCTTCATCGAAGAGTTCTCTTCCCCTTCCCATTCGAGTAGGAATCTAGAAGGCTTCCGCATACCGTTGATTCATTCATCCCGCTCAAACACTCTAATTGTGGCCGAAGGATGCGGCAAATTTATCGATCGCAAAATGGCGGTTTTTCGGCTATCATCAAACCAGACAGCTGAAGGTGACTGTGAAACCACATCCATCCATCTACCCGCCAATCTACTCTGCCGATAGCTAATCAAGGAGGAAAAAACAATTATGACGACTTGTTGGGCTGCAGTCAGTCGCAGATCGGCTTTCTATTCGCACCATGCTTGGGCTTCACAGGTACCCGACAGCTACGTAGTTCCTTCACGTCAGATACAGGGAGTAGACAGAACGACACTGGCATCTACGTAGCTAATCCCCCTGGAACCTGAAAGCCCATCATGTATCCTCTCTGCCTCTCTCCCAGGTCGATTCTGACATATGAGCGCTGTCCACGAATCACGAATTCCGCAGACGGACCTGAGGACCTGAGGACCTGAAGGCTGAGGGCGGTCTCTGAGCTCGGCCTGCCCGCCCAGCCACTAATGCGCAGCCGAGATCGCTTATCAACGGCGCGCGCAAACCAATTCTTCACGTTCCACCAGCAACGCACCTCCCAAACCTCAATCCGTAATCCCCCCTCCGTACCACATCCCACCATGTCCAAAAAGCGAAAACACGGCCAAGACGGCAACAGCAAAACCAAAGGTGGCAAGGGCGGCGGGCCGGCCTCCAAACGGCATAGAAAAGGCGGCGCTCCTCCTCCGGCACCCAAGAAGCCGCAGGCGTCGCAGCAGGCCGCACAACCGCCCCGCCGCACGCCCCCGCCGTTCCAGAAATCCTCCACCGTCCTGCTCGTAGGCGAAGGCGACTTCTCGTTCGCTTTGTCGCTGCGCCGCGCGCTGGGCGTGCGCAACGTCATCGCGACGTGCCACGACTCCGAGGCGGACCTGCACAAGAAGTATCCGCAGGCTAAAGAGAATATCGCCGCGTTCCTGGCGCCGCCGGAGGCTCGCAAGGCGGAGTATGTCGAGGGCGAGGAGGTGGTGGAGGACGACGACGAGGATGATGAGACACCAGCGGCGGCCAACGCGGAGGTCAATTACCAGGTCCACTACTCGATCGATGCGACGGCGCTGCTGAAGCGGCGGATGTTCTCGAAGTCCTCGCGGCGATACGATTTCATCGTGTTCATGTTCCCGCACGTGGGCGGCGCAACGAAGGATCAGGACCGGCAGGTGCGGTATAATCAGCAACTGCTGGCCGGGTTCTTCAAGCACGCGCGGCCGCTGCTGAAACCTGTCACCGGGAGTGTGGCAGTGACGCTGTTTGAAGGGTTGCCGTATGAGCTGTGGAACATCCGCGGTTTGGCGAAGGAGGCCGGGTTGGCTACGAGGGTTAGTTTCGTGTTTGAGTCGGAGATGTACCCGGGCTATGCGCATGTGCGGACTCTGGGGAATATCGAGGGTGGTGGTGCGTGGAAGGGGGAGGATAGGGCGGCGAGGATGTTCTTATTCGGTGTTGCAGGTGAGGGATCACTGATCAACCGCAAGAGGAAGGCAAAGGCGAGCGATGATGACGATGAAGATTGAAATGAGTATGATGCCTACAAGATAATACCACAACTTGATGTTCAACGGCTTGACTCTGCCGAACCCACAATAATAGATGAAAGCGAAGCAAGAGCAAAAGCAAGCAGACCAAGAACGCCAGCAACGCAAACAAACCCAACAAACAAACGCACTAAACCACAGCTATGCAGTATTATCGATATCACGCGCCACCGCATCCGAGCACCTCACATAATATACACCTTCCTCAACAAACTCGCCTCCAGCTCTTCACCGGTGGTCGGGTCTCGAATCATCCCCGCCGGCAGGTTCAGCTTGCTCGCCAACAACTCCAGTCTATCTCTTCCGTAGACTCTTCCGTTCGGCAGGATGACAGGGTCGGGTTCAACTGACGAGCGCGCATGATGCGCGTACGGAATGTTGCGTGCCAGGTCGTTCAGTTCCGTTGAACAGATAGGACACAACGATGTGGTCGTACTAGCAGTATTACTACTCGACGACGCTATCGATGAGTGGCACGATGGCGTTTTGAGCGACGAAAGTCCCGCAGATAGAGCGATGTGGATCAGTGGGCGCTGAGGAAGACCGTAAAGGCTATGATGGGTATTGACGAATGTTGTGGCAAGGCTATCCCAGCGGGAGACCGAGTAGAGAGCCTATCAGACACCAGTCAGCCGAGCATCAGACGATAGCAACATGTCCGTTTACCTTGTATCTGTGCACCGGCGTGCTAGGAACCATGGCCAGCAGCCCAGCGGCGATCTGGATATCGTTGAAATGCGCCTCCGAATGCGGAGCTAGGAACTTCTTCGAATGTGCCATAGCCTCCTTGTGTCGACCGTGCCGTACCAATTCGATGAATTGCTGTAGCCGTAGTTCGAACTCGAGTGTGCTCTGGTACTTCCCGTATCAGTGCACGGCGCGTAGTCATGGTTGGAAGCACATACCTTCTGCTTCCTCAAAGCCTGCTTATTCTCCGCGCACCATGCCAGACACTCATTCGTACTGCCTTCTCTCAAGCTCCTCTCAATCTTAGAGCACTGCACAAACACATCGACATCCACGAGTTCCTACCACCGTCAGCACCCCGCATTGTCCCTAGAAGACCCCGCCGCCACCACACACCTTGATGCCCTTTTCCTCGGCCAACATTGCCGCAGTCTCACCGAACCCACTGCGGAGTAAAAAGTCGACAAGCAGCCTATCCAGCCTGACTCGGCTCCACCGATCATACCCAGGATCCAGCAGATTCTCCACATTGTAAAGGTCCTGCAGATGAGCGATCCTCTTCCTCTCATGTCCGTGAAGGACCTTCTCCTCCTCGTGCAGTGCCTCCACCTTCCGCTTGAACCCCTGCATGCGCGATATCATCGCGTTCAAGCTACGCAGCGAGTCCTCGGCCGTGGCCTTTCCTGTCGTTGCCGCTTTGGCCGCTTCCTTGATCGACGTCATCACTACCGTCTGCTCGCGCTCGAAGTGCTTCTGCGATTGCTTGAACGTCTTGCGCAGCATTTCGTGCGGGAGCCGCAGGAGTGGTTCATCCTACAATGTGTGTGTTAGCTTGTTGCTGCGTGGGTGGCCGGAGGGGGGGGCGGACGAGAAGGAGGTGGCTCTCGGCGTCGAGCTTGCTGGTGGAAACAGACATCTTGCTTGCTTCGCGAGGAAGAAGGCTGCGCGCGGGGTATGGTGATGGTGGTGGTGGTGGTGGTGGTGGTGGTGGTGGTGGTGGTGGTGGTGTTGGTTATGGAGGTGGAGGTGGAGGTGGCGGAGCTCCAGGTTAAGAATATCGGACCTAGGGTAGGTGGTGGTAGAAGGTGGGTTGAGGTCGAAGCGGAGAAGGTTCCATTGCACGGACGCAGACTGGTTGGTGGGACGGTTTGGTGGGTGGGGATCATGCGGTTGCGCACTGACTTGGCCATTAGCTGATGGTGTCACGAGTTCTGGAATTCCCTAATGTTGGCAATTAGGCGCCTTTAGCTGGAGGTAAATATCCTTGACTGGACGTGAAGTATTCCCCAGTACATGATATAACCATAGATGACCTCTACTCTACCATGATCTGCCATCTGCTCTGCTCAGGAGATGCATGATGCCGAAATGGTGCTACTCGCTGACAAGGCTGGATATTGCTCAATCGCGTTGGTTACCGCTACTGTAGCCTCGTTCCTACCTTTACCTGATCGTGCGATCTCCGATAACCCACAGACGGAGGCTGGGTTTATGAGAGAAATTGAAGTTGGTAGGCGAGAGGGTGCCGCGTTTGGAGAGAGTTGACTCGGCAGCTCAAATGTTATCGACCATCTCCGCCAGACGGATTCGACAAGGAAGCCTCCATGTGGACAGCGAAAAACACACGGCGATTAAAGCGTTGCTAGCAGCTCACCAACCTGAAGAGATTCTTTGAGTTATGGAAGCTGGCTTACGCCGAAGACTTGAGAACGTGTATCCGTTTATCCCATGCTTCCCGTCCCACAGTTCACGCCGCCTGTACATAGTACCGTAGCCTATCCACGCCATGTATAACGCCTCGAGATCCCCGGCCTTATCACTAGGTATGACTCGTCCAATTGAGAGTTCAGTGAACATCAATCCGTTCTAGTCACATACATTGCAGAAGCTCGCTCAAATTCATGATCACCATAACATTACGACTATCACGTTCCTCTACTTCCATCCACCCAGCTTGCTAGGTTATGTCCGGTAGTCTCCGTTCTACATACGTCAGTAGCTGCTTCCTTTGAGGTGGAAGTGAATTCAACTCACAATCGTAACATATTCATGCGAGAAATCGCAAGTGTAGTAGACAGCCTCCTGGCCGCCTCCAGATCCCAAGCTGACCCTGATCTCGAGGTCTTCCATGGCCAAGATCTCACTCGCTCTGTCTTCATCCACATTCTCGGGCTCACCGTTGACCAGGAGCTTCAGCTCCTTGCTGCCATCAGTAGGAATAAACGACACGTTGGTCTTTTCCGGCACAACACCCTTCACGCCGGAGTAACCAGTAGCACACAGGATTCTCCCCCAGTTCGCATCGCGTCCGTAGAGTGCAGTCTTAACCAGCGGGGAGCGAGCAATGGTAGAGGCGACCTGTTTTGCGTCCTCGAACGACTTGGCATCCTTGACGCTAACGGTGACGAACTTCGTAGCGCCCTCTCCGTCGCGAACAACGAGCTTGCTGAGATCCTCGGCGAATTTGGTGACGAGGTCCTTCAGAGCTGCTTCTGCGTCGCTTCCGGCGGTGATGGTCGCCCCGCCTGCTGCGCCGTTGGCAAGAATCGCTACCGTGTCGTTGGTGCTCATGTCACCGTCGACAGAGATGGCGTTGAAACTGCGCTCGACAGCGTGCGTGAGGATTCCTTGGAGGGACTCGGCCGAGACGGGTGCGTCCGTTGCCATGAACCCGAGGAGCGTCGCCATGTTGGGATGAATCATACCGGCGCCCTTGGCCATACCCGCGATGCGGTATTCGGTCGAGGAGCCGGGAAGGGTGAAGCTACGGGACATGAACTTGGGGAAGGTATCAGTGGTGCAGATTGCCTTAGCAGTCGAGAGCCAGGCATTGTGAGACTGTCCGAGTTCTTTAAAAGCTGTAGGAATCCCACTCAGGATCTTCTGGATGGGCAGACTGGTGGTCCACCAGATTGTCAGTCCTGCGCATTTCCAGAGAGAATAAGAGGCGAAAAATACCGCTGCCCGATAACACCAGTCGACATGACGATTGTCGCCGCCTTATCTTCGCCCAGAAGCTGATCCAAAGCCTTTCCCATGGCCTCAGCATCTTCCATTCCTCCCTTACCAGTGACCGCATTCGCACACCCACTGTTGGCGACCAGGCCCCTGATGCCCTGACCTCCGCGTGCATCGAGCATAGCTCTGCTAGCAACCACCGGCGCAGCCTTGAACACATTCTTCGTGAACACTGCCGCAGCCGAGCACGGGAGCTCGGAGGTGACTAGCGCCAGGTCGAGTGACTTGCCATCCTTCTTCACACCGCAGTGGATACCGCCAACGTTGAAGCCCTTGGGATACGAGCCAGAGGTAGGCACATATTTGGTGTATTTAGCGTTCGTTGCGTAGTAGCGGGGAAGGAAGGTGGAGCGCAGAGACTGGACGGCTCTGGCCGGTCGGAGAAGGTGCATCATCTGGAGAGTCGGATCTGGTTACCAGTTCAGCGATTACGATTGAGTTCAAAAAGCACGGGGAACAAACTTTGAACACCTCGGTATTCGAACCGTCGGAGATAGAGCGTAGTAGAAGTGAGCTGGCAGCCTTGTGGATGGGATTCGTGACTAACAGATTTTTGCATTCTCCTCTAAGACAATCGCACGGACTTTTATTGTTACACGACATTTTGGCGAATCCCTGCGTCTGGCGCTACCATTCCTCTGTTACTACGAGCTTCACAAAAGATCACGCATTCTACCTGATGGATCCACACTGATCCGCCGTATTGTCTGGCAGCATGTTAGGAGGTCACCATAGTCTATACAGGCCGTATAATGATGTTCCCACACACTCTCTCCCTTATCTAGCAGCATCCACAGGACGAAACAGCAATCAATCATGTGTAAATTCATCGCTTCAATTGCTTTTTCCCAGCCGACTCCAGTAAAAATACAGATGGTGTTTCCCCATAGCACAAATAGCCCAAGAAAACAGATGCAGCCAACTCCAAAGTAAGAAAGAAACAATTGGACACTGTAAAAGGTACAAATCAACAGAAGAAAGCTGAGGAAATGACATCAATCGCCATCCGCATACAGCAGACGCTCCCGCTCATACTCTTCGAGACTCAAGCCAAGGACCACCTCTCCTTGCTTCGAAGCATCATAGCTCTTCTTCTTCCTCTTCCGTCCAGTCTGCTCTTGGACAACGCCAATTCCGCCCTCTGCATCTCGCATTGCCTTGTTCGCCATATCCTGCCGCTCGCGTTCCATAGCAACAGCCTGCTCCTTCTGGGCATCCGCTTCGGCCTCGTGGTCGTCACGCAGTCGTTGCAGTTCTTCCTCCAGCTGGTGAGGGTCGGGGAATTTCTGTCCGGCAAGCTCGGCATATTCGTCCATGTCTAAACGACCCCATCATTAGCATGTGGTGATAATCCGCAAGTGAAGAAGGGAATAGTTAGAACTTACTAACAGTAACACGGGTCTTAAAAGCCAACGTGATTCTGCCAGGATTTTTGCGCTCTTCGCAGTTGAATTTGTTCTTGATCATTCGCCTGCTACGGCCAGGAAAGAGTTTGGAGATCATCTCGAAGTCGGTGCCAAACATGGACAGCGCCTCGTAGAACCGTTCGGTGGAGTCTTCCTCCCATCTGTCTCCCTTTTCACGCTTGCTCCAGGTGGACGAGTTGACGATGCGGGTATGGACGTTTTCCTCGACAATCTCCATCTCGTCAATCTCGAGGGCATCGCGCTGGTGGCGGTTGACGTGAAGCGACTCCTCGTCGAGTACTAGCTGACCATCGACCACACGCATCTGAGGTGCTGCCACAGGCCGCGAGCTCTGGCGAGCCTGATTCGCCTGCGCCAATCTCTCCAGTCTCTGTTCATCAGTCTCGGCAACTATCTCTCCCCTTGCACTCTGTTCCGCAATCTGGGTTCGAAGTGCGACTTGCTTCCGGGCAACTTCAGTCCAGTCTGTGGCCTCGAGCTCCTTGAGTCGTTTCGACTTCCTGCCCATTTTCAAGTCCGAGCAAAGGTCCTTCATTTTGACTACACCCTCCTCAATCGTTCGCTCTTCTGCATCCTCGGGTGTTTTCGCACGACGCGTCCTACGTTCACCCGGCTCTTTCGGTTTCCTAGGTGCGCGGGGTTTGCGGGGAGCCTTCTCCTTCGGCTCCTTCGCCTTCGCCTTTGCTTTTGTCTTCTTTGCCGCTGGTTTGTTCTTTTTCGGCTGCCGCTCATTCCCCTCCTCCGCCACGTATTCATCTCCCTCGGATTCGTCCTCTGGCTCAAACGCTCTCGCCATGATGTCGTCCATAGGATCATCCTCGTCCTCGTCGTCGTCCAGCTCCGCATCTTGTGCCTGGGGATTATGTGCCTTTGCACGGATAGGCCGGCGGCTACCCTCCGGTGATGCACCCGCATCTATAACCGGGGTTGCCGGAGATGCAGCAACCTTCCGCTTTCGCGACACAGTTGGAGCCTTCCGAGTACAGAGTTTCTTGGCAACCGTCTCGGTGGCCTCTCCCTCTGTCTCCTCCATAGAATCACTCAAGTCTATAGCCACGTCCTCGGTTTCTTTCTGCGTTTCCTTGGGCTTTGGATTTTCTTTGGTTGTGGTCTTTGCCTTCTCCACTGCCTGCCCAACCTGTGTCGCGCCCGTCCAATCAATACCATCGTCTTTCAGCTGCGGAATCCCCCCATTCACCAATACGCCGCGATCGTTCTCTGTGGACTGTCGCACTGGCGCCTCAGTCTCATCTACCGGTTGCGGCGGCACAGACTGTCGGACGACAATAGTCTCGCCCTCTAGCATCGGAATCCCCAAGTTTCGAGGTTCGGAAGGTGTTGAAACACCATCGTAGTCGTAGGGAGAGGGTTGTGATATGGGCGTTGGAGGGAATTCGCTAGCTTCGGGAGCAGGAGGAGCTGGTAGAAGAACATCTACCGTGACCTGTAGCGGCTTGGACACGGGCGCGGGAGTCGGCGTGGGTGTGGGCGCGGGCGCGGGGGTGGACGAGACCGAGGGAGTGGATTCGGCTGCAGACGATGTGTTGGAGGCTACGGCACGGATGCGCACTTTGGCCTTGGGCGCAAACTTATTTTTTGATTTGTCTGGAGAGGAGTTTGGTTAGAAGAGATGCGCGCCGGGGGAGAGTTCACTTTCGGTGACCCGAGACGGATTGAGGAAGACATACTGACGACAGAGCTCATCTTGTAGGAGAAACGGGATGACGGTTAAGGTGGGGATATTTGTACATGCGATGCGGTTGGAGGTGTGTTTGGGAGTGGTGTCGTTGAGTTGGGTTGTTTCGCAGTTCAAATCGACGGCGGGTTTAGGCGGGGCAATTCGCGCATGACTCGCAGCTGGCGGTCGCCGGTGAATTAGCGTGTCACATTCCGGGTAAGAACAGCCACATTTGCCAGTGAACAAAGCCACATCCGAGCTTATGTAGTCAATGCCCATCCCCCGCAGAAGTCCATCACAACCCCTCACCCTACAGCAACAACGTCCCATCCTCCGTTAAAGTCTCTGGTCAGACGAGCAGCGGAGGTACCCAGAGCCGTATGCCATGACCAATGTATTTTGCAGGTAAATGTTGGAGGATTGGATCCAAAGTGTTTTGGTTTGAGCGATCAGGACAATGCAGGTTCTTTGCACAGGTCTTTTTGTATTCCAATGACCAATCTCTGCAGCCTTTTACATGTGGGTACTCTCCTTGAGCGGTTAATCCCCACGATTGTGCGTCACCGCACAGGTAGTTCGCCATCACGCAGATCTACACAGGAATGTACATTAGGTAGATGGTGGGAGATGCGCATCGCTGTCGGAGATGCCGACAGATGTCAATACTTTCAATTCCGTCTGCTAGCTTTGCCTGTGGTCAATTGCAATCAATATCAACGAGCTTGCGGTCAATTGCAATCAATATCAACGAGCTTGTGGGGAATTCCTTACATGTTTTCGTGCGTTGTAATGGACGGCGGTTTTAGTTGCGGCTTCAATGCCTTTCGGGTGTTCTCGATTCAACCACCACCCCCCACCTAGGTCACTCACTTCTTTTTTGACACAAACTTTATCCACTTTTCTCAATTACAACTCGGATTGTAAGATCGTCTTTAAAATAGGTCATGATTTCGCCGATTTACTCTGGAGATAGTACACTCCGTCCAGGTAGCTATATGCGGCCTCAGTTTGACAGGTCCAGCTCTGCTACCCGCCCCCACCTCCGCCAATGTTCTCATCCAGTCAACAATAATATCCGTGGCGAGAGTCGGGAGGTAATATCAAGGTATGGACCATACCGAAGACTCCCGTTACCCCCAATCACTGATGTGCTTCGGTCAGTCCGTTTCCCTCCTGCTTGCCCCTTTCATCTACTTCATTCTCCGAATCACCAAGGGCGATCCCACTAACGGGACCGAGAGGAGCCGTTACTGAGCCCACCGTACGAGGTACTCTACTCGCATTCCACACCCCCGTGCCGACCAACACTTTTCGGTTTGCCGATCTTGCTCCTGATCCTGTGCAACTCCTTCCGGAAACGCTAATAACACTTCCTTCAACTTGGTGATGTTCCCCGTGGTGGAACCGCTACAAGAATCCGGTGTATCTCGGTTAGAAACATGAACTGCGTCTCGACATCCTGCGGCGGATCCGATACCGCCTCGACCTCCGACTGGCTCCGTCCGTTTCGCTGGCCGTGGGCTTACTCCGAGCGCCGTCTCAGGGAGTGAACTATTTACGTGTGATTCCGAAAACATGCTCGCAGTCATCGGGAGTGGATCGATCAAAGGGACGGTTGGCTTTGGACGATGTCGATTCTGTAGGAAGGGAAGGATTACTCCGTTTTCCTCATGGCCGGGGTCACGCACCGTGAGGGGACTTGAGCTCAGCGATGATGTCACGTGCCCAGAAATCATGCGGCTCTTCGATGAACGCATCTCTTCCAGTCTCCTTCTCGGCAGCAAAGCACCCAAAGACCCTACGCGCCACCATTACACACCATCACTTGCGCCGACACGGTTATAATTTTTGTTGTTGGCAATTCTAAGACCGTCCAACCAAGAAGCGACAGCGTGAGTGGGCCTGTGTACGGAAAAGAGAACATCAGAAGAAAGAGCGGGAGAGGATTGGTCGTGTGAGAGAAAGCCGCTACTAAGAAGCAAAGCCGCAGACCGCGCACCAAGCCTTCTCGAATCAAAGCCTCACCCTTCTTTACCATCACCTTCAACGCAACTCGACTCAACTGTAAACCCACTACTCTACCAACACCACCCGACACCACCAACTCCTCTTCTCCTTCCTTACACTCCACCTCCACCTCCGAAGAAACTTCATACGATAACCCCTACACCAAACACAATCATCAACAAACACGGTCGCTGTCACCGGTCGCTGCTCGTCAGAACATAGCTACGACTGTTTCTCTTCCGACATAGCACTCAACTCCCCCAAGACTAGCCAACTTACACAATAGTCTTATTTGACTTTGAAGCCCTTCGTCTACCCTCTCGACTCGCGCCTCCTCTACCTCCTCCCTCTTCTACCTTCCGCCACATCCTCACTCTTTCACACCAATCCCCTTTGAAGCTCGTTCCTAGCCCCTTAGTCGCGTCGCCAGCAGGCTGCATCGTCCGCCCCTAGCTTTCTCATGCGAGGCTCTTCTGTCGTCGTCATGGAAGACCGAAAGCGATCAGTTCCCCACGACCCAACTGAGGATGCCCATCCCCCTTACAAACGTCAAGCTGTTCATTCCTCGCAGCCGCAGAACAGTCATCAGGTACCTCAGAGTCAAGAAGATGTGATCGTATGTATTCCCGTACCCAGTCCCCTGCACGCGGCGCGTGGCATGCGGCTCCGCGAGGCTCGACAGCATATTGAGACGTCGACAGGACTGACAAGTACACCTCTCCCCTACAATAGCATTTTCAAAAAGAAGCGATATGGCGTCAGATGCAGGAATACAAGCGAGAACGGAACATTTTGGAGAGTCGAGTGGAGGAGCTTGACAAGAAGTCTGTTTATCATGACGATCACCTCCGGATAGTGGACGCGTGGTGGACTCAGGTACCTTAGCCCTCCCTCTCCGCAGGCTCCCTTTGTGTGTTATTGACTGAGTGTTTGACGACAGCTCCTCGACGAAGTCAGAATTCTCGCCGGAACACCTGACAGCGGCTCTAGCACGTATCAGAACGGAGGTAAGGATCGCTGTGTAGCTCGCGATGAGATGCGCACAATGGAGGGACATGCGGAGGTTAACGACAAGTGCGCAGCTTCGACCGAATTCCCGTCGTCCTTGCTATTCGACGATGTGGCTTCCTTCGCCGATCACCTCAAGGAAAAGCGGAATCACATAACGAAGTCATTGACCGAGCTGTTCGGAGCAATCAAATCAGGCGCACACTTCAAAGAAGAATCGGAGCGGATCGACGAAATGCAGGCCAGAATTCGCGAGCTTCTCGTGAATGAGCAGGCAAACAAAGTTGAAATCGCTCGATTGGAGAAGGAGGTGGAGAGCGCGGGTGCGCGCCTAACGGAAGCGACAGTGAAATACCTCACCGCCGAGAAGAAGGTCGATCGTCTCAAGAGCCAGACCCTTGCGAAAATCGAACGTCAAGCTATGTTCCATTCGAGCTCAGGACCGGAGCAGAAGGACAGTCCCATGACCGACGAACAGCAATCGGCCAGAGATCGTGAAATCAGCGCGAAGATGGCGGAGGGACATTTTGCAGACGTGGAACAAGCCCGGAAGGAGGCGCAAGCGATCGCTAGCAAACAGAAAGAAGAAATTCAGCAATTGCAGGCCGATAACGCCCGTCTCTCGGACCAGGTTACCACCTTCACGATCAAGGTACGCACTGCTCCCGCGACCCCTCGAGTAGCTACCCGTTCATGGCTGATCGCGCGGCTCGCATCTAGTTTGGGAGGTTGACGGAAGACGACATTGGGAACTGTGACGCATACAAGAACCTCAAGGTTCGGCTAGAAGACATCGCAACACGGTATAACCACATCGAGGCTCTCAACAAGGAATTCAGCGAGAAGATTGAAGGACTGGAGTCGGACCGGTCGGCTTTCAAGGATAGGATACTAGAGGAGCAGAAGGGCGTCCTCGACGAGGTCGCAAATCAGCTGTCGAAGACGGAAGCCGATCTTGCTCGGATACGGGGCGCAAGAGACGATTTGTTGCAAGACCAAGCTCTGAGAAGAGCAAAGGAAGAGGCAAAGCTCTCTGCGTCGAAAGAAGTGAGCGAGCTTGCCGAAGTTAGGGCGGCAAGGATCGCCTCGCTGGAACTCGAGGTGGAGCGATTACAAGCGGAGCTAGACTTGGATACGCAGCCAAGCGCTGTCAACACTTCGGATCTGGACTTGCCGCAGCTGAAACAAAAGCACGAACAGCTGGAAAAGGCATACAAGGTGCTAGCGCAGGAGCTACCCGGTTTGGAACAAGCTTTTAAAAAGGCGCACGAGTTGAGCAACAAGAAAGTGGCACATCTGGTGGAGACCGAGGAGAAGCTCAGGCGGCTACTTGCAGAGGTATGGAGCAGAAGTGCAATGCTAAAATTGACATCGCTGACTGATTCCTTGTCACAGAAAAACAAGGCAGACTCCAAGTACTTCGCTGCCATGAAGTCTAAGGAAGGATTGATGCTGGAGAACCGGGCTATCAAGAGCCAAAACTCCAAGAGTACCGAGATCATCACCCAGCTCAAGGATGCCGAGAAGAAAGTTCGCGACTTGATGGTATCCTTCAACCCTCTGAGCTTGTCCCAAATTTCTCTTTCTAACATGTGATGCAGTCCAGCCTGGAGAAACAACTGTCCGAGATGAAGCACAACAATCAGGCCCTACTTCTGAAGAACCGCGAGATGCAGTCCAAGATTTCCGAACAGTCCAACACAATCGACTCTCTGAAATCCCAGCTGGAGACGTTGAACGCATCGCTCAGGAGCCGTGACTCTTCGTTGGCCAAGGAGTCGGCCAACCGTAGGGATGCGGAGATCGAGATCGAGAAGCTTCATGTCAAGATCGACGAGACGGAGAGAGCGTTGGAAAGTAGTAACAAGCCTGTTGAGAGTGAAAATAGCCAGTTGGAAGCTTTACGGGTGAGTCATTTCGATCCTTGAGGTGCAGTGCTACGTGCTAACTTGTGTGCAGCAAATCGCTCTTTGCGCAGTATGCCGAGGCCGCTTCAAGAACACTGCTATCCGGACCTGTGGGCATGTGTTTTGCAGACAGTGTGCCGACGAACGGATCGCTTCCCGGTCTCGAAAGTGCCCCAACTGCGGCCGAGCATTCGCCGCCACTGATCTATTCAGTGTCCATTTGTAGCATCATCTGCGCCAGCCGTTTTCTCTTTCACATTTTCGGGTTTCCGCAATGTATCACTTCATCAGACAGAGTGTTGCCTTGCCTGCCTGCCTGCGAACCATAGCTTAGTAGTTTTAACTTTGACCAATCACAACTGCCCCCTTGAGCGGAACCGCGACGGACCGGCAATTACTTTTCTCCTTCAATTCAACGAACGCCACATACTTTTTTCCTGAAGACCATGTGTATTAGTCAGGCTCTCCCGTCATTTTGTATTTTGCGATTGCGTGATAGAAAGGGGAATTACCAGGGAACTTGGGAAAAAGGTTGTTTGCTTTGCTTTTTTAGTCTTGTACATATCCTTCACACTAGTGTCCCGGTAGAGGGATGAATGAGCGAGGTACGTTGAAAGATGGGTACTACGAAATTAAGCCATGGGTCTCCATCGCCGCCGCCGCTTGTTAGAAACTCAACTCGGGTCCTTAGACCGTGCCGCGGTCTTGACGGGATAATGCGTGGTGAGGCGGTAGAAAGCGGTCAGCAGGAGCGATACAGCGAGGGAGGGAGGATGTTCGAGTTGTGGAGTGATGATGTACCTACTCAAAGAATAAATGTCTTTCGAACTGTGCTGAACTGTGCCCACGAACGACTCGTTCTTTTCTCCCGCTCTTAATGGTCTCCGGCGCCGTTGCTCTCAACTCGCTTTGGCCATTTGATAGATGTCGTTGGAGGATGGCTCATATTGTGTAGCTCAGGCTAATCATTAACAAGGTGTTCTGGCCGAGTGGTCTAAGGCGCTAGCTTCAGGTGCTAGTGGAGCAATCCGCGCAGGTTCGAATCCTGCGGACATCACTACTTTTGATTTTTGGCCGCGTTGTATAGATACTTGGCTGCTTGAAGTTTGGTTTTTTTGCTGGCGGGGGAGGGACCCAGGGCAGGCAATACCGGTATGTAGTGCCGATACCTGCAAGTACCATAGCCCAAGTACCAGACCACAGCGGCATTCCCGCTGTTCCCAACATCGGCCAGTTAACTCTGCGTTTACAGGGCCGTGGGAACGACTGGTTGCCGTCCGCCGTCCGCCGTTCGCCGGTCCATACACAGGTCCCAAAACGTGAGCAACTGCTCCTGGGTGCTCGAATGCTAGGCAGCGTATGGATGTAGGTATGTACCGACAAATGAGATTCGACTGATTCTCCGGCACCAGCTAACCCCCTCCCCCACAATGAACGTGGTTTTCGAGCCAACGCAGAAGTGTTTCGTTACGGGTGCTCGAAACTCACTACATGAAATATCATTCGTAAAGCGAGTGATATTGATTGATTGTAAGTTTCGCCGGTACGGGTGTGGATATATACTGGTATCCCCTACATGTCCGGCGTTTGTAAATTTGCTGTACCGCACCAAGTTACCCCCAATCTGGACCGATGCAGAAAAAACTGGCAACGAGTGATACCAAAAGCGTTCCGCGAGTGGACTCTTCCGGAGAGCAACTTGTGTGGAGTAAGTCAGTAGAAACAGGCTCTCTACCATTACGTATCCAGCGGCGGACATCTCTACTTCCCTTCTCCCGAAGCTTTTGTAAACATTTGGCAGTGTAGGTAGTAGGTAGTAGAGTCCGCCGCCGCTCTCGGCGTAGTAGAGTCTGCCGGAGGCCCGCCTGCAACCTGGCTGCTTGTTTGTAAATTGTGACTCGAGTCCCGGCCCCACAACCTCTGTATCAGCGCTGTTGCTCCTTTCTCTGGTATTGGCACCGATGATGTTTGAAGTACAGTGGGTCAGAGGCAGCGATGGCGACTGTCATGGTACCTAGCAACCGTGACTGCTGCAACCAGACTGATCCAGACAGTGAGCTGTGTGGTCGCGTAGTGCGCACTGCTGCCTCCCAATCGGGCATACTTTGCAGTGCAACAAATTTACATACGCCCCGGACATGTAGGGGGTATCATACCTTTGGGTATGTCTGTACTCTACGCACCTCGACTATGTACCATACCTGAGCCGCTGTTGTGAAGTTTCGGCTACCTACAGGCTACAGGCTTTGTGGATGGTGGTATTCCATATACCAGTATGTAGTCCATCAAGCGTTCCACCTTCGGCTCGATCTACATAGGTCCTTAGAAACAAGCAACTCCAGGAACGATGGTCTCGCACCAATAGATAGCTTTGATCGAGTAAATGCGGCGAGAATCGCCATCACTCGATAGGTAACTACCCAAATGTCTCCGCCCTAACTACATACCCCCGATGCTCCGGCGAAGAGGAAGCGGACGGTTGAGGTTTCCATAGATAGCAGAGCATCGGGGGGACGGGGAATCGGGGGAGCGTTAGCTATCGACGGTAACCGTCGAAGGGGAAATATGGAGAATCGGCGGGAGCTCAATCTCATGTCCGAGTGATGCGAGGTGCCGGTGCGCGGGGACAATTTTATCAACGTGCCGCCCGGGGCTGGGATGGTGAAGATGCGAAGTGGAAGGTGTAGTTATCTATGTCGTAGGCAGGATAATGTGGTTGATGCTTTCATACTTAGGATGGGACATCATGGCAGCGTATGCATATGATACATAAATATGCATCTCGTCCTTGCCCATGAAGCTCTAACCTCTAACCACCATCCCTACCCAGCTATCTAGCGCATCTCTCGCCCACCTCCCACTCCCGTACTCGCACCCCAACCCAACAAGCACCCCCCAGCGCCCCCCAGCACCCCCCAGCAACCTCCCACGACGCGCCGCCCACCCGCCCGCCCTTTAACGATGTCATTCGACGCCCCGCTCCCGCCATTCAGCGCGTCCGACCCGAACGCGACATTCCTCAACAGCTCCGCGCTCGACCTACTGCTGATCGAGATCGTGCCTTTGGCACGACGGCTCGCGCTCCACTCTACGAGCGCCGGGGGGGAGGGGGGCGACGGCGAGGGGGGCGATGGCGAGGCCACCGCCGACGAGGAGGAGCAGCGCGAGGCTATGTTCTACCGGCTTGAGCAGCTGGGGTTCAAGGTTGGGCAGGGGCTCGTGGAGAGGTGCGTACGTTGCGAAGGAGGGGAGGAGGGAGGGGAGGGCGAGTGCTGATGATGGGCGGGAGAGAATAGGTTCTCGAGGGACCGCGCAAGAATGGTCGAGACGCTCGATGTAATAAAGTTCATCTGCAAGGACCTGTGGATGATTGTGTTCCGGAAGCAGATCGATAATCTCAAGACGAACCATAGGGTATGATGATGTCCTCCCGCCCTCCTCTCGTCCTCCGTCGCCGAGCCTGCTTTCCTTGCCTGGCCTCCGCTGATGATGGACGGACGTGAAAAAGGGGGTCTACGTTTTGACGGATAATGCGTTCCGGCCGTTTTCCCGGATGAGTACCGAAGCGGGCGGGAATGCCGTGTTGAAAGCACAACCTGTAAGAATATCCTACCTGTGGCGCAAGTGGAGGAGGAGGAGGAGATGGTGCTGACGGGTATTTCAGTTTCTATGGTTTCCCTGCGGCATCGTCAGAGGCGCGCTGGCAAACATGGGAGTCAATGCAAGCGTGCAAGCCGAAACGACAGAGCTACCGACAGCAACCTTCAAGATCGAGACCATCTCCGGGAGATCGGCGGTATAGACGGAGGCGGGACGAGAGGGGGAACTCAGCTACAGCTATACTCTGCCTACTACTGCTGCTGCTGCGAACCACAAATTTGTCACTGTCACACTTCACGGTTTTGTTTGTTTTCTTCATCTTGATATTGCATGGAACTGGCGACTGGCGCAATGACTTTTTTATTTGATATCGTTATTGCCATGTAAGAACTCAAGCAGCAAATACCATCCACCGTTTCCCCTCACCTTTCCATCTTCCTCCTCAACAAAAAAACTTTGGTATCATGCAACTGTTTCATCCGAACCCGCCGTTGAGACCGATGCAGGAAAAAAGAGAGAGGAAAAAGGATTGTGCGCAGGATTGATTGATTAACTGTACATCACAACCGAATCATCATCAGCTTTTGTTTGATTTACACACTCGAAACAAGCGAACCAAGTTGGGATTACAACTTTGCACTGGAGGCCTGGGCGAACTCGACACCCTTGGAGATGTTGCCCTTGAGGCCAGCAATAGCAACCTCCAATAGCTTCTTCTCGGCGTCCGAGGCCTTGCCCAGAGGGTTGGTGGCCTTGACGACACCACCGGGCTGTTGCACACATCGAGTATTAGCGGATGGAAGGAAGGATTCCTGAAAAGTGGGATACATACTCCGAGCTCAATCGGAACGGCGAAGTACTCCAAACCACCAACTGCCTTCAAGATCTCGTCTCCACCGGGAACACCGGGAAGGTAGACGAATGAAGGCTCGACGATACCGGTCTCACCCTTGTCGGCCTTGAGAACAGCCTCGGCGAAGCGGTAACCAGCGTAAGCCATGGACAAAGTGGCGGATCCAGCGCCATCCTTGGCCTTAACGACCTCGTCACCACCGAATTGGATTCCTGGGGTTTGTTAGCCGATGGAGCTTGACGGTGGAGTGGGGGGTGTATGGCTCACTCTTGATCAAAGCCTCAATCTTGTCATCGGGGATCGAGACAGAAGGAGTAGCCAGGCTCAACAGAGGAACAATAGTGTCACCACTGTGTCCACCGACGACGGGGATGGTGAGTTTCCGGGGGTCCTTCTCGCCGGTAAGCTCGGCGGTGAAGGTGGAAGCACGAACGACATCCAGGGTGGTGACACCGAAGAGCTTGCGGGCGTCGAAGACGTTGTGGGCCTTCAGCACCTCGGCGGCGATGGGAACGGTGGAGTTGACAGGGTTGGAGATGACCAGGACGTAGGCCTTGGGGCACCACTTGGCGACACCGGTGATCAGGGCGGCGACAATTCCGGCGTTCTTGGTGAAGAGCTCATCTCTGGTCATACCGGGCTTGCGGGGAAGGCCGGCGGGGATCACAACGATGTCACATCCCTCGAGGGTCTTTTGCAGTCCGTCGTCCTTGGGGAGGTATCCGGTGGTGACCTACGGCGGGCGGCGAAAACTGTCAGTCCTGGACGCGGGGGAGATGGATGTTGATTCTTCGGGGCAAACTTACAGCCGGGGAGGCAATGTGGGAAAGATCGGCCGCGACACCGGGGGTGTTCACAACATCGTAGAGGGCCAGCTCGTCGATGAGGGGACTGGCCTTGAGGAGGAGGGACAGAGGCTACAGATGGTTACACCGTGTCAATAAACCGTTGCCCCTGCCTTGTCCCACTGAGGGGTAAAGAGGGGTCTTCGTCGTTTACCTGGCCGATTCCACCAGCAGCACCGAGGACAGCTGTTTTGCGCGTCAGTCAACCGCCCGCGATGATGGCAGCACGCATCCTCCCTCCGCATCCGGTGGATATGAACGTACCAGCTTTGACCATTTTGACGGTAGTAGGAGTTATGGATGAAGAATGGGAAGTGGGTATGAGGTGATGAAGAGAAGCTGAGGGGCTGTGTTGATTGTTGGATTGAGGGTGGGATGGGGTTTATCTTAAGGAAGAGGAGGAGATGATGTGGATGGTGGGGTAAATAAGCTCGGCGACGACGGCGGACAACTCTCCTCTACGCATACATGTGGGTGCATGGCTCCAAGGAAGGAGGGGTTAGTTTGGGTAGTGGTCGTGGTAGGTTGGGTGCTGGTGGTGGTGGTTGTTTGTCTAGCAGAATTAAAATGGCGGCATCGCAGGGATCAACTCCCCACCTAGAGCAACCATAGAGGTGAAGCTCGCCGCGATGATCATGGTGATAATGGTGGTGGTGGTGATGATGCGATGGATGGATGCCACTCTGCCTGCAGAACTCCGCATATTACTTCACATGAGGTCTTCGATCCGCTTCCCCATCCATCCATCGCCACATTGACTTCAGCCTGTGACAGCAGGTGTTTTTTTCGTGCGGAGTTTGGCGGTGGTAGCACATACCATCTCGATATCCGTATCCCGCGTTTACCCCCAATGTTTGACAGCATCAATACGGCCGCAAGCATCGGCGCGGGAGTTCGGCGCATGGAGAATTTTTACGAAATAGGTACCCTCATCTACAGCTCCCCACGGGCAGCTGCACTCCATCGGCAGACCCCCACCAATCCCACTATCACCCCCAGTGTCACCATCACCACGACCATCACCACGACCATCACCATCGTCAACAAGCAAAGAAGCTGCGCCACGGGCCTCAACCGGCCGGAAACAGCCTTGCAGCCGGCAGACGATCTGCTCCAACTAGAGGATTTACACTCCGATCCTCCGAGGCATGTTCGGCTATGCAGCCAGCTTCCCCGGCTGGGGCCCCAAAAATCCATCGGGAATTCTCGCTACCGGAGAGAGACGGAATAACTATTTGCACGGGACACCCGCCGCCTGCAACGACGGTTATCCCTCTTTTCGGAACAACCGCGGCGGCGCCGGCGGACGGAGGAAAGACAGCACGGAATCATGCAACAAAGAACGCCAGATCTTCCGGTTATCCCCATTTATTGGTCCGGCCACTTCCCTTCCAAAGCTACGGTACACGCTAGTGCAGCAGGCGCATGCCAGCCACATCTAGCTACTGAGAGCTCAAGCCTCAGCGGTCCCCACTTCGTTTCCCTTTGATCCACGGTTCGCTTTCCCGTGGGATTCCTTCACACCTCTATGCGAGTGGGGGGTTGCGCTAGTTCTGGCGGCAGTGTCCTGTATATAAATGTCGGAACCCCCAGGATGAATCCGGCGGAAGTGAAATGATACCTGGACGAGGTCGGGGCGGTAATGGTTCTTGGTCGAGAAGTTGGTGGTCGTGGAATAGGCACCGCGGTTTCTCCTCTCGAACTCCTTCTCTTGGAAGAGGGCGGTAGGCTTCTGGCTGCTGTCCTCACAGTCGTGCTTGATGATTACTATTCGGACGTGTCAGTCGTGCCGCTGCGGAAGAAAAGAAAAAAACAGTTGGGTTGATGTACCGATAACACCACCCTCGCCAGGCGCATGTTGGACTCCAATGGCCTATTCTCCGATGAGCCAAACAAAAACATCACCAATACCAGCGGCTACTGCAGGAGCACGACATTCTCGTTGACGGACCCGGATTGTTACACACTCGTCAGAACATATCCCCAACCGATCTGCGTACGAGTTGCCATGCGGTTGCGCACATTGGTCAGGTTCGGAGGCTCCTTGGAGAACATGGGAGCTTTTGAGCCCCGCTTGACGATGTACCTAAGCTGAGGTTGGCTACACGATTTTCTCTAGTGAAGGCGTTCATACAGAGGAACCATTGCTGGCGATCTCCTAGATGAGATCGGAGCTGATGTTGTGATTGATGGTCACGTTTTCGAGACAGCAGTGTGTGAACTATCGTTTGCCGGTTTGATTGGTAGTACGCACCTGATCGTGATGTTGGAATTCGGCGGTGTAGTGGGTGCTCTGGGGGATGGAGGATGAGGAATTCGGCGATAGTGGGTGCTCTGGAGGATGGAGGATGAGGAATTCGGCGATAGTGGGTGCTCTGGGGGATGGAGGATGAGGAATTCGAACGGAGATAAACAGGCATGGAGTCTGTCCAGGGACAGGGACGGAAGCCTAGTTCGCCAAATAAGGATCGTCTTCATTATTAGTGACGTCGTTGATCTCTACGTATTGACGTCTACTCTACTGGTGCCGGTAGACTTGGGGGAACTACTCCCATGAGGCCCCCAAGGTGACTGACGTCATTCCTTTAGATCGCCACAATATTCAGCCCAGCGGTTGTATGCGAATGAAGGGTTGGAGGCTAGAAAGGAAGTCCTACCTAGCAAGGTACCTTCCACATGCCGACAGGCTGAGGAAGGCTGGCTTGTGATGCGGTGGCAGACTCTCGGCCGTAACCACCCTTTTTCCGCCACTCTCGCCATAGCACTCGGCGTTAGTTTGACCTCACTATTGAAACTGGGAGAAGAACTTGATTTGATTATAGAACGATACGAGAAAGATGAGAAAGGAGACTGCTTGTAGAAAAACGAGCTCGTGTAAACAACAAGATGAAGCCGGGCCTCGGACAGAGGATGCGACGATAGCTGTCGCCGGACTCGGGCTGGGAGCCTGAAGAGGCTTATTCTGGTGAGAAGCCAGTGACAATGCAAGGAAGCCACGAAGGCCATGAAGGCTGTATGCGACGATGCAAAAGGACAGAGGACACGGAAAAGTAGCAGTGACACCGGAACAGGCAAAAACACGCATAATATCAACCCTCACATCCCACAAATTTACACTCTCCTACTCCCTTGCACTTCCCCTTGAGACGCCTACGAGCTTATCCGTCTACTTACACACCTAATCGAACATCACGAGACTACAGCCCGGCCAAGGCTTCAAGGTGTCTGATAGATGTGGGTACATATCGCCAAGGCATCTAGAGTACATAGACACATTCCTCGCTTCTTCCCGCTCCACTCCAGAGTCTGGATAGCATTGATACCGATATGCATTCACGCTTGCTTTTTCCAGCTATGGGCACAACTCCATCAGGTTCAGCTGCCCGGTGGCGGCTTCCTGAGTCCTCCGGCAGCTGCTGGCTGGCCGCACTCGCCGCTCATGCCGTGCCGCCGGCCGGCCATCTTCTCACTTCTCCTTCGAAGATGATGACCGAAACTTTTTTACGAGGAGAAGCATCGACGAGCAGTCCGGAGTGAAGTGGCCTCCTGTTGTTGGCCTTGATGGTTGTTGACGTGCAGCTTTCGAAACGGTATCATGCGGTTCCGGCAGGAACTGACATCTGTTGAAAGGTATCCAACCGATGTAAGCTGACAATCACTCCTTTTCACGACCTCGCAGACTGCGGAGCCCCCTCGGCACACTTGAAACATTCTGGCGTGTTTCGTCGGTTGAATCGTACACGTTGGCTACATCGAGATGGAAATCCGCACGACAAAAGTACGACAAAAGCACTTCCAAGTTACAACTGCGTGAGGGAAAAGGAGAGGTTGGCGTCTTGTTTCAACTCCGTGGAAGTCGAACCGAGCACCCGACACATCACGATCGCCGTGAACTGAAACTCCAGACCGCCACCCTGAAGTAACGATAGAAATACTTGCGGGTGTGTAGTGTGCACTGAACTACTGGTACACTAGACTCTATCATTCTATGTATGTATCATAGACCTTGAAGCGCATATGCAGATCTCTGCCCCAGAAGATGCGCCGCACATCACCGCATGCAGCCCTAGGTCCGTCCTCCCCGCTCGCCGCGCGCGTGGCCGGAGCATGGGCGGGGATCTCCCAAGCCTTACCCTTCCATCAGGATTCAGCCTCCAAGCGCCCCCCGCTCATGCCCGTATTTAGCATAGCGCGTGCCGTTCTCGGCGCTCGCACCACCACCAGTCGTCATGCACTGCCTCCCACACCCCCCAGTCGTCGGCCACGCAATTCATCTCCAAGTCTCACCACTTGCACCCACCTTCCACCAACCAAACCAACACAACCTGCTTTTCAAAAAAGCCGCTTCACGTTCCTTTCCCCTACATCCCTTGCCTTACCAAGTTGTACCTAACTACCTACCTCGCGTCAACGCACAACTATTTTTGAACTCCGCCTTCTTGCATACTACCTCCCTACAGCTCCGCATTTCCTTGTTTCATAGCACTGCAGGACTCCCTTTTACAACATCTCAACGTACACAAAACCCTCCCGCAATCCGCAATCATGGCCTTGACGGATCATTACATGCTCTGGTCCTACGTCTTCGTCTTCATGGCCTTCTCCACTGGTAAGCTTTCTCCTCCGCACCTACCTCACCCCCAGCACTAACCACGTATCTCCACACAGCACTCTACATCTACCGCACCTCCTGGCTGCCGATGATCACCTCGTCCTCCTCCTTCAGCTCAGACCTTGAAGCCGGCCTTCACAGCGACACCTTCAGCCTAACGGCGAACATCGACGACGAAGACAGCCGGAGCGGGCTCGACGTAGCCGCGAAGCGCGAGGTCCTCGCCATCATGAAGCGACGGGGCGTCGATTTCGACGAGGCACGACGGATCGCCGTCGAGCAGAAGCTGGCGCGGAACGGCATCGCGCCGGATGGCAGACCACTGGGTATGTTGTCACATGATTGCGGGTGCGGATGATGTGGTGCCAAGTGCTGACGGAAATGACCAGATCCGAGGGCTGTGTTCTTCTCATAAATGATCGGATTACCGACTCATGGTCGCTCGTTCGGCCGAGCGACCTAGTCGCTACAAAACAAGACCTGTCCACAAAAACTATTATATCCGCCTTCCGACCCGACAGTCACCCCACACACGGGCTCTTCGATTCAATCCACCTTTCCTTCTGCCTTTGCATCTTCCATTTTCCATCTTCCATTTTTCATTCGTCATAGGTTGGGGTAGGGCTACATATCATTTTTTCTTTTGTTTCGGGGGTCAGGGGAGCATACATTTCCTTTTTTCTTTTCTTTTTCTTTTTCCTTTTCTGCTTGGTTGATTGATTGATACTCTACTGTACGGCGGCGGCGGTGTGTCTCTATCAGTATCGTATTTCCCTTTGTCGTTTCGCTTATTCTCTAGAAAGCGCGCGCGCGGTTCGTTTGGTTGGGGGAGGGGGGGGGGCTTCATTTCATTTACATACACCATATTACTGGATGGTTTCTCATATTCATAAGCCAGTTGGGCATTTTCCCCAGCAAATCATCAAGTAACACACATCCGCACGATCGCACTAAGTAGGGTAGAGTAGAAGTACTTGGTATTAAGGTGTATGCCTAAAATTGTCATGACCGCCCGCCCCATCCGTCCAATCCATTCCATGCCGCCAACCCGCTGAAACGAAAAAGCTACAGTATGATACCCACTTACGTCCTCGCTTCGGAAGGAAGAAAACAAAATGACAACCACTCCGGATTACAAACTAAGAATGAATGCCTCTCCTGAGAAATGGGAAATGAGAAGAAAGAAAAAAAAGACTGTTGAGCCTCCAGAACGTAAAAAAAAAGCAAAAGAAAAAAAAATGTAGACAAAGAAATCAAGAAATCCACCATGACTAGAAAGAAGGAGACGGGAAGAAAAAAAAAGAATGCAAAAAGGAAAAAGAACAAGCCTAAAGAAATCAATCAATCAATCAAATCCCATGACTCCGAGTATCCCGTTTTACCTACCGGCCCCGACAACAGACACCACAAACAATACGCAACACACAGCATGCAAAAGAAATATCGATATCATCCAAAAGACAACATGCGAAACAAGGTGGAAGGTAGAAAAAAAGAAGGAATACGAGGGCGTGGAAGAAAACCGACTAGTTTATTTGGGGAATAGGAGGATGATGTGTAGCTGTTACTTCCGTCCCAAGATGAAGTCCTTTCCATACTTGAGGCCTGATATAACCATGGGAGACTCAAGAAAAGGTAAAAGGAAACGTCACTGTCAAAAGAAAATAGATTAGAATGGTTCGTCATACCAACCACTGTTTGAGAGGTCCGGGTAGTTTATGTTGTATGGTGGAGTCCCTACCGGTGAATATCCATTCGGAGCCGTCGAATCAGAACAAGAGCGCATGTAGCCCACAACACTCGACGGGGTCGGTAGTGAGTTGTCGCTGCTGTTATTACCGTTACTGGTGGCGGTACGCTTAGCTGGGCGAGGCGGCTCATCGTCGTCGTCACTCAACGTCAAATCGATGACTTGCGCGATGGGACGCTTATTGCCCATGCCTCCATTCCGGCCATTGGCACTGTTGGTAAATGATTCATCCCGGGAGTTGGAACCCGCTGGTGTGGTGGTGGCAGAAGGCTGGTAACTCCTCCTCGGGTGGATATCATCGAGATCGACAATCTTGCTGTCGTAGTGACCGCCCTCATCGTCCGAGCTAGCTATGGGAGAGTTCGACGCCTCCGCCGCGACGGACCATTTACCCTCGGAATTGATGGTGACGGATTCGACCGTCTTCGGTGTAGAGTTCAGGATATCGTCAAAGTATCTGATTTGAACAGTCATTAGCACGGCCCCATTTAGAGCGGGGTATGAAAGTCGTACCTATCCACGACGAGCTGTGTGAACATGATGCTACGGTTGCAAGTAGGACAAGTCCATGTCTACGCCATGTCAGTTAGAAATCAACCAAGGAAAAATCTCGAGTCGTTCATACCGGTGCTTGTAGCTGCAACTGCAGGAAAGATGTGGCGTCAAAGCACTGCGAATGCGCGCAAAACGATGAGCGCACGGGTAGATCAATGCGCAGTGTCGATATTGGACATTTCAGGGACATGATGGCGGAAGTTGCAACGAGATCGGAATCCTCGTTCTTTTTGATCACTAGGATGACCTATTAAGAGGCGTAGGCTAAAACACAAGCGACGAAGACACTTACTATCAGATATCACTGTTTCTTTGGCGATGGCATTCCCCTGCCGTAGTTTCAAGACTAGATTCTCAACCGTTTCAAACTTGACCAAGTTAACCACAAAAGCAAACTCCTGGTTATTCTTGTCAGTTAGCCACAAGCCCGAATGCTTCACGTGCGTTATGAGCGAACCTTCTGAGTCATTGCATATGTGAGTCCGATCTGGTTGCGGTAGTTGGGCGTGAGATTCAACCTATCAGTGATGTCTGCTGGACGCGTAGATCCAGGCTTGTTCTTGAGACCTCGCAGATTCAGACCCGGGCCCGCCACCACCGTCTCGTTGACACGTAGTTCGACCTGGTGTGGGAACGCGATTTCGGTGTTTCGAACAAATGGTGAGAATTGCTCCACTGCCGCACAATAGACCATGCATCTATATGACAGGTCATTGGTCAACTGGTTGACTTGGTTCTGGCTTAGTGAAACAACCGTTGTAACTGTATTTCGATGAGACGACATGACCGCAGGAATGTTAGCCTTGATATGCGGGTGTTCCGAGGGGAAAGATGCAGCAAACCTGGACATTTTGCCTGATCGCTGAGCGGCGCCAGTATCGTGTAGAACGGACTCTCCTTCCAGAAGATGCGGATCGGCGCTAGACATCCAGACTCAGTCATCCTGTCCACCGAACCAAACATTGGCGATCTGGGCCGCTTACCTCCGGTATGACCGTATGCGTGAGGCGGTAGAGCTGGGCGGCCGGGCGGGGAAGCAGTGAAGGCATTAGCAGCGTGGGTTACGCCGCGGGAGACCGACCTCGCGGGCGAGGCACTGCTACCGGGGACTTCGTTGTGATGTACCAGGTTCTTGACTCGTTGGAACGCCTGTGTGTCGCCTCTCGAAACGATCGATTCGATGTCTGCAGACAAGCGTCAGTTTGCCTGTCGGCGACGCGATCAAGGAGCGGTATGTATTGTAACCTACACGTCGTCAACCGCTTCTGAAGGGGTTGTTTGAGTCCGCTGGTAGGCTGTCCCTCGGCCTTCAGAACAGCCTGCAGTTGCCGCACGATAAGGCTGCCGTTCACGTAGCGGATGAGGATCGCGGCTTCCTGTTGAGTGATAGCCATGGTTGTATTTCGATTTGTAGTGTTCGAGTCTAGTGATTTTTGTGGTTGTGCAATCAAAGGCGGAAATGCTGCATAGCCGGCGCAGGGAAAGTCGCGAGATCGAGGGGTGCAGCCGGCTGACCCTTCAGTAGGAACGAAGGCGGCGGATCGGTGGTGACGGGAGGATACGAGGGGTGGTTGTTGTAGTACTGGAGCGGATTAAAAGAAGGACTTGAAGGGGGTCAGCAGCTGGAGGGGGGCAAGTGGGAGAGGAATGGAGTTGTGGTTGTGGTGATTCACTGCGCGTCTAGGACTCCGCAGCGAGTAGACAGAGCGGAGGTCTATGCGTGGGGGGGGCAAGAGCCGCTTCTCGCTTGACTTCGAATCACGTAACAAAGCTTTTTTTGCTGTGCTGAAATTCCGCGGTAGCGACCAGAACAAACCCAACGAACAAACAGTTGACTTCTTCCACCACCTTTACCCCACCACTTCCACCACCACCGCGACCGCCACTTTCTCGCCACTTTCTCGCCACTTCCACCCCAAAGAAAAACACAAAGAACAATGGCCAAATCTGCCAGAGCCAGTACGTCCCCAATCCGCATTATAGGAATATACGGGAAATAAGAGGAGACAAAGCTTTCTGACACGGAACTCGGAAAACAGCCATCTCGAAGCGCAACAGTGCGACTCGTCGCGACACCATCCACAAGCCCGTCGAAGACGAGCGCCTACAGAGACTGTCGGAGAAGCTTCTCGCGATCGCGAAGGCGGAGCTCCCCACAGGTTCGTTTTGGACCCTCCGTCTGTACATGGAGAAACGGAGCGCCGATTGATGTGGTTTGCGCAGAGTCCACCAACCCCGCGAACAAGAAGGACGATGCCATGGATGTAGTCGAAGAGTCCAAGGCTGGAGAGACGACTGCAGCAGCGCCTGCAAACGGCCCCAGCAAGAAGCGAGCGTCGAAAGGGAAGATCTCTAGACCTCGGCATACCCGCAACGCTGTCGTCTTCCCGAGTCTTCGGAAAAATCTTCTGAGGCAGGGCGCCAAGCGAAAGACAAAGGCTTGATTTGGAGGAACTGGGAGCTGGGTTTACTTTGATTTTTGTTCGCCGGTCATAAAAGCATGGAATTCAGGAAGCACAACTGTAAATAATCACATGATAAACGTTCATTTGATACCCACTGGGCACCTCGCCACATTAATTGGTGTGAGCTTGAGACGTAGAGTATAACCCTGAGGCTAATGTCAGCATGCAAGTTGTCGCGCTGGTGCCGTACTGGAGGCATTGCTCGGAAAGCTTTTCATTCGAGCACATCAGAGGCGCCGGAATCTTCACGTATCCGGTTCCTAGTAGAGCAGTTTCTGCAAACATCTGCCTGCCGTGAAATAACCATCCGCAGGCAAGATATTTGGGGTAGGGCCACAATTAAAAACCTTCCAAATGAATCTCCTAGCGACATGGTAATCCATTTGCGCGGCTGGATTGGCGCAGGTGATGCCGAACATGCATGCTAGAAACAGCTCCCCCGAACCCATGCGTGGCCGGTGAATTCTGGTGTTTTCCGGACTTGTAAGCATAGAGAAAATCCTGAATGTGCCCCCGAATTGTATCGTAAATGACCAGAACAAATTGAGTGTAATAATCGTTTATATTTCTGCCTTCATGCAACGGTGCCGTACGGCATTGTCCACTCTCTTCATCATCCTACTCTTTATATGCCCCCTACAGACAAATACCTTTACATCTTACACTACCTTCTACCCACGTTCCCCTATACTTGTACTATACAGTCTAGACATCATCATAGACGTCTTCTATGGCGTGCTCCCGCTCCACCTCAACCATAAAACAAGATCCTCCGAAATAAAATAAGAAAAAAAATCCGCATCAAGCAAGCCTACGTGCTCTTAGTTTGAAACACAACCTTTTCTCTTCCAGAATCACGCTCGTCCTGGAGCTTTTCCCAGTCCCGACCCTCGGCCGCCAACGTTTGAATGTACTGCTGGTATTGACCAACTTGATCCGAGTCCGTCGACGTGAGTCGTGCGAGGAAAGCCTTCTTCTTGCGCATTCTCAATGCGTTGTAGATCGACCATGCTCTTGCTTGTGTGCTGAACTCGGCGATGTTGTAGTCAACCTCCCACTTGTCTCCCTCCACCAGGTGGGTGGGACGCTTCACCTGACTCCCGTTCACAATGTTCTTGACTGTCAGTGTGACGCCAAACAAATCCTTTCCTTCGTCCTTGTCTCGTTGATCTTGGAGCTCCTTCAGGAATGCATCGTCCACCTGTTCATCCTGCTGCATGTCATTTTCGATTTCAGCCTTTCCAAACTCTGCACTGGCGTCCGCCGCCACCGGTGTCTCATCGGCATTCTCGATCTTGGAGGTCTTGATCTCGTCGGCAGTCTCGGTCTCATCGGCATTCTCGATCTTGGAGGCCTCGATCTCGTCCGCAGTCTCGTTCTCGTCGACATTCTCGATCGTGGAGGTCTCGGTCTCGGCAGTTCCCACAACGGCCTCATCAATCTCAGCAGTCTCGGCGATCTCACCAGCCTCAATAGTCTCCTGCTCAGTTCTGTCCTCAGCAGGCTCAACTTGGAACTCATCGACCTCATCCTCGACTACTACTGAATCGGGGTTCTCGTGTGCGTAGATCTGTGCTTTGATCTTTGCCATAAACTCCTCGAGAGTTCCCCTTTCACCAGTCTGGATCTCTTCGATTTGCTCCTCCTCCATGGGTTCGGCGAACATGTACATGTACGGCGTTGAGGTTTCTCTCGTCTCAAAGTGAATCCGAAGAGACTGGATAGTATTAGTATACTTTTCTAGGAATTCGAAGCAGTCATATAGCTCACCTTCTCCGGGAACTTGGCCGTTGCCTGGTTCAAGAGCTTGTTTAGTAATGACAGACTCATCTTGAACTCTTGGGCACCAATTCCAGAACCAGGCCCCTCGTGGAGTGCGGCATCCATCTCATCCAAAGAAATGTACTGGAACCCGAAGATCTTTTCGGTGTTGTGGAAAGCCACAAAGATTCCGTCCATGCGACCCATTCGCACCTGCAGAGAGTACTTCAGGAACGCAGCTCGGATCATGTCGAAGTATTCCCTCTCGAAAGACTCCCAGTTACCGGTTCGCGTCTTGATCTGGTAGCCCGATCCCAAATGGAATTTGGTGACGTCCACACGAATGGAAACAACTGCTCTTGTCTTCAAGTCAAACATACCGGTTCCAGGCAGACGGCTGTCGTGTGCGTCTAGCTGCGAGCGCATGAGGAAGTCTCCAAATGTTGAATAATGGTAGGTATCCTGAGCATTGCGGGTATCGTCGTCTAGTACGTGGGAGTTTCCCCGACGGTACTTCTCGAACTCATCCGGTGGCAGGGTTAACAACTTTTCCATTGAACGTCCCAAGTAACTCAAGATATTGTCCGCATCCGTTTCCTTGTCGGAGTCGATGGCGTACGTTCCATCGCCTTTATAACGCAGGAAGATTGATGTTGGTAACCGTGAAAGCGCTGTAAATGACTTGTAGTCCGCCGAGAAAGATTTTGAGAGGATATCGATGTTAATCTCCCTCCACGCTGATAGTAGATAATGGAAATGCGACAATACAGAAGTCATACTGGAGGTTGACCCCATATACTTCTTTCCATGCTCTTTCATGAGCGCCTCCAACTTCACGTCCTTCGAAGAAGTAATGTAGCCAGCGACGGCATCGAAGTCGAACTCAGTAACGGGCATGATCTTCTGTAGGTAGGGATCGAAGTTAAAGATTCGCGATCTCGGATCCTGGAGGTAAACGACGCCGGGGCTATTGCCGTAAGTCAGTAAACCGCCACTCTAATGGCCTCAATGGGGAGTCGGCTCACTTAAAAAGCACTCGATCTAATCCGTGCGATAGTGTTGCGACATCTTTCTGATGCACAATCGAAATAGCTGGCACAATTTTCAGTCGACGCGTATTGGATTTGGGGTAGGTCTGCGTGCGTACGTTCAACCTCAACATCGCTGACACTTAAACCGGCCTCTTCCTCGATCACCGATGTACCACGTGGGTTCATTGCTGTAGAAATAGACATTCCGCCGGATTCCTAGACAACCATCAGTACTTGCCCTCTTGTGACTGGATATAGCGGTCCGTGTAAACATACATCCTGAGTTTCCGCACCGCCTTTCGCCCGCACCCTGCGTATTCTGGTACCTGCACCGTCTACTGGTTCAGACTTCTTCGGCCTTGCTACATGGTCGGACGGTTTTCCCTTTTTCGGCGCCCGTTTGCTGTTTGACTTCTCCGCACCCTGTTTCTCCCCACCAAATTCCTTATATGGCTTTTTGTCCTTAAAATTTCTCTTGCGAGAATTGTGGCCGTCACCCGTTGGGCTGTCGTTGAGTTTGAATATAGACCCTTCCTTCACATTTTTCTTTGCACCTTTGTAGAAGGCTTTCTTCCCGGGTTCATTCTCCGACGTGGACTTGTCGTACTTGCTCTCGTCCTTCCCTGAGGTGAAGTTCCCAAGTATACTGACATGCGTGTCATCCTTCTGGTGTGCGGCCTGAGGACTGGAATCCGACGGTGTGAAAGTGGAATTAAAGCGACGCGGAACATCGCAGAAGGCGCAAACGAAGCCGGAAGTCGGTCGAGCGGTGGGAGTTATAGACCGCCTGAAATTCTGATGCAAGCTGCCCCGAAGCGAGTGTCGAAGCATTGCGAAGGTTTGCTGGTCGGTGGTGGTGGAGGATTGTGTGAGAGTGGCGGGGTGGGATAAGATTTTGAATGATATACGGCGTAACTTTTTTAGCGTGCGACGGCAGTTGCCGAACCCATTGTAACACAAAGAAGTACATGCATCATATCATGTTCCAAACAAAAAGACCGACGGCAATCAAATATCTCTATGCAGGTGCTTCCTCATCATTCATCTTTTACTCCGGTCTAAATACAAAAGCTCCTGACGAAATCTACTCCTTCTCCCATTTCTGCGAAAGTCCCTCCTTCTTCTGAATAATTCTCTGTGGCGGCAGCGACCATCCAAGGCCACTCTTGCCAATGGCCGCGCCAACTCTGGGAACAACCCACACCTCCCGCCTCTTGCCACCGGAATCCTCCAGAACCCTCGGAGGCTTCGATTCCAAGGGCTTGGAGTATGTAATTAGCGGAGTGCCTTCCGCGAGCGCACCTAGCTGGCCTCCTTTTATCGTAGTCAGGGGCTTCATCCAAACCCTTTCGCTACCAGAAGCCGATCGTGTGAGCTCGCTGTAGATAACGTATTCAGGCTTTGCATTCTGCGAAGCCAGAACTGAGCTTTGGTGGAGGAATACGGATCGATCTGCAATGTCGTCTGAAGGCTGCGTGCTGGAGGGGAACAAAGTGACGTATGGTATCTGCGTGGCCAGCTTGATGTTGTTGACCTTGAAGTCCGAGTTGGGGAGCAAGTCGGCACGGATTGCGACTTGATCCACGAATCCAGCCGCCACAATCTGTCTCAGTGCTTTGACCTATCGAACCCGAACATCAGTAACTGAATTGACCCACCGCACAGGCGAACCATCCTTACCTGTAGTTTGGAAGGAGGCGGCAGTTTAGCCTCAAACTTGGTCAAGACTCCCGGAGAGTTGGCCATGACGATATTCGTGATTTGCTGTCTGAGTTTTCTCGTTTCTTCCATGGCCTTCAACCGAATGAAGCTACGAGAGCAGAAGTCTGCAGGATTCTTCTCGTACTCAAACGCGCATACTACAGCCAGCAGTTTGATTGCATCACTTTCGTTATCCAGAGCTGCGAAGTTTGCATGTGCACGGTAGTAGTCGCTGCGCATCTTCGACTTCGCGTCCCTCGCAATGTTCCTCTCATATCTGGAAGCGTGATCGTCCTCGTCTTCCTCTGCGGAGAATCCAAGTTGTTGCTCCGGCACGAATACGTCGCCAACCGATAGTGCGGATACTATGGCAATGATGTAGGGCAGGCACCCATGTTGTTGGCCAATCATCAAGATCTTAGCGAAGCGCGGTGATAGAGGGAAGAAGTTCATCGTGCGTCCCAGCTCGGTGAGTGAGCCGTCAGGAGCAATGGCACGTAGATAGCCCAACAACTGTAAGCCACACCCGTTAGCCAGCTATATAGTAGAAGTGGTTCAGAGTCACCAACCTTCTCGGACTTGAGCAGACTCTCCCTGTCAGGGGGCGTCGGGAAAGGGAAATTGACGATTGTATCGATGTTCATAGCTTTCATCTGCAATACCACACCTACGAGATATCAGTTTCAACTCCGACATGGAGTGGGATGGAGGCCGTCTGCGACATACCTTCGATCGGCATCCGCAATAGCTCTGGCTGTGCGTATTCCTCAAAGTCTGTCTCGTAAACCGCGCTCGAGAACAGACGATAACAATGGCCGGGACCGGTTCGTCCAGCACGACCGGCACGCTGAGCGGCACTGGCCTTACTCGACCATTGAATGTTGAAGCTCTGAACACCAGTCACTTTGTCGTAGTTCCTCTCCTTAGACCGTCCGCAATCAACAACGTATCGGATACCGGGAATGGTCAACGATGTTTCCGCAACGTTAGTGGCCAGGACACATAGACGAGTACCCTCAGGTGCCTCCTCAAAGACTCTTAACTGCTCCTTCGTCGGGAGAAGGGAGTAAAGCGGGAGAATGTGGAGTGGGTACTCCACATCTTTGTCTCCCATCTCCTCGCCAAGGTTGTCATCCTCATCTTCGGAGATGGGGTCCTCCTCTTGGGCGAGTGTATTGTCCTCTCCCAGCTCCACATCTTCAGTCTCCACGGTGGCTGGAGTTTGATATTAGCGCATGCATTACCCAAACAATCCCGGAGAATTTCATACCTTCGCTCGCCAGCACCTTCACTTGTGATTGGAAACGTTTTTCAGAACGTCTACCTCCAGATTTCTTGTTCTTTTCTGGGAAAGTTTGTTGCAGTCTCTTCATCAGCGTCAAGATCTCGTTCTGACCAGTTAAAAACACCAAAATGCCTAGAATATTTGTTAGCATACACGCTAGCTGAGGCGGCGATGGATCTCACCTCCGGGAGGAAGTCTCCGGTTTATACGAGAGACTTTCTTGAAGGCTTCCTCGACATAGTCCGAGGCCGTCCGCTTAGAAAAGTGTATGGTTACAGGATGCTGTCTGGCTTCTACGTTGAGCAGAGGAGGCGGTCTAGGGAATAGAGTCTTGTTCTCCACGAAATCCGAGACACGCAGTGTTGCTGACATGATAATTAGCTTGAGGGGCTTGAGGAATAGTCAGCATACGTCAATCAATCATCATGAACTATCACGGAGTCTCTAGGTCTCACCTTTGTCTCTCCGTCCTGCTTGCTCATGGTTTCCCTTAGGCGCACAACACGACTCATAACACCGATTAGGATATCTGTATTTATGCTCCGCTCGTGGGCCTCGTCGATTAGGATGGCTGAGTACTTTCTCAGAAGGAAATCATCTGCCAACTCTCTGAGAAGAACACCATCCGTCATGAACTTGATGGCGGTTTTCGGACCGACAGTTCCATCGAATCGGATTTGGTAAGACACCTTCTCCTTGCCGCCAGGTCCGAGCTCCGTGCCAACACGATTTGCCATAGACACTGCTGCAACACGGCGCGGCTGAGTGACACCGATGAGTCCAGGCGTGGGACTACCAGGTGATCCATATCCAGCTTCGTATAAGAATTGTGGGATCTGGGTGGTCTTTCCGGAACCCGTCTCACCACAAATCACAACACATGGGCTGCGGTGGATCGCTTCCATGATTCGCTGTTCCTCTGCTACAACCGGAAGGGAAATGCGGGCGGTCTGGATGTCTTCGGGACGAGTCACCGTCACGTAGTGAACCTATGATCTCAGACTCAGCCCTGCATACTACTGGATATCGAGCATTACAATCTACCTTTCTTTCCGTTTGCGATGATGGTGCCAGCTCCTCTGGCGGAGGGGTCATGTCTTCTTCACGGCTTCGGGGAATATGGACAATATCAGACTGTGCTTCAATTGACGTCTCTATATTGGACGGGGCAACGGCATCGTCCTCGCCATAAACAACCGTCCTTCTCTGTGCCATAGCCCATTCTTTGAAGGCGTTTGCCCTTCCGGACTGTCCTCGCTTTAGTGGAGCGACAGATTCTTCTTCTTCTCCTTCTTCTTCTCCATCGCTATCACTCTCGTCGCTATCTTCGTCAGAATCTCCTTCTGATGGCTCGGCGTTGGATGCTTCGTTGTCTTCGTCTGAGATACCACCCCATTCCTCCTCCTCTTCGTCCTCGGAGCCACTCTCTTCCTCTTCCTCGCTCTCCCCCTCGCCACTCGGCATTTCCTCCTCACTCGAAGTCTCTTCTGGCTTGTCGATTACCATTGGCTGAATGATTAAGGGCTTCCGGTTCCTTTTGATCCGTTTAATAATGGGTGGTCCAACTGTATCGCCGTCCAACGGTCTCTTAAGGCCAGCTCCCACAATCGCACCGATCGCGAACCGATTCACCACTGGTTTCGGCTGTTCCAACTCGGCCTCAACCGCAGGCTCATCCATCGTTGTCTCCATGTCGATATCCTCCGGATCCACCGGCCGCCGCTCCTCATACAGAATATCTCTGTTCTTTTCCATATTGATACCCGCCTGCTCCTCCAGCAGCGCGCGCTTGATAGCCTGCTTCTTGCTCTCCCTCGATGCGCCGATACTCCTGGTGCTGGCAAAAAGACTCGTATCGACCGTAGTCTCCGCAAGCTTTTCGATGATAGCTTGAGACTCCTCCTTCTTGAGCTTCGTCTCGATGTATTTATTGAAGCGCTTTTTCTTCTTAGCCGACATCTTCGGTAGTCCCGCCGCCAATTCCTGCTTCAGCTGGTTGCGACGCTTCTCAGCCTTCTCGGCGGCCGTGAGAGGAACCATGATTTCGGCATTGGGATCGGCCGGCGCGGAGGGTGCGGCATTGTCGGCGGCATCGGCGGGGGCTTCGCTTTGTTCAACTCGCGCGCGCCGGCGCTGCTTGCGCTCGCGGGTGGGTTTGAAGCTTTTTGGCGGCATCGTGGTTGAGGTATTGGTGGTCGGTTTTTTTTTGTCGAGAGATCAACCTTACATGCAGATTTAAAGGTTGGGTTAGAGTTTTATCCCTGCTAGGTGCCAAGCACTCACTAGGTTTCCTCTGGCCCCGAACAAAAGTCTGGAGTTCTTCACGCGCGACGGAACGTCAGGCAGCGGTTTCAAGTTTCAACTGCTTACGGATCTACATGTCTATGAGCACTGCAGGTAGCAGGGCGTAAACTAAGACGGGCAGAGGTGAGCACTGGAGTATCGAGTGCTGGGATACGACACAGCTCGCCTCACTACCAGTAGAGAGTTACGGTCGTCATGGTGAAACACTTATACGAACACCTTGACTTCTCAATGGACCTGTAAGAGGGCTCTCATGGCTGTAAACCGATGAGACGTGGAGTTTTTTCTGAGGAGACATCGATGATCGCATGCCCCGGAACAAAGCCCTAAGTGCTCTAGAAGCACAAGTTATTTCCTCACCACCACTACCAGCTCTCCCAGTATCTACAACCTACACGACAACAATGGAGTCTGCCGGTGCCATCGATTCGCGATACCCCGCGACCACAAAGCGAGCCGCTGGCTACATAAAAGATGTCCCGACCGACGCCATGGTTGTCGGTTTCGCCGACAAGCTCCTCATCACCGTGACCCAAGCCGGACGACTGGCGCAGTGGGTATGTCGTCTTCTTCTTGGCACCATTCAACACGGGCTGACCGGGCAGTTTCACGTTCCCCTCGACAGCGCGCACCGCGTCATCGCTGAAGAAACAGCGGAAGGAGAAGAAGATCAAGACGACTCACTTCTCCCGCTCTCGCACCTAACGCCGACCACGCTCCTGGGCGGAACGGTTCCCGAACGCGAAGCTACGGGTCAGCTTATCGCGGTGCAGCTTGCTTCCATCATCACGACTAGGAACAAGGATGAGGGGAGGATGGTGGTTTGTGGGCTTGGGTTGAGGTCGGCGGAGTTGGATCAGCAGGGGTTTCTAGAGCTTGTCGAGCTTGTAGGAAGGTGTTTGTAAATTGATGGGTGAACGGGAATGGGTTCTCCTGATATCTAGAGGTTTTGTGGTTTCTATGTGGTGGGGGTGGAGGACGTGGGAGCGGGGTAGAGGCCGATCTGCAGGACCCGACTGGCCGGCCATCTCCGTTCCCAGTTGCTGGCCCTCAAGGTGCCACGATCTATCGTGTAACCAACCATCCTTCCATAGCTCGAGTATATAACCTTCAGTCTCCTCGTCGAGTGAGCACTACTATTCCCCATCGTAAGCAACATCCCACAATGTCCGAACCCCAAGAAAACCTCACGACGATATTCCAGGCGGCCACCTCGTCAGCCGCATACATCCAGTCAGTGGTGCCGGAGGGACTCAGGGCTCCATCGGTAGGAATCATATGCGGATCCGGGCTCGGAGGGCTAGTGGATACGCTCGAGGCTTCCCCGAGGGTTGAAATCCCTTACTCCGACATTCCCGAATTCCCTCGCTCGACAGGTGAGTGCTTCTATCTGATTTCCCCCCAGTGAATCGCAACTAAAGGCGTTGTGTTTGTAGTCGTGGGCCATGCCGGAAAGTTGGTTTTCGGTCACCTCGGAAAGGAGCTGACACCAGTTGTCATCATGGTTGGCCGCGCGCAGTATGTCACCCCTCACACACACATTGCCTCTATCTCTCTCTGTCGGTGTGTGGCATGATTCTAAACTATAGCACAGTTTCTATGAAGGCCACTCCATCCAAAAAGTCACATTCCCGGTCCGCGTGATGAAGGTGCTTGGAATCAAGTCGATCATCGTTACCAACGCCGCTGGAGGTCTGAACGAGGATTACAAAGTTGGCGACATCATGATACTGAACGATGTACGACTCATCATCCCGCTTCTTTCCGCTACAGGGCTAACACGGCGTGGTGACAGCACATCAACTTCCCTGGTCTCGCCGGGAACCACCCCCTCCGCGGCCCCAACGAGGAATCCTTCGGCACGCGGTTCCCCGCGCTTTCGGACGCCTACGACCTTGAGTTCCGCCGCACTGCTCACCTCGCCTACCGCAAACTCCCGGGAGTGAGCAAGACGAGGAGCTTGAAGGAGGGCGTGTACGCCTTCGTTTCGGGTCCCACGTTCGAGACGCGTGCCGAATGCAGGATGCTACGGACCATGGGCGCGGATGTAGTTGGCATGTCGACGGTTCCAGAAATCTGTGTGGCTAGACATGCGGGATTGAGGGTGCTCGCGATGAGTCTAGTTACTAACGCTGCCGTGCTGGCACCTGGCCCCAGGGGTGACGAGGTACTAGACGACAGTAATGCGGTCTCTGGGCAGTTGAATAAGGTTATCGAAGCGGGCAAGGCGAACCACGTTGAGGTGCTGGAGACTGGATTCGAGGCGGCGGCCGATATGCAGGTGTGTAGTGGTTTCCGAAGATCTAGTCGCGGTGCTAACTCTCCTTACAGGCCCTCGTCCGACAGTTTATCGACGACATCTCCTCGACATGAGTATCGGAGTAGGTATACGTTGAGTAGAATAGAACAAAAAATTATGTGTGAACGGTACCAGGTGCCCGAATGAGCCCGTGTTTACTAGAAGTCATTCCACCAAGCATTGATTCCGTGACCTGAAAGCCCCAATCTAGCACTCTCCACAAAAGGCCCCTGGAGTGCTCAGGCCTTGAAGTCAAATTATGCTCAACCAATCGGAGAAATCCGACTTGAAAATCAATGTGCACGGACGATCGATGGGAAACATGACGTCGAAAGTCCAGGGGTAAGGGTTTGAATGACTACTTCGACGCTGCCCCTCCCCCGCGATTCTCGATTCGTCACGTTTTCAACACCCGCACTCCACCACAAAAAAAATGACGATCGCACTCGGCCTCGAAGGCTCCGCCAACAAGCTCGGCGTGGGCCTAATCCAGCACCTACCCGGACAGCCCGCGCAAGTCCTCTCGAACATCCGCCACACCTACGTCTCACCCCCGGGGGAGGGCTTCCTGCCCAAAGACGTAGCCAAGCACCACCGCACATGGTTCACGACGCTCGTTGCGCGCGCGCTCAAGGAGTCCAACACCAAGATCGCAGATATCGACTGCATATGCTACACCAAGGGCCCCGGTATGGGCGCGCCGCTGCAGTCCGTCGCCGTCGCCGCCCGCGCCCTGAGCCTGCTGTGGGACAAGCCGCTCGTGGGCGTCAACCACTGTGTCGGCCACATCGAGATGGGCCGCGAAATCACCGGCGCAGATAATCCCGTCGTGCTGTACGTGTCGGGCGGCAATACGCAGGTCATCGCGTACGCCGAGCAGAGGTTCTACCCCCACACTCCCCCCCTTCCTCACCCGCTCAGAAGAGGAGGAGCGCGGATGTATTTAGCTGATAGCACAAGGTGAAGGTACCGGATATTTGGCGAAGCGCTGGACATCGCGGTGGGGAACTGTCTGGACCGGTTCGCGCGCACGCTGCAGATCAGCAACGACCCCGCGCCGGGCTACAACATCGAGCAGCTAGCGAAAGGCGGGAAAAACCTGCTGGATCTGCCGTACGCCGTCAAGGGCATGGACTGCTCGTTCTCAGGGATCCTGGCGGTCGTCGACCAGCTCGCCGCGCAGCTGCTGACTCGCAGGCCGAGGCCGCTGATGAATGTCGAGGGCACCGAGGAGGTTACGAGGGAGGACCTGTGCTTTACGCTGCAGGAAACGGTCTTCTCCATGCTGGTGGAGATCACAGAGCGCGCCATGGCGCATGTCGGCTCGCGCCAGGTGTTGATCGTCGGCGGTGTGGGGTGTAATGAGAGGTTGCAGGAGATGATGGGGCTTATGGCGAGGGACCGGGGTGGCAGTGTCTATGCGACTGATGAGCGCTTCTGCATCGATAATGGTATCATGATTGCGCATGCGGGGCTATTGGCCCACAAGATGGGGTTCAAGACTCCGTTGGAGGAATCGACATGCACGCAGAGGTTCAGGTCAGTTCCTACTTCTCCTCCAGACTCATTCGTTCGATGCAAGACTGACGGGTTTCTTTCCTCCATCAGGACGGACGAAGTACACGTCAATTGGCGAGACTAATTCTACTTCTTCTATTTGTTTGTTAAAAGGTCTTGCAAAATTGAAACCGCTTCACCTAGAAAAACAACGCTGTCCGGGCACCGCCCCCCTCCCAATTATACAGAGTAAAACTGCGGGTATACTGGCACCAAAGTGGCAAAGCAAAACATCATGAATGGACTTGATCATCGCCTCCAACCGCGGAGCTTGACACCCCCCTCCTCTTGATCCTCGCTCTCCTCCTTATCTTCGGCATAATCGTCTTCCTCTTCCTCCTCCCCCTCCTCCTTATCTTCGGGATAACCGTCTTCGTCTTCCTCCTCCCCATCTTCCTTATGTTCAGCAACATCGTCTTCATCGACAGACAATTCCTTAGCTGTCTGTCTCGGTCCAGCACCCTTAGGTGTCCCCTTAGATTTAGTGACGGACTCAAATGGATGTGCACGTATGTAAGCAGATACATCCGACTGCCACTTGAGTTTCTCCAGATACTCAATACACTGCTGGAGCACCATATCTCCTGTAATCTGGCTCTGGTTGCCGTCGAACTCCGGAACACAGACCAGGTTGTACGGATGACCCACAGCCTTCTCGGTCGAGTCATCGAAGAGAACCGTGTTGGTCTGATCAAAAGCCGCCTTACCCTTGATCGCAAACCTCCCGTTCCATATCCTCTCGAGCGTCTTGTAGACCTGGACCTTGGCGTTGTACTGGGACGAGGTCAAGCCCAGCGTATCGCGGGCCCACACAGCGACGAGCTTCTGCTTCTGCTTCTTGGTGAACGCGGCATCAACCATGCGCTTTGCGTTGTCGGGGCGCGCGGAAGTCCAGATCATGACTTTGAAGTTGCCGGTGACGTAGTTCAAGAAACCCGAAAGGCCGGGACGTAGGGTGGGAGCTGACGAACCCGTTGCGTTCCTCCCCTTCTTACGGAAAAGAAGAGTTCCGTTCAGATCCAGGATCACGAGCAGTTCCTTGGGTGTGCTGAGCTTCTGCGATGGCTGTAAGGATTGCTCGAGGTATGCGGCGGTGGCGACGGGCGCTATTGTGGGCTGCGCGGTGCGGTCGTAGGCCGCCCCTCCGTACTGATGTTGAGTTGTAGGCTGAGGGTTGTGCTTTCCGTCGGGGGCGCCCCCGTACTGACGTTGGATTGTGAACCCAAAGTTGTGCTTCCGCTCCTCCGGCTGTGCATGGCCCCGTTGCGAAATATGCTGGGCTCTGCCTTGCGGCGCCGATGGCGGGTTATAGGCCCCCCGCTTCACGTAATCCGGGTGCGGCTGCTCATTCCGTTCAAACTCCTCCATCTGCCGCCAGCCTCCTCCTGGCCGTTGCAGGTTCTGCGGCTTCCAGCCTCCTTTCTGCGGAGCCTGCTGGTGCCGATCGTCATGGAAGAACCTTGTGTGCGTTGGTGGACGGGCGGCATAGCCGTGCACGGGCATGGCTGTCGAGGGCGGAGGCCTAGGTGGTAGGTTCGCCATTCCACGATTGTTGTTGTAGTTATTGTGGTTGAAGCTGCCGTAGTGTCCCTCCCGGTTGTAGTTTGCGCCGTGTGGTGTGTAGTTGTCGTGTCCACTGCCGCGAGGCGCTGTCGTTGGGGGCGGGATGTTCAGTCGCTCGGGCAGCTGGAACTGCTCCCTTCTGCTTGCCCTTGTCCTTCCTCCTCCTCCTTCTCCCCCTCCTCCCTCTCTTCCTCCTTGCCACACATTCATCGGCGTGGCTTGCGACACCGCTCCCCCTCCTGCGCCGCGGCGATCATCGTCTCTCCTCCTGTACTCCCTTTCGCCGCCATCGTAGGCACGAGGACTCCTACTCCTGCTTGTCGCTCTTCCCTCGTTACGATTTGCGGTGGTGTTGTTGTTGCCGGAGCTTCGTTTATTCCGTGCCATATTGATGAGGAGTCGTGCGGTAGTGGAGGTGACACCGACACGGTGACGGAGGATGAGATTCGACATTCACACGACGTGTGTGTGCGCCGACGACAGCAACAACAAGGGGTCGAGAAATTCTTTAAATGCCCCCCCCGGTCGGCCCCATGCGAGGCGCGAGATTTAATTGAGCGCGTGTTACACAAAGCTAGAAGATACTCTACATTCTACCTACAGGTGGATCATCAACTCAACTTTTAAGTTACATTTCCACCACCTATCTACATACGACCCAGCAACATGCCAATCAACGACAGGATGAAGATCCGGCGGGTAAAACCGCTGCTGCACGACGATGAGGAGGAGGAGGAAGACCTCGAGGTTGAGAACGAGGATGTGGACATGAGCGACGCCTCTGGCAGCGGCTCCGACGGCTCCGAGGAAGAGGACGACGAGGAAGCGGGCGATGAGGACGAAGAAGAGGACGAAAGCGCCGTAAGCCCCTCCCCCTCGCCGTATACATTCCTTCCGTCCTGACCAATCCTAGACCGCCCGCGCCTCGATATCGCGCATCTCGTTCGGCACGCTCGCGCGGGCGCAATCCTCGCTGCTCAAAGAGAAGAAAGCGCCTGTCAAGTCCCGCGCCCGCACCGGCGCCCCCGCCGTCCACGCCCCCGACTCGGACACGTACTTCGACGGCAGCAAGAAGGTACAAGACCGCAAAGACAACCCAGCGCGCGCCTCCAAGAACGCGCCGCAAGAGATCACGTCGAAGCGCACCATCACGCGGAAGCGCATCGTCGTCGAGCCCGCCGCCGCAAAGATGAAGTCGCGAGACCCCCGCTTCGATACCGCCGTCAATGGCGTCTTTGCGGACCACGAGTTTAGACGGAACTATGCGTTCCTCGACGACTATAGGAACGATGAGATGAAGCTGCTGAAGGAGCAGATAAGGAAGGTTAAGGATAAGGATGAGCGCAAGAAGGAGGCGCTGGAGAAGAAGCTCAGGTCTATGGTGAGTGCGGTGCTGGTCGAGCGCGGAGGGGGGGGCGAGTGGAGGCTGACAATGTTGTGGTGCATAGGAATCGCAAAAGCAGAGTCAGCAGAATAAAGACAAATCGGCGGAGGCGCTCAAGAGGCACAAGACCAAGGAGAGGGAGCTGGTCAAACAGGGAAAGACGCCGTTTCATCTCAAGCAGTGTATGTTTCCTCCCCTACCCAGACTCGAGACGACGGGACCTATTGCTGATGAAATATCTACGCAACAGCCGAGATCAAGAAACTTGTCCTGCAGGAGGAGTTTTCGAAGCTCTCCGAGAAGCAAGTGGAACGTGTTGTTGCCAGGAAGCAAAAACGGAAGGCGCAAAAGGAACGCAAGCACATGCCCTGGGAGAGACGGGAAACGTGATGTGGGAGCTGGAGACAATCATATGGGATGGATGCTACGTATCATAGTTAGAGTACTACGCTTCATACCATATGCATCCATGTCCAGACGCCGAATAATACCGAGTGACAGCAAATGAGTAACCGTGAACAATTATCACAGCAGAGAGCATTGAATCACATCACGTATTACAGCAGAGCATAGAATCACACCACGTATCACGAAGGAAAGTATCTTGTCAACCGAATTGTGATTCCCACAAGAACCATCTTCATCATTCGTAATCTAAGACTTGAACCTCGTCTCAAATCCAGCCCATTATCGCTTTTGACTGCTGCAAAAATCAATTTTTTTTGAAAGGAAATAAACATCTACTTGAAGACCTTTCCGTCGGCGTGGTTGTAGGTCTTGTCACCGATAACCAGGGGCTTGTCCCAAGACCAGGCATCGTTGACGAACTCCTTGTCCTCCTCCTTGGAGGGGTCAAGCTTGACGAAGCTGTAAGACTCCCAGTCGGGGGCAACCTAATTCGGGTATTAGTCTCCATTCGCAGTGCTCGGATGCGGTTAGAACTTACGTCAAAGGCGGGGACGTGGTCGTCACCACGGATCACGAAAGCTCCGCTAATGACAGAGTCGTTGCTCTCTCCGTAGACGCTGAAATCGGAATCAGTCATGATCGTGACATATGACAGTAGGGCAGGCGCTACTTACGACATGGACCCGAAGATGTACTTGCGGGAACCCTCCAGACGAGCAAAGAGACCTCCGATCAAGTTGGAGCTCATGAAGGTGAGGGTAAGCTCGTCGTTGTACTTGTACTCAATCTTCCACAGAGAGTACTCCTCGGGCTTGTAGTTTTCCCAGAACCAGGGAAGAGCGACGGAGCGGGTGTCCTCGTTCGAGTACTTACGCTTCCAGTCGTCGAGAACAAGAGTGGGCTTGGGGAGGGCCTCGAGGGGGTGCTTGGCCTTGGGGGCCTCCTGGACGGGCTCCTCATCGTCGTCCTCATCCTTGGGCTTGGCAGCCTTGGGGGTAGGGGCGGCCTTGGGGGCAGCGGCCTTGGGCTCCTTCTTGGGGGGAGTGTACTTGACAGCCTCGTCGCGGTAGGTGAAATCACCGGCAGCGGCCTTGTAGATGTCCTGGTTGCGGACAAGGTCGAACCAACGGGTGACGTTGGGGTACGAAGCACGGAACTCCTTGTCGAAGACCTGCAGCGCATTAGATCACGTACGGGTGGGCTGGTCGGATGTCGGGGGAGCTTACAAACTCGAAACCGCGGGAAAAGACGGACGCGGAGAAGATGTCAGCCAGAGACAGACGCTCACCGACAAGGAAGGTGTTCAGGCTCAGGTGGCTCTCAACGACACCGACGACCTTGAGGGTGGCAGCCTGGGCAGCGTCGACGTTCTTCTTGTTGTATGCGTCACGGCCGATCAACGGGCGGAACCAGCTGCCGAGGTTAGAGAGGACCTCAGTGTTGCTGAACGACATCCACCTCAGGATCGAGGCGTAGTCCTGCTTGGTCTTTCCGAGGAGAGTGGTCTTCTCGTTCTGGGCAGCGACTAATGATCCAATATCAGCGCCATTTCACTCGCAATCCCGCGACTCCCAAACTTCCCACGAAGCCAGTAGGTACGAATAGGAGTCGATTTTCAGAGAGATTTTGCATACGGTAGATGGCAATGGCAATGCACTCCGACAGAACGAATCCATCAGCACCCTGGAAAGTGGGGACCTTTCCGAGAGGGTTGATCTTCAAGTACTCGGCACTGACACCCTTGGCGGGCTCCTCGTGGACCGACTCGATGTCGAGACCATTGGCCTTCGCGACCACTAGGAGGGCGGTGGTGCGGGGGTTGTTCTGGTCGGAATGTCAGCGTTTGTTTGTTTGTATTTTTTTCTCCCATCCAGCCATCCATCCATCGGTATCAAAAACCGTTTTTGTCTTGGAAAAAAAGATATCCGAGCACTGGCCAGAAAGGGGTGGGATAGTTTGACATACGGGGTACGTGTAGATCTTTCCGAAGGACATCTTGAGATTTGCTTGAGGATGAAGGTGAGGATATGGGAGAGAAAGAATCTTTGCGCTGAAAGGAGAGAGTGTGTCAAACGGGGCGAAGCGGGGTAGGTGGGGCGGCAGCACGGAGGAAAAGACGCTAATTTTCCAGGGCTAGGGGTCTGCCTATGACTAACTGACAGGCCGGCTTCACGTGATGGCACTCATCTCTGCGGCGTGGTCCGCGCAGCTGCATCGCATTGTTTTGCGTGATGTATGTATGCGAGGATTTGAGGGCCAATTCGAGTGCCAACTGCATCCTCAAACCTTGGGTTTCTGACGAGTTGAAAGTTAGATACCGAACCAAAACTGCATCTGCAAACCCTCATCTCCGCCGATGACCCATCCGGCAACCCAGATACGGTATTCAACAGCACGCCACACTTTTTATGTGCATTGTGGCTCAGTCGACAACACACAGTTCCTCCAATCGTCAACTTAGAGTGTTAGGGTGGTGTGCCGAACGGCCAACCAGGTCCCATCGCTCGGAAACTGAGGCTTTCGAACAGCATCTCAATTTTTTGTGGTATGTATGCAGATTCAGCATGCAGCGGGCACCCAAACAGGCCCTGAGTGAGTACACTGGGCATCACCCACCTCCGCTTACGTACTTAGGCGGCCGACTCCCGAGCCCGAGACAGGGCCACAGGCAGGCAGAAAGTGGAAGTCAAACGTCGACCAGCAGCCAACCAGGACCTCGGTCACAGTCCACCCCCCAACGAGACCATATCGATCTTCAGAAGCATATACCCAATGGTCGTTCGATATCCGCGCGGGCCGCAGTTCATATCATCATATCATCATATCTCGATGGGATGAAGATGAGCAATGAGCATCCGTAGATTGACGTGGTTACAGGGTTCCATTTCCATCACTACGCCGAGATACTCTACTCTACGTACCGATACCGGTAGCTGGAGATGGATATGGTGCATACGGTACGGTAGTACCCAGAGTACCTAGAGTAGAGTAGAGTATCTGATATCGAGCACGGCAGAACCTCCGTCGGCTATAGGCAGAGTACCGTGGCAACATAGGTACCGGTACCGGTATCGGTATCGGTATCGGTAGTCCAACAGCCGCCAGGTTCCGGACAGGACAGGACAGGACTGCCATTACCTACTGAACCCCCACATCGCCATTGCCATATACGCGGTATATAAGGTGGAAACATTGGCGCCATGTGCCGACATGCTCCACCTGCTTTAATCACTCCACCCACGCCGCCCAGATTGTGCACGGCCGTGGGACGGAGACGAATATGGCCAACGGCGCGGGCATCACCGTCTTGCCTCACCTTCCACCGTCTCCACAACACACCATTGCTGATCGCTAATCAGTGACCCGATAGATATGTAGGGTACTCTACACATCGCGAACAGTATGTTCCCGTACCTACATACGCACGAGCGGAGCGGATGTTCTGATCGGCAGCTGGGATCTAGAGACATAGCATAGCGAACTGCTGCTGCCGCGAGTGCTGCCGTCGCGCCGTTTGTGGGCGGGATATTTACATACACCTCACATGCATACTTGCACACGGTCCATACATACGGTACATACATGCATACTTGCATACCAGTCCATGCATACTGTATATATACGGGACATGCATACAATTAGAGTGGTTGGCTGCGTGCGTGCGTGCGTGCGTGCGTCCGACGCGCCTGCCTGCCGGACTGACTGCCTGCCTACATACCTGCGCGCTTGCCTGTCTGCTTGACCGACTGCCCGACTGCCCGTTCCCGTCTACCGACGGCAGACATCCGTGTTAGCGAAGCAGGTCCATATTGTGGGACTCGGTGGGCCAGACGCGATCACCCCAACGTTGAGATGTTCTCTGTTGCTACTTTTATGTTCGTCTGGTCGGTCGGTCTCTACATAACACACGAGACATCAGACATCATCAACATCGCAGAGATATTTGAGGTTGTTCGGCCTGAAGAATACAGGCTCCTTTCCTTTCTTGTCGCTTTCTAGCCAATTCAATCTGTCTCATCAGTTGCCCGTACCCGTCGTAGGTCCCTCAATATCTACCTATGTACATACGATGGGCGCCAACATTCGCATCCAGCTCAATCACCAACATCCAGGTCGACAGAGTGGGTACATAAGCGGATAGCCATACGGTATGTACAACAACACTTCAGTGTAATAGTGGACGGCACGCAGAGTAAGAAGAGTAGGACAATCACCGTTGGCCTATATGTTTTCGTCTCCTTCCGTCCGATATTGGCCGGCCCGAAAAATAGAAGAAAGAGTCGCCCGTACGTCTCTCCGTGCGTCCGTCTCCCCGCTCGCCGCGTACAACACACGCCAGGTAAGTTTCAAAGTTCATGCGTGCGTTAGTTGGGCGTGGAATCATTATGTAAATATACGTATTGCCGCAGCGGATATGTATCATATGTCTCATATGTACGGTGTACCGTCCTTCCGAGTTCCATCGTATGTACGATGTGTACTCAGTACACGGCTCGATCGAACGAAGCTATGAAACAACCGCACCGTTTGTTTCATCCATGTGGGGCCGCCCAGCGGCCGGCAATAGAAACATCCAGCTAGCAATAGCAACAAAACAACCAGTCTCTCTCTTTCCGTCAGCATTATCATAATCATCACCATCTTTAGCATCATCCTCTTCATCGTCGTCGTCGCCATCGTCGTCGGCAACGACTGTGGAGCACTCTGCCTATTATACACCCCACTGTCCATACAATCCATATATACACACTCTACTCCGCGTACATACAGCGTACATACAGCATACAGCATGCAGCATGCGGGGGGGCCCAGATCTTTCTTCTATTTTGCGAGATCTTTTTTTGCGATCCCATCGTAGCCGCCCACGTCGTACCATACCATAGATGATAGCCGACTACCGTAAGCAGGAAGAGGGACAAAGAGATTTGCAACATCAGAAACATGCGGAAACGGGATCAATATCTCGGGGGCGGTAATCTCCCTGCGAGCCTGGGAGGGGCAGGTACCTAGAGGAGGTGGGGGAGGTGAATGAGGAGGGGCAGGTACCGGTAGAGGAGGAGGTGGGGCAGGTAGAGGTGGAGTGGGGACATGAACAGGCGGGGCAGTATCACGCAGATGAGGGCGATGAGGAGTATGACGATGCGGAGTAGTAGGACGAAGCGGAGGAGAATGTCGAACCCAAAATCCGAAATCCTCAGTCCTCAATCCGAAACCCGGTCGTTCTGCCTCAACCATCAACCATCAACCATCAACCACTGCTCGCCTGCGTGCCTGCGTGCCTGCGTGCCTGCGTGCCTTCCTGCCTGTCTACTCGCCTTCCTGCCTGTCTGCTCGCCTGCGTGCCTGCGTGCGTACCTGGGTGCCTGCCTACTTCGGTTCGAAAGGCGGGCGGCCGGGGAGCACGCGGGGGAGGTACGTAAGTAAAGTATCATAAGTAAAGTGAGCGAATGCACGGTAAGCACGTATGTAAGTAAAGGATAGCTTCCGCCGGGTTGTTGTGTTGTGTGGTGGTGGTGATTTTACTCTACATGATCTAGTACGGTATGCCGGGTATGGGGGCGATCCCAAGTACATATTTGGGGGCTTCTAGAAGGCCGCCGCATTCGTCCTAGTTGTGGTTGTGGTGTGGTTGGTGTGGTTGGTGTGGTGGAGCAGTGGAGCAGTGGAGCGGTGACCTAAACCTGAACGGCCCCGGGAGGAGAGGGGGACGGGGGTTTCAGCACTTCCTTCTACACATCTAGCGAAAGTCCTCAAGAGAGTCAAAGTCAAAATCAAAGTCAAAGGTCCTTCCTTCCTCATCTCAGTCTCCCGTCCCCTTCCCCCCGGGCCCCAGCCGGTGACCCCCGTCCATTTCCCCCTGGTCTGGTCTGGTCTGGTTGCAAGGAGCAGGAGCAAGGAAGGGGGCTCCACGCTCCACATCACGCTGCTCACGCTCACGCTCTAGAAAGGTCTCGGAGATTAAAGACATTCTGGAAGCCGACGACGATGGGGGTCGGGGGGGGGCCAGTTTGGGGCTAAAGAAATTCTTCGCGATTCACTTCACTCGGTCGGTCGGAAGCGTACTAGCTCGCAGGCTCGGAGGTGCGAGTTTGATGAGGCGCAAAACACATATCATATCTACTCGGGAGTCGGGGCTTGCGATGCGACGCGACGCGATGTCATGCGGAGGCAGGTAGACACTCTAGGTACTTTGCGCCTCTCTGCTCCTCATACCATAACCAAAATGAGGCGGAATTTGGGCGAGATTGAGATTTCATGCGCCGAGCAGAGCACACGTACTCTACCTATCATTCATAGTAGCTTGTTCGCAAAATGATACGTACCTTCGTGGGGGTGGTGGTGTGGGGTTGCGGTGCTATCGATCGTGGCGGCGACGGTGGTGGTGCTCTGAAGCCGCAGCGAAATCGAAATCACCTGAGCCTGGAAGTAGAGGCGAAACGGAAGCGCAGCAGCGCAGGACAATCTACTATACTTTTTTGATGCGAACTTACTTTTTGTGCGGCTGGGATCACCAAATGAGCGATGAGCGGGCGGACGTCGGGCGGACGAAAGCGAAAGCCCCTGGGGGTCTGGGGCCCCAGTTCGTGTGAGCGTGTGAGCCGTTCTTTCGAGGGTCGGGTCGTGTGAGCCGGTTGTCGGTTGGCACTGGAGACTGGAGAATGGAGATAAGGCTGCCGGTGGAGGTGGTGGTGGTGGATGTGGAGGAGGAGAGGACGAGGAAGATGAGGCGGTGGTGGAGGAGGAGGAGGAGGAAGAGGAGGCGGTGGTGGAGGTGGTGGAGGAGGCGGTGGTGGAGGTGGAGGTGGAGGTGGAGGTGGAGGAGGAGGAAGTGGAGGTGGAGGTGGAGGAGGAGGAAGTGGAGGAGGAAGTGGAGTGGAGGTGGAGGAGTGGAGGTGGTGGCAGTGGTAGCTGTGGTAGCTGTGGTGGTGGTAGCCGTGACGGTGATGGTGGCTGCGGTAGCTGTAGTGATGGTATTCGTGACGGCGATGCGTGATGCGTGATGCGTGATGCGGCCATGCTCCAGAGCTGCGAGTACTCCGAGTCCAATGCAGAGCAGGTACACGGAGATATTCTATTCTCGAATACCTATGATACATGCTATCGATGCTCCCGAGTCCAGCGTAGAATCCAGCGTAGAGTACGGGGGTAACAAGAGAGGTTCTTACTTACCTATCCAGCCACGTCCCGGGATCTTATCTCGATGGAGGCGCCACATGTTTCGGAAAGAAACAGCAAGCATCCCCCATCCTCCATCCCCTCCAATAATGCACTTGCATACACTACACTGCGGGTACCGTACAGATCGTTCCAAGTCCATGTCGTGCTCCTGGCCGTAGTAAGCTCCTATGTATCAACAGCGCGATTTGATTTGATTCCCGCCGAGTCCAGCAGCAGCGAAATCCGCATCAAGTAGGTAGCATAAGTAAGATGTATGAAGGATGTACAACAAAGCGCAGGCTTCGTGGACGATCGGGCTCGTGGAAAATACCGAATCCCGGTGTCATTCGTTCGTGCGACTCATTGCAGAGACGTATTCGGCACTGGCTGGCTGGCGACTGGGGAAGAAAAACGTTGGGGCGTTGACGAGTGGCTGGATGGGCAGCAGCCTTCGCTTCGCCCTTCTCTTGCTCTTCCTCATCCTCATCGTTTTTTCTGCGTTCTCTTCGCTGATGGTGACGATGCGGGGGGGAGCTAACTTTACTTTACTTTTCTGACTCTGCAGATGCTGAGAAGGGGAGGGATGAGAAGGGGAAGGGGAAGAGGGAAGAGCAGCTGGCTTCCACGTTGTGCTGTTGTTTTTTTCTTTTCTTTTCTTTTCTTCCCTTTTCTTTCTTTTTTCTTTCTTTCTATTCGTTTCTTTTCTTTTCTTTTCTTTTTCTTTTTCTTTTTCTTTTTCTTTTTCTTTTTCTTTTTCTTTTTCTTTTTCTTTTTCTTTTTCTTTTTCTTTTTCTTTTTCTTTTTCTTTTTCTTTTTCTTTTTCTTTTTCTTTTTCTTTTTTCTTTTCTTTTTTCTTCTTCGTCTTCTTCTCCTTCTTCTTCTTCTTCTCCTTCTTTTTTTTGAGTTGCGTCAAAAAGTTGGTTTTGGTTGCATGGCAGCAGCTTGCGTCATAGCGATCTGGGGCGGGCGCGGCAAGTAAAGACAGTAGGGGGGGAGGGGGGGAGGGTACACAGCAGCCGCAATGGGCATGGCGTTGGCGTGCAGGAGAAATTACGAACTCGCGCTAGGAGTGTGCGCCCTGTTCCGAGTTGTCGGGAAGATCTTCGCTCAACCACATGTAGAGTGCCCGCCGAGTTTCACACGGGTCGACTGCTTTCCTTTTCCTGTGAGTTGTTACTCTACGTAGTACATACACTCAACACACGTATGTGTAGTACTCGCGCAAAGAAAAAAAAGAGGCTGGGGGATTCGGGTGTGTGTGAGTGTTGTTGTTGTATGTATGCGTGAGTGTTGTTGTTGTATGTATGCGTGAGTGTTGTATGTGGGAGTGAGTGTTGCGTGTGTGCCTGAGCGTGTCTGCGCGCACCGAGAATGGGACGAAATGTGTGTATGTGTCGGTGCTCGTGCTCTCGTGCCAGGTGGTTTTCGATGATGATGATGAGGTTGTTCTGGCTGTGCTACCGAGTCCGGCTGCAGTCGTGGTGGTGGTGAGTGGGGAGTTGTCGAAGTCGACGATGGTGGCGGTGTAGAGAACGTCAAAAGCGAGGTAAGGGTTGGTCGGGGTGTGATCGAAGGGAAGAATCGCCATTCGCTGCTGCAGCCAGGCGGACTGAACCCGGCGGCAATTGCTGTAGATCATCCATCCATACTCCACTGTATGCAAGACAAGACCGAAATATGTGTACAGCAACGACGACGTCGACTGACTTCACTCGACCAACATTCAGCATCATCATCAGCAGCAGCAGCAGCAGCAGCGCCGGCGGTAGCAGCAGCAGTAGCAGCCGTAGCATTCGGGCTTCACTTGACTGGCTGTCCGCGTACGGCCTGACATCCATCGAACCTGTTCTCGTACCTGGCGCTCGCCCCACGCCATGGAGCGACAATGGCCAGACCTCATGCCGATGACCTTGCCCGCATGTCATCTATTGGCGACAGCATCAACATCTCCGTCCGCGCCGGGCCAGTCCGATCCACCCATTCCGTGGGGCGCATTCGTGATGGCGGCGTGCAATTGGGGGAGGGGGGTGGGGTGCTAGCAATTGGTCAATTGGCGCTGGCCAGACGCGGGATGTGGCCATCGTGAGGAGGAGGTCATGGGAAAGCGTGCCGGAGCAGGTGGAGCAGCCGGTGCTGGGTGGGAAGGAAGCGGACGATCGTCGACGAGGGAGGAGGACGACGACGATGAGGAGGAGGGGAAGGAGGGCGGACGATTGGAAATGGCCTACGGGGGGCAGTCAATCTCATTACGGCGTGTACGAGGGGAGGACCTTTGCTTGCTTGCCTGTCTGCTTGCTCGTCTACTTCCTGCGTGCTTGCTTCCTGCTTACTTGCACTCTCCGGTCTGCTCCCTATCCCTGCGCTGCTCCCTCCATACGCCCACTTCGCACTCCTTACACAAATCCCCTGCCCCCAAGATGCTCTACCGATGCTCCATCGGCCTCCCATAACGGCGCTGCTGCCATACACCTGCTGTGATACACTTGCGGTGCTGCTGCCACTGCGGACCCAGGTATGGGAATTATTAGCCCACATGCACCCATTCATTTCGTTGCGCCTGTTTTTCGTTCCGGACCCTGCCCTCCCCCTCTAGGCATCTAAGGAGGACCTACATGGACCTGAAGGTCCTCTCACTAGTAAACTCTCTAACCTCCAACCTCGACTGCCTACTGTGCCTGCCTGCCTGCTCTGACTATCCACATCCGTTCTCGTCCCATCTCATCGGTCAACCGCAAACCCGCCCTGTGCCCTCCCGCCCGCGGTCCTGTTACACGCTCCCGCCGACAGTGAAAAAAAGACCCCCCTCGACTCTCATCCCAAAGCCCCCCTCCCGTCTCCTCTCTCCTGCTCTTCCTTCCTCCCGCTCTCCCCTCCCCTCCCCCCCCCCCCAATCCCCAAAAAATTCCAATCCAAACAAAAACTCTCCGCCTTCCCTGCAGGAACGCGGCAACGAAAGACGCTTCGCCGAAATTCATTCATCTGCCTGCCCTGCAGTAAGCCCGTGGCTAGCTTCAGACACACAGGACGGACAAGACGGACAGCCTGGCGACGAGGCTACCTATTATTATTCGAAGGCACCACACATCTCTTGTCGTTTCGGAAAGAAACGTCCCTGCTTCAGCTCTTCTTTCTTTTTCTCCTCCCCCCCCCCGTCCCGGCCCAGACGGATCCAAAATTCGTCATACTATGCAATCGGGTCCTGAGAATACCTCCAGCAAGTAGCATACAAAGACTTGTCCTCCATCGTGGCACTCAGTCTGCCCCACCAACCATCCTTCACCATCCTCATTTGTTGCAACATCAAAGTGGCTGAGCCAGACCACACTCTCTTTGGACGTCTACGACGACGACAACACCGACAGCAACACCAGAGGAACAGCACCGACACCACCACCACCCCCACTACCACCAGCCGCAATCCCAACACCAACCGTGGTCCACGGACGCGAAGGAACAAGCAAGAAACCCGAAACCACTACCAGCTAGGGTCTTCGGCGAACGGGAGCCACGAAACAAGGTCAGCACACTGGTGGTGCCTGTGAATGCCAACAGACAGGCGCTCGACATCCCCACTGGCTCTGGTCTCTCCCGGAGCTGCCGTACACCTGTCATTGTTGGATCTAGTACCAACCCGTATAAGTTTCCCGGCATTCCCTGGTTACGGTAATGCACCGAAACACCCTCTGCTGGACACACCAACATTCCTTCCTTCAACCACCGCCGCCACCACCACTGTCTGCACCACCAACACGATCATTCAACCACATCACGGACACGTTTCCTTCCGTCACAGTCCCAGACCACTACGCTGTGCGTTGCAGACCACCAGCCGTGCAGGAATCCGCATGAGAGCAGCACCCTAACGACAACATCACCATCACCATCATTCCCGGAAAAAAATCGTCACACTGACGACTATTACTGCCCAGCAGTCGTTGCCCGCGTGGCAGAGTCAACCCACCTGGTACCCCAACAGGACAACAGTGGAGCACAGAGTTCGGGGTATGGAGGAAGGTGATCGTGACCGGCAACCGTCTGCGCGACAAACCGGCGACCATCCGTACAGTGGTCAGTCCTACAACCCGATAACCTACCAACACGACTACGCACAGGACTCGCAGGCCCGACAACAGCAATACCCCCCATACGGTAGCAATATGGAGTACGGCTTGCCACAGTCGTCTGGCCAGACCTACGCCCCCATGCAGTCGTATCCGCCCCGTCAGAACGCTGCAATTGAGGTTCTCTCGAGTCAATTCTCTGGTGGAGCTCAGTACTACGTTTCAGCCGATTCGCCCACTCCGGTGGGACCCACTTCCACCCCACATCACCAGCAGCAGCACCAGCAACACCAGCAGCAATCTTCTGGTCAGTTTTCCAGTCCGTCCTACGGGCAGTACAGCCCCGCCGCGGCGCGCCTACCCCATCCATACACCTCCAGCATCCCCGATCTCAATCCGCCTGCTCCAGTAGCGGCATCCGAGCCGGCGGAGGACCCCGAGTACGCGACCCAACACCAAGCTGCGGCCCTAGACGAGGCGTACGCCCAGTACCAAGGCGCCCTCAAGAGGACATTCCAGAACATGCGCGAAGGTCGACTTGGGGAAGCCGGAGCGTCTCTCCTCACGATATCCGACTGGTTGTTGTCGAATGCTGTGGAACTAGGTACGTGCTAACCACTCACTCATCTCACTCCCCTTTCCCCCCTCCCCCTTCCCCCGCCCCCACCCACCTCGCGGAGCACGGTTCACTGTTTTGTGCGCTCTGCGAGAGAGATGATGATTCCCCCCTCGGTTTGAATGTTGTATAGTAATGGCTCGCTGAGACGGTAGCGACAGGGTTAGTGCGCGATGAACAGGAGTTACACGGAGACCGCACAAGACTGTGGAACGAGTTCAATACATGCTGGCTGTCGGTCCTGCACAAGGAGAAGGAAATGCTCCAGGAATACGTCTCTACCGGACAGGCACCGCAAGCACCCAGGGAATTGTTGAGGGAAGATTTCCTGGAGAGAATGGGCCGGGAGTTGGTTCGGCTTTGCGACAACATGGAAGGTCATGGGTTGGTGGATTACCAGATGGGTGTCTGGGAAGAAGAGATAATCGACGGTAAGCGCCTAGTGCATTGCGTGCAGTGCAGTGCAGTCGTCTGCAGCATCGGCAATTCCCCCATGTTTTTTGACAGTTACTGACTTCACGGATGGACATAGCCATATCGGAATGCTTGGATCTGCTGGAGGGGACTGCGGCAGGGGCGCAAAATGATGGTGGAGCACCAGCACCTGTGCCCAACGGCCGGGGACATCCCACCCGCTAGCGCGCGAGGCCTACCTACCTACATCCTACCTACCTACATACCAAGGCATGAGAGACACGAAGAGAGCGACTATTTACGACGAAAAGCAAACGACCTTAGATTTTTCCCTATGTTCTATACCACATACACACAATACACGCGAGGAGGAGGGCTGGGATTGACTGGTTGGCTGGGGGTGGGTGGTCAAGTCTGGGGGGAGGGGTGGAGGGGGGATGGGGGGATGGGGGGTTTGCTTTCTCTTCCTTACCATTTTCCAAAATCTCATTGGGCGGACGACGAGGGGGAAGGAAGAGGAGAGGGGAGGGTTGGGGGAGGGTTTGGGGATTTCTCCGCATCATTTCCTTATCCTTTTCTTGTTTCATTACTAGACGCATTCGGTATTTCGGTATTCGCGTCACAGGTGTTTAGGCTTTCGGGGTATATCTGTTGGAGTTCATGGGGTGTGGTTGTATAGACTGTACTTTTATCATTTGGCACGGTGGGGCACGGTGGGTGGGGAAGTGGAGGTGGGCGGGTGGGCGTGTCGCGGGACTTGGGATAGGACGGGGTGGGGTGGGACGGTTGTTTGTTTGATTGTTTTGTACTGTTTTTTTATTGTTGTGTTGATTCGTTTTGTTTTGTTTTGTAGAGGAACGGTGGGGGCCACGGGAATAGATTTTACTGTACGAAGGTAGGCAGGCTGGAAGCTGGAAGGACGGAAGTAATCACGACACGCAGAACAAACAGTACAGCCCAACCAGTCAACCAAGCAAGCAAGCAAGAGGAATGTTTATGGCGGGGTATCCCCTCCCCTCCCTCTAGTGGGAAGACCGGGGATCGTAGACCGGGGGAGGAAGCTGCTGCTGCTCAGAACGAGTCCAGCGTCATCATGCTCATCGAGACGTCAGTGTGCTCGACCATCTTGCAGAACTCCTCGAAGCTGATCTTGCCGTCCAGGTCCTCGTCGGCTTCCATCATCGTCTTGTCGACTATCTGTAGCAGAGCGGGTCTCGTCAGCCCTAGAGAACCGGCAAAGCGAAGTGTACCTGGTGATACACCATGCCCCTCCCCCCCTCCCCCCTCACGAGCGAACTCGCAAGGGCAAGGTCACGGGCAAGGTCACGGGCAAGGGTCATGATCACCACTTTCCACCTTCCAGCCAAGGCGCGATGCGAGGGATGCGAGGGAGGGGGGTGGGATTGTAGGCAATCATCGCCTCGCATCGCCCCGCCTCGCACCAAGGTGATGATCACCACCACCTTCCACCCAAGGCGCGCGATGCGAGGAAGCGGGGGGTTGGGGGGGTTGGGGGGGGTTGTACAACCATCGCCCCGCCCCGCCTCTCCTCTTCTCTAAAAGCAAACTCGCGCGCGCACAGAAAACGGAAAGACATACCTGTTGCAGCTGCTGATCTTTGAGGTTGCTTCCGACCATCATCTTGAGGACGATGAAGAGCTCGCCGTTACTGATGTAGCCGTCCCTATCGATGTCGTACACCTTGAAGGCGAAGCGGAGCTTCTCCTGCTTGCCGCCCTTGCTGCTGAACGCGCTCAGGCCCGACACAAACTCTTTGAAGTCGACGTCGCCGCCGCCGTCTTCGTCGAAGATGGCGATCATTCTAGAGGGGTTAGTGTGAAAACTGGGAAGGGCGGGGGGATGGGTACCGTGTCGCCAGTGGGTTCGATGAGACTTGCGGCAGGCTCAGGAACTCTTCGCGCTCGATCGTACCGGAGTTATCCTGTAGCGCGGGTCAGGATGGGATTCACGGCCGTTGATAAGGGGGAGGGGTAAGGACCTTGTCCAGCTTCATGAATCTTTTGCGGAGACGGTCTACTTCCTCATGGTCGACTAATCCCCCCAAACATCGCGCTCGTCAGCTATCCATCTTCTTCTTGACCTTCTCCCACTGGATCTAGAGGGCAGGAGGACGTGAGAGAGCGAGGGGAACTGACAGTTGCTTCCCGACACGATGCTGTCCATCAGCGAATGGTTCTGTCCCATGGCTTGGGTTGAGTTCGGTTGTGTGTTTGGTTCGGTGGGATGGAGATGGGGAAGGAGGCTCGGCGGTGTTGAGGTGTTAAGGTGTTAAGGTGAGGTTGGACGTTGGACGGGAGATGGATGGGAGGGAGGCTGAATGCGGGGGTGGGGTGTGCGCGTGTTATGCGTGTGTTGTGAGTGTGTTGTGCGTGTGTTATGTGGTTGTGTGGTGGTTGTATGCGGTGCAGCTTCCGTTGTTCACTTGGGACCTGACGGGGCTTTTATGTAGAGTAGGTAGGCAGAGTAGGTAGCTGCGCGGCTCGCTGTGTGTTCGTAGAATATGTAGGAAGCTCCACAAAGAGCGACAGATGCGCACTTTCTTTCTCCTTTTTGCGCGCGAGGCCACACCACCACACGTTGCTAGGTGCCAAGAGGGCCGGCCGGACGAACGAATGGGACGAACGCACGGTGTCCGTGATAGCTGATAGCGGAGGATGGCCTGGACTGCACTTTTCGGGGGAGGGGGATCTTGGCGGGGGAGGATCGCGCGAGTGCACGGCGGGTGCTGCGGAGTGGTTAAGCGCGGGCCGCGCCGGAGGTGATTCGCACGACTGTAGAGTACGGTACGTACTGGCTGTGGGCTTTGTATCACCGGCCCGATACTGGGGCCCGTCCCGTCGGCCTGTACATGTCCCCGGCGGGACGGGACTCACAATGCTAAATCGTTCACGATGTCCGGCTCTCCGAGCAATTTCTAGAGCCGTTCGTCGCTCGCCGCAAGTGTCGCTAATAGGATGCTCGTTCAATACCACTCGTCGACGGACGACACTCTATGCCCGCTTCTGCGCTTGGGCGGCTGCAGGGTATTCCGAGCATCTTCTCGCCGTAGCTGAGTACTCACCACTTATGATACCTATACTGTGCACGATCAGTACATACTGAGAGACCTGCGATGGGTACGGGCAGCTGGTGAGACTGATCGGATTGACTAGAAAGCCACAAGAAAAGAAAGCAGCCTGTGTTCTTCGGGCCGAACAATCTCAAAGTTTCTCCGCGATGTTAAACTGATAATGTCTGCGGTGGTGATAATGTCTGATGCCTCGTGTCTTGAATGACAGACCAGCTGATTAATCGAACACAAAAATAGCATCAGAGAACATCTCAACGTTGAGGCGACCGCATCGGGTATGGTCCCACTCTGTGCCCGCTTCTGCGCTTGGGCGGCTGCATGGCATTCAGAGGATCTTCTCTCGTCGTTCTTCCCTTCGAAAGCGCACGTATCGCTCGTCGTCTTCTTTGTTGTCGAAGAATACGTACATATGCATCCAAATGCCTCGAAAAGTACCCTTTCGTATACCTAGATACGATTTCGAGCTCATAGACGCGCGTAGAGTCTGTATGCACGGTAATGCGAGTGCGAGAGCTGCCTGCGGCTACACATACTCATACTTTCTGTGCTCATACTACGTACCTGTTATTATATACTTCACGCTTGAGACTTATTCGGTCGAAAGCGCGCAGGAATGGCTCAAGCACGCAAAGTTTCTATCCCGCCTTTCTCCCTCACGCTGGGTTGCAATCGCGACAATTGGTCTCCCCGCGCAGCCGCCCCCGCCATATCGTCGATCTGTAGCTGTGGCTGAGGCTGCGGCTCGACCACTTTCTATGCGTTACCAAGGTTGTTGTGGTGGCAACGCACATGGGCAAGAGTGGCCGGGCGACCACGCCGCAGCGTCGCCCTCGCAACGGCAGCATTGACTGGCCTGTTGCGACCAACTAGTGGCAAACCGCCGTACACTCTCCTCCTCGCGAAAAAATAAAAATAGGGGAGCATCACCACGCCTCCCCGTATTTCCCACGCTCAACGGCCGCAACAAACCTCCTCATCAACACTTCTTTACTCCTCTTCACGATACTTCCCGTCACGCGCTTTCGACTCAATCCGATATTGCAGGGGACTTTTTTTTTCGCACCCCCCCCCCCCGGCTACTCACCACACACCCCCCCTCCCCACTCGCGGCGCGCGCGCTGAGTCGCCACCCTACTTCACTCTACCTACGGCTACGATGACTCGGTCGGCGCCGGGAAACCGTTTTCGTGTGCGAAAACTCAGCAACAAACAGAGTCTTGCGGTTCTCCGAGAGAACCAAATAGACTCTGTAGACGATGATGGACAGAGGAACATCCCTCAGATAGAGACTGGTGTTGAACGACAAGAGGAGACCGTACGTTGTCCCCCTTTCCTGCTGCTGCCCCCTCTTCGGCTATTTTTGGCCGAACGCGAACGATGAACAAACCACAACGAAAAAGAAACCCCAACCCTCGTTCCGATTAAAAAGGGACTCCCAATCATCTCAACGGGAGATATGGGAAGAAATAGGAGAAAGAGAGCGAGAACGAGCCTTGTGTTCTTAGCTCGTGGGGAATCCGCACTATCGCCGGGCTTTTTTTGGAGCGATTTTGACGCGCGTTGTCACGCGATATCAATCGGCCTGGGCTAACACTTCGCGCATGGCCGTATAGGAACACCATCTCCAAGCTGCGATCTCGGCACATCAAGCTGCGGCTGTTGGCTCCAAAGACCCCAAGAAAGTCCTGATCCCGACACCCAATACAACCGAACTGTCTGCGGAGCGCTATGGCAAACTGTATCCCAAGCGATTCCAGAAGCCGTGGGGCAACATTCGGTCGTCGGCGACGGTCGAGGACTGCTGCGGTACACAGTACTGCATGTCCGAGACGGACGACCAATACCTCGCGAAGCTCAACGAGTCGAGAGCACCCGGCCTTCCGCCCGTCACCGAGGATCAATTCGAGACCATCATGGACCTGTATGAGAGTGCGATCCAGCAGACTCAGCCGTATCTCTCCATGGATGTCACGAACATCATTCCGTTCGAGGAGCTGGAACATGCTTTTGAGGAGACACTGGATACCGCTCTGAAGCTTGTGGCCAAACACATTTACACGTACTGGAGAGAGCAGAAGGTCAATCGGAGTGGACGCACCATAATTCCTTCCCTCAAGGTTGGTTTGATTCCTGTACTTATTATATCCCTCTTCCCTTCCGCTTGCTTCTGTTTGGTTCGTGCATAGTGCTAACTCCCCGTGCGTGCAGTTCGAGCAAGGAGAGAAAGACGATGGTGACCCGTATGTCTGCTTCAGACGCCGCGAGGTCCGCCTACCGCGAAAGACGAGGAGGACGGACGCTTCGAGCACCGATAAACTCAAGAAGATCAGACAGGAGTTCGAGACTGCGCGAGGGCTGGTCAGAGACGTCTTGCAGAGAGAGATCATGCGTCGCACGACTTTCGTCTTGGAGAAGCAGATCTTTGAACAGCGCCGAACTGCTATCGATCTCAAGCGGAAGCTCAACATCAAGGACACGGATGAAGACCTCATAAATAAGTTGGGCGTAGGTTCCTCCCGTAGTTCCAACTTATTCGGTCGAGACTTAACTCGCGGCCATAGCCCAAACGGCAAAGAACGGAGCCCCAAGCACCCCCCACCCTCCGGATACCCATTCGACAAGACGGGAAGCCGCCAGATGCCGATCTGCGGCAACTAACCACACAGCGGGCGGAGGAGGAGAAAAAGAGGCTGGAGAAGTATGGTTCGATGCGAAAATCGTTGCGTGCGATAGTCAAGTATAACGTATCGGATGTGACATTGGGCGCCTTGTATAAGTCGCCCGATCCGACGCTGAAACCTCCGTCGAGTTTTTTTTGCAGCGTGCAGACCCACTATATTCCTAGTCCTCCCCATTCCGCCGAGTCTACGCCTATCTCACCGGAGTCCGACGCTGGTTCTTCGGTGGGAAGGATGGTCTCAATTATTCAGGCCTCTCCACGGAAGCCACCGCCACGAAATCTACCAAGATACCGTCGCCGGGTCGGTCGTGGTGGACGTATTCTCGTTGACCGAATAGGATGTACCGGTATCGCCAAAGAAAACGCCGATCCTCTGGTCCTTGACCGTATGAAGTACGACAACTATGACAGTGACGAGGACGAAGACGTAACGTTCACAGTTGACCCGTTTAATGATGCGTCAGTTGCCTGCTGACTTACCTTCTCCCTACATGGAATTCTTGCTAAACCTCCCACAGATCCATCAAGTTCCGCGCTCAGATGATGTCTCCCCCGCCGGAGCCCGTGGCGCAGACTCCCAATGCCATGCGCCGGCAGATGATGGTTAGTAGTCCCCTCGTCATGGCTCCAGGCGCTGGAAACCCTCCAGCCAACGGTCACCATCCTGGCACGCCCCATCATCCGATGATGACGCCCAATGGAACGCCCACGATGCAAGTAAACGGCATGTCAGTGCCAGCTTTCCCGACTCCGCGCCGTTAGATACGCGCGTTGTTCTACCCCTCCACTGCTGGAAAGACTTTGACCGCGAGGTTCTCTTCGAGATGTGTCTTTCTTTTTTTCTGCCGTCTTCCTTGTTACTGGTAGGTTTGTTTCTTGTGTTTTGGCTAGCAAGCGAGGGGGGTCTGTTGTCTGCTGGTATGTACTTGATCTTGCGGAGTATCTTGGGTTTTTTGTTGTTTTGTTTTGCAGACGGTATTCTTTCCGTTTTTCTTTCCGTTTTCTTTCCGTCACTCTCTCTCACCCTGAAGCAATCACTCTACTCTGTACTTTAACTTTGGCGGGACGGCGGCGGAGGCGGAGGAGGCTTGAGGACAGAAAAAAAACATCTGTAGCATCGAGGTCTATCACTTCTTTTCTAATTTACTGGTGGGGGGGCGGGGGAGAGGTTTCATTGTGCGTTTTTTTTGCTTGCTTGTTGGCTGTATGAATACGGTACCTACTCGATTTCTAGTTTTGTTTGGCTACTTACCTACTTTCACGGTGCGGAAGATGGAAGGAGGGAGGGAGGGAGGGAGGGAGGAGCGGAAGGACGGCAGGGGCGAGGAAAGGCGAGGTTGGAGGTTGGAGATTGAGGGGATGGGGGGATGGGTGGATGGGTGTATTTACTGCTGTACCTACCTACGCAGTCACTGGTACTCTAGAATGGCAGACCTCAAAGTTCCTCCGTGTGCTCCGGAGGACAAAGCAGGCAGGCAGGCAGACAGCGATTGTGATCTCGAGGATGATTGACAGGATGATATGACAGAATGGCACAATATGTGTAGCCTGACCAAGTTCCTCAGCACGGTGTTCTGGCCGAGTGGTCTAAGGCGCTAGCTTCAGGTGCTAGTGGAGCAATCCGCGCAGGTTCGAATCCTGCGGACATCATCATTTTTTTGTTTTTTTTTTGTTTGAAGATGGGACAGCTGGGTAGGAAAGCATGGGTGGGCTGGCGGGAAAACTGGGCGGGTTGGCGAGGGATGACGACGGGATGTAGGTGCATGGAGCAGCACTCGGATGGAGGGATAATAGGTATGTTGGAATTATGCGTCTCATTGCCTAGGTTCCAAGTACCCATTCTGGTGTCACTGCTACTTTTCTCTGTCCTTTATCCTTTTGCATCGTAGCATGAGCTGTCTTCACGGCCTTCGTCGTATTCTCTGTCGAGGCTTCATCTCGTTGTTTACATGAGCTTGTTTCCCTTTATAAGCAGGCTTCTTTCTCGTCATTCTCGTCTTTTTTTGTGTCGTCACGTCAATCAAGTCAGGTTCTTCTCTCAGTTTCAACAATGGATGGAATGGCGGTATACCTATTCTAACGTGAAGGAGCTCCTCCTTACGGCGTCCAAACCTATAGCACCAGTCTTGAACTGGAGTAAAGGTGTAGAGATAGTCAACCCGTCACCCGTCGTCAACCACCCCGCCGCCGCCGCTGAAGATCACCAACGGAGGTGGATAATTCCATTCCGTACGCACAGGCACATGGTAAGTAGGCACCCATGTAAAAGGGACCAATATACGTACAGTACGGCCAATACCTACTACGGGATGAAGAACCCGAAGGGATAAAATCTGGATGTCGATCGGATGGCCCAGGTATGTACCTTTTGCCCATACGGTAGTGTCTGTATGTATCCCCTCCACCCCTCCTCCACCTCTACCAGCCCCGAGAACCTCACAAGAACGAGGACCACCGTCCGGCACTATATATATCTCCAGTGTCCACACCGCTGTACAGTACTCCACGTACGGTGCTCCATACCGACGAAACCTATAATTATATCATACCATATCACTCGCTCCACGAGTGACCAGTAGTGAACTCCGAGCACACCCGCTCGCAACGAAACACTTGCGCGTTGGCTCGAAAACCACGTTCATGTCATGTGAGGGATTAGCCGGTGCCGGTGCCGGTGCCAAGGAATCAGTCGGGTCCCTTACATTTGTCGGTACATACCTCATCCATACGAAGCCTCGCATTCGAGCAACCAGGACCAGGAGCAGTTGCGCTCACGGTTTGGGACCTAGGTATAAGGTATGTACCGGTGGGCGGCGGATGGCAACCAATCGTGCCCGCAGTTCTGTAGTTATAGTAGATGCGGAGTAACTGGGTAGTTAGTAGATAGGTATTGGGAATAGTGAGGATGCCGCTGTAATCACTGTAGTCACTGGTCTAGCATTTTGGGCTTTGGTATTTGCAGGTCTCGGTGCTATTGCCTCGGCCTGCCCCCCCTCGGTCCTTCCCCGCCAGTAAAAACCAAACTCCTCGCCAGACAACCAAGCAAGCAAAGAAAAAATGATGTCCGCAGGATTCGAACCTGCGCGGATTGCTCCACTAGCACCTGAAGCTAGCGCCTTAGACCACTCGGCCAGAACACCTTGTATGGGTAATCTTGCATATCAATTTTCGTGAAGCAATATTTATGTAGAAGTTGTTTCTTGTGGATGGTGCCTGGCACGTATGTCCAGCTTGGGCGCCATCTACCACAACTCTTACCAGACGGCGTAGGCATTCACATCGGCTCTCTTCCACAAGGCATTTCCCACATCATCTACATCAAAATTTATTTCACCCAAATCCGTGTGCTCGCGTCTCCCAAACAGTACTTAAATAGAAGAGAACCCCCCCAGTAACGTAACTAATACACAGCAAAAAAGACCCAAACGCCAACCGATTCAAAATAAGGATATCACCATCTAAGTAGCAGCAGCTACCTTCCATCGACCCCCCACAGCAATGCCATGCTACTGATCGAGCCCGCCGAGTGCACGCCGGAACGCTTGGCCGGTAATCGTGCGACCCCGCCCTTCAGCGTCTGCAGTCGCAGATTCATATTCCTGGCCAGGAACCTCTGCAGTCTTGCCGCCTCGCTTTCCCACTTCTCCTCCAGGAGCTTCAGATTCTGCTCCACGCCGACAGCCATGAGTGCGTCCTCCTCCGAAAAGGATACCTTCTTTGTGCGCGAGGCCTTGCGGAAGCTTGATTTTTTCTTTTCCTTTTCGGGGGGTTGTGAGGGCGCGCTTGTGAGGGGGTGGGGGGTGCGGTGGTCCCAGTTGTCTGGGATGGCGGGTTGGCAGAGTTTTTCTTTTAGAAGGCGCATCTGGTCCATGCGGTCGCGATCCATGCGAGGGAGGTAGAGGAGCGTGTGGTTGTGCTCGATGGCGTTGACCATCGCGGTGAAGCCTTGCAGGTGGATGTCGTTCATATCGCAGTGGAGCTCGCGGAGGGTGGTGTTTTTGGGGAGCATGGATGCCAGCTCCATGGCGCCGGGGGTGCCGAGTGATTGCACTATCACATGGTCAGTAAACGCAGTAACCGCCATCACCACCACCAACAAAGAGTGACCACATACGTTCGATCCTCAAGATCTCCAACGTCTTATTCTCCGCGAGGCGGCTAAGCGCGTTCAGGAGTCCCGCTCCTAAACTCGCACTCTCAAGAACAGCCTGTTCTCCAGAGATGTCCAATTCCCTCAACGTCGTGTTCTCAGCAAACAACTTCCCCAGCAATGCCGACGTCTTCTCTCCCGCTTCGTACGGCAGCGAGATCTTGCCCATGTCCAAGTAGACGATCGTGTTGTTGACGGTAAGCGCGCGTATGAATTCCTGGAATGGCTCTTCCTTCGGGTAATCCACCATCCGCATCGTCAGGTGTGACGGTGTTCGGCCTTGCGATATGCAATCGATGAAATCCTGCGAATCGTGGGCCAAAGAGCTAGAGCCGACGTAGAGATGCAGGTTTCGCGCTTTGCCCTTTTCTCGTTCCATGGAATGCATCAACAGCGCTACATCTCGAGCCGTCAAGCCACACTGTAAGAGTGCCAGATGGCGCAATGCATCTGATTGCGGGCTTGCTAAGTATGTGGCAATGGCTTCTACCGTTTCGGCATTGAGCTTTGTTTCACTGCGTCGCATTAACTCCGACCGTCAGCCAACCATGGGATTTGCAACACACCTAAGATCCAGATCCTCCAAGCGCCATCTATGCAAAGTCTCCGCTGTCAAGACCGGATCGTCTCCCGACGTCCTCAGGAGCCGGGAAAGATTGAGTTTCCTGAGGAATGGGAAGTATGTCATGGCGTTGTTGAGAGTAGGAGCGTGCATCCTACACGGGTTCCCACAGATATCAAGTGCCTCGAGTGTGTTCTCATGGGTGCTCAAGGCGTTCAAGAAGAGCGTAAGCATTCTTTCCGTGAGCCCGCAACGAGCAAGCTCGAACCCACGGAAATGCGCCAGCCTCGATGCTGCAGCATCAACTGCAAAAACACAATTTCCGTCAGCTTAACACACGCATGAGGAGTTGAAGCTACCCACCAAGCCAATCCAAATCCGCTTCTCCCAACTCGATCCCCGTCAGGTTGAACCAATCGACATTGGTCAAGCCTCGCCGACACAGCGGCATGATAGCCTCCTGTTGACTTGGTTAGGCTGAACTCAAACAGAGAACAAAATGTTCTTTCGTCGGGCTTACCACGATAGGGCAAGCGCGATCACTGGTCGGTTCGATAGGTGAATTGGAACCGCCATTGACATCCTCCTTCCTGATGCTTTCGTGAAAGTCCATCCGCCTCAACTTGCCACAGTACAGTGCAAGTGCGCGGAGTTCGTGTACGAGCAAGGTTTTGGCTCCCTGCGAGGCCACCTTCAGATTGATTTTCCGTCCTGAACGCTCCACACTCGGCTCGTATTCCGATCCGTGGACATCGTACACTCGCGTCAACGGATCCAAGGATATTCCCCGGAAGGATATCGAGCAAAACGCGTCATTCCACCGTAACGTCCGCAGAACCGCCAGCAGCTCTAGATCAGTGTAACTTCGTCGTCGCGGATGTGCCGGAGGGTACAACTGAAACCGCGGTGCGTCCTCGACATCCGTCGCCACGGTGTAAACGATATTCGACGCATCGATCTCGTATGCTGTGCAGTATGCTGCCAACGTCCTATCGAATCCGTTCAGGTCATCTCCGGGCGTGGGTGGAATGTCCGGTAGTGCTTCATCCTTCATGGTCTCCGGAATGTTGATCGAGTACGGCTGGATCTGCCACATTGGCCGCAGGTATTCGACAGCTTGTCGTACGGCTTGAATGATCTCGGGTGCATCTGCAGATGCGAGACTGAGCTTGTGCGGGTGTCGACATGGTGTTCTGCAACCCGTTAGCTATATCTTCACAAAAAAGCAGTAAGCGTCCACCGCCACCGCCGCCACCACCAACACTACCACCATCCCATTCTCCCCCCTCTTCATCCTCTCCCACTGCGGCTATTTCCTCTACCATCACCATCACTGTCACATACCGGAAGGTAAGGGAGAAGCAATCATCAGTGCTAGATATCCACAGTCCAAAAAGACTCAGAATTCCAAAAGATATGGTCGGTGTCGGGGATGGTGAAGAGACTGTGCTTTTGTTTGTGGCAGACCTCAGAGGCACAAGGTGGACTTTGTGGATACCAATCGCGAGATAGCACATGGTTGAATATATCTTTTGTAGGTCTTCAGTAGATTTATTACCGGACTTTCCAGATCTCTGAACTACTCTGTATACCTGAAAGTGCATGGGCGAGTAGTCCTTCTCAGCTTCCAGACGCCGAGCAATATGCTCCACGGTCGTATCAGGATACACGAGAGGCGGAGAGCAAGCTCGCGTCTGTGCCGTCACTGCTCTAAGCCTATCCGTCCAAGACCGCGCTTCCGCTTGACTAGCTGTGGTAAAAGTAGTCGAGGATGGCTGTCCCGACGACCCGTCGATGTAGTCAAGCTGCACGGTGTTTCCATGTTCGTGGTCTAGGCTAGGGCAATAGACGGCAATGACTTGATTCATCATTGTGATAAAAGTGTGTTCGCTCGCGTTGGCGACGGCGGATCCGACCGATGAAGCCCTACCTTTGTTACCACCGTTAAAATCTTTCCCGTAGAATGCCTCAAGCGCTTTGGCTTCCGATTTGTATTTGACGAGTTCGCGGTTGGTCAAGACCAGGTAATCTCGCTTCTTTCGGAGGAGTCCGCCGCCCGTCACTACCTCTCCCGACTGCACAATGACGCTGCTCGGCGGAAGCACACCCCGCTGGCCTTCCGACATCGACGACTCCTCCAGTGACGAGCTGGCGGACGAGGTGACCACCACACTGGTTGAATCCCGCGCCTTGAGCGATCCGAACACTGATTTCGGTCGCTGAGTCGAGGTCTTGCTCAGGACCTTCCTGCTGGATACGATGGTCGCCACCTCCGTAAGACCGTTCGCACCTCCGAACAGCGATTTCGGGCGGGATTTGATGGGCGAGCTGATCGTTCCGTCATCGTTCGTCCACGGCGATTGCGATTGCGATGCGTCCGAATCGGCGAGTATGGTAGGGCGCGAGAAGAAGCCAAAGCTTTTCCGCCTTCCGGTACTAGAGTCTTCATTTCTGGTCGCCATATGATCGCTGTCGTTATGGTTGTTGTGGTTGTTGCCGTCGTCGCTATCAATTCGCTTGAGCCGATCGGGTCTCATCGCTTGTCACGACAGTTGGTCGGTCAGTTGTGTGTTCTGTCGAGGGCTTGACTAGCAGTTCATGAGGCTTGTGTGAAATGTAGCGACGCGCTCAGAGAAAGCAGAGAGCGCACACAGGTATTGAAATAGGTAAGTCTCAACGAAGCTTGCCGATCACTGATCTTCCATAGAAGGGCAAGGGTGAAACTGGGTCGTCTTACAGCCTCCGAAAACGCCGCAATTGGGGAAAGTAATGATTGGTTGGTGGGGGCCGTTGGCGACTGCGTCCGGGGGTGTTCGCTGTATGATACGTACGTGGAGGGAGTGGGGCGGAGTTCGAGGGTTCCGCTTCTTGATTACTCTAAGATTTGGGGGGTTGTCTTTCCGTCGGAGCGGGTGCTGATCAGGAGGGTGGGTGGATTGGGGTGTGTTCTCTTCGGTGTAGTGGCCGAACTTGTGGGTGGGCGTGTTTGGGTTTCTCTGTTCCGTTTGTTTCCCGGGCGTGTTGGTAGTATTGGCGGCCGTTGGGGGGGGTGTGATGTGGAAAGTGGATTGCAAGGACGGGAAAGGGTTTTTGAGAAGAGGATGAGAAGAGAGCGGGGGGAATGGCGAGTTGGGGTGGGTTACGGCAGCGGGCGGAAGTAGCTATTGAGCAAGTACTAGCACTTAGGCACATCATAGTTAGGAAGCGAACGAAACGAACAATAGCTGAGCTTTCTCTTTGGGTGGATGGATGGATGGGATGATGGTGTGAACCGTTTGTGCACTTTCGTTGGTTGCGTTGATTGCGTCACAGATTGCAAGGGTGTCCTTTAGAGTACGAAACATCGGGATGCGTGCATCAGAATCTAAGGCGGATGGGGGTTATCCACTTACTCAATGGGGGAGCGAGGAGAGCGGAACATGCGTCGGCGCCCACTCTGGAGTAACTTGGTGCTCCTCTAGTGGCTTGCATCTGGCCGGCCATTCAGGTACCGAGAGACATGAGAGAGCACTCGGCTCTCACACTCTCTCTGGATTCAGGAATAAGGTCGAATACAACAACGATCAAACAAAGAGAACCCCCCGATGGATCCAAAGAAGCATGTCATGTGGGATTCTTAGAGTTCTTGACTACGAGCAGAGTTCCAAGCGAACCGAGCTGACGAGCAACGGCATCGTCACCAATGCTTACAAAACATATTTTCGAGGCTCGTCCCCACTCAGCTCCAACCTCTCCAAGCAACTTCAGTGCGGCAGCGATCGTGAGTGCTGCTTCTGCATATGTATGGGGAGTGTGAGGGAGGGACCGTTGAGCCTTCCCCACCTCCCCCACCGGGCCCACCCCACAAAGCCCGCCTATTCCGCACCCCCAGGCGCTAAGACTCTTCGAAGCGCGCATGGACTGGGCATGTCGCAGACTCGCAGGTAGATATCTCGACTTGACTTGACTTGACTGATGCAGGCTCCCGCTGCAGCATGACCATTTCCTCGATCATTTCGATATCCGACCTGTGCTGTCCAACGCCAACTGCATCGATCGCTGCTGCTGCTGCTGCTGCTGCCGCAACCGTCTATTCGGTCACGGCAGGGTCTTGTGGGCGCGGGGGGCGGGGGGCGGGGGACGGGGGTACAACATATTGGCACATGCCCTGGGTACCCAAGTACCCAAGTACCTCATACTTGTTCATCCTCCGTGAAGTACGGTATCTTTTCTATCCCCAAGCACACCTACTTCTACCACTTCTTACCCACCCACCCGCTACTCTCCAACCAGCCATCCAGCCACACCCCGCCGCAACCGTGATCTACAGGCACGCACGTTGCACGCGTCCTATGCAGACCCACGATTCGTCCCCAAACCGTCCTCCTCCCCTCCACCACCACCTCCTTCTCCTCCTCCACCCGTTATCAGCAACGAATCATCCTTCCACGCCGCACAGAGAGCCGGAAAAAAGTTTTCTCTCTTCTTTTCGTCATAGTTAATTAAGCCCAGCCCTTTTCTTTTTTTCCCACTTATAATTTCCCGGGGAGGGGGGCTCGGGGGTGGGCTGGGCCGGTGGGGTGGAGCGGCCGGTGGGTGGTCCAGACTTCTTCGCTTTCGGTTCGTCGGCGCGGGGGATCTACCCTACCCATCCATATTGTCGCTGGAGAAGGGGGGGAGGCGGTTTTATCTCGCACACAGCCTTTTGTTTTTTGTTTAAATCATCATAGCATTAGACTGTGATATCTAGATCATGACCATACTCTACAACCTTCACCGTGCAACAGGATTTGGCAGGTGTCGGAGTACCAAATCGAACGAGTGATAAACATGATCGTCCGCACAACAACAGCAACAGCACGCACCACCACGCATCACCACCCACAGGAGTAAATACGGTACCTAATTGCAAGGCTATCAAAGCAGCAGTCGGGCAACAGTGGTCAGCCAATGTCAAGATTAAGTGCTTATCGTATGTAGGGTACCAAGTACTGGTCAAGTTTTATCTCCCCGCCGGGGGTGGATAATCCCTCCGGACATCCCTTCTCCCTACGGATCCGCCTACCAGCATCCGCAAATCCGCAAACCCAAAACCTCTCGCACCCTGCCCGGTAATGAAAAAATTCATTATTACGTATGTTTGTACTCTAAACTACTTCCCAGCAGTTATACACATGCATCGTCCAACGTCCATCGTCCATCGCCCGTCATCGTCCCTCATCCCTCATCCCTCATCCCTCGCGCCCAATAATTCCTTAAAAAAAGGAAGCCCCATCTATTGGCCCATCACGAATCACCTCCCGAAGCAAGTCCATTAAGTAAAACCCCCACCCAATAAACAAACTCCATCTCGTATGCACAATAGAGTGAGAAACGGCTCTATGGGAAGGAAAAGGGAAAAAACTGGCCAGCCAGCCACAGTGACAGCCACCCAATGCGCCGAATTTACCGTTACAGAATCATATTCACAATTCGCAATTCGCGACGCCCGCCCTCACACCGCCAAGATAGATATATCTCAACAGTAGACGATACCGGAAAGCATGAGCGCTAGACTAAGAGTGAGGGTAGCCCAAGTAAATCGATACGAGCTTGCAGCGGACTTCTTCGTCGCTGTTGCACTCGGGGCGGTATTGGTGATGGCCCCCGAAACGTAAGGCAAGCCTCCGCTCCGTCCACCGCCGGTGCCGGTTGGTGCGACGGTAACGGCACTGGCTGCCCCGGTGGCGTCGGGGACCGGGTTCGTGCCTGTGCCGATTTCGACAATGTTGGAGTCGGTGACGTTGAAGAGGGCCTTGCCGATGCTGATTTCTTCGTTATCGAGATCGAACACGATGTAGGCTGATCGGAGGAAGGTATCGCCCTGCGAGTCATTAGTTCTCACGCAATGCTGGTGGGATATGGTCCACGCATGGGGAAACATACGAGTACGTTGTTGTCCGATCCAGCGTCCAACACGCCAAAGTAACACAGCGGAGTGCCATCACTGAACGCGGCAGGACTGCCATCATACGAAAACGCATCCACAACGAGCTCATTGATGGCAACGTTGATGACCGCCCCCGAAAAGCTGTAGTCCACGGTACCATTGTAGTCGCGGATGTTACAAGGCACAATCGGAACCCCAGTCCTGTCGGCAACCTGCGCTCCAACTTGGTTGCACAGCTCCTTCCAAAGATCGGTGGGCAGGTATGTGTAGGTCGTGCCGGTGTCGAGCAGAACCGGGATAGCAAAATCGCTCGCGGTGAGGGTGGCCTGCTTGCCGTCTGCGTTCGTGAGGCCGACCGCGGTGAGTGTAATCATGAATTCCCTCGCTTTGGTGGCGCCCGTCCGTTTATCCACAGGAATGGTTGTGAGATTTCCCCGGAACTTCGCAGTATCCACACCGCCGAACAGGATCTGGCCTTCGTCGGAATCTATCACGGCGGTTAGAACAGCTAAAAACCTATGCGCAGAGCACGTCATACCGAGATCGTTAAGCCATAGGCTGTAGGCCTGGGACTTGATGAAGCCTTGCTGCACCATGAGATTCGCCAGACCGGGATACGGATCCTTTCCGAGTCTCTGGACCTGGACCTCGTTCTGCTCGAACCCAATACCCATGATGCCTTCGGTAGAAGTCGACTCCAGTCCGATGCCAAACTGGACGCCCGTCACACTAGTCCCATCACCCAAGTGAAACACATCCTTCGCATAGTCGCCCTGCGCATATTCGCCGTCCACATACGAGATCTGGAAGTCGCCCGACACTCTCTTATACGTCGACGACTTGTCCGTGTCGAAGGTGCCGGTGATGCTACATGGATCATCCGATTGTTGACACAGCTCCGACTCCGCACTCTCCACCCAGATGTCCGAAGATCCAGTATCGAGACTGCGACGTATCATGAGCAAGCACTCGCATAAACACGGAAATGAGCAGTAACTCACTGTAGCCTCAGCGACTGGCCCGGAGTGCCCAGTTTAACATCCGCATAGTACAGGAAATCCTAGCACACACAGTCGCCCATCAGCACAACTTCTTGATCGCAATCCGGATAGCGGAGGTGCCGTCCTGCTGCATACCTGATTATCCAGCCGCTGCAACACAGTATCCGCCCGTTTCCTCGGCCTTAGCCGTCGGGGGAGATTCAGCGGATTGTTGTTGACCTTCTCGAACTTGAAGGAGCGAGGTCTGGTATTGCTTCTTGCTGGCGGGAGAGCTGCTGGTGTAGTATCGGCAGCACTGACGACGTCGGCAACTAGGCTCTTGAAGGCCAATAACACCGAGCATGCCAGGAACGAAGTGTACTTCATTTAGGCGCTGGCAACGGTCTCTCCGAAGCGCAATCCGAAAGTTTCACACCCGATGCGAGCAGCGTCTCTCCGTCCGTTTGTCGGTCTGTCCAGTCCGACCGGCCGCGTGTTTGGGTTTTGAAGGTTAGAGAGAGTGGAGAGGGATAATAAAGGCGGATACGAGACTGAGAGAGAGCTCAGGCTAGGCTACTCGGAGTGCAGCAGGGTGAATAGGGAAGCGGGATCGGAGAACAAGGAGAAGGATGGAGGGATGGGATATGTCAGTCGGTGGATCGGGAAGGAAGTAGAGCAGGCAGAGCAGGAATGTACAGTACTCGGAAGTATGTACTGGCAGGATTTTGGGAGTTACATTCGCCTTTCAACGCAGGTGGTGGCTACAAATAATTCCTTTAAGCTTCGTTAACCGGCACCCATCGAAGTTACGCAAGCAAAAAATTGAAATGTTTGGGTGACGTACTCCAACGACCACCTCCCACCCTCCTAACCGCAGCGTGATACGGTTCCTTGCATGCCTTGGGTGCCGCTTTCCGGAAACCACAGTCTGCTTTCCCCGGGGATTTTATTTTTTCTGGTTTCCGCCGCTACATACGAGGCAACAACCCCTCCCGTACCGGTATCCCGCTCTTCGCCTAGAAAGTAATACATACCATGGGCACAAGCTTTCGCGCCCCAGCTCACTACTGCTGGAGGAGCTCTGTCTCTAGCTAACTAGAGCCTTGTCATCCTCGCGACCACATCGCCATCATGTACCGTATCCACTGCGCTGATTATCCGGAACCGCCTCTGCCACAGAATGCACAGTGGCTCTTCCGCTGTTCGGCCCCGTCCAATTCCAATTCGCCAGCTGTCATGTCATTCCATGCCACTTCTCCCATAGATACCACTTCTCCCATAGATACCACTTCTCCCATGTCCGCATCCATACATCCATAGGTACTCTAGAGCACGTGTAATTTGCCGGTCATCTCCCGTTTGGCTCCCCCCGGGCTCCCCCCAACCAGCAGCAGCATCTTGAGGAAGTCCGTGATTTCCGGTGAGGACGACGCGTACGCTGCATCTCTACCTAGATAAATACCATAGATATCATAGGTAGGGAAGTGCGAGTATCATAGAGTACATAATCTTCGGTTGCGTCAGATCGTCCGTTACCACGGAGTATATGATATTGATATGCCACCACGGTTATCGCTCCCCCTCCCGAGCCGCACAGAGATCTTGGATCCCCACGACCATTACCACCACCACCACCACCACCACTGCCGCCGCCGCCGCCGCTGCACGACAACGGTAATCCGGTGCCAAACGCGTAGAGACCAGGGTGCGGCGTGGGGTGTACAGCGTGCCGATTCCGGTCGTTGCTGATACACACTGGCATACTGTGACATTACTGTCACTCGTGGCCATACATGAATGGAGGGGGAGGGGGAGGAAGGCCGTACTGTTTGCAGGAGAACCTTGGAGAGAGGGGATAGGTATCATAGTCATGTCTATGCCTGAAAGATTGCGACTGAAGTCTCGGCCGACGTCTGTGACTCTGTGGATGTCTCACCATAACATGTATGCTACATACAACTTGCCAGTAGTCCGGCTTGCCGAGTCCCGAGATCCACAATCGCAGGTTGTGAAATGCTAGATTCATAGGGAAAAACATAAGGAACAGTAAATATCAAGACTCGGAAAAAACACGGCCGGTTTCGAATCGCTGCGGAGAGCAGACGTCTGGCCGGTCCGGCAAAGTACGACTTCGGAATAGTTAGATGTAGTTGGTCCTCGCGTGTGTTAGACGCCACTGTGAGTAAGACGTCGTCCCGTCTTTCTCCAGCCTACAGAGCGCCATGCCCACCACGTTAGTTATGTAACTGTTGCACTGCCCCAGCGGCCCAGCGCGCCTTCCCAGCAGCCTCACTGCTAGCTCAAACGCGTCTTTCATCCCCTCGTAGAGTACACGCGACGCGAACCCTCACCACCCTCACCACCCTCACCACCCGCCACCCTCACCTCCCACCTCCCACTGCACAACGCCAACGCAATGCCCCCCCCAACCATCGCCTCCAGCAGCAAGCCCGCGCCGACTGGCGCGCCGTCATCCGACAAGACCTCGTACGAGCTGCCATGGGTGGAGAAGTACCGGCCGCAGTTCCTCGACGACATCGTGGGCAACGAGGAGACGATCGAGCGGCTCAAGATTATCGCGAAGGACGGGAATATGCCGCACGTGATTATTTCGGGCATGCCCGGGATTGGGTGAGTCTCTGGTCCAAGAAAATGAGGGGGGGTGCGGGGGGGAGCTGGGAGGCTGATAAGTGGTGGGGCGAAGGAAAACTACCTCGGTGCTGTGTCTGGCGCGTGCGCTCCTCGGCGAGGCCTATAAGGAGGCCGTGCTGGAGCTGAATGCGTCCGACGAGAGGGGGATTGATGTCGTGCGCAACCGGATCAAGGGGTTTGCGCAGAAGAAGGTCACGCTGCCGCCTGGGAGGCAGAAGATCATTATTCTCGATGAGGCGGATAGGTCTGTCCTCTACACGGCGATGTGAGATGGGATGGGATTGGGTGCTAATGGGATTGCGGGTAGTATGACGGCAGGCGCACAGCAGGCCCTGCGGCGGACAATGGAGATCTACTCGTCGACGACGCGGTTCGCGTTCGCGTGCAACCAGAGCAACAAGATAATCGAGCCGCTGCAGTCGCGCTGCGCGATCCTGCGGTACTCGCGGCTGTCGGACCAGCAGGTCGTGAAGCGGCTCATGGAGATCATTGAGGCGGAGGCGATCGAGTACAGCGAGGAAGGGATTGCGGCGCTCATCTTCACCGCCGAGGGCGACATGCGCCAGGCTATCAATAACCTCCAGAGCACCGTCGCGGGCTTCGGGTTCGTCAATGGTGATAATGTCTTCAAGGTCGTGGATACGCCCCACCCGATCGCCGTCCAGACGATGATCAAGGCGTGCTACGAGGGCCGCATTGATGCCGCGCTGGAGAAGCTCGAGGAGCTGTGGAGTAAGGGGTATTCGGCCGTGGATGTGATCAGTACCATGTTTCGGGTCACGAAGACGGTCGATACGCTCAGCGAACACTCGAAGCTGGAGTTCATCAAGGTGCGTTTGGTTTACTCGTCACTTGTGTTACGCTCCATCGGAACCTAATGTGCCGCAGGAAATCGGATTCACGCACATGCGCATCCTGGAAGGCGTTTCCACCCTGCTGCAGCTCAAGGGGTGCGTCGCAAGGCTTTGCAAGATCAACATGAACCCGAAACTGTTCGTGATGGCGAAGTCGACTTGAGACAGACAGACGGATGTTTTGTTTCTCGGTTCATAGCACACGGCGTTTGGTTATTTCACTCTTCGCAAAAACGAATCCTGGGTATATATATGATGATGTACGTATGATGTCTCTTGCGCCGTAAATAGGATGGTCGGACGGACGGACAGACATACGTACTGAGGAGGGAAACAAAAGAACTCGCCGCCTACTATCGAAGCCGGCGCGTTCTTTTGTCCCTACGTGAAAACGGCCATGGCATTGGGGGACTCCGTCATCGTCCAGAACAACCTGTAGAATCCCCAGGCGCCACCCACCAACGACACCCAGTACGCCAGCAACACTCCTCTCGGCCCATCGACCGTCAGGCTCGGCAGGCCCATGTAGTTGCAGTACGTATGAACCACGACCGCCGCCCACACCGATCCCGTGCGCATCATGACGAAGACGGCGAACCATCCGAACAACGTTGTGTACATGAACTGAGGGATTGAGCTCAGCATCGCTATCTTGTAGTGTCCGGGGAAGTTCAGGAGGTATTCGTAGGCGTGATGGAAGTGTGCTGTAAATATTTCTCAGCCGCCCGTTCATTCGTTTCAAGAGCTCAGACGGGGACAGAATTCTCTTACCGATACCGAAGACCAAGGGTGTTAAAAATACTATCGCACTGGGTGACACCCCGGCAATTAGGTACAGCGGAACCATGCAGGCACGGAATACAATCTCTTCCGTGAGCGGCGCCTATGAACACCACCGGTTAAATATCATCCCCTACCACTGCATTTACCACCGCACGATGCATAGAAGTTCATAGGACTATGCAGGAGCGGAGGAGGAGGATGAGGAGGAGGAGGAGGAGGATGACATACGACGACATAGTTCCTCCATCCAATCCAAGTGAGCCTCCCGTTCGCAAATCCTTCACCCGTACCCACACTCCCAGTGCAAATCTGCTCCAGCATCGGACCGAGGAACAACACGGCGGTGAGGAGCAGCGCCTTGAGGATATCCCACGCGGTCCGGGGCGTGATATGTGCGATGGCCATGAACTCGAGGGTGCTCCACCACGAGCTCGGCGAGCGCGAGTAATGCACGACGGCCGAGGTGATGGCCACACACAGCATGGTGACGACGGTTACGCCACGCACGCGTGCCTGGATCACGAAGGTGCTGCTACGATCCAGTCCTCGACGGGGACGGGTGATGGGGCTGAGATAGATGACGCCCACGTAGAGCAGCGTGTAGAGGATGGAGTATGCAGTAGCGGCTGCCGGCGACAGGAGGGATGTACTCGCGGAGCCGTCATGATCTATTCACGGAACCGAGGGGTTCTTCGTTCAGATGGGCGGTGGGCTTCTTCGGTCACGCGGGCGGCAAGCTGGGCGGCCGCGGGCGGGGGTACACATACCGTCGTTCGTCGGGGTTGCAGACATCGTATGCACTGTGCACTGTACCGATTGCACCGTGTGAACGAGTAGGCGCGGGGGGACAGATAGATGTATGAATGGACGGGCAGACGGGTGTCGAGGGGTTCGGTATAGGTGGTGCCAGTACTCTATATAGCAGCCTGCTTGCTGCGGCGGCGGCTTTCTCTCACACGATCGACACGCGTGTGACGGGAAAGCGCTAGCTATGAGGTTAAGTCGAAGCTAACTCCCTGCCTACGCCTCGTGGCTTCAACGTGACAACGGCTATGATGGTGATGATGGTGATGCTGCTGCTTCTGGTGTTGCTGCTGATGATTCTGGTGCCGTCGGATATCCTTTGCCCGTCTCCGTCGTCGCGCGGATTTCCGATCTGCAAGAGCCGAATCGAGTCGCAGTGGAAGGAAAGCAGAGTGAGACCCAGCCCAGGTTGGGAACAACGCAGCGTTTCATGTTGGAGGTGGCTAGTGGCTTTCGGCCCTCGCGTGTGGATGGCACCCATGCACTCCAGCCACACTCGTGCTGATGGCCATCCCTGCGACGGCCAGCACCGCCGGACAAAGGCCGCCTTCCTTCCAGTTGCTGGCCCTCCATTCGCTGGATCCGCCCCCAGCCCTTGCCCGCTCTAAGTCCGGTATGTACTCAGGTACCTGCATGACCGCCCGCGCAGCTCGCTTTCCCTCTTGTGTCTGCCTGCCTGTCCGGATTCTGGACATCCCCCCCCAGCGCTCTCTTACCACTGAATTTTCGCCGACTGCTTGCCTTCTGCACCTTCGACAGTTCTCTTCACACCCCACCCTCTCCCATTTCTATGTCCATATGATACTTATCTCAGCGCCGTGTAGGGATAGGGGGGCTTTTGGAAACCAATATGTAGACTCCGTCCCCCCTAGGGCGGCGGCTCTCCCGTCGTCTCGTCCTCGTCGTTCTCTACCCCCAATCCCTCCCCACTCTCTCTCGTGCGCTCGCGATCTTCACGACCGTCCCCACTGTCACCGCCGTACCCTCTTTTTAGGAGTTACTTGTATCAAAGTAACCCAGTCATTCTTTTTCCGGATTATAATCCACATACACTCTTTTGCCCGCACTTGGGTTCACTCGCAGAACAATTGGCCTTAATTACCTCCTTGCGTACCGTCCCTCCGTCGCCACCACCGCCCTACGAAAAAAGTACCATCCTTCAATCTTACGAATATCGCTAGGAAGCTTCTCCAACGGAACCCAAATCCTTCAGGAACAAGTTTACGCCTACGGCCACTCTCCACAACTCAGACAGATTCTCCAAATCCCCCTACATTCGTTTCAGCAATAGACACTTCAAGACTCACATTCAACGCATTCACGCATTCACCCCATACCCACAATTGCCCTACCCATTTAGCGAAAAACATTTACCCACCCAATCCGGCATTAATCGAGCAATCCAATCAAGAAATCAATCACCCACATGTCGTGCTGCTGGTGTTAATTATTCCGTGGACCTCTCATACCTCCGCTTTCTCCTCATCCTCGCTTCCTCTCGTCTACTCCATACCAGCCCCGGTATAGAAAAATAGTATGGCCCGCCATGCTCTCCACCAGCGCTCGGACTCGGACACCAACGTCCGGGCGTCGGCCCCAAATTCAGACAACGCTAGCTCGAATTCCTCGTCGAAACCCTCGGCCGTGTCGCAGGCCCCATCCCGCTCCTCCACTTCATCTTCCGGTGGCCGGGGCAAGTACTTCTCGAAACACCATAAATCGCAGAAGTCGGCCGCGAGCAATCATTCCTCGACCACGGGCGGAACCGTATCCTCGCGCTCCAACACAGTGCGCTCCAACGTGTCGGTTGACAGCCTGCCCCCGGTACCACCCCTGCGCATTTACAAACAGCGAATCTCGTTGCCCGTATTTCAGGACGACTACTCGTCGGATGTTGCGACGAATAGTGGTCGCTACGCGAAGGAAACTGGAATGGGAGGGGCCAGCGGATCCGTGGACGAATCCTATGCCGCGGATGCGATGGATCCACATCAAAACCCAACAGCCCCCCAGAGAATCGCTCCTGCTCTCCCTCGCTCGATCTTGAAGAAACCATCGAAAGCTGCTTTGCCGCCCTACACCGAAGACGACTATCGACGACAGTCAAGTATATGGGTCGATCGCCAGGAGACTGAGTTTATACCGAATCGCGCCCGGATGAATGCGCAGACGTTGCGGTTGGTCAATAATGTTGTTGGGACCGACTTGGGAGAATCTTCGACACAAGGAGGAGCTATTGGAGCAGGAGCAGGAGCTATTGGAGCTGGTAGCCCGGGTGCAGGAGTCGTAATGGCAGGAGGAATTTTGAGGACTGCGTCCCGCGTGGGACGCTCGAGATCGCAGTCGGCGAGCACGACGGATATGCTGAACGATCCGAACGCGCGCCCCACAACCCCATCCGGTGCCAAACAGTTTCCCGCGTGGGCACGGTAACTTTGCCCTTTTCTTTTTTTTCTGTTTTCTTTTTCTTTTTCCTGCATGCGACTTCCCGGTGGCTGATTCCATACTCACATAGATACTTCTACGGGCAGAAAGGCGGACGAACCAGCGTTATCGTACCTAATACCGAATCGACGGGCCCGATCTCGGGCGGCTACATCTCGAGCCCGGAAGACCGTCGACCGCCGACCGGCCACTCCATGATGTCCATCAGCGAGATCCCCCGGTACTTCATGCGGCCGCGCGAGCTCCGCCCGCGAGACCCGGACGCGACCACGCTCTGGTCGCTGCCGCACCTCGACCACCCCCCGATAAAACACATCACGACCATCAACCGCCAGGTGATCTTCTTCTGCCTCGGCTTCATGCTCCCGGTATTCTGGTGGATCGCGGCATTCCTGCCGCTTCCCGAGGGCGGCGAGATTACCGCGGACGACCTCGAGGCCGGCGTCGGCGCCGCGAACTTCGTCATCCCGAAAGAGGCACGCAAGGCTGAAATGGCGTTCGAGCGACGAGTCGCTAATGCCCGCTGGTGGAGACGTGTCAACCGCGTGCTCTCTGTCGTCGGCGTCATCATCGTCGCCGCGATAATAGTGCTCGTCGCGCTGGCGTTTCACACCACATAATGGAACGGAACGGAACCGGGTGTCTTTTGTTTTTCTCTCGCTTTTACGACTGCGCTTGAGTTTGAGTCCGAATGTTCGACGATGACTTGATACTTGATTACTTGATTACTTAACTTTACGATTGTTCTTACGCCCCTGCTGCTGCTGTCCTTCTAATGGCGTACCTATACCTGATGTCCCCCCGCTAGCCTAGCCTAAATGTGTTTGTTCCTCTTCTTCTGCTCCTCATTCATTTCTTTGTTTATATATTTTTGGTCTTAGCTCTCGGTGGTGGTTACGGCGACGTTTGGTGCGATTTTATCTTGTAGATGCGCGGTTGTCTGGCAAGCTGGTACTTTGGGTAAAACTTATTGGATTGAATTGGTCGGGTGTTTGTGATTTTTGGATTGGGGACTGGAATACTGGACTACTGGATTGGGATGTGTTTTTGGCGTTTTTTGTGGATTGGATTGGATTGGAGGGATGAAGTGGTAGATACCTATTGTTTGGTCTTGGTACGTGGGTTGGAAGTGGGTTGGAACTTGGAAGGGTGTGTTGGGAGGATTTGGAGGTGGAGGAACTGCAATTGGGGCTGCAATTGGGGCTGCAATTGGGCTGGGAAAGCAAGGGAATGGGAGGGTGGGCGGTCTGGTATGGGGTCTGGTGGATGTGGGTGTGGATGTGGATGTGGATTGGTGATTGGTATGGTGGGTTGGTAGTCGAGGTGGTGGATGAGTGGTTGGAATGGTTGGAGTGGAGGAACGTCCGAGCCGGCACAGCACGTGGATGAAGAGTCGGGACGGACGGGACGGGGACGGTGGATGGATTCAAGTCGGGGATCCTATCGTATCGTACGTATCGTATTCGGAAATCTAAGCCTGCCTGCCGCGTACCTATGCTCCAGACAAACCTCTCCCGCCTGCCAATTTTGCCCCCTCGCTCTTCTCCCGTATGATACAAAACCGCGTAACCCCCTACTGCCGCCCAATCCGATCCAACTGCGCAATCACCGTCTTCTGCGCATCAATGTAGCGGTTGACACAGTTGTCGAGACACCCCGCCTCGGCCTTGTCCACCTGCGGCCCCAAAATCTTGTTCGGCGCTATGCACTTGCCCCAGCACATCGCCGTGAGCGAGTGCACGTCTGTGGGGGAACCGTGTCAGCAACTGGGGGAGGCGGAGGGGAGAGGAGGGGGGAGGAAAATAGGAGGGGGAAAGGAAGGGGTGAGCAGCACTGTCTTGAAATTTCGCCTTCTGTCGCTCGTTCTCGAGGAACACTTGGAGGTCCTTGCGGTCCTTCTCGTTGAAGTCGGCGAGGCCGAGGTCGGCCATTGTAGGGTCCATTGCGTCGTTACGTGTGCGTGGGGGGCGGAAATTCGTAGGTTCGTGAAGGAGGTCGTGAATTGATGGTGGAATTGTTGTTGACGGTAGTGACGATGCTGGTGGGTGAATGATGCGCACCCGCACTGCAAAAGTTATTTTATGACCACGTGATGTTGCTTGCTTGCCAGGGGTAAGGCAGTCATAGCAAGTAAGGCACAAGTCACACGCAACAAGGTGTTCTGGCCGAGTGGTCTAAGGCGCTAGCTTCAGGTGCTAGTGGAGCAATCCGCGCAGGTTCGAATCCTGCGGACATCACGATTAATTCTTTTATTTTTTCCTAGCTTTGCAGCTGGAGTGGTGGCGATGTGGGATTCTTTTGCTGGTTGTGGTGAGACTGAGTGAGACTGAGTGAGACTGAGTGAGACTGAGTGGGGTTGAGTGGGAATGGATGTACCTATGGCTGATGGTGTGGATGTACGTGTGCTGGGTGAGTGCAAGTGAGAGAGATATCTTCAATTTATTTCGCATGCAGCCTATCTAGACTATGGCGAACCGTCGCACTTCTTTCCTGCACACTCTGGCCGACCAAGTGAGAGTGAATGGGACATTGCAGACCATCTATGAGTTCACGTTAGATTGAATAGGGCGTTGCAGACACTCGTGCTGGATGAGCGAATGTGAGAGTGAATGGGACGTTGCAGACCATTCATGAGTATGTGAGAGTGAATAGGGAGTCGCAGAAACTCGTGCTGGGTGACCAAACGTGAGACTGAATGAGACGTTGCAGACCATTGATAAATGCGAGTGAGAGTGAATGGGACGTTGCAGACAATTCATGAGTTTATGTGAGAGTGAATGAGACATTACAGACACTCGCACTGGGTGAGCAAACGTGAGTGAATGAAAGTTGTAGACACTCGTGCTGGGTGAATGAAGACGAGAGTGCAGTGAATACCTACGAGTGTGAGGTCCGAACGAGGCTGACCAGACTGGGCTGGCGAAACAAAAGCCGAGCATACTTGCATACTATTTTAGGTTGGCCATATAGATGACGAGGAGGTTGTAGATCAAGGAAACAGGAATGAGTTCGCAGCTTCACAGCAAAGGTAATGATCCATGGAATTCCATCAATTCTCAAACTGCAAAAGAAACTTTTGTAAACGCCCCATGTACATATCCATTCCCATCCCATCTCCCATCGGAAAAGCAGCAACTAACTTACAAACCCCAAACTTCCAGCTTGTTAAGAACACAGTCCTCCGCTGTCCTCTGCACCAACTTTCCGACTACAAACGCCCTCTCACCATCTGCCTTAAGGGAAGCAAGCACGGCCTCTTGGTCCTCAGCCGCAACAACCAGCACCAAGCCCAGACCAGTGTTCCAAGTGCGTGCATACTCCTTAGCAGAGAGGCCACCCGCGCTCTTGAACCACTTGAACAGCGCGGGCATCTCCCAAGCACTCACATCGACCTCAGCGGCCAGGGACTCCGGGAGCATGCGCGGGATGTTGTCGGTCAGACCACCGCCAGTGATGTGGGAGAGACCCTTGACGAGGTTCTTCTTGACGAGGTTGATGACGGGCTTGACGTAGATTCTTGTCGGAACCAGGAGTTCGTCGCCGACGGTGGAGGAGGTGTTCCAAGGTGCGGAGTCAGTGTATTGCAAGCCCTGGCGCTCGACGATCTTACGGATCAGCGAGTAGCCGTTTGAGTGCACGCCGTTGGAGGCGACACCGATGAGGACGTCGCCGGTCTTCATGGCATCGTGGCGGGGAAGAAGCTGCGAGCGCTCGACGGCGCCGATGGCGGCACCGGCAGCATCGTAGTCCCCGGGCTGGTACATGTCCGGCATCTCGGCGGTCTCGCCACCGATCAAGGCGCAGCCGGCTTGACGGCAGCCCTCAGCGACACCTTCGACGAACTCAGCGGCCTCTTTGATGTCAAGTTTACTGGTCGCGTAGTAGTCCAAAAACAGCAGAGACTCGGCACCTTGGGCGAGAAGGTCGTTGACGCTCATGGCGACCAAGTCGATACCGACGGTCGAGTGCTTGCCCATCGCGCAGGCAATTTTGAGTTTCGTTCCAACTCCATCGATTCCAGCGATCAGAAGAGGATCCGCGTATCCAGCAGCCTTGAGGTCAAAGATACCGCCGAAACCGCCGATCTCAGCATCGGCACCGGGCCGCTTGGTGGATCGGACTGCATCCTTGATTCTCTGTACAAATGCGTTGCCAGCATCAACCGAGACACCAGCCGAGGCGTAGGTGAGTGGCTCTTCCTGAGCGGCTTTCTGCTTGAAAGCCCTGCAGAATATAAGCAGACATCCTAGAAGTACCAAAGACGAGTGACTACCTGTGAGCAATGTCCTTTCGGAAGAACATGTCCTGGAACTTGATTGCTTCAACACCCTTGTAGGCCTTCTTGACCGCCTCCTCTAGGGTATCCGCAGTCGCAGAAGCAGCAATAACACGCCCACCAGCGCTAACAAGCTTTCCGTCCACCAATGCCGTTCCTGCATGGAAGATCACGGTATCCTCCGCAACCGGAGACAGTATAATCTCCTTCTTCTTCTCGTAGCTTCCGGGGTATCCGCCAGCTGCAACCACGACGGTGGCAGAGAACTTGTCTGAGATCTGGATATCAACGCTGTCGAGGTGACCGTTGGCTGCGGCCAACATAACCTGGACAAGATCGGTAGATTCGCTGATGAGAGGAAGGACAGTCTGTGTCTCTGGGTCACCAAACCGGACATTGTACTCCAGGACCTTAGGTCCGGCCTTGGTCATCATCAGTCCGGTGAAAAGAATTCCCCTAAACGGCATACCTGAGCAGATAAGCTTAGTAAAAGGGCCAAAGTTGGAGTGAATGGAAAAACTCACCCTCCCGACGCAGACCGTCAATCGTAGGCTTCAAGATGGTCTCGTCAACAATTTTGAGGATACTCTTAGGCGCAATACGTGTAGGCGCGTAACATCCCATACCACCAGTGTTAGGGCCCTGGTCACCGTCGAAAATGCGCTTGTGGTCCTGCGCAGGAGGTAACGATTTGATGTTGTATCCGTCGCTGAACGTCAGGATGCTCAGCTCATCTCCCTCCAGGAACTCCTCGATTACGACCTCATTGCCTGGCCCAAAGTCAATTAGTGTTACCGAACTCATGCCGTGCCATGGTTACCCACCAGCCTCTCCGAACTCCTTGGTAACCATGATCTGCTGCAGCGCCTCAATGGCCTCCTCCTTTGTAGTTGGAATGATGACACCCTTGCCGGCCGCCAGACCGTCGGCCTTGATAACAATATTGTGGCTGATGCTCTCGACATATGCCTTCGCCTGCTCGTAGTCGGTGAAGTTACGGTACTCGGCGGTGGGGATGTTGTGTCGCTTCATGAAGTCCTTGGAGAAAGCTTTGGAGCCCTCCATCTGGGCGGCCTCCTTTGAAGGTCCGAAGACCGGGATACCGACTATGCGCTGGTGAGACGTGAAAGCGGGCTGGCTAGAAATTGTGGATTCTACCTTTCCGGAAGTGGCCCTCAATTCCCTCCACCAGCGGCACTTCAGGACCGGGAATGACGAGACCGACCTCATTCTCCTGTGCGAACTTCACTAGGCTCGGGAAGTCGCTGACATCGATGTTCACGTTCGAAACGTTCTTGATTCCGTGCGCGGTTCCTCCGTTTCCTATATTCAACAAACACCCACAAAATTTCATTAGGCACCTGAGACAATCAATCTAACGCAACGGATATGAAATCTCGTGACTGGCAACTGACCTGGAGCAACGAAAATGGCATCCGCCAGCGGGGATTGCGAAAGTTTCCACGCTAGGGCATGCTCGCGACCGCCGGATCCAACAATGAGAACCTTCATGATTTTTTCTGTAGTCTGAAGGAGGGCGCGGGAAAAGTTGGTTGCGGATTGGATCTCACCAGGCGTCAATTTTGAGTGAAAAAAAGCGTCGATAAATGGTGGTGGGGCAACTGGCGGGGTTGGCGGGGCAGGGTACTACTGGTGGGGGCGGTTGGAGCTAGCAGTGTTACACACGTGTTGCCAAGGGGACGACTACCCCACGCTGAGCTTCATCATCATCCTATCGTTAACCCCCGGTTGACAGCCTTGATCGACCTCACGCGAAACTTGTCTACTATATCGTCACCATGGCATCCCAGAACGTGGAGAAGACACGCCTAAGGCTGCAGAGGAGGTATAGTCTCGGCTTTTCCGACCGTCTTCAAGAGCATGCTGACACGACGGCTCAGGATCGAGGAAGGACAGTACTACGAAGCGCACCAACAGCTCCGAGTAGTGTCGCAGCGCTACCTGAAAGTCGGAAACTACGATGCAGCTATCGAAATCCTCACCGCCGGCGCCCAGTCATTACTGAAAGCCGACCAGGGCGGGAGTGGTGGAGATCTATGCTTGGTTCTGGTGGAAGTTTACAAGACGGCCAAGCTGGCGCCCGACTCCGCGTCTAAATGTACGGCCTCGCACTGCTACCTTACTGCCTCTTGTCTCATATACTAATACTGCCATCAGCGCGGCTGGTCGAACTGATCACCATGATGCCGGCGGAAGAGCCTAGTCGGAAGCGGTTCATCAATGAGACCATAGCGTACGCCCGCCCATTCCCTGCTGGCAGAATGTCCCAACCATTTGTCTGAGCAGATTCCAGTTGGACATCAAAATTCGGAGAGTTCCCCGCGGGTGATCCTGAGCTTCACCATTTCATTGGCAACCTCTACGCAAATGGTACTTCCCACGACCCCGCGCGATGATTCTGTGCGGGACTAACTAGTGCTATCCGGGTGGTAGAGGACGAGGTATACGAAGCGGAGAAGCATTTGATACTCGGCACTCGGGAGAGCGCCGAAGTCCTGGCCCGTCTGTTATACGAGTGGTACAAGCAAGACGAAGCTCACACCGCTCCGACCTACATTGCGCGAGCAGTTTTCGGATACCTGCTCGTTGGCAACCTCCGGGAGGCGTGTCGTTCGCTAGAAGTATTCGTCGGACAGCTTATGCAGGAAAACTCGACGCTCGTTATTCAGGAGGTCCAGTCTGCTTCGGCTGATATCCGTATCTTCCCATCATTGCCGTTGCTCAATTTCTTGAGTCTTTTGACCTTGGCGACGCAGACGGGTGGGGCAGAAGTGTTCCGTAACCTCAAGTCTCATTATGCTTCTCAGCTCAAGGATATTCAAGATTGGGATGATGTAAGTTAACCACGGCCGCGCCGCAGGAGGCGAAGGCTAATCGTTCTTACAGGCTATCGAACATATCGGGGAGATGTACTTCGGTATCCAGATCCGAAGGCCGACGAACATTTTGGATATGATGGGCAGCATGTTTGGAGCAGGAGGTGCCCCGGACGCACGTTCACAGGCTCCGCAAATCACTGGCTCGTTTGATCTGGATTGAGCCGTTGGCTTTTATCTGCTACGTGGGTGATAGTGGTTGTGGGAAGCTGTGGGGGAGGAGGAGGAAGCACACATACGAGTACGAGGAGTTTCTGGCGTCCACCAAAGCGTTGCCCGTCTAGTAGTTCAATTCATATCCCTTTTGACACTTATCATAGTCAATGGCTGCCGTTCATTTGTTGTCGTTCATTTGCGAGTCATCCACAATGATCCTTGGCGCACGTGTTCCTTTCTACCCGGCCGTCACGTCTCAACGGCACAGCTAGCTAATGTCCGCGTCCCCCCAATCCAAAGGTACCTAACCGGAAGCCTAAGTACACTCAAATACCAAACCAATGGCGACGAACGCGATATTCCCCCTAGAACCGCTCGAGCGATTTGCCCAGCGCAATTCCGCCGTGCGTAGACCACAAGTTCGTTCCCATTCCATCCACCCCACCGTTCAATTACCGATCCGTAGGCCATCCACAGGAAATCACCCACTTCTCCTTCGATGACGCACACCAGCTCCGCCTCGATGCCTCCTCGCTCCGATACTACTACCCACCCGAACTCCACACAAGCCTTTCCGAAGGCTTCGAGACCTTCGTGAAGCACGACGACTCGGTCGACAGCCATCTTGACGGCCTCCTCGATGCGCTTGTAGAGTTGGAGAAGAAGACGGGGGAGAAATGCGAGACCGATATCATCACGTGGAGGGGAATGATGACGAAGTTTATGAGTTTGCCGTTCGATATGCGGAATGGGTTGGTTTGTGATCGGCCACAGGACGGGGGTACGTATGCTGAATAGTGGGGGATAGGTTCGAGATGAATGCTACGAAATTCCAGGTCAGTAGGTTCCACGCAATTAGGCTTGTTCGTTCCGCTGATGATGGGTAGGATACCATGTGAGTCTGCTCTGTCACCGTCCTGCCTCCGGCCGAATCTAAGACCGTCCAGTTTCATAGAAGAATCCCATGCCTATAAGATGGCCACCCAACGCCCTGGGGGCCACCGTCAGCAAGTAATGTCATACTGGGGTACTTCCTCCTTACCCCCCCCATCTTCTCCCACAGCTCTGACTCTCCCAATCCGCAGGTTACAAGTTCGAAACTCTCTCAACCCTTCCAGCCACCTGGGACGACACGCCTCGTGAAACCATAGAGTCCCGAATGAAAGAAGTAGTCTCCAACGAAGCGCAATTCTGTAGCATCGTCAAGACGAGTTTCGGTGACACCGGTATGATTCTCGGTGGTGAGGTTGACGCCGGTATTTCCCCCTCTCCTCGGATTCTCCCGCTCCCACCCACTAACATTCATAGTCTGGGATACCCACGCACCCTCCTCCGCAGATGGCACTCAATACATAGAGCTCAAAACCAACAAGCGCATCACCTCGGACCGTGACGAAATAGCGTTCGAGCGGAAGATGCAGCGGTTCTGGGCGCAATCTTTTCTTCTCGGAGTGGGACGGGTGATTGTAGGCTTCCGCGACGACGATGGGATACTAAGGAACGTGAAGGAGTTTGAAACGCATGATCTCCCCCGGTTGGCGAGTAGTAGTGGTAGGAACCTGTGGGATGCCCAGTTCTCGATCGATTTTACGACGGAGATTGTGAAGTGGCTGAAGGAGGTCATTGTGGATGACGGCGTGTGGACAATACGGCATGCGGAGGACTCGAGGGTTGTAGAGGTGATTAGGAAGGAGGGGGCGAAGAGTTTTCTGTCTGAAGAATTTCTGAGCTGGCGGAAGGGGAGGTTCGAAGGAGGAGTTAAGGTGGAAGGAGGAGAGGTTGAACCTTTGAAGTCAATAGATACGGCCATGACATCGGTGTATATTTGAGCATAGCAAAGGAATTTCTAGGCATCCCATTTCGACAAGTGGATCTCGAGATATGTTCAAACGGCTGTGTCAAGCGCCCTTGCAACTACCAACAACAAGAACTACCTATTAGGAACAGGGCCAAAACAAGCAACGCAACAGTCCATCCACAATGTGCGGATCGGTCTCCAGCATTAGGCCCCCACAATAATCATCCGCAAAAACGGTATGTATCAGAAGCAATGATCAGGAAACGAACAACTATCGTACACACCAATCCTCAAACGGGAAGAAAATACCTCGAGAAGCAATTGCAAGAAACGCATCATCGAGGGAAAAATTGAGTCAAAGAGTACAATCATCAAGAAAAACAGCCACCATCCGCCAACATTCATCGTCAGAAAGCATGAGCAAGCATCAAGAAAAAAAAATCCAGTCAGAACAACCATCAAGAAACAACCACAGCAACTGCCTGTGTGTTGCAGTTCATCGTCAACAAACCATTAGCAACCCCGGAAGCAGTCGTATCATCCCCAAATCGACAATCATCAACATCCCAAATCAAGCAGTAGAAAAACACATCGAAAAGAAAAAAAAAGAGAAAAAAACATTAAAGAGCATGTTAAAGGAGGGCATGGTAAGGTGGACGACAAAGCGTATCCTACCTTGATTTCATGTGCAAACCCTACCTTCATGGGCTCAAAACAACACAAAGAGCTGTAGCAAACCCCTGATGAAGATGACGCCAAAATGCACCAATCGATCACAGAGGTCAAGGGTCAAATGTCGAAGGCTAATCGGTGCCGCGCCTACGCCAGATGCCTTTACTTCCGGGTTGCAACTTTGGCGCGAAGAGGCCTGATCGAGTCAGTATATATTCATCAATACCGCTAAAGAAGCAAACAAACCAATCTGTTGGGCCGCAGAAACACTCCTGCATTTCTTCAAAATGTTGTTCGCTGGTGGGAAAGTCATTTCTTGTCCTTTTGTGTGAATCGTCAGTTCGGAGTTGCATATTGTAATGGACTTACTCACCAGCCATCGGACCAGCGGAATGAAATAACTGAGAGAGGCTAGTCAGTGATTGTCCGAAAGTATATGGAGGGACCATGCACCTTCGGCCTGTACGCCGGATCTTGATCCATGACTGAGCTGTTTCTAAATTTCTCGACAAGTTGATCGATGCCTTGAATATCTGCCGTAAAACAGTCGCGTCAGAAGAGAGCAAAGAAGACCGAGATGGTTAAGTAACGTGACATACTCGCATATGTCACATCAAGGACCTTCTCCGAGTTGAACTTGTTCCTGCAATCATATCAGTCAGTACAGAATTGAGTTAACTTGGATATTGGACGTACCAGCGAGTTCCGGATTTCTCTTTCACGAACTGCATGCAGGTCAGATAGATTTGGTCAGGAATGAGAATTTAGGGACAAACATCGATGATATCCAGTGGCTGCGAGAAACTGTTAGCACAAGTATACCATTACTATAAGACAGCAACAGGGAAGATTACATCCAAGAAGTTGATGAACGCATAGCCAACACTGTGGATGATGGTGAGTATGGGAACCTGGGGGAGACAAGCTTGAAGTCGCATACTTGCAGATGTTGCGGAAATCTACCCAGTGGTTGGTTAGCGGAGGAGCATGGCACTGGGGTCCGGGGAGAAATACCAATGCGTAGGTACAGAAAGTTGTAAAGACCACGGCTCGTTTCATCAACGTAATCCTTCAAGGTTGCCTGATCGACTTTGTTTGGAATATTGCGGAGCATTACCTGCAAGCCGTTAATGGACCGAGCATCCTGAGTTATTGCACTGCGCTTACAGTCGTTCTGGTATCCAATCCCCTGGCGATGCGGTCTAGGTCGATGACATTTTTTCCTGGTAGGAGTAGGCTGTTATCAAAAACCGTGGGGGATTTTAATTTCCTCTCGGCGGCCAGTCTATGGACACAGTCCGGCTTGCACGGCAGGAGTTTGGGCTTAGGGGTAGACACAGGAAGAAGCACCCGCGGGTCTGTAAAGAGGTCGCCACACACATCTTCCGACTCTGTGTCGGAATGATTTCCAGGGCTGGCGGGACGGGCCTCTGGAAAAATCGGATTGTGGGTAGCCGGTCCATATCCGTATCCAAGGTTCGTATCCAGAACCGGACGAATTGGGAGAGGTGAGTAGATCTGCGCTCCCGTGGGTTTGTCGACATAGCTCAACATGAGCTCCTCCTTAGTTTCCACACTGAACGGGTCTAGCCCCGACGACCGCTCCGGCGCAAAGATAGTGGCCCTAAGATGGTAACCCTATGTCGATGTCAGCCTATTGTCACCACAGGTAGTATGGGTGTTCGAACCATAAGGTATTGTCCATCAAGGACATCCACCACATTAGAGGCAATCCGGTGCTCGGCAAACGCGACGAAAAACGTAGGCTTCTTATCACGCCGCAAGGTCTTGAATTTTTCGATGGCCCCAAAGTCGCGGAGCCGAGCATACAACGGTCCAGCTGGTTTGGACAAGCGGGGACCCGAACCAACGCTGCAGACAACGTCTGCAGACCTATTGTCACCACGTCGGTTGGTATGTACCCCCAGCTTTGAGGATGTTAGCCACTGGTATTGAAGAGTGAAAAGCAGCTTACCATATCGAAGTAAGCTGGACTGCAGAATTGTAAAATCCACATATTATACTCCGCTTTACATTTCATGTAACAGGCGATGGCGTCTCTCAAATCAAAATACGAAATGACACAGATGCCATCCGACAGCAATCGTGACGTATTGTATTCTTCAACATCTCCGACCTCCTAGAGCTAGGAGTCAGCCATGTATATATTGGAAAGATGGGATACACTTACAGCCAAGTATTTGTATAGGTCCGCTGTGGGAAACCTAGGGTTTATATTGCTGATTTTCAGGTATCTGGTTGTCGAGGTAGCCCAATGGTCGATACCACGGGGAGCACGCCTGGTGGGGGTGGGGGTGACACACGTGATCTGTGACTGCAAGGTCTCCGATCGATTTTCATTTTCACCTTCGGTCTGTACGTCTAGATCGTTGGGAGTGATGGGAGTGTTGGTGGTGGTGGTGGCGGTGGGGGTAGGAGTGGTGGTGGTAGGGGTGGGAGTGGTGGTGGTGGGCACATTCGATGCTAGACCTTGACGAACCTCCGGGCTCTTGAGCGGGTCTTCCTCTTCGTATGGTCCGAGGGGGGACTGGTCAATGACATGAGTGTATCCACGGAACGACTTATTGGTAGGCGTGCTAACGTTGCTACGCTCGGGAGAGAGGACCGGGGAACCAGACGTGATGGACGAAGCTTCTTCCATGGTGACGGCTAGAATTGAGGTGTCGACGATACGGTAACCTGGAGTAGCGAAGGATCAAAACCAGATAGCGGAAGAGAAGGGAGCAAAAAAGCGGAAGACTGATTGCGGGAGTAAGTCTGAGAGTAGTCGAGAAGAGAGTGTGTATTGGAGATGGAAAAAAAAGTATGCTGAAATTGAAGGTAATCAACTCAGTGAGAAGAGTGATGTCGACGATACGGCAAGCTGTAGTAGCAAAGGATCAAAACCAGAGAGAAGAGAAAAAGGGAGCAAAAAAGCGGAAGAGTTGATGGTGTGAACAGAAGCAAAGAGACAAAAGAGGGTTGCGATGAGGAAGGAGAAGAAGAGAAGGAAGGGAGAGGGGGAGAGGGGGGCTATATAAGGGAAAGGGGAGGACGAGATACAAGGAAGGAGGAAGGAGGAAGAGGAAGAGGAAGAGGAAGAGGAAGAGGAGGACGAGGACGAGGACGAGCAGGACGAGCAGGAGCTGGATGAGCAGGACGAGCAGGACGAGCAGGACGAGCAGGACGAGCAGGACGAGCAGGACGAGCAGGACGAGCAGGACGAGCAGGACGAGCAGGACGATAACATTTAACAACGACAACAACGACAACAACAACAAAAATAACAAAAATAACAAAAATAACAAAAACAACAACAACGACGACGGAGGCAGAGGTGGAGGGTTGGAAGGCGCCTGGTATGCAAGATACGAGAGAGCTCGTGTTGATGGCGGCGGTGATACCAGAAGTATATGGGGGGTAATGGAAAGATCACTGTCGGTGACAAGCTTGACCAAGGCCCCTCGACGACGAGAAGGTCAAGGTATCTAAGGTCCTGGAAGGAAACGGGCCAACGAAAAAGAGTTCGATCGTCGACAGAACTCAAGAGCTGCCGATCACCAATTCGGAGAGGATCTCGAGGATGAGGTCATGTCTGTGGGTAGGCCTACAGTAAAGTCTTGTTGCGGTTGGTCCAGGATGGGCTCGATGAGCTCGATGATGTGATCGAGAATGAACCCAAGAATGAGCTCATGTCTGCGGGTAGGCCTACAGCAAAGCCTTGTTGCAATCGGACCAGGGTGAGCTCGAGGATGGGCTCCATGATGAGCTCATGTTTGCGGGTAGGCCTGCAGTAAAGCTTTATTGCAGTCGGCCCAGAACATTTTTCAACAGAATACGAATGGAGATCTATGCAGTTGGATGGCCCGGGGTTGTGGTCAAAACAATCAACAGGCTGTCTTCAACGACGGAAAGCGATGCCAAGACCCATATGGATATTGTTTGGGCAGGATCATTGAGCTTGGCCGTTTCTCAATTCGGACGGTTACCTGGAAGGTTCTGTAATCAGGGTCAGTAATAAGATCAATGGAATAATCGAAGAATGTGTACCCGGTGAATGAGACCCTAGGGCCAATGGCCTTGAAAGTCCTCGGTCTCTCCACCTTTGATGGATCTCTCGACTTTTTGTTCAGGCCCGTTCGGTGGTGTCGACAATGGCCGCTGGGCGCATCTCCGCAAGTGTCAGCGAATTGATGTCGAGTGATCGATGGTGCCATCCCCGCGAAGACCACCCCACGCTAGCGAGCCTGCCCCTGCACGCCCGCCTGTTACACCAGCTAAAAAAACCCGCCAAGCCCCTCTACTCTCAAGAAACTCAGAACTTTTTCCCACTGCTTGTCTCGCTCGACCCAACGCGCAACGTTCAACATCTGATTCAGTTCCGCCCCACAACACCCTCCTACCTACACCCCCCCCAACTTCACCAAACAAATGAGCGGATTCAGAGGAGGAGGCGGTGGACGAGGCGGCCGTGGTGGAGGGTTCTCTAGCCGTGGAGGAGGGGGAGGGTTCGGCGGTCGAGGTAAATTGAACCCGTCGTTGACGCTGTCGCCGTCGTTGGTGTGTCGCTTTTCTGATTTCTTTCTGCTATAGGTGGCCGCGGCGGCTCCTCTTTCAGCACCGGTCCCCCGGATACAGTTCAAGGTGCGTACCCTCATGGGCTCGACGGTTTTGCGCCGCAATTGGCGCTAGCGATTGGGTTTCGTCGCTGACGAAGAATTGGCAGAGATGGGAACGGTCATGCACTCGTGCGAAGGTGAAATTGTTTGCGTTTCCAGCAATACCAAAATCCCGTACTTCAATGCGCCGATATACCTCGAGAATAAGTCGGTTGTTGGCAAGGTCGACGAGATTCTAGGACCGATGAACCAGGTCTACTTCACGGTCAAGCCGCAGGACGGGATCGTTGCTACATCATTCAAGGAGGGTGATAAATTCTACATTGGCGGTGACAAGCTTCTGCCATTGGACCGATTCCTGCCGAAGCCCAAGGCTCCTGCTGGTATGCTCAGAACGATTTGATCTTGTCGCCTGTTGCCATGCTAACCAACTTCGTGTAGGTTCCAAAGTCTCGAAGAGGGGCGGTGCATCCAGGGGTGGTCGCGGAGCTCCTCGCGGAGGAAGGGGAGGTTTCACACCAAGAGGACGTGGTGGCGCTCGCGGTAGTGGAGCTCCGAGAGGACGTGGCGGATCGAGGGGAGGCTTCACCCCTAGGGGTCGTGGCGGTAGCGGTAGTGGTTTCACTCCTCGCGGTGGACGGGGTGGCTTCACGCCCAGGGGCAGAGGCGGCTATTAAAAAAGTTACGGGCGGTGGGCGGATATCGAATTGGTTGAACGCGAGTTATGACATGTCTTCTTGTGTATAATACGGAAGCGATGGAGGGATGGATCAAATGGTTCTGAGTATGGCCAATCTATCCAGCGAGTGATAAAAAGACGTGTGCGAAACGTCAGGGAATTTAGTCTACAGTCAATTATTATATACAGGAAATGATAGCGCTAGGCACAGTATCTCCCGTCTACGCTGATGCTCTTTATTTCCTCAACGCCTCCGTCCGAATCTCACGCTTGGTGGAACGAATCGTATGCTTGTCATGAGTGCGGATATCTCGTTAATACCATCATCCTCGTTCTTCTGTAGAGCACCGTCTTCCACTTGCATTGCAACATCGGGGGTGATTTCGGGTAAGGTTGGCGATGCATCCCTGCCCTCCATTTGTTTTGGTCGTCTATTCCCATGGCTACTTCGGGTTAAAGGATTACGTCCCCCATCGTTCAGTAATGACATGCTCCTGTCAATGCCATCCTTTGTGACGAAAAAGTTGTAGTCCTACATTTCCACCATCAGCATCGTCCCCATCGTCCACCCGCAGATGTAATCGGCGCATACCTGAGGGAAACAGTGCTTATCGATGAGATGCCTCTTCCGTTTGAACGGGGTGCTGCACATGCGGTCACATCCATCGACAAAACAACCAAACTTTGACAAAGTTAGCATGCATATCCTTTCCATTCTGCCGGTGGGAGTGTGTTACTGACGATTTTGTCTCCTCTCTCAAACTTGATCTGGGATAAAGGATCATCTGGAACAAGTCAGTCATGGTGAAGCAATAGGAAGAAGGGGGGTTTCCTTACGAGTCTCTTGGATATGAAGATGCAGGAATCGCTCAGATGGAAAGTTCTTCTTACACTCTATGCACCGGTTCGTGTGGGTCTGGTGGTAGTGAACTTCGTACTCCTCGTAGGTGCTGAAGGGCCGCGACTGGCAGAGAGGCTTCTCTGAGCAGACGATAGCGATTTGCTGTGTTGCACTGTCGACGCGAACTAGTTTGGAAGGCCCGGTTTTTTCATCGATATTGCCAGCCTCCTCGACAGGTGGTGTTAGTAGTGTCGATAGTACTTCTAGCTGTGAGGAAAGTTCTCTCGGCCGCTTGGACATTTTGGGTTGGGCGTTGGCGGTGGTGAGTTTTGTGATGAGTGATAGAAGGAGGTTGTGAGCTCGAGTTCGCTTGCGTCTAACCTCGCTTAAGCTGCCAAGCCCATTCTAGCGTTGACAGCTGCTCGACGTTCCTCCGTTCTTTTACAGAAGTCCAACTCACTTCATGTGAAGGGACGTCCACTGACAGACCCCACATTTCCTCGTCTTCCCCGCGGACTCTATGGAAGCATCACTGCAATGGAGGTCAGTATTCTGGCTCGCTTTAGTTGCGTTTTGGTTTGGAATTCGCACAGTGGGCTCATACAGTTGTGTGGAGGAACAGTGAAGCCGAGGCGCTGGAAAAGAAACTAGCGTCCATGCTGAAAGATCGTCAGTCCACTGGTCGGCTCCTTGAGCAAACTGTTACGCAGTCAGTTTCCGAACTTCTTCCCCACTGGTTGATTGAGCTGATGCTCTGTATTTCGAAGACTGCAAGAGGCATATGAGACAGTTATCTTTCAAGATTTCCGCTTCGCGCAGGAGAAGGATGTTGAAGGCCGCATGTGGCTCAAACACCACCGGATCATTGAGCAGTACCGAAAGAACCTTACCCACTTCCAGAATCAGTACGGCAAAAAACGGCCGGTGGAGCTGCGGAAGCTACAGGATGCCTTTGTTGGATTCATCAAGCAGACCACCCGGTTCTATCGCTCGTTCATCCAGCGCTTGATATCGCACTTTGGGGTCCACGAGCTGGAATGGATCATCACCAGATTTCATCTCTCCAGTATGTTCACTCCTCAGAATTGGGGCAGCTATGCTGATGCACAGATGCAGTGAGCATACCGGACACAGTCATAGAATGTAACTCGGATACCAGGCAGCAAGTCATTCGATCCTGCCATCGCACTTTGGTCTTCCTCGGGGACCTATCTAGATACCGAGAAGTTCCTCGAAATCCAAAAAACTGGGGGCCCGCAACTGGATATTATACTCTTGCCAAAACTTTGATTCCGGTGTCTGGAACGCCACACAACCAGTTGGCTGTCATCGCGATCAATGAAGGCTCCAACCTATCCTCCACATACCACCTTTACCGGGCTATGTCCGTGGCAGAGCCATTCCCTCAAGCCAGCGAAAACCTCGAGAAGGGTTTCAGAAAAGCACTCAAGGCTTATGAATCAGAAACACCGGCAACCACCCGCCTCATGAGGAAAGAAGAACAATCCGTGAAGGATCTGATAACACTATTCGTCCGATTACATGCCAAATGTTATACGGCTAGAGAGTGGGTACCTCAGTCGTTATAGGTGCCTAATCATATCACTAATCAAGGCTGTCTAGCTTTTCCGATTACGAGAGCTTGGAGAGCGAGATGTTGACGCAGCTCGCGCAGGATCTTAAAGACCGAAATTTGTCGAATGGGATCTTGACGAAGATGGTCCTGATCAACATCGCGGCCCAATACTTTGCCGCCAAACGGGCATCCCGTATGCCAGCCAGCTGCTTCAGATTGTGCGGATTATTAACTGACTTCCCCAGGCCATGCGACCTCCCACTCTTTCGTCAGCTTTCTCCGTCTGAATGTGGCCACATTCACCACCCTCCATCAAGTATTCCAACCCGAGCTCGAACGGGCCGTTGGCGAACGTACCTCCAACGATGCTGAAAACCTTAGCGCAATTGGCCGCCGAATGCTTCCCAGCCTGCGAATATACTCCACTTGGCTCCAAGTCAACCATCCTATCCTTGTGAACCAGCAAACAGGCACTGCAATCTCCGTTCTGATCAAGCAGTTATGGCAGACATACGCCAACACCCTGTCTCTGCTTGCTGCCACCTTCAGTATCAGTATGGACAACTTTCCCACACTGGATTATCTCCTCGAAGAAGACGATGATACCCTCGGCTTTCAGCCGTTTGCGCAGATCAATGGGAATACTACTGTGAATTGGAAAGACGAGCAGAGGGGGGAGACGGATCGCGCGCATCCGAACGAGGAGGTTCTGGCACGGATCCATTTCCTCCTCGAGGATGGAAAGCATCTGTGTCTCAAAGAAGTATCCCATCCCTTCGTCCGCCACCAGTTCACGATTAACTAACCACCACAATAGGATGTTCCAATCACAGCCTCGAGCGATGGCACGATAACGTACAAAGAAGAAGGGATCCTGACCAGCACGCCATCGATCGGGATGAACTCGAGTCTAAACATCACCGGCAGCGAATCGGCCTTCATCAGCAAAAAGCTCACGCGCCCCGAGGGCTCGTTGGCAGAGAGTGTGCTGGGACAGGGAGGCGCGAGTATTGTGGACTCTGTTACCGGGTCAGAGACTATGATTGTCATGAATCGTATGGTGGATTCTCTTGTCGGTCCTAGAGAGGATGCGAGCGATGATGAGGTTGTGGGGAAGAAACGTAAGTGATCCTCGGCCATTGCATATGGTATGGATAGGGGCTTATGAATTAGGGAAGAAACCATATGAGCTATGAACGGGAGGGGACGAGGGCATTGGGACGGATGGACAGCTGTAGTCTAGTAATCTTGTGCGAAGGCACCGGCTGACATGGGTTTGATGAGAAGATGACGATATCATGGAGACAACAAGCGCGAAGTAGATGGTAGCCCATCGAGAATAGATGAACCGAATGAGATTTTTTTGTTTGTTGAAACAGTACAAGACTCCGTAACCCCCGTGCCTATCCTATCCCCAATGCATTAAAGTGTTGAACGTGAATATGCTATGCTATGTTACGCAATTTCTCCTTATACCTTACAGTATAATCTAAAAGTTGTGTCCAGCGTACGCCTTCTTCACAGTGGGGTACGCGGGTCCGAGCTCCTGGATGCTCAAGCTGGCGAGCCACTGTCCCATGTCGACGCAAGTCTCAATCGACTTGCCCTGGACGACTCCACCGAGGAATCCTCCAGCGAAGGCATCACCGGCACCATTGGTGTCGACAATGCTCTTGCCGTCGACCTCGCGCACGGGGAAAGACTGGACCTTAGGCTCAGCGGAGCCGGAGGTCACGACGATAGTGGGGAGAGTGCCCTGGGTGATGACGACAACACGGGGACGGGCAGTGTTCTTCTTGGGGATGGCAGCAATGGCCTTGGCGATCTCGGTGATGTCGGTGGTCTAGATGCACGAAGTATGTTTAGCAGAGGAAGGGCGCATTTGAGAAGGGGTATTCACCTTGAGGTTGTGGGACTCGGCGTAAGCAAGAGCTTCAGATTCGTTACCGATCAGGTAGTCCCAGTAGGGAGCGCAAGAGTCGAGCTGCTCCTTGAAGAACTGGGGCAAGAAGGGAGCAGAGAGGTTCATGGAGAAAATCTGTGTGGAAGTCAGACACTGTTCATACACTATCACCCAGGAACCGTATGGGTACCTTGTTGGTCTCGGCGGCGTGCTCGGCAAGGGCCAGGATAGCCGGAACACAGACGGTCAAATGGAAACCACCGACATAGAAGACTTTCGCATTCTCAACGAGTGCCCAGATCTCAGGAGACTTGAGGTGCTCGAGCTTGTAGTGGTTGGCGGCAGCCAAGTCGGTAACCATGGAACGGTGGTGACCAGTGATCACGACACCACAACGACCGGTGGGGTGCTCCACGTCAATTCTGTACTCGGTGCGAAGTCCCTCGCGCTCGTTGGCTTCACGGAGCTGGTCGGCCGACGCATCCTTACCGACACATCCGACGTAGACGGCCGATTTGGCGGGAAGAACGTACTGTCATGCACGCATTAGAAACCGATGATTACCCCTCGGATTGAGTAAAGGGAACCCACTTGAGCTCCGCGAGCGGCGTTCTGGGCAGCACCACCAGCGAGGAACTTGGCCGTGTACTTGGTGGTCAGATCCTCGTAAATGGGCATGTGCTTCTCCTCCGCCAGGATCGCATCGTTCTCCTTCAGGTTGTATTTGTCAAGAACGGCCTGGTCGCTATGGGCAGTTCAGCGAGCGATCAATGGCTGTAGCCGGATGAGCAGATAACCCACCAAGTGGCCTGGATGTCTTTGCGACGATATCACAGTTAGCAACTGAAATTCAGGGTTTTCGGATAGGGAGTCGGAATACCAAGAAGGGGGTTGCCGAGGCAGAAAAGCTGGTAATCTTGGGAGGCCATTTTTTCTTTCTTTCGAGAATTGAGGATTGAGATGCGGTATTCGGTTTATCAACGGTGATTGAATTGAGTGCGGGCAGGAGGAGAATTGAGTTCTTGGGCTGGACCGCAAGCATCGCGGGGTTTGTCTTGGCATTGCATTCAATCAGGAAAGGCTAACTAGAATCCCAACTGGCAGCCACACCACTCGCCACACAGCACTTCCACCACAGAGTTTCCGCCACACCTGAGTCAACACTCGCACCGCCACATCAACTGCTCCGCCCTCTTGCGCGATCGTCTTGTCGGTTACGTTCGCAGATACCACTGAAAATCCTCACCATCGAAACCGCGCTCAACACAATACAGAGAAACAAGAAATAATAGCAGGAGATTCTTTCTTCTTACTGTTTCTTCTCTCCGAAAGCCGCCTCGCGCTATTTGCGCAGTTGCAGACGTGGTAGTAACCTTCTTCTCACGCTTGCTCGCTTTCTTTGCCCCCCTGCCTCCGCCTCCAGTTCTCTCGCAACCCCATCGAACTGCGCCTAGCGACCGTTCTCGCTCCTTCTCACTCACCCAAGGCAACGCGACACCACCAAACACGACAATCACCTCAAACTACACGCGTCGAACTCAACACCTCCGCGGTTCCAAGATCTTCGGACAGCCCGCTTAACCCACCCTCGGTCACTGGGGCACTCACGACCCACGTCGGCTACCGCTCCGACCCGGCGCCCCCTATGAACGTCCATTCGAATGGCGTTATGCCGCCGCAGTCCATGTCCGGCAGTATTTCCAAAGAACAAGTAGCAAGTGTATTCCAGGTACGTAACAGACCCGCTCGCCCTTGCCGCGTGAGCCTCATACCGTCATATCGTAACTTTTCCACTTTCTGTTTTCCCTGGGTTTAAATCGCTGATCGCCGTCGCTCACCTGTCACGCAGAAATGGAAAACCATGAAAGAGCAAGGCGCGAACGAGTCGAACCCCGAGTTCGCGCAGCTGTCGAACTACTTAAAGATGGTCCAGGCGCGCCAGCACATGGCCCATCAACAGCAACAGCAGCAACAGCAACAGCAGCAACAGCAACAACAGCAGCAGATCCAACATCACGCTGGTGGCCCTGGTGATAGCCGCGCTGTGCCCCAGGGCGTGCCGCAAGTAAATGGTACGGCGCATGCCTTTCCATTCCCGCCATATCTACTGACATCGGGCCGTGTAGGTCGATTATCGCAATCCCGTCCCGTCCCTCAGGCATCACCCCAGGGCTACAACTCCCCGTCTTCGCCAAAGCAGCGCCCCGCGATGGACCCAATGACAATGATGCTTGCCGGCGGCAAGGGTACGCAAACTATGGCACCGAATATGGCACAATCCGTCAACTCTGCTAGCTCCAGCTTTACTCCGGAACAACTTGCTGTCTTGAGGAGTCAGATTATGGCATTCAAGTTCATCACTCGTAACAAGTCCGTGCCGGCTAACATCCAGGCGGCGTTCCTTTACCCTCCGAGGCCTGGCTCCCAGACACCAACCGTGCAAGGAGTATCGACTGCTATTGACAAACTGAAGGACAAGCGACGGCAGCCTGATTATGAGTCCCCTTGGAACCACCTCCAGGCCTTTATCTCATACCATGACCACGGCTCGCGCGAAAAGAGGCTCATGATCCCCAGCATCATGCCTACAGGAATCGATGTCGCCCACCTCCAAGAGGAACGCGAACGTGTCAAGCACAACCGAATCGCCGCGCGAAAAGCTGAGCTTGAAGACTTGCCTAGCAATCTGGCCGAATTCAACACCAAGAAAGGCTTGGATGTTGTTGATGACTCTCTCAAGCTGAAGGCGTTGATCGAATATAAAGCACTTTGCCTTCAGTCGAGGCAGCGAGCGATGCGCCAGGATCTTGTCAATCGTATGGTCCATGCCGACAATCTCGCGGTTTCGTCGAATCGCTCCATGTTCAGACGTATGAAGAAGCAGTCCTTGCGGGAAGCGCGTATGACCGAAAAGCTGGAGAAACAGCAACGGGATCAGCGCGAACAGAAGGAACGGCGCAAGCATGTGGATTACATCCTGGGTGTTATTGCGCACGGCACCGAGATCAAGGCGGCGGCTCGGGCCAAGGAGGCAAAGGCTCAGAAGCTGGGACGCCTGATGCAGAGCCACCATCAGTTCATGGAGAAGGAGGAGCAGAAGAGGATGGAGCGTATGGCCAAGCAGCGTCTGCAGGCTCTCAAGGCCAACGACGAGGTTGCCTACTTCAAATTGCTTGGTCAGGCGAAGGATACTCGTATCACACATCTTCTCAAGCAGACCGATTCGTTCCTCCACTCGCTTGCAGCTAGTGTCCGACAGCAGCAACGCGATGCTGTTCAGAACTATGGTGAAAACGAAGGTTACTATGCGGAGGATGCCAATGAGGTGGAGGAAGGAAAGGTGGACTACTTCAATGTTGCTCATCGTATCAAGGAAGAAATCAAGGTGCAACCCGCGATTTTGACTGGTGGAACCTTGAAGGAGTATCAAGTCAAGGGTTTGCAGTGGATGATTTCGCTGTACAACAATAACTTGAACGGTATCTTGGCCGACGAGATGGGTCTTGGAAAAACCATTCGTAAGATATATCTGGCTTGATTGTTGAGGTGTGAGCCCTGTTAACCATCGCGATACAGAGACGATTTCACTGGTAACGTACCTGATTGAGAAGAAGAACCAGAATGGGCCGTTCTTGGTGATTGTACCATTGAGTACTCTCACCAATTGGACCATCGAATTCGAGAAGTGGGCCCCTACAGTGGGGAAAATTGTGTACAAGGGGCCGCCTAGTATTCGGAAAACCCAGCAAAACCACATCAAATACGGCAATTGGCAGGTTCTGTTGACTACCTACGAGTACATTATCAAGGACCGCCCGATTCTGAGCAAGGTCAAATGGAACTACATGATCATCGATGAAGGTCACAGGATGAAGAACGCCCAGTCCAAGCTCAGCGCGACCTTGTCTACGTACTACAACTGCCGTTACCGGTTGATCTTGACGGGTACACCGCTGCAAAACAATTTGCCAGAGCTGTGGGCGCTTCTCAACTTCGTTCTTCCGACCATTTTCAAATCGGTCAAGAGCTTCGACGAATGGTTCAATACTCCGTTTGCAAATACGGGAGGACAGGATAAGATGGAGCTCACGGAAGAAGAGGCTTTGCTAGTCATTCGTCGTCTCCATCAGGTCCTCCGGCCGTTCTTGCTGCGTCGCCTGAAGAAGGATGTCGAGTCCGAACTTCCCGACAAGGTTGAGAAGGTCGTCAAGTGCAAGCTATCGGCTTTGCAGGCTAAGCTCTACACGCAAATGATGAACAATGGCATCCTATATGTCAACAATGAAGACAAGGGCGGGTATGTTATCACCAACTCAGAACCAATGCTATGTTCAGAATACTGACTTTAGTAGAAAACTCGGTGTCAAGGGTCTAAGCAATATGATCATGCAGTTGCGAAAGCTCTGTAACCATCCTTTCGTTTTCGAAGAGGTTGAAAGCGCGGTCAACCCAACGAAGATTAACAATGATTCGCTCTGGCGTACGGCCGGAAAGTTTGAGCTGCTGGACCGATTATTGCCCAAGTTTTTTCACACTGGACATAAGGTAAAGCGCGAGGATGTGCGTGTTGGCAAAGGACCAGTGACTAATTTTGCATAGGTCCTCATCTTCTTCCAGATGACGCAAATCATGAACATCATGGAAGATTTCCTTCACCTGCGTGGGTTTAGGTACTTGCGTTTGGATGGGTCGACTAAAGCCGACGATCGTTCCGAGTTGTTGAAGCAGTTCAACGCTCCGGATTCGCCCTACTTCATTTTCTTGCTCTCGACTCGTGCTGGAGGTTTGGGATTGAACTTGCAGTCCGCGGACACCGTTATCATCTACGATTCGGATTGGAATCCTCATCAGGATTTGCAGGCTCAGGATCGTGCCCATCGTATCGGTCAGAAGAACGAAGTCAGAATTCTGCGGTTGATCACCTCCAACTCAGTCGAGGAACGAATCTTGGAGCGTGCTCAATACAAGTTGGATATTGATGGCAAGGTCATCCAGGCCGGTAAATTCGATAACAAATCGACCAGCGAGGAACGTGATGCCTTGTTACGTGTCATGTTGGAGGCAGAGGAGAAGGAAGCCGGTGATAATGAGGAACTGGACGATGATGAGCTGAACGAAATCTGTGCGCGCAACCCTAACGAATTGATCCTGTTCAAGAAGATGGATCAAGAGAGAGAGCTTGATCCGGTCTACGGCGAAGGCAGGAGGTCGAGACTATTCACCGATGCCGAGTTGCCATCTCTCTACCTGCAGGACGATGTACTGCCGATTGAGGAGCCTGTGGGACCTATTGGTCGTGGGGCTCGTGAACGCAAGGTTACCAGCTACGATGATGGCTTGACCGAAGAGCAGTGGCTAGACGCCATCGACAACGACGAGGACAGTATCGAGGACGCTGTGAACCGCAAGCGTGCCCGTATCGAGCGCCGTCAATCCAACAAAGCCAAGCGTGGTACAGCTGGCTACGAGGAGGAGGGCGAAGGCAGCTCGCCACCACCCGAGAGTCCCGAAGAGCCCGTACCTCCACCCACTATCAAGCGCAAACGGGGAAGGAAGTCCAATGCGGAGAAACGCCGCATGGAAGAGGTTGAGGAAGTAACACCAAAGGTATGTTGCATCCATCCTACTTTTTCCGGAGTATGCTTTAACGATCATAAAGCCCAGAAAGCGACAACGTGTGAACAAAGCGGGGTTCGTGTCATCCGACGGAGTTCTCGGCAGTCGTGCTGTACTCCAGGCGGCGTATGAGAGCATATTTGAAGCTGTCAAGAACTTGGAGGAGCCTGATACTGGACGTCTTCGTTCGGATATCTTCGAGAAACTGCCAAGTAAAAAGATCTTCCCTGACTACTATCACATTATCAAGCAGCCGATCAGTTTCAACGAGATCAAGAAGCGCATGAAGAACGGCGATTATACTTCGTTAGAGCAATTCCAGGCGGATTTCAAGATGATGTTTGCCAACGCTCGGATATATAACGAGGAGGGATCAATTGTGGTTGAAGATGCTAATGCCATGGAAGTAAGTTATAATCTCTGCCTTAAATCACGTTCCTAGACCTAACATCAATCTAGGCCGAACTTGATGCCCGCTTCGCCGAAGAAAAGAAGAACTATGACGGGGTGGCCGGTAGTTCGGTGGGCGACGGCACCTCCACTGGCGCAGTGTCGAGCGCCGGTACGCCCACAGCGACGGAAACACCTCACATCCGTCTCAAGGTCCGGAACCCACCAGCTGGGTCTCCGGATCGTGCCGATAGTCCAGACGATTCGGATTGAAATGGATCAGTAAAATTGGGCTGGGTTTTTTTGTTGACGTTTGGTGCTTTCTCTTCTTTTCTCCACATTTACCTTTCATCCTTTACCGTTGCTCCGGTAGTTTGGTTCTAGTCTTCTACATGTTTTTCATAACCGGTTCTCGTTTTTCCTTTCTTTCTTTCCTTTCTCTCTCCGTCTGTCTCTTTTTCACGCTCACGTAACATAACGTGCAAGATGTGATCTGATTTCTCTTTCTGTACTTTTAAAGTTGTGCGGGTTCAGTCCAGTTCAATGGCTTCAGGTTTTTTCCTACGGGTAGGCAGGCAAGCGGGTATTTTGTGCGTGATTGAATGGATGGAGATGTAGTTAGATGTCATTGACCCCTGATAGAAATCAGACTCTATGCTTTTACACGACATCTAAAGACCGTATCTCGTAACATCTAAGCAAAGAAGAAAAATAGACCAACGCCTCACGCCCCTCCCCATCAAGAACCTTTTGGAGTGTTTCATTCTTCGTCCGAGGACTCATCATCATCATCGCTGTCTAGCCACTTACTCATGTACGGACCGTCAAGCCAATACCCAAGCTTTGCGTAATAATTTCTCACACCGACTCCAGATATACTGTAATCAACAGAATCAGCACGCTTTCTTCCGGAAGATCATTTGTGAGGGAGGAACATACACTGAGATCTTCTTGCTTCTGTGCTCATATTTCGCAATCCTCTCTGCCGCTTCCATCAAGAGCGTTCCATATCCCTGGTGTTGATACTTCCGCGGATTCCTCGAATGAACCGGGACAGCAGATCCATACACATGAAGCTCTCTTACCAAGCTCGTCGGTTGCCCAGTGAGTTCCTTCCTGAATGTCCGATCCGAGCACTTCCTCAGCCGCAGCAAGCCGATCAAAATATCCTGCTTAGGGTCTTCATAGCTGAGAAACGTCTCCCAACCACCATTGGCAGCATAGTCCCTCCGCAGGAACTCAACCTGGTCTGGTCGGACTTTGTTTTTGACCTCCTGGATGCCGACTTCGCGCGTGCGCACGTCGCGACAAGTTGTCCCGAAGTCTTTCATTCTGCTCAAGGCCAGCTCGCGGAGGTTGCCGTTTTCGACACCGGCGGTGACGAGCGGCATCGGGATGTCGCGCTGGACACGGTAGATTCGCGTCCAGGGAGGGATCAGCGCAAGGATGCGGGCCACGAGGTCGATCAGGGCGTTGGGGGTGTAGTTCTTGTAGCGGCCGGTGCGCCAGAGCTCGTAGAGACCTGTGCCGCGGATGACGAGGGTAGGGTAGATCTTGAGACCGTCAGTGCGGAAGTCGGGGTTTTCGAAGTACTCTTTGAACTGGTCCAAGTCTCGCTCCATGCCAACGTTGGGAAGATCCGGCATCATGTGCGATACAACTTTGTAGCCTGCGTCCTTCGCCAGACGGAAGCTTTCACATACTGCCTTAACAGTGTGGCCTCGATTGGTATCCCGTGCTACGTCCTCGTAGAGACTCTGCACACCGATCTCGAGTCGTGTGCAGCCATACCGCAACATGGAGCTGAGATGTTGGTCCAGACAATAGTCGGGCCGTGTCTCGATGGTGATGCCGACACACTTCGTCTGCGATTGCTCGGCCAATTCGACGGCCTCGTCCACGTTTTCAGCAGTGTAGCCGGACAATGCATTGTGCAGACTGGCAATGAACCAGTCCCTGTAGCTCTCTGGCAATGACATGAACGTTCCACCCATGATGATGTATTCCACCTTGTCTACACTATGGCCGAGCTGTCGCAGCTGGTCCACTCTGCCTCGTGCTTGCTCGAACGGATCGTAGCGGGCTCGAATTGCTCTCATCGATGTGGGCTCGTATCCGGTGTATGATTGGGTACTGTACTCAAAGTCCGAATCGGGACCTCCGGGGCAGTATACACAGATATTTCCAGTCTATCATTCACTTAGCTTTCGCCTCAAGATAATTACTAGGTGGTCGAGCCTTACATAGGCAATATGTGGGCACCGATGGGGTTTACACATGACCGCAACGACCGCAATCCCCGAGCTCGTCCGCACCGGCTTCTGAATAAGCTTCCAGTTGATGTACTTCTTATAATGTTCCGGGATCGCCGCCATGATCGCTGTGAGCGGTGGTATAGTGCTCAGCTTGTGTTTTTTCGAGACCTGGCCTCGCAGCGAGTTCAGGTTCGTGACCTTTGATCCGTCGTTCTCTTCATGGTCTTGGATCAGTTGGTGTGCGATGTCTGCGCATGCTTGCATAAACCGTTCGCGCTCGGGCGCGAGATTTCCGTGCTTCTTGCCGCCGGTCTTGCCGCCAGAGGGTACGGCAGAGGTTCGGGGTGCCATGGTTGTAGGATTTGAGATATGCGATCGCGGTGGTGGTGGTTATGGTGGCGGTGACGGCGGCGGGTTGATGGTGGGGTTGAGTCTTCGATCACGAGGGGCAGGCGCTATGCTGCGGAAGGCTAGATTTCCGGCACCTCCATGCAAGCCAAGACCATGACATATGAAGGTGCAGAAAACGCGGGTTGTCTATCCATAAGTGCATCCATCCTTGGACGCGAAGGATGCACTCATAAAGTTATCGTTTGTAGCATCAACCACACCCCACACACCTCCCACAAGGACGGAAAGCTCGTCGACAAACAAATAACTGCGGTATCTGGTTCTAAAGAACCTTCTCCAACCGTCACTCATCACATATCGAACGTTCCTCAACTATGCCGGAGGATGTCAACGATATGCATTCGTCGCGGGATCCCAGGCCGAATCGCGGCCGGCGCGACTCGATTATTAGCATTTCGAGTTTTTACAGCGATGTGGAAATGGCACAGGATGAGGTGTGTGTCCACAAGCCCGTGGGATCTGACATTGAAGGTGCTAATAAGGCTTCAGATCTTTGCAGGACCAACGTCGGAAAGTCTTCCCACGAGTGCGGCTTCGTTTCAGCATCGACGGCGGCCGCGGACAGACTCAGTTACTAGTTGGTCGTTCTATCAGAGGGAAGACGAACAAGAGCGTATGATTGGAAGCGGCGACGATGAGGCACTAGAGGAGTCGGATTTCGATATCGAGGAGGAGAGTTACAATCGCAGGGACAGTCTTTCGATCCGGCGGGATAGTCAGTCAATACGACGGCACAGCCTCTCGCTGCGCCGGAAATCGTCAGCGCAGGATGCACGGGTGTCGGATCCGTTGATACGGCATAGGGATAGGGAACCAGGCTCGAACCGACAACCGCACAGGACAAGTCAGACCATCTACATTGCCTCCGAGGACCTCACTATTGCTGTGACTGGATTCGCCACCAGCAAGATTGGGTACACGATCTATCTTGCTACATCGTGGTTAACATTGGGAGTTGCGTGGCTGGTTTTCCGGTGGTTTCCCCGGGCGCACGTCAGGCTCATTGGCAAGACATCGCCTCTCGGTGATTGTGACTGGGTGGTGATCGAGGTAAGTCATCTTAGGGGAGGCGCGTATCAAGCGCTGCAGATTTCTAACCACAATGCTTCATGCAGAACCAATGGAACGAATTCTCGTCGTACAATGTCAAACGACGCGAATACGGACAGACATTGTCAACCATCTTCGGACAAGGCAAAGAAAAGTCCATCAGCGTCCATGCATCGGACGACTACGACGACGATGACCCAATTGTACAGCAACTGCAGTACCTAGATTATCGCTACATAAGATTCTGCTACCACCCTCTGCAGGATAGATTTATGCTCAATAACCACTGGCGAGACCCTTCGTGGGATGACGTACGGTCACTGAGGATGGGTCTCGACGGAGACGAGAAGGGCTATAGACAAACCGTTTTTGGAGATAATGTGATGGACATTGAAGAGAAAACTACCATGCAGATCCTGGTTGATGAGGTTGGTGCCACTGCTCGCCCTCCTTTTCACTCCTACATCTGGCACGAGTGTATGAAGCTGAAGAAATGTTCGCATTGTGAATCCAGGCTTTCCATCCATTCTACGTATTTCAGATTGCAAGTCTTGTACTTTGGTCCCTCGACGAATATTACTACTACGCCGTGTGCATCTTCCTCATTTCGCTGTTTAGTATCATGAGTACCCTGCTCGAAACAAAATCGGTGGGTTATTGAGAGATCATCTTTGATTTCCGGTGCTTGGACTTACAATATGTTAGACGATGCGTCGTCTGAGAGAAGTCTCCCGATTCGTCTGCAACGTTCGAGTTCTGAGGAACGGCTTCTGTATGTTGACTTCCTTTTGATCTGGCTTCCGTGGGCTCACAGTACCAGGGCGTTACATCGCATCTTCCGATCTCATCCCAGGCGATGTCTACGAAATCACGGATGGGGAACTGTCTTTATTCCCTTGCGATAGTCTTCTCCTTACCGGAGATTGTATCGTTAACGAGAGCATGCTGACTGGTAATCGACACTCTTCCTTGCAAGCAGGACCTCTCACTGACATTTATAGGCGAATCGGTACCGGTTTCCAAACTACCCTGCAACAATGAAGCCCTTCACCTGCTTGACCTCGGCGCGGCTTCCGTACACCCAGCAGTGGCCAAATCGTTCCTATTCTGCGGAACCAAGATCATTCGAGCCCGCAAGCCCCAAGATGGGATCGAAGAGGAGGCTGTTGCCTTGGCCATGGTCGTTCGCACGGGATTCAACACCACCAAAGGTGCTCTGGTTCGGTCAATGCTGTTCCCCAAACCCACAGGCTTCAAGTTCTACCGTGATTCTTTCAAGTATATCGCCGTAATGGGTGCGATTGCTGGTCTTGGATTCATTGTCTCTTTCGTCAACTTTATCCGGCTAGGCCTAGAGTGGCACCTTATCATTATCAGAGCATTAGATCTGATCACCATCGTCGTCCCTCCAGCTTTGCCTGCGACATTGACGATTGGTACCAACTTTGCTCTCTCACGCCTGAAGAAGAGTAGCATCTTCTGCATCAGTCCGCAGAGGGTCAATATCGGCGGAAAGCTCGACGTGGTCTGTTTTGACAAAACCGGTACTCTTACTGAGGATGGATTGGACGTACTTGGTGTTCACTCTGTGACCTCGTATCCGCACAAATTTTCCGAGCTCATCGAGACCTCTCGTGCGTTACTGAAGGCCGACACCCAAGGCTCAAAAACCGATCAATCACCGTTTATATCACTTTTCAACACCATGGCAACGTGTCATTCCCTAAGGCTTGTGGACGACGAGTTGATTGGCGATCCGCTAGACCTGAAGATGTTTGAGTTCACGGATTGGGTCTTTCAAGAGGGCGAAGGTGGGAATACGAACAGCGGCAACATTCATGATCCACGGAACGCGGAGAATGGTCCCAGTAGTGGGCTGTCGCCATCTGTTGTCCGTCCGCGTCAGAGTCACACGGCTTCCAACCTTGTAAGTTTCTCGGTGTTGAGTATCAATTCGTGATCACTGACAGCTGCAGAACCCCACTCAGGAACTAGGGATATTGAAGATCTTCGAGTTCGTTTCACAACTCAGACGGTCCAGCGTTATTGTCAAACGATTCCGTGCCTCGGGCGGTGACATCTACGTCAAAGGAGCGCCGGAATGCATGCGCGAGATCTGTAACTCACTGAGTTGTAAGTACCCCGTATCCAGTGGCTCCACGAGTGTTAACCATTTCTTGCTACAGTTCCCCCGGACTACGACACCATTCTTGAGCATTACACTCGCAGCGGATACCGAGTGATTGCCTGCGCAACGAAGCACATTCCCAACCTGACCTGGATCAAAGCTCAAAAGATGAAGCGTGAAGACGCCGAGTCTGGCCTCGATTTTGCTGGGTTCATTGTTTTCGAAAACAAGCTCAAGGACTCGACAACTCCCGTGATTGAGGAGCTAAGAAAGGCCGCCATCCGCACCGTCATGTGCACCGGAGATAATATACTCACGGCCATCAGTGTGGCCCAGAAGTGCAAGCTGATTGATGACTGCCTGGTCTTTGTGCCGCATTTTGGAGAGGGCAATTCGCAAAGCGAGGATGCAAGGATACATTGGGAAACTATCGATGGTACTCCAGTCTTCCTCGATGATGTTACGCTTCTGCCGTTGCCTGGAGCCGATATTGCTGGACCATACAGCACATATAATCTGCACAACTACTGCATGGCTGTTACCGGTGAAGCTTTCAGATGGATCATTGACTATGCCTCCGAGGATTATATCAACCGGGTATGAAATTCCCCTGCCAAATTAGTCCTCTTGCTAACAGGTTAGATGCTGGTCCGTTCGCAAGTCTTCGCCCGAATGTCACCCGACGAAAAGCACGAACTCGTCGAAAAGCTTCAAGCCCTCGACTACTGCGTCGGTTTCTGTGGCGATGGAGCAAACGACTGTGGAGCCCTTAAAGCCGCAGACGTAGGCATATCTCTGTCAGAAGCTGAAGCATCAGTCGCTGCACCATTCACCAGCAGGATCTTTGATATCTCGTGTGTTCCACAAGTCATCCGAGAGGGACGTGCAGCATTGGTCACCAGCTTCAGTTGCTTCAAGTATATGAGTTTGTACTCTGCTATCCAGTTTACGTCCGTCAGCATACTATATAAATCCGGATCCAATCTGGGTGATTTCCAGGTAAGACATGTTTAGTTCCAGGTTTGGGTGGCCGCTGACTCTTTACCAGTTCTTATTCATCGACCTTCTGTTGATCCTGCCCATTGCGGTATTCATGGGATGGAGTGGTCCATACCCTACTCTGAGCCCCAAACGGCCCACCGCCAGCCTCGTCTCCCGTAAAGTCCTCACGCCCCTTCTCGGGCAGATTTTCATCGCCTTCGTCCTACAGTTTGCGTGCTACAAGGCCGCCGAAGTCCAGAGCTGGTACATCCCGCCAATTCTGAGCCACGAGAAGGCCAACATTCCGAACTCCGCCAACACAACACTGTTCCTGGTTTCTTGCTACCAGTACATCTTTGCGGCCGTGATACTTAGTGTTGGGCCACCATACAGGTTGCCGATACGTTACAACGGTATGTCAAGTTCCAAATCAACTGTATGATGAGACCACTAACACCCACCCATCAGTCCCCTTCGTAGCAACAACCCTCCTCGGCATCGCCATATCCTCATACATGCTGTTCTTCTGTCCCCAGTGGCTCTCAGACCTAATGCAACTCACGAAGATGCCGGTAGACTTCAAGTTTGTACTCGTGGCGGCAGCGGTTGTTGGCTTTGCCGTGTCGATGGCCGGAGAACAACAGTTGTTCCCGTGGCTCTCGAGACTCTTGGGACCGAAGAAGGGCGGTGAGGGCGGGAAAAAGAGGAAGGCTTATAAGATTATGAATGAGAAGATGCGGTTCTAGGGGGGAGGGGATGGAGGGGAGGAGGAAGAAAAAGTAGATTAGAAGTGTACTATACCATATCCAAACGGTGGAGGAGAGGAGTGGATTGTTTTCTGTTCTGTTTATCACGATTTCGTTTACACGGCAATTCAGAGATTCCCGAACCTTATCCGCATGCCATCTTTGTGCGTCAATGCGAAAACGTAGCTCAGGCACTCTCGAGAGACAAGCACATTCCGTAGCCATATATCGCAATTGAAACTCAACCCATCCCGCTCCCGACGTCATCGTAGAAACAGCCCACAGCAGAAGATAAACCGCGCCGAGTCACAGCGTGTGTATATTCCGTTCCCCCCTTCATGCCGCACCATCATCATGCCCCTATTCTAACCATTCCACTCCTTCCGCAACCGTCTAATGATCCCAAGGATGCTTCAGTCCCAGCAGAACAGCGCCATCCTTCTTGGCACGGTACCTGTCATTCCCCGTCAGCACTTACTCACTCCCTTCCCATGACCCCTCCCCTATTCCGCTCGCTCGTGAGAGGGACTCACATCAAGAAAAACCACATGGTAGCTCCCAGGCCCGTGGCGGCGAAGCGGTATAGCGGGCGCGCGGGGTGGATGTGGATCGGGTGGGAGCCGGGGCCTGCCATTGTCTGTTTTAATCCGCGTGAGCGGTGATCGTAGAAGTGGGTTGTGGGGAGTGGGAGGAGGAGGTACTGTGTGTCGTGGTGGTGCTTTCGTGGTTCGAGGTGAGGTTCGAGGTGTGGTGAGGTGGATGGTTGGTTCCCGGTCCGGTTGGTAGTGTACGGGATGGGATTGGACGTCAAGGTCCCCCCACGGTGTGGTTAGTGGCTTGGCTGGCTTGTCACGTGATTGTGCATGCGGGTCATGAGAGTGTGCTCGGAGTGACTACATGTCACGGTTTTGCAAAGATGGTGTTTGAGCAGCTTAGGAAGGAATTCATATGGGTATTATTACACAGTGTTAACGTTACGGATGATTCTATCAACTTCACGCCATTACATCGTTCGTTCCAGCTGCAATTCGTTTGCACGGCATGCAGACGCTTGAATGTCACGTTTACACCGTTTCTTGGATCGATTGCTGTGCGGCGATGGTTAGTGAGAAGACAAGATATACCGGATGAAGGCACGGTGATAGGTTAGGTTGGGCATACCAAAAATCTCTCCAGCGCAAGTTCGAAGTATTCCACAGCGACACCTTCGCCGCCGGAGTGTTCGGTGGCTATATATCTGTCAATCGGACTGCCCGCGAAGCTCAATAAGTAGACGGAGAGGAAAGACATGCGTGATAGCGGGTTCTTGGTGACTATTTCACACATGGTAGTCAGCGACAATCCGGATGATATTCTGTGAAGAGTCTCTTTAACATACCAAACTCGACATAGAGGTTGACGTAGATCTGATGCAGCACCGCACGGAGCGCATTCGTCTTGATATCGGTCAACATGACGAACTTGAGATTCGTCGGCGTCTCGTAGTAGTGCAGCTTGTACACGCCGGTTCGGTAGGTGAGAAACGTATCCTCGCTTTTTCCATCTATCCATTAGTTTTTCGGCGGGAGAGTAGGCGGTGGGTGGGTGGGTACGAACGGGCCGGAGAGCTTCTTGACCATGTTCCGCAGTGAGAATACGACTCCAAAGACCAGCTTTGCATCGTCCTGAACGCTGAGTCGTCCCGGTGGCGGGCGGAAATTGGTAGTGGCGACTGGCGCATCGGGGATGGTGGCTATCGAGCGTCTATCGGAGGCTGTGACGGTCGGCGAGGAGATCCCGGAGAGCGACGGCGGTGGTTGGGAATTGCGATAGGCCCGCTCGCGATCCAGCCATTGCTTGACGTAGATGCATTCGCCTGGAGAATGCGTTAGTCGTGGATGAGCTGCGCTGGATGAAGGGGTGCATACAATGTCGATCGAAGATGTAAAACGAGTATATCGGCATTGCGACGCGACTGGAATGAGCTGGGCTAAGGTGCTGCTGGTGTAGAACAGCTCGCGGAAGCTGTTAGAGGTTTGCGGTCGGGTAAGATGAGCTGGAGTGTTCCCTGTCTGGCCTAGAGAGGTTTGGAGGTTGTTGGGCTAGTTACTCACCCCCGGCGAAGGTGGGGCTGAACTTGAGCTCCATCAACACAACAAACGGGCCTGCTTCTTTGGAGAAGCTCACGAGACCATCTTTCAATACTGGACCAGGAATACACCGCACCCCACATCACGGCTTTTACTCCAAGTACTGCGATTGTTTTTCCCCAATTCATAACCCACCCACGTAAACACCCATGGTAGCCTCGCCCTCCGCCCAGCCAACAGCTCCCGAGAGTGCATCCCCAGACCCGGTACTCCAGGGCCCTGCCACCGTCCGACTTCACCCCGTTAGACATGTCTCTACACCATCAGTTGGACTTCTCCGGCACCACCGCAGAACTCCATCGATTGGTCGACAGCCAATCAAAGAAACCATTGATGCGTGCGCGTCGTATGAGAGTGACGAGGAAGGCAACGGAGGAATTCGAGTCAACCAGTAGAGTGCCCTTGATACCGTGACTCCGGGCCGTTTTGTGCATCCGTCTGATACTTTGCGATGTGTCTGGTTAGATATGTCTTGAAGCAGGAAATCGGCCGGGGATCGTTCGGCGCTGTTCACGTCGCGGTGGATGGAGACGGCAAGAAATATGTAATGCCCTCCTTCTTCCTTTTGTTTCAAGGCGATCCCTTCCTAAAGGATGCGATTCGTGTACGCTATAGGCAGTGAAGGAATTCTCCAAATCGCGGCTTCGGAAGAGGTCGCAATCGCAGCTCCTCCGGCGACCAGGCGCCACCATGCGTCGAGCTCCCGGAGGCTTCCTGACACCAGGAAACAGACGGCCTGCGTCCGAGATCTTTAAAGAGCAGGAAGCAGGAAACCCACTCTACCTGATCCGCGGGGAGATGGCGATCCTGAAGAAGCTCGACCACGAGAACGTAATCAACCTGATAGAAGTACTCGATGATCCCGAAGGGGACTCGTTGTACATGGTGTTCGAAATGTGTGAGAAGGGCGTGGTAATGAAAGTCGATCTTGATCGCCGCGCCGAACCATACTCCGAGGAGCGGTGTCGGCTGTGGTTCAGAGACATGATCTTGGGAATCGAATACTGTTTGCCTCCCACTCATACCATACGTACCGTTGTGTGAAACTTACCAAGTCGATAGTGCATGCGCAAGGGATAGTCCACCGTGATATCAAACCGGACAATTTACTGTTGACAGCGGACGACGTTCTGAAAATTGTGGACTTCGGCGTCAGCGAGATATTCGAGAAAAACGCACCGATGATGACGGCAAAGTCGGCCGGAAGTCCGGCTTTCCTGCCCCCGGAGCTGTGTGTGGCTGGACACGGAGATGTTAGCGGCACAGCGGCGGATATCTGGTCAATGGGTGTCACCCTCTACTGTCTTATGTTCGGATGCCTGCCGTTCAACCACGGCGGTGTCATGGAACTCTACTCGGCCATAATCAACGATGAGTAAGTCACCACCGCCTCCAGATGTGTAATCCCGAGGCTTCCATCTGATCTGTTTCCACGAAGACCTCAAATACCCGACACTGTCAGTGAAGATCTAGAGGATCTCTTTCGGCAGATACTAGAGAAAGATCCCGTAAAACGGATAAAGATGACTGAGCTACGGGTATGTACCACGTTACTCCGGTCCGTTCCGTGGAATACAGGTCATAACATGACACAGGAGCACCCTTGGGTGACATGTCGGGGCGAAGACCAACTGTTGTCAGTGGAGGAGAACACCGCGGATTTCATAACCCTTACGGAGGAGGAAATGGCATCTGCCATCTCCAAGAGCATCCACAACGCTATGGCCGTCGTAAGAAATGATCCCTCCACCAAGATATCACGTAGATCTAACTTGACCAGGTGCGAGCTGTCCGCAAGCTGAAGCGCTTGACCCTCGGCCGATCCAAATCCCCCTACGGTTCAAAAAGCACTCCTGCCCATGAGGTCGCCCGTCGCTCGCACAGCTTGGATACAGACGATCGGGTAAATCGTCAGCAGCAACTCGTCGTCTCGGGTGTCAACATGGAGATCTCGCCAGACAACTTGGTTCACGCTCCCTCGGTACAGGAGCAGCCCGCCGGTCATCCACCGGCATCCGACGGCATCGAGCAGCCTACGATCGCTGTACGCATGGTGGGCGAACCAGAAATGATGCAGGAAATCCCACCTTATTCCGAACCGTCGGCCAAGGAATAAGATGGCGAACCATAGTACATACTACATACTGTCAAGAGGAGGGTGTAAAGCCTGGTGGTAGACTCGCATGGTGGAAACGTGGTACACATGGGTGGTTGATATACCGGATACGGACATTTCTCGTCGCATTTATGAGGGATAAATAATTGTTCGAATATACAGAATAGATACTTTGGATGACTGCCGTAAGCACGTATGTGAGGCCACCATAGCAATGACTTGGTGGAACATGCAAGTGATACATACCGTACGAGGAACGCATTCCCATGCTAGGTATACATATCCTACAGCAGCTTTCCCGAGCACCCGCCGATACCTACCTCCTAATACCTACCTGTGAATTCTCTCCATAGCGTAACAAGTTACAAGAGCGATCCACCAACCAGTAGGCGCTCTCAAATCAGCAGCGTGCACTCCGCTTGTCGTTCGGCCAATGCACATGAGCGATTTATTTTTTCGATGTGTGTGTGTGTGTATGTGTGTGTGTGTATGTGTGTGCGGTCGGTTGCGCTCTGCTCCACCCACATACCGCAGAATAGACTACATAAGCGGTCTGCATCTTATCGATAGAGCTTTTTTTGACGTCGGAACTTCGTCCACGGTGCTCTACCGGTAATCCGGCTCCACTTGCTCCTTACACACACCTACATGTCCTCGATCGACTGCATAAATACCACAACGAGGAGCGCTTCTCCCTCTTCCCTCTTCCCTCGTCCCTCTTCCCGAGTGTTTGGGTATGTTCCGATTCCGAAGGATTTTGTGACCTCGTTTTTTTTGCGCCTACTTCTATCTATCATAGCTGCTGCTGCTGCTGCTGGGGAGGGGGATCCGAGCCCGCGGAAGTTGCCAGCCTACATACACACATACATCCTACCTATGATCGAACCGTGCAGAGGTCTACACACGGTACGGTAGATACTCTAGACCCAGAGGATCAAGCAGGTTTGATATGGGAGATGCGGGATCACCTCGGCAGATAATTACTCTTTTCGACGCACCCACCTGGCGACTGGAGTGGAGTGCGGTTCCTCCCAGCAGATCCGATGGCGGGGGGGTGGTCGCGGGGGATCGCGCGGGGGAGGAGGAGGGGGAGGGGGGGAGGGGGGAAAATATTACTCCCGCCCACACGGCGTCGCGATCATGCGGTCGGTCGGACAATAGGTAGGCAGGCAGTCAACTACCTAGCGGCGGCAGTGCCCGCACCACCACCATCGCACATCGCACATCGGAAGGTGGGGTGTTTGCATACGCGTTAGGCGCGGATATGTACCTTTACATAAAGTACCGGTAACTTATGGCCCCCAATTAGGTAGATCTGGGGGCCACGGACCATGGACCACGGTGCCACACGGCTATTCTGAACCGACGGAACACTGGCCGTGGACACTGACACTGGATACTGAACGGCACTTCTGATCGGGTCCTATGTGCAGAATGATGCATCCTCCGGACCCCCTCCGCTCGAGAGCTCGTGATGGCAGGCAGTTGCGGCTATGCATTCGTTTCCAAAGTCCTACTGTGGCACACCGTGCAGAATCTCAGCACGAGACGGCATATGTTCCAGCGTTCCCCGCGGCCCGGACCCGTGGTTTTGCGAGGGCGCTGTTGCCTGTACCTAGGTATTTTGGGATGTCTCAGAAGGCGTGTGTATGTATGTAGGCTCTGGACTCTAGACTCTAGACTCGAGATAGAGTACCTAGATACCAACACTCGTGCTCAATCAACTTTATCCGATCCAGCCAGGTAAAGGCCCGATTTGAAGTTGAGACAGTGGGGAATGGGGGACGAAGCTGGTGGGAATCCTGCCTACATACCTGGAGTACGGTAGAGTACATACCCGAGGACGTCTTACCCCACCACCACCACCACCACCACCATCTCGAATTTTGGTCAATCCCCCGTTTCCTGGAGAAATCGTTGCGGACCCCAGGCCGCTCTCAGCTCTCCCGTTTGATGCCCAGTGGTTGGAACTTGGTCGTATGTATGCTGCTTCCGGGTGGAGAGTAATTACCGTATCTTGGGCCGGAGGAAGTCTGAGACTCTGGGCGAAGGACTCCTACGGTACATACCGTCTGGTAGGCATTTGCCACGGGGACTGCCCGGACGGCCAGGCTCCCGCGGTCCATACTCGTCCAGCAGGATTTCGTATCATAGGTACAACAAAACTGAACCGCAGTAAGCAATTGGGAAAACAACGGTGGACAAAACCCCAGCAATAGAAAAGCAAACACATACAAATCAAAATAGTTACCCACTTACTTTCACCTAAACGTGTACAATGTACTTTCACCTAACCGTGTACAATGTACTTTCATGCAACTTCAAAGCAACCCCATATGTATTCCGGATTCGTCCTCTGGTTATAGGTACTAGCGCCTGCGCGTGTGCTTGCGCGTGCCAAGTCCCGCCCTTTCCGCCTCTGTTGTTGCGGGTCCATTTAAGGTTTTCGGAGCCGCATCACAGACCCACGTTTCTTCCCTACTTCTCTCGGGCAGTTCTGCACTCTTCATATTCCTGTCTTACTCGAGCAGCTCCACTATGTATCATCGTTTCTTCGCCTCGGCTCCTATCTTCGCCAGGATTGAGAATCACCCAACCAGTTACGCCTCCGCTAGCGATGTCGATTAGGTATCAATACATGGCTCAAGATTTCTCTCTGGAGTCTACTGCCTCAGCCTGCCTCGTTTCCTTGAGAATTGGGTTGGGCTGTGGGTTTGGGCTATTGGTACGATTGGTACCGCGAGAGGCGCCTCGATGCAGGCTTGGCAAACAGCCGTCCAGCCTCAGAGGTAGCAACGGTGCTGGCGAGCCCACCAGACACCAGACGTGATCACCGTTACCATACCTTCAGCGTGGGCATGTGCAAACATATGTAGGAAAAGGGCGTTCCACCATGAACGTCCAAGACTAGACGGAATTAACAGGGCCCGGAATACGAACAACGATATGCAGGTCTCGGGACTGTCCAATATCCAGAGGAGAGTACATTATACCCTACACACATGATGCCGGGCTTTAGAAATAATTTTTATTTCCGTGACAAACGAGATTTAGAGTTTCCCGGTATGTAGCCGTCGGCACCCTACAGTGCCAACAGTAGATGACCGCCGCGTCCAGCTAGGTACTGTTCTCATGGGCCCTGTGGGCACCCACTGCCTCGGGATCCGGGCATTTCCGCCCTCATTCAAGGAGACGGCTCCGATCGCAGAGACGCCTGCTCCGGACGGCTTCATACCTCCCGGCGGCCCCGTTGGTCTTCCGTCTATGTAAACGCCTTGGAAGAGGTCCTCCACTGGACTAAGCGTAGCTAGGGCTTCGTATTACCTATCGTTCCAAGTTCCAACTGATCCCTCAAACCCAGTAAGCACATTCCACTTACCTATGCTATACCCAGGTATTCTGTTGATTATGTTACGTACTAATATATATATAGAGCCCGGTGGACCGGTGGTATCTATCACCAGACTACTAGTATACACGACCCCGAGAAGGCTGCCATTCGCCGCAAGGCTAAACACTTACGCAGTACCGGTAGTATTCATCACAGGTATTCATCACAGGCAACACGGATACGCCCACTCCCGAAGAACGTCCCCCGGCGGCCCGGCCTGCTTGATTGCTTGATCGCTGCTGCAGCCTGCAGAAGGCCAAAACCGCGGCGGACCAGTGTCTCTATGAAGCTACCTTTGCCGCTTCAGCCTTCATGTGACGGAAGTGACGGAGTGCGGTATTATCGAGGGTCAGTTAAGATGGGGCTAAGTACTCTATCAGGCGGCTGCGTGGATATTATGTAAAAACAATTTAAATGGGTTTTAAATGTTTTTTCTAATCCTTTTTGGGAGGGGGGGAGGTGTCATAGAAACCTCTACCCGGTTTGGAAACAACGAGAGATGCAGGATATAGGATGTGATCTGCTGGAATACTTCCTACCTCGAGAAACGCGGTGTCGCAGAAAGCCGAAAAGCTCAAGAAACGCTGGTGGGAATGGGTGTGGCTGGATGGCCAAACGGGGTTTGAAAAGTTGTGTACCGGTGTGTGCTGGCCACGTTTGTCGACTCGACTTGAGCCATCCCAGCTGCCTACCGGTATTGACTGGTCAAGGCCTCCTATATTGCAAGGCACAGCACAGCACGCTGGATCGACGAAGCCATTGTTTGACTTTGCCGCTGTAACTCATAGATATATCATGACGGCTTTCCACACTCCTCTCCGCCCCAATTACCGTATCGGTCGTGTGAGAGTAACTCGTCGATGGAGCACTGTGGCTATGTACCGTTGCTCTTTCATGTCGAATCGGATGAACGGCTGGCCCCTCGGTGACCAGAGCCCGTTCCCAGTGCCCACCTCTCCCTCAGGGATGACTGCCGGCATTCCCAACACATCCAACGGGCGGCTGCGGGCGATGAAACACTCGCACATGGAGTGGACACGAGGCGCAAGCACGAGGGAGGCCATGTGAAAGGCGTTTAAACGCGGACGCAGGCCGGTTTGCCAATCGTCACATGGAAGGACGTAGATAACCACTTGTTACATATACCTAGCGGAGGAGAACGTACGATCGATGGTTCCCCCCGATGTGGACCTGGGGAATGGATAAGTATGGATTCTATGTATGTATGTACTGAAGATGCAGTCCGGGTATATAAGCCTTTCCTTCCGGTACGTACTTACCTGGGTACCGTATGTATGATACGTGATTCGTGGATCTGGCCGTCAAACTCGATTCGATGCTCCTAAAATTCATGTAGCCTTAAATGAAAACGCGGGGAAGCGCTAGAGGAGGAGGAGGAAGAAGAGGAGGAGGAGGGGGAAAAAGAGCTCGTGTGTCTGTGTCCGGGACAACACGCCAGTTCTGCAGCACGCAAGTGATCTATAGACGCACGCTCGAGGTGAGAAATCGTGGCTGATTTCTGCAGCTCGAGGTGGAAACAGCGTGGCCCATTTCCACAGCCGCGGGAATTCGCATCAGTTTCCCGTTCTTGTAATCGTCTGGTATGTAGGCAAGCACTTGGGTATCGGTGTATGTGTGTATGTGTGTGTCAAGCGCAACCACCACCAGTTCAGGCAAGCGATTGCAAATAATACATGATAACGAGCCTCGGCGGAAGTGATCCGAGGAGAGAAGAAGACAGGAGAAGAGAATGCCGCCTCCTCCGCCGGTAATTCGCGGTTCAGCTGCAGTATGTACCAATACAAAGTACGGACACATCCCGCCACACTACCGGATCTGATTTGGGCGATAACTGGGTTATATGATGATGATGATGTCGACGCATCATTACGGTACGGTACTAGTTAGTAGAGTAATATGATCCACGCGCGGCAGGGACCCCGACACGGAGACAACGCCGTCATTGTCACGATCTCGACCCTCTGACGACATCCATTGGAGCGCAGGAAAGAAAAGAAAAAAGTCTCCGGATCGCTTCCGGATGTTGCGTGCCGGTTATGGCGTGCAGGCGCGCGGGCAGGCGGGCGGGGGCGGGCGCTCGCGCGGGACTGGTTGTTTCCACCACTGGGCTGCGTCGGGGGTTGTGGAGTCCTCGGAGCTCCGGATGCGGAAACACTCCAGGGCAGACGTGGAGAGGTGAGAAGCTCGAATCGAATCAAAAGCCATTTAAACAAGCGAGACCTTGGCGAAAGCTTGTTTCCAACACCGGTTGCACCCAAATAAGTAAGAACTTGTAGTTCTTTATGTATGATACCTCTGTTGCGTGCAAAACCCACGCCGAAGTTTGTGCGCCTAAGTACTTCTTTGTGTATGATATGTTGCGGGCGAAACCCACGTCCCAGTTTATTTGGCGTTTGGGGGCGACCACTGGGCTCTCGAAAGTGATGAGCGGTGATCGATATCCGGCGACGCATTTCCGCCATGCCGTGCGAAGACCGGGCTGGGAAGTGGTACGGTACATACAGGGGGATAGGGATGTAGTTGTGTTGTGCAGGTATGATAGCGAATCTTGAAGCTCCAGGCTTTGTAGGTTTTTTGGCGGATGCAGACGTCATGAGTGAGATCTTGGTAGAGCTCGCAGCTTGTGATACTGGCGTCTGTCCCGGATCCATGGTGAGAGAAACTGGGGGGAGGGAGAGGGGGGGGGTTATGTAGAGTGCTCCGAGGCGGCGGGACTGGGGGTGGGAGATAGAGAGATATATTGATGGATGAACGGGATAGAAAAGTTGCAGAGTTCTGGGATTCCCAAGGCCGGAAAAATCCCCTCCTCCGGCCGAAAGAAGTCAAAAAGTGGGCTAGAATTGCTCCTCGATCCGGAAATTCACGCTTTTACGGTACTCTACCGTGCTGAGGGGTGCAAAGGAAGACACGGCTTGGCGGCATCGGTGAGCACCGGAAGGGGGAGACCTTATTGAGACCTTGTTAAGACCTTGTATTTAGGAGAAGAGACCTCGTTGGGACCAGGGAGGATCTGGTGGGACCTATGTTCTATGGAGGGCAGATCCGATGCGGTCGTTGAACGTTGATATATTTTCTGTTGTGTCTAGCTTTTCTGTTCGCCTTGTCGGTCCACCTGTTGTTCAACACAACAGACATCATCATCACCATAGACCTCTCGCTCAATTGAATCACGTTTTATATTTCCCGCACCTGTTCTTCGGTCTCTCTACTCTACTCTACCTGCTCTAGAACCCCAAGAAGGGCGGAGCCAAAAAAAAAAAACCGCCCAGCACGATGCTCTAGGTACATACTACCGTATAGGTAAGATGCCAGTAGAGCATCCAGTGCTCAAGTGGCCCGGGGTGCCCATCCGGACCGGACAGTCCGTTTTACATCCGCTTTTTACCTAGGGAAGTATGTACGGTACCTACCATTCCCTCCACGCAGCTAAAAGCTACCAGATTCCGGCCAATGCTTCACAAGATTGCCGAACTTTCTTTTTTCATCTTCTTTTTTCATTTCTTTTCTGCGGGCCATCAAAACCTATTCGTTCGCAGACCTTCCCAAAAATAGGATGAAGTTATTGACCATACATACACCACATACTTCTTACTTAGAGCCCCTTCTCTTGTCGGCTACCTACATACAGCTCCCGAGATCCCGTTCGGCGATCCCGCAACCGACGCACACACAGTATCGACTTACCTACTCTGCACTACACTATAGCGGAAAGGTGTCTTCGTTGTCCGAGCTGTCGAGCTGTCGAGCGCTTTTCGCCCAATCGAATGCTGCCGTTCCGATGCAAGATGGAGAGGACCGCACAGCCGACGCCTGCCAAGTACTCTACTGGTACACACATGGAAAAGAGGAGATGCACCGAGTGGTGGTGATGCGGCCCCCTTGGCGTGCATGCGCAGTTCACCCGGACACTGGACAGAGGTTGGTTCGGCCGTGATGGGGAGTTTGGATCCTGGCTCCTGAGTCCTGACAACTGGTCGGATCGGATGGCGACATTACTCCAACAGCGCTGCGGCGTGCGCCGGCCGCTTCGGGGTTTCCACCAGCACAGCAAAGTACTTACATAAGTACATTCATACTTACTTTGTACTTACATACAACGCCGAGGTTAGATAACCACTCTGTTCTACTCTACTCCACATGGGTATATCCGGCAATCCGGCTTCACTCAAGCCGACCAATATCTCGACTTGCTTCTGGACGTGCACGCGGGCCCGAGGGAACAGAGGAGTGATTGGACCACGATACACCCGGAACCCGGTGTTGCACTGACTTCCACTTCGCCCCGTTCTGATCGGCCCGATCCGAAAGACGGGCCAGCTTGATTGGAGGGAAAGACTGGGCAACTTGGCAGCCGCGCGGCCAGGTTAAGCGCGAACAGGGACTGAGGCGCAGCAGGTAACTACCGGCAACTACTGGCTGTCACGCTCACGATGCCCGCTCGACCTCCGGAGATGGCCAGTCACCGTCTTCCTCTCCTCTTACCTTCCTTTCTCGCCGGCTGCCTGGCTAGTGTTGTCCCTTTGCGGGTGCGTGACAGCACCGACACACTGCGACAGTCTCGCCCCACGAGTCACCACGTCCCTACTACTGGTATACTACCTACGATATACACACGACAACACTCACTCGTCGGTCGACAGCATCCACCTCGACGTGCTCTCAGCGGGCCGGCAGGTGCCGAGATCGTACATACGGACGGGATAGGTGATGTCGGTGTCAATGTCAGTTACCTGCTTACCTACATACCCGTAATTCGTCAGTGGCAGATATGCACTGGATTGAATTTCCCCACCCGAGCTCGAGCGGTGGCTGTGGCGGGGAGGATGGCACATGTACGCGGGGGTCCCTTCTTGCTCCTTTAATCTCTCTCCTTCTTTATCTCTTCAATTCTTTCTTTTTTTCTTTTTTTCTCTCTTTCTTTCCTTCCGCCACCATGGTTGTTTTTTGCTTCGATCGATCATCACCTGCCAAGTCTCTGCTTCGTCTTCTCCATCTCGGACGACAGGCCATCATTGCTGGCTGGTCCTCTCGTCTGGCACCGCGTGTCGACGCTGGAAAGTTACGTCCTATTTCTGTACGGGGAACCGTTAATAACTCCTTGCGGTGCAATAGGCGAGTGTTTCTTCGGAACATAGTTATTTCGGCTCGGGCGTTGCATGTGCTGGGTACATTACTTTATGTACTTATCGTGTGCGCCGAGTAACTTGGTTAAGTACTCGAGTAAGAGCTTAAGCACCAATCTCCCCAGCCCTACCACTTGGCGGCGCCGTCAATGCCTTCGATTGGTGGGGGTCGCAATTGGCGAGCTTTGGCTGGACTGGGAAAGAGGGTTAGAGCTGTCGGATGAGGAAGACGAAGGAGGGGGCGGCGGCAGATCGGCCAAGGAGGCACGAACAAATCTGCAGCCACTGGCCAGGTCCGAGGATCACAGGCTCCGCATTATTTCGTAGGTAAGTACCGTACTTCCTTAGGTAGGGGAAGAGGAGGGAGAGAGAGCTCAGGGAGGGATGGGCGGTTTTAGGATGGAACTTGGAATTTGAATTTCCCAAGAGTGGCGCAGGGGCACTTACGAAACCACATCGCTAGCTACCGGTAGACGTCGGTACAAGGCATTGGAAATCATGGCTCGCGGTCGAAGGCCATGTGGCACGGCTGAATAGGTACCTCGTCGGCCCAAGGATATCACTAGAACCTTCAAGAGGACATCGCTGCCGGCATGCGGAAGTAAAAAAAATCTTTGTCTCGGTGAGAGACGAAGCACCACCACCACAACGACCGCCGCCACAGAATATAGGGCACAGGCGTCCAATCGTGCCAGTTTTTACCCGATGAACAGAGTGTTACCGTTGCTGATTGGAATTCATCAGTGATTACAATACCTTCTCGCTTACCTACTCACCCATACCCACCTAGCGGTGCGTGCGTGAATGCACATCTGTAAGTACGTAAAGGCATGTAGAGTGGGTAGATGGATTGGATATAGAGCAGTAGAGTAGGTAAATTGATTGTGCGAGGTGGTGCAAGAAATTGGAGACACCTGCTTCTTCGTCTCGCTGAGGCAGCCCCTCCCTCCCCCTCCTCGTCGTACTCGTCCCCACAATATTCCGCTCGCACACTCGGTGGCAGTGGTCCCAGATCCACCGCCCTGGCTATCATCAGCAGCATCATCATCATCATCATCCCCCCGCACACCCTGCCCATGCTGCAGACTTTGCATATATCATCACCAGCTACATCACCAGCAACCAAGCAAGCAACCCAAGCAACCAAGCAAGCACAAGCAGCCCCAAGCAACCAGCCGTCTCGTCTCGGCACCCACCCACCAACCCATCAACTCTAACCCACCCGCCCCCAACCGAAGGGAGCGTGCTTGTTCTTCTCCGCCTCCTCCTCTCGGCCCCCCTTGGCTCCACCGCAGAGACAGCAACTCGACCAGGAGATCTGGGGCTTCAACCCGACTTGAGTGACCGCCCCATAGACAATAGCTCTGGCAGCCCCCTCTCTCTTCGCCGAGTCATCTCGACCCGCAGCCATAAAGCCAGCCAGAGAGTCAGAGAGCCAGCCAGCTAAAGAGCCCGAGAGCTAGCCAGCCAGCCAGTTAGCCAGCCAGAGCGCCAGACAACCCGCCAGCCAACCAGCCAGCCATAGTTACAGACCGACAGCAGATAGAGAGATAGACAGGACAGCCGGACCCGACGTCGACCCGCCGATCCTCGCCCCACGCAAATACCTACATTTACTCCGAGTTAACATCCCTCGTTCGTTCTTTCTCTCGCAAACCGGGTCCAGCTAAAGGAAAGCGAAAGAGCGTGAAGAGGGTACCCTTTCCTTCACTTTAGTATCTACTTGCCTTCTTCTTGCCTTTTACTTCTTGCTACGTGCTTGACCCACCCACAAACCCCGTCCACACACCCACCACCCACCCACCCGCCTACCACCCACCGCCCCCCCTCCTCCCCCCCAAAAAAACACCTCCACCCCCCCCCCCCCCCACCCCCCTACCTATAAGAAAGACTCTGCGATCCTGTCTCTCCCCTCCCTAATAATTCGAACTCTCTCCCCCAGCAAGAAATCCCGACTTCAAAAAAAAAAAAAAAAAAGAAAACCGTCATAGCCTTCAAACTCACACTCTCCCCCACCATCCTTCCCACACAAACTCATCCAAGAAAAATTATCCAACTTTGCCGCCCTTGGACCCTCCCGGGAAAAACACAACTTCTTGAGTCGCCTCGCTTCTGAACAACCGACAGAACATCGTCGCCCTCACCCCCGGACACCAACCTGATCACACCGACCATATCTGGCACCAGTGCACAGGTTTTCAACCGCCACCATTCTCGTTCCCACGCCCACACCTCAAATCAGACTTTTAGTGCACCAATAACAATGATTGAACCACCTCTGCAACTTAACGACTCGAAGAACATGGATAGCCGCAAAACACCTTCAATAGCCCCTTCCTCCGCCGCTCCTTCTGCGGCCCCGTCAGCAGCAGGCTCGCCGGTCTTGCATCCGATGCCCGGTCAACTTCCCGGTGGCGGGCTTCCCTCCTTAACGGGCCTCTCCGTCCCCGGTGCCATGAGTCCCATGCCATCGGAGAAGAAGTCCATCTCATCGAGACTCCAGCGCATGTTCTCGCAGTCCGACCGGAAACGAGACGAATCGAGGGCTTCGACACGCGAGCGGGCCGCAGACGGCAACGCCTCCGATACCGACAGCAGCATACTATCAGGCAGGGACAAGGCGGTGGATCGCAGACCCCCAGTGCCGCAGAGGAAAAATACCTACCCCGCTAGCCTCTCCTCGCTGGATAAGACGTCTGGCAGTGCCCTACCGCAACGTTACATTGTGCATCCGGATGGCACGCACGAACATCACCTCCGAAGCGCGAAACGCCAGGAGAAACTTTCGGGAATGCTACGGGATCTGTTGGGCGGGAAGAAGAGGGATGAAGGAGCGGCGGAACCGGATCGACTCAGTCTCATGTCCAATTGGGTGGATCAACTCAGGAGCGAAAAGGACAAGCTACCGGTGACCACGGACAAGAAGGCAGGGGCCAATTCCACGGCTACGTTGGTGGAGAAGTACGGCAAATGCCAGGAGGTCATCGGCCGTGGCGCGTTCGGAGTCGTTCGGATATCGCACAAAGTCGATCCCAAGAACGGTCAACAGGAGCAGCTCTACGCCGTCAAGGAGTTCCGTCGGCGCCCTCAGGAATCGGCTCGGAAATACCACAAGCGGCTCACCTCCGAGTTCTGCATCTCTTCGTCGCTGCGACACCCCAACGTGATCCACACGCTCGATCTCTTGCAAGACTCCAAGGGCGACTACTGCGAGGTCATGGAGTTCTGTGCCGGAGGCGATCTCTACACATTGGTCCTGACAGCCGTCAAGCTCGAAGTTTCGGAGGCGGACTGTTATTTCAAGCAGCTGATGCGCGGTGTCGAGTACATGCACGAGATGGGAGTGGCGCATCGGGATTTGAAGCCCGAGAACCTCTTGCTCACCACGAACGGATCACTCAAGATCACCGATTTCGGCAATGGCGAATGCTTCCGCATGGCTTGGGAGAAGGAGCCGCACATGACGTGTGGATTGTGTGGATCCGCGCCGTACATCGCGCCCGAGGAGTACACGGACAAGGAGTTTGATCCTAGAGCGGTCGATGTGTGGGCTTGCGGTGTCATCTACATGGCCATGCGTACCGGAAGGCACCTGTGGCGCGTCGCCAAAAAGGAAGAGGACGAGTTCTTTGAGAAGTACCTGGAAGGACGCAAAGATGAGGATGGTTACGCACCCATCGAGAATCTTCACAGGGTGAGTTTTCTCATGGACTTTCAGTCTCTTTCGTCCGCATCGTACTAACCTCTTTATCAGGCGAGGTGTCGCAATGTCATCTACTCAATCCTTGATCCTAATCCTGCGCGTCGGATCACCGCATCCCAGGTGCTCAAGTCCGAATGGGGTAGAGAGATCAAGCTCTGCAAAGCTGGAGAAGAAGGTCTGCTACCACCTAACCACTAGTTGTGCGCTGCCACTCATCGCGAATAGGCTACTAAGAGCTCACGATCGATGGTTGATGACGATGCGGGGTGGGGAGGGTGGCTGGGTGCTGTTGATATGATTGGCATATCTAGGTCCACTTGTTGCTCGTGTCGGATTCTTCTCCTACATACAGATGTATAGTGCCCTCGTCAGAAAGGGCTCTCGATGAAACGATTCCCACATTGTTACTTCTTTCTTCCTTTGTTTACGGGGTTGCATTTTCTTTTTCTTTTTCATTTTTTCATTTTTTTTTACTGGGCAAAGAGAATTTGGGATGGCGTTGGGATGGGAGCGGTTTTCCTGGTGGCATGTGTTTTTTTTATATTTTATTCCATTGGTTTTTTTTCTTTTCTCTTCCTTTTTCTTTCTTTTCTTTTCGTCTTTTCGTCTTTCTGTTATAATGTTTTCTCTCTCGTTTTATGATGGCCACCTGTCCATTTTTACCTACACTTAGGTTACTTTACGTTTACGTTTACGTTTATTATACTCTACATCATCTTAGGAAGTACTCACTTGATACATACATCTCTCTGTCGTTTGGTGGGCGCATCGTTGATTGGTTGGTTGGTTTCTCGGTCGGTCGGCGCAGGTGTGTTGTTGGGTGAGGGGCTTGTGATGCTCGTTTTCTCTTTGCTTTTCTTTTCTTCTGGAAATGATGGGTGATGATGGGTGCGGCCTAGTTACCTCCTAGCTATGGCGGACTCTGTGCTGGGCGCTTCTGGTTTGGTTTGGTTTGGGTTAGCATGTTAGGGCGTGTTGTTGCTGCTGTTGGTGGTGTTGGTGTTGAACGGAAACGGGAACGGAAAAGGGGAGTTCGATTCATTGCCTTGTCAACTTTCGCGAATGGAATGATATTTCTAGAGACTGGACGTATGATGCATGTGTGTAGAATGTGTGTAGATTATGTGTGATTATGTGTGATTATACGTGATTATACGTGATTATATGTGATTGTATGTGCACGATATTGATATGACGGTCATCTAGAGTTCAAGTTGTTTGGTGGGAGTGTGTGGTGGGAGGCAGCTGTAGGCATCGTATCCGCCCTTCGTAGGTATACCCAACCCACCGCATCTACTCTAGGTACTCTACTCTACTCCCCAGGGCTGCTGAGAGCTGGAGGTGGGGAGTCTAGACACCTTCCAGCTTTTTACCCCGCGATCTCCTCTCCTCTTCTTCACCTCACCCTACCTCCCTCGCCTCACCTCACACAGCATCATACAGCATTGAGAAATCCAAGTTGGTGCTTTGGTTTGGTGCCAAGTATACCTATGATGTGTAGTTGGTTGGGGGCTGGCGGCGGCGGGGGGAAGGGGGCTACGTCAGCGACTCAGCGATTGGGCCGGCCCTTGAAGTTGGGATTACTCCACTGCACTGCACTGCCACTGCCCACCCTTTTCCCACCTACTCTAGTTAGAGTAGAGTAACTAGAGTAGAGTAACTAGAGTAGCGTAACTGGAGTAGAGTATGTACCTTTGTAATAACTCGACTCAACTCAAGACGCGCGGAGCCTCTTGTCTCCGGGATAGACAACTGCCATCAGACAAGACAACAGGCAACTGCTTCCACCACCACCAACACCGCAACCAACACCATCAGCACCAAGACTACCACCAAGACTACTACTACTTCACCCCCCGCCCCCGCCCACCCCGCGCCATCGTCGTCGTCGTCGCGAACCAACCTATCCGCGCCCGAACTCGGCTCACGAGCAAAAGCCTCACCACCCGCTCCCCGGACTTAGCCAACCACTCGTCGCCATCATGAGTTGGGCAGGTATGGCACTTCCCTTCCTCCCTAGCCCTTAGCCCTCCGCCCTTGGCCCGTCGCTCCGCGCCCTTGCTGACGCAGTTCCGACTCCGAAGGCTTCAAGAAAACGGTCAACCGGACCACGGTCCAGGTCATGATGAAGGCTGGGCAGATCGAGAAGACGAATGATCGCGATTATGAGGTTGAGGAGAGGTATGTTTCCAGAGTGGAGAGGATGGGGATGGGGGGAGGGGGGGGATGTGATGGTGGAGGGAAAGAAGGCAGGGCTGATACGTTTGCCTGCGATACAGACGCTTCAGGACTATGGAAGCTGCAGCTACAAAGCTGCAGAAGGAAGCTAAGGGCTACCTTGATGCGCTGCGAGGTCAGCCGGCGCCCCGCTTAGTCACATGGGCAGTCTGGGTGGTGCTGATAGGATGCTGTAGCCATGACCGCGTCACAGATGCGGATTGCGGAAACGATCGATGCGTTCTACGGAGACGCGGGGACGCGGGACGGGGTGAGCCGGTCGTACAAGCAAGCGGTCGAGGAGCTCGACGCGGAAACGATCAAGTCCCTTGACGGCCCGTACCGCACCACGGTCCTCGAGCCGATAACCAGGTTCTGCGCCTACTTCCCGGACATCAATGAGTGCATCAAGAAGAGGAACCATAAGCTTCTCGATTATGACCAGATGCGTGCGAAGGTCAAGAAGCTCGTCGATAAGCCTGATAAGGATCCGTCAAAGCTGCCGAGGGTACGTGTGTTTTCGCTGGGGGTGAGGAGGGGAAGGAGGGGAACGCGAAGCTGATGTGTGCGTGAACTACTACAGTCCGAGAAGGAGGCGCAGATGGCGAAAGAGGTCTATGAGGCGCTCAACGAACAGTTGACCACCGAAATACCGCAGCTCATCGACCTACGTGTGCCATACCTCGATCCGTCATTCGAAGCTCTGGTCAAGATACAGCTGCGATGTGAGCTATCCCCCCACCGCCTCGTCAGTCTTCAAAACCTCTAACACAAAACAGTCTGTGCCGAGGCCTACTCTCGAATGGCGCAAGTGCAGCAATACCTGGACCCGGACACCCGCGAACAGTACGCACAGGGCCACCTCGATCAACGGGTGGAACAGGTTCTCCAGGAGATACGCGATCTTAGTATAGCGGGTACCTCGTAGACTTCACTTCCCAAGCGCACTGTTTTGGTTTTTCGTTTGGCTTGTTTTTTATTTTTACGTTCGGTGTACGGACAGACGGACGGACGGAGGGGAGAGAGGTGTCGGCCTCTATTATACACCGTTGCTACCCAATCGGTGGGTTCGGTTTCAATGATATTTGCGCTTTTTTTGCTCTGTACTTTGTACTTTGTATTCGTTACGTAACTTAGACTTGGACTTGGACTTGAAGTGGAGAGCTCTACGGAGCGGAACGGAGTGGTATGGAGTGGAAGATGCTATGTAAATTTACAGACTGGTATAAATTCCACGAACAAACGTACTGGTACAGTGACATCCCACATGCTCTATCCATTCTCCTCCCACACCTACCGAAAAAGCTTCGGCCTCCACCCCCTCTGCAGCTCCTCCTCCCTCTCGGCCTTCTCCTGCGCCTTGGCAACCTCCTCCTCGATCCTCTGCCTTGCACGGAGGACTTTGCTCTGCAGATACAGACTCCCGCCGTTCTCGGGCTCGTTCACGTCAAACAGCCGCGTAAACCGCTGCCACACAATACTCATGTCCGCCTTTCCGTGCTGTGGCGGCCGCACGTTCAGGATCTGGCATGCTTCGGATAAAGTTAGGCCGGTGCGTGAGGTCGTGTCTGGGGCTACGCGCGCTCGGGCGGCGGAAGAGGCGTAGGTGGTCGTCGTCTGCGCGGACGTGAGGATGCGACGGTAGGTGCGCGTGAGGCGGGAGAGGAGGCGGGCCTGGGGGTGTTAGTTACGGCGGATGGCGGGGAGGGGAAGCGTGAGGTACCATGATGCCGTGCTACGATAGCTGCGAGCGTTAGGTGGGCGGAGGAGACGCGGCGGACCGTGTAGAGTACCGGTACCGGCAGCGGTAGCGGGCGGAGTTACTCGGAGTTTTCCGTCGAAGAGTTGGACGCACGCAGACGCACGTGATCACGCAAGCACCGGTAGGTATGATATGATAGGTCGTAGAATAGTATGGTTGTTACAGTAGAGTACCTGGCCGTGGCCACATCTCCACAAGCGCCACAGTTGCCCCCCCTCCGCGTCCCCAGGGAGCTCAAACAGCTTTATATCCCACCCCCAAACCCCCGCGACGAAGCTGGAACCGCAACAACAACAACTGCAATGCGACGAAGCGCCTCGATACTCCTCCCGCTGTTCCTTACGCTCTCCCGCCTTGCAGATGCCCGCTTCGGCAGTGACAAGATCCTCATCTCGAGCGTCAAATCGCTGACCCTGCGGAACGACCAGGTCACCACCGGCCGCCGCCTGGATCCCATTCCGCAGCTGAAATGTGTTGGTGGGGATGCGAAGGTACTTCACTCACTCACTCCCTTATCCACACCGATGTACTTTGTGTTGACATGACGCCAGGGCCTCTACGAAATCGACGTAATGCGCTGCAAGAACATGGGCAGCGACTACGGCGACGAGGACATCTCGTGGAGCTGTACGGCGGACGTGCCGAAGTACTTTAAGCTGGGGAGTACGGACGTGCTCTGTGAGGGCTACGCGAACGCTGATGATCGGCATATTCTCAAAGGTAACTACGAGCTCCGTTCCGTAGATGTATGTGAGGGTGGGGGAAAGAGATGTTGATGTGTGTGGGGAGGATAGGGTCGTGTGGTGCCGAGTACCGTCTGATCCTCACGGACGAAGGGCTGGAGAAGTACGGCGGGGCGTTCTTGTCGTTCAGCAACACGAACCGCAAGCCTACGGGCGGTGAGCCACCCACCCTCCGCTCCCCTCGAGCTCTGGCATAGGAAACTGACAAAGACACCCACGCATCTGCAGGCGACATCTGGTCGTTCATCTTCATGCTCATCTTCCTTGGCATGCTGGGGACAATCTTCTACAGTGCGTGGACGGCGGCGAATGCGCCGGCGGGAGCCCGGCGCCCCGCACAGCGCTTCGACAATGGTGGGAGTCCGTGGTTCGGCGGCGGTGGTGGCGGCGATGATCCCCCGCCCCCCTACGATCCGCGCCCGCCAGGGTTCAAGTCCACGTCTGCGAGCAATACGCCAGGCTGGAGGCCCGGCTTCTGGAGCGGCATGGCGGCGGGCGCCGCGGGGACGTATATTGCGGGCAGAGGAGGGAGGGGCGAGAGGGAGAGGGAGCCGGCGTATGGTGGGTATAGGGCCAACCGCCCGGTGTTTGGTGGGAGCGGCGGGGAGTCCAGTTCGGCCGGCGCGGTGAGACATGAAACCACCGGGTTTGGACAGACGAGGCGGCGGTGAGCGGAGGTTGAGTACTGGTAGACGGGTGCAATGACAGTCATGATTCTTTACACACGATCGAGCTGAGATCCCGCTATTCGAAGCTAGAGTGTGCACCACATGTATGCAGTTGGTTAGCTGGCTGTAGAGTGCTTGGCCCGTGCGCAGTCCATCCCTGCGTAACTTTAATTTTTTTATATCTATCGCAATCCCATCCCACCATCTAAAGACCTTGAAGCTTTCCCTCCCTCTACTTGTACATACAGAGCCCCTGACACCCAATACAACCGCCGCCATGGAGCCCGAAACAGACGAATTCACCCAGCAGAACGAGCGGTTCCTGCACTGGCTCCAAAACTCCATGTCCTTCACGCTCAACCCCAAAATCGCGATCGCCGACTTGCGCTCCAGCGGTGCCGGCCGGGGCTTAGGCACGCTCATCCCCATCTCCCCCTCCCTCCTCAATCCCCCCGCACGATCCTCGCTAACACCAATCCTACATATGTAGTCGCACTCTCCGCGCTCTCCCCGGACGAAACGCTCTTCCGCCTGCCACGGAGCAGCTGCCTCACCCCCTCCACGAGCAGCCTGCCCCCCCTCTCCGCCACCTCCGCCAGCGCCTACAGCGCACTCACCCCCTGGCTACAACTAATGCTCACGCTCCTCTACGAGTCACGCGCGTCCTCCTCATGGGCGCCCTACCTCACCCTGCTGCCACAGCGCTTCGACACGCTGATGTACTGGGCGCCGCACGAACTAGAATGGCTGCGCGGCTCCAAGGTCCTCGACAAGGTCGGCCGGCAGGCGGCCGACGAGACGTTCCGCACGGAGCTGCTCCCGATTGTCCGCGCGAACCCGGATGTGTTCGGGGAGTTGCCCGAGGGCGCAGAGGGGGAGCAGCGTCTGCTGGACGCGGCGCATCGCGTCGGTAGTGCGGTTATGGCGTATAGTTTCGATCTTTCCTCGGGGGACGAGTCGGACTCGTCTGACGACGACGACGACGACGGGGAGGAGGAGGGGGAGGAGGAGGGGGAGGGGGGCAGCAAAAAGCGGTATAAAGCGATGGTCCCCCTCGCAGATCTGCTGAACGCGGACGTCCCCGCCAACTGCCGCCTATTCCAGACGGCGACGCACCTGGAGATGCGAACGCTGCGCGAGCTCCCCGCGGGCGCACAGCTGTTCAACGACTATGGCGCGCTGCCGCGGAGTGATCTCCTGCGGCGCTACGGCTACACCACGCGGAACTACGCGCCGTTCGACGTGGTCGAGGTGCCGGCGCCGATGGTGATTGCGCACTGTGGGGGTGAGGCGGGGAGGGAGGACCGCATCGAGTATCTGCTCGAAGAGGGCGTGCTGGAGGATGCGTTCGATCTGCAGGCGCAGGCGGAGGGTGCGGTGCCTGATGAGTTGGTCGTTGTTGTTAATACGCTGCTGGCGAGTAATGCGGAGTTTGCGGCGTGGAAGGAGAAGGAGAAGTTGCCGAAGCCGAGGATCTCAGAGGAGGCGGCGGAGGTGCTGGCTAGGGTTATGCGCGAGCGCTTGGGCGAGTATGCGACTACCATTGAGGAGGATGAGAGGTTGCTGGAGACGGAGATCACGGGGAGGGAGAGGGATGCGGTCGAGGTTAGGCTAGGGGAGAAGAGGATTCTGCAGGCGACATACAAGGAGCTGGAGAGGAGGGTTAATGAGAAGAAGAGAGCGGCGGAGGCTGAGACGGGGGATAGGTCCGCGAAGAGGATGCGGTCTTAGTTTGCACTGTACATCGGCCAAAATACACAATGTTGCCAAACGAAGAAGCATTCATCGAGAATCAAACGCTATGCTAACGGAAATCCCAATCGATGCAGTCAACCATCCTCACAACAACACCTAAGCAGGCAGTCTGGAGCTAATCCTCCTGTGCAGACGCAGCCTTGTACAGGATCGTTGTAACATACTACAGCCACCACAACGTTAGCGGCAATCATCATTGCGTCGAGTGATACGATGCAACACACCTTCTTTTTGTACCTCGTAGTCGCCGACACAGCTAGTATCGAATTCTTAATCGAACTGGTGGCCAAGTGATTGAGTACCGCATGGTTTGGGATGCCAAGCACGCTCGCATCGTCCTTCATGGTATTACCAGTATTAAGGATGACCTTCTGCAGCATCATAGGCAAGCTTGGCGGCGGCGGCGCACCATCGGCATACCCACCACCACGGGGGTCCTCCTCGTAAGCATCGGAGAACTCCTTCAGATACGCCGGGATCTCGGTGGTGTATCGTAACGGGGCCTCAGTGGGAACGACGGACGGGATGCGGTCCGAAGGCGTGGGTGGTGCGCCTCCGGCACTGTCGGTCGAGAGCTGTCGGTTCAGAGGCGGCATGTCGTCGGCGGAAACCTCGAGATAGTTGACGAGGATTCCAGTATCGTCGACGGCGGTGGGCAGTGAGTGTGACGTTCGCATCTCACCGTCGACTAGGAATTTTACGTGATGCGTTCCGGGCGGGATCGCGACGACCGCGGACATGATGTTATCGTCCAGACTGGCGAGACACGTCAGCGGCTATTCAATCCGCCAATTCGCAGGTGTGGGTATATTGAGGGAGACATACTTCCTAGTCAAGCGATACCTCTTCTCCCACGCACAGAAAGTACCGGTGACATAGACCTTCGTGCCCGGATACGGCCACTGGATCAGCGTCGGAACAGCCCTAGCATCATCACACTCCTGCGAGGCCAGCGCCTCCTCCTCGAGCGAGGCAGCCGTGGACTCCATGCTGCCCCTGCCCTGGCGCATGCCCGGGGCGAGCGGCATCTCATGCCTTCCCGCGGTGTTCCCAGCCGGCGCCGCGAACGGATTCACATTCGGCGCGAACGGATTCGCATTTGGCAAGAACGGGGACGGCGAAGCGGGCTGCACGTTGACGCCGATGGGCGGGTTCGGGAATAACCGCAGGGTGGCGGCATCCTCGATGAGCTCCTCGCGGGTCCGCGTGGGAAAGGCGTGGTAGCCCGCGCCTTCGGGGATCGCGGTCGCGATGCTCTCGCGGCGCTGCGGGCCGGGCGGCGGCGTGTGGTAGCGGCTGTGGTGCTGGCTGCCGCCGCCGTGGTGGCCGTGGTGGTCGTGTGAGGACGGCGGCTGCGGGCGTGCCGGCGTAAGGAATTCTTGCGAGGTCGCAACGCCGTATTTAGTTGATGCTGGGGACTGCAGTGAGTTGCGGCGGTAGCTGGGGCGGCGGCTGGAGGCGGTGGTGGTTGCGCTGCGGGTTGGCGGGGACGCTGACGCACTGGATGAGGCGGATTGCTGCGTGTGGTGGTGGTGGTGAGTCGTGCGCGAGGGGTTGTTCCCCATGGTGACGATGATGGTTGAGCGCGGTGAAGCTGGCTGGGAAGGTGTCGTGTGTCGATGATGAGGATGATGATGGTTGTTGCAGGACGTAGTTCGCTAGCTGTGTGTACCGAATCATGTCATACAGTCATCCCAGCAGGGTGAGCTAGGAAGGTGTCCCCGCAGGACACTACCCCGCGTGCATAGCCATCAACTAGCCACCACCACCAGCACCACCGGCACCACCACCACACCACAACCCTTACATACTCTACTTTAGCTCCAGGCTCGCACAACACCAACGTCAACGTTAACGTCAACAGTGTACGATGGCCAGCAGCGTGATCCTCACGACACTATCAATTCCGTTCCGTCTCCTCTCTCCACCCGTGCTATGGCTATTATCACCGGTCATCATGCTGCTGCGCATAACCGCACGCGTATTATCCTTCCTGGTTAACAGTCCGGGCGCATTGATATCCCGCTTCAAGGTTCCCCCTCCTTCCCCCTATCAAAAAGAAATACATGTATACCTGGTATGTAGGCGCAACCCACGGCTAACCCGCCGCCTCGCGGGCACCCACAACCGTAGACATTATACATCTACTGCGGCACAGCGGCGATAATCGGAGCGGTAGCGGGCTCTCTAGTAGCGCTGTTATCATACGGACTTGCCTCTGGGCTCGGGCTGCTCACGCCTCCAGCAGCGCCGCCAACCAGCGGCACCCCCGGCAGCACGGCATCAAAGCCCGCCAGCTCCGACGACTACTCGCCCTCTCCGTCGCCGACGCCGGAGCCGCCCGCGGTGAACCTGCGGCTGCGCCGCCCTTCGGTGCCGACGATCCTGGAGGAGGACGAAGATTCCGATGACGACGCGGGGAGCAGTAGTCGTGCGCGGCAGGCGCGCCGGAGGTTGCTGGAGAGACAGAGACGCAGGGCGTGGCGCGATGGAAATGCTGATGCTGATGCTGAGGAGGAGGACAAGGAGCAGTCGTCGAGCTTCTGATTAACTACTCCTCGAACCAACCACACGTGTGGTCTTTTGTTTCGAATCATCCAACCTGTACTTTATGGTCTTGCGTTTTGTTGTCTAATACCAATTCGTTCACAGTCAATCATCTTGGATGGATACTTCTTAGACAACCGATCAATTCAATCTTGCCAGTCCCTCTGTGGGTTCTCGCCTTCCGCTATCTCATATCCCCTACATGAGGGGGAAAATACCTCTTCACTACCATACATCCACCATTAAGATCATATATCATCCAAGGCCGCCAATCAATCAATACTGCCCTGACAAGCGCCCTGACTTGCAACATAAAAGTCCCTCTCGTCAGATATCGATGCTTCAAAGTATACGGACCTTCCAGTGCCCATTAGTCCCCCTTTGGTGTCGTGGTCCGGGTCACCCCGGGTTCCAAAAGAAAGACAATCATCCAACGACCCTCTGAAAAAGAAGAAAAATAAAAATAAAAAGAATGCCACATCCTCACATCCTCCTAACAAAATAGACAGCCAAAGACCACAAAAATGAATAGGAAATAGTTGAAAAATTGGGATCCATCCGATGCGAACAACATACAGTGCCTTGCACTCAGAAAATCCCCAACGAAACGCCAGTCAAACGGAAAAAATAAAAGAAACCAGCGCTAAAAATGAAAACTGCAAAAAAATATTGCCTCACTTGGGCCTCCGGAATTTGTCTCTGCGTCCGTCGCACATGCGTGTCTTAGACGTCCCGGATGTTGTCTGTCGAGGATTCCCGTTTGTTGACTCCATGGAGGTCGATGTCCGAAGAGTTTTCGCCCAGACTCTCGACGTCTCGGGTGAATTCGGTCCTCGTCATGATGCCCTCCAAGGGGATCGGCCGACTCTTGCTGGTCGAACTCTCCGAGGCCGCCTCGCAGTTGGTGATGACCTGTCCCCCGAATCCGCGCTGCAGGTCATGATCGAAACCGGTGGGGCCTTTCTTAATTGCTGAACCGAGCGAATAGACACCCCCGCCGCCTACGGATCGTTCGCACTCTTCACACTTCGTAATAGTCGACACTCCATCGTCGTCCTGGTGGGTGACCCAATGGAGTACCAAAACCGAGAAGAGCACTGCGGAGTCAAGTCAGCATGACACCTCGAGCACCTTTTGTGCAAGGAGACTTGCCGTCAGCGTTGCAAACCGCAAAGCAAACCCAGCCTGGCTCACGGCCTCTCAATATGAGCAACGAAGTCAAGTTCCTGCGCGAGCTGTTAGCCACAAAAATATCGGGGCCGTTTTGGTGCGAAGGGATCACAAACGCGAGCGTCGACAGGAGCGTCGCAACACTACCAATAAAAGTGCGCAGAGCAACCCTTCGAAGTCGGCCTTGTTTGGTTCGAGTGCCGTTTCGGAAGCTCCAGAGACCTGCCATGATGAGGTGTCAGAAACTGAAACACTCGATAAGCGAATGGGGGCACATACCTCGCAACGGTGTCAGGAACAGCCACGTTAGATAGACCTAGTTTCAAACATCAGCCAGCCGTTATCTGAGACGCCGGGAGACGTCCTCACATTGATCACGATGTCAAAGATCAGCAACGGGATGTTGGCGGGGAGCTTCAGTCCGATTCGGCACAGTTTGTCGTCGCCGATCTCGGCATTGCGACTATCCCTGGTTAGCCAGAGTGAAGTTGGGGGCCGAGTGATCGAACATACTATATGAAAGTCAAGACGATGACCAGGCAGTACGGAACGAGCATGCCGAACATGTTGAACATGAACAGCTTGTCCTTCCATCTCTGGCGACTTCCACGGATTATGAAGACCTGACCCATGTGTCAGTGTACGGTACCTCTGATGGGGGGGTGGGGGGTGTGAATTCAGGCTATGTACCTTTTCGACTAGAAAGAAATAGATCAACTAATCGAAGCGCCTACAAGTCAGTAATCCGATAAACAGGCGCGCGGAGGAGCGTTAAACACGTACAACCTATCGAGTGCTGTTAGCCAACTGCAGTTTCAAGAAGATTCAAACACAAAATGGGGAGGGAGGGTGGAATGTACTTTCGAGCTAAGATAGCACACCAAGCAGAGCAAAATTCCAGCATCGCAGGCCCTCAAGCTGCTATTCAAGCCGAAACTGGATTGCAGCACAGTACTCGAAAAGACGAAAAGCCAACTGTCGATGAAGATGGCAAAGATTACTACCCATCAGCATCAGCCACAACGAACAACTCGAGCTCAAGGCCGCATCGGGACGATCCCACTCACACCAGCGAGCTAGAGGCAATCCGATAAAGCTTGAAATTCCAGCGAGCCGTCTCGCTAGACAAAAGCTGACAACCGTGATGGCGATCATGGCCAGCGTGATGCTGGAAACAAACGCTTCCCTGTTCTGTCCAGACTTCTTGCCCACGCCATCACTGTCGACAGGGGCATCCCGTGCAACAAGCTGAGCAACAACACCGTCGAGGAATGTTGCCGCCATGGTTACGATGATCTGAGGACAATTAGATGCTGAGCTGATGGAGGGGGCTGAGTGACCCACTCTCTGTTGCGGGAGGAATTGGTGTGTTGGCGATGACCTTTGTGTTTGTTGTTTTTGTGATAAAGGTGGGTAGGAATGAAATTAAGAATGGGAAATGGGATGCCGACGTCCACGTCGAGGCAGAGTGCCCTTTCTTAGGGTGGGATGATTAAGCAACGAATAGGAATATGAATGCGGGCAAGGAGGGAAAGAGGGTGAGGGTATGTGAGGGAGAGAGGAGGGCCAGTACTCCTGGGACCCAAAAAGGTGGTGAGAGCGAATGGGAGAAGTAAAAGAAAGAAGGAGGGAAGGGGAGAAAAACGATCCGATTGACGAACAAAGTATCACGGAAGCAAGATACCAAAGCGGAAGTGCATCAAGTATGTACGGGTTGGCGATATGTTGCCCAGTGCCCCCTTCGAAGGATGTGATGATGGCCAAAGAATTGGTGGTGGGGAGGAAGATGTGTGTGGATGTAGGAGTAATGGGGATAAGTACTCTAGCAGGTATCCAGATTGCTGGTTGTTCGAGCAGGTACGTTTTTGAAGTTGCGGGCACCGAGGGTAGCCGTGATACTGGACCTACGTACAATTGATGTTGGGTAGGACACGAACAGACTACTCATGAAAGTAAATCCTGCAAATCTGGGCGAATAAGGTATCGGGTAGTTATAGTGGTTATTGTGAAGGTGGTGGCGGGTGGTGGTGGGTGATGGTAGTGCTGGTTATTGGGTAGATGCAGCGGTGGGCGGGAAGGCCGGGAGGAAGGCGGAAGGGAGAAGGCCGGACGAGGCGGAGACAATCGAGACGGTTTATGTACGACTCGATGGGGGGAGCAAACAGTGATCGGCTGAATCGCGCGCAACTGAACTCACCGAGACTGGCGACCGTTTTGACGGACGCAGATGTCGATGGCGTTGAACGTTCCGCTGTCACGGCGAGATGGAGATGGGAGGCAGGTTGGCGGGTGGGGGTGGGAGGATGTGGGCTCCATTATGAAAGGCCAGCGGACAGAAGAGATGGTGGGCTGGCTGTCTTGTACCGTACCCCAATGTGGAGTATTTACTTCTTTGGTGATTTGTCGCTATTATTTGCACGCGCTCCTAACAGCTTCTTTCTTTACTCGTCCTCCCCTCCCCCTTCCCCCCACTCCAATCTCTCGTCCAGTGTATGTACATACGACAGACATGCCGTTCGTTCGTTCTTTTGTTCGCTTACTTATCCACTCCACGCCGAACGCTGTGTCTGTATGTCTCATCTGCGGGCAGCGGTGGCCGAACAGCCAGCCAGCGAGCAAGCAAGCCCCAGCCGCATACCGTACCACGACGATACATACTGGAGATATCAGCAGCGGGGGGCCTTGGTCTCTTCGTTGACTCCGCTCACTCCGTTACCGGGCTAGGTGAGCAGCTAAGCAAGTCTCTACTTACTTCTTACCCGTGCCTCCCCAGTGCTCATCGGATCCACAACCTGCCTGCTGCTGCTGGTGCTGGGATCTCCGTTTAGCGAGAAGATCAAGTTCCGTCCAACGCCCCGGCCCCAGCCCCAGCCCCAGGTACCGTACCTACCTAAGCAACCTGCCTACTTGACTTGACTTACTTGCCTTACCCTACTGCACCGGCACTTTTGCAAGTGAGCGAGTGCTTGCTCACTGCTTACTCCTGGTGCGCGTGCTAGTTACGGGAGTTATTCTATGAACTATTGCTAGCAGGCCCGGTTAGAGTGGGATCTGACGATCGACTATGGGCGGGCACACCGGAGGAAATACTAGTGGTCATATGTAGTCTACTCACTTACTTAGATAGGCACTTGGTCGTTGCGTTCCTTTGTGCGGGAGGACGGTGTGGAGACGGAGGCGGCGGCGGTCGTCTACCGGGATACACAACTATCGATCATATCTTAGTTGGTTACAGCCTCACCGTCCACAGGGCCAGAACGAACGATCTCCCATCCCCACACACACACAGAGAGACAGATCCCTTCCCTCACCTCCTTCTCCTTCCCATCGTCGTCCTTCTCCTCGTCGTCGTCCTCCCTCACCTACTTCTCCTCCTCCTTCTTATCCCCTCCTTCTTATCCCCCTCCTCGTCCCCCTCCTTCTTATCCCCCTCCTCGTCCCCCTCCTCGTCCCCCCCCCCCCCTCCTCCTCCTCCTCCTCCTCCTCCTCCTCCTCCTCCTCCTCCTCCTAGGCCAAGGCAAACCCCGACAAGGACAAGCATCGAGCATCGAGCCTGGCCTCGCCCGCATCGTATCCCTTCCCAGTTCCCAGTACACGAGTAGGTACAGAAATACATTTCCATCCGGTCCTGGCCTGGTCTCCTGGCCCTGTTTCTCCACGGAGACGAGTCTAGTTAACTCCCCCTGTCCCCCGTCCCCTTGTCCCCCGTCCCCTTGTCCCCCGGCCATGTGAGATGTGAGCTGTGAGCTGTGAGCTGTGAGTGACTTCTTCTTCTTCTTCGAAACGCCCCGGGAACCCGCGTCTCCAGGGAAAACCAAGACCGCATCCACTTCCTCCATCGCTCGCACCCTCGCTCGCGCCCTCGCATTCCCCGAATGCCCGTGCCGACAGATCATTGATCAACCCACCAACGCAAGACGGAAGTTGCGAGTGGAAGTTGGATCGGTGCTTTTATTTCCGTCCCTCCCCAGGTAAGGTAGGGTAGGCCCCTACATATACGCACGGCACGCCAGGCCAGTCCAGCTGAGCTCAACTCAACCCAGCTCTACCCAGGGGACAGGGCAGGCCAGGCCAGCCTCCAGGAAATCATGGTCAGCCTGGTCAGGTCAGGGCCGTACTATATACTCTAGTAGAGTACGATACACTGGCCCTGGCATCCAATATACTACTATGTATCCACCAGGCCTACTTGCTTACCTACATACACTACATAAACCATCCTGTATGATCTGCTATGTAGAGTCCCTTCAGCAGAGTACATCGCGCGTCTACATGCTCTACGCTGTGCCTACTCCGGCATCTATCAATGTTACATACCCAGAGCACGCGCTGTTGTGCTGTGCGTACTTGCTTGCCACTGCGTATTCTCGGCGAGCGCTGATGGATTGGAGAGAGAGAAGAAACCTACCTGCTTGGCTGGATACTGGTTACCAGCAGTTAGAGCATGAACCCGCAATCGTATGTATCATATCAGGATTCACTGTACTGTTCAGATGTCTCACAACACAGCCCCACTCCCCGCCGCCCGGTCTACTCTACATAGCAATTATGGTCAGCTGAAAGAAAAAAACAAAACAAAACAAAACAAAACAAAAAAAAGAATGGGAAAAAAAAAGAGAACGGCAACCTCCTCACACACGGTACACCTCCACACGTGCCCCCTTCCCCCGACGACGACGACTCGAGTCCTCCTCGCAGGCTCATGGGCTCCTGGGCTCCTGGGCTCCTGGGCTCCTGGGCTCCTGGGCTCCTGGGCTCCTGGGCTCCTGGGCTCCTGGGCTCCTGGGCTCCTGGGGCTCCTGGGTAGACTCCTCCTCGCATCCAGTGCATTGTTGTCTGTATCTGCTAGAGTAGGAGTAGGAGTAACGGCTACGTTCGTTCGTTCAACGTAAGGGAAGAGAGGGGATGTGTCGTTTCTCTCCCCCTTCGAAGTTCGATGCACGCACGCAGTACGCACGAGTCACTGTTATCACACGGGGTAGATAGCAGTTCACTATTCGATATGTAGATCGATAGTTCGATTATGTAGATCCGGTTTATGTACCAGTACACCACTCTACAAGGAGAAACACAGGACTCACGAGAGACAGTTGATCTGGGACATTTTTGCATCCCTGATTCCCTGATTCCCTGGGGTACTTGGATAACCACGCAGTTATGTATGTGGAGTATGTACAGTACAGTACTGACAGGAAACAGCGCAACGTGATCGGACAACGACAGCTACATACATGGAGTACTGCGACGGCGCCGACAGCAGCGACTGCAACAGACTGCAAAACTGCAACAGCGACAGCTACATACAGCGATACCGCGGGCTGCCATCGTTCGTCCACGGTTCACGGTTCGAGACTCGAGAGGGCATGGTTCAAGACTCGAGAGGGCACGGTTCGAGAGTGCACGGTTTGAGAGTGCACGGTTTGAGAGTGCACGGACGACAAATCAAAAAAAAACAATATATCTATCACATCGCCTTGCTTGCTTCTTCTGCGTAGGTACCACCTATACGGTAGAGTATCGAGCTTGGCTATCGAGCTTGGCTATGATCGAGGCTGGTTGGCGAGAGTGCGAGCGAGCGGGCGGGCGGGAGAGCGGCTGAGACATATGCATCTGTATAATAAAATATGCAGTATAATCGCCAACAACATGCACTGTCGTGAAGTCGAGCCGGGGAGTCGAGGACCGATAACTCGGTCACGACTCGCGAAGAACGCCCACTGGCCCACTGTCCCACTGGCCCGCCACCGTAGGTAGTCATCTTAAACACACCCACTCACCCCCACCCACTTCTGCACTTCTGCACTTCCTTCTGCGGCAGAAAAGAGCAGCAGAGAACTTCACTTCTCTTCACTTCTCTTCACTTCGCAGGCTCGGCCTCCCCCAACGGTGGTTCCAACCCTCTACTATTCGGGAGTCTAGAGTAGAGTAGGCAGAGTGAAGCGAAATCGGGCACGCCCACTCGCACTGTGCACTCGCCCACTCGTCGCGAGCGGAGCGAAAAGCGAAAACGAAAAACGAACGAAGAAAAACAAAGAAGAAAAAGGAAGAAGAAGGAAAAAAGCGTTGGTCCTCCCTCCCATCCCATCCCGTCTCCTCGGGTTCTTGATCTGGCGGTGACGGGAGGACAGGATGGCAGGATGGCAGGATCGTGCACTGTGCACTGTGCATTTTTTTGGGGTTGTGCAGTCGCGATGCGGCCGCGGCGGGAGGGTGGTGAGTGATATCGGGTGAGTGATACCTGTGCTGCGTGGATAAGATAGGCTCGGGATGAAGTACGGTAGAAAGATAGGTGACATTCGCTTCGCGTATCAACCGAGGGACTACTACCTTGGCTATCACAGTAGAGTAACTAGTGCTTGCCTTCGCCCCCCACATCCCCACCCACCAACCCATCAAGACCGGTCGTATCTACATGTAACTCCACCCCGCCCCGCTCCCAAACCTCGATGTAACCCGCACCATGATCCCGCACACTTGGCTCCTCCTCTCGGACTCCGCACTGCCGTTGGGCTCATTCGCCTTCTCCTCGGCGCTCGAATCCTACCTCTCGCACGTGCCCAAGGCGCTCAAGCCGACCACCTCCGCGGCCACCACCGTGCTGTTAACACACTTCCTGCGGCTGAGCCTTCTCTCCACCTCCACGAGCATCCTCCCATTCGTCTCCGCGGCACACTCAGCGCCCTTGACAGCCGCCGAGCTAGACGACATCCTCGACGCCTGTACACTCTGTACCGTGGCGCGACGAGCATCAACATCGCAGGGGCGCGCGCTGCTGACGGTATACGACCGAGCGCTCGCAGGCTCCGTAACGACGGAGGCGGAGCGCGGGGTGGTGGAGGGGTACAAGCTCTCCGTCCGCCAGGGAGCCGCGAGCGGGCATTTTGGCGTTGCGTGGGGGGTGGTGTGTAGCGTGCTGCAGCTGGAGCGCGAGGAGGCGCTCTACGTGTTCATGTTTAATCATGCCAAGGCGGTGGTGAGCGCCGCTGTGCGACTGGGCTTGCTGGGTCCGTATCAGGCGCAGGCGGTGTTGGCGAGTGGCGAGGTGAGGGTGTTGGTAGAGCGGGCGGTTGCGGTGGGTGGATGCATCGCGGTCGAGGACGCGGGCCAGAGTGTGCCGGTGCTGGACCTGTATCAGGGACGGCACGAGTTGTTGTATTCGAGGGTTTTCAACTCGTGAGGGACCGAATGGCAGATAATTATTATGATGATGATGCTTGTATGTACAAAGGCATGCGAACTCAAGTGCACTATTCAAATTCATTGCGTCGTTGTTCGTAAAGAGAACCGAAGAAAACCTGTACGCCCCAAATCCAACCAGGACAAGAAGAAAGGAAAAGGAAAAGGAAATGAAATGCAGACGCTACACTCGAAACGACCTCGCACAATTCCTCGGCATCCCTTTACGGAAGAATGTTCCTAAGTTGGTTCTTCTGGTCGGCCGTGAGTGATGTCGGGAATTGAATCTACGCAGAGAGCCGTCAGTCTCCATCTACAACTTGGAGGAATTATCCGACAACTTACATCGACCTTGACGACCATATTACCCCGCTGCGATGGATCCTTCGGCAGCACCATTCCGAGTGACGGGTAAGTCTCCGACCAGTTCGGGGGTGTAGGTCCGGTATGAGAGACCATCAGGTTCTTTCCGTCAATCGTCTTGATGGGTCGTTTCCAACCCGTGAGCGCCTCCTTCAGCGAGATCTGAAGCGTAGCGACGAGGTCATCTCCCTTCCTCTCAAAGGTTTCGTGTGGTTTCTCGGTGACGACGAAGTGTATATCCTGCTTAGTACCCTCAATCTCGTCGCCGATTCCCGGGAACTTGAACTTCGAGCCTGCTTTGAGACCGGGCTTGACGTAAATGTCGAGTTCCTTGTCTTCGCGGTGGATCTTGCCGTCGCGGTCAAACGTCTTGCGCTTGACTTTGAGCTTCTTCTTAGCACCGGAGTATAGACTGCCGTACACATTAGCATCGCCATCACAATCACAAACAGCACCGGCAACAGGGAAACCTACTCCTCGAGCGAGAATGTGATCGGCCTCTCGATGACGGTCGCTTCGGCCGGTGGCTTCCTAACCCCATTCGACCTATTGGCGCCACTGCTGCCGGTTCCCCCAAACGAGTTGCTTCCTCCAAACGAGTTGTTTCCGCCAAAGGACCTGCTTCCGCCGAACGACCTGCCGCCACCGCCGCCCAGAGGACTGCCACCAAAGAACCGGCTAAAGTCCTCCTCGCCGTCGAACCCGCCCATCTTCGCAAAGTTGGCAAAGATGTTATCCGGGTCGCCGGGCATGAACCCGAAGTCTCCACCCTGTCCCGACGAAGACGAGAACCTAAAGCTCTGTCCGCCATCCCCTCTGCCAAAGCCGGGGTAAGTACCCGACCTGCCGAAGCCGCCGCCAGGGAACCCGCCCGCTCCTGCCCCGCCCCCGTCGGAACCGGGTGGTGGCGCGGTTCCCCCACGCAGAAGGAACTCGAGCCCGTACTGGTCGTATATCTTGCGCTTTTCGGGATCGGAGAGGATTTCGTATGCTTGTGACACATCTGTTCGGCGACCTTCGTCAGCTCCAGCTCCACGTTATAGCTCCGAGCTATTGCGAATAACCCACCCTTGAACTTTTCCGAGGCGTTTGGGTTGTCCTTGTTCTTGTCCGGATGGTATTTCAGAGCTCCTTTCCTTCACGTTCGTGGGGTCGTTAGCTTGCTTGTCGTGCTGCGTGCTGCGGTCACACGACCCTTCGCACCTCGCACCCCGCCTGGGAACTTACCGGTACGCCTTCTTGATCTCGTCGACGGTGGCATCGGCTTTGATACCGAGCGTGTCGTAAAGTTTCGTTTCTTTGACCATCGTTTGTTGTTGTTCTGCTCTCTGTTTGTCGTGTTGTTTTGTGTTTGTGTGTTGAATGGAAGAAAAGTTGAAATGTTTGGTGTTGGTGTCGGGGTTGAATGTGAGTGTGGGTATGCGTGCGTGCGTGTGTTGAAGTGCAAGTAGTAGCAGCAAGCGATCAAGGGTGCTTAAGTTGTGCGGTGTGGCGTGGGTGCGGTGTGGTGGAGCAGGATAGAAGCTTGTAGAAGATGCCGCTGGGGTGAGGGTGACGTAGTACTCGGACCAGACTGGGTTCACCCAGCCACAGCAATGATCTCCCTACGAACTCTATGTACCGAGTGTGTTTCGAGACGTAGGGTACATAGCCCGAGAACGAGCGAGATGAGATCCGTCCGGCTAAGTCAAGATGTCAAACGAGTTTCTGGAAACAGCTGGGAAGATCTAGAGCTTGCTAGCTCTTCGTTACGAAGCTGGCGTCGGAAGTGAAGACGATAAGGTAATTTACGTTGAAACCTCATACAATATCACTCTGACAGGTGGTCATCTCTCCACTTTTGATTGTCTGCTTTGAATTATATTCCAATGATTAAAACAAAAAAAACAAAGCTTTGCATTATATTTCCCGCTGTCACTCGGGAAACCAAGTACCTCCCAGTCTAATATGCGAAATACCGGACGCCCTGGCCCGTGTCAGAGACGTTCAGGCCCATCTTTCATCTAGGTACTCTATCGTTTCAATCTAAGAGGACATCTGCTCCAACTCCTGTGCCTGTGCCGCCGCAAATTCAAAATTCGAAGAGTAAACCAACGCACTGAATCCCTCCAACTGTGTTCCCTTCTCCATGGCCTGCACAAGCAAGGTCAGTCAGTGGCATATCTTCGTACGTTCGGATGCGCTACTTACAGCCAGATACTCATTTCCAGCACCGCTACCGATGTCATGTGCTTGTCTCGCCAGCACCGCAAGAACACTGGCAAACTTTGTAGCAGCAGAATCCTCGACGACAGGCGTAATCCTGGGCATAACACTGGCATCACTCTCTTCATCCGCGGTGCCCGGAGCAGTATGAGCACGCATCACGGTGGCAGCCTTCGACACAAAAGCGAGGTTAGCAAGCTTGCCATCGATGAGCATCTCGAAGCCGACGGCTAGCATGTGTGCCAGCACGGTCGACGCCATGGGCGACTCCAACAGATCTGAGGTTTCGTCGAGTAATCTTCGCAGTTTCGGGGACGGTGTCTGTGGGCCTGCGTCTGGCGGGGCTGTGCCGGACTCGGCGAGGACGGTCGGTTCTTCGCTGCGGGGAGGGAGGAGGAAGGCCAGCCAGGCGATTTCGTCGGGGCTGCTGGAGGTCGCCTCGCCGGGTGCCGGTGTCTCCACGATGCGTCGGACTTCCATTGCGAGCTCGCGGAATCGGCCAAGGGTTATCGTGTCGCGCGGGGTGAGTCTGTGCACGGTTGTGAGTTTACTGGGCATGGCGGGGTGGAGAGATAGCTCACTCACGGTCCAAAGATCTCTTTTGTGGCAGCCTCTACACGTGCGCAGAGAATTCGCCATCCGCGGTGAAGTAGCCACCATGAGAAGGTAAGGTATTGCTGGTTCGTTTCGATGTCGATGCCGCCGACGGTGGCGGCAGTGTCTTTATCGTGCGCCTCGAGTCGGATAGTGGGGTCATTGTCGCTGCGCTCGGCGAGAGAGATCACAGAAGAGAGGTAATTCTTGCGGCCAAGGAGGTTAAGTTGTACGCGTGTAAGAAGCGTCAATAGCGAGAGCGTGTAGAGCAGTGTAAACGACCGGGTGAGAGCTATCGCACGACTACGTCAGCGCGATGCTTTCATCGTGACAGGATCGAGGAATGCTGACAGCTGATCTTGATCTCATCCCACAGCTGCAGTTTCGTCTTGCGCTGGACCTTCTCGGCCGGCGCCGCAGAACCTCCTTCCCCGGCATCGCGCCCAGGAACCGCGGAGAACGTCTCGGATGCGAACGACTGTAGCGACTGATTATCGTCTTCCTTCATGGACGCGACCACGGGCGCCGTAGCGGTGGAAGGTGCGAGCCCCGCATCAGACGCCACATCTATCGTTGACACTGCCGTACTCTTTGCGATCCGCGCCGCCTTCTTCTGTTGTAGCTCATGCGTTAGGGATTCCACGGGGAGATCCTTGACTATGTTTTCCGTCGCGGTGGGGAGCAGCGCTTGAACGGTGTATGTACAGTCTTCCTGGTTCTGTTGGAAGCGTCGGTTGATGCTGCGACGGGTCAGCGCGCGTTTGCCGGCGGAGGAGTCAAGGCACAACAGAGCCATACTTTTCCTTAGCTACTCGCTCGCTCATCATGCGGTTCCGCGCTTCGGAGAGCTTGTTGCCGACATATTGCACGGCTATGTATCCCGCGCCGACAAGGCCAAAGCCCACGGCTAGGTTCCTACGGTTGCGGTTGACGAAGTTGCGCGTTGCCTGGAACATGGTGGCGGCTTCGACGCGATGGCTGGGTGACAATTGAGATTCGATTCGATCGGTGATTTGCTGCTAACGATGGGAGGTGGTTGTGATGGTCAGGAACACGATGGCATGGTGCTTCGGAGGGCCAGAGAGGGAGATTGTGGACGAGTTGCTGTCGAAGGTGTTGATTGGAGCTGAGATGTCTCTGGTGGTGACTCGCTCTCAGCTAGATACGGACTCGACTGGCTCGCACGAGCAGAGGCGCTGGTTCGCTCTTCCTCGGTACGATGGCTTCTCGGCTGCATCTCTGCCATGACCGCAACCAACGTTAACTGTGGCTTTACTTTCCCCACAGTCGCTCGGCAAGAAACGCTCACCTTAGGCTTGACTCCCGTCTGCCTCGAGAATACTCTACACGCGTGCCGTCAGCGTCTATAGCTAGTATCACCTTGATCGATATCGTCAATTGAAGGTGTGGCCACTGCTACCAGCAACGCGACAGACATGTGACAGTCCAGCCCGTCGTCTAACCATCTCGGGTGCCTCGTAAATTGGATAGTATTCCAAGACGATTGCATCTATTTTGTCCGGCTGGAATATTTGGTTGATGCGAACTTTCCGGCATGATCCTCACGCCATTATCGCGATGCCGAACCAGCCAGCCTGATCACCAAACGAACACTCGGCCCGAACCGTACACCACCTGGTTTCACAACCGGACTGGGCCGACAGCCCGTCCGTAGTAAAACAATCCCGCTTTCCCCGCCTTTCTGCCGACTCCTCGTCGTGTGGTAGCGTGCGTCTCGTGCTGACAGTCAGAGCCCACGGTCAACAGTCCTACATCCGGAAGATCCCCGATCCGCGATGCAGAACCAAATACATGCATACCTCCACCGCCCGAGCTTTCGAACCTGATTCTACCCACAGAAGGCCTGAGCGAAGCCACACAAACCACATTTTTATCCAAATTCCCATGGTGCAAATATCTTCATCCCCTCCAGGGTTTTCGCCCTTTCTCCAGCCCTATCGAAGTATGCACATCTACTCTATCTATCCACATACCCACCCTCCAGCAGAGCCCCACTCCATGCAACCCCAGACCACACTTCCCCTTCCCCGCTTATCGGCTGCACTAACCTCCCTTCCGCACTCTAACCCCTAAGCTTGCTTCTCATCTCTTCAGGGCCGCCCGCAGGCCGCACATAAGCTCTGAAAAATTCAAATTTTCCCTGTGTGCATCCAGTTACCGCGTGCATCTGTCTGTGCCTGAGAGAGAGGAAAAATCGCTCTTGATCGTAAAAGTACTGTAGCAGCTTGGTTGAAAGATAGAAAAAAAAGGTGGCCGTGAGAACACGAGATCATGGGTAGCAACGGCACATCCTCCCTGAACAGGGGGCAGGCGCGGGGAGGTCCAGTTACGTACGCCCATATAGGTTGATAGAAGGAACGCTACCCCTCCTCCTCCTCCTCTTGCTCTTGCTCCTGCTCCTCCTCTCCCGAACCTCATCACCTCATTCCTCTACCACAATACACGGCATCTACATACACATCGCACGAACCGTCCGAGATCCTTGAACAAATAACCGGGCTCGCACCAATCAAACTCCGCACGCCCGCCGCCGCTCGCAACACCCGTGATCCCTCCGCGAACCCGGCGAACATCCGACTCCCCGCCCCGACACACATTCCATTCATGGATCCGCCGCCAGTGTTCACGCTCGCTTTGCTCTCGGACTCGTCGCACCTGCCAGACCTTCTGCGGGGGATCCTGCACACGATCTTCTTCCACCGGTTTTTCTCGTCATTCCGGCCGTTTACGCGGGACCTGTTAGACATAACGTTGCCGAGCTTCAACGATCCGGCGCTCGACACTGTGATCGAGAGCCGGCTGCGGACGCTCGAGGGCGACACCGCGCCGCCACAGGTCGCCGTCTGCTTCTACGAGAAGAAGGCGCGTAAGGCTTCCTGGTTTGCAAAAGAGGAAAAGGTCTGCTGGGAACAGTGGGTCATCAATATCACGCTTGTCGCGCCCAGGACCGAGGCTGGTATGTGATCCTTTTTGAGAGCTGCGCTGGCGGCGCCGCGACGAGAATGGGTTGGCCGACCGAGACTGACTGGAATGCCCGACGTACAGAGAGGGCCCACGCAAGGAGACAGATCGAGGATCAGCTGCAGGCTACGATACTCAAGATCATCGCCGTGGCGAGTGCGGAGAAGAATCATGTTCCGCCGATCACGACAAACGATGCGAACCCGTTTCCGTACACGATAGCGCTGCTGCCGAAGGGAGAGACGTGGGGAACACGGATGGGCATCTTCTGAGATGGCGCGGTGGAAGGGAACGGGGAGGGACAGATAATGAGCGGGGATAGATTCATGATTGCGGTGTTCCGGCGTTGAACCTAAAATATTACTATTGCATGTTTCCTTTTTCTTCTTGTTTTGGGGCCGTTACATTTTCTTCTTTCTTTTTTTCCGATTTGTGTCTGTAGCTTTATACCTATTCTCCATTTATCTCACTTGTAGACATCTACGATATATCTCAACCTCTCCCCATGGTGCGTCAGTCTCCAGACAGCCGGTGTTCTGTATATTCGCTATTCAATGCAGGTACAGGCCAACGGAAATAAAGAAAAAAGACAACCCGAAGGAAAACTAGGAATCCCTTCGTCACAAATGAAATCCGATTTCCCTTTACGCCCTTGCACGCACACACACTACCACTACTACAACTTCAAACTTCGACTCGTCGAAACTTTAAACGTGACGGCAGCGGAAGCAGTTTACAAGCTCTTGTCACCACCGAGGGAGTCAACCTTAGCACGGAGACCGGCAGAGGCAGAGTGGGCGGAGCTGAACTGCTTGGCGAGCAGAGGCTTGAGGAACGAAGTGAAGACCACCTGAGCACCGCTAAAACACGCAAAAACAACCAGGGTTAGCGATCAAGATCGGCAAAAAATCGCGGGATGATGTCAACGATGACACCATACACGGAGATGGCAACACATACCTGAACTGGGGAAGTCCCAACCAGAGGACGAGGACGAACTTGAAGGCGTAGTAGAAGGGAAGCCAGTAAGTGACGGAGACCGCGGACTCAATCAAGCTGAGGAACGCGAAAACGATCCAGTACCTGTTGTCGCACCCCATTGTGGTCAGTAAAAGGCACGAAATGATGGTTACACAATGCCGAGGGACACAACATACGTAAGCCATTGAGCGTCATCGGTTCTAGACACGGTGAACAGAGCGTTGAAGGAGTAGTAGCCGGGGATAACGAATCCAGCGAGGTTGGTGAAGAATTGTCCGCCATAATTGAGGAAGATCAGGAAGAAGTAGAAGAAACTGACTCCTCCGACGACGTATACTTTAGGGACACCTGTTGGATGTCAGCATTGTCGCTACTATCGCTATCGGTCGGGGGGAAGCAAGGAGCAGGGAAAAGGACACATACCAGTCTGCTTCTCGAGGTTGTTGAGAGCGGGGTATTTGGAGAGCTGTTGTTTCCGACCCACGAATCAGTACGAAAAATTCGATAAAGCACCAGCGACGACGACGACGGTTTTTTCTTTTTTGCTTACCTCTTTGTCGAGCTGGGAGACCATATTCTGCGCCTTATCCTGGTACGACATCGTGTAGGTTGGTGGGTTATGTGTGAGGGTGAGAATGAGGGTGTTGGTAGAAGATTTAGAAGAAGACAGGAGGAAGTCTTTGGGATATATTGAAGATGTGTAGGTGGCAGTTGAAGGTTGTGGAGTGGTTGGTTGGTTCGACTTGTATGTTGCGTGTGTGGTAGACTTTTGGAGGGGGCTGGTGGAGTTTTGAACGGTTGGCTTGATTGGGGAAGGGGGGGATAGAATAGATGCCGATGGAAGGAAGGATTTGTTGACTTTTTGTGCTGCAGAATTGACGTGGATGTGTAAGTAGAAAAAAGCTCAAATCCTGATCCGGGTTGGCAATTGGCGGAGCGACGAGGCAGAGGGGAGAAAGGCCGCAGTGTCGAGGGGGCTTGGCAGGACTTTACTCACTCCAGATAGACCTGCCTGCTGCTGCCACTCTACGGTATCGGCGCTACGTCAGCACCGCATCGATGGCGGCGATGGGTCGAAACTCGGTTTGTTTCCCTGCCGCCGCGGCTGAGGATCTGATCTCCGGACTCCACACGCACACGCACACGCATGTGCAAGAGGCTGGCCTTCATTCTCCTTGATGGGATATCTGGTGTGAGTGGGCGTGGCTGTGCGTGTGTGCGTCTGCGTGTGCTTTCGTGAAGGATCCGAAGCATCGATGTCATATCTCGTGACCCTGTTTACCCAGAGATCTCTGTCCGCCGCAAAACAGACGGACGACGCAGCGACGCTTGCTCGCGTGGATGAAAGTTGAAACCCCCACTTGCGGGTGTGCTAATTATAGTCATGCCAGTTCGTTTATAGACTTGTCACCTTCTGTTTGGGCCTTGGCCCGTGAGGCGTGAGGAGTTGAGATACCGTTTAATTCCATTCGGGTTATGTAAGCGGGGTACATACTACATGTGCCAATGGTGCCGGGGATGAAGGAGTAACGTCATAATCTTCAGCTCGCAACTACTCGGTCACCAAGAAGCAGGAAAGAGCCCGAGATGAGGTCGAGGGTTAGCGAGTCCACCGAGGACCTTGTCTTCAGGATGAACGTAGCATGAGCTGGTGTCCTCTCGAGTTGACGGCCAGCTGCAAGAAGTAGCTAAGCAGGCGGATGGGATCAGACTGGCCCACGGGTGGGTAGATACATAGCGCGTCGCGTTCTGTGGCTTGCTCGGCATCTCACCAGAATTCATCTAGGCCGAATCCCGGCCTGAGGTCGGACAGCAGTTACTATCAGTATACACACTGGACATCCGGCACTCTATTCTAATTGACTCTCAGGTCGGGAGGGAGAGAACATCAACTTACCTATAGTTGATACAGCCTGAATGGACCATGGCAGCCCTATACCCGACTCTTCCCCTTCGAGTCGACGTCCGAGTCCCTAGCGATTGGAGTTGAGCATCGAATCACCCCCCGTGACATTGGAGTGATTTTACATGTTTGAGTAATGTTGAAACCATCCCCTAGCCAGGTCTGTTGCAGACGGTGATTCTTCCGCTGGGCGGAGTATCTTCATCTGTTGGTTTCCCTCGAATGGAGGCTCTTCTTGGCTCCATAGGGCCTTCTCGTCACGATCACATGATGCGGCTCTGTTCCGGCGTTGCCATCACATCCTTCCCCAGCGGGTCGCTCCCAACCTAAACCACAACACAAACCCCCTTGACCCGCACGCCGCTGGTTGCCTCCGCAACTCGATCACCAGCGAAAACAGCGCCAACACCAATCCGACGGAACACTCTCCACTCAACTCCGCCGTCGAGAAACGGACACAGAAAGAGAAAGAGAGAAAAGACGACAGGCGCGCGGTTCATACTTCTTCGAGCAAAAATTAAAGCGAAGACCGGTTCCGACGCGAAAACGTGAGCGAGAGAGAAAAAAGAATAAAAAAGCCCCCTCAAAAAAACCCTGTGAAGGCTCAGACCGAATCAGAATACAGAGAATCTAGTGGTGTTGTTCGGTCTGCTTTCGGTGGAGGTTGTTTACGTATCTCTCACTCTCGTTCGACCCATCGACTCTTCTTCGTCCTGAGTCGAACAAACCAACGCCGCCGCTCGACTGGACTCTCCGTCGCTGGCCTCGCTACTCGACCTCGCGACAATAACAACGACGCGACAACAGCGACGGCAACCACAACAGCCATGAATGAAGCTCCGCCCCCTGTAACGCCGTCAAAAGGTACGTAAATTAATTGATCTCTATCATTATTTGGTCTTCACGAGGAAGAACGGGGGGAAAAGAATGAATGAGAAAGGTGGAGAGTGGATACTGTGTGTGTTGCGTGTGCTGCGTGTGTGCGTGTGCGTGTATATGGTTGCGATGGATGCAACCGTTGTTGAGTTGAAGCAACCTGAAGCTCACCTCCCATAGCAACAAAGCGAGAGCCACAGCAACGGTCACGTTCTCGCTCAGTCATATCGATCTCGACTCCAACCAAGAACAAGAACAACCGTCCCAACTCCGTCGCTCAGTACTCACCGGAGAGTCACCCGACCACTGACCCCTCCTTGTTGGCCCTGACACAACAACAAGTCTCCGCCGACCCGAAACCAGCAACACCGCCATCGGCTGCCATTGAAGACTCCTTGCCTGATCGTCCGAAATTCGCTCCTCCACCTGGATTCCCTATCGATCCGGCTTTGGGCAGTGCATCTCCGGCGCCTGCCGAATACAGGCCCTTCAAGCCTTCTGATGTCGAAGTCCCATCGTCACCCCCGGCAATAGAGGATCTGCCTCAGTTGCAGGATGCACCAGTTCTGGAAGAGGAAGAGGAAGCTGCCGAAGATGATGTAGCCATTGCGGCTGATGACGAACCTGCTGCTGGCAATAGTAGTGGTCGGCCCAAAAAGAGGTCCTCCTCGAGTGCCGAAGACAATGATGCCGAACTTCGTCGTCTAGCCAACGAAAATTCCAATGTCGAACTGAGCGAACTGGCTCGTCGAGTAAGAAATGAGGAAAACTCACCTTCCGCCGAAAAGACCAGACAGGTTTACGGTCTTGGTTGGTATGTTGACCACCGCTATGGTAGATGTTCACTCGACTGACCGACCGACTTTAGGTTGATGCACCACTGCGAGAGGGTCCCCGACACTTCTGTTGCAGTCCCTCGTAACCGCGTGTACGCGCGCTATGTCACGGTATGCGCCAATGAGAAGATCAAGCCCTTGAACCCAGCGTCTTTTGGCAAGTTGGTTCGACTGCTGTATCCGGAGATTAAGACTCGCCGGCTCGGTGTCCGGGGCCAGTCCAAGTACCACTATTGTGGTATTCGACTTTCCGGAGAACACTCATCCCCCAATGCTTCCCACGGTCCAGGTTCCGCTTCGGGATCGGAACCACCCGCGCATGCGGCTGGGGATGATCATGTGCAAGTCTTTATCCCTCTACATCCCTTCGGCACCACTTGCTGACTCTGCATCGACATAGTTCCAGTAACCGCATCGGTAACCGCACGACCGCTCCCATCGGTACTTTCGGCCCTCCAGCTACACCCCCCAAGCCTCCACAGGAAACACCGTTGTCGAATTTCATGCGTGAGGACCTTTATTTTTTGCGCCACGATGATTTTGATAGCCTCACGTCCCCGCAAGACATGTTTCACATTCCCGCAATCAGTCCATACCTTCCTTTGGGAACCGACCGAGATGTTGCTGCCACTTTGACAGCCATATATCGTTCGCACTGCACTTCGCTGGTGGAATGTGTCCGATACATGCGCTTGAAGCAATTCCACCAGTTGTTCGTCTCATTCCATGGTACATTGACGGTACCGGTCCAAAAGCTGTTGGCCGCGCCTTCGCTGGCCCCTTGGATCCGGGAAGCCGATTGGGCCATGTACAAGGTACATATAATGGAAGTTTCGCTGTCATTCCTGCTCACAAAGATTTAGGAAATGATCCGGCTCCTCTCGCCGCTGGCGCTGCAAGTTGTGCCCTCGTTTGTTTTGTCGGCTTTGCGTCAGTTGTCCACCAATCTTGCTCTCCACATCTCGGCCACCTTCTCGGCCTGCTCCCAGCACGTGATCCAAGCAAAGTTGGCTCCAGCCACTATATTTGCGACACTGCTGGACCGTCTCCTGAGGGTCAACGATGCTGCGCATGCCGCAGCAAGATTCCTTGGAAACCCACCGGACCGTGAGCAGATGATTAAGGATTGGCATTCGTTCGTCAACCCTCAGATGATCATCAACCGGGAATTACCCTGCTATGCTCCACTCATTAAGCAGATCCTGAGCACGGAGATCTCCACGCTGCTGCAGCCAACGCCACCACACTTCCCGAGTGAAGGCCTCTCTGCTCTCGGCCTTGAAGGCGGTAGCGGAGGCGAAGACGGAGCGACCACGGAGAGTGTCTTGGACAAATGGACCAACTTCCTGACCAAACTACCTCAGCGCTTCGACGCCAAGTCTCCGCGGTACTTCAACATGTGTCTCGGCGCAGTCGCCTCGGCCGCTCTGCGGGATTTGACCACCAACGGCGCGATCTCGTTCGGCAGCTGGTGGGTCGTCCGCTGCTGGATCGATGAGTGGATGGGATGGCAAGCGGAGCGAGGCGGCTTCCTTAATCATGGAGTCGTCCAAAACACCCTGCCTTCGCCAACGAACGGATGCACGCGAGAAGGAGGCGATAGGACGTCGGCCATGAGCGACATCATGGATACTACCGAGGATCTGGCACAAGACGACAGTGGAGTTTCGCTGCGCGAGGAACACATCCATCTCCTGGAAGATGTCGGAGACGATCGCGATAACAGGATGGTTCCCGTTAGCTTTGGGGCGAAATGATGGCCGGACGGACGGACGAATATACGAAAGAAAAATACCATTGGTGGAGGTGTACGTTTACGTTAGTGTGCAGACTGGGAGCATTTTTTGCTTGCTTTCCTTGGTTTGCGGATTTCATTGCGGTGGTGATGCTGATTTTCCCTTCAGTTCAGTTTCTTGTGGACTTTTTTTTGATGCTGATTTCTAGTTTCTAGTCGTTTTTCTTTTCTCTTCTCTTTCCATACCTGCTTCTGACTCCTTTCTAGCTTCTTACCTACCTTGTTGGGTCTTTACTTTTACTTTGGGGGTTTCTAGTTTCTGTCCGTGGGAGGGGAGGGGAGGACTATGATATTTTTTTCTGTGGACGATTGTGGACGGACAATGGTTGATTTTGTTTTCTACGGGGCGGGGGGGATTGGACGGATTTGCGTTTTGATGAACACTGGAGTCATGTGGGGTGTTTTTTCTCTCCTTTTCTTCTGGAATTTGAGCATGTACACTACATTACCTTCTTGAAGGAAATTTTTTAGTATGATACACTTCTTGATTGATGTTTCATGAGGGAGTCGTGAAGATACAATGTAGTGATGAAAGAGAACAAAAACGACGGTTATGGCTGCCAATCTACACTGCAAGAAAAAAAAAAGAAAAAAAGAAGAAAAGACATACCCTAAACTCCCCTGGCGCTCCATTTCCCGCACGCAGCTGGTATTCATTCACTCACTCACGAAGCATCTACGCATTAAAGGTTAGCGATATCCCCAATCTCAGTCATTGGGAAAAGGGAGCAGCAAACATACAAGCAAACTCGGTCCCCCTAGCCCTAAGCCAAAACTCCTTCGCGACCTGATTCGTCCCGCTCTTCCCGCGCAGCGTCATGATCTTCTCAACGAACAGCCTCTTATCTCTCTCGCCGACATTCTCGGTCGGAAACCCTTGTGGTTTCAAGGCTTCAGTCAGCCACATCTTCGACCGCACCTGGCGCGCGACCAGCTTTCGCAGCGGTTCCGCCAAAACCTCGATCTCGCTGCGGGAGCAGCCGCCGCCAATCGCCCAGCACAGCTTTGTGGCGAGCGTGGGCCCGCAGGCGGCAATGATCTCGTCGGAGGCCGGCGAGGCGAGGGACAGGAACGCCGACCAGAAGGCGGCGGCCGCCTTCTTGACGAAGGCTTCGCGGACGGTGAGCGAGTCCAGGGTGAACACGAAGAGGGCTTCGAGGTGGGCGTGGGGTTGGTAGGAGCAGAGGACGTGGGCGTAGCGGCGCAGGAGACGCGACATGAAATCGGCCACGCTCTGCGCAATTTCCGGCTCCGTTTGCGGGTCACCGATGCGGAGCACGAGGTTGATTATGAATTGGAGCAGCTGCAGCACTTGCGTGACGATGTCGGCGCTGCTAGAGGTCGAGTGCGAGGATATGAGTGTTCCTGCGGTGGACAGGATCGTTTCCGTTCGCGCACAGTGCTCCAGGAGGAAGTCGGTTACTCTCTCTGGCGGGAAGACGAAGAGCCCTGGCGTTGTCTCGGCGAAGCCGGTTTTGAAGACCGCACAGGCGGCGTCAACCATTTCGCCGTCACCGTTGAAGGTGCTGCATAGCATCCGGACCAGATTTATGATCTTTCCTTGGAGGGAGCCCCCGGACGAGGCTTCCCAGAAGGATGGTGGCTGTGGACCCTCCTCTTCGCTGAGGTCGACCGGGAGGTCATCGGGTGCTTGTAGCCCCTTTCCTATGGAGACTAGACAGCGCAGTGCCAGCAGGCCCGTTTCTTTTGCTTCTTCCTCTTGACCTTGGCCTTGTCGTAGGAGGACTATAGACTTCCCCGCATCCTTCTCCACGTAGCCCATGAGCTCTGATATCGGACTGAACTTTTGCTCCTCTGAAGGGAGGGCCTGGATCACGTATGAGATCGCGCAAAGCACTTTCTCTTTGGCGAGATCATCGGCGTTAGGGCTGGCTGCGAAGATCTCATACTGGCGGAGGAATGCTGATAGCTCGCCGGTCAGCGTGCTGCGGCACGAAGAGCAGAGAGAAGATATCGATCTGGAGGCATTCCTAGCCAGAACAGGTGTCGAGAGACACGTGAAAAGGAAGTTGAGTGCTGGCGGAAGGTAGCTTGGCTGTCTCTCAAAGAACGGTGCATATGAACCTGCACATCGTCAGTTGTGTGTGCCTTATTTGCTACTAGAAATAATATACCTATCAAATTCACCGATGTCGTTCGAGCCTTAAGCGGAATCTCGGCTCCGGGGTCTACCAGCATCGAAAACACATTGCTTCCAAACAACCGCTCCATGTAAACATCCTCGTATGGTTCATCACCAAGCAGATCACTCAGGGCGTTCAGACAGAACAGACTAGCTTCGATCTCTTCCCACGAAGCACTGCCCCCCGGAGCGAGTGCGTTGACGACCTGATCGACAAGTTGCAGAAACAGCGGCGGCCCAAGCAAGCCATACGCTGATTCCACAAAGTCGGCTGCGTCCTTGCGGTAACTCATGAATCCCTCCATTTGGTCCTTCGTCCACGTCTGCAACTCCTGCATGTTGGGGATGCGTATTTTCTTCCAAAACTCTTCGACCGCGCGCTTGACCTCCTTGTGGCAATCCTCAATCCACGGCTCGTCCGAATCATCTTCCCCCTCATTATCGACCAAAAACTCCACCAGACTACTCCAGAACTCGAAGGTACTGCCGGAAACTTCATCTTCCACCTGTGGGTACCCTGGAATATTCAGGATTCCGTGTAGCATCTCGATCATTGCCCTCCCGGGCGGGGTGTTTAGACTCTTTGCCAGTTTCTGAACCGTTGCTTCGGCGAATGTGACCAGTAGTCGAGCAAACTGGATGGATCCCCAATCAGTATCGCCAGATAGCAGTAACTCGTAGCGTTCCACTGCCCACGGCGAGATGAGGATGTTGGCTAGAGTCAATTTGTCTTCCGCCGTCAAGAAAGAAAATGAGAGTGACAGGATGTCAATGACCACGTCGCATGCGGCCTCGAACATGTCTTCGCTAGCTAGCCAGTGTATGGCCGTATGTGTGAGTGTCCGCAGCAGCGGGAATTCGACACGGAAGTCTATAAATGCGCGCAGAGAGTATAACACCCAACTCTAGACCTTCATTCAGAATGTTTCTTTGCGCACAGAGAGAGAAAGCTGTATTCACCTGGAATGCCTTCAATCCGCCATCCACAATCCGCGGATCAAAGCTGTCGGGAATGTTTCCCGCGCCGTTTGGCATGTTGATGGCATTCTTGATCAGCACTACTGCCTCCGCCTCGTTGTCCTGGATCTTGACGCAATAGTGATGGTTCTTGATATTTTTCGTATCCACCTTACCAACTTCTTCCACCAATATTGTTGTGAACCAGAGCGCAGCGAGTTTCGCAGCCGGATTCATGGTGCCCAACAGGTGGGACGACGGGGGCATGTCGACAAACTCTCTCTCGAGGCCTGCACGGCCGGCCGCAAGGCAGCAGATAACATGGCGAACGCAGTTTGGCCACGATTCTGCGAAGCGGACAAAGAAGACCACCAGTGTAGAGCAGAGCTTTTTGATGACGAGCGGCGGCGCGCCTTCGTTGACTACTCGAACGAGCCAGCCGATAAGTCTTGTGCAGAGCACGGGGACATCGTCTTCTGACACCGATTCCCTGTGACTATCCATCAGCACTCGGCCAGGCGCAAAACTTCCAGTATCCGAACGAACGAACCTACCAATCGGAATTTAGTTTGACGGTGAATGTAAGGGCTCCAAAGAACCGCACATGCTGGTCCTGCCGCTCCAGTAAGTGGTCCGCAAGCTGCCAGCCTTCGGGTGACCGCTGGACCTCCTGTAGGATATCTTGTATTCGCGAAAGCTCTTCCGGCGAGCCGGGTTGGAAGAGACGATGGATGAGCTATGCAATCGGTATTGTGTCAGTGACTGTATCCCGCAGAGGCGAACACCATTGGCCCCAAGACTCCCATGGGATATTAGATCTCACTGTGACAACATCGTCCAAGCTATTTGGATGCGTGATTGCGGTGGCCATCGGGAATGCTGGCTTCTGCTGTGGTACGGAAAGACGGACACTAGTAGAGTGAGAAGAGGTGTTGCAACGCAAGGTATTAGATTTTGCGTTTGACGGCGGTCATTTCCAAGCTCGCTTGTTGCTTGTGGTTGTGGAAGTTTGCCGAAAGTCTGGAGTGATCTGTTGGTATGACGCGCTTTCACGGGTGAGTGAACGAGAGGTGGGGGGTCGAATTGGTGGGGCTACAGGGAAAAGCGGCTCTAGGGTACGTGCCATTTCATTATCCATGGAGTTCTAGAAAACAGAGTTCCTTCCTGCGTATTTTTGGGTCGGTTCTCTCCCAAGGCTGCATATGGAAGTTATGCAGCCAAGCAGAGGTGGTGGTTGCATTGCTTTTTCTCTCAACGACATCCCCCGACAGAGTAACCATCAATCAAACATCAACGGCTACGTTTCGGCAGGACCACGATAGGACCACGGTCCAACGAACCAACGACACCGCTCTGCCAAATGTGAGGACGCCGGGAGAGAGGGCTGTCGTGCGGGTGAAGAACCGGATGGGTCCACAGTTATCCAGAACTCGTCGATGGACCAGTCCAGAAGCTTCGCCTTATAGGATTGTCGAGAGCTTCGTCGGAATTGTCGAGAGTTTCGTCGGCACTGCAACAGATACAATAGCCAGCTTGTTCGATAACTACCGGCGAGAGCACAGTTCATCGCATCCAGCCCTTGTATCCGTTAGATCTCGACGGTTTCGCATTATCTCTCCTCGGCCAGTTCTGCCAAAGATTGCTGATGGCCGGACGATCCCCAATTCCCCGCTGCCTTATCAAGAGCCTGGGGATGCTGATGCATTCGGACCGGTCTGGTGTTGCCTCACCCAACGACCCGCAAAGGCTACATACTCTACGTTTCGTCTTCGCGACGCCTCGGGCCGAACAGAATGACCATTCCCGGAGTTTATGTATCCGGAACACTAGCGCGCTTCCTTGCCAATCTAGTGCGACGGCTTGCCTATCGAGTTGTACTCTACTGTAGACATCTACGAGTTGCAGTGAATACACAAGGAGCACCGGCATTTCGAGCCTCACATGCCTACTCTAACAACTCTCGCCGCTTCGCCGGCTGCCAGCCACACGCGGACTCGCCACAGCATAAGAATTAGCTTACGAGTAAATAACGGAAGGAATGTTATGCTGTACCGCTGGAGAATGCGAATAATGTGTGTAGATTCTGATGGTCGAGCTGTGTTTCGTTGGTTACACGAGTTCGGAGATCGCATTCTCCGACATCCGGCAGATCTGCATGGACCCCACATGCGGATGGACGCATCGAAAACACGATCATCTTCATCAATGAGAATGGTCTCAATGATGGAGGCTCGAGATGCGGTCAACGTTAGGTCCATAGATTCACATGCGCACCTACCGACAACCAGGACCAGATGCACATTTTGTCTAGTCAGCATTCCGGCTCAAGCGGCGTGTTTTTTGTCTGCTAAATTCGGGAAGCCGGGGAGGTACGTAAGTATGCAAATTCCGTCCCATCTTGCCGGCTATGACCCTGCAATTGCATTTATCATAAATGGACAAGAATTCCCCCCTGGGAATAGGTTGCTTGTTGGCGCCCGGACACCACCACGACCACCACGACCACCACCATCACCATCACCATCACGTCAGTCCCTCGTTCCACCACACCGCACAACCTGTGACGGCATCCGTCACCTGCAACCTTCCGGAGGCACACTTACCGCCCGAAACGTAACTTTGAGCTACGCGATGGTACGGGAAAGCTTAACGGCGGCGGCTGGCCGGGTTGCGTTGTTGCTACTTGTTGCCGGCGGAAAGGTTGTTTCGGCCCATGATCACGATGGAAGCGACGTTCCGGAGGGCGAGGTTGTAAGCCCTGAACCGCTCGACTCGATCCTCTGGTGGCATATTTGCACAATGATCGTGGCGTTTGGTATTCTGTTCCCCATCGGAATGGTGTTGGGCATCGTGCGCTCGAGGTGGCATGTTCCGGTTCAGGTTTTATACCCCAGCTATACTGCGCGAGTGTCCGACGACGGCTAATAGTACTAGGTCGTAGCTACGGTTGTGGCCACCACGGGCTGGTTCCTCGGACATGCTCACAAGGGACGGCAGTTCTCGCACAATATTCATGCCACCTTCGCGCCGGTGTTGATGATGATGCTGGTTACGCAAATCGGACTCGGCATTTATCTGAAGCTACATCTCGAGCGTGGGATCCACGGACGAATCCGACGGGTTGCCGTGGTACTCCACGGTATCGTGGGGAAAGCTATGCCCGTGATGAGCTGGATCCAGATGCTATTTGGCGGCATAACTGCGCTGGGCTTCTGTCGTGCGGACCATCTAGGCCAGTGCCTTGCCCACTTCATCATGGGATCGTCTTTTATCGCGTACGGAATCATCCTGACGATGATGTTGCTGGTCGGTCAGGGATGGCTTCGACGGTCGGGGCGGTCCCAGGAGTTTTGGGACTCGTTGGTGATTTCGATTTGGGGTTGTATCAATACGTTCACCGAGCATCGGTGGGGTACTGGGTGGAACCATAGTGATATTCAGCACACTTCAATGGGGGTCGTGTGGTGGTGTGCTGGACTCCTCGGGCTATGGCTCTCCAGGAGCAAAGATGGTCAGCCGAGACGAAATGTCATTCCAGCCATAGTAATCTTTTTGACTGGCTGGGCAATGTCCGGCCATGCCCAACATCTTCCACTCTCAACTAGTAGGTACCTCTCGCCCAGTTCGAAAGATACCTAGCTGACCGAACTTCTAGTGGTTCACGCTGTGTTTGGCTACACCCTGATGGCCGCCGGAGCCTCCCGTGTAATTGAGATCTGCTTCGTGCTTCAGGATAAACCCACTCGTGACGAGCCATCCTCCTTCCAGCATCTCACACCGTTCCTGCTCTTCGCTTCCGGGTTCATCTTTATGTCGGCGACGGAAGAACAGTTGGCCTTGATTGACAGTGTTGGCATCGATCACGTTTCGTACCTCCTGGTGCTCTACAGTTTGGCGTTCTTGTTGTACTTGCGTATGCCACCCAACCACCCCAGTTCCGGAGAGTTACATGCTAACTACTTACTCCTCCAGTCGTTCAAGTCCTGCTTCACATCTTCGTCGCCAACGCCCCCGAGGCGAAGCCGGCGTACAATCCCATCTCCCTCGAGAACGGACATTCCAGAGAAGCAGAAGAGCAGCGTGCACGGGAGACAGACGAATTTGAGCTCGCGGGGCTCATTACCGACGATGAAGACGCGGACTCGGACAGCGACGGTCCAAGAAAGCCGTAGGTCTGTAGATTGCTAGAGGATATACCTGGAGTTGGGGAGTCATTTCGAACCATATTCTCTTTTCCATTATTATTGTTTTTCATCATTATCGTCCACGAGCTTAAGACTAGAGACGAACGAGCACCAGTGTACTCTAATAGATATACATAACGACTGAATTAACCCCAACGCCTGTTCATGCCCTCTAATCCAAGGATATATAATGTACATGCAAATGATTCGCACAAAACGGGTATGCATCGGTTATGGGAGCTTTGATAACTGCTTCAGATGCACCACAACCTTATCCAAGCTCTGCTTCTCCAACACGTCCCGTTCGTAAGATGTGAACTTCCCCAGAACATATTTCGCAACGGTATCGCTATCCCTACTCTCCGGCCTGCCAATGCCCACACCTAGCCGCATGAAATCCTGCCGCAAAATCAGTTCCATCTTCCATCTAGCCAGACCAGACATATATACATACCTTAGTATTCAACGTGGCAATAATCGACGTGATGCCATTATGGCCCTGGGGGCTGCCCGTCTTCTTGAGCTTAACCTGACCGAGCGGCTTCTCGAGCTCATCATGGAGGACAACTAGCAGCGCCCTTTCCTGCTCGTCGGGCAGCAACTCCTTCAGAAACGTCTGCCACGCGGACTTGACCGGCTTCCCGGAGAGGTTCATGTACGATTGCGACTGGAAAAGCGTGTAGGGGCTCGTGGTGGAATCGTAGAGCGGCCGCGACACCAGCCCGCCAGAGAATTGTCGCTCTGAAGAGAGTGGAGGGAATGAGAGTGAGCTCTGTAACAGCTCGAGAATGCTGTGCCCGGCGGAGTGCCGCGTGTTGCGGTATGCGCTGCCGGGGTTGCCGATCGAGCATACCTAAGGTGGGACGGACCCGCGTCAGTTCGTGTAGCCCACACCCGACACAGGGAGACTTACCAGAAGCTTTCGTGGTGACATTTCTGCTGCTGCTGCTGCTGGGGTTCCGTGCCGAGCGCGCGCGGGAGCGGGTGAGTGAGAATCGGCGGAAGAATCCAGCGTATGTACCGAGTATCGAAGTTTTGCAAGCGAGTGAGTGGGACAGGGATTAGTTAATTAATCCACGCTGGTGGATGGGTGCGTGGGAGCTGTGCTGTGCTTTGCTGTGCTTGCTTTTGTGAGGGTTTTGGGCCAACTCTCAGGAGCGGGAGCTTGAGTTAAATACATACTACTCAACTCAGAGACCGACCGTACATAAGCTCGACTCAGCCATCTTACTATCTACCGCACCGCATTGAACGACTCAACTCGATCGATTACACGCACGACCTCGACTAACAGTGACTCACGACCGACGACCGCTATATTTGGATTTCCCATCTGCGCCGCGATAGAATCCCAACCCACGCACGCACGCACGTACGCACGAGATGAGCGCAGGATCGCGACCGGGCGGGGGAGGAGGTGGAGGAGGAGGCGGAGCATACGGCAACAGCTATGCGAGCTACGGCGGCGGCAGCTCCGGGGGTAACGCACGGGGGGGAGGAGTCGGCGGAGGCGGCGGCGGCGGAGGGGGGGGAGCGGGAGGGGCAGGATACGCAGGGTACCAACGCGGGCCGCCGCCGCAACCACGCGAACCCGACGCGAACTACCAAGCCTACGGGAACGTGCGAGAAAAGAGTCGGGAGCGGCCCGATGGCATGCAGCAGCGGAGTAAATCTGGGCGGAATGGGGCGCCCGCCGCCGCCGGAGGCTACGGGCCCGGGACGAAGAAGCTGGATGGTATGATGATGATGATGCTGAGGCGGGAACGATTGATGCGCGGGGGGAAATGCTGAAGGCGAACAGATATCCTTCGCGTCATTGAGCGGGATTGGGACTTCATGAAGGACGAGGAGTGCGTGCCCGTCAAGATTGCGCTGCAATTGATGGATACCAGCTCCTTGGGAATGGCGCGCAAGTACCCGGATTTCAAGGAGACGCATCAGGATCTCCAGTATGCGCTCCAGGCCATTGTAAACGGTACGGAGAAGGTCTATCATTGATTGAGTGAGCATCACCACATATCTAATTCTCTGACAAAAACAGATCATCACCAGGGGTTCAATAGCTCCATTGGAGCTTTCCACAACATCATGCGTAGTATAACTACCTCGCAGACGAAAATTAGAGATTTGAGAGAGTCGTTAATAAAAGCGAAGGGTGATCTTTCGACGAGTAAGCCGGAGGTGAAGAACATGGTTGATAACTCACAGAAATACGATGCCATGCTCCAAACTCTACACTCCATGTTCGTGATCCGTCCGTACCTTTGCCCAAGAACGAAAAGGAACTGGCTGACTGGTGGTTGAAGAGAGCAACTTCAGCTCGTTCCAGACAAGTTGGAGGCGAGGATATCCGAGAAGAAGTTTCTGAGTGCTGTAGAACTTCTGGACGATGCGCTCAAGAGGATTCGGCAGGATGACATGATGGAGATCGGGGCGCTGTCGGACCTGAGGGCCTACCTGGGCAGTCAAGAATCGGTAAATAAACCAGTCGCCACAGTGAAAATAGCTTCGTCTAATAGTGGCATCAGTCTCTGGCAGATATCCTGGTGGAGGAATTGCACAATCATCTCTATCTCAAATCGCTTTACTGCAACGACAGGTGGAAAGCATATTCCGCCACGAAAGACGGTTAGATGCATTGATCGTGCCGCGTGCTCGTATCACACAGCTGATGGGAAACACAGGCTCCGGTGCGAATGGCAGTGCTGCAAGCGGTAACTTTATCCTCTCCGACGGGATATGGATGTCAACCATGCTGACTTGTCTCAAGCCTACAGCTCAGTGAGTGGCGTCAGGGCTCTGCACAAATTTCTCGACAGCAGTGATTTCACCCAGCCTGTAAGTTTGCCGACTCACCCCACCACTGGCCATATTCCTGACGTATCCAGATGGTAGAAGACGTCAGCACGAACAAAAGTCCAGAGGCAGATAGCTTGTGCTATATCCGGCTGCTTCTGGAATCGCTACACAACCTCGGCCATCTTCCGAATGCTATAGCAACTGTCAACCAGCGGCTTCCAGTTGAACTCTTTAAGCTCGTCGATAAGACCAATACCGAAGTCGACCAAAGACACCCGAGCTCCCTGACTGGCGTGACTCGGGGATACCATGGCAAGACTGTGGATCTGGGATTGAAGGAGAATGATGTCCGAGTCACCATCATCCATGACTTGCTGTGCACACTATATTCCAAGTTTGAAGCTGTGATGGAGGGATATCGGATCATCTACGACGTGGTGAGAGGGATAACCAAACGTGGGGACTCACTGCAAGAGGCGGAAACGTGGAAGCATGGGTTCGTTGAAGTCTGGCAGCTGGTCCAGAGCGAGGTAATGGTCCTTTTATTGCGCTTCTGAATTTCTCCTAACTGGTGTAGATGCGGTCCTTACTACACGATTACTTGACCCAGAGCGACAGCCGCAGCGCTCAGCATACCGCACCAAAGGGCCTGCACAATGCGATCAGCAACATCGTATCAGGCAAAGTGCCCCGAGACAAGAACAAGGTGGGACTTTCCCGCTGGTAGCTCCATTGGCAATCGCTAACGTGAACAGATCATTTTCAAACTCTCGAACACGGATGTCACCACATCGAGTGATCTAAAACAGGATCAAGAAGATTTACAACAGATCCTGAAAGCGTCTGTGCCTGGTCTAGTATCCGAGTCGCTACGGCCTGCGGTCTCCTCGTCGGACAACAATAATGCTTCCGACGGCGCGGCTACAGGCCATAAGCTGCTCATTGAGCCCAGCGTTTTTAATATCGGCTTACTGCTTCCGCCATCACTCGCTTTCCTCAATCGAATCAAGGAGATTGTGCCTCAAGGATCTGGCATTGTCCTCAGCACACTACCCTCGTTCCTAGACGACTTCCTAGTCAACGTATTCTATCCGTCGCTCGAGGATACCATCCGAGATCTATTCAACCAAACGACCGGCGACATCGATGCATCCCATGAAGACATCAACTGGGCAAGCATATCGCAGAAGCCCGTCATGCGTGGCACAGTAGCATTCTTGGAGCTCATCACGGCATTCTGCAAGATGCTTAACACGATCCCACCGGACCAGGCATTCGGGCAACTCACCATTGATCTACTGACTTCGTACTACGATAAATGCTACGAATGGTACAAGGAGCTCGTCTCTCGCCACGCCGGCTCGGACCCAAACAGCTTCAAGGCCAGTGCGCGGTGGGCTCAGGGGGGTCCTATCCATTCCGCGATCGGGGATGTGTGGAAGTGGGAGGATGAAACGGCACCTGTGGACCTCCTCCGGAAAGAAACGGACTTGCAACTCGCCGAACAAGCGAAGAGCAAGATCACTGCGCACGACCTGATCACGGACCGGAAGGTTATCAAATCCCTGTGCATACTGTGCACCAGCATGAAGTGGCTCGCCAGCAAGGTGATACAGCTACGCCACATCGAGGATCCGGGGAACTTCTCGAGGAACGATGGCGGTGGCTCCGGACGCCTCCGCCGTAGGTGGACACTGATTGATTCTATCAGGGTTCAGCATGATGAGGATAAACCCATCTGTCTTCCCATGACGGCGGAGACGGTCAGGTTCGTCACCCTCCCCTACCCCCAAAGACATGCGTGAAATTGACTTGAGATAGTGCATTCGACGGTGTTGTTTCCTCCTTCCAAGAACTGGCCTCGATAGTGCTATACACACTCCACGCTGAAGTCCGCTGCCGCGTGATCTACCATCTCGACAAGTGCATTACGCAAGGCAACTACTGTCTTGACAACCCAGTTACCGCACCCGACGCAAACGCATTGACGCTGAACACGGATCTGGTGTGGTTCGACGAGGACATTTCGAATGCCTTGCCGCAGCGGGAAACGACGTAAGTAGCATTCCGAGTGGGTCGACGAGAATATATTCTAACGTTCGTTCGTTTCGCAGATTCATCGAGCGCGGCCTCGGCGCGTTGATGGACCACATCCTCGTCTCGCAAGCCAGCGCGATCAAGATCCTGAACCAGGACGGAGTCGACCGCATGCAGCGCAACATCCTCGTGCTGCAGCAGAACCTGAAGAACATCGACGTCTCGGTGGATCTGGGCCGCGCCTCGAGGTTCTACTCGCTCTACGGCGGAGGAATGAAAGACCTCATTGCCAGTGCCAAGGCTGGGAAGTTGGAGTTTACCTACGATGAGTTGAAGGTCATCGTCGAATTGTACTTCTCCGAGGCGATGAATAACCGCCGCGAGTCTTCTTCGGCTCTGCAGGCGAGGAGGTCGTTGAATGAGAACTTGTTGGCTTTGTCGGAGATCATGTGGTCATTGTAGGGCGGAGGAAATTGTGGTTTCTTTTGTGTTTTTTTTTTTTTGTTTTATAGCAAGCGATCATACAATAGTTCACGAGGTGGATTTGATGGACCAAAGTTTTATCAACTGAAATAAATTCTATCGACAACACCAGTCTGCTATTCGCCTTCGCCTCGAGTTTTATGAAAGATTTACTTTGATACAAGGGTTTGCGCATGCTCCTCTTACAAGAGAGAGAGATCGCCGAATTTCTCCTGCAACGGGGGGTCAATTCCGTATCAAAGGGAGCAGTGGGGCGGTGATTGCGGACCTTGTATCCAGGCGGCATCCACCGGCCCTTGGTAACCATCTGCTCGGTCCGGACGTCGATGTCGGGACGGGCCTTAGCAATGTCGTCCTATTGGTCACCGGGACATCAGCATCCGTCTTCAATTCACCAAAAAGCGGGGTTCGGCCGGAAGGTCGGAAAGAGCAGGATCCGGCTCCCCCCAGGGATCCCGCTCCCTTCCCCCAACCAATCCCATCCTCCCGACGGATCTCTCGATACATACCACAGTCAACTCATCGAACGAGCGAGCCTCGGAAATGTTCTTGAGGGTCATGCTCAGATCCTGCAGCTCAGCATCGACCTTGCCCTTAGTAGTCTCGGCGTTCTTGACGGCGGCAGCCTCGAACGTTTCGATGGCGGCGAGGGTCTTGGATACATCGTAGGTCTTGGGCTTGAAGGCCTTATAGGCGGCCTCGATCTCGTCGATCACGGCCTGGTTCTTGAGCACGGAGCGGTAGTGGGCGAAGTCGACCTCGCGCGGCGTGTCGTGCAGGACGACAACCTTGCGGCGGGCATCCTCGTTGCGCTTCTTGAAGGCTTGCAGGGACGCGGCCGTCTGACCTTTAAGGCCGAGGCTGCTGGTGATTTTGGCCCATTCAATCTTGAGGGCGGCGCTTCGCTGTGGGGGCGAGACGGTGAGGAATTGTGGTTAGCCGGGCCGATGATGAGGAGGAGGGGTGGGGGACGAGGGGCTGCGGGGCTGCGGGGATGGGTGGATTACTGCTGGAGCGGACATTGTGGATGGGGGTTGTTGCAGAGGGGAGTGGGTGGACGGAACGGTGACGGGTGCGGTGGGGAGTGAAGCCTGGTTCCCGACGACTGGGAATGTTTCGGCTCTGACCTGCCAAGACTGCCACTTACCCGCATCTATCACGTGTAGCACGAATAATCACTCGAATTTGGGCTCCGAGGAATACATTATACGGTGATCTTGAAGAATTTCCGCAGACTCTCATGTATTGCTATGATCCGGCTAGTTCACATGAAATCGATAACCAAACAAGAATTCCCGCAAGCATGTATCGGTCGAGTCAACTCCAAGTCCCAGGGATAGGATAGGGCAAGTAGAGTATCGACCTTCAGCTTTTCAAAGTCCAAACGGATCATCTGCGGGCAGAGCCGTGCATGCGGCTGATACTGACAGTCGTCGAACCGGATAGGTATCGATGCAAATGGATTATTCTGCAGCTGCCCACTAGGCACTGCAAGCTTAGGTTTCGATGATGAATGACCGGTCACAATATGCTGACGATTCGTGGATATTCCAAATCAGCCCACAAAACTTCGTCACTTTCCAATTGAGCCATTATCAACCCACTGCATATCCCCAGTGGCTCGCAGGAAAAGAGCCTCGTACGAGTACATAGCTCGATGTGTCTCGAGCGGTTGAGTTTCAACTACCTACGAATACGATGTTGCTCGCCGGCATCCGGCACAACACGAGCTCATAGTCGTCGTAATCAGGTTATCATGTCTTGGAACCGAGCCAGTGAATTCCGCATGTACGCTCTCTGGCGACGTAGGTAGGTATCTCCGCAGTGGCCGGTGCGAAGTATTGGAGCCTGAAGTTTCCGATGAATGATGAATTCCGGGTTGGGTTGGATGGATGGGCCAGAGGTGTATGTAGTATGTGGTATTCTATGTGGTTCACCGAGCCTTGTAGGTAGTATACCTACCAGGGAACCCTCGGAACGAATCAGGGAAGATGGAGAAGAAGGAGAAGAGAACGTGGCGTCAGTGATATCGATGCGACTCAGAAAGCTTATGCGGAGCCGCAACAGATGTAGGCAGGAGTTGCCTAGGTGCGGCGAGACTTGGCACGCACGTGTATATCTTAGCGGAGTACGGTTGCTGCTGCTCTGGCCTGAGTCTACTGCTGGAGTTAGTGATGTCTGAACCTACCGACTACCGCCGTGTGAGAGGCAGAGTAGGTAGTGAGAATCAATGAGTAGTCCCACCCCACTTTCATTTCTATCACTCGGTTCCAAGTACTTACCTCTCACCTACCGATTCAGTCTCCCCATTGAAAAGTCGTCAAACACGGCTACGCCTTAGTTTGCATCACGAAGTATCACCACCGGTTAGTTCCCCAAGAGCGACGAGGCACGAACGGCCTCCAAGGCTGTACTCTACACGACACCAACACCGTCTGATGTGTACAGGGAACAACCCCGGAAACCCAAACATGACGGAGCGAACTTCGAAGGGCTGAGCGCGCACCAACAACGGCCGCGTGGATATCGCTATGTACCGTATTCCAACTTAAGCGCCGGTGGTCGTCACGCAGATATGTAGATGGCTGTTGGGTTGGTTTGTGTTGTGTTGTATGCATCGGCCGCCGTAGTCGGAGCATACATAGTTAACGATGCATATAGGGCACATGATATGGCTCGCGGTGAAATTGCCGGTCGTTGCATCGCTTCCCATCGCCACTGTGGTGGTTGGGGGGTCATCGATGGATCGTCGGGTTGGCCGGTGATGGTGTGCATCAGACAGGTGACGGCGTTGGGGTGCGTTCGTGGGATAGATGGGCTTGGGCTTGGAACAGCGCGTATCGATGTTGGCATCGTACCAGCCTCCAGGTCGATGTTCACCGCACTACGGTACGGTACCTAGTGCTTGGAAAGTTGGACTTGGCCCGGACCGGCGGAAAATCAGCGAATCACACGATATCACGCAGTCCGCAGGAGACTACCCACCTGGTGGTCTATGGAATCCCGTGGCCTCCCCACCCTCCCCGCACAAACTCCCATTTTCCACACCATCCTTTGTCAACCAGCCTACCTAGCTCCTGGTCGAAGAGTCACGCCGACTCCGATATGATTCCTCGCTGACCACTCACTCCCATTCACCAATTCGCAACCCTACCGTACCCAGGTATCCGCGTCAAGGCATTCCCCCACACCAACACCCATCCCTAAGAGCGGCAACTAACCACGTAAGAGTAGGTCAGCAACTACTCCGCCGTATCCAGTCCTCATCGCGTCCCATGTATGTAACCAGGTTTTTCTTTCTTCCTTTCTTCCTTTCCTTTTTTCTTTCTCTGTCTGTCAGATCACTGATGAGTTGTCGATTTTGATAGGACCCTCCCTCCTGCCCACAGCCCACAAGCGCCCTTGTGATTCTCTGTTGCGTTTCAGAGTCGCAAACCCCTGCATGATCGCCCGTCCCCGTTGTTGCATTTCGTTGAGGCACACCATGAAAATGCTGAAACTCCCTCCCCGCTCTCCCTGCTCTCCCTGCATGTCTGTCGCCCACCCAACCACCAACCACCAACCACCAGCCCAGAAAAAGGTGGATGGATGGATGGATGGAGGGAGAGGCTGGAGGGGAGGGCTGGCCTGACGGAGGACGAGAGGACGAGAGGGAGGGAGGGAGGGCGGGGAACAAAGGAAGGAAGGCAAAGAGGGAAAGGAAAGAGACAAATCATCGTCGTATGTACTTACCTTCCTGGTACCTACCCGTGCACGTAGAGTACACAGAGTACGGTAGGCTGACGCATCAATACGAGGGATGAAGGGAGGATCCAGGTTTTCCGGAGGCAGGCCCCCCCACCCCCAGAACAAGATCCGTATTTCGCAGTACATATCACCGTTTTTTCTTCAAAGAATCCTGTTTGATCAAGATAAAAAAAAAAAAAAAAAAAAAAAAAACACCAATAAATCGATTTCGCTAGCGCACTTAAAATGACTTTACTATGGCCTAAAAGTCGGCTACGAATGTTGGACCTGACAGGTAGTGGGATGGATGGCCGTGGGCAAGACGCTAGTTACGCAGGTATGGGGAATCGGGGATAGGGATATCGCCTCGAGCTGAGGTGAGATGGTGGCGGCGCCAGCTCGTCTGACTTTTGGATCCGTCGGACAAAATATGTGAAAGCGTTTTTTTTCTTTCACATTCTGAGACCTATGTTTCTCCAGACTCCGAATGGATGTTCATTCGAATTCCTCAAGCTCATGTGCAATACAAAAAAAGGGCCGTAAAAAATCATAAAGAGCATTCTGAGCGCCTGCCTCGCTTCTCCTAATTGTCCTCCGGCTTGCGACCATACGCCACAAAGCTATTGGAAAAAAAATAATCAGTATATGCGTCCGATATAAATGGTGTGGGGGAACGTGGGGTACTTACTGCGGTACGTATAGATGGTAATTCTTGTTCTTTACCGCAGCCAGGCCATCGCGACAGATCTTCTGCGCATCCTCCTCGGGAAGCTCGAGGATTCTGGTAAACGCGGCCATGCCATACGCGGCAAAACCACTATCGGCTCCGAGAAGCGCCATGCATCCCAGCTCCTTCAACCGCTTCTCCTTGGCCCACGGGCCGAACGGAAGCTTCATGTCGTGCTGGTGGAGGTCGTCGAATCCGGCATCCGATAATCGCCTGGTGAGCACGCCCTTGGAAATGGCGGGACGTCCCGCTTTGGCCATCGCTTTCTCCAACAGCTCCGACCAGTGGTAGGCGGGGTTGTCGGGCTTCATCGTGCCATCGTCGCAGTGGAAGATCACTGTCCGGTTGGTTGTGTTAGTTGCTTGCTCTGTGACATCGGTGGTGGATCCATGAATCCCTACCTCCAATCTCGGACAACTCGATGTATCCACCTGGTTTCAGACAGCTGTTTCCACAGGTGGTCAGCACTAGCTATGGAAGGTGTAATCGACGGAAGAGGAACGATATGCATACCGGTAGGCTTCTGCGAGTACTTTCGGCCAGTTCGAGTTGATGATTCCCTGGTCCAGATTCCGTATGTGGATGAGATCGAAGGTGTCCTGCTCCGAAGTCAGCGGGCTGTAGGTATGACAAAGCACACATGTTACTGACGGGTTTAAATGTCCAGGGAAGCTCGGCATCATCCACCTCGAATTTGCTACACGTGGTCAGATTTGATCGGTGCGAGTGTGCGCTGTGCACTGTGCAGGGTTGTTTACCAGTTGGGAGGAACCCTGGAGAACCCAGCTCAGTCAGTATGTGTCCGTATCGAAGTGCATGCTGGGGGAACGTGGCATATACATACCATCCGGGCTGGATAGGACTGAGGTCGATTCCCGTGACTACTGCCTCGGGATGTTTGTCGGCCATGTCAATGGCCCAGATACCGGTCCCTGCATTCCATGTTAGCGGGGGGGGTTGATTCGTGTGTATTCGGAGACGGCCAGAATTTTATTTTCTGTTTCGGATGCATACCGGTACCGACGTCGAGAATACGGTGGGGTTTCTCGTGCAGAGGAGCCGCGTGCAGCTCGCCATCCAACAAGCGGAGCATGATCTCGTGGGCAATGTCCATCCTATCCAAAACACCTCACTTCAGTTCCCTAGTTCTCTCTATCGGGGGCGTGACGTGGCTGTGGTGCCATACCGGTCTTGCTCCTTCTCATCCGTAGGCATCAGGTTCTTGTCGACGCCGAAGTACGAATGGTAACGCCGGCCGTTTTCGAAGACATATTCGTTCACGCTCGACGTCAATGAGGTGGAGTCTGTGGCGAAGCTGTAAAAGAAGAAGACGGTTAGTTAATGCCTATCGTCGCTGACGGATCCCAAACGATGGGGGGTGGGGGGTTGTTTATTGTCATAGTATGCAAGTATCATACATACCCTGAAGAAGCATAATCCGACCCTCCTCCATCCTGCACGAAACATCAATCAATATGGTCTTCGATGAGGGGAAGCGAGACCTCGACGACGCCACATACTAGCATAGGATCGACTTCGATATCCGACATTGGTTCGTAAGTAGGCTGAAGAGTACCGTAGTTGTAAAGGGTAGTCAAGAGTTAGCGTTTCAGAGCCGAAAACCGAATTTATGGGGGGGGTCGATACCTACCTTGTCCACTCTTTATAAGAACCGTGGGAAGGAACTCCCCACGATATTCCAGCCTCATACGTGCTTGTGATGGAGCACTAGTGTATATGGCAGCCTGTATCTGGCCATTCACTGCTGCACGCCTACATAGGAGTTCCGGTTGATTTGTCGGGTACATATCGCTAGTTTATTAGTTTCTTGGTGCTGCGAACGAAGCATGTACTCGTACATATGATATGGTACATAGGTCGGTACGTACGTACGTAACTACCTCATCAGTCCTGCCCGGGAGTCACGGCCTATCGGAAATGCAGCACGGCGACATGGCTGCGGAATACGTAGCGCAGTACTGCGACCCCACTGATGGGCGGGTGGAGCGCTGAATCCACGTCTTCAGCTTGCAATTGAGCCTGTACAAAGTATGTACTAGTTGTACTCGTGGGTACCGTATTCCATGGTCGGTTGAATCGTGTGGCAGCTCCCGGTGTGAACGCCTAGGGGAGAGGTGCCTTAGTCCCGGGCCGGAGTCGTGGATATGTAGTTCCCGAGGCCGCACCACTCGCGTGGCGTGCACAGACTCAAAAGTGGGTGCGCTTGACTTCCGCTTGCCATGCTACATATGGACTTGGTTTACATATCATACAAACGAACTCCACACCGGGGACATCTACGGTAACTACAGTGCTATCATACTACGGTATTCTATCTACGTGGGTACGGAAACCAAACTCCCTATCACGTATGAAGGTACATAGGCGGGGAATACCAGCATCCGAATTCAGCCCCTCGGCCGGTCATTCCATTGGGATCTGCAAAACCCGCATGCACTGGGAGGAGGAGGAGGGGTACTTGGTATTTCAGTGCGTCAAACGCGCTCGTAACAGCCGCCGGCGCAATCCCCTTGGCATCGAATGGTCGACCCAAGGTATGTATGTCATACTCTGCATAGATGGCCTACATACCTATATCATATATGTGACATGTAAACGGCCATTGTGTTTGGGGATACGTCTTTCTTGCCCCACTCCCAGCACTTTGGTCGTGCATGTCACTCTGCAGGGACCTCAGCTGGCCTCAATATGGCCCTCGCTTCGTGGGCATAGACACCAAACTGTGCGGAGGGTTCCTTGGTAGAGTAGGTACCTATCAGGCCATAATGTCGAAGATCGGCCCCAAGTCCGGTATCGGGGCATTGACTTGGGGAATCTTTGGACGGCCTTAAGGACCACCCATGGGAACCATCGTAGCTTCCAAAGGCAATCGTCATGACTTGGAACGCCATCTTCCGGCGCATACTTGCTGATAGGCATCTCAAACTTGGCATTTGGGCTGGGTAACGAGGTATCTGTCAAGAAGTTACTACTCGATGACTATGGCCAGGAGAAAAGCCACTCATTTCTAGACTTTTGACTTCAGATACTTGGGTACCGTATCAGCCTCTTGTCCCGTTATCCGTGTCTTTTTTTGGCCATTATGTGGGTGAGTAAAGTTTGGGTTTGATGTCCCGATTGGAGATCCTCAGCCATACCGAAAGTCACGAATTTGGGTCTCCGTCTCACGGAGAATTCCATTGGTCCAAAGGAATTACCACCAAGGCTTCATAAGTAGGCGGTGATTGGATCCGCAGTGCAGTTTTACCTCCCGAATTTCCCGCCGGACGATTATCTAGGGGTTATCATCAACGGACGGTCCAGTCGGGTCGGTCTTTCCCGGAGTCTTGCAGCTTTCCCTGATGTGATCTCGTGTGGGGTCAGTGCTGTACACACCTAGAGTACATGCCTAGTAGTGGAACGGGGATAGAAAACCCCTCTCGAAAGGACAGCATTTCTACATACCTCTCTGAGCTTTGAAATTGATTGATTGTTGGTGACTTTCGCTGCCGGAACGTGCAAGCAGCGCGAGACTCGACCGCCAAACCCCCACACTTTGTTGTATGTATTTATGTATTTGTTTGAAGATGCTCAGGGTAAAGTTAGATGTATATAATCGATTCCCCTGACGATAGAGTCAATTCCCCCGACGATAGAGTGCCCATAAAGTGAGTAGACGTAGGATTTTTGGGCCGTGACGATCCCGGAAATCTTGAGCGAGCTTGCAATGTCGTGCTTTCTTTCGACTTCATATGGATTCGACAAGTCAATTCGCAGATAGCGTTGGAGATAGAGTACAAAGGAAGTACTTCCTACTAAGGACTTGCTTACTTAAGTAAGTACTTTTTTTGCCGAGAAGCCTGAACGGCGTGGCCGTCGAGGACAGTAACCGCTTATGTACATATGTACGATGTCCTTCCGAATATGGAATTACCAAGTAATCCGCGAAAGCTACATATTGGCCACAACCACAAGAAACGAACGGACAAGGCTTCAACAAAACAGCTTCCCGAAGGAAGTCCTGTCAATTTTTAAATCCCCTAAAAATCCCCTAAAAATCCCCTAAAATCGCCAGGAATACATTATGGCCCTTCAAAGTGTTACAGTAATTTCCCCCGAAGGCTCTGCCCTATTTCCAATCCATAGAGAAGGCTGGTGATTGTGGCCTGCCCTACTGGTACTATGGCTTGCCTCGCGGCCTTCCGTGGGTAGGCAAGTAAGTGGGATGTATTTCTCTTGTAACCCTGTGGTATGTGGGACTTTGCGGCCAGGAAATCAGCACCACCTCAGCTCTCTGGCAGCACAAAAAAACCTGAGCCTCGGAGTTGGGGCGAGGGGGGGCAGAAATCCACGTGATATCGGAGCATCCACGACCTCCGGACATTCTTCTCAGTGGTTTGTCGATCTGTCTCTCACGCTCCTCCGACTGACTGTCTCGCCGCCTCCTCTTTCTGCATCCCGCCCTCTTCTCTCTCTTTTCTCCGGGCGCCAGACCAGGGCTTTGTCACAGTGTATGTAGCGTCGTAACCAAGAATCCACCTAAAATACCATGTCCAAGTAGCGTTGCGCTGTTCCGCTGTTGCTCTTCTCAGCGCCTTTTTTATCGGGTACTACTACTAACATACACTCTACCTCTCACTTCAACCACACCCACCTCCACCATCATCATCACCACACCCCCCCGCCTCCCACCTCCATAATTCACCCCCCTCCCCCTCCCCCTCCCCCTCCGCCACCACCACCCCCAGCGAGTCTGGAACTCATTTTCTCTTCTCGGTCGGCAACTCGGTGGTGAGAACAACATCCTTCAATCATCTCGTTCAGTTCTATTTTCGCTTCGCAGCTGGCCTCCGTGTTCCGCCCGTGCCCGCCGTTCATTGGCCTTTACCGCTTATACCTGCGACGCCGGTTTTCTCGCAGCCTCCTCCGGCGTATCATTCGAAGATCCCGTGAAGGGTGCAATTTAACCCATTGCGCCTCCGCCATCTGTACACTACACTACACAAGAACTGCCGTAGCGAAGCCACCTTGTCGGACGTCCTATCTTTGTCGTTGCTCGCTCCCCGGCCTGTCCGTCGTCCAAATAACTTCAAACATCTCGCCTACTTCGCCCTATACCAACTGCCATCACCCCAGCCCAGACGTGAACGCTAGCTCGGTTGCTGGCTCAGGGGAAAGCGAGAGAGGGAAAGAGAGAGAAGGGAAAGGGCTAGAGGGAGACAGAGAGAGAGAATCAGAGACAGAGAGAAAGAGAGGGAGAGACTGTGGGACAGGCGCTGTTGTTTACGGCAGGAACATCCCACCTTCGTTCCCTCGAGATATTTTATTACATACCACACAAAGGGCTGCACATACCGTCAAGCGACTTCCCTGGTGACAGCGACCTCCTGGTTCATTGAAGTAGTGTGGACCGATCCCTTCTTCTTTCACCCCGTTTCACTTCGTTCGGAACAACAGCAGCCATGGCCCTTCTCGCATCCAAGAGTCAGTATCTTCCGCAGCCTCACGCTGGCTCGCACTTTCAGCCATCGAATCCGATTCCAGTAACCGCAATGTTTACTCCACACTCCCAACCGTCGCCAACAAATTCCGAGTTCTCGGAGGGAGGTCAAGGTCAACCGGATGACGTACGGTACGGGCTACCACTTGGAGAAAGGGTTTGGGATCCAAGGAGTTGCTGACTCTGGTGGAACACAGGTCGTGGGATGAGAGAAAAGTGGTGGACTGGCTAAGGAGCATCGGATGCCAGAAGTACGACAGTGTTTTCGAGAGTGGGTTTTTCTTTTCTTCTTCTGGCCTTCGGGAGTGGGAGAGAACTATTGTTGACGAACCGTTCAGGAAACAACATCACTGGCGAGACATTACTGGAATGCGACCATTCCGCGCTGAAGGAGCTGGGAATCACCAAGGTTGGAGATCGCGTTCGGATTTTCGTGGCAGTCAAAGCTTTAAGGACAAAAGCATTCGGCAACAACGGAAAGAAGCGAAATAGGGTATTTCACAAATCATCGCCACCTCTGTGAAGGTTATCTAATGTCTCAGGATACTCTGGCTGCTCTCGACAATGTCGGTCCTGTCCCATCCTACCGGACGCACATTTCGCCTCCACAGAACAAGCGTTATTCGAGGCAGTTCGCCGACCTCGGAGCATCAGCACTTTCGAGTACTGTGTACACCGAGAGCCCCACAGAAAACGATTATACTTCGGCGCGGCGGTCAGGTGCACCGAGAATAATCAGCCCACCACCGGATGGCCCTCGGTCCGGTAACTCGTACGGTTCGAAGACACCCAGAACACCACAAGCATGGAAGGGAACGAATCCGCCGAGTGGGTCACCAAATAACACTCGGCGCCACGATCAGGGCCAGGGCAAGAGTATCATGGAGTTTGATTCTGTCAGAAAGGTAAGACCTCGGCTGTCTTGAATCGCTACGATATATTCTAACATTACCTCAGAATTGCATCAAAGTAATTGGCGAAGGAGGTGCTACTCGCGTGGTAGACATAAACGGATGCAACACACCTGAAGCGGTGATGCGAAGAATACTTAAGAAGTATAGTATCATGGACAACTTCATACTCTGGGCAATCTACATCATCACCAAGGACCACAACGGCCGGGAAAACATCCGATGTCTAGGAGATGCAGATCTATTACGGATAGCTCACGACAGCGATCGGCCGGAACGTTCTCGACTGATCTTGAAGAGGCGGGGATCGCCTCCTTCGCCTTCGTCGGCAGAATTCATGGCGGCCCTTCAGATGGCCCGCGATGAAACTCCTAATGATGCTACCTCAAGAGCTCTGGAAGGGAACGCTAGTAGGGCAAAGGTGCAAAGCCTGACCGGAGAGCACATGGCCTCGCCATCGTCCCCCCGGAGTAGGGATTCGACTCTGGGCCGTAAGGCGACATCGAAAAAGATTACGGCGTTCTTTGGCCAAAGGCCTCCGAGTGAGCTGATCAGTTCCAACCTGGCCGAATACTTTCCGGATCACGAACACAAGGCACTGGAACGGACTGTCCGTAACTCGATGCGGCGGTCAGCACGCATGAGTAGGTACAACAGCCGCCTGAGTGTAGCAACGACAAGAAGTTACGCATCTAGTATGAGTGGGGATAACATACCTCCGGTGCCAACCGTGGGTGGTATGTGGCTCAACCAAAACCAACAGCAGTCCACCATGTTCCCGTCCTTCCCTATGCAAGCGCGACCACCTTCCGTTCGGCGGTCTGTTCTCATGCCCACCACTTTTGGTAGCAATGAGTATCTGGGTGCTGTTCCAGAGAACGATGTTTCGCCTGACAGGAGTAGTTACATGTCGTTTGATAGCCATGATGGCCGCGCCGTCAGTGTTGTGGTTACGGATACCGATGATGAGTCTACAATAGACGCCAACTACTCGATGGATAATCAGAGCATGGTCAGCACCCCGACCACCGAACATGGCACAGGACCGAGTTATCTCAACCAGTTGCTTGGCGCCGACGACTCGGAAGAGGAGGATGACGAGGACGATTATATGGACGACAATATGGAAGGGTTGCGGTGGATGAAGGGAACTTTGATCGGTGCAGGTTCTTTCGGAAGCGTTTTCCTTGCGCTCAACTCCCTCACTGGAGAGTTGATGGCGGTAAAACAGGTCGAAATGCCGACAAGTACCAAAGACGACGCTCGGAAACAAAGCATGATCGACGCCCTTGCAAGAGAGATTGCTCTTCTCAAGGATCTTCAACACCCGAACATCGTGCAATACCTCTCGTCGAGCAAGGAAGACAACTGCTTTAATATTTTCCTCGAGTATGTGCCCGGTGGCTCGGTTGCTGCGATGCTTAACAACTACGGTCCCCTCAAGGAGCCCTTGGTTCGAAACTTTGTCCGCCAAATTCTGCAAGGCCTCGCATATCTCCATGGCAAGAATATCATCCACAGGGACATCAAGGGCGCCAACGTACTGGTCGACAACAAAGGTGGGATCAAAATTAGCGATTTTGGTATCTCCAAAAAGGTCGAAGCCGGTCTCTTGAACTCCTCAGCGGCCCACCACCGACCTTCTCTCCAGGGCTCGGTATTCTGGATGGCGCCGGAGGTAGTGAAGCAAACATCGTACACGCTCAAAGCCGATATCTGGTCCCTCGGATGTCTGATTGTTGAGATGCTCACGGGCTCCCACCCGTACCCCGACTGCTCGCAACTTCAGGCAATATTCAAGATCGGAACCGGTGGATCCGCACCCGCCATCCCGCAGAAATGTACGGCCGAGGCGAAAACGTTCCTTGCACAAACATTCGAGTTGGATCACAACAAGCGGCCGACCGCTGAGGCGCTCCTGACGAGTCCGTTTATGATGCCGCTGGTGGGGAATAATCAGAACAATGATTAGGTGGAATGAGATGGAAGGAGGAGGAGTGGTGGGACTGTGTGCAATGTGTTGATCGACTATTTATAGAATTCTTTGTGGCTGTTGTGGGGGCGTATCATTCTTGGGGGAGTTTCCGTTTCATGTGTTTGATTTTTATGGCTTGATTTTGTTTTGAGCGGAGGACGGCAGGAGGGCGAAGGTGTGGCGAATCTTCTCTTTCTTCTGATGATATCTCCCATACGTTTAGGACATGGAGTGGGTTATATATACCAAGCTAAGGCAACGAGGATGATGTTTGTGTATGGGAGTGTTTTATTTCTTTTCTCTTCTCTTACTCTTACTGATGCATGTGTGAGCGAAGCGCTGTTTATGACTGACTGAAGACGAATGTTTTTTTTTGATCTGCTCCTTGAAAAACGAGGTTTTGATGAACTGGATGGATATGATATGGCTTGATGGATGGCTTGATGGATAGATGGATGGATGGATGGATGGATGGGATAGGCTGTGGATATAGGTTACAAAGTATGTCGAATCAAAATCAGGGGAAGATGAAGCAGAAGCAGAAGCAGAAGCAGAAACCATTTCCTTTCTCTGGTGATAGGTGTCTGCAACTTCCACCACGGCACGGACTGTTGCGATTCTCGTTGAAGAGCCACCGTCGTCACTCGTCCAAGATATTGCACATGTCATAGGTATCATATTGGTAATATTTGCACGCCTCGAGTGCGCCTCGAGAATCCTGCTTATGTATTCTCATACTTGCTTCTGTCTGGTTCCGCTGTATTTTTGCGAATGAATCAAGCAACTGAAACATCACACTCATATTCTCAACACGGACGCCCCGCAGACATCGAATAACAGGCAGTGCTACGCGTGAAGCCTAGATACTTAGTACCTAGGTTAATTGGCTCTTCACTCGCACAAGCAAAGCCGATTTGAAAAACGCTTGTTTGTATTATGTACTTCCACACCCGCGGCAATCATCATTCATTACTTATCACTCACTCATATGCCCCCTCCCTCCAAAATGTATCAAAATGTATCCCCCCATCAAAAGAAAACCTGGGTATTAACATGTAAACACTGGTTGTAAACGCCATTTCCCTCCCTTCCAACTACCACCCCCTCAATCCGCCACCAATACATATACAATTTGCAGCTCCATATACAGTCTCCGGCGGGTTCTGGCGATGGTAGTGGGTGAGAATATATGATACAAAAAAAACGATGCCCAACACGCTGAAAACAGAAACAAAAACGGAAAGAAAAAAACCCCCGTCAGCCTCCAGCCTACATCCCCCTAATAAAAAGGGAAAAAGAACAGCAGAAAGAGAACTCCGAAAAGTCAGAAAGACCAACGAATTTTGAATCACGTAAAAAAAAAGTCAAGAAAAGAAACAATCAAATTAAGAAAAGGAAAAAAACGGAAAAAAAGAAGAAAAAGAAGAAAGCCAAAAACCCCACCCGATGTGAGTACACGGCACAGTTAGTGACCGATCATCACACTCTAAAGAGTGTTCTCGGCCATAAACTGGCGGTACTCGGCCATCGACCGCTCGAGGTCCTCGAGGCCCTTGCGGACTTTCGAGGTGTCCACGGACGGAAGAGGAGGCGGAGCGGGCTTCTCGGTGGTGGACGGCGGAGCAGTCCGCGAGCTCACCACCACCTTGAAACCGCACATATTGAGGATCCCCTTAGTCCTCATATGTGCGGAATCCCGCTCAGCCTCCTCTTCCCTCTTGCGGCGATAGCGCCCCATCGGGGTGTCCTCGCCTCGACTGCGTCTGGCGGAGGACTGGGGGGAAGGGTGGAGAGGAGCGGGGTCCCTCGCCCGCGGAGCGGCTGGAGTTGCCGGAGGAGTAATGCGTCTCCGCTTCTCTTGTGACATACGTCCAGCCAGGGGAGTCTCCGGGGCGGGGACCTCCTGCCTCCTGCGCTTCTTGGTCTCTTCGCCAGGAGAGCTGCTCGGAGAGTTGCAGGAGTGCACAGTCTCCAGGATAAAATCCTGAGCGAAACTACGCACTCCATGCGCAAGGTCAAGGTCGAGAAGGGTCTCGACCATTGCCACTTGCCTCCCGACAACCTTCTCCCCAAAACGAGAGAAGCCAAGGGCGCCCTTTACCTGTTCGTATGTCAGCAATAGTCAAATAAGGATGTGTGTAGAAGACTTACCAGCTCCACCCTCCTCCTGCGTTCCGCTCCCAGCGTACGCTCGTCCAATCCCGTAGGATTAGCTGGCTCGTCGTCGATGGGCGAGCGGTAACAGATCACCATGACCGCGAGTTTCTCCAAGTTAGAGACCATCGTGAGATGGTCCACAATACTGTGGAGATTCTCGCGGTCACGGGCGAAGCGCTCCTCGCTCGAGGTCGCAAAGTCTGCTGAACATCCGAACAGCAGGAAACCGACATCTGGTGCCTGTTCCTCGTAGACGACGGACTGGGCAACAAATTTGTTACCCAGTCCGTTCCTGCTGGGGATGACAACTTCATCCTTTGCGCCCAGGAACTTCTGGTGAAACCAGAATTCGCTCTGGCCTCCCGCCCCGTACAAGTCGTTGTTGTGAATCAACATACGGTACGTGGCGCGGGATACACCCGATTTCTCGAGGGCCAGGTGAACGATTCCTGGAATCGAAACTTCGAGTTCCGCAGGTTTGAACACCTGCTCACGAATCTGCTGTACCTAAAAGGAGGTTAGCCAATATTAAACTAGATAGTCATGGGGATACATACAGATTCGTGGTACCACTCGCTTCCCTTGGCAATGGGCCACCACTGCGGGTCCTTCGCAAACGTCGCGCGATGCTGTTCCCGCTCCTTACGCTGCCTCCGCTCGGTTCGGCGCAGCCTACGCTTTGCCTTCTCCAAGTAGTCGTAGAAGACAGGAACAACGACGCGACGCCTGTTGAAGGACTCCGCCTTCGCCACCATCTCTGCAGTTGGTGTGGGATCTTCCATGGGAAGAGGCTCACACACAACTGGCGGAAGAGGATCCACCGCAGCTGATGGTTCATGGACCAATCCAAGCTGGGGGGGTGGGAATACCGGTGCCTGAGCAGGTATGGTGATCCTGTCGAACAGCGAACGCGGCACGTCCAACTTTGGTGGCGATTCTGGCTGTGTCTGGGCAGCAGAGCTTGACCACAGCGCCTCGCTCACTGGGGATACCGTTCCGACATCATCGCCACTGGGTAGTTTAGACGTTGGACTGGGCCCTACTGACTCGCTCCCAAATCGTGAGAACGGCTGGTTCACCAATGCCTTGAAGTCGGGGATGCTGCTCTTGGCATGGCTATCGAGAACTGAAGGAGCGAAAGAAAATGGCTTGCTCTCGGTGGGCTTGAAGTCGGGAAGCTTGCCAGCAGGCGTATTGCCAAGAACCGAAGGTGTGAAAGAGAAAGTTTTGGTCTCGGGAAGTTTAGCCTCAGGAAGTGGAAGCGCATTCGTAAAGGGATATCCAAAGGCCTTTCTCTCAAGAGGCTTGTCATCGAATTGAGAAACAGGATTGCTCTCAGGCTTGCTCTCGGGCTTGCTCTCGGGCTTGCTCTCGGGCTTGCTCTCAGGCTTGCTCTCAGGCTTGGTCCCAGCGGGCGTGGTCTCGTGCGGCTTGTTCATAGGAGCTGCAAATGGATTACTTGCGAAAATAGTGGCGGAGGCACTTGTGAAGGGATTATTTGTGAAAGGATTAGGAGCATTCTGCTTAGCAAATGTAGGTGCTGGTGTAGGTGCCGGTGCTGGTACTGGTGCTAAGGCAGGAGCTGGCTTTGCCACGAACGAAGGCGTAGATATTGGTGTCACCGGCGTCTCCTGGTCCTCTTTTTCGTCATCGTTAGATTCACCCATACCAGCCTCTGGGAAGTTGAAGAAGTCGGCTGCACGTGAAGGAATGTTCCTCTCGTTGACGGGGTTGCGATCCAAAGCATAACTAGGCTCCTGTAGGAAGGGTGACTCGATATTGTCGCGATGGTAAATCTGTTGCCCAGGGCCCCAAATCAAATCGGATAGAGACTTTCCAGATCCTCCAATGGCAGCCTCCTTGGGTTGCATTAGCGTAGGATGGGCTCGAGTACGTGTCGGATTATTTTCTCCTGCAAAAAGTAAGCCACAACTCTGGGGTACATCACGATTATGTTGCCCACCATTGAATAAATTCTTTCCAGTGATAAGGTGCAAGTATGAAACTCCATCAACCGTGTGTTCAGCCACCGTCAAGCCATAGTGTTGAAGATCTTCCACAACTTGTTCGACAGTCTCGTAATGTAAACAGTCTTTGATGAACTGAACGGTAGTCATCTTCGAAGTCTTCATGTAGTTCTCCGTCATGATCTTCAGGGCGTATTTCCGAACTTCCGCGAAGCAAATCTGCACCAAACATCCCGTGAAAAGGTCCGTCTCGGAGGCTTTAACGAGTTCGAAAAACGTGTTCACGTAATGTTGCGCATGGAGTCCATCTTCAGCCGGTCGGTCGTATCGTTGCACCGTAGTGTATATTCTCAAAGCATGCTTGACCTGGCTCGATTGCCATACTTCTTCGGGCCATTCCCTCAAAGCGAGTTGCTGCTCAACATAGAGATCCCGCAAGTGTCGTAGGATCATGTAGGCTCGAAATTCGGATTCGTTGGGGAACACCTTACCCTTCTTCTTCCCGTCCCTGTATAGAAAGCCGAGGGTCGTCAAGCATTTGTCCAGTTGCTCGCACTCCATAAACTCTGCATGGTCTGGATGGCCAATCATCTTGTAAAGCGCCAGGATGTGGAAACGAGCAATGATCTCCGTACATTGCACCAATTCACCTCCTTCATAGTTCTGGAAAGTGAAGTCCTGTCTGATACTCCGAGTGCGGTCCCTCACAAAAGCATGACATTCTTGCCAGGGGTTTTTCCCCAAGATGTCGTGCACAAGATACCGTAGAGTCGTCACCAAGGTCTCGGGAGTACGAACATCTTGGGGTAAAGGATTCTCCATTCCGGCCGCCGGACGGTGAAAGGACTTGACAAACAGCCGGTGATCTGGCTTCCCATTGGAAAGCTCAAGACGGTCGATCATTCGCTGATGTTGTCTCTGTATGCATTCGAATCTCGGACACATCTCGGTGCAGGTTCCGACAAACGTGATGGCTTGCTCCAAAGTCTTCTTCACCTCCGGATCGTCAATAACACCAGCCTTTATTAGCCGTGCTCGCTCCTTTTCACGCTCATCTCGCTCCTGATGGTATATCGCCGAAACATCGCCAGCGTCAGTGAAACGGGTTTGGCGCGATGCCGCATCAATTCCCGAATCGTTGGAAAGCGGTGTAGTATCAATTGCTTTCGGTGTAGACGTGACAGGTACCGTACCACCCGTCCCCGGCGGGAAGGAGGCTGGTTTCGACTGCACTGCCGGGAGAACGCTCTTCGCGAATCGATTGGCACCAGGAGCTGTCGTCGGAGCATTCGCGACAGGGGGAATGGGCGCAATGGGGGCAGTGGGCGCCGTATTAAAAGCATTTCCGGAGAACGGGCTCGTAGCTGCAGAAGGCTGCCATGTAGACACTCCAAACGAATCCGATGCCGTTGGTGGTGGCGCTGCCGGAGCTGGTGCGGCGAAAAATGGTGATTGCTGTACCCCATGTTGAGAAGCGAACAGACTTGGCTGCTGTTGCACCTGCTGTGATGCGAACAATGCCGGTTGTTGCGATTGCTGAGCTGCGAACATTGATGGCTGCGGTTGCATCTGCTGTGATTTGAACAGCGATGGTGGTTGTTGCGATGGCTGAGCCACGAACGATGTCGGTTGTTGCGATTGCTGAGCCGCGAACATTGATGGTTGCGATTGCATCTGCTGTGATTTGAACAGTGATGGTGGTTGCTGTTGCGTTGTCGCTGGAAACCCGGGCTGACTTCTCATCGCAAACGGCGCCACACCGAAAGATGAGGGTTGCGCACTGGTCGGGGCCGCAAAAGTACTCGACATATCATCCGCGTAATCTTCCATGTCATCATCCAGCGACTGAGGCTGCTGAGGCTGCTGAAACTGCTGGGTCGCCATAACAGGCTGGGTCGCCATAACAGGCGCTGCGTCCGTCATCTCGTCGTCAAAATTATTAACAAAGGTCTTAGTGGTAGTAGTTGTGTTACCACCGGTGGTAAAGCTATTGCTGCTGACAAGAGAGTTGCTCGGGGTAGTAGTTGCGGTACTAGTGCTTCTCCAGTTGCTGAAAGTGCGACTGGTAGGAGTGCTTCCCGAGCTGCCGAAAGTGCTGCCGAAAGTTCTGGTGGTAGGAGCGGCACGAGGACTAGGTGGGGGCGTGTCAGGAGGAGAAGCAGCACCAAGAGGAAGGGTAGCTGGAGGTGCGACGGTAGATGCGGGAGTGCTGCGCCAGCCGCCAAAAGCGCTGCCGAAAGCGCTGGTGACAGGAGCGGCAAAAGAAGTAGGCGGGGTTGCAGGAGGAGTAGCAGCACCAGTAGGAAGGGTAGCTGGATGTGCGACGGTGGATGCGGGAGTGCTGCGCCAGCTGCCGAAAGTGCTGCCGAAAGTGCTGCCGAAAGTGCTAGCTGGAGGTGCGACGGTAGGTGCTCGTTGTTCCGCCCGGGTGTGCTTGTCAGCGCAATTAAGCTTTTCCAGACTCTTCGCTAGATCAGTTGCCTGGCTGGTCGCGGGAGGTGCGGGAGGTGCGAAAGTATTTGAGATGCCACCAACGACTGGTTTGCTGTTCGTCTCGTCGTCTTTCCACTTCCCTGGGTTTGCTAGCAGAAGCTTCACAAACGAGGCGTTCGCCCGCTTCCACGCGTATATCTGTTCCTGCCCGTTCTCCGGCCCCTGTATCTGCTTGATTTGCCGCCACAGGTCCTCGTTTTCGGTGGCCCAGTCGATCAAAAACTCCTCGTCAGTCTTGACGTTGGGGGATTTTCGTTTAGAATAGTATCTCTGCTTCTGCCACAGATAACTAAGTTTTCTTAGCGACTGAACACCCGGAGGAACAGCCTCAGGGGACAGTGCTTGTGGTCGTTCCGCCCGGGTGTGCTCGTTGCCAGCGCAATTGAGCTTTGCCAGACCCTTCAGAAAATCGGTTTCCTTGCTGGTCGCGGGAGGTGCGGGAGGTGCGAAAGTGTTTGAAATGCCACCAACGACTGGTGCGATGTTCCTCTCGACGTCGGAGTCTTCCAAAAGCGGCTCCGGCCGACGCCAATTGCCCGGGTGATTTTGCAGAAGCTTGACGAGAACTGGGTTCGCCTTCTTCCACGCGTATAACTGCCCGTGCCCGTACCTCGGCCCCAGTATTAGCACGACGTCGTACCACAGGCTCTTGTTCTCAGTGGCCCAGTCGCGCAAAAACTCCTCGTTGGTCTTTTCGACCTTGGACCGGGATGCAGCACGGGATTTCTGCTTCCGCCAGTTCTTCGCGAATTCTTCAAGTACTTTGACACGCGGATCTTCCTCGGGAGACGGTGACCGTTCTTTCGTCCGCTTGTGCACGTCGGCAGCGCAGTTGAGACTTCCTAGGCTCTTCACAAGTTCGGTTTCCTGTTTGATCCCACTAATGAAAGCGTCGATGATGGCAGACTGGATGGGATCCTCGTCGTCAGGGGTGGTAGAGGCGTCGGTAGGAGAGGCGTCGGTAGGAGAGCCAGCAGTGAGAGAGGCGGTGGGAGAGGCGGCGGCGGAGGTATGGGTTGCGGCGGAGGTGGGGGTTGCGCCGGTGGGGGTGGAGGTGAATATAGTGTAGAAGGCGGAAGCTGACGGTCGCGACCTAACGCGTGGGTTGACTTGGCTTGTCATCCTAGCAACGTGTGTGTTAGCGCCATAGACGCGGGTCAAGTACGGTGCGCTTATTCGGCGCACCTACCATGGTAGAGAAATAAAAAGATGGAGTTAGCTTACTTGAAATTGTATGAATTCTAGGATGTCTAGGAACTCTAGGAATTGTATGACTTGGAGGGGGTTTGAATCTAAAACTTAAGATTGTGGATGTGGGAACGAAATTTATGGGATTGCGAAGGAATTTCGTTGGGTGGTTGAGGTGTAAGGAAGAAGAGAGAGAGAGGAAAGAAGGAGGAGAGGAAGGGAGAAAAAACTGAGGTCATTGAGTTGCAAAAGCACTAGTGTTGAATTCGAGAGAGTGAGGGCAAACCCGCGTACAGACATTCATATCATATCACTCATGCCCTAACCACCCAAGGGCCTTTGGGTCTGCCCCAACAAAGCTTTACTGAGCTAGTAGGACAGATTGTATTTGAGGTTCCAGAGACTAGTCAAGCGGTTTCTATGCAAGAACGAATTGATGCTCTCTCTCTCCTCCATAGAAAGCCTTAGTAATCACCCCTGATGAAATTTGCTTATCTTTTGCATTAAATGTAGCATCGTCTTAATCAATTGGCAAGCAATGTTTTGTGTACGTAGCAGCAGGATGTTTTTAGCGCCCTGCGGAATGAAGATTTGCCTTGGGGTTTCTGGGCAGAACGGGCACAGCCATCAAAATTCAAGATATCCAGCCCATCTGAAAATATAACTCCATAACCCAGGCCCCAGGCGAATGATATCACCTTCCAGTAAGTCGTCGGGCAAGAAACCACAGTTTGCATACATGGTGGTGTTTCCATGGGGTCGAGTTTCCTCCCCTCCCCTCCTTCCCTTCCTCTCCCCACCTTCGCAAATGGTGACTAACTTCAGGTACCTATTTGAATTCAAAAACCTCTTTTTACATGGGCAAAGAGGTAGATCGAGCGTGCTTTCGTTGTATGAAGCTTATGGCTGTAGTTCAAGGGGCTTACGCACCCTGCAACGGAAGCAAATTGACTCAATCACGGCGAAACTGACGCAACTGACACCCATTCATAGGTAACCACTCGGTCTTCCATAGTTTTACATCCACTCCAAATTACTAGGTTTCTGATGATGTTACGGGGTTTCAATCCCCTTATTGTGGATGTACGTTCGAAAGTAGGTAGTACGGATTCTCCGGTGGATTGCAGCCGGGAACGGGCTACTATAGAGGGGATAATAAAAAGAAGGGAGAAAGAGCGGGATAGATTTACGGTACATGTCGATGATGTTGAAAACGGCGGCGTACTTCGTGGAAGAACACTGGAGAAATACTTTCGGTGACACATTGTTTTCAATCACCACTGCGACCGCAAGGCATATGTATTCACCATGTTGAGAAACCGATCATGCGTAAGTGATTAAGTACAGTGCGAGATGCTGCATCGATACCATCATTCCTGCTCATCTTGACTACCTATGCAGTACGTGCTTCTTACCCTAAGCACTCTCCGTGAAATCTTGCCGATCACACAAACAATGCAATCGAACCGAGAGAAGAAAAAACATGTCAAAAGAAAGTCTGACGTAAAATCCTCAGAAAAATGTACAAAAAAAACGAACAGAAGCATCAACAAAACGCCAGAAACCTCTGGGGCCACCAGCAATTTCTACAAATGGTCAAGGGAGAAACTTGAGATATTGGTAGATGAAACCCCTCTTCCTCCTCTACTCTAAGCCTAGTATCTCTCAATACCTCCTCGCTTCATCTTTGCCTCGTAAGATTCCTTGGCTTTCTCCTGGAGCACTTCCATCTCGCCGCTGGACAGGCACATGTCGTAGAAGAGACCTCCCTCTTTCTGCAGCAGCTCATAGGGCCTGCCGAACTCTTTCACTTGGCCTTGATCGAGCACGACGATACGGTCGTTTTCAACCACGGTTCCCAGTCTGTGGGCGATCGTTATCGTTGTGGATTGAAGGTGGCGGAGTGTCTCTTGAATCTTAGAGTCCGTCTTGTAGTCGATGGCGGCAGTCGCTTCGTCCATGATGAGGACCTTAGGAGCTCTCAATAAGGCACGCGCTAGACAAACGAGTTGCCTAAAATAAAATTAGCGAATTATTCCCAACTACGTCATTGGAAAGAAGTACCTTTGGCCTTGGGATAGATTGCTACCCGACTCGGAGACGGAGCTTTGAAGATCCAAGAAAATATTCTTGTTCACAGTGGCATCATCTCCGGCAACCGGAGCAGCAGGTTCGGGTTCCTCACTGATGAGCTGGACTCCCTTCAGTGCCGCAAAGATTTCGCTATCGGTGTGCACACCAAACGGGTCGAGGTTCGAGCGGATGGTTCCGGTGAAAAGAGTAGGATCCTGTGGTACCATCGTGATTGACTGCCGCAGATCACGCAGTCCGATGGTGGAGATATCGATACCGTCGATCTCAATCTTTCCGCCCTCGGCCTCCAAACTTCGGAATAGCGCCAACGTGAGCGAGCTCTTGCCTGCTCCAGTTCTTCCCACTATTCCCATCTTCTCTCCGGGCTGGACCTCGAAGCTAACGTCCTTGAGCACGAGGTCCAAGTCAGGTCGGTATCTCGTGGAGTAGTTCTTAAACGTCACTTTGCCTTGATCTGGCCAGGAAGTCGGAGGTCTGTTATCTTCGATGATTTCCGGTGCTTCCTGTTCGACCTCGAGGTATTCCCTTACACGTTCCACGCTGTTCATGTTCTGCTCGTTCACGGCGTACAGCCGGACGACCCAGAGGACGTTTTCCGTAAAAGTGATCGCGTATGTCAAAGAGAGACCGGCCGAACCTGCACTAATGTTGCTAACGTTGAGGACCACAAAAACTCCGGCAAAGAAAGCGACGAGAGCCCCTGCAATATCAACTCTGAACCCAAGCCACCTATTGCATGCCCAGAGGTAAAAGAAGGGCCTGTTGTGTTTGTCGATCATCAGAAGGTTGTCCCTCACAAACCTACGCTCATCGCCGTAGGCCCGAATGGTCGAAATTCCACTGAGGGTCTCTCCAAAGTGCTGGTAAAGGGGACTGCGCTGGATCGATTCGATTCGTTTCAAGTCCCTTGACGCACGGAGGTAGAAGACGCCTATCAGCGCATACAGCATGGAGATGAGAACTCCAGCTAGGAGGAAGCCCGGGGTTATGACAGAGATCAAGACAACAATCGCAATGACTGATCCAAGCGAATGGATCATCCCCTGTTCGACATGTTAGAAAATGGGGAGACGAGACGAGACGTGATGAGAACTTACAAGAGCAACTGGTGCAACTTCCTGATCGACTGCTTCGAGATCTTTAGAAAAGCGGTTCATGATTCTTCCCAGAGGGGTCGAATCAAAGAACCGGCCTTTTGCTCGCATCACGTTGCGCAAAAGCGTGTCATGGATGGTCTTGGACGCCCTCAAACTGCCAGCAAAGACTGTGATCTCCCTAATGAACGACATGAATATGTAAATGGCAGATAGAAGTGCGTAACCCCCGAGATAAAACCACACGTCCACATCCCCGCTATTTTGCGAGTTGACGGTAACCGGGCTTTGAGGCATAGGTGACATCCAGGGATAGCTGCCTAAGGCAAGGCAGCTTCCGGGGTAACCGGTAGACATCATGCTCATACTCGCCGCATGCGTCGCTACGGAGCTCGACGAGTATTTTGATGCCCATTGTCGGATCCAAACGCTTGTGGCCACGGATCCAAGTTGTTGCAAAACAAGGGAGGCGACGACGATAACCCAGTACCACCAGGGCCCCATTGAAGCGAGATATAGAGCGTAAACGTGCCAGTCAACACTTCCTTCGGATTTGGTTTCCTCAGTGGAAGCCTTCTGTTTCTTGTCCTGCACCACTGCACCATTTGCGGCTGCGAGTATCGCTTCTTGACCGTCGAACGACGGAACGCGGGATGGCATGCGGGATTGCGGGCGCGAACGAGCATTGGATTTGAGAAGCTCATCGGATCCCAGCGCGCCGGAATCGACAACTGTTTCAGGATCACCCTGTACTAGAACGCGTCCGTTGTCCAGAACGACCACGTGCTTTGCCATGGGAATGCAAAGTGTGACGTTGTGAGTTACCAAGATGCAAGTTCTGTCCTGCATGAGAGGTCCCGTAATGCAATGTTCGTAGATCCATTTTGCCGTGTGAGAATCGACAGCGCTGAGACAGTCGTCGAGGAGCAGATGGGCAGCGGACGAGTACAGGGCACGGGCGAGGGAAATCCGTTGCTTTTGACCGCCAGACAGAGAGATTCCCTTTTCACCGACTTCGGTCTCGTCGCCATGGTCGAGTACCTGTAGATCGCGTTCCAAGGAACAGGCCTGGAGTACCAAATTGTAACGTTCCTCATCGAACTTGCTGGCGAAGAGAATATTGTCCTTGATTGTAGCATTGACGAGCCATCTGCACCCAAGTCAGGACAGCACCATAGAGCACGTGGCATGTTGACTTACGGCTGTTGTGCGCAGTACGCAACGGATTGAGTGAGGCCGGTCTCGGGGTCGGGGGTCAAGTCTTCCCTACTATGCTGGCCGGGAAGGTACACACTTGAAAACAAATCAGATACGTATGCACAGAGTTAGGAAGCCGGATACTTGCCTTCCTTTCAGATGGGTCATCTCGCCCAGTAGTGCCATGAGAAGCGAGGTTTTTCCAGACCCAGTGGCTCCGGCTACAAGATTGAGCTGCCCAGGAACGAATTCGATATTGAGGTCCTGAAGTTGGAATCCGCTGCTTGTGCCTTTGGCGATAGCCTGTTTCTTGGAGCCCCAGGTAAATGATGCATCTACGAATCCAATGGCTGGTGCGTCCGGATCGTCCCCGACATGCTTAAGCTGGTGATATTTCTCTGTCTCATCTTCACGTAAGAATTCTTCGACACGGTCCACGGATACCTTCGCCTGAAGCACATTGGTAACCATGTCTGCGAGTTGATCCAGCGGTACCCGGAGGACGTTGAAAAGCGACAGTGAAGTGAATGCAACGGATGCGGTCAGCTCCTTGCCTTCGATGACGGTGTAACTCAGGAAACTGAGCAGAGTGATGATCATCGGCGAACCATACCACGAGGTAGCGGCAATGGCCCACAAGATGTAGCGATTCCGAAGTTGCTTCAGCTCAGCAGATCTCGATTCGCCGACCATGTGGCCAAAACGCTCCTCCCAGGCGAAGAATTTGATGATCCGGATATTTTGCAACACCTCGTTCGTCGCATGGATTCGCTTGTCGGTGGTAGACATAATCTTCTTCTGGATCACGCTGAACCTGGTGGAAATCGCGTAGTTGATTGGGATAAGAAGAATCATCACACTGATACCTGCGATCGAGCTCCAGCCGAGGATCTGGTACAGTAATATCACCGCCACGATGACTTGAACCGGAACGGCTGCGATCTGTAGAAGTAATGAGTGTCGACATCGTGGGAAGGGAACGAAAAGGGCTACACACCAGGAAATGAAGATACGCGCAGACTTCGGAAACTTTGAACGAATCAACCGACATCAAAGTAATGATGGCACCGGCATTACTCTGTCCATCATCCTTCTCATCATCTTTACCTTCCTTCTTAGTTTCCCCGAGCTCCTTCTCGGCTCCAGCAGCTGCCTTCCTTCTGAGGGCCTTCGAGTAGATTTCACCAATGATGACAGCTCTAAGGCGGATACAGATCCTCCGGCCAATGAACAGCGCCTGGCCGTTGCCAACAGCTACGATACTAGCGGTAACTAAGAGCAGAGCGACGAAGAGCCAAGCTACATTCTTGGGTGTGTCTTCCGGAGCCTCGATATATTCCAGGATCACCCGCAGCAGCAGCGTGGGAGCAAACACGAAAAGTGATGCAAATGCCGCCCAGAGGGCCTGGATTATCAGATCGCGCTGGAAATGCTTCACCAGGGTGTATCCGAGGTACGCCGTTTTCCTGGAAGAGAGTAATAAGGTCAGCGGAAAAACTGGTGTTTCGAGTTTGGAGAGATGGCGTACTTGGTCTGACGGAACGATGTCAAGACGGATATGGCGATATCATCATTTCTGAGGTTCCAGATATCCTCCAGAACCAATGGTTTCCAGAATCCTTGCCAGACAATCCCATCCACCCAGCTGAACGAAGCTAGGGAGAACAGGGATGCCAAAGGTTCCCGGGAAGGCTCAAGGCCTTCTGTAACATCTTGAACCACGGCGCTACCGCCTTTCCTCACCGACACCGCAATAATGCACAAGATGGACGCGAGTGAGAATCGCACAACCATGAGCACCTCCGGTAGGCCAGGTTCGCCATGCAGAAGCTGCGAGCGGAACGGTATGATGAGGAACAGGAAATTGAACAGGTACAACCACGCGGTGTGGTCCCAGAGGTCGGAAACGTCGGTATCGGCCGAGGAGTAGACGAGGCGAATCACCACGAGAATGAGGGTGTAAACCCAGGCGACCGCAGGCACAAGTGTCATCCAGTTACTATCCGGAGCATCGGTGAATCCAACCATATGCGCACCAATGATCCCGACAATGCACACCAGCTCAAAGATCACCGCGACAAGTTCGGCGCGCGGCTTGTCGACTTGGATGTAGTGGTGGTGATCCATAGGAGTACGGCTGATAGTATGTCGCAGGCTCAAGTGTTCAGCGAATTCATCATCATCGTCGTCAGTCTCCGCATCATCAAGCGCTCCAAGAGCACCGTTAGTGGTGTTGCCGTTATACGTAGGTAGTCGCTCATATCCGCGTTCGCGCCGTGCTTTCAGCGTCTGTCGGATGGTCCAGTACAGTATTACCGCCACCGAAACTCCGGCCGCAACCGCAGGAAGTAGTACTTGAAGAAAACTGGAGGACACCAGTCGGTCGATCAGTGAACCGGTTTCACAAGAAAAACGGCAGCGGCAACGGCATTAAATGTCTTACTCGTTTACACATGGCGTGAAATCATCTCTCCTCCAAAGCGGCCGCTCGCACCGCAGAAACCCCATGCCGAAGCAGTCCCTTGAGGACCTCCTCTGCTTAGTTTATGGATCCCTCCGAGGCGCAAATCCAGCGTTACGTTGAGTGCCAATCGGAACCGAAGTGTGTTTCGAGTGACGCAATCGGGGTGTATCGAGATCGGAGCTGAACGAGAACACGAGGTCGATCAAGGGAGTGAAGACGTTAAAGAGTCCGAAGACAGTAGAAGATATTATGTTTTGAAGGATGTGAAAGGAGATTAATGGTCAAGAGATTACTGGTTGAACAAGTAGGAAAGAAGGTGGTTTTTTTTGTTGCAACCTCTGAGAGGTTATGACATAGATTTCGGTTCGTCGGGGGCGTTCAAGAACTCGCGTTGAAGCAAGCCCCGGAGCTGGTTGGCTGGGCGTGGCTCCTGCGCTAATGCAGTTAAGCTCCTGATCCGCTGATAACGATAACAGGACATCAGACCGGTTGCGTCGCAGGTTTTTTGTGTTGCCCATCATCGTTATTGCATTCAACATGTTGGATCGTGGCAGTTACCTGCGCTGTTCCACCCCATTTGCGTCACAGGTTGTGTATCTACTCGTTCCACCAACTTTTGGATACAGCGAGAACATAGGTCCATACATAAAAGTTCTTCATGCTCTCCTTCGACAGTTGCTCTATGCATAGTACTTCCACCATCAACATTGCTGGACTAACTACCGCACACTGTAATAACCTCTGCTCCACACTTCGACTGCATCAAGGTCAACTCGGAATTCAGGTGAAAGGGTTCCACTTGCGTCCTTTCGCGTAGGTGCCTATAAGCTACCTATTGCATGTCTTCCACATCTTTGTCTGAGCAAAGGTAACCGCATCAGCCCATCCAGCCTATGACGGCGTAGGTGCGCTTTCTCCGCCCCTGGCAACACTCCAGGCAACTGACCCGGTGCAGCAACCCCATCCCCCGTCCCCCCGCCCTCCGCCTAGACACTTCTTTTCCTTCTTTCAAACTGTATGTATCCCGCGCTGGCCAATGCATCTCTTTCGTCCTTTTTCTCAACCTAACCATCGGGTCCCTGCAGCGAGTACCACTCCATTATCCGGAACTGAGATTTCTTTGTTCTCGTTGTGGTTGCTGGTGTCGTTGGAATCCCATTCGTGGGCAGAGGAGGTATATAGCAGAACATTGTAACTTGTAACTGCAGTGATGCAGATACACAGCATGTTCGGAGATCCGATTCAGCCCCTACGTATCGTAGATCGGCCGCTTCTGTCGCCAGTCGGCCGGTAGATTGTTTGTGACGATATCGATTTCCTTGGAGCTACGAGATTTGGCTCTGGATTCCTGAGGACATCACGAATCTCGCTGAGCCCTAGCCATGGTTGCGCAGTCCCCGGACAGACAATTGACCCGCGCCAAGCGATATTGGGACGATGTTTCTAGAAGACGATGGCATCGAGCTTGGCATCGGTGAAAGCGGCGCTTCCTTGTTCTGGGTTTGTTGTGTGCGATGATGGTTTAAGGCACACTTTCCACTCAGAAGCGCAAATTCACGTGATTTTCACAACTTTCCACGAGCAGACTAGGAGCCTGTTCGGTGCGGACGTATCTGAACCGACGAAAGCTCAGAAATACGATCCACTAGTGCGTAAAGACTTGGCGCCTAGACATCTCAAATATCTGTTCGGCAACACCACTTTCTCCGTATCTCACACTCGACAGCCTCTCTACGCCACGCTGCACTATACTACTTCCAGCCAAGGTGAAAGTTGAAACGGTTGGTAAGAGGGCGCGCACAGCACCATTCAGGAGAACTAGTCACATGGATAGACAAACACAGCGACGCGGCGACAGAGCAACACAGCAACACAGCAACACAGCAACACGGCGATGCGACGACACGACAGAACTACACCACCGCCTCTACTCTACTACTTTCTCGGGTCCTTCTCCTCTTCCCAAGTCTGTCCTCTCTACTCGCCAGTCCAACAAAGATGTGGACAGCGGTCGGACCTCGTGTGGCTGGATTTAGCAAAACTAGTCCAAAAGCAGCCTCACCAGCCACACGAGGTCCGACCGCTGTCCATATCTTTGTTGGACTAGCGAGTACTCTACTGCATCGCGTCCTGGTGGGTGAAAATGTTGAGGCAGAGACAGAGATACCGTACAGGTGACGAATATTAAGAGATAGCAATAGGAGGAGATAGGGGGTCGGAAATGGGAGATAGACAATGGGAGAAGATGGCAGGCAGTGGGCGGCTTGTACATAGCTATCCTACAGCCCATAGCAGTGCCCAGTCCACACTGTGTCGCCTACTCAATTACAGTGTAAAGCTCTACCATCGCGTCGAGAACGTTGTTAAAGGTACGGCTAATCGTGTCGCCGCTTCGTTAAAATGGTTCTTGTGCCGGATGGTTGGACGCGTTATCGCCGACGATTTTGAGAAATATCGCAAGCTGCTCTTTCACTGACATATACCGCGTTGGTTGGAGGTAGTCGTGACTGATATTTTCTGAGGGTGAGGAGACTGGGACCGGCAGACATTGTGGATGTTGTTGTACGGCTTCAAAGTTCAGGGGGATCTGGTGACGAATGCCAGCATAGTCTGTTTTTTGGTGGAGGCTCAGAGAAATACGCAAGAAACACGATGTGGCTGTGTGTTTTAACGATCGTATTTTCTAAATGACGTTGCGCCGAACGCTCAGCGTATCTTTGAACCGACGTAAGCTCAAATTTGTGTGGTAGCTACCAGATACGGTGCGGTACCGAACAGGCTCTAGGTCACCACCGCATGATATCTTGGAGCTACGTCTTCAATGTTTAAACGAGTGATATACCGTGCGGCAACAGCATCTACTCATTGGTGTTTTGTCTTTTGGAGAGTTGGTGACCGTCAAGGGCTTTTAATATACCACCTCTTTGCCCCCTGAGGTATTCCGCATGTAAATGGCGATTTTCGTGCTGAACGAGGCAGGGTTGTATTTGAAATTGCGGTTTGCCAGATGGTGAAGATCTCTCATGCATCTTCCCATTCATAACGTCAACCACGAGCGTGAAGATTTCTAAATTTCACTAAATCGTAGCCAGCAGCCAAGAAAACAATTCTCTCCGCAAATTCTTTGGACTTGTGTGGCCTACTTTTGGACTTTCTCTGCCCAAAACATATCCGACGACGACGACGATGACGACGTTTCCAGATCCGCACGTGGCGTTTCAACTTTCAACCGTAATCTCCCGCCTGTCGCCAACTCGCATATCCATCACTTTCAGATGAACGAACGGAACATGTAGGCGGTGAATGGTTCGTCGCTTTGGCCTTAACTTGCTCGCAGAGTCGCAGCGTTCATGCGATGTCATTCGTACATAGAGCTGGAGTGACCGCTATGATAATGTATCCATCCTTGCTACAATGCAGCGCACCGACAACCGGGTGAAGACAACGCATGCATCAAGCTACACTGTTCTAGATATCTACTCGTTCATTCGACTAGCCAGCCAGCCGTTGTTCGTAACTTCGTGTTGGTCGAAATTTAGAGTGCGGTAGCCGTACTGCTGCAGGTCACCAGGCGGCCTGCATTAGCCGCGAGTCTGCATCTAGCATCTCTTGCCAGCCGGTGCCTGATGCCGCCTCCAGGTAAAAGTGCACTGGAATCACTGGAGCACATGGATCATGCAAACATACTCGAGAAGATATCGCGGGAGAAACCTGCGAATCTGCGATCCACATAGGTACATGCCATTTATATATCGAACAAAAACCAAAATGGTTATTACAATCTAGGTACGGGTACATCTACCTACTTCCCCACCCTTCCCCACCCTTCCCTGTCCTTCCCTACCTACCATCTACTCTCCCGGCCTGACCGCCCACCTGACGCTCCCCCAGCCCACGCCAGCGACAAAATGGAACCCAATAGTCCAGGCCATGAGGTACAAATACTTCGGCGAAAACACCGTCCAGATGAACAGATGCGTTCTCAGGGCCGTGCAGGCGGCCATCACCGCCACTGCCGCCACCGCGTAGAAAACCGTCATCGTGAGGACGTGTCTTCTCCAATCGTCGGGTTTGCCGGGTAGGAGGCTGGCTGTGGAGGACGCCCAGAAGATGGAGCCCACCCAGTTGGATACGAGCGTCAGGAAGCCGACGAGGATCACGTTGTACCCCGCTACGCCGTTGTAGGCGTTGGAGAGATCGACTGAGGAGATGGCGTTGGCCCCGCCCATCGAGAAGAAGGATACGTGCTGCATTATCAGTACGGTGAGCGTGGTCTCTGTGGCGGTTAGAGTGGCGAGGGAGGAAAGTTGGCGGGAGATGAGGCGGAAGAAGAATATCAGCGGGATATTGGTGAAGCGTGTTTGTGTCAGGAGGAAGAGATCGGCGAACTCTCCCAGTGCTGCGGCGGCGCATTCTCGAGATTCTGGAGATCCGTCAGTGGGCTATGTTGAACGGGAGATATGGAGGAGTTTACCATGTGTAGCATCTCCCGCATTGACCTCGAAGACGAAGGTGTAAATCATCCCCGCAGCGACCACACCAAACACTGCTTGTGCCTGCGTCACGAGTGAATATTCGTTGGTATACTTCAGGACAAAGTCCAGCCATGAGGGAACAAGCTCAGCCGCGTCGTATGCTGCAAACGACAGCTTGAAGCAGAAAGCAGCCATGACGGCGGCCATTGCTGCGAACCACGCAAACTGGCCGTCTATACGGCGTAAACCATTCTTCCAGATGCGTGTGAGCACGTCGAAGTAAGAGACGATGATAAGTATCCAGAGCACAGTAGTATGCTCTGGGAAGAAGGCTTTGACGATGTCTGGTGCACCGGCGTGTTTTTGACCTGAAGAGTTCAGCATGCCATCGTGAGGTAGGAACAAAGTAGCTCACCTGTCTGGTTCCACCGCCTGATGATACGCAACAACACCATGATGCCGATCATACCGAGCCCGCTGGCTTGGTTCCTCCTTCTACAAAGATATCAGCACTATAGCTTCTAACTTGAAGATTCGAATGGCTGCATACTCTTTCAAAAACAAGACCATGAACCATCCGGATGCAACCCAATACCAAAAGTGCTGTTCTTCCTCTACAAAGCTGCTTGCAAACATCATCCCGGCATATGCAAGCGTCATAACCGGGAATGTCCAGTCCGCTAGAACAGACCCGCCCATCAAGGGAACAAGCCCTGTGATACCGGCGACAGTGGCAATGATCATTACTGCCATTCCGGCTGCCATCAATCTGAGGTCGTAGTTACTGGCAACCCCCGAAAGTATCTCCTGGTAACGGCGGCAAAGCTGGACTTCTCTTAGCTATGGTCAACTGCGAATATGATGTGCCATACCTTGACTAGAGACTCCTTGGCGGTTTTAATTGCGCTTTCATTGTCCTTCCCATCGACCCATGAAGCATACCGATCGGCGGCATCTTTCCAGAGACACACGAGTTCGTCCACGTCTGAGGCAGAGTCTCCACAGGAGTTATGATTCATCCCACGAGCCAGCACCATACGCTCGAACTCTGGATATTGCACCGCAACAATAGTTCGCAGCTGCCTAGCATTCCGCATCATGACATCGATTCTCTCACCCTCGTTCCAAAGCCACAGAAACTCCGGTATCAAAACCCCGAGGTTGTTCCTCGGCACCGGCAAGCCCAACAATGACGTGATTGTGGGCGCAACGTCGCTCTGTTCAACGGTAGAATAGAATCCGAAGTCTCCGCTTTTGGGAACAGTCGGCGCTTTCAACGCACTACCGTGCGATTCCTCGTATAGCGCGCCCAGCTGCTTCAGCCTGGGACTCATAAACACCAGTGCCGGCGAAGTCTCGCCTTCCCCGGATCCCCCGTGGTTACCGGCATCGTTCATGCCGTGGTCTCCAGCGAGAACCAAGAGAGTCGAGCTGAGGTGTGGCTGCGTTTCCATGGCGGTATAGATGCGCTCAACGATCCCGTCCATCTCGACTTGCTTGGGAAGCATAAAGGCACTGGGTAAATATGTTAGCCAGAACGTCGGCGCGTCACCGCCACACGAACCTTTGCGGACCTGACTTATGTCCGATATGATCCAGCCCCAGATAATGCAGCACCATAGCATTCCAGTCGTCCCTCTTGAGCTCATCATCAATGTGGCGGGTGACATTATTATCGACTTCGGTAAAGTCCTACTACGCCAACTTTCCATCAGCCGCCCTTTCGCCGACACCACAGGTAGCATAAACAATCGTACTCACCGAGACAAAAAAGCTGGACGTCCCATCATTGCGCTCGAACATTCCCGGGAACAGCTTCAACCATGTATCGTCTCCATACATGACCAGTTTTCCGCCCCGGGCCTTGATCTGTGCCAGCCAGTTGTCTTGCTGCGCTAAAGTCGACGATGTGTCCGACTCGGCGAAGTTGAGGATTACGTCGAGAAAGCCCGGGATCGAGCCCGTGGTTATGGCCTTCACGCGCGGCATCGTGATCGTGGGCGAGGTTGCGTGCGCGGTATATGGAATCGCTACAGAATCCGAGATCAAGCTACATATTCCAACTTCTTCAGCAAATACTTTACAGAGATGTCGAAGAAACACACACCTTTGAGTAAACTTGAAACCCGATCGTTCGCCGTACACAAAGTCGCTATGACACCCCATTCCTCAGTTCCAGTTCCAAAAAGTTCAGGATCGCGATCAGCGCACCTCCGTAAAGCATCCACGACCATAAACACGACTTTATCGAACGGCGCGGGCGTCCTCACGTCCTCGTCTCCGAAGACCGCCAGTCCGGGCAGGAACGGCTTATAGGGGAAGAACCCCTTCGCGAAGAGCAAGATGCCCACAGGCAGAAGAAAGTTTATAGCTGCTATGGACAGCCATGATGAAAGACCTCTCATGATTTGGAGGTTGAGAGAAAGCGTGCTTGCAACCAACGACTCGATGTCGCGACAGTTGTTTGATGACACCTTGCTGGCATTACGGTTCCCCCCCCCCGGCAAGTGCCGGGTTCCTGCTTAGAAACCGCGCTTGCACTTAAGAGCTAGCTCGCTCGTAAAAATCTCCCCGCCAAACCCTCAGTCAACGCTTCACCAGTCAGAGCCCGAGACCTTACAACACCACCACGACGACGACGACGACACAGAGCTATGGCCGACAACACTACACGCGACGTCGAGATGGCTGAGACGGAGGGCCAGCTCAAGGTGGAAATTAACGGCGAGAAAGACGACACGCTACGGATCAAGACGGTGGGTCACAGACCTCGCAGGAGTTTTATTCACTGACTGACAAGGTCGATTCTATAGCTTCCTGGAGCCGAACCCGGGTGCGCATCATTCGAGATCGAGGACGAGGATCACACTCTCGGAAATGCGCTGCGTTACATGATCATGAAGAAGTATGCCGTCACTGTTGTCCTTCGCACACTATGGATGGACTGACGGATGGAATCGCGTGAAGTCCCAAGGTGGAATTGTGCGGATACTCCATACCCCATCCTTCAGAGAACCACTTGAACATGAGAATCCAAATATACCGTACGTGTTTCTCCGGCCGGTTAATCTCCCCGAGTACCGCCATTGACTGTTTTTGCAGCCGAGTTCGAGGACGAGCATACGCCGGCGGATGCTCTGATCAAAGGGCTGGACGATCTGAGCTCGCTTTGCGGAGTGGTTCAGGACAAGTTCACTGCAGCTCGGGACGGGTTTGGCAAGAATTAAAGGGTGTGAATGGGGCACAATCATGGTGGAGGAGAGGACCTATGGGGTTTACTTTATTTCTCTTCTTGTGTGTGGCGCTTTCTTGGGTTAATATCTTCTGGCGTTTGGTGGACTGCAAATAAAAATCTAAGACGAGGAGCATGGCGGAGATGCAATGTCATTTCAAGTAAGCATGATATTTCTACTGCATGCCCAAGTTGACCGCCGCCTACAACCACAAACCCATGCCGCCACCCAACCGTGAAATGCTGTCTTTCCCGTCTAGTTGCGACCCTACATATCCTCACCATCAGTAACGCATCCCGTTCAAGCCTAGTTTTTCATGGGGCATACCTCGAGGAAACCCGTCATGAAGTCCTTAGGAACCTGACTCCTCGAGTCCTCCTCGGAGCGGAAGTACTTCATGAGCTGGGGGATCTGTTTCCAGTAGTTCATGGTCTCCTGGAACTCCATGTCGCTCTTTGTAATGAGCATGTCCACGACCGGCAGCTGCTGCACGTAGCGGCTGCGCTCAAACTCCTGCCGGATCTTTGCGCGGACGGCCGGAGTCGGGACATCGAGGACGTAGAGGTTGACGATTGCGGGCGCCTGCGAGGGGAGAGAAGGTGAGTACAGTGTAAGGTGTGGGGCTGAGGAGGGCGCTGCTTACTGCTCGGTACCAGTCGCGGTACGCTTTGATGACGCGCTTGGAGGCGTCGGCCCAGTTCGCCGCTGGAGGAAGAGTCAGCCGGTTTTCTAGCGGTAGGTGGCGGGGACGCCGGTGGGATACGTACAGCTCCGTGTGGTCTTTGCGAAAGCTGTGGGATTGATCATTGTGGCAGTTGGATTCGGCAGGGTATGTAGGCTGGAAAGAGTGGGATCGTAGTTCGTGGTGGTGGAGCGTGCACACGGCGGCGGCGGTGGTGGATAAGGGACCGGGATGAGGAGGAGGGCGGAACAACGCCCTGCGGCCTGCACTTGCTGTCGTGCCAAGCTGTGGGGCGTGCCCGATTGCCGATAATTTCTGTCAGACGTCACTCGTTCATTTTCGACAGACAATCTTCACCAAACAATCGTCACCGCCCAACGACTGCAGAAATGCCGCCATTATTCGCCAGTACGCTCAGGCGTACGGCTGTTCTCGCCGCCGCCGCCGTGTCGAAGCCGCGCCTTTACTCCACCACTATCGAGACGGTTCCCCTAGCGTTCACCCGCCACGACTCGCCGACCAGCACGACCTCAGGAAACCCGCCTCTGGTAATCCTGCACGGTCTCTTCGGTTCAAAGCAAAACAACCGCAGCATCAGTAAGTAAGGTTTCCCCATCCATGCACCGCACAGCTCCTAACCACCAATCCGCAGAGCCTTCGCCAAAGACCTAAACACGTCTGTGTACGCCGTGGACCTGCGCAACCATGGCGACAGCCCGCACATCAAGCAGCACGACTACGAGTCCATGGCAGCGGACGTCGAAGCCTTCCTGCACGACCACAACCTGGGGTCCGACACGGTGCTTCTGGGGCACTCGATGGGAGCCAAAGCGGCGATGGCCGTAGCTTTGCGGCGGCCCGCGCTGATCTCGCGGATCATTGCGGTCGACAACGCGCCCATCGAGGCGACGCTCGCCTCCTCGTTCGGCTCGTATGTGCGCGCCATGCGCCAGATCGAGAGCTCGCACATCAAGAAGCAGTCGGACGCCGACGCAATACTGAAGCAGTATGAGGCGGACCTGGCGGTAAGGCAGTTCCTGCTGACGAATTTGACCCGCCCGAAGGGTGAGGAGCACTTGAAGTTCAGGATTCCAGTCAATATTCTGCAGAGTGCGTTGGATCGCATGGGCAGCTTTCCGTATCATCCCGATAAGGTCCGATGCACGAAGCCTGCGCTGTTTGTGCGCGGTACGAAGAGTCATTATGTCCCGGATGAGGTTATTCCGATCATTGGAAGGTTCTTTCCGATGTTTACGCTCAAGGACGTTGATGCCGGTCATTGGGGTGAGTTTTTCTTGTGTCGTGGACGGGGTGACGGGTGATGCTGATGGGTGACAGTCATGGCGGAGAAACCGCATGAGTTCAAGGACATCGTGCTGGAGTGGCTCGCAAAGGATCAAGAATAGAAACCACCAATCTCATATATCCCCAAACTGCCCCATCTAGACTACCCATAGAGTATAAATCATCATATATTGGTGCGTCCAAGCAAAGATAGTGTACAGAAGGAATGGAAAATAAAAGCCAAACAAACTCCTCTCAAAAGAATGCCGAGGGTATCTATGATCTAACCCGTGCCCCCACGCAGAACAGAATGCAGCCCACAACTCCAAACAACGACAGCAACGACGCAAGTGAAAAGAAACCAGAAACAACCCATCCGCAGGCCTAACAGACACAGCCGGCCTAACAGACACAAGCCGCGCCCGCAGTATCGTCCTGGTCTTGGCCGATATTAATAGCGGTATCCCGCCTCTTCTTCGTCAACTTAGGATCCATCAACTCAGGCGTCTCGATGATCTTATTAACCACATCGATGAACGGCGTGCGAACGTTCTCCCTCGTCTTACTACTGGCCTCGACGAAGCCCGCGCCATGTCGGTCCGCCAGCGCCTTCCCCTCCTCCGCTGTAACCGTGCGCGCGCCCGCCTTATCGATCTTACTCCCGACCTATGCATCCCGTAGTATTAGTACTCCACCCTGCCTACCAGCAACACACAGCAGGAGCTCTCAACACGCACCAAATACATCACGATGCCCGGCTCGGCATACTTCGCACACTCGCCGAACCAATGATCCATACTGAGGAAGCTCTCGCGATTGCTGACGTCATAGACGAGGATGCAACCCTGCGCGTTCCTGTAGTAGCTACTAGTGAGGGTGCGGAAGCGCTCCTGGCCCGCCGTGTCGAAGAGGAGCAGACGGTGCGGCTTCCCCCCGACCGAAAGCTTCTTCACCCGGAAGTCCACGCCGATCGTCGCTGTTGCTGAGTCCGTGTCGAAGATGTCGTCGACGTAGCGAAGTAGAAGCGCCGTCTTGCCGCTGTTCGATGGGCCGATCAGGAGCAGCTTGATCGTAGGTTCTTTGTCGGGCGGTGCCATGATGTATGTGCTTCGTGTGTTCGTGTGTTCGTGTGTTCGTAGCGGTGAGGTGAGGGGAGAGGTAGAGTAACGATAACGATGGCTGTCTATGTAGCTGTCTAGCTGGCTAGCTGTCTAGCTGTACAGATGGTATGAGGGGGGGGGGGGGGCGAGAGTGGAGAGGATATGGGGTAGAATATAATATACTCCACCGTACTCTATGTGCTGGCGGATGACCGAGAATGGAGCTTCTTTGGCTTGCTTTGGCTTGCTTTGGTCTGGACCACCACCAACTTACCTTAACTTGGCACGACCCTGCTTGCTTGCTTTCAAGGAATCCGACCACCCACACACTGACAACACTGACACATCCGTGGACGTGTCTAGATGACACAATTTTTTTTGGCCAACGGGCGGGGGGTCACCGGGTCCGACCGACCAAGCCGTGCGCCGTGCGCTGGAAGGTGTAGGGTGTAAGGTGTGCGCTAGAGCGCGGTAATACTGTTCGCCTATCTACTTGCTTTGCTTTACCTCATGCTTCCGCATGTCAAAGGCTCCGCACGCAGCGAGAAGGTGAAGCTCTTTTAAAAAGCTTCTCCCCGCTCGTGAGAATGTCGACCAGCTTTGCACCCATATGCTTCAAGCTGCAAGTTTAGTGTCCTTACAACGCAGGTATCTTTTCTGCACCGTCGAATGGATTCCCGACGCTCTCCTTGTCGACCAAAACTACGGCATCACCACCACCACCGGATGGCTGCAGCTCCCATCTGCTTGCCAAATACTCACTTACACTTCGGACTTCTCAAATTAACCGCTTTACAGAATGGTAGAGGATCATCGCTCGACTAGGTTTTCAAATACCTGGTACTCCTTGTCGCGGTACGCTTGCATGTGAGAAGACGATTCGGTACTCCACCATCGCATTTACCGAGCAATCCCAGAGGAGTATTCGAATCTCAACGTTTGCGAACATACCCCTCTGTCGTCGGAGAGGAGGAGCGTAGCCAGTACTGAGTCGGCGTTCACTCAGCAGCAGCAGCAAAAGCTTAGGACTACAAGGTAGTAGTGCCCCGCTGAAACTTGAAAGGCCGAACTCCAGAAGCTCACCTAAGCATACATATATCACTCGGTACTGGGTGCCAACTCCTAAGCACCGCTGCACTGATACTAAACACGGGACAGCGGGGGATGAACAGGTTGTGGTTAACTGCCATGATCCAATAAGGTCGAATGCTATGCTGGTTAAACAAAAACCCCAATACTGAACACACCAAGCCGGTTATCTACCTTTATGGATAGGATAAGTTCCCAAAAAGTACCTACACCGCCATAGTCTGGGCAGGTAGATAGGCTGAATGCGAGTAACCCCGTGCTCGAAAACCCGATACATTACATTCTTATGCAATATTCAGCCCACTCGTCCAGTAGTTAGAATAATATTTACTCGCCAACACTTGGTATCGTCCAGCCTATCCCCTCGTCCGTAACACGTGCCCAATCGTCCGGAGTCCGGATGGATATATACGATGGTGATATCACCAACTGTATACCTGGTACCCAGTATTCCCAGTATTCCGGCATAGCCACACTACCCAGAACGAGGCAGTATAAACCACCAACTCCCAGAATATAGAGTATCACTATATCTCACTCGCCAGCTTTCGAGTCACGAGTGATCACTCAGGTTCGATCGAAAACGCCCTGGTTATCCAGTGCCAATTCCCGCTTCCTTCTTCATTCTTTTGCTTCTTGCGCTCTCCTCATTCGTACTCCGCAATGTGGATGTCTCCTTCATACCTACATATCTTACCTAAGTAGTCGTCTCACCATCTCGCACAATGGATGGATCGAGCGAGCGTCGCTTCGGGTGTGTAAATATCCCCTCCTGAGTCCTAAGTACATTGTACATTGTAGCCTGTCATTCCTAGTTTCCCATGGCGATATAGTATGTAAGTACAGTACAGTACCGAGAAACCGGAAGATTCTAGAGAAGGTATGGTTTGCCCTACCTACCACGCAGTCAGTGCCCGTCCGGCTCCGTTGCGACCAGTGCCAGGACTCGGGGCTCGGGACTCGGGAGTCGCTGCTTTTCCGGCCGGGATTCTTCCATCCGGTATCACGAGAGACCGGAAGATATTCAAGATGACGCCAAATGCGAGAGATGTGCGGTGATGGATGGATTGGAGATTTAGTGCTGTTCTTTGTCTACCAGGTAGGTATGTACCTATGGCATTCGGGGTTCCTACTTATTATCCTGGATTCCCGTACTTTTTGTACTGTACATGCCCATTCCATTCCACCTTTCATGTTTCTCACTTGGCCAGAGCCCGGTATCTCTCTCACCACGCGGCTGACATTTCGTAATAGTACCCCTGTGTGAACAAGGTAGCATTGCCCTTTTGCCGTTCCCCATATCTGCTTGAATCACCCCGTCCAACGATGGCCGCCCCGAGTGACACCACATGATTCCGACCACTCGCCACCCGTACGTATAAATTCTAATCACATAAACTCGCGCGAAGAAAAAAAAAGACACGTATGTATACAATCCGGCATTCCCGGGTCTCAAAGACACGCCGCCTACTCCAAAGCACTTTTCCCCCGCGCCAGCTCAATAGTCATCATCCTCCTCCTCCTCATCACTCAGCACTGTCTGCCTCTTCGCTCCCCCGCCCCCTCCCCCACGGGTAAGTTTCATATCCTCATCGTCGTCATCATCAAAGTCCTCTAGGTCGGAGACGTCGCCGACGTCATCCGCACCGGCGCCCTTGTCAGCCTCGTCGCGTGCGTACTCTGACTGCCGCGCCTGGCTCTGTCCCTGGCTCTGGCTGCCGCGCGCCGCGCCGCGCCGCTCTAGGCCGCCCACGCCGCCGCTCTTCAGTGGTCGCGGGTTCGCGATCTCGTCGCAGGCGTCGATCCAGTCGCTGTACACGTCGACTGCGTGGGAGAGGTCTGGTTTGCTGTTAGCTACGGGGAGGGAGGGGGATGGGGAGGGAAGGGGAAGGGAGCGCACAGTTGATGCTGGCTTGGAACTGCTGGCCGCAGATCTTGCAGGAGAGCGTGCCGATGCCGGCTTTCTTGTCGAGCTTGCATGTCACGGCGTTTTCGTGGTTGCAGAAGAGGCAGTTGAACGTTGTTGATAGAGGTTCGCGCTGCGAAGGGGAAGTGTTAGCATCCTAAAGTACGCGTCGCGATCGGTGGGCGAGCGAGGGGCCGGTGGGCGGGTGAGGGTGAGGGTGAGGGAGGTAGAGGTACCTTCTTGGGCCCTTGCGGCTTGCGCGCCGACTTGCGTTTTCCCTATGTACGGATTACTTGTCAGGCTCCGGCTCCGGGGGTGAATGACGGGGGGTGGGGCGGGAGGAAGCGCGGGAGGAAGCGCGCGGGCCGGAACGTACCATGGTGTGTAATTGATTACGGTGCGAGAGGTCGAGAGCGTGGTAGGTGTGTGCTGGATGCTGGGTGTGTAGAGTGCGGTGTTTGTGTGCGGATGGAAGTTGGCGTCGGCGGCGGGCGTCGGCGAAGCATGGCGCTCACTTGGAACTCTACAACGGTGGGCTAGTGCTGCTAGAGTAGCTAGCCCACGTAGGCTCTGGTGCACGTGATAATGGGCCCGCTACATACAAACTTAACCAAGTGAATCGGTATTCAAAAGTCCACGTGCGCGATTCAAGCTCGCTACTTAGAGCCTCCAGCTCCGCTCCAAACGTTTTACATATGGAGAGTGGAGGATCCAGTTCACGCGTAGTTAAAGAAAGTTGTATATAGCCATTTCAATGCCTCCCGCTTGAGAGCAATCTCGAATCCAATCACACAGTCACCGTTGGAGAGCCCGATATAGTACCTACTATCCATCTCACCATCGTCTCTTGCAGGTAGGTAGCCAGGCGATTCCCGTCTCCCAAACATGGCGCTGGATGAGCTCCGGGCGCAGGGCCGGGGCGAACGAAGCCGCCGGTTCAACGCGTCCCGCCGCGGCCGACATATGATCCACGCTTGCAGCGAGTGTGTGCCGTCGGCAACCGACGGGGTCAAGTGGAGCTTCCCAGAGCGGTTACGGCGCTGCTGGCTCTATTAGAGTATGGTACTTAGCTCAATCAGCTTCAATCGCGGGGAAGCAAGCTTGCTTGATAACGTGTCCCGAAGCTCTAGGATGCTAGTCATGACGCCCGGTCGATAGAGCTCCTGCTGAGAGCTCACGGGGATTGTCTGAGACTACGGGATAGGGGGAGGAGGAGGAGGGCGGGATTGAGAGCGAGTAGTCAAGATGGAGGGACAGAGCAGTCTTCTCCAGAGCACCGTAAGGCATTCGCAAACACAGCAGGACGTCAAAAGACGATTGGTAACGCATCATCATCGATAGAGGGGTACGGATGTTGCGGCGGCGACGGCGGCGGCGGGCGGCCACTGGAGACGGCAGAGGGCACGGTTCGCGCTGGACAACTCACCCTACATACAGACCTCCTCCATGTTTGACTCCAGCGTCAACAGCAAGTCAACAAGCGACTGCGTCCAAGGGAACAGTGCTCACTCCCTCACCTGCCGTCGCCCCATTCATTGACGACATCGGGCAACGCGCCGCTATTTGCGAGCATCTTGTGACTCTGTGTATCGAATCCCCTCTCCCCATCCCCCTCCTCCGATCGACGATGCCAACCAACGGTGGACTAGAGTGGAGCAGAGAGACACAGAGACGCCCGACATCAAGCGAAAGGAAAGGAAAGGGACCGATCGGACCCTTCCTGCCTTCGTCCCCTCCCTTACTTAAGTCCCTGAGCTCCTGCTGTGCTGTGCTGTGTTGCCCTCTTGTCACGTCTCCCCCCTCCTCCTCCCCCACCACCCCCTCTGCCTTTCAATCACAACCCCTCCGCTACAACCCTCCTACAAGTAACTACCACCCATCAACAACAACAACAATCATCGTACATAACCCTTACAAAAACAAATAATAAAAACAGCCACCAACCTCACCCACCCCCAACATGTCGGATAACTCAGCTCTCCTCCTCGAGAAGCTGCTTGCAGCCGTCACCTCGATCCAGCACGACCAGAAAGCGCTTGCCGCCGCCGTCGACGCAATCAACGGCCGCGTCAATGCCCTTGCCGACGTCAAGGAGCTCAGAGATGCAGCTCGTCCCAAGACGCCCGTCGGCACCAAGGCCGTCGTGGTCCCCCAATCGCCGTCGACCGAGGAGCAGGCCCCGCCGTCGGAAGTGACAGCCACCATCTCCGCCGCCGGCTCCACCGTGCAGAAGAAGCCAACCACTTCCAGAATCATCCTGACCACTTACCCCGGCCAGAGCGGCATTGATCCCGTCATCATGAACTGGGGCGAGAAGGACCCAATGAAGAGGGGCCCCATAGTGGTTGCCAGAGGCACCCAAACCGTCAGACGCAGAAACGGTTAGTTGGTTCTCACGGAGACGCATACGCAGATATCGGACAGCAAACAGCGGAAGGCGAGACACGTATGGCTCTGCCGACGACCCCCCGCCCTTATCTCTGCTGGCTGACCGATATCGTCCGCTAAATTATGGAGTGCTAATTCGGTGCGCTCCCCAGCTATTGGTGCCCATGGCGGTTCTTACAGCATCTACCATGCTCTGGCTCTCGCCATCAACGAGCTGAAACCCGACCACAAGCCTGACTTCACCAACACTGAGCCTGCAGCTACTATCGGCCCGTTCCCGGCATGGTCCGACCCCAAGAAGATCGTCGCTATGGACCCATACGGCCATCTTGCCCCATGGCTCTACAAGGAATACATCGACAAGGAGGGTGTCGAGATCCGCCCCACCATCGCTGTCACCAAGGCCCACATGCGTCTGCCTGAACTCGAGCAGTCCGTCCGCGACGGCACCCTAGAAGTGGATGGCAAGATTGTGATGAACGAGTTTGGAGAGTTGGCTGTCACAAAGTTCGCCGTAGAGCCTGTCTGGTATCTGCCGGGAGTCGCTGAGAGATTTGGTATTGGTACGTTGGAAAAAATAGAATCGCTCCACATGAAAGTGAAAGAAAAAAGAAGAAGAAAAAAAACCGTCCGGGGTGCTTTGCTCTGCATATGCTCCCCAATCTGTGTTTGATATGCTTGCATATGCAATCGTTCGCCAGTTGGCCAGCCCGGTTCGCAGCATCCGACAGAGATTTCCCAGCTAACTCATTTTTCTCTCATGCACAGATGAGGGCACCCTGCGTCGTTCTCTGTTTGACAACACCGGTGGATCTTTCCCGGAGCTGATCACTCGTCCGGATATCAAAATATTCATGCCGCCGATTGGAGGATTGACGGTGTACTGCTTCGGTGATGTCGCCAAGATGTCGGACCCCAATGTCAAGCTCGCACTGCGTGTTCACGACGAGTGCAACGGCTCGGACGTGTTTGGTTCCGACATCTGCACCTGCCGGCCGTATCTGCTGTTCGGTATCGAGGAAGCCGTTAAGGAAGCGCAGAAGGGCGGAAGCGGGGTGGTAATCTATTTCCGCAAGGAAGGAAGAGCCCTAGGAGAAGTCACCAAGGTATGTATATCTGCTGCCGCGTGGCACGCCCCTCGCTGGATATCCGAGCTAATACATATATCTTCGTTCTCGCGTATAGTACCTCGTATACAATGCCCGTACGCTCAGCCCTTCCATATTATTGCATTCCATATGCATAACCGATTGGATGTAAACTGACTGGGACGGGCTTCCGGCGGATAGGAAAACGCGGAGTCGACAGGGCAAGCGAGTACTTCCAGAGGTATGTAATTGTTTTCCTTGGGCGCCTTGCAGATATTGTTATTGGCCGCCGCACATGTTGAGATGCGCTAACTTGGCTTTGTACCTGTACCAGGACTGAGGTAGGCACCTTGAAGCGTAAAGTGGTTCGGAAGAGATACTGATCGTCTGGATTGATGGGATAGAACATCGCAGGAGTCAAGGTATGTAATGTACTCAGCAGGCGGAAATATCTGCCGGAAGTGATGTTCCGTTATACTGACACAGATCTCCAGGATATGAGGTTCCAGGCATTGATGCCCGATGTATGTGGCGCCACACCTTTTGTTCCTCGCTCGCGCGGGAAGTTCCTTTCGCGTCCGGAAGCACTGATAGTCGCCGGTGCAGATCCTCCATTGGCTGGGTATCACCAAGATCGACCGTATGCTATCCATGTCGAAGTAAGTCATCAATTATCTCTGTCATTCGTGGAGCGGATAATTCCCGTCGTCCGGGGAATCGCGAGATTGAAAGAAGAAAAAAAAAGTTGTGAGAAAAAGACGTATGCTAACGATGTGTCCGCTGTAGCATGAAGCATGATGCTATCGTCGAGCAAGGCATCCCCATCCTCGAGCGAGTCCCGATTCCGGATTCGATGATTCCCGACGACTCCAGGGTGGAAATTGACGCAAAGATCCACGCCGGGTGAGCATACTGAATCCCGACATGCCCACTTTGTACTGCTGCTGCAGCGAACGGAATCTTCAGAAGATTTTTTTTGCAGCAGCAGCGGCAAGTGGCATTGGTCAGTTGTGGACGAGAGCGCTTACGCTAGACAATAGGTACTTCACCACCGGCAAGGTCATGAGCATGGAAGAATTGTCAGCCGTACAGGGCAGGGCGTGGGAGGATGTCGACCATTAGAAAAGTGAAGTTCTGTTCGCGACTCGCGTGGGGTGAGTGGTAGTTTACTTTCTTACTCCTTACTGCGAAACTAGATACTCTAGTAGCAGCCCCGTCGCCGTTCGCCGTTTCTTGATCGCTAACTGCGGCCCGCACGCACTCTCGCGCTTGCAAAGAAAAAATACAGATTTTACTTGTTACTCTTCTACTTGTTCTACTACGGCGTTCCCGGGTTCCTTGTTCTTTTGTGGGGGGTAGGAAAGGGGATGGAGGGGTTGGATCGCGCAGGTACAATACGCTTTTTGTGGAGTTTGAGTCCGTAGAAAATGCAAAGTACCTTTTTACCTTTGAGACCTGCAGCCGGGGCTGTAGTTACGGTTAGTACTGTAGTACCCCATCGCGATGCGTGCGCAATCCACGATCCCGAAGCTCACATCCTCACGACGAGGGCCAGTGGCCGTGTTCGTCTGGTCATTCATCGGTTAATAGAGTGCCGGCAGCTATAGGGCAGACCGGACGGAGGTCGGTCGCTCCACTGTTTGTATTTATGCGAATAGAACCGAGGAAACCCCGGACTAATTGGTTACATACATACCCCGCATTTTCTTGTCTTGTCCAGGAACAGTGAGCGAATGCGAGCCCAAGGACCCGAGTAACGCCAAGGACTCCATGAAACCAACCACCGACCACCGTTTATGCCGTGCCGCCGCCGCCAGCTGACCGAGTTTGTAGGTAGTTTGCATACGTCCGATCGATTGAGCCTCGTGATTCCGAGCAGGAAGAGGAGGCATACGCGCGTCCCCTCGTGCGTCCCCTCGTGCGTCCCCTCTCTCGCTCGCTCGCTCGTCCGCCCGTTGGGTTGGGGGGGGGGGGGATTGATGTGCAGTGGCCGGTGGGATTGATGTGCGGTAGCCCGTGGCCGGTACATAAGGTGGGGTTGCTTTTGTGTGTGAGATTCACGATCGTGGCGGCGGCTGGGGGGGTTTGCGGGGGTGGGTTTGGGGGGTGGTTGGGTTGGGACTGGATGGAGTTGGGTTGGAGTTGGAGCGGTTCGGGACATGAGAGAGAGGTAAACTACCGTACTTACAGTCTTACACACCGTGGGTTTCGAGATTCGAGGCTGGAGTATCTACTCTACTTCTCCAGAGGCCAAAGTACTATATGGGCCTATGAGCGATGACCTATGGGCATAGCGGATGCAACTGTCCTGATCAGCGGTCAGCAGTCAGCGGTTAATACCGTACCGTATTCCATTGTACCGTTACTACAGTTACTACCGTATGTCACGCTACCTATTACCTATATTTGTAGAAGCATGCGCCCAGCTGGACTCGGAGAGTTGGAGGCTGTAGTACCACTGTACTAGGTATAACTACCATGTACTCGACGAAAGTTTATCGGCCATCGGCTGGAGCCAAGAAGGCAGGGCTTCTGCAGTGAGTGGTTGATTGAGTGGTTGACTGTCGGTTGGTACTCTACTTATGCAGCATTCGCGATCATCGTTGGGCTGACGGCTCAGAGGCGGCCGAACTTCGCACAGGAAGATGCCGGATGTTACCGCTCCAATTGCGGCGGCGGAGACGGCTGGTCGGTGATATGTAGGTGGGTTATGTATGTGTGTAGGTAAGAAGTATATGTCGCTTCATCTCGAATCTCGAATCCCACTCCCCCCCTCCCCCGAGTCCCCCCATTTCTGCGACACCCATCCATCCATCCAGCCACTCTAAGAAAAACAAAATCCGTGGCCGTGGTCCGTTATGGTTTGAGGTTTAACACTGGGTAGATCTGCCGAGCCGAGCCACTGACTACCATCCCCGCTGCAGATCTGCAGACTTTCCTTCTTTCTTTATTTCCTTCTGCTCATCGCATGTGCTCGCGTGTCTCGCATTCTTTCCCCGGAGTATGATATGTATGATATGTATGGGGTTGCGGGAGGAGGGGATGGGGATGGGAATGGGGGATGGGGATTGGGGGTGTATAGTATATATGTGGATTCGAGATGAGATGGGAGAGATGGGAGAGGCTCCAGCTCCAGCTCCAGCTCGCAATCCATCCGGATGAGCTCGAGTCGATTCGCTGAGCACTGGCTAATCGCATCGCATTGGATCGTGCTCACTGCTCTTCCCCACAGTTCACCAAGAGCGTCGACATTCATTGAGATCCTGCGGCCGTACTTGGCTAGACGCGGCGGCGGCTACGATGGGGGGCTGCGAGACTCAAGAATCCACTCGGGATGCGTCGTATGTATAGCGTATAGCAGGTTCGGGTCTTCGTGAGGGCCGAGGATCCATTGGTCAACCCGCCCGCCGGGACTCTAGAGACCCAAGTGTGAAGGAGTACCGGTAGAAGTGATATGACAGTAGTTCTATGCTTCGACATTGAAATCCTGCGACCGTACTTGGCTGGACGCGGCCGCGGCTGCGATGGGCGTTTCAAGACTCAAGAGTCCATTCGGATGGATTGTAGCAGGACCGAGCCTTCGTGAGGGCTGGGGATCCATTGGCTAACCCGTCCGTTGGGATTCAAGTGTGAAGGAGTAGAACTGTAGGTACATAGAAGTGATATCGTAGGTGCTTCGGCAGCAATTCTATGCTTCGACATTGGGATCCTGCGGTCGTGATGAGTCGTAGCAGGACCGGGTCTTCGTGTGGACCGAACCTCCATTGGCTAACCCGTCCGTTGGGCCCCAAGTTACCAAGTGTGAAGGAGTATGTAGAAGTGATATCGCAGGTGCTCCGACAGTAATTCCATGCTTCATAGATGGTACTTCCAGCAGCCCACCCGCCGACAGCGGCAACAACACGGGACGACTTCCGCACGGCGCAAGTGTCAGAGAGTTCGATACTGCACCCCACATCCACATCCAAGTCCACATCCACACGCCTCATCCAGCCAGCCAGCCTGTACGTAAACAGCCAGACAGCACGTAAACGTTGAACCTCGGTCCCCCGAGCAGTCCACGAATACCCACGAACCCAAGTGCCTATGTGGATACACCCGTTACTGAATCCACGGAACGAGCCTCCGCGACGCACGCCATCCGTTCGCGGACGACGATCATACGATGCCCACTACATACTACCTACCTACTACCTACAACCTAGCAGAGTACCTACCATCCAACCATCCAACCATCCAACCGGAGCACGTCTGGGGAATCCTTGGTCCTTGGAAACCGGTATGTCCGTAGGTATACATGTGTATAGGTCCATGTCACATAGGTACATGGTTGGTATGTTGGTATTGCGGTCCAGTCTTCCGTAGACGGTACGTAGGTGTGTGTAAAGCAGGCGAACCACCACACAGTAGAGATCACTCCATCATAGGTATCATCGCCAAGCGTGTTACCTGCATGCCTATGTATGGGGGCCGTTGGGGGCTGCTGCCTTAGTAGGGTGTGTGGGGTACGGGTGGCAGGCAGGTGGATGGGTCGGTGGATGTGTGGGTGGATGGGTTGTAGCTCCAGCAACAGCTCCAGTGGGGCCGGGACGGTGCGGTGCGGTGTGTCGGTCGAATGCTTATTTTCGAGCATCAGGGTGCCGTGGACAGTGGAACAGATAGTAGAAAAGAATATACATGCACCCGCGGCGTGGTTGTCCTGGCCATGGACGGATGGATGGAGGTGAGGTGAAGGGGACCACGAATAGCTGGATATGGCGGGGTAGGGCGGGGTCGAGTGCATGTGGTAATGATACGACGAGGCCCGCCATGGATTATCACCATGTGAACCCAAAGCTTGAATCCCGCACCGTACCATTGTAGGGAACATCCCGCGCACGTGACCTTGACGCGCGCTTCTTATATTTCATTTTTTGGGTTTGTTTTCTTTGGTTTGTTTCCCTGTTCTCGCGACCAGACGGAATACTTTGCCAATGGCACCATCAAACGAGGCGGCCCGTACTTGGGAATTTGGGATCGGCGGGCAGCAAGCATTTGTGCGTTTCACACCGGTGAGGTCAGAGTTTCCGAGCTCGTGATCACGAATTTACCTTGCCTCCCTTACCTACCGTAGAGTAGGGCGTACTCAATTACCAGTAGGTAGAGTAGCAAACCCAGGTGAAACCAAACGGGCATTCAATCATGGAACGCACGTCGCTCGCAAACAGCCGGCTTTGTCCATGGGGTTTTCCACGGGGGTTTCCACGGCTTCTTCCATGGTTTTTTCTTTTCTCTTTCTTTCTTTTCTTTCCCTTTTCCACCCATTTTTCTTTTCCACCCATTTTCCTTTTTTGGCCAGCTGCGGCGCCGCGCGGGACAGGTGGAGGGAGGGAGGGAGGGAGGATCGATGCATCGCGTAGAAATCGGTACATAGAGTAGGTAGAGTATGCTAGGTAGGTACTTGTTGCTTTTTCTTACTGCCTCTTATGATTGACTTCCCTCTCTTCCCTCCTTCCCTCCTGATCCGTGCGTTTCTGGGACTGCTGCTGCTGCTGCTGGTGGTAGGCGTGGTGGTGGTAGTGGTGGTCGTGATGCTGGAGGTGGTTGTCGTTCGTCGGCCGTCGTTCGTCCTGGCACATCTGTGGATGCGGAGTTCGGACTTCTCTCTGCGCCGTACATAACTCGTACATAACCAGAGTAGAGTACAGCAGGTAGAGTAAATAGTGGGGGAGAACGCGGAGGCGGAGCACCGTATGTACGTACTCTGGGGATGTATGTAGGACTCGGTAGATTGCCGGCGGCGTTGGTGGTGGTGGTGGTGGGTCGGGTACTATTCGTTTGACATGTCGAAGTGACGTGATGCCGCCGCCGCCGCCGCCGCCGCCAACGACCGGAAGCCATCCATCATCCAGTCATCCAGTCGCCAATCGCAAGCAAGTGCTTAACAAGGTATTTCGCTGTGCAGCCCACCTCGGCGACGACAGCGACAGCAGCAACGACGAGGACGAGGACGAGGACGGCAAAGGACCGGACCATGTCCCCCGGGGCCCGGGCTCCCCCCCGGATGTAGGCAGAATTTGGAGATGGTGTCTTGAACTCAGAACGAGTGCCTCGAAGCAAGTTTGCACGATCCGGATCGCGTG